TTGTAAAGATGACAGAGGACAGAGACAAATAAATCATTTAACATGGAGGAAAGTTATTGTCCGATGAGTACCAGTGGGACTTGAAATTGAAAAGGAGATTTGAAAACCGCTTTCTTACCTTTTGTAATTTCCTTTCCAGTTTGAGTGCAATGTTCTGCTTTTATTATTTGTCTAAATTAAATCAACAAATTACACTATTAAAAGATGTCTCCTTGGGATCAAGAAGTATAATTGGAATTTCTAAAATTGTACGACATTTCATCAACCAAAACCAAATAATGCTTCATTTATTCATAACAGTGATCTGACGCCCAAATGATAATCAAAATTATTTTTAGTTGTAGCAGTAACCTGTGTTAGCCTGGATATCTTGTCAGGGTAAAACATCCTCTGAAATTCAGAGCTTTTTTTTTTAAAGTGAAATCTGAAATATTCAGTTATAGTAAAGCTGAATAATGCAGATGCTGTGGATTTTCAATAACAAGGTTGTGACTCCAATCTGGTTCATTATTTTGCTCACCTCACTACTCTGTAAATACAGTTTCAGATTAAGGTTAGCATTTCTTTTTAAGGCTTCAACAGGAAGCAATTTTCAGCCTGATTTATAGATACCTGTGGCAGGCGCTCAAGCTCTTTTTTCCACCTTAAGGCGTCAAACATCTTATTCTGCTCGGCGCACATCGCTGGATCTCAGCAGGAGGCTGAGATTGCTGACCATCACAGCCCAGTGATTACCTCGGCAACATTCCCCAGAAATAGTCCAAAATCTCCCTGTGATGCACAACATATTTTCTTTCCTCCATTACCCATGACTTTCAAAACTGTGCGGTTACGACCGTACGTCCCTGTGAGCGCCCACTGTCAGTCTGTATGCATCTGGGCCACACAAGTATGCATTTGTTTAATTTTGATTAAAGCAAAATTATTTTTGGAGAAATGTGTCAAAAAATGGTGAAAGAAAATATCTCCTATTGAGCTCATCTGTAACCCTTAGTCATTCAAGCTGTGTTTACATTTGGGTCTAATGCAACATATATGCAGAGGAGGCAGCTGGACTCATGTAGACGTTCTCCTGCTGTTTTAGTGTTGTGTTTTACTGCCCTCCGCAGTCCACAGAGTGTAACTTGTAAATATAATGGGGACATGTTTCTGGGGCTCTGTGTTTTAAGTGTTGTTCTTTGTGAATGGACTGTAGTTTGTCTCTCTCTAGTGCCTGAAGCTCTCAATCTTAATCAGGACATCTTTTTCTGATTCATATATTACATTTCCAGAAGAGGACTATTTTTAAAGATAAAAAATCTACAAATAAGACTACATTTTCAACAGCTACCTGATTAGTCAGCAAAATTGAAACACTTAGTCTTATTTTTTCAAGAGAAAATGTGTCATATTTTTGAGGGGTGACTTTCTACTCTCCTGTGTATTGTATCTGTGAATGGAACAAGCCATCACTTTTACATTTGATTTGCTATTCTGGAAGTAGTCCGTATATGATCCCACCACTTCACGTGAGTGACTTTTTCACCCAGACTAGTTTACATTAACACCCTACTCACTATTAGTTATCCCAAACATACCAATAAGCTGTTAGTGGACTATTTTGGATTAAGTCCATAAAAAAGGGACAGATTTCACACTGGGGTCCTGTGGGAATCTTGAAACATAAACACAGAGATACAACATCTGGATCAATCCTATTCTTTTGTGTTATCAGCCCACTTTACACATATATTTCATTTATTTATTGGTTGGTTTATTTATGTCTCACTGCCCCCTCATCATTCTAATCTGACGGGATGTCCTTTTTCCTTTTGTTTCGTTCCCTCTTCTGAAAATCTCTTTTGTTCTTAAAATGCCGTTATTGCTGTATTTTTGCCCTTTTATTTGCCATGATTCTCCTCCGTGGTTATATTTACTCTACTTTGTCTGTCAAAGCCCTTTGTAAACTTTGTTTTATAAGGTGCTATATAAATAAAGTTATTGTCTGCAGCTTGAATATCAGTAAAAATAACTCCTTAAATTCATCTAGTCTTTGTTATTTAATTCAAAGATGTGCCCGATTGTTGCTATATTGTGGTTCATACATTAAATTCAAACATCTGCATCACTTGTAATACTTAGACTGACACACAAATTAGCTGTTATTTGGTTAATCTTACATACTGTATGATGAATATTCATTAATTTTGGCTTCCAACATGATTTGCTGAGGTTTTATGTTAACATAATATGAAGACATTTGTAATTGACAATGAATTTTGACACTTCAGTTTAGCGAAGCGATAACAGTTTATTCCAAAGGCAAGATTATTGCTCCAAGAGGCTTATTTATGTGAGGAAAATGCTGATTTAAGCTGCAACATTAAATATTAAATACAAAATTCATGTACCAACCAGCGGTGTCATGTTTATGTTGTAGGTGTGTGATTTAAACTGTTGGATGTTGCAGCATTTTATGTGCATCCGTCTGTTGTAGCTTGTGGCTCATTTCTAAGCATCTGGTGCAGCTGGAGTTACTTCAAGGATAACTTTGAGGGTGAAAATAAAACCGGGCCGGGCAGTTTTTTTTATTACAGGTTTCAGAGCAGGGAAGTTTATTTATGAAAAAGCTGAATCCTATCTTTTTTGTTAACGCCCGCTCATTAAAGACGGCAATAATCCACTTGTTGTTTACACAGAGCGTAACTTTGAATGTGCAGCAGATGCTGTGCCCGCCGCTCCGTTTATGCTTTAACACCGACATAACGGCTTCTCATTCAGGAAAACATTTTGTCCATTAAGCTTGCAGACATTCACCGGTAGATGAGACCCATATTACACACGAAATGACAGAATTGTTTAGATTGGCAACTAAAAAGAAAAACAAAGAGTCGAGTCACGGTGCCAGACAACAGATGTGTTATCACTGTGCCACTGGAAGAACACCAACTGTGTACAATAATATCACACATCCACGAGGTGTGCTGTCTGGCACACATTACTGTGTGTTTGTCAGATCACAGCCCAATCCCAGCAGGGCTCGGCACATTATATTATCACAGGGAAGGTGATGTGCCCCGACACCTGATTATAGTGCACATGGCTGCTTTACAGCACATGCAGAGCTCGCACACTCTTACAATACACATGTTGGGTTTTAACAAAGCCGTGGCTACATCACTCATCATTTCTTGGCTTATACAGGAAAGAAGACTGGCGGTGTCCGAATGAAAAGATGTTTAAGAAGGTTGTAAAGACAGAAAAACACTTAAACTTTTCAACTGTCACTTATTTTATCTCTATCATCAGAAATCAAAACCTGTTGGGTCTGATAGGAAACAAAAAAATTGAGATCTAAAGCAAACCTTTGAAACAGGTCTTACTCTATCGATTGTCACACGGATGGATAGATCTTGTTGAAATTGAAATATTAAAAACATAAGTTAACAGTTGAAGTGCAACTTTGTAACAAAAATATCTGCTTTTTTAGTCTAATGGGTGTGTTGTGTTTTGAACAAAAACTGAACATGTTTCTGGTTTAAATTCCAATCATACTGCAAAACCCTGCATGTCTTAAATAAAATATTCCCATTCTAATAATATAGGATTGGACAAATAAAGGGAGGGCATCAAAATGTTTTCTTTTTGTAAGGAAACCAGGTGGTTTTCAAAAATCCAATTTTTCATACATTTGCAAGACCGCGCAAATAAATTAAAGTTGGCAAACGCGAGTGAGAAAATATTTCATTTTGATGCAGCCCCATGAAGCTGTAGTGCATAATGGAGCATTATGAATTCAACACTTCACCGGGAAAAATTCAATATTCTGATATTTTGAGATTAAGAAAACGGGATCGAAATGATAGATTAGTTTATTTTGAAGCAGCAGGGATTTTATCCAAGCCTGATTAGGTTCAGGTTGTTTTAATTAAAAACTGGATGTGCCATGAATTTGTTTAGCATTTTAAATCACTCTGAAAGTTAACTAGCCTTTTTTTAAAAACACATGTACATGTAAGTTGATAGTTATATAAGCAACAAAAAAAACCATCACAATAAGACATAAGTGTTCAAGGTGTATTTAAGCCAACATGTAAAAAGCAGCCCAGTGCATGGTAGGAAATTAAAGACAGACAGTAAACAAGGACGTAAGACTGGGTTTAAGTTTTCAGTATTAAGTGGGTACAAAAAAAGTGCCTTATTGGAATATTCAACTCCACAATACATTCGCTTTGCAGCATCTGATTCTCATGATTATTCCTCAAAGCATTTAAAAAGGGATTGTTTTGGACTGCCTTCAAAACTACCCTATTTTCATTTACTCAAGCCTCTGTATATTTTGAGAGTCTGCTTGTAAACCTTCATCACTGCCAAACCAGAGGTCCACACTGATGAGATTTAAAAGTTAACATTTATTTCAGTTAGGGCAAAACATTCATAAATACCGAGCAGCTCACTGGAACAATCAGACCCATCAAAGAGATTTGTTTTTAATGTTAGTCAAAGCTGATGTAAGATGCTCTAATTAAAAAGGGGATCAAAACTTGATACTAGGTGACTTTGATGCGGCTTTCCATGCACATGAAAATAAAGTTAAATGCCAATTTACAGAGTCATTTAAACCAAGCAGCAACATGTCACTTCACACCGCGGTTCAATGTTTCAAAGACAAATTTAACTGTAGCATCAGACTTTTACATCTGCCCTGTGATCTAAACCGAGCTCAACCCAGACATGATCCCTTTAAATTTCCTAAATGTTTGAACAAGTTTCACTCCCGCATAGTTGCTCAGCAAATCTGGAAGATCCAAGCAGGTTCAATGAGTTCTCAAATAAATGAAGTCAGAAGGACAGTGTAAGCTGATTTGAAGGTTTCTGGTGTGAAAAAAAGGTCTTTTCTCCAAGAGAAGTGTGGTGATTTTTTTTTTCTCCTTCAACACAATCTTCATTCCACAACCACTGTTCATAGATGTACTAGTCCTTTTCCAAGTCCACCGTGATCAGCCTGAATTACCTACCAATCAAGACATCATGATCTCTATCCTGAGGAGGTGATCTGCAGCATGTATGCCAAGCTGATCTGCCAAGGACCTGAAGAATCTCTCCCTTATGATTTCTGGCCGGGAAGAGGACGCCGGAACAGCAAGATGTGTGGTTCTGCGGGAGGAGAAAAGAGAAATGTGTAAGCAGGGTTAAAGGGATATTTCGACGTAAAATTAAGTTCAGGTCAAACACACCATAACACAGAGTTAGACACCCCATCAAGAGATGAATGTTGCAGACTGCTTGCTTCTCTAGTTATACCAACTTTAGTAACGACCGCAGGATGGCAATACACAGAGCCACGCACTCAACCAAAACGCCACTCTATAGCCACAAATAATGCTCAGAACGGCACATAACTTGATCAACAGTACATATAGGGTCTCAGCCACAGCACTAGCCACCAAATATCTTTTTAACCTTGCCTAATTTCTTTAGCAAAGACACTAAACACAACTCACCTACTCTCTTTCACCAGCCGCTTGTTTATATTACGGACTGCAGCAGGGTGACGCAGCTCAAGGAAGAATATTTATGATCGTTTCTTTATGGAATGCAATCAGACCGACACCAAGTCTGCAGTGCATGATTAATATTGATGATTAATATGATGATTATTACTTCAAGGAAATCATAAAGAAATGATCATAAATGTTCTTCCTTGAGCTGCGTCACCCCGCTGCAGTTTGTAATGGACTGGCCTGAGGTCTCCCTACAAACAAGCGGCTGCTGGAAGAGAGTTGGTGAGTTGTGTTTAGTCTCCTCGCTAAAAAAATTAGGCAAAGCTAAAAAGATATTTGGTGGCTAGTGCTATGGCTGGGACCCTATATGTACTGTTGATGAAGTTAGGTGCTGTTCTGAGCATTATTTGTGGCTGTAGAGTGGCTTTTTGGTTGAGCATGTGGCTCTCTGTATTGCTATCTCTGGTCGTTACTAATGTTGGTATAACTAGAGAAGCAAGCGGTCGGCAACATTCACCTCTCAATGAGATGTCTAGCTCAGTGTAACGGTGTGTTTGACTCCAACTTAATTTTATGCCAGAAAATCCCTTTAAGGCACTGGAACGATTGTGATGGTTTAGTTTGAGGAAACTTGACTCCTGTTCTATTATTTTGAATGAAGGGTGAGGTTGGGTTTGGCACCTGCTGCCCATATGTTCGTAATAACCAATACTTTTGAAAGACTGGAAAATGTGTAATGGGATCTTCTTTATGAAAAGATGACACACTTGAGTTTGAGGTCTTGTTGTTTTTCCCTCTTTTGTAACAACAGCTGACAGGCTTTACAGAGTTCAAATCAAAGACTAACAGTCTGATGGCAACCTTCTGTACATATAGAGCATGTATGAAATTGATACATTTGCACCAAAAATAGAAGTTTATGCAATCATTCAATACAATTAGGTTTTAAACACATTCACTATAGTAAAATGTGATCAAGCATCCTTTTCTCTTAATGAACAATTGCTAAATCAGCTTGCTAAATAAAAACTGATTAAAATATACCTGGCTGGTGGATCATATAGTGCACCCATCCTTGACTCTGTTGGACCCCCAGGTTCCTCCATTCCGTCTCAGACATCAAATGGGTCTTGGGTACACGCTTTGCAATATCTTTAGGCAGCATAACATGTCTGGAAACGTACAACAGGTTAAATAGACAATGAAAGCTGTGCACAAAAAGACAGACGAACTGTATGTTGATCAGTATCTAGAGATGTATGCTCAATAAAAACGTGGTGAAGATGTCTTAAAGGTGACACTGTGATTTTAACACAACGCATACCTGTATTCGTACTTGTCATCGTCGTATTTATCAGAGTAGTAGATCTGTTTGTGAGACATCGTGGAAACCTGGCAGGGAGGTCATGGTAGTTAGTCAACATATAGAGCCAAAAACATTGAAATAAGCGTAATATAACTGTGGGAAACGCGACAGCTAATCGAGGTAGCATTGCCTGGTTAGCCCTAGCTTAGCTAATGTTACACGAACTAGCATAAAACAGCGTTAATATAACATTTAACGACGGTGCAAACAGCAAATAAGATTCAGTTGGGGTTTAACTGAGCTCTTTAAGTTACCTTAGATGAGTGTCAAGATACCCTGTTAAGAAAAAAGAGCACTTATTCCGCTTTTTCTGTCCAGCACTGCCGAGGAGCTCTCCGTGTCTTTGTTTCCCTCTCGAATAAACGCGAGCGCGCTCCTCACTGTTCAAATAGACCTCGCTTCTTCCTATTGGTCGAACAACGTGACCAGCTTTCTTGCCATTGGTCGATTCTAATTGTTGCAGGAAACTGACGTCACCGCTGGAGGAGCTCCTCATTGGTCAGTCGAGACAAAAATGTGGAGCACACAGCTTAGGGAAAGTGTACTCTGCACTGCAACCTGAATGCAGCTCAAACAGGACATACTTTGTTGTTATTGCATAACCACTGACCTAGATACTTCTACCGTATTATGAGTACTTTTAAAGGTCTGTTTTAGCCGTTTTTAGCAAGTTTAAATCCAAGCCAAATATCAGTGAGTGAGTGGTTCATTGTTTCTCCTCTGTGAGAGCTTTTTTTGCAATACTGTTACAGTTTTAAAAAGCAACTAGACAGGATACAATTACATGTAGAATGTTTTATACTTTATGTCTACACCTGTCTTTCTCCATGCTTTAGGACTATATGTCAAAGCACTTTGTAAACCTCTGTTTTTAAAAGTTCTGTACAAATAAATTTATTATTATAACTATTATTATATTTAGTAGTAGTAGTAGTAGTAGTAGTATAGATTGAAGGTCATCCCCATGAGATAAACCAGTGACTATTCAAATGCACTGAGCACAAGTTACCTTTCAGTATCACTGCTGGAAAAGGTATCTAGTTTATGTGTAGGCTGTAAAAAAGACCTTTTAAACTTTTTATACTTTACTAAAAATTAAAATCAAGTCTTATCCTTCTAAATGTCTGTTTTTAATTACACAAAAGACACTATGCAGTGTAAAAAATGAATAAATAAATTAATCAAAATAATAATAATAATAATAATAATAATGAAATAAAATAAACTTTAATTTACAACTCAACACCAAAAACATCCCAAATTTATTGCCTCTATACATGTGTGACAGAGCATTTAGGATGATGGAATTTTTAAGTAATAGCTAAAAGAAAATAAACACTATAGTATTTTCAAGAAGCTGATGATATACTGTCTTGAAAACATTGGTGTGAAGTACAATAAATTATATTTAGAAATAAAACTGAACATAGTTTTTTCATCCCTTTAGTACATTGTCTCAAGAAGTAATGATAATAATAATAATAATAATAATAATACATATTATTTAATTATTTATAAGTGCCTTTCTGGACACTCAAGGACACTTCACAGAGTAAACAGCAGGATAAAGGTAATGGAGAAAAAACAAAATAGGGAAAATCTGAACAGGTGGGTTTTGAGTCTGGATTTGAAGAGAAGGAGAGAGTTAATTTGTTTTATATTAACTCCATGTCTCTTTTCATTTGTTAGTAAACCCATTTGTTACTTTTCACTCACTTATACATTTGCACAAGTTATCAACATATTTATCACTTTGTATTTAAACTTAGCATTTATATTATTCATAGTTTTATTTTACATTCATGAATACTTTTTATATTAATAAACCCTGTAGAGACTACTGTTCTTTTCCTGGCTTTTGTGTTGTCCCATAAGCACACAAGTAAAAGCAAATGTGCAGTCACAGTGAAAACTGTTCACACTCTCTAATTTTAGAAGAAAAGAAGCCAGATGATGAAACAAATGTCCACACTGGAGCAACTGGACTTGAGGGGTTGTCCGTCTTGGTAAGTCCCGCAGTACAAATATAGCTCTGCAGACGTGTCAGTGTGGGGCTGGTCCGCGTGGCCCTTCCCTTTCTGTATATATATGTGGGCATGAATGCTTTTTCAGGCCTAGGTTCACACATGAAGTTGTATTCTTAAAAAACCAGGGGAGGGATCCACGTCCATCACCTGCCATTTCCACCTGCGGACGTCAATCAGCTTGGATGCGCGTCGCTTTCCCCTGACACGACAATTCCATCTGATTGGCTCAGCCGGAGTTTAGGGGCGGGAGCTCCATCGCCTCTCCTAAAATTTCATTGGACGAAAAGCGTCTCCCTTAACGTGACGCAGCCAGGAATTCCCAAAGTTCCCAAGTTCACGGGAAGAGAAGAGCGTTGTATATCTTAACAAACAAAGCGTTTTGAACGGAAAAACAACGACAGGCTTAAGTATTAACAGGTGGGGAAGTTAAACTTTCGTCTTCGTGTTTAATTCGGATAAGCAGAGCAGGTGTTTGGAGCTGTTGCTAACAGCTGGGCCCGAGTGAGAACGCGGAAGAGTGGGAGTGGGAATATCAGGCTGCCGTCCTTTGTTTACCATCATGTGTGAACCTTGAAATCGGTTGCTACAACAAACGCAGCTCTTTCAGCTTTGTGCCTTTCATTAGCAGAAACTAACAGAGGTTTGGCGTGATTTGCGCCGTGGTCAAGTGAGTAATAATGTCTTTGTTGCTTGTATGTGCATCAGTGACTGCTCACTGTGTCTGGGGTTTGACCATCTTTGGTCATTTACAGGAGCACAGATTGAGTGGATGGATGGATGTGAATGAATGCTTGGCTGGAAATAACACTTATGATGAAGATAGGTGTATCTAATGAGTGAAGCCTTTGTTTCAGTGCGTAGCAGTATATTATGGATGGATGCCACCACACCGTTACATAACTTGCATCAACCACAATCTGCTCTTTATCCCTTGCGTGTGGTGCATTAGGTCTAAAAGTGTAACGTTATTGCATAATTTTTTTCTCTTTGGCAACAGATTACATAATTATCATCAATATATTGAAGGTAGTGTGGGATAGATTGTGATTTTGTGTGATTTCTAGTACATAATGTAGGCTAATACGAATATTATAATCCACACTAATGATGAAGTGAAAGCAGAATCATTCACAATTGTATAAATGATCATGTGTATGCTGAAAACATTCATATTGAATGAAGAAATGCTGTTTTTCTGTCGTCGTCTGCAGAATATTGTTCGACTGAACCTGCACCGTGCTGTGCCGAGTGGAGCCTGCAGAGGGCGATGTCTGACAACAGCCACAGCACCGGCAGCAGCGGCTCCTCCACCAACAGCTGGACCCTTCTGTCCCCCGAGGTAAGACAGCCAGCCAGCCAGCTCAGGAAACTCTGCTCAAAGCGTTTGAAGGAGGCCCATGAATACAAGTTTGAGATGTTGCGTGTCTGTGCTTGTATCCCCAATCTTCCCACAGTGACAAAAATTGTGGCAAATGTTTGCAAAGAACCAAATCCATTTGTTAGATAGTGGCCTGAATGTGAAGAGCAGAGTATAAAAGGCATTTGTTTGAGCTTTTTCAGCACTATTTGGTTTGATTTATGTTGAACTCTGTGTGCAAATATTTTTGCAAAACTTCACAGGATGTCAAGGGCAAAAAGCTAACTAAATGGAATGCAGCAGCCCTGCAAAGAACTCCTCCCTTAAGAGAGTTTAGGATGTTGAGTTTATGTTGAAACTGTTCCAGAGTGCTGCTGATTCATCTATAAGGTCCATCTGCAGTCTGTGGTGATACTGAATGTTATTGCATTAAATTGAATTATTACCCAGTTTATATAATAAGAGCAGACTTATATGTCATTGGTTATATATCACAAAATTCCTTAAGGAAGGAAAAGTTCAGTCAACATGTGCAAAAGCTACAGACTGTATGTCTCAATCATGGCAGAAATCTGTCCCACTCTTAATGAAGACATCAAGTGTCCGATCACAGTGATAGATCATAAACAAGACATAATGATCCGTTTGCACAGCCAAGTCTTGTCTGCATGTGTGGGCATGCCTGAATTGAGTGTGCTGTAAATGTCAAGGTCGGAGTTACAAATCAAACGGGGTAATTGAAGGTGGTGAAGCCTGATCCTGGGGGATCTTCTCACTCCACAGGAAGCTGCTGTTGAGAATGTCGGGCCTGTCGATGACGGTACAGAGAGCTTGGGTGACGTGCCGAGTCTCTCGGAGGATGTGACAGGTACTGACAAGTTAATTCAGGGAACAAAAGTTGAAGTTTGAGGAGATGTTTGTGAACTCTTCCCCTGATTTTACATGTTTGTTTTGGCATGGTGGTGATTTCATTTCAGGAGCTGCTGTGGAGTTTAAACCAAGTGATGTTTCAGTGGAAACTGTCCTGTCTGAAGAAGGCCATCAGGTGGGTGTATGTACAGTTATGTAATTATCTAATTTTGAAAGGGGAAAAGCTTCGTACAGTATGTTAAAGTTTTTGTGACCAGCCCTTTTAAAATATGTATGGTATTGATATTGAATTTCAATTCAAATTCACAGCCTCTTCTGATGCCCTACCTCAGCGATAGGGTAGGATAAAACACAGATTTTTAATATAATAAACTGCTTTCCTTTAAGGCTGCTCTATTAATCTTGATACTTAACATCATTAAAACTGGAAAACAAACAAAAAAAACTCTTTTTTTGTCAATTTTAATGCATATAGCAGTAGTTTTCTACTCTTGAAAACACTTGTATCTGGTGGGAGTCACATGACACGCAGTATATTCTTGAAAAAGCTCCTATTTTGAGATAAAACAAGTGAACTATTTGGTGGTCGTGCATTAAGATTGATATTGCTGCAGTTTAAAGAACAAGCATTTATTCCTTTTGTCTTCAGGTGTGCCAGGAGACCTCTCCAGGGTCAGGTGAGGGTCCAATCCCTTCCAGTCCATCACGATTGAGTCCTCTTCCTTCAAACCCTCCTGACGCCGCAGACGCCGACCTAGAGAGCCAGCCTCCAGTCATCCATGACATTGTAGCCAGCTCACCCGGTGACAATGAGCCCCTCGGAGCCACACCCTTTGTTACTGCCATTGATCTGGGTGCACCCCTCGATATTCCTGCTCCTGAACTTCTACCAGAGGACCCTGAGGAGTCCTGCTCTGCTCCCCCATCAACCGAGATCCTTGTCTCTGCAGAAAAAGTGCTTGACACGGTCACTGATGTCGCACCGAGCCATGTGAGCCCCATCGAGGAGAGTCCTGCCTTCACTGCTGAACCTGAGGTCAGCATCCCAGCAGAGACCCTTTCTGCATCTGATGCCCCCTCCATTGTCGAGGCTGATATCAGTGCCGTTCCAGAGAGCACAGAGCCACCAAGCCAGGTCCAAGAGAGCCTGGTTCCAGAGAGTCCCATCACTGAGAGCCCTGCACCAGAGACTGTAGGGGCAATGGAGGCTGAGATGGAGAAGGCGGAGGAGGAGGGGGAAGAGGTGGTCAAGGAGGAAGAGGAGATTGAGCCATCTGAGACCATGATCCAGGAGGAGAGAGAGGAAGAAGGTATGGTATCTGTCTGCAGTCGCTGTTTGGAGGGGTGTGGGTTATAGACAGGTATCTGAAGGAGGTCTGTCAAATTTCGCTGATACTATGGATCCAAAAATGGGGGTTGTGGTTTTCTTTATTTGGCGTTATTTTTGCAGTTTTCCAACAAAACTTTGGACTGTCTGAACCCTGTAAACCAAACTGCCTCAGATGTAACTAAAAGAGACAGAAAAATGCAGTTTGTTTGAGCTGCTTAAACTTATTCCAAAACTGAGACGTGTGGTAGTGAATTGAGGAGGACATTTCAATGTTTAAAGAAGCATTGAGCCAAAACAGTAAGTGAAAATGGCTTTAGAAGGTGAAATTCTTCATCAGACTGACTGCTCTTTGAATCACACGTATATTCTTCTCAAAATAATACATTGTCTTTGCCTTCGCTAGGCTGCCTTCAGAGATAGTGTAGTTTCTTCTGCTGGACTGCAAAGGCTATTTGGCAGCTTCTGCTGCAGCTGCGTTCATGTGTGGTCATGTATCAGACAAGCAAGTTACAACACAAAAAAAGAATAAATTCAACAGGAAGTTCAACAAAAGATGTGAAAGAGTAAGTAAACCATCAACGAAATTCAAATTTAATGAAAGAAAATAAGCAAATCTCTTAACACCTGATTTTCCATTTGGGAAAACCATTCTACTTGGTATTTATATGGACGGGGTGCCTCCATCTCCCCTCACTGTGAGAAGTGATGCCAAAATACCAATCTGATGGGCGCTGACATGTTGCCCTGTTGATATAATTCAAAGCCAAGGTGTGCACAGAAGCTCTCTGAGCAGTTCCCAGTTATGCCGACTCCAATGCCTCCTGACATTAATAAACATCATGTTTCTTCTCTGCTAAGGCTGGCTGCACACTAGACAACTTTGGATCTTACTTGATTTTAAAAAACATGCGAGACCACACACATTGGGACTGTTCCCAACTCTACATCCTCTGAGCACACACTCTAAATGATACCATAGGACCACTAGGCCACACACTTAATGCTTGTGGTAACAATTTCACTGTAGGGATTCCACTGACATGAAATCTCACAGAAAGTCAGGTTATCAAATATGGCTTTAGGAGGCAAACAAACATGGCGTTTCTAGTGAAAAACAAAAACTGAGAGGGAGGGTAAGTGTCGTAGATAAATTCACAAGTTTGTGTTCAGTATTTGCAAGTAAACGTCAATTGCTTTAAGAGTTTTTATATTTTAAAACAGATTACTATATAGAGCATTAAATGTATCATCAAGACTTTATTTTCTGAACACTGAATGATAAACATTTTGCACGCTCTCAAAAACTCATTTCATTTTACTCTATTTCATACATAACAGGGAAAATCTGAAGTTCTTAAGGTCAGAGATACAGTGTACTGTAACATCTCATAGTAAGAAATAAGGATTTTATTGTGCACTTAAATCAGCTTTTCTACCAAGATACCAACCTTTCTACCTTAAATAAAATGCAAAATACTACAAAAAATGAATACAGAGCATGACCAGACATGCTTTTATTTTGAAATTCAAACAGCTTATAGGGGTGGCTTTAGGGCACCAGGTGGGAGCGATGAGATGAAAAGCACCAGGCTGCAGTCATACAGTCTTGTCTAAATCGGGCCTATAATTGTCTATTAAGGAACACTGCAGCAGCCGCATTTGTCAACAGAGCTGTCGATCAACCTCATTTTAACGTCAAATAACTCATAAAAAAACTAAACTAGAAGAACTAACTTCTATGACAGAAGGCATCTGTTATTGCTGAGTATTTTAATTTTCCAGTTTGACCCATTTGATAACTGAGGAAAGGCTTTTAAGACCTAAACTGCTGCTAATCTGGGGGAAGTATTAGCCTCACCCAGGGCAGCTGTTGTGCGGGCCATAACTTTATACAGTCCACCTGATATGGAGCTCTTCTCTGGAGTAGTGTGATTGTACATTTTAATGCTGCATGTTTGCACAATATCCCCTCAGATAACAGGACACAGTAATAAAGTGACTTTATTGTATTAGATCAACACGCTGTATTACCAGACTTGTATTTAACAGAAAAACAACAAACAAGGGTGTAACAAAACAAGGAGCACAGGCTTAGCAGTGAGAACGCACGCCCCATGTAAGAGGACTATTGTATTTGTTGCAGTGGTGGCAGGTTCAACTCGACATTTGCTGCCCTTTGCAGTCCACATTTCCAGTTTTTCTTCGGCTGTCCTATCTAATAAGACTGGAAAGGAGCTAAGAAAATAATATACTGTTGAAAGAAACAAGATAACGCAACACAATCAGACACTATAGACAAGAAATATTCAAGTAATACTCGTGCGACAGGAGCTGGATATCAGGAAATAAAGCAGAATTCATTTACCACTGCTGTTACAGTGCTTAAGTAAAGTATGTCTTCTGAAACCGAAGTATAATTTGATCATATTACCATAAAGCAATAACTACACAGTGAGAGTTGGGCTTTTCTGCCCCCCCTGCAGGGTCTGAGGTTGGAAACACAGTCTTAAACATGGATCATGGTTTTGTTATTCTCACCCGTCAATGGAGGCAGAAATGAGAGTCCTGTCTGCAAAAGAATCGGTGAGCACGTTTCTTATCTGTGTCACACTGGCAGCTGGAACGTGATTTATCCTTCTGACAGAGGGGCGATCACCCTGCAGAGAAAATGAGGAAACCTTCATGCATGAAATGACTGTTGTTGTAATTTAGTTTAGGAAATGTCATCCTCTCTGTTCGCCTTTCTTCCTCCACATACTGTTTACACACTGTTGTGTTTTGCTACTCATGTGTTCACTTAGATTTTGGTATTTTGTGCGAGGCAGACTGCCAGCACGTAATTATGGTTTTGGAAATAATATCTCGTTCTGACACTTTTGTTGCCAGAGATGTCTGGATGATTTACTGGAGATGGTCTGGGATGCATTAAATACATGTGTTTCGAGTTAAGACTCGGTGTCATTGTCAACATGATAGAATGAGACAGACCTCTGCTTTGGTGCCATCACTTTTTTTCATCTACATGTTTCCTCTCTCTCTCAGAGCCTTCCAGGAGTTTCGATTCAGGCGACACAAGCGGCTTCGACGAAGGGCTGAGGAGGAGGAACGTTCCCTCCTTCGAGGCTCAGAGACCAAGAACATCAGATGAGGAGGAGGAGGAAGAGGAGGTGGAGTTTAAGCTGGCCGAGAGGAAGGAGGAGAAGCCGTTTTTCTCTTTGAACAAATGCATTGTGGGGGCTCTGATCCTCCTCTTCTTAGGCTCCCTCTTTCTCTCAGGTTAGTCCCTCCCTAATGCTTAAAGAAAATTCCTATCCTCTCTGACAAAGTTTGGTGACACCTGTTGCTTCAGAGCTTTTAGAGTTAATTGTAAATATTGTCAAAAACTCAAACTTACATCATCAGACACCCACTTCTTTCACCATGCTGTGTTTTCAAATTATGTAAGCACATTTATTTGCAGTTGTCAGCACTGGACACGTCTGTTTATAGATCTTGCCGACTAAGCTCTACTATGTCAACAGGTTTCCTCTCTGACCTGGATGATGGTAGGTCCAGCACTGTAGATAAGGCGGCAATGTTAGCTTCCCCGCTAGCCGGCTAACGCTCAGTACCTTGCCCAAGCGCTTATCAGGCCTGACATTTCATGCAGTGGCAGCAGAAAATTGCAAATAACACGCCTTCAGAGTCACACAGTAACACTCTTTATCACTGTGCGGAAGCTCTCATTGGACGTAGAAGGAGCTTGAGTTTAAGGGGAAATGATCTGTTGCTGGTTGTTTGCTTGGTTAGACAAATACTTCACACTTTTTTGTCATGGAATTTAAAAAATTTTGCCTAAAAAAATATTTGTGCACAAGCAGCGCCTGAGCTTATAGATGGCACTTCACAATAAGAGCTTCCTGTCCTTTTAAAGTCAGCATGTGTCTCAAAAATGAGTCTTTTGTACGACTTGTAAGGCTGAAGGACGTGTTGTTTCTGTCTCTGACAGGTGAATTTGATGGGTCTGATGAACAAAGCCAGGTCTGTTCCTCTTCTTTCTTTTTTTCCCCCAGAGTTATGTCTCGTTGAATATATGTTTAAGGAGAAGAACTTAAAGAAAAGTTCAGTGTCTAAACATAAAAGACGAATGCTAATGATAGGATTACGTACAAATATGTGTTCTATTCATTTGCCAACGATTTTCCATCCAGGACTGGCTTAGCGGTGATCCACAGGATATGAAAGAGCTATTGGATAAGCTGACACAGGAAAACCAACAAATCGCGCAGCTAGAGGCTCAACTACAGGTCAGTACAGCACTTATATCAATGCTAATGAGGCCGCTTTACCCTGCCTTCATGTTTTAATGCACTGCAAGAAAAATAAAACATGTTCTCAATAAATAAATCAAGTTTTGAAGACCCTGCCTTTGATTTCTGCATTTGTCTGAATAAGATAAGACAAGAAGAACTTTATTTATCCCTGAGGGGGAATTCAATCGTAGTAAAAGTCGCTGTTTTTCTGAACCCGTCCAGTCTCAGAAAGAAGAACTGGACTCGGCTCTGAAGGCAGTGGCAGAAAGCGGGGATGAAAAGGGTAAAGCGGGTTTGGAAAAGGAGAATTTACGGCTGAAGGAGGAGCTTTCGTCTCTGCCTGATCTGAAGAAAGAGCTGGAGAGTCTGAGAGCCAGAGTGACCGAGCTGAATCAGCTCACAGGTAGGAGGAGGAAGGCGTGAAGGAATCTGATTTCAGGAGATGCTCATTTAGAAAGTCTTACTTGAAAGGTACCTAAATAAATCTTGTGCTTTCTTTTCAGCTCATCAAGGAGTGCCACCACCTGCTTCAAGTCCAGCCCCTCAGCCTGGCAGCAAAGATGACCAGAGTAAACAAAGAACAAGTGGTCCAGAGAGGAGGACAGACACAACTGATGGAGGAAGGCTGAAGGAAGAGCTCCAGCGTCAGAAAGTCCTCCTGGAAGAGAGCAGGCAGAGACTCCAAGGGATGAAAAAGGATGGAGGAGACAGGAAACGAGTGAGGGACAATCTGGAGGAGATCCAGAAGAGGCTGTCCGAACAGGTAGACAAGTGGGGAAAGAAGAAGCCGCAGGAGGCCAAATGGAAAGGCAACAAGGGCAAAAGCAACGAGCGGGACCACTGGAAGAAAGACGAGAAGAAGGAGCGGAGAGGGGAGAAGGACTGGAAGCATGGTAAAGATGGAGGCCGGAGGGAGAAAGAGGAGAAGAAGGAGAAGGAGTGGAGAGGAGAGAGGGAGAATTCTCACAAGGAGGCGTGGAGGAAGCACCAGGATGAGTGGGAGAGAAAGAAAGGGGAGAGGAGGATGGATCGAGAGGAGAGGAGGAAGGAGAAACCGTGGCACAAAGAACACGAGAAGAGCTCTCATAACCATCATCACCATCATCAGCAACAGCACCACCATCAGCAGCCCCGCCAGCCCCATCAGCACAACCAGAACGACTTCTGGAGGGACCAGGAGGAGAAGCTGGGACACAACATCCGCTCCGATCTGCGCTGCAGCTCCACTGAAGACTGCGCCGCCAAGGAGGGGCTCTACCCGGTGGAGCTGTCTGAGTTTGAGGAGCTTCTGGAGGGCTACCTGAGCAAGCTCGAGGGATCCTCCTCCGAGAGCAAGGACAAGATCAGGAAGCTGACCGCAAGGTTCTTTCAGGACGGCGTGTTCATCCACAAAAGGGTCCTTTTCAGTGACTTCGCCGAGGACGTGGCAGACATTCTGGAGGACATGGTGGACGTTTTAGAGGACGGCAACCGTCGGGGCGATGACTCCCTGGAGGAGGAGATGGAGGAGTTCGAGCGGGAGGCGCTGTGGAAGTTTGCCGCCACAGCTTGAACAGACAAAAACATTAAACAACACTGAGATGCAGCACAAGGGGTGGTTTTTCGGACATGTCTCGCCTACGTCCTCCTCCTCCTCCTCCTCCTCCTCCTCAGAGCTGTAGTTGTAGTAGCTTCAGGTGCAGAGTGCTTGTGCCTCTCATATAATGTGTCCCTTTGAGTCTCGAAGTATAAGCTAGACTTGTTCTCGTCATTTTGGACTTAGTTTGTGTTACCTACCTCTCTCCCCCTCATGCGAAGCCCCTCAGTGCTGTGTGGCGTGGATTTCACTCTGCTGTATAGTGTTTTCTCCAAACCTAGTGCATGTTGCAGCTCATAATGTAAATTCATAGAAGTTATATTAAAAAAAAAACAAACGTCAAGGGGATGATTTTGCGAATAATTTTGTTGAGCAGCAATGCGACGGTTAAATAATCCTACAGTTGATAGTAGATATGCTGTCAGTCACAGATTGACACTTTTTATGATACTTCTCTGCAGTTTGACTTTTCAGCAGAAACAACATGCCTCTCCTCTGAGGAGCACGTTATAACAAATGCAGAGAAGTTTCCACACATCCCCTTTGCCTCCAGTCGCTTGTAAACTGTCCAATCCCACAGGATGAGATCCTGGTTCTTTTAGTGATAGGAATCAGATCAGGTCGGACCAGTTTTTTTTTTTTTTTCTTTTCTCTTCTGTGTGTGTGTGTGTGTGTGTGTCTGCAGTAGACTTGAGCGAACACACACAGAGCGCTGTTAGCAAGCCCAGAGCGTTTGGTTTAGTAGATTTGACAGACTATTTGACTGCATTCGTGTGGGAAAAAAACAGTAACTGGTTTGTGAAACATCAGTGTTGCTCCAAAAAAGCAAAAAACTAAAAAAAAAAGAAAAAACTTGGACTCAAAGATAGCCATAGCTAAATTTATGACCGTTAAAACCACTGCAGCACTTTTATCAAACCCTCACATTCACAGCAACACAGTTTTTCCATTCTGAGACCATTTTCTCTCCTCTTTTGGGACCTTTCACATAGAATTTGGAATCCAGAGCTTTTAGGAAGACTTAGGCAACGCATATTTATACAATAGTGTTTCGTTTAATTCAGCCGCTGATGAGCCCTAAGGGGGATTAACAACCAAACAGGTTTTTCATGCTTTTATTTTGTTAACTCTTTGAAATTAACTGACATGCAAATAAGGAGATTTAGTAACAGATACAGAAGTAAATGTGATGCAGCAGCTGACAGGACAGCTCCATTCAGTATTATAGATCTGCTTTCAGACCCATTGAAGGTGAATGTTTTTATTTTTTTCCTCATGTTTTTCATCTTAAAGTTCTCCCTCTTTCCATAGATGTGAAGTAAAACGCGACAGTTTGTGATTGTTGGTCCATTTGTTGTCAGCAGTTTGAAGAAGTTTTGAAGTGTTTCTTGTTTTATTTATTCTGATGGTACGCTGCAACTCTTATGTCCTCATCTATGACGAGAAGAAGAACCACAGAGTGTGTGTGTGTGCCGGGCTGCACACTAACACACAAGCCGAATGTGCAGAATTTGTCATTAACTTTGGTTTTCAGGAGTTTAGTTTGCCAGCTACTGCTTATGTGCCTTTATGATTATCAAAAACGATGTTAGGAGTCTTAGATTTCATTTGCTTCTACGCGATCAAGAAGTTAGTTTACATTTTCTTTTGGAATTTGCCTGCTACTTAGAGCAGAGAGTGAATGTTAAGGGTTAACTCATGATGTGATGAGTAGATTTTTGCTGTTTGTACAGAGGATATTTTTTGGAAAACTTATAGACCAAAGGGATCAGAGAAGAAAATCGTAATTTTAATATCACACATGAGAGATGAACCGATATTTTAAGATTATTTTTGTCTTTGTGGGACTACAGCAGGGCTCTGTGCTTACCGAGGATGCAGGAACTAGCTCAGACGTGCATGAAATTGATCCCTGGAGAAATGTATTGATGAATTTGGATCATTTTTTCATTTTGTCATCATTAGTTTTGTCCTCTTTTAGGAAGTCAGTGTTAAGTTCAATAAATTTTTCACCATGGACGACGATCAGTTTGTCTTTTTTGTTCATTGTGCTGAAAAATACTTCAAATACTTCATTGTAAAGTGTCACGATGGGTTTATTTAACACAAAATATGCACACTGATACTCGCTGTGGCTCACTGTCTGGTGGGAAGTGGAGGCGTTGGCATGGCAGGCATCTATTATCACAGCTATGTCGCCAAACTAAAATATTTACATCCAGATTAAATCCTCGGAGCAAGAGCTGACAGGTTCACAGGCACAATCTCTCTTTCAGCTTGTTCTCCTGATACTGTGCAAGAAACCCAACCAGTCATTGACCTGATATGCTGATGAACGAGAATGTAAGCAGTGATTGAGCGGGGTCAGACACTAAGCGACTGACTAACAAGCTTGTCATTCTTTGAATTCTACAAACAACTCAACATGCCAGCGTTTTTTTTTCTTTTTATTTCTCCTCCTCACCAAACTGTCAGACTCGAGAGAAGACAAACACTTTTATTCATTCTGTTATTAATCTTTAAAAAAGTTAAAGTTATAAATCACAGTGGACTTTTATTTTGAAGGGCTTGCACATAAGCGAGCATGTGTTGTCCTGGAGGCCTTTTTATTTGAGTCATGTTTGGTATAAACTAATTACTGCTGAGAATGGCATGATTCAGTCTCTTGATTAGAATGGCCTGACTAGAAAAAGAAATGCCGTCAGCTCTGCGAACACACTGAAACGGCTTTTGTGCTTTCATCAGTACAAATTTGCCCTTTTTGTCAGACGAGATGACAGTTTTTTTTTGTTTTTTTCTGCGTTGTGATGTGTGTCCCCAGTGGAAATCGGGGGCAGAGATAAGGTCAGCCTGCTGGATGGGGGAGAAGAGGGCAGGTTAAGCGTTTTCCGCTGATGTGAGCGAGGATGAAGCGTATAAATGTAGAGCTGTGATGTTCACTTTGGTTCTTGGTACCTGCTCTAAGACAACACACAACCTCCTAACACAACAGGTGAGACTAGAAACCATTGTTCTTCTTCTTTACTAACTTTTCAAGAAGGATTTTCATGTTTTTTTTAAGTCTTTTCTCGCTCTTTTTAAACTCCAGGCCATCATGGAAGCTGCCATCTGCACCCTTGTCGCCCAATTTAAGTCGTACGCTGGGAAAGATGGTGCCTCCAGCACCCTGAGCAAAGAAGAGTTTCAAAACCTGGTGATCGCTCAGCTGCCCAACTATGTCAAGGTAAACCTTAGGACTTCCTCTCAGTCTTTTTATCTGTAATTCATCAATATAACAACCTCAGCAACCACAGAAAGAGAGAAGTGATTTATGATGCAACCATAAACCATAAATCACACATATTACTGTTGATTTTTTAAATGTATTTACTTCAAACTCATCAAAATCTCCTTTTACTGCTTTAATTTAACAGATTACTTAGATTACACAAACTGTCTTAGACATTACATTCAGTATTTAATCATAATCTTTGATGTTGTGTTGTAGTCTTGTCACAAATTGATGCTGTGTGCCTGCAAAATAAGTCATGATAAGCTCTTACACCGCAGAATTAAAGCTTATTTTCTTTGCTAACTCGTCAAATATTGTTTCCTCTGAAGAAAATTTATGATGATATCCTAAATAAGCATTAATCAAAATATATTTAATGTCTTCTAGCAGCTGAATTTGCTGGATAAAAATGTATCCTGTGGGATTTTCAGTCGAAATTTAAGCCAAAGCTGTTTCTAAGACAATGAATTACTAGAAAATATTCAACATTTTTATTGATTTATCTTTAATGACTTGATTTCTCATCACTTAGCTCAAAGTCTTTAAGTGTGATGAGGGATTTGCTCTTCTTTTAAGTGTGAATGATCATGTCTGACAGAAATCAGATGCTGTTTGTTTGTTTGTGTATCAATATGACGGATATATGAAGAAACAGTTTGAAGGACAAGGTTTGAGTCCTGTTTTTAACATTTTTCCAGCGTTAAAAATATCATCAAACACAAAATAGACACGAAGAATTTTATATGGCTGTTAATAAATTGACTGTTTAGTTATATTTGTTCCTGCAGTTAACCATTAGATGGCAGGACAGTCTTACAGAGTGTGTGTTGTTGCAGCTCAGAGTGATTTAGCAATGATCAGTCTCCCCTCTCTGTCTTTCTCTCTCTCTGTTAATTTCTGTGATTGCCTGCAGAACGCAAGCGACCCCAAGGCCATCGAGGAGCTCATGGGCTCGCTGGATGAGAACAACGACGGCGAGCTGACATTCTCCGAGTTCTGGCAGCTGATTGGAAATCTGGCGAGCAAACAAGGGGGCTTCACTCAGTAGAAAAAAATGTCTTTGAGCTTGATTGTGCAACACCGACCAATCCACTCGGTTTCATCCTTCCAGCATTGTTTTATCACTCCATCAGCGCTACATGTGTGACTCTTGGGTTAACCATTTCCTGAATGCAGAGAACTTTGAATTAAAGGCGTCTTTGTCTTGAAACCAAAGCCACCAACACTGAGCTGTCTCCTGTCATTCATTCACAGCATTATATGATATCCAGGCCGCACCACCTTGATTTCGGGGGCTGTAATCCTATATGTGTCACTGCTGCTTCAACTAAGACCAGATCTTGTTGCATAGAGCTTCATAATGCGTGTACAAAGCTGCTTGTTCATGCGTTTAGAGTGCAGTGATGCAAAAACAAGGCCTGGGCTTTACTACCACTGAAGGAAGCCTCGGTTACATTCATTCATCCTGCTGCTCTTGTATGTTGTATGCTAAATCTTGGGTCACTTTCCCTTAATTCTGGTGTCTAGACAGAGTTATGTGTGCTGACTTGCTCCCCAGCTGTTTTATAGCCTATAGGCCCGCTTTAATCTTGTAACACACAAAGACAAAGGAGCTGCTGACTGATTTTCAAAACGCAGATCTCGCCGCAGATAAGAAAACACGACCTTTGTATCCAAATTATGCCCGCCAAGGTGCCACAGTGGGAGGGGTGGCACCAGGTAAATAAGTCAGTGTCGACAAACTCAGCACCTGTCTCCAAGTGGAGTGTATGTTATCTGTGCGTTGTAGATAACCCCAATGTAAGGTCTTGTGTTATTCATGGAGAGATTTAATCTTTCGAGGGAATTTCAAAACTACACACACTTCAAAGTCCTTTTCAAGAATCTGGCGGGACTGCTTTAACTCTTGCACCACTTTTGCCCTCCTCTCAAAATTCCTTTACTTCTATATTCCTAGAGTGTCAGATGAAAAAGTTTGACCCTCCTGTAGAGCGAGATCCAAGTCGAAACAAGAGTTTACACATCTTCTAATCCAGAGTTCACAGATATCTTCTTTCAGGGACTTTTACATTCCTTAAGTGTCAGTTGGGAAGAGATTAACCCTCAATCACAGCTCAGTTCAAGTTTGAACTCTCATTTGTGGCTCTAAACTATCATTTAGTTCATGTTTCTGACTTTTGTTGGCATAAAAGATAAGTTTATTTGACTTTTGGGGTCAGAAAAGGGGCCCATCCTTCAAGAACAGATTGTAAAAGTTAGAAAAAGTTTTCATTTCTAATGTATTTCCTGTCCTGATTTAATGAGTAAAATACTTTTGAAAGGGATTTGTGCAGATGAAGTAATCCCTCCCGCCCTGTCTCCTCGTCCCAGCAGATGAAGCCACAAGCCTGCCTAGTTGGCGTGAAACTGTGCAAATCACACATGACGTGAAACAGCTGGCCCATGAGCCAAAGATAATTCCAATAAAAACCCAACTTAAAGTGTTTTGATACACTTTTCCTCCCTTTTCCTGACAGTTTAAGTTCGCGCTCCGCGTTTCCACATTCCCACTTCTCCCTCTCACTCTTCCAGGTACACGCCCTTTGACTTGTCAGGGGGGAAAAGTTTTAAGGGAAAGAAAAAAAAACCTAAATCACGGAAGAGATTCTGCTGTCCTACTAGTTTGGCAAGTTCCCTGGGCTCAAAGCAGCGTAGAAAGGCGGAGAAGAGAGCAGAAACTCAAATTTGCGCACATTTGTACACTTCTCTTGTCCCGCAGACGGTATACGGTGAGTTGAATGCGTCTTTCTGGCTTCTTTGGGGTTTTATCCAGCGGGTGAGCATTGTATTTGTTCATGGTTTTTGCCACGTTTCGATAGACTCAAAGAGCCATCCCATGAAAGTTGGCCGCGGGCTGACTGCAGGACGGTTTCAGTGACTCCAGAGCTCCGAAAACCTGCAGGCTTCGTGTTGCACTTTTACGAAACAGCAAAAGAGAGTAGTTGGCAGCTATTTTGATTTAATTCAAGCCAAATTTTACGGTTTTATTGAGCGTCTTTGATTGCCATATGCTCTCTATGTCCGTCTCTCTCTCTCTCTCTCTCTTTCTCTCTCTGCCTTCCTCTCTCGGAAAGATATTTGATATTTTGATGTAGATCAGTTGTCAAGTTGCCGATCAATTGCAAACAGCCTATCAAAAATTGAAGTGACTAGAGGTGACAGAGTATTGGGCTAAAGTATAGTATGTCTAAAGGGTGTCCGGGCCGCGCGTGAAAGCGCAATTTTGCGCGAAACCAACCCCTTTTGCGCACAGAATAAGGAGGCCCACTCTAGTGACAGCTTTCCGTAAAAGAATGGCCTTTCTAATATGTTCATGACGCCTCATTTAGGGTCTTTTTTCCTATGCTCAAATTTCTCGCGGTGTTAATGACGATGAGCCCTGGCGAACGTGATGGCGCACGCGCCTCTCTATACGTCCAAAGCTCACCGAGGACTGGGATGAGAGACAGCCGCTGTATGTACGTCTGCTCCCCGCAATTTACAGCCACAACCTAACTTGTTCCTCTTTTAATATTTTATGCCACGCGAGCGGTAGTATTGTCATTACTCTGCGCACATACCGTATCACATTCGCCCATTTGGAAACGCAACACTCAATCTCCTTTGGGCTCTGGGGGGAAACGGGAAACCTCTGGTTGTAGGCCTGTATATTTAATTATTTGCGCAGTTGTTTTTGGCCTGTTAGAGCGAATAGCACAGGTTATTCCCCCCCTGAGTGGGACACGTTGTAGATCTGACGTCTTTCTTTAGATGTTGGATTCGACCACATCTGTCGAAATAAGGGCCACTGTCCCGGCAGGCGACAGCTCCTTTAGAAAGGTCACAGGTGAATAATGAATGTGAGAATGGCGAGTCAAAGAATAATGTCTTTTGCCGGGTATATTTGGACTGGACACATATGAAGCTGCCGAGGCCTTTGTGTAACGTTGCTCAGGCTGAGGAGGGTGTGTCACCTGGCAGGAAGAAGTCCCCTAAAGTTCCTACTAAACTAGGGCTGTGTCTGTGATCCAAGAAGACCAGAAAAACATGACTGGGGTTCAAATTCTTTAACATATGTGGCAAATAAAACTTTTTCATGTCCACTCTTATATCTTTGTTATGACTGTCAAATGGCAGCTGTGCTGACTATCAGATCTGATAGGCTTCCTCTGCTGCATGCAAACCTGTGGTTGTGTTGAGCTCATGTGGTAGCAGATCTTTGCAGGGCAAAGTGACAGTTAGAGATCAGTAGGTCAGGGAGTAAGTCCTGAAAGGGGTCGAGTGAAATCTTAGGTTTTAATGACCTTACGCCACAGCGTCAGAGCTCTCTGTCCCCCGTGCTTTAATGACTCTGTGGGGAAATTGCTCTGCTGGATGCTGCTTGAGTGTGACATGCACTTCAGTAATTGATATATTAGTTTTCTGCCTACAAATGACCCATCAGCTGACACGGGTAAGACGCCATCCTGTAGAGTCTACAGCGTGTTCTTTAACCAGCACCAACTGTTGTTTGCTCTGCAGTTTGTGTTACTCAAGCTGACAGACGAGTATGGTCGCCTCGAACATTTCCTTGCACTGCTTTGGGGCAATCTAGCTCAGAGTTGGCCTGTAAATTCCTGTCTAAGTGATCTCCACACACAGCAATGAGTGGAATTCCTGCAAAGATGTGTCACCTACTGGCATGTTCTACAATTTGAGCAACAAGGAGCTTGTCTATGCATCTGTCCTGAGCTTCATTCATGAACATGTCCCCATATTCAAGTCGCCTCTGCAACATTTGTTCATGTTTTTGAGCTGCATGCTTCATGAAAGTCTTCAAAGTCTCATCTATCTACTAGAAAGTGACAGTATCACTGCTGCCTTCAAAAGTGGCCTATTTGTGAGGTTGCACTGATCTGATATCCTAACCAATTACGCTGAAAAGTCAGCCACTATTAAGTAATTTTATTTCATGATAATCGATCATGATTTGGTGCAAGCAGAAAGAATTTCGGTAGTCAAAAACCAACTTTACTTTCATCAACATTACGTTTTTAATCACACTGGTCTGGTAGTTTGTATGATACTTGAGTCCAGGTATCAAGAGAAAAATGGTATTGCGACATCTCTCATTACCAAGCCTCAATGTCAAATCTCCATTCAGGTGCAACAGTGTGAAGAAGAAAGGGCAGCAAGGTGAAAACAAGAAAGAGACAGTGGCACTGAAAGAAAGAGGCAGGTACAGCAGGTGAGAGGGAAAGAAAGGGAGGGAAAGAAAAGAGAGTTATAGAGTGAGGAGCTGACAGGGACTAGGTAATCCCTTGGGTAATCTGAGGCCCGGTCCCCTTGGTAGATTTGGTAGATCAGATGGCCTATCAAAGATCAGAACTTCCATTGTGCATCGCGGCTTGTCTCTCAATCACACTCCCTCTCGCCCTCTTCGCTTATCTCACGTCACTGTCCCCTCCTTCGTCGCCGCTCTGGGCTCAACACGTGAAACGAAAGGCCTCACAGGGACACGAGGAGATCCTCTGTTTCATTTTCCACTGCATGTGCCTCATTGGGGTTTGAATCAGGGCATCCTGGAACTTCCTGTTTTACACCAGTGTAACCATTGCTGCAATGTCATCTATCTATTCATCGATCTACCTGTCAATCAGTCTCACACCACTTTGTTGACCTTTCCCTTTCTGCAGACAGAGGAGTCATGGAGGGTGCCATTCAGACGCTGGTGAAGGTCTTCATAAAGTCATCCAAGGGGAAAGAGAGTCTAGGAAAGAAAGAATTCCAAAACCTCGTCAAGGGCCAGCTCTCCAACATCCTCTCGGTTAGAAAACCTTTCTCATACCTCTCTGAAAAGTTACCAACGCTTACTGTATGTAACCACCTCACAGAAAGTTAAAGTAACAAAATTAACAATGTGGTGTTAGCTTAGAGTGTCCCAAATTATTCACAGGATACGGCCAATACTCAAGAAAAGACATCATTATAGGTATCATGATATGTCTGCGGGTATTAGCACTGGTCGTCCATTGATTGTTATGATTCCCCAACGTGAGGATTGTTACTAAACGTAGAGTAATATATAGTAGATGAATGAGGGAAGTGATCTGATGTGGTAAAATGACAGTCATCAGCATTATAATGCAAATACAGACACTGATAGAGGGTCATTTGCCAGTCGATTATGGTAATTTATGCAGAGAGAAAGCAGGTAGAGTTACTGACCATCATTGCCTCTCTCATGGTTATGTGTGCCCTCAACCCAGGACACAGACAGCAAGGAAGCAATCGCCACCATGGGGCAAGGACTGGATGCCAACCAAGACGGCAAGGTTGGTTTTGAGGAGTACATGAAGCTTGTCGGCTACCTGGCTACCTCACTCAGTGAGCAGCGTCTCCTCGCCAAAGAGGAACCGGCCCAAAATTCTGCATCAGGACAAGTCGCGCAAACTACCCCACTGGAAAATGGGGACGACAAGCCACCGGCAAACGCAGAGGCAAAGGAGGAGCCAAAGGCGGAGGCGAGTGAAGAGCCGAAGGCAGAGGCGACGGTTGAAGTGAAGGTAGAAGAAAAAGCGGACGGAGTGGCAGAAATAAAAGTAGAAGTGAAGACAGAAGGGGAAACCGAGCCTGAGGTAGCAAAAGAAGAGAACCCAGCAGCGGCAGTAGAAACGGTAGTGGCATCGGCAATAGGAGCAGCACCGACAGAAGTAGAGGAGGCCGTGAATGAGGAGGAGAAAAAGGATGAAACAGAGAAAGTGGTGGAAGCGGCAGAGAATTTGGCCGCAGCCGTGGAGGAAGCAGTGGAGAAGAAGATAGAGGAGGCGACCTCATAGGGGACAATCAATTCCTTCACCAAAAATCACACCACATGCTCACACTCAACACTACACACAACACACAACACAACATTACTGCCCAAAGAAGTTAAAAAGCCACTTAAAGTTTTCATAAAAGTTAAAACGCCAGCCTCGAAAGAATCCCATTCCTTTTGTATGATTAAAACTTCATGTAAATGACAGTAGAGTTATTGCTTTTTACTACCACTATGTTCATTTGTACAGCATGTCCATCCCACTATATAGCACATTTACCTCATTATGATACTCTACTATGATAGCGTGCAGACGTACACTAATATGCATGCCATGTCCCTGTGAAGTCTTTACTGCAAAGTATGGTTTACCTGCACCAGCACACTGACACACATGGCTAAAGTGTCACTATGTTAGCACACCACTGCAGCCACGATGTTTTGTATCGTTCCCATCCTTTCCCATCTTTTATTTGAACTTGGTCTTTTTTCCATCTCTGCTACGCTGCTGAGCTTACTGTACATTTGACCTCGGTTAAACATCAGCTGTGTACACCTTGCTGAGCAGTAATGGCTTACTTTGGGGTGAAAGTTTTCTTGTCAGAAGGTAGTAAAGACAGATAACGAAACTCGTATCAGCGATCGGCTAGTAAGTCAATGTTGGCCTCTGCTTGCAGCAGCAACTTGCAAAGCATAGCATTAAGATTGAACCAACAAGACTGGTTCCAAAAAGCAAGCTAGCTCTGTCCCATGCTAACTAAAACCGCTCCCTCCTCCATTTAACATGTTTTGTATTTAATCGTCTAAAAGACTAAATATAAGATTTAACCACTAGAGGCTTATCTGTGCATCTTTAACCATAACCTAAATGATGTGCAAGAGTAAGCTTTAAAAGCCTACGAGGTGTTTAATCCTGGTTGTAGCTTTAAAGGTAAACTTTCTCTCTGTCTCAAAGGTTTATGCTAGGTGGTGCTGATCAGCTGCTGGCTGTAATTTAATTTCCAATTCATCTAACTCTAACTCTCGGCAGGAAAATTGGTTGATGTTCTTCCCAAAATTTCACATAGTTTTTGTAAGGGTTGCATGAAACTTTGTCAATAACACTATATATGTTTTTTTTTTACATTCTCATCTTTGAATTCACAATGCTTTGGAGCTGATTTGGCATGACAATAAACAAATTGTTTTGCTGAAGCTTTGCATTACCTAAGCTCATCTTCATTGAGTATTCAGTGTCCCATCGCAGGCTTTACTCTCCCTCTCACCAACCAACTTCTACATGGGCTCTTTTTTTCTGTATTTCCCAGATCTATCACCATATGTGGATCCTTAAGCGTAATCTCTATGGGCATTGTCAACCAGGGGATTAGGAACTTGAAGATCAGGTGTGGCACTTACCTAAATAATTAAGTCTGAAGAATGGAAACCACACCAAAGGACCCCTAGGGTCAAAAGGGAACTTAAAATAGTCTCATGGGAGTGAGCTGATGACTAGAGGAGCGGGTCAGAGAAGGGGTACATGAAACCTAATCCACCAGGATTAGAAGAATGAGACAACAAACACAAAGACTTTAGGAAATCCATCATCAGAGCAGCTTAGTTACAGTTTTATTTCAATTACTTAAAAACACAATTACTTCATTTTTATTCTGTTTGTGCCTCAAAAACCACACACCAGGTTCTACTCACTGGCTGTTAAAGGTGCTTGATGGTACAGTTTCAGTACTTCAGTACTCCTTCTAGTTCTGAATTGGGGTTGCAGGATCTTGATGTGTATTTTGGGGGCTCTAATCAAATATTGTCTTTGTTTCTTGTTGCTGGTTGTAACACCAATTATTCAGGCTAGTGTGTTTGTTTGGCGGTCACACCCTTATGTAGCTTAGAGACCCTGTTTGACTTGCAAGTGAGTCCTCTAGTCCCAGTCATTGGGAAACAACTGGATTAGGCACTGGATGGGAAACACACCCTGGGAGACAAACAATTACATGAAAGTAATCCCGGGTTGGAGTGATCCTGCCTATCAGACAAGGTGGTAGTGTAGAAAGGTTGTTGTGTTTTTATTTTAGCCAAAAGAATACTGAGCCATCAATATTAATCCATACGGTGTGATCTTTTACAACAGAATTATTCATTAAAGGACGCATGCTATCAGAAATTTACTTTCTAGTATTACCATTGTATTGCAGTTATTGAGGCTGAGTATTTAAGTTTGAAACAGCCTCCTCATATTTAATTTTTTAAAACTAATTCTTTCTTGTTTGGACCACTATGGAGATCACTTGAACATGTACGTCTTTGTCACATTATATGCAATTTGTTAATTACAATTTAATGATTTGTAAATTGTCTCATCATCAATAATGCAGCCATGAGAAAAAGGCTCGTGTTGCAGCCCTGCTAGGTTATAGGTCTACTTGGCTAACCTGTAAGGTGCTAGAGGCATCTGCGTCGTTGTGGGCACGTTACCAAATGTGCACATTATGCACTGTTACAGCACCTGGCAGTTCAAACCACTCAGCAGCAAAACGGGCAAGACAAATAAACCTGAGTCACGTGGTCCCCTTGCTTCACTGCGACACTCCTATTGCAAATACACTCATTTACACTCACTCTTCTCTGCCCTTAACGTTTGCTGCTTCCTGCATGCTTTTTTACTAATCCACATACTGGGCATTTTCAGCTTTTTAGACTATATTACGACTCCTTTTATAAAATCTTCCTCTCTTTTTACATCAAACATTTTTAACAATGGTACTTTGTTTGAATAATGAAGACATATCACTCTTTTGCACCATCTACAGCCAGATGTGTTTAACACAGGGCCCTGAATCTTGTATATACTGGCAAGCTGCATTCATTATTTGCTATTCCCCGTAGGCTGGGCGTGTTCAGTGCATCTCTGTGCTCTTTCTTTGCTTTTAGGAGCAAAAGAATAAGAAACTGGATTAAAACTTAATTCACTTTACATGCACGACCTGCACTTCCTACAGATTTAGTGTGAACAGACATGTCTGGAAATTATTAGATCACAGCGAGAGCTCCCTTTTAACCTATTTGGAATAGCAGATGGAGTAAACTATGAGATTTTTTTTTCAATAGGTTGAACTGTCTGCACAGTTTTGTAATGGTCCCAAAGTGTAAACCCCACCCATTTTTTTTAACCCTGCGTAGATTAAAAACATGCTGGAACAAAACAGCAGATTTGCAGGAGGGAGTGTTTGCAACCACACAATACGTCTCATTCATCCTGTGACACAGTCAATGAAGATAAGAGCCTGTGTTGATAAATTACCTTAAAACATGTAGCTGATATATTAAATGTACATACAAGTGTATGGATGTGCTTTAAAAGCTCCAAATGTTTGTGATTAGGGGACCATTCCTGGGCGTTCATCATTGTGTTTTGATGTCCTCTTGTTTATTTCCTGCCAAGTACAACAGTAGAGGGTGTGTGTGTTTAGCAGTTGGGCTCATTTCAGTCCACTATGTCAAGTAAACTCCACTATGCTAGTATTTCAACTTCATATGTTATGCTGTATCATTTTTGCTTAATCTAACATGTTTAAAGGCTAATAATGAATAAAACTGTGACAATTACCTATTTTAACTTGTGGCTTTGGTCTGTATGTGTGATGGGGGAAGGTAATGGGGAGGAGGAGGGGGTCACCTGTGAGGAGTGAGATGGGTAGAGGGAGGGTGAAGAAACAGAACCAGAGACTATGTAAGAGGATGAAGAAGGAGGAGGAGGAGGGAGGAGGACAGGTGATATTTAAGTCCCTGACGGACTCTCTCTCCATCCATCTCTGCCTTGGCTCAGTCCCCTGCACCTCTTCCGAGACAAAAGAGGCCCTCCATCAGCACTCAGGTAAGACAGACAGCTTGCTTCGCAGTACTTTCTCCTCTTCATCTGATGAAGGTTTAAGTTAAGAAAACTAATATTTTTTATCAAGCTTTCATAAAGGAAACAGACGAGTTCAAAACCATCTAGAGCTCTGGACGCGGAAAACAACATTTAGAAATTTATTTGATCTTTTTACTTCTCTTTCAAAAGTCGATTGTTAGCGGATTTGCTATTTTGGTGAGAGGCATGACAGTAAATTTATACACCAAATAAAGTGAAGCTACAGGAGGATAAAGGAAAAGGTAGATTTAGTTAACATAAATGCAAAACATCAGATTTGCAAAGATTTGAAAATGATTCAACCAACCGACTTAATCCAAGTTTTGAATTTCAGAAAAATGCAAAATTTTAACATGTTTAAGATCAAAATATCTGCTTCTTATCGTCCTCCTTTGCAGTTTTTCAGCACTATGCATCATTAAATGCAGATTCTGCACCACGTTTGCACTTACACTGTCCATATGCATTACTACTACACTCTATATTATGTTACTGACAGCATTTTGGTCTCCATGGATCCCTTTTGTGTCGTGTCAGGCAGTGAAACGGATGACCCCTATAGATTTTCCAGTTAGCTAGCATCGGTGTCCACTCGCTTCTTCTTTTGTCTCCACCACCTGCAACACCGACCTCTCTCCGACAATGACATCGCCACACAGCCCGACGAGAAGCAACAAGGAGTGACATGAGCATCTCTGCCTCCTTTTGTATAAGCTGATAGTTAATAAATCATGCACACGTTCAATTGACGGATTGCTTGTCTCTTAGTATCTGACTCATTTAGAGCAAGCTTGAAAATGCCTCCATAGACTTCTATTTTGGTACAAGTAGATCATCAGTTTGTGTATAGATCTTTATTTCATTCTTGGTTTCCAGTTGGGATGATAAGGTGTTAGCATGTTTGCATTGATCAGTCCTAAATACTTTGTGGATTGGATTTCTTTCCATGACCCAAGAAGCAGACTTTCAAAACATCTGAAAAGTTTCTCTAATTCTCTTTTTAATGTGTTATTTATTGAGGTAGAAATTCTGCATGGTTGACAGTGACTTATCTGTGTCTGTTGTGTGCACAGTCTCTCCACCAGTCCAGCACAAGAAGCTCCAAGATGCCGGACACAATGTGTGTAAGATTGTTCGAAAAAGCTTTCAAAGCTCTCCTCCATCTTTCCACCCAAAACCTCTGAAAAGTTAAACCCAGTAAGGTCATGCACGCACAGTGACCACGCTGATAGCTAAATTAGAGTCAATAATAGCCTCTGCGCAACACACACACACACGCAGAGTGTTATTCAACCCCTCTTTGCAGAAATGGGAAAACCTCTCTGCTTTGGTTTCTTTCCACCCATCCATCCAACTTTCTGCCTATCCAAATATCACTGTGTCTTGGAGGTGGCTCCGGCCTTAGCTTACCATGTGGCCGCACATGCAGCTAAGAGCCGGAGCGGGCGTTTAGCAGCCGAGTTTGACCTTTTGGCTTCAAACTTTTTTTTTCCAGCATGTCCAAGGAGCCCAGTTCCAACCTGGAGAGTGCCATGCAGATGCTCATAAAGACCTTTCACAAGTACTCAGGGAAGGAGGGTGACAAGTACACGCTGAGCAGAGGAGAGCTGAAGGAGCTGCTACTAGAGGAGCTGGGGACTTACTTAGGGGTAAGAGAAGGAGGCAAATATGTGGTTGAACACTAAATACGCAACACACAAGTGAAGGAATGTGCTCACATACTCAGGCGCACATGTTCGGGCAAGCTTGTGCATTGATGTATGTTGACACACACACGCGTAGCAGAACACACATTCTTAACTCTCTCTCTCTTTCTCTGTGTTTCTGTGGGCTCTCCACTGACAGAGCTCCAAAGATAATGAAGCAGTGGAGAAGGTGATGAACGACTTGGACGCCAACAACGACGGGGAGGTGGACTTCACCGAGTTCATCATCCTGATGGGCGCCCTCACTGTCGCCTGCAACGACTTCTTCCTGGAGTTCAAAACAGACGAGAAACCGAAAGACGACAGCAAAGGCGACTCAGCGGGGAAGAAGGATTGAATCAGTGCAGGAAGGAAAGGATAGAAAAGGGAAGGGAAGGGGGGGTGTAAAGAAAAAGGGAAAAGAAGAGGAGGAAGAAGGTGGGGCTGTAAATCAGGAGAGATAGAGGGAAGAGTTTTGTCTTATGCAATTTGTAAACACTAAAACTACACATGAGGGGAGCGGCCCAGCAGAGAGAATTTGTGGGTTCTCAGAAAACGAGGCGTTCAGAAGGAGTAACTTGAGTGTTTTTCATACCACAGCATATCCGGAGCTAGCTAGCAAGAACAGGGTATATATTTAAACTTCTTTTGACTCAACTATAACAGTTTTGACATTGCAAACTAAGGCGGCGAGAAGAATTGATAGTTCGAAGTTCAAGCATCTCTTGCACATGAATGATTAGTGAACATATATGAAGTTACAGATTAACATATTATTGTATGTACTCAGTGTTGAACATTAGGGTATGATTTCCTCTCTCTTTTACGCCTATTTTGTAATCCTTTTTGGTAATAACCAATGCATTCTTCAAAATATTAAACATGGCATTTAACCAACTATTTATGGTGGCGTGTTTGGTTTCACATTCTGAGAAATCCCTCATGCTGCTCAAGCATTCATCCACATGTCGGACATGAATCGCCGCACCTGGAAATCAAGTTGAATGGCGAGGAGAGAAACAATGTCAGCAAACTGTGTGAGTGTGTGTGTACGAGTGTGTCAGCGTCTGTGTATGTGTGTGTGTATGTGTGTGTATTGGGGATTCCCACTGAGTAAACTGCTCCAGCTCACACATCCTGCCAACAATATCCTGCAAGTCTTGTTCCACTAGATATAAGCTGACCCAGATGTTTGACTTGGATCTGTGTGGAAAAAAAAAAAAAACTTTCTTCAAAAGAGAGAGAGAGAGAGAGAGAGAGAGAGAGAGAGAGAGAGAGAGAGAGAGAGAGAGAGAGAAAGGGAAGAAGAGAAGAGGGAGGAAAAAAAGAGAAAACAAGGGTGTGTGGGGAGATAAAGGGTGTTTGTGTGCATGAGGGTGTGTATGTGAATGATGGAAGTGCTGCATAGGCGCTGGAAGTGAATCCAATTTATGGAGCGCATTAGTCAAGTATGTTACTTGGAAAGCGGTGGTGTATAATCACACAGGAATGCTCGATTTTCTGTGACTGTTAGCAAATTTCATGTCCCTCAGTGTCTCAAACACACACACAGACAAACACAGATCAGTAAATCAACACCTCCTCTTCCACCTCATTGGCTTTTACAGCTGTTCGTCACTTTTAAAATATGAACAAGGGGGAAAAACATAGTGTAACAGAGATCCTCTGCTTTCTTTACCTCTGCGTGTAATTGTGCCAGAACAATGATGAACATAACCGCCTACTCTTCTTACCTTGAGCAATATAAAAAAGAGAAACTGATCACAGGTCAGCCAGCGTTCATGGGCGTGGTCCCTTTCTGCTTTCACTCCTCGGCCTTGCAGATGTCTCCAAACACGTCTTCTGATTGGACAGTTTGAATATTTGAGTTGAAAGTGCTCAGCCTGCAGATAGATAAACAGTTCAAAACAATAAAGTGTCCACCAAGACCGGTTGTAGCCTGAAGGGACACAAATAAACGGTTACAGCTGTTAGCTCCTGTTACCTGCTTTTCTCAGTCCAGAAAACTGATGGGTCAGCTGATTAAAAGAAATGCTTTTTTTATTCAGTAACATTTGCAAAAGATGAAATGTGAGCTTTTACATCAACAGCTGGTGTTTAGTTTAAAAAAGGAAAACTATCTTCTATACTCAAGGAAGTTGATTCATGAGTCATGGCACAATACAAAGTAAAAAAGTTAAAGTAAAAGTACTGATCATGCATTAAAAGCCTTTTCAAGTTGTGTATGATTGTGAGTTTTAACATTGTAAGGCAGTATTTCATTCCGTTGTCATTCGCTAAAGATATAAAAGAATATCATTTGGTGTCTAAGATTTACAAATGATTATGTAAGAAGGAGGAGCATTGGTGCTGACATCGATGAATTTAGATCTTATATCTTAGATGTTTCATCCAAACACCACCATGAGACTGACTATAATCACACAAAAACTGTAAAACTGTTACCATTTCATCACCTCATGACTGACCATCAACAAAAATGCAATAGGATAATGTAAAATAGTGTTCTGACACTTACCTGCTAATTTAACTGTGAGCTACATAGAGGCTGAATGCTTTATTTTCTTCTCTTCAGTTTCACCCAATACTTCCTAGCTAATATTAGCTTGTATTTAGCTAGGATAAGCCTGAACACTAATATAAGTTTCACAAAACAATACAGAAGCCATTTGAGTAGCTTACATTTCAGGAAGAAGTCAACACTAACATTACCTTCTACTATATTTAGGTAGAACAATAAATTTCAATAGCTCACATTTAGCCAAAAGTAGCAAGATGCTAACATTAGCTTTTTGTATTTCTACACAGTAGGCCTTCAATAAAGCAAATATCAGCTTAAGGTTGTCGTTGTAAATCCAACTTAGAGTTAAAGTGTTATACAGACTGCTGGCTCACAGTTATGTTACATTCAAATTCAACTTAATTTGTGTGGCACTTTTCAGACAAAAATGCAGTTCAAGGTACCTCACAGAGGCTAAAAACAACAATTAACAACAATAAAACCCAAACACACACCCACCCATGGACACACACACACAAAGACACACACTCACCCACACATACACACACAAGTGCACACAGTGTGAGAATTTAAGATATATTGTTGAAGAGACATGGCCTGACACCGAGACATTACGTGAGGAAAGAGCTACCTTTGGGAAACACTGGAGATAAAAGATAAAAGATAAAAATGGTAAAAAGAAAGAGTAAAACCTGATGGACTAAAACAAGAAAATAATATTCAATGAACAGATAAGTAAGAGCTCTTTACCATGGGGTTAAAGAAGTAAAAGAAGTAAGAACCTCTATGACGGGACTTAAGAAAAAGACTAAGAACAGAGAAAGTCAATATAATGACATAAAATAAACATTAAGAACTTTGATTAAAATGAACATTTGCAATAAGAGAAGTATAGAAAGGCAATTAGTAAAAAGTCTGATTAAAAATATTCACTAAAAAAAGACACACTTCTAACATTGATAACTGTCTGATCCTTTTCAATTACACAACAAAACAATTCAAACTATATTGCTGTAAACTCAGCAGTGACAGACTGTAATGTCTTTGAGCATCAAGCATCATCAGGCCACGTGGACTGCTGCTTCAAAGTACTTAATTCTGAGCCACGTGGTCTCTTCAATCACACTAGCACGAACAATAGCTCTGGACATCCTGCGACCATTATCTAAAACCACGCCTGACCTTACCAGCTGGGCTGATTGGAACTAAAAGGCAAGAGTCGACGCTAACTGATCTCACATGGCAGGTGCTGCTACTCTGTGAGAGCGGAGGAGACGAGCAACACAAAGCCACGACGTGTCACGGGCACTAAGCCTGGAGCATCTGATAAGGAACACTTCGGTTTCCAACAGATCGGGTCAAGCGACACCAAGATGTCAAGCCACCCCGTCCATCAGACAGTCAATTTGCGATCACGCCAAGCAGGGCCCCAGGAAGGGACAGGGATTGCATGAGAGTAGAGAGGCATACATGTGAGAATGAAATGACATTACTCATTCAAGTATACAGTAACCCAGATGGCTCCAGGTCTATATTGTGTGATGATTAATCCCTTTCCAGGTGTAGCTGGCTCACCCTTGGGGAGAATTTGAGAAGGCCCGCTTCCTCAGGTTCATGAAATCCATCTTGACAGAGAACCGCAGAGAAACCTTATGGCTGTAGCTCAATGCCAGAGAGGAGACAGGAGACATATGAGTTACAAGGCCTGGCACTCTTAATTCATAAAGACCATGCTTGGATACTCCAGCAAAAATGGAAAATTACTAATCACATTTCCTAAAGTGCTGCATTAGAAACTTTTTCAGTCTTAGATGACGCTGCTCTGGAGGAAACTCTTGAACTTTTTTGCTCTACTATAAAGAGCTTGAGCTACCCTTTAGATTTTACTTGTGTTTTCTGTGTCTATGGAGAGTTTGGGCTGAAACCAAAGACGTGTTTTCTCCCTGAACTCCTCTACAGGTTTTAGTAGAAGATAGTTAAAATTGTTTAAAGTTGCACAGACTTTAAGGAGAAAAAAATACATTTCTAGCACAGCTTTCTTCTTCAGACTCCCATATTTGTCTCATGACCGTCTTGAGGTGCTTGACCCCCTGGTTGAGAACCTCTCGTCTCAACTATTTAACAATTAAGTAGCTGAGACAGGCCACATCTCCACCCTGTGCAGCAATTTACAAAAGCTGCAAATAATTCTTTACTCCATGTTATATAAGCCTCACTTTTCTTGTACTTGATTTTCAAAAACTATATCATCTCAGTGAAAGTTTGTTATTTGTTGTGCCTCATTGTTAACCTGAAACCAGCTCCAACAGCTCGCAGCAAACAGTCACCGGTGAGATGACACAACAACAGAGGCCTGAAAGCCACCTGTGGTTTTACAATGAATGAAACTCAACCTGTGGGTCACTGGCCTTCATAAATTAAACCTCAAACTCCTCTTGGCACCAAGCTGTGCTGGTGTCCTCCTCGAGGGTCAAGGAGAAGCCGGTGACAGACAGATATCAGCCTCGGATAACAGCCACGGAGTGAGGAGGGTAAAGAAGAGAGGCGTAAGAAAAGGTGAGACGGACAGAGACGGTGTCAATTGCTCTTTTTATCCTTCACATTAAGAGCCCTTGACACAAGACTACTTGTCTCTTTTTCATGCTGCTTTTAAGCTCAGATATACACGCTCTTTCTTGCGAGTATATAAGCTGTTTGTCCTCAACATGATCCTCTGTGAAAACCTTATCTCCCAGCTAGAGCTTTCCTCTTCACCTTTTCACCATTTCACCTGCCGCAATAAGCGATCCCCTTTTAGCGAGATTGACCACCAGCCACCCAGACAAAACTACTAAACTGCTGAAACCGCAATCAAAACTCTTCGTTTAAAAATTCATTATGCACAAATATGCCCTCATTCAGTCATGCCAGGATCTGTGAAGAGGCTGCTTCCTCCGGGACCATGAGACAGTTCGATGCTTTGATCAGTCTCTTTAAGAGCGAGCATCACTGACAAAAAAAAACACCCGCACATTTTGTTGTTTATGTTGTTGGTTTATTGAGATCAGAGAGGAGCTAAGAGAGGGTCTCCAGCATTGAGATCTTTTCAGGGTCTGTTTTACAACATTTGAACAACAGGTCTTCACGTAACAAGATGAAGAATGTAAAGCAGGTGTTCCTCTGCAGGTCTCTGCCAAAAACCACAACCTGACATCTTTTAAATCTGTGAGGAGACGTGGGAATGGCAGACCTCCAGAAGAGTTTAAGATATAATCTAACCTCAGTTACATCATATTTGAATGTCATCCTGAAGGCTAACAGGCTGTGTTGCAACGATTTCCTCCAGAGTGCACATCATGTATCAAATATTTGAGTTATCATTTAAAATAAAATAGAAAAACTGAATAAAAATAAAACAGCTTTTACTCTGTTTGCTGTTCTGTCTCATAGCACCAGAAATAAAATAAGATACTGAGGGATAAGCATTAAATTTTAGCACTAAGGGTCTAAACAAACATGATTTTTATATGAATACTTAAACACATTTATCTCTTTTATCATCTTTAAATATTCCTCTTTTATTTCTTACATTTACCTGCAAAAATAGTTTTTAGGAATACCAACAATTAGCATGCTTGTTTCACAGATTTGAGCCTAAATTGAGTCGCTTATCTTCCATAAAAAAATACTGATAAAGTGAAGTATCAGTTCAGGCCATTAAAAGCTTTCAATCTTGTTCATCTGCGGTTCTTTAAGCACATTGCATCAGGATGAATCACCCACTCTTCACAGTGTGGATAACGGAGTGGAAAACAACTCCCTCATTCACAGTACGGCAGAGGAAATCCTCGGGGGGCAGCGGTTACAGACGACTAACAAGAATAAGAGCATAAATTAGAAATACACTTCAAGCACAAAGACAAAAAGAAAGTCTTTGTTCAGATGTTGATCAGAGAGGAGATATCTTCTGAGGGTAGATTTGATCCGTTTAATTGAGTTGGTATGTTGGCGCAGTGTAGCGGCACATCCACCAGGGGGAGAAAGAGAGCTGCAAGAGCTTCCTTCCACATAAATACAACTTGGAGCTTCAATTTCTCTTTGTAAGAATACCTTTAATATTACACTGCAGGTTCTGAGTGAGCCACATTGGATAATTAAAACCTCACATCTGGCTACGAGTCAGATTTAATCATTGATAGATCTCTTCGGCAGTGTTGAGCTTCCCCCTTGTTCACATGCAAAACAGCATCTCAGATGATTTGCATCAGCTGCACATCAAAGGGGAACAAAGACAGAAGACAAAGTCATCTGAGGTTTCTAAACACAGGGAGAGTTGCAAACTGATGATCAAATTAAAAAATCACAAAGATAAGACATCATTAGGGTCAAACAGCTATGATAAAACTGCGGGGCTTTCTGAGAAAAGGTGGAGCTGCTTTAGTACACATTGATCAGAGGTGAGGTTATTTTTGGAGACATTTTCATCCATGTTGGCCCAGAGGTTTGTTTGACGTGTATACCTAAGCGAGGCTGGGGTGGAGTCAGTGTACACGAGGCACTGGGTGCAGCAGGGTCATGTGCTCGGCGCCGTTGAAAGGCAGGCGCTGGGTGCAGTAGTGGTGCACCACCTCTGGGATGCTGGGAAATACACAGCTGCTCTGGTCCAGGGTGAAGCCGTTCTCTTTGGTCTGGGCTACGATGATGTGGACGCAGCCTTGGCTTGTTCTGGGTCACACACAGAGGAGAGAAACATGGATCTGAGTAACAATCCAAAGATAATCCTAGACTGCTTGAAATTATTGGTCTTACATGTGTTACAAGTATAACAAATGGGCCATAAAGAGAGTTTTAACAGTTCCTCTTTAAGATCCAAAAAAACACTCTGGTGTATGAATCTTTTGTCTCTAGTTCAACATATTGAGGATATTGGTTGATATTGATACTCTATATCTCTTTGAAGATGTGAATTTCATCAGGTTTCTTTTTTTATAAATCAGAAAAAAATGTTAGCAGATATAACTCAAAGAAGAGCAAACTGTGATTTAAATTAGGGACTAGTTTATGCGGTGGATTGATACACATTTGGGAATGTTGGAAGAAGGAATGTAAAGCAGTTGTGGGAGTGCCTTCAGATAACTCTCAAGTCATTGAAAAAAGAAATAAGAGGGGAAAGATCTCTTTTTAGTATATTTCATACTTAAGTTGGGAGTTTAAGAAGATGTTTGAAATGTTAAATAAAAAGTTTAAATAAAGATTTATTCATTTTTTCAGGACCACAAAATTTTAGGTATAAACAGGAGCGCTTCAAGGATACTGAGCCCCATGAAAACTATGTCACATTGGGCCCCACCAAAATCATTTTGACACTGAAATGGAGCTAAAAGTCAAATAATATCAAAGACAGACAGAGAGAAACTAAAGATAATCAACCTGATCCTGATGACAGTTAATGAGATGGTAAAAAACATTGATTTAAACAAATATTTTTGGCTGTTTTGTTCACAAACAGCTCCAATATAATCCTTCTGTACTAAGCAGTATGTGATAAATAAGTAAAACATCTTCCCTTGAGACACATCTGACAGCACTTTCAGGTTACACTCACTTGAGGGCGATGGAGTACTTGCTGTTGTCTGACTCGCTGTTCCTGACCAGGAAGCTGGCCTCCTTGCAGGACTGCAGCAGAAACTCCGCCTCCTGGCGAGTCACACAGCCATGGTACCAGCTGAGACAGAGGGCGGGATTATATTTCATCTGTTATTGATCAAGTCTGGAGCCTCTTTTCATATTAAACCCCTTGGAAATGAGCAATACTCTTACATAACTCTGAAATTCGTAACTCTTCCACAGTTAGGGTTTATTACAGGAATAGGAAACAGATGCGGACACATTTTGACATTAATTCCATTGAAACTGTTTGAGTACAAAAGTTTTATGTATCTACAGAGAAATCCCATCATGTAATCCTTTATTGTGGTTCTTAGTTCCTCACCTCTGTTTTTCCAGGGGCAAAGAGGGGTCAACACAGCGGACGTCTGATTCAGGGTTGGTGCCAGGGGTGGAGGATGGCAACAGGGTTGGCAGAGAGGATCGCAGGATCTTCTGAGTCCAGCTCTTCTGCCTTAGATGCTGACTCTGCTGCTGCTGGGACTGGGTTGGCAGATGTTGGGGCTTCCTGTTGAGCGTGTGGTGAGGTGTGTCATCTTTTGCTGGGCGTTCAGGGCCGTCAAACTGTGCTGGTGGAAGAAGAATGATGAGAGATGATATGTATTTATGCAAAAGAAAAAAAAGCGTCTACACTTGAGTTTGAACTGGGTGCAGGAGCCTCCAGTAAGTCTAAAATAAGAAGACAGCGGTTTGATGATTCATGCTCGATGTTTTTCAGTATGCTGTTGGTCTATGCAGCATATAAAATATACATGCAAAAGCAGGGCTGGGTTGTTTTTCGGAACAAATATGCTTCATATTGATCCAAGTCAGCGAAGAGGCAGGGCTGGGGCTGTTATATAAATTTTAGTGGTTATTAGTTCACTTAAACTAGGACAGTCAAAAGTAAGTGATGTATTCTTTTCTATTTGAGCTTCTCACAAAAGCGAACGATTTAATTTCAGTCAAGAGTCGACAGAAACAAACACTTCCTTATAATTGTATGAAGTATGATGTGGTTTGAGAAACATGTGAGGTACCTGACAGCGTTCGGACGATGTGCTCCTTCTTCCACTCCCACGGTAGTTCGTACTCAGCAGGAGGACGAGAGTCCAGCTCAGGCCGTGTAACCGCAGTCTTGTCTCCGTCACTGCCCCCCTCATATGGGTCATCGTATATCTGTAAGGGTGCAGGCTGGCCTTCTTCTGTCATTCCTTCACCCAGCTCTGTCAGCACACAGACTTTCAGCAGGTCTTTGGACCCCCGGCGTCTGATCTCTTGGATGCAAAAAAAAAAAGGGTTTCAGATTTAGTTACAGTCAAAAGGATGAAAGAGCACTCAAGACCCGGGGTTACCAAGCTCCTATGAGAAGTTTTTCTGTATTTCTGAAATAAAATCAAACTCATTGATGCCTTTTTGTGATATACAAAACCAAACAAGACCATCTGTGACAAGAGAAACAATATTTACACTGTAATCCTTCATGCCTGAAACTGGTACAAAGGGGGGATGTGTCAGCTGAGCAGCTGAAGAAACAGAACAGATTTTATGATTTCTACTCAAAGTCTTCTCAATAAGCGATCAATTTGACAGCAAGGTGGGGGGGGGTTGTGGGAAGACACCACTCGAGAATGTAGATGACAGGAAAAGCAAAAGCTTGACACAAATTGACACAAACTGAGAGTTGCTCAAGTTTTACAGCACTAGAAGGAGTTTTGTGATTCCGTATAGCATTTGAGTAAAACCTTGTGATATATATTGAGGTAAAAAGTTCATGATGAACGTCTTATCAGCATGTGTTTGGGCTAAAAAACACTCAAACCTCTTATTTGATTGCTAGAACTCATTATTTCAGACAGGCCTACTCTGACTAGCATTTGATGTTCTGCTGCAGAGTCTGGACTTACAACTTTTTGTTTATTACTTTGTTGTGTTGATGTGTTTGTTATTGATTCTACTGATGTGTCTTTTAATTGCCTTGTAAGGTGTCCTTAAGTGCCCTGAAAGGCGCCCACAAATAAAATGTATTATTATTATCATTAGAACTAGTCTTACAAAAATTAGTACAAACACAAAAATTATGAACACACTTTGTTTAACAAGATAGATTTATCATTTTCTAACCCCTCCCTCCTCTTCAAACCCATCCTCTAATCCCAATATTTTCAATTGTGGCTCAAAAAACTCAAGATTTCAGCAGCCAATACGCCTGAACACTTAACACTTTAAAACTTTAAAAACAGTCAACAAGACCAACGTTAAGTCTGCCATGTGATAACGACACTACCGGCTTTAGTTTGTTTTGCAATGACACAACAATAAATGCTGGTCAATCATAAATAAAAGCTGTGTAAACTGTGAATGAATAAATCCAGGTTCAGGAGATATATGGTTATACGGTGTAATCACTCAACAGGATTTTGGTTTAACAGCGACAAAGTTATTATTAATATTTTATGAAGTATTGAATGATTGATTAACAATGATTAAATCCATTAGTTACAACCCTCAGACTGTGGACCCACTGTGACTAACAGGCTGTGATATATGAAACAGAGCATGACTCATTTTATCAGCCTCTTGATTGATATTCTTGTGCTCGTGCGTCCTCCCGATATGATCTGTTTGTGCCTGTGAAGAACAAAAGGTGGATGGCTGACAATGAAAGATTAATCTGTCATCGCTGCAATAAAAGTAAATCATGAAAGGGCCCATGAGGAGTTTTTTAAAGCTTATGAAACAGTGACGCGTCTCTATGATGTACAAAAGCTGATGAGACAATCAATGACAAGAAAGACTGACCATTCCTGTATTATATTTTTAATGCCTGTAACTGCTGTGTGAGGTAGAAACGCAACCAAAGGATAAAGGATGTATGCAGTAGCACTTTATCCACAGACAGAGAAACAGAGAAGTCCTTTTTGATCCCAAAGCATCTTAAAATTTGGCGTCATTGACAAGTTTTTCCCGGATAAATGCTGGAGTTTTATTCTGGGAAGTACAGTCAGCTGGTGTATTCATAATCAAGCTGCCCTACTCTCATATCCTTGAGTATTGAGTCAGGTTGTCGTCAGGCTCTTGCTCACTTCCTCACACTGATTTAAGCCTCATAAATTGATTCAGTCACACCATCACATCCTCTGTCGACTTCTCTGAGGAGGCCTGGAAGTAACGCTGGCCACTGATTGAAGCCAAAGGTACTCGAGAGAGCCCTGCAATAAAACACGATCAAATTCACAGCAGGCTATTGTGTAACCCTTTGAGTTAAAACAATGGAGTGTTGGAAGGAAAGGTCAGGAGAGCATGTGATTGGATGGCCAACCACCAGTCTTCCTCCATGCTGGGAAGTTTTGATAAATGGTCAGACAGGTCCATATAGGGGACTACACAGAAGAGGAGGCAAAGGGGGGCAGTGAGGGCCAACTTCCTTTTTGGAGAATAGTACCAGGAAACAGAGACAGGAAAGAGGAAGCAGGGGCAGGAAACTGCACCCATTGTCCGAACGCAACACAGTTGCTACAGCAACCCCGCAGGGGTGCAAAGAGCACCAAGGGAGCAAATTCACAACCTCAACACTGCTGGAAGAAAGAAAACGGGAGTCCCGTCTTTCTGCATGGTAAAAAAGCTGGACAGCTACAGGAGAGTAGTGAACATAATCTGATGATAGTCTTACCTGTGATCATCTGCTGGGCATCATAAGGCTCCATGTATCCATCATTCTCACCAACCCTCTCTGCCTCCCTTTGCTCTCTGGTCTTCTGAGCGTCGAATGGATCTGCGTAATCTTCAAGGATGATTAACTGGATAAAGAAACACAGGGACACAACAAACCAGACAGACTATAAATACGTGACAAGTACAAGGCAAAATTTGATGTAATCGTAATGGATTTGAACTTCTACCACTTGCAGTTTTATCACCATATCAACAAAGTGAACTTAAAGTGTAGCACCCATACAATTTTCCAGGTAATGATAACATTTGCTGGTACATGAGTGCATGGGAAAGAGCATCCCAAAAATGTAAGACAGTTTTTTATATAATTATTATTGAATGGGTTAAAAATAAGCACTTATATTTGAGAGAATAACCAAGGCTAGTTTTGCTTTACAATTATTTGTAGCTCATTCATTGAGAACTAGAAGAGTGTTTTGTGTTTTGAACATTCTAGCTCTGCAGATGAAGTGGTTGGCCGTAACATGAAAAATTTCAACATATCGCCAAGAAAACTTTCCAAAAAGTTCAAAGTTCCAAAAAGAGTTCTTTTAACTTTTTTTTTTTACAATCAAAGTGCTGCCAGTATAAGACCAATTAAGACAAACAAACACAAAAACTGCAATCTTACTGCAGTAAACACTCATTCAGAAGAAAACCTGATTTTATCAACCTCTTTTCTTTACCAATAGTCACGCCTAACTCTCTCGTCATCTTATCAGTGCCGTAAAATTTGTTGTTAATTTTACGAGCTGCGACCCAAGAGACAATGGTATAGGCTGTAAAATGAAGCTGCTTTCCTCTAATCACTTCCATTTGTGTTCCCTTGCCAAAATAAAAAATACTGGCCTTTGTTGGTGCTTGAACACAGAGAAAAACCCCTACCAAGCTCATGTACTATTTGTGGTTAAATTCTTGAGTTTTGAGGAATTAAGTGAAACAATTGCAGACCTAAGAGTGAAACCAAGTTGCAGTCATATTACACAACTCAAGAGGTCAAAATTTGTAGCTGCTACAATGAACAATGAGGATTCAACCAGATTCTTAAATTCTTTTATCTCTCATTTCTCCCTCACCATCTCTCCACCATAACTTTTCAAACTTTCTACCTTTGTTTTTCAAAGCCCAGCTGGAGGGGACTTGAGTTAACACTCAAGTGTCAAGTAACACAATGCTTTTTATAACATGATAGCCTTCACCAGGGGGCCTGAATCAGGTGAGAAAAAAAGAGTGACGGGGGAGTTGAGGGGAGAGGAGGACTGAGCCAAATTACATACAGGAGGCGAAGGTATAAGGCCTCAATTCTGACCGCAGCTTTGTATTCAGGGTGAGAGAGGTGGGTGTGAGGACGGGTGGAGGGTGGAGAGGAAGAGAGAGAGATAGAAGACAAGCTGGGAGGAGAGGACACAATGGATGGAGCAGAGACAAAGGGGAGGGAGACTCTGAAACAATAATATCAGTTCTCAGAGCTCAGACTGGGTCAGCACTGCTGGTGACACCAATATGTCAGTTTGCTGCTGTGTGGACAGAGAATGAGAGAAATCTGACATCTTACATCTATAAGGTTACAACCAAACACAAGCATAAATGAGCAGCTTGTAAGGAGGGAGAGATCATGTAATAATTTACTATTTTCATAAGTAAGGTTAGGGTTAAAATTTAGTAACTTGTTTTGAAACTTTGAGGAGTACAAAGTGACAGGAAACGAAGTTCTTTAAGTGTACCTTGAAACTTTTTAGGCAGGGAATTGTAGCAGCTGACGTGATTCTGAAGGGGATTTACAGGTCAAAGCTCAAACAATTCAGTTTGATGAAGTCATCCATTGTCTTGTTTTAGAAATAAGTCATGTGATCTCAGTACAACCTTTAAACCTGTGACTAAATTAGTGAAAAAGTACAACTTTCATATCTGATATTTGCCTCTTATCTAAGAATTGGCTTAGTTTGGAAATTTTTTACTTTAAAAAAGAGGAGCATCACTTGAATAGACTAAGATGTGTCTACTTAGTGGGAGTTTGATACACCTAAAACAGGTTCATTTTTATATTATATTAGAGAAACTTTATAGGATTTCAAACAACAATACCCAAGCCTATAGTCTAAATAATGTATGAGAGAAATAAACACATGACATTTGAGATACTTGATGTTAATTGACAGCTTCTCAAATGAACAGGATGTAGTTTGTGTTACTCACAGTTTCAGTCTTGCACTGCACAGGTTTCTCTGCTTCAGGTACCACTTGGTTAGTGATGGTGCTGCTGTTGAAGTTGGGGCTTTTGTCCTGTTTGTCTACCCTGATCAGTCGGTTGATGTAGGAGTTGGCCGATGGTGAACTCTTCAGAGGTCTGTGCTGCTGCTGCTGCTGCTGCTGCTGTTCCTCAAACACCGGCTCAGTTTTGGAATTCTTCCGACTTTTCCCAGACAACAGGTTGTCCCAAACTTTTCCATCTTTCGGGGAACACACACCGTTTCTACTCAACTCTATCGCCGAGTTTTTCCTGTTTCTCCCGGACAGGAGAGACCCGACTCCTCCACCTGTACTGTCAGGAGAGGAGTTCTTGCGATGGCTCGTTTTGGAGCCTGTTGCTTTGGTACCTATGCTTGCCACCAGCCCGGTTTTGTTGGCCCTTGGTTGTGAGCCAGATTCGGAGGCTGAGCGGGTCCTGTCGGTACCATTCTTCAGATTGATGGGGAACTCTTTGAACCACTTTGCCATTGTAACTCAGCTGGAAACCAATAAACTTCTCCGCCTTCCACGACACCTTTTTGCGCCATGCACCAGAGGGGCCCCAGAGACGCACCTTTAGAAATCACAGCTCTTTAACAAAAGACTTCCGCTGCTTTATTCTAGGACAGAGCCTACAGGATTTCCACACCTCGGTCTAAACCCTTTCAAAACTCAACGGCTCTATTATAAAATCTCCAGGTTGACAAAATGTTTGTAAGGAAAAACTTACAGCCTGCATGCCTTTTGGCACAAGAAAACGGGTTATCCCATTTGTACCTTTCTTACACCTGCCTCTTCTTCTTCTGTCGGATGAAAGTTTATTCCCTTTGGATGAACAGATGTCTCTGGAGTGGGAAGACCCGAAAAAAGGCAAAGTTCTTCTTGCTTCTGATTTGTGGTCCCATTCCCAGTGTGGCTTATCTGGTCCTTTCCAGCCTGCTCCTGTCGCAATGAGGCTCCTGTCTGCGCCTGGAGTATAGAGAGGAGGAAGAGGGGGGTCTGAAGTTGAGAGGGGGAGGCAGGACCCGGTGGGCGGTGATAAGCTTTTAATTGTAGACACCGTAGTAGGAGTGATGTTTCGTGAGTTAAATATAGAGTGAGTTTATTCCAAAGTAACAAAGAATGATGCGCACAAATCCTAAAACATTGATAGGAATCATGATGCAAACAGGTAGGGGAGAGTGGGGTAGGTTGAGCCACCCCCTGTTGCTTGGAAATAGTAAAAGAAATTGATCATGTGACCAAATGTTTAGGAGATGTTTTTAACTGAGCTATTGTTTTTATTTGTTTTTACTTTCATTTCCATGTGCTGCCGATGTTCTGTGCTTTGCAACTGTTTGTCAAAGCACTTTGTAAACTTCTGTTTTTAAAAGTGCTAAAGAAATAAAATCATTATTATCATTATTAGGATTGATAGGCCCTCTACACATGTCAAAATAGCAGATAGGTCTCCTGATAGTGGCAGCACTTGACATCATGAGGAATATTTGCATGCAGTAGCTTCTCTCCATTCATGTGGAAGTTTACTCAGATAGAGACCTTAATTAAAGTTGACATTCACATTAATATTTTGATGTTGGACGTTAATTCAATATTAATCATGGTGTCACTTGATAATGTGCTTAATTGGCTGTCTAATTAATGTCCGGCCCTTCCTTAATTGCACAGGGTTGAGTTGGAAAATGGTCCGCTCTGAGCTGTTCTACGTGATTCCAATGAAAGGTGTGACACTTTTTCTCTATAAGGACATTAATATACTAGAGGACGTTTGTTTTTGGTATATTTTACAGATAAGAATTGTACTAGTCATTTAAGTATATATTACAAGCAGTTTCGAGTCATTAATTAAAAGATACATGTCATATTTACGTGGTATACTTACGGACACCCCCGTTTTTCCGCTGAGATGGATCCTTCCATCGTGCGCGATCCTCCTGTTTGTCCCTCTTTGTCCGGTGGCAATAGAAGGCCATGATAATTATGGCAAAATTTGCGTTTTTGAATGAATTATAGTTGAATGGTGGATCAACAAGCATACACCGAGTGAGGACTGGTTTGCTGGCAATGACACACCAGAGAGTTTCAATTTAAAGGACAGCAGAGCAAAGCAACGGAGAAAGGGTACAGTTTGCTTCCAAGACAGTCTGCAAAGATGGCTAAAGCTACCTCCAGTGGCATGCTAACGTTAGCTAGCCAGCTAATGTTAGCATAGTAAACAACCAATTTCAAATCATGATCGTTTGCTGTATCTTCTCTGTGATGAACGGAATCAGATGCATATTTTCACAAACAAGTTTAGACATATAGCTCGGTTCATTTGCTGGTGTTGCTGGGTGAAATCCAGCTGCCACATTTGACTTAACGTGGCTAGCTAGTTAGCCGCTGTAGTCCCTCCTGTAGCTCGCGTTAGCTGGCTGGTTTTTGGGGGGGTTTTCTTGCTTCACATCTGTAAGTGATCACTTTAGAGAGGGAGGTGGGGTGCTCTGTGTGCGTTGCTTGTGCTGGCGGTCACGCCAGGTAGCGAGCAACCAGTTTCTCTTAGCTTTGTAGAAACTGGCTGCTGCAGCAGGACGTTACTTGTGCGTAAAAGGCGTATTTGGTGACCAAATCCCGGCGTGACAGACACCGTGGCGAAAGATTTGCAGCTGGAAAAGGAGTTTTCAGACCTGGGCCAGTGCTATAAACTAACTGAGTTAACTATACGTGTTAGAAATTACTGTGATGCTATTCATTTTAGCATTATTGACATGACCTGAAGGCAGAGTCCACCTTCTCGGCGCATTGCCTTCAAGACGTCGTCATTTTTAACTTTTTTTTTCTTGCTCATGAACGGTGATATGCCACTTCACCGACAGTCATATTAGCTAATGGCTGCCGAATCGGGGAGACTACTGGCGGGACAAGGAAAACGAAGCAAAGGTAGGACTTGATTTCACCCATCTCCCCCCCTCCAAATCAGATCGGAATCATCCATTACTGCGCTGCAATGGGCTGCACTGGTGCTGTTAGCAAATCCCTCCTCGCCTCCCCCATATGTAAACTTCACGACTGTCTCCGGTGGTGGCTGTTTTTTCCTCACAGAGTGGATCTGTGAGCGGGGTTCATGTCTATCTTGCTATCAATGTACCTTCAGCTCCGTTTCCTCGTTCTCATGTCTTCGTCTTTTTCCTGTCTCCCTCATTGACCTTACCTTCTCTGCCTCTGTTTGCGGCCTTTCTCCCTCTCGCCTGGGTCATTTGGTCTGCCTGGGTCATTTGCGATTCAAGGCTTCATATCCTTGGTGATGATAACGCCTGGATGTTCAGCATCTTGTCCTCATGCCAGTCTATGTCCCATCATTGATTCCATTCCAACTGTTGGACTTGAAAAAGAGGCCCTAGGTCTAAAGCTGCTCCACTCTGTCACTAAGGGGTATTGGCCAATCCAAATGTGATGCTGCACCCGATTGGTGGTGGACTAATAGCATTAACAACAAAGACCTGTTGTGGTGATGGCTAATATTTATATTTTCCCCTATCAACCCCCTCCCTCCTTATTTGACTTTTTCAGCTTCACAGATGAAGAGTCCGGAGAAGAAGAAGGCAAGGAAATCCACCACCCAGGTCATCATGCAGAAATCTTTAAAGGGATATTCCGGTGTAAAATTAATTTAGGGTCAAACGCACCGTGACACAGACTTAGACATCCCCTCGAGAGATTAATGTTGCTGACCGCTTGCTTCTCTAGATATACCAACTTGAGTAACGACTGCTCGATTGCAATACACAGCGGTCTGAGGAGCCATAAACAAACTTCAACCAAAAAGGCCAATCTATAGCCACAAATAATGCTCAGAACAGCACCTAACTTCATCAACAGTACATGTAGGGTCCCAGCCATAGCACTAGCCACCAAACATCTTTTTAACTTTGCCTGATTTCTTTAGCAAAGAGACTTAACACAACTCGCCTACTCTCTTCCAGCAGCCACTTGTTTGTAGCGAGACCTCAGGCCAGTCCATTACGGACTGCTATGGAGTGACGCAGCTCAATGAAGAACATTTATGATCAGTACTGTATCATTTCCTTGAAATAATAATCCCCATAGTAATCATTTTGCACTGCAGATACGGTAGTTCTTCTGCTGTAGCGTCTCGGTCTGATTGCATTTCCATGAAGAAATGGTAATAAATATTGTTCCTTGAGCTGTGTCACCCTGTAGCAGTCAATGATGGACTGGTCTGAGGTCTCGTGACAAACAAGCAGCTGCTGGAGGAGAGTAGCTGAGTTGTGTTTGCTAAAGAAATCAAGCAAGGTTAAAAATATGTTTGGTGGCTAGGACCCTATATGTATTGTTGATGAAGTTAGGTGCTGTTCTGATCATTATTTGTGGCTATAGAGTGGCGTTTTGGTTGAGATTTGTTAATGGCTCCTCAGACAGCTGTGTATTGCTATCGTGCGGTCATTACTTAAGTTGATATAACTAGAGAAGCAAGTGGTCGGCAACACTAATCTCTCGACGGGGTGTCTAACTCGGTGTTATGATGTGTTTGACCCTAAATTAATTTTATGTCGGAATATTCTTTTAGTTCTTCGCTGTAAAACAAATGTCAACTGACTGTGCAGAAATTAATGAGGTACCAGTCCAAAGTTTTATTTTTAAAAGATTTTTATTCTTGCTTCTTTTAGGCGGCCGGGTTCTCCCACCTCACTGAGTTTGCACCCCCACCAACCCCCATGGTGGACCACCTGGTGGCTTCCAACCCTTTTGATGATGACTTTGGACCCCCATCTCGACCCACTGGCGCAGGCGGACCAGGCAGTGCTCCCTTTCTCCCCAGTCCAGGCGCAGGCGCAGGAGGTGGTTATGGAGGTGGAGGCAGAATGGGCGCAGGTATGGGCTTCATGGGTGGCCCCGGAGGGCCAGGTGGAGGCCAGCCCGGACGGCGGCCTCCTTTTGGACCCCCTTCTAATGCTGGACCTCACCACCAGTTAGGCTTTGGAGGCATGCCTGGCTTTGGTGGTGGTGGTGGGGGTGGCACTGGGGGAGGAGGAGGGGGCGGTGGGTTCCCTCCAGGTGGGCCTTCTCAGTTCAATATGCCACCAAACTTTAGTCCACCTATGCACCCTGGGCCAGGATTCAACCCCATGTTGTCCCCAGGAGCTATGGGAGGTCCTGGAGGAGGGGGACCTCCCCACCCTCGTTTTGGGATTCCACCACAACAGCAGCATGGACAGGGTGGACACCCATTCAACAGCCCACCTTTACCTGGTGGTGGAGGTCCACGGGGGCCCCCACATGGCCCCTTGCCTCCCATGGCAGGAGGGATGGGACCTGGAATGAACATGATGGGGGGCATGGGTGGTGCTCCAGGAGGCAACATGGTAGGAGGGTTGCCAGGTATGCCCCCTCAAGGACAGTTCCCTCCCTCGCAGGATGGACCTTACCCTGGTCCTAGCCCACCAGGGCCAGGTAACGAGGATGGGAAGAATTTTGGTGGAGGAGGGGCCCCGCCTGGCCCTCAGCAGCAACAACAGCAACAGCTCAATCTAAACCCCAATGGCCCACCTCCTAATACAACCACTCCTGGCCCTCCACCTAACTCTGGCCCTCCACAGCCAGGCGGGGGATTCCCTGGCCACCCTGATGTACAGCAGCCCAGTGCCAACACACCCGGTCAGCCTCCCTCAGCGACCCCCCAGCCTAACCCCAACTCTTCCCCTACTGGCCCCCTGAATGGGTCAGGCCAGTCTCAGCATCCTCCACCTGGTCAGCTACAACCCCCCAACAGTACAAATACTCCCAACTCAAATAACTCAAACCAGCAGCAGCAGCAACAGTCCACTCCACCTAGCTCAGCTCCGGGCTCAACCCCTTACAACCAGCAGAACAACACCCCCGGTGCTGGTGGTCCCTTGTCAAATCCAGCTTCCAATTCAGGTCAGAATAACATGACCAACAACAACGGCGGCAACACTCCTGGCAGCAACCCCAACCCCCCCTCTAATTCCACCTCCACCCCTAACACCCAGTCTCCTCTGCCCCCCGGCCCTGCTGCCCCCTCGACCGGGCCTGGCTCCGGCCCTGGGAAACTTGGTGGCCCCGGGATGGTCTTCCCATGTGGCCTCTGCATGGCAGAGGTGCATGACGATCAGGACGCCATTCTGTGCGAGGCCTCTTGCCAACGCTGGTTCCACCGTGACTGCACAGGCCTGACAGAGCCGGCGTACGGGCTGCTGACTCGAGAGAGCGCTGCGGTGTGGGCCTGTGACTTCTGCATCAAGACCAAGGACATCCAGGCTGTGTTTGTGCGCCAGGGATTAGGCCAGCTGGTGGCAGCTAATGAGAGTTGAGGAGTGGATGACAAGGGAGCAGCATGGAGGTGCAAAGCATAAGGACAAACAGAGACACTCTTTGCTTTGATCGAATTGAATGACCTGTGTGTCATGTCAGATACTCGCCCAACTTTCTCTCGACCAGCCCTTTACTTGTTCACTACACCAAGACACACACTCATTGATATTCATGCTTATATATAGCACTTTGAGTGGCTAGAGGCAAATATTTTTCCTCCCCCTCCCCATAAAGGAGTCCAATCTAAATGAATGTTAAACTACACAGTCCTTCTAACATCTAGCCTGCCAACCAGCAAAGCACTGACACCAACACACTACCTCACACACTTTGTGACTGACTGGCACAGAGGCTGCCACACTGACTTGACTTGGGATTGACTTGATACGCTCATGCACCCAATAGATATTGTGGAATTTTAGGCACACACAAACACATTGGAAAAAACATTTAAGGGTGAGGTCTTAAACTATGTATTGTGGCTGTGACTGAAGGTCTCGATTTTGAGTTTGAAACTGAAATACTACATGGAAAAACATACTGACAATGTGCTTGAGGATCTAAAAGAGACATTGGCCTTATTTATGAATCAGTTGAGAGCTTCTTTTGCTGTCAAGACGCTTCCTTTTAGCTAGTAAAATAAGCCTTTAAATGTATGAAAAAAGGAAAAACAGCACATTGTCTCACAAAGATAATTAAGAGAAAAACATTTTAAAGTTCTTTTGCCAAGTCCTGCATCTGCAAACACACAAATCTACACCCACTGTACGTGTATTTATCATTTTCTACGCAGTGCAGATTAACTCAAAGGAACCAGGGCTGAGATTTCATCCACACCTTAACAAATAGTTGTAAATATTAGGACAAATCTATCCGCCAGATCATTGACCAATGAACAAAATAAGTTAAACTCCTGTGTCCTGGTTGTAAACCGTATGAATTTTTGCTTTTTATACCATACATTTGAGTCAACCATTTCTTTGTATTTCTGCAGTCCACATGAATTGTGAAATCAGTGCTTTTGGATGGCGTTGGCATAGCAAGTAGTGACATCATGTCATATCAGATGTTCATAGTCCTTTTTAAAAAAGAAAAGAAAAAAAAACGAGGGGAGGGGAGGGTTGCATGTGAATCAATGCAGTAACTGTCTGATCTGTTTGTTTATATTCTGGCCGCTGCAGTGGAAGAGGCCTTGAAGTAGACCAAATAACTTAAAAGCGAAAAACACCCCTTCTCCACATTTCTGTCATGGTATAAGGTGTTTATAACTATCCTTCTCATTTCTTTATTCAATGTCTGGGTTGCCTTTCTGTCCTTGCTCTCTCTCTCTCTCAGCTGTTCTTTTTTTGATTTTTGTACTGGTATTTGTGCTGTGTGCTCTTGCTCTGCTCTGGCGCCTCCTGGTGGAAATCTTACACCTGGTGGGGAAGGGAAAGGTACTGAACTCGGAAGTAAAGACAGATTTTTTTTGTACTTGTCTATGTCTGTTTTTATTCACATTTCTAATTTGTTTGCTTATTGTTGTATTAAAATTAGGGTGGAAAACCCGGTGAATCGGATAAAAATGTAATTTCTTCATCATTATCCTGACAGTTACAGTAACAGTGAAGTATAAATTGTATCTTATGTTGTTTTTGTGGGGATGATACATGATGGTCATTAATAACTAGTTTGCTGCTTTTTGTGTGGAATAAGTTAGTCCCTTAGCTCTCTTTTGACTTCTTAGGTCCAACTTTTTTTTTGTCCTGACTTTCCTACAATGATTTTGTAAAAAACTGTCTGGGTTTGGCACTTAGCAGAGATGAAATTGACGTAGATTTTAGTTTATATACCTCAAACTCCAACAAATGCTAATCATAGACCACTTGGTCACCAGTAAAAAGTTAATAATTACTAAACCTGGTAAAGTGGAACCTTCAAAAGATAACTCCTTTGAAAACAGCTGAAAGCTCAAAGTTTTTCTTTATCTCCTTTTCTGTAACCTGAATTCATCCTGACTTTCCAACAGTCAAAGATAAACAAGATTGATTATTTAAGACAGTACTGTGCTGTAAATACATAAAATATACTATTAGACACAATGATCAGATGGTTTATTATAATATTATACATCATAGGAAGAAAACAAATTGCTTTAATAGTCTAAATGATAAATTGGCTTTAATTATGTACAAAATTTCAAGTTCAATCAACACAAACCTCCTGTATTTAGTCAGTTATCAGCATTGTCACATATCCTCAGTTCTCAAAGCTACAACAGTTACAGTTTCATGTCACTAATTGTCAAACTTTGTCTTCTAAAGCCATAACTTTGTATTGGCAGTGAGTTGCACTTTTTGCAATCTATGTTGGAATTGGGATCATTATTGTGGCAGTCCACACCTGCAAAAGTGGTTTAAAAGGATCCTGTAGTTCACAAAACTAAATATGAAATCTCAGTGTAATGACTTATTTAAAATAATGCTACAAAATATTGAAATGGTTTACAAATATAAAGTATTTTGATATAAAATTTCAGAGGCAACTAATTTTAAAAGAAACTCACTGTTAAGGAACACTATATTTTCACTTTTTTTAAACTCACTATTATGGAACACTTATTTTTCACATTTTTTAGAGTCACTATTATTTCACTTTTTTTAAACTCACTATTTAGGGACACTTTTTCACTTTTTTAACTCACTTTTTCTGTTTTTTAATTTTTATTTAAACTCACTACTTAGGAACAATTTTTTTTCCACTTTTTTTTAAACTCAATATTTTTTCTTTTTTTTAACTTACTATTTAGGAACACTATTTTTCCACTTTTTTAAAAAACTCACTATTTTTTCACTTTTTTAAAAAAAATTCTATTTAGGAACACTATTTTTTCCTTTTTTTTAAATCATTATTTTTTCACTTTAAAAAAAAAATACTATTTAAGACCACTTGTTTTTCACTTTTTTTAAAAAACTCATTTTTAATTTTTTTAAAACTCACTATTTTGTAACACTATATTTTTTACTTTAAAAAAAACTCACTATTTTGTAACACTATTTTTTCACATTTCTTAAACTCACTATTCAGAAACACTATTTTTATTTATTTATTTATTTTTTTTAAACTCACTTTTTTGACTTTTGTTCGAGTTAAATCCCATTGTTTCGTGTTAATTTTGTTGATTTATTAACTCATATCAAAGTAATTCTTCACCTGACGAAGATTTCTCAGTAGCATCACCTGGATATTTTCATTACACATCACATTATCGCTTAAAGGCTTCCGTAGTTATGACCCAGGTCTACATATGCAAATGTTTTTTTTTCTAATAATAGATCAATAATTTCCTTTAACAGCTGAGAATATGGGTCACACACTCGTCCATTGTGTACACACAGCGATAAAACCGAGCCCACAGCAGGCGCCGCCTTCTCGGGGATCCTCCCACCAATGGAGTCGGTCCTGAGGCGGGACGAGGACTATCCGATGTTCAGGCAACAGGTTGCACTGGAAGCGGGGGAGATATTTCCTGATGAGTTCCATCTTCTCATCCCGGCGACTGTGAACTGAGCTGCTTCTGCTTCTGCTGCTGGAGGAAGACCTGACTGAAGAGGGACGAAGATTTCGGGATTCGTCGTTTCAGCAGGTGCGGTGCAGTCATTGTTGACACAGCTTCTGTGTGTTTTCTCTGTGTTTACTTTTTAATTCAGGTGAGAGTGACTCTAAGCTGGGGGGGCATTTTCAATCATTTTTCACGCAGGAATGGACACCTGTGGCTTTGAGGTTCCGGTGGTCCTCATATACCTGCTCTTGATAGTGCGTAAAAGAAAAAAGGCAGTAGTTTACACCTTTAGCTGTCCACCTTTGAAAGGTTTGTCTGCAGACTGAACGTGTTTGTGAGTGTGTTCTCCGCTGCCATCTATAATTGGATCTGGCTGCGCTGCGTAAAGAGGATGTGGAGGGTTATTATAGCAAGTGGAGGCTTCAAATAGGATGGTCGCAGGTGCACAGGTTGTTTACCTTGCCTCTCGGCTCGTGCTCCTCACTGTGGCTCGTGTAAACAAGACGGTAGTGGTTTCGACGCACACCGATACTGACTGACCGGATAGGTGGGTGTGACGCAATTAATCCACGAGCAGACAGGTGAGAATGGGGGGACTAACTCCTGGGCTCGTGGTTTTTTTTTACTCTCAAAACTCTCAAACACGAAAATAAAAGTATACTCTTTGTTCAAGCTGTGTGAATAAGCCACCTTTGTCGAGAAAACACAATGTACGCCTTGTTACAGGAGGCTACGTGGCTGTTGTGAAAACGAAGATAAGCCTTAGCAGTGGGTTTGCTCTCAGCTGTGGGTGTTCAGTTACGACTTTTTTTTACACATTACATTTGAATGTAGGAACAGATATAGTCCATACCTAAACTTAATGCTCGAGGGCAAACTTTAAGCCAACTCTGTGGTCACAACAAAAACATGTACTACAAATGAGGGGCGAGAAAAACCGTATTGTTGCTACTTTACACAAGAGAACCTGCATTTACATGGACAACAACAGAGTTTTTGAGCATGGAAGTGGACTGTAGTCACCAAATAGCCAAACACTAGAAGATTTTGTGATGAAGAGTGAAGTGTCCTCATATTGACCTTGATGTAATCCTATTGTGATACCTTCATAGTGGAGCTGCTCAACAAAATACTCACTGTGTGCAGATATAAAGCCTGTGAGCCCAAATGAAGTCTATTTTGAAGCTTTTTTTATTACTTTTGTAAGCTTTAACAGTGAAGTCAATTCATATATTTCTGTTAACTATTACACTTAACTGTCTTTAAGTTAAGCTAAAAATTGTGTTTATAGGATTCATACAGAGAACTATTTACTAAGTGTTGACACGTTCATATTTACAAGTTTAAATGCTTTTCTCCGCAGGTGTTTGTTAGCAGATTATGCTTAATGTGTTTTTGAGGTTCATTGACATTTATTTTTAAGTCCTAGCCTCTGATTGGTAAGTGCTGTGACGTGTGAGCAGGGTTGTCCAGGATGTTAAATTTTGGGGTTATGTTGTGGGGATGACAAGATGGCTGAACTGTAAAAGTGCTGTGAACAAAGGCCGTGTCCGAAATGGATCCCTTACTCCTATATAGGTGATTATATGGTGGTTCTGAGGGGTGTCCGAAACCTGAGTGATCAATTCCAATACCTCATATAGGCGACTGCCAAATGTAGTGACCATCCAATGGTCACTCACCGGTGGTGGGCATGTCATCATGCATTGCGTCTTGCCATGTACTGTCCGAAAACTCCAGTGATTGAGCTCACTACATAGTCAACTATATAGTGAAACCCCATATAGGGATTAGGGGTTAGGGAATGAGTGATTCATTGTTATCCATCTCCATCCTGCTGTTTCTCATCATTTGACTTATCCAACCACCTTACATTGAACCTTTACGTTACACTTTCTTCGCACACCAACAATTAAAATCACAAGATACTGATCTCATGTTAACAGACAAAAGCTAAAAGTCATCACTTTGAATTCTTGAAACAGAGAAAGTTTTTAGTTTTGGATTTGAATGAAACACTGATAACATCACAAACATTTTTCACATTCTCTACTTTTCATTCACACATTGATCAAATAGAAATATGCGCAAATGTAGGCCCACTAAACTAATTCCCAACAAAACCCTGCAGCCCTAAATGTCAAAGTTACTCATCCTCTTGTTCAGATACCCAGGGGTTGTGAATATTGTGGATAAAGTGTGGAGATTAGACGTGCTACAAAGCAGATGAGAATGCAGGTCAGGATTAGGCCCTGGAGAAAGAAAAAGAAAGGAGAAATGCCTGCTAGGCGAAGAGAAAGGGAAGAGTGGTGGCAGATCGTCCCGTTTGGTGACATTCCTGTCTCTGTTGACACAGCCATTCCTTGTGACAGGAGACAGAAGAGGTGAAGCAGTTGTCATGAAGCATCGGACTGCTACTGCTTGTCAAGCGTGTGCAACAACACAGCTAAGCCTTTTGCTGAAATTCGCCCAAGAAACTTGTTTACACCTACAGGCTTTATTTCTGACCAGAAAGGGCTGAGCTCGTAGACAACAATGAAAATAGATCGTATAATCAGCAATGCTCAGAAGTTACCGCTTTTTAACCTCTAGATCATCCTTTTGATGTCCGGTAGGCAACACAGTCTGCAGACCTGGTTGCTTGTTGTTATGTCGGTGATTTAATTTTGTTTTTCGCCGTATTTTTAGGCTTTTAATTAGTCTGTTAACTTTCTTATTTACTGCCTGGGTGGACAGTTTTCTCGGCGTGTGTAGGCTTTGCAGTAACCGCTGCCCTAGTTCTCAGTTTCCTCTTAATCTGTCCTTATTAATACAAATGCAAACCACGCGCAACGCCAAGTGTAAAGAGAACGTCTGGAATCCTAAGAATGTTTTTTGGAAAGACAAAGGCTGACTTTGATTCGCCAATCGAACCTCATTACTAGTCGAGGCCACTGTGTGTTACACTGTAACCAGCCATCAGTTAGAGCCAGTTACTTTTTACATCAGGTTCCTCTGTGGGAACTGCAGGTTTGGACAAAAACAATGGGGTGAAGGTGGCGCAGAAGAGTTTAAACAGAAAAAAGTAACACTTTCTTTCATGTTGTAAAAGGAAAGTAGTGACAGCCTTGTTTTAACGTGGTTTAACATTACTTGGTGCTTTCATGCCACTTTCACAGCCACTGAAGAGAAGCAGCGCTCATTAGATAAACTACCTGCTACCAGCTGGGGAATACACCGCAGGCTTGTGTGTATGCTTGAGCAAACCCTTGCATATGTGTGTTTGTGCATAAGCTCAAGCCTCTCTGTGTGTATGTGTGTGTATGTGTGTGTGTGTGTGTGTGTGTGTGTGTCTGCACAGCTCAAAGTAAACAGTCTACGCCTGAGTGACTCTACTCTGAAGTCTGGTGACTGTGGATACCCTGGCAAAGGCAGAGAGACAGAGGGAGAGTGGGGAGGCCCATTCCTGACATAGCCCCCGGTGTTTAATGGTCCAAAGAGCCTGGACAATAAGAGGAGTATTCTCCTTCTCATCACCAGGCTCATTTTCAGAGCTTATCAGGTGGACATGCTTAGCTTATAACCATAACTTTGAAGCTGGTTTGAGTTTAATCTACAAACCCAAAAAATAACTTCTAAACTGTGAAGCATGTACAAACCCCAGCCTCTTGAATGTTATGGTTTTAGAGTTTTCTTTTCTAGTAGGAGGTTTGACAAATATGAAAGGTTTCACATCATTTAAAAAGCAGCTCAAGAGAGAAAGGGAATATGGGGAGCAGAGAACCAGCGATGACTGCAGTGAGTACTTTAGCCTCTGTGCATGAAGGAACAAACCCGAGGCAAACCACTGCTGTATAAAGGCTGCTGTCAATACCACTCTCAAACTTTGGAGTCATTGCTAATCTACACTACTGAAAAAGACATGAACGAAATTGAAGAAAACTGCAACACAAACTGCGACGAGTTATGAGTTTTGGCAGTGTCAGAGGACTGGTCGAGTGTGAAAACAACACAAAAGTTAAAGAGCAGAAAGGACCCACTGAGCAATAGACGGCTATTAGATGTCTAGTTTTTTTTTTTAAGACCTAATTTCAACCGACTGAATTAAGATGTTGCACTTTAACCCATTATTCGATAAGTATTTATTTCAAAAAGCAAATGGGAGTTGCATAACTGATCTCCAAGCACTTAACCAAAATAAACATGATAGCCATTGAGCAAAATACAGTGTAGTATAGATATAGCCCAGAATTAGACTTGGTCTAAACTTGGTCTAAATTTAGACGTCTGAAAAACTTGAATGTTTAGACCTGTGGTAGCCTGATTTTAGACCAGTCGTCTAGGCTACATTTAGACGTCTATTAGACCTCTTTTAGACCAAAAAATGCTCAGTGAGGACCTAGTAAAGTTAGTTAGCTGTGGTTACTTTCTGCATCTGTCAGGAATGCCAATAGAGAAAGACAGTATCTGTTTATGTTTGTTTAAATGTGGGCTGATAAGAATACTGACATCTTCCGTTTTTGAATCTAGGGGTCTATTTTTCTTGCTGGATTAATAAATCAGTTTGATCTTGTCTCACCCCATCAGGACTCTTATTTCACACATCCACCCGCTCTCTATATCAGTGTCATTCAGAGGCATGTTTGACAATGTACACTCATTCGTCAAAAGGATGTCCCTTCCTGTGTCTTTCTGTCTGTTTGAATAGACACATGAATACAGACATGCCCATGTACTGTATGTTTTCACCACTATAATTGATACACACCTACTCTCTTGTTTTCCTGCCCTCTGAACACACCTATCGGAAAACAGGGCTCAACCTTCACAAAGAGGTCTGATCAGGAGTTTAATTGGCTTAAAAACAACAACGGTCATTTTGGTAGGAGCAGAATAAACACAAAGACGTCAACGAAAAGTAGACATAAGCAACCGGATATGAAAGCTGAGTCAAGGTAACTCGTTGGAAAATTACAGGAAAGCTGAGAGAATCATTTTTGTTAAAGTGGAAATCGTCAAAGCGAAGAACCAAGAAGGTGTTTTGTTAAAGCAGATGATTGTCCACCTTATGAGTCTGATTATGCTTGAGGTTTTTCCACTGTTGAAGTTCCTTCTGATCGGTGGGTTTTATTGAATCTCTTTAAATAATATAACAAAGAACTGTAGATGTAGTGTGTCATTATATCAGCAGCGTCATGTTTAGTGTCCTCTTGCCTCCCTGCCTTGTTCCACTGAATCACCTAATTTGCATTTCTGCCATTTCCCCTCCCTGTCTGTCCAGGGTGTCCACACGGAAACCAGGAAGTCAACATGAGCAGTCTCTCCTCCGACAAGAAGCCTATTGTTGATTATGGAGTTCAGATCCGCTTCATTAAAGACCTCCATGACACAGGCGGGGGCTATCCTGATAAATCCAAAGGAAACAACACTACAGCTTCTCCCTCCAATAAGTACGGGGTGGCAGTGCGGGTTCAGGGGATCTCTGGGCATCCTTATGTGGTCCTGAAAGACGGCGAGAAAGGTGACTCTTACGGAGTTCAGCTAAACACCACCAGCCCCACCTCAGGGCCGCCTTCGCCTAGCAACAGCCTCCCAAAAATAAATAAAGAGCCAGCAGAAGTAGCAAACCCCTACAGCCCTACTGTGAATGTAACACACTCCCCTGTTTCTGCAGCAGAGGATGAGGACGGGGAGATTTTTGGAAGTCCTCTTAAAAGACCTCCAGGGGACGGTCAAGCGGGAACACAAGGAGAGGAGGAGAGTGGCAGGAGTAGAGACAGACAGGCCACAAATTCAAAAGCCGATCTCAAAGGAGCGTCTGTGGAAGCAGAGAAAAGCACAAATAAGGAGGAGTATAATGAAGCAGGGCTAAAACGAGTCAAAGTAAACGGTGTGGGACCCAGAGGGTTCAAACAAACCGGATCTGGTTTTTCTGGCTCTTTAGGGAGACATGTTACGAAAAGTGCAGATTCGCTTATAGAGTCAAAACCTTCAACATCAGCGTCTGAGGAGCCGGTCCCAGTGATCGACACCAACTCGCTGGCTCCAATCAACAAGCTCATCAGTAAATTCAACAGTGGAACTCCAGGCGGCGCCCCGCAGACGAGAGGCCGCTCTGGAGCGAGGCAGAGACTGAGATTCGATGAGCGCAGGAGATCCAGGAGTCTCGACGCCAGAAAAGATGTTCAACCTGAGGATTCCCCTCCCTCTCCAACTCCAAATCCCTACGCTGTTCCTTTGTCGACCTCCTACAACTCGATGTCATCATCCAGCCTGGGAAGGAACTCTGGATCAGTCGCCAAGGTGACAGCCCCGGAGGCCCCTAAGCCCAGCTTTAAGTCGCCAGGGAGGTTTGTTGCCAAGGACCCCTCTCCAGCTGTAGCAAAAAAGCCTGTAAGTACCAGTGATTATGAGATTATGAGTTATTTGCAGGGTTTAGATTGCCTCTTTGTTTTGCGTCCTACTTTGTTTATGTTCTATTTCCAGGAGATACCTCCAAGGAGCCTGAGTCAAAGCGCCGCAGTCATCAACGGCGAGGAAGCCCAAGTTAGGCAGGCTATTTACAACATCCTCAAAGATGGGTAAATAAACCACAATCTGGACACACTAGATGTCTGCAGTCAGTGTAACTTCAAATGGATTTGTGTGATATCTAATCCTCTGTTCACTGTTTCCTGAGCAGCTCCAGTGAAAGTGAGGCGACCCTCAAAAGAAAAGTCAACCTCGTGTGTGAGACTACAGGCAGTTTAAAGGTAAGAAAAGAAAACACTCAATCTCCATTAGGGCTGGGCAATTTGGGAAAAGTTAATCACAATATATTTTTTATATTATTCGATATATCAATATATCAGGATATAAAAAAAAACCTTGTCAATCTTAAATGTTCCCTGTAACTCTTAAATGAAATTTAACAGTGCTTATTGGTAGCATGTCTTTTGCAATGCAATAAGCTACTGCATCTGTGAGGTCTTTGTGTCTCTTTGACGTTTTGTCGTAAGGTGTTGCGCTAGAGAAAGCGGACTGAATGGTCGGTTCAGCGCAGCATGACCCTGGAGCAACTCCCCTTTTCATTGGCTATTAATATAGTCCAACAAAACATGGCAAAATGCTGACTATCAAAAAACATATTGACCTCGTTTCATTTTGATATCGAGGTAAATTAATTTTTGATATATATCATTATCATTTTATCGACCAGCCCTAATCCCAATATGTCTTTTACTTTAAACAGTTCAGGGATTGCCCTCCTGACATTGTCAAAGCCAAGGCAGTTTGTGTCGCTTTTTGTCAGTTTTCTTCAATTTGCTTGATGTCTCTTTCACTGTAGATGCAAGTCTTGTATTTTAATGCGTGTCTTTAAAGAACAAGTACTGAGCAACACCACTAGATTGTTAGCTTAGCCTAACTAAGGATTTAAAATAATAGATCAGGCTAAAAGACAAGATCATCAGTGCATTCCCTCAGGTAAAAGCAATTGAACAACATCTCCTCCTTCTGCACGGCTAGTAGGAGAATTTATTAGATCTGATTTGCAACTTTCTAAACTGAAGGGTTCACGAAAAACTACACAACTCTTTTGTTGCTGTAGATAAATTTAGACATTATGGAATGAATAAATAGCACACAAATACAGTTAGCCTTTGCATTGTGTGTTGAATACAAGGTTGGAAAGAATTGTTTTTTGGGATCTTTTCAACAGAGCAGCTAACAGATGGTGGGCAGGCTGCGTTCTTTTCTGAGGACACGAAGTTTCTATTTCATTCACTTTGTCTCCCAGGATCATCTTTCTGCACACTAAAACGTGAAAAACTTCAGCGCTACAGTGCTGAGTTTGCCACTTTCATTTATGGTGCCACCTTTGCTCTTATTAAAATGTTTTTTCACGAACACGAGCACACTACTTGTTTTACATTTGCATCCTTTTGCATAAATCTACATACAGAGTTTATCCCTCTGTGTCATTAGCTTCTCATATTACGCACACTTTATTATGTATGACCCCTTGTTAAGCACTTCTCGGTGTGTTTGTGTGAATCATTCGCCCGTCTTGTCTCTTGGCAACCATGCACCTGCAGAAGAGAGCTGTTTTGAGGGCTCAGTGTGTGTTGAGGGCGCAGTCATTGAGAACCATCAATAATTGAGTCGTACTGGAACCCTGCACCAGCTGGGGGTAGTCTTTGTGGGTAGGACAGATCCTTCTTAGATGGGTCTCGCTGTAGAGAATTTCTGTTTTGTTTTTCATAGTACTCACCATGTTGTCCATTTGATAAGATTTAGCAGCTGATATCTCCTCCAGAAGTCATCCCAGGCTCTTCAGAAGTGATAAAAGCTGCTTAAACATCCACATCGAGCATCAAACTGCAGCTTTTTTTTCTTTCCTGCCTGAGGCTATTTCTTCTCCAACCCTGGCTCCCAACCAAAACATTGCTTTTGTCTATTCAAAGCCAAAAACATCACATCAGAGAAGGATCAGATGAGTGTTTGTTGTAAACAGCTCTGCCGAGGACGGTTTTAAGGCGTTTGTGATAAAAAAACGATGTCCTGATGAATCGACTGACACATGCTCAGCATTTTATTTCACAGTTATTTTGAACCTGAAGCGTTAGCAGGATTCACATCTCCACAGATCCACTACTTTTCCACAGCTATATAAATATGTGTGACTGGGATAATGCTGTGTTAACACTGAATATGTGTCAGTGGGAGAAGGATTGAGTCATTGCACTGACACCCTGTTTGTCCCCTGCTTAACTGAGGATCAGATGCTGGTTTACTGGGTTACCTCAGTCCAATACAGGGATGTATGTGAGGAGTGTGAGCGCTGACTGATGATGTTTGTTAAACAAAAAAGGGACTGGAGGAGAGCTTATTTACTGCCCTTCTGGCTTGTTACCACATGGAAACTAAGCTACTGGTATCAGGAATAACATGTTGCTTTTTTTAACCAGATTAGCACTTCTCAGGTAGTTTCATTTTCATGTATTCATAAGAACCATTTGAGTCTTTCCTATACTATACAAGTTAAGGTCCCACTCTTGTCTTCTTTTTTAATAGTGTGACTTTTATGTAAAGCTGCATCCAGGTTATTATTTTAATTGTCTGAATAAGATGCTAATAAGGTAGAAATGCTGTAGAGCAGGAAGGGGCAGGGGGAGTGTCTTGACAGTCAGGGCAATAGACTGTATATAGAATGGACCTGCATCCTCTCTGGGTGAAGCCACTCCAAGAACAGCACCCTCTGGTGACAGGCTGCAGTATAGGTCATAAATCCCGCCTCCTCCAGCAATCCCTATGGAGCTGTGGACAAACTTTAGAAATTTATTACACAGAATATAAATTTTTTTCTCCCCCCTGTTTGCGATGTTGACATGTAGTTATTGTAAGACTGGTTTTTGCTCAAGTCCTCTTTTTTTCTGTGCAGCTCCATTTTTAAAAGTTATTAGGGGGGTCCTTGTTTTCTATGATTGACACCTGATACAGCCTATGCGCATACGAAGATTGCGTAGCTCACCCGGGGGATACACTGTTTCATCTGAGCGTTATCACAGCGACTCTCGGCGACTCTCCCGCCGAGTTCGTACAATGCTACAGCGCAAGTGATGGAGTGCGTACAACGCTATTGCGCGATGTTGGTTTCAGGAAGTAGAGAAAAAAACGCAAAAAACCAAGAGCTTTTCGGCTTCAAATCCGTATACTGGCGGAAGGCGGAACCAAGTTGTCCATAGTATATACAGTCTATGGTCAGGGCCTAGTAGCCTTAAGGCTGCTCTAACATCTAGTATTATTTCCAGGATTGCACGGCCAGCCTGAAATGCAAAGTTTGGTTTTGCCACAGTGTTTACCAAGCAACAACACTAATGGAGGCTAATGTTTTTGCCTCAGTGTCAACAGGCAGAGGTGAAATGTGGACTCTTTACAGCACATTGGTTTGAGAGGTTGTTCTCTGAGTTGTTGAAAACTGCCAAAATTATGAGGGTTTGAACAACCAGAATCAAGTATTTCACAGAGCTAGGTAAAAATATGTAGCGGCACTTAACAGTTTCGTATTTTCTTAGGAGCCTGAATGGAGAATACGATAAGATACGATACGATACGATACAATGTGATACGATATGATATGATATGATATGATATGATACGAAACTAAATGATATGATAGGATACGATACAATGCGATACAGTACGATACACTTAGAGAAATTTGTCTTGGACTCCAAGACAGATCTGCACAGATAAAGCTGCCAACTGATGACACAGAGTACTCGACCTAACAAAGACACTGTCACACAACCCACACACATTGCACATACACACATTGCACATACACATACACACGTGGACAAAATTGTTGGTACCCCTCAGTTAAAGAAGGAAAAACCCACAATTCTCACTGAAATCACTTGAAACCTACAAAAGTAACAATAAATAAAAATTTATTGAAAATTAAATAATCAAAATCAGCCATTACGTTTGAAATGTTGATTAACATAATTATTTAAAAAAACAAACTAATGAAATAGGGCTGGACAAAAATGATGGTACCTCTATAAAAGATTGAAAACTATTTGACCAGAGTGACATGATTAACTCAGGTGTGTCCTTTAATTGACATCACAGGTGTTTCCAAACTCATAATCAGTCAGTCTGCCTATTTAAAGGGAGACAAGTAGTCACTCTGCTGTTTGGTGAAAAGGTGTGTACCACACTGAACATGGACAACAGAAAGCGAAGGAGAGAATTGTCCCAGGACGTCCGAAAAAAAATTATAGACAAACATCTTAAAGGTGCAGGCTATAAGACCATCTCTAAACAGCTTGAAGTTTCTGTGACAACAGTGGCTCATATTATTCAGAAGTTCAAGACCCACGGGACAGTAGCCAACCTCCCTGGACGTGGCCGCAAGAGGAAAATTGATGACAGATTGAAGAGACAGATCGTTCGAATTGTATCCAAAGAGCCCAGGACAACCTCCAAAGAAATTAAAGGTGAACTCCAAGGCCAAGGTACATCAGTGTCAGATCGCACCATTCGTCATTGTTTGAGCCAAAGTGGACTTCATGGGAGACGACCAAGGAGGACACCACTGCTGAAAAAAAATCATAAAAAAGCGAGACTGGAATTTGCAAAAATGCATGTTGACAAGCCACAAAGCTTCTGGGAGAATGTCCTTTGGACAGATGAGACCAAACTGGAGCTTTTTGGTAAGGCACATCAACTCTATGTTCATAGACTCAAAAACCAAGCATACGAAGAAAAGAACACTGTCCCTACGGTGAAACATGGAGGAGGCTCAGCAATGTTTTGGGGCTGCTTTGCTGCATCTGGCACAGGGTGTCTTGAATGTGTGCAAGGTAAAATGAAATCTGACGACTATCAAGGCATTCTGGAGAGAAATGTGCTGCCTAGTGTCAGAAAGCTTGGTCTCAGTCGCAGGTCATGGGTCTTCCAACAGGACAACAATCCAAAACACACAGCCAAAAACACCCAAGAATGGCTGAGAGAAAAGCGTTGGACTATTCTAAAGTGGCCTTCCATGAGCCCAGATCTGAATCCCATTGAACATCTGTGGAAGGAGCTGAAACATGCCATTTGGAGAAGACACCCATCAAACCTGAGACAACTGGAGCAGTTTGCTCATGAGGAGTGGGCCAAAATACCTGTTGACAGCTGCAGAACGCTCATTGACAAATACAGAAATCGTTTAATTGCAGTGATTGCCTCAAAAGCTTGTGCAACAAAATATTAAGTTATGGGTACCATCATTTTTGTCCAGCCCTATTTCATTAGTTTGTTTTTTTTAAATAATTATGTTAATCAACATTTCAAACGTAATGGCTGATTTTGATTATTTAATTTTCAATAAATTTTTATTTATTGTTACTTTTGTAGGTTTCAAGTGATTTCAGTGAGAATTGTGGGTTTTTCCTTCTTTAACTGAGGGGTACCAACAATTTTGTCCACGTGTGTATAACCCCTTCAGCATCTCTACCTTATTAGCTTGAGAAAGTTGCAAATATTGGCCTAATTGTGACTAAAACATTTTTTTTTTTTTTGTGGTATTATTTTTGTTGATTGTTTCATGACCTTGAAAACTACAAAGCTGTAGTACTTAAGTCTGCAGTTCCTCAAGTGTTTTTGAAGCCAGCCTCAAGCAAATCCCACCAAGTCTCCAGAGCCATCTTAAAATGTCAGCTTTAATAGATTTAACTCCGCATCAACTCCACCTCTCTGCCAGTTCCTATAGTAGTGAGTCAGCTGAGTTTGACATTTCCAGTACAGTGACCACCATCTTTGGGTCAATAACGCCTCTTCAGAAACCAGTGGGTAATGTCACTGAGACTACATCCGTGTTTTATACTGTCTCTGGTACCAGCCCCCATGTTAGGAACTAATGCACCAGAGGCTAAGAAGACCATATCAGCTATTTTTTCAGATCAGGCTTTAATTGAATCTCCTTTGCATTATGTAATCACTTCATCCTGAAGTATTTGTGCTAAGACTACTAATGTGTTCAGCGGGGCAGCAGAGGCTCTTTCATTGTAGAGGATTAATACACATAAGGATACAGCTGATGCAACGCACTCAAAGTGCTCAAAAGAGCCCATACATACTCTCAATTATGTTATCTTCTGTTAATTATCTCTTCAGAGTGAGCTGAAATGTCCCAGAGAGGGATTATCTACAAACAGTCCTGCAGGGAACAAGAAGAAAATGAAACAAATTTGTACAAAATTCATCTTCATAATCCATCACTGATAAGTTACAGAAATGCGAGGTCCCCTAAGGATCCCAGCTGCCCGTGATCCTCGCTTTGTCTCGCTCTTCTGTCTCTGTATGAGCGTGCCTTTAATGACTGTGTAGGAGGATAAGAGAGGATTCATGGGTAGACAGTTCTTATATACCTTCTTTCGCAGCGAGAGGGGGGCTCTGTGAGCAGAGTAGTGATGTGGGCGACGTCGCTCCAGCTCTGCTCCCCTGCAGCCTGTCAGAAAGACTTGTTAACGTGGGGAGATTGTCTTTTTTTTTTTGATGATGTCTGAGCTCACTGGCGGGGGCCTTCTCTCTCTCCCAGAAATTTTTTGACTGTCAGAAAGTAGGGCAAAGAATCCGAGTCAGGGTTTTTTTTTAAGTTTTTAGACAAGACGGAGGAATAATGCTTCTGCAAGGGTCGACATTGACACACTGTTGAGAAGTTTCCAGATGTCTTGTCCAGGACTCTTTTTTTGTGTCCCATTTCTCTCCGTCTCACCCCCGATTTTTCTGTTTGTGTTTGTGTTTTGCGCAGAAAGGAGGATCTGACGGGAGCTTCAAAAAGGGGAACCTCGAGGAACTGCAGGAACAGCTCAATCGCTGCAAGAAAGACCTGCAGCAAGTCCATGATGAGTAAGAACACACGAGCATCTGTGTTTGAGTATGAGGGTTGACATGAAGTGTGTGTGCACTTAACGAACAATAAGCTTCTTGTTCATTCTCCTGTGGCTTCTTCCTCAAAGGTCGTTTCAGTATCACTTGATTGATGAGCTTTTTAATGAGGATGCAGTATTGATAATGTGTGTTCATGTGTGTTTGCGTGTGCAGACTCGCTGAGGAGCGCATGTCCAGAGAGGTTGCAGAGTCTCGTCTGCGCCTACAGGAGGATCAGCTGGCCGAGCTTCAGGAGGAGCTGAGGAGGGTTGAAGAAAACTCTCCTCACTCAGACTTGCTGAAGACGGTAGTTACACACACTCAACACACTTTCCCCTTTTCTGCAAATTTACTGTCTGACCATCTCTCTTTTATTTCTCTGCAGGATGTGATGGCTCTGCAGGCCGACCTTGCCGAAGCCGCGATGCTGCGCCAGCGCCAGGAGGAGACCCTGCGGCAGCGAGAGCGTGAGCTGACAGCCCTAAAGGGGGCGCTGAAGGAGGAGGTGGAGTGCCATGACAAAGAGATGGAGGCTCTGAGGGAGCAGTACACAAACGACATGGAGGACCTGAGGAGAACGATGGAGCAGGTCACACAGGTGGCGGGAACTATCCTTTAAATTTCCTGCAGCATTACAAAATTGTACTTTTGCTTGTGAGATTCAGAATGAGATTTTTTAGAGTGCAACTACAGAGCAGCAGTTTTATAAAGAAAAGGATGATTGAATTTTCCGAAGACAAGTTTTTGACTTGTTATGCACACAAAGAAATGTGACGTCACCCACTGGTCTCTGACAAAGAGTTTAAAATAGTGACCCCAGACACAGGCAAGTGGGGGCTGAAGCAGATTTTTAGCCGCCTGGCAAACAGCTACAAATCACTGTCTTGTCAGTCAGCCCCTAATTATGCAAACTATTGTGAAATTTTTGGCCAAATTTCAGTGGACACCTCTGCACTGACTTTGACTTTCAACACTTGCAGCTCAGTCATGACTCAGACTGAAATAAATAAATACAAATACTTACTTACAAAAAAAGCAAATAAGATCATTTTTATAACCGCTGCTGCAGGGGTGGAGTCAAAGTGAGAAACAACGTGCTGCAGAAACAGTCTGTATTTACAGTTTGCAAAGACTTACACAGTGTGAAACAAAAAGACTGTTTTCAATCAAGAAAACACTTCATGCATGTCTGCATTAGCTGGTGAAGATCTGCACAGTGTTTGTCCACAGGGGGCGCCAAAATCAAACTCTTTTCCCCACTGCAAAAGAACTCAGTTTCACTCATTATTAAATGTATTAAAACTAAAGGACATAAACTGTGCATACAAGGAGGTACTTTATCTTCTTGTATTGCATACAATTTGAGTTTAAATAACTCAAAAGACAAAGAAAATGGGCACATTTAAAAGCACAGGTTGTCATGTATGATTGAAAACTCTGTCCTGGTTTGTTTTGGACCAGATGAACCCAATAATAGACATTCAATAGAATAAAAAAGTGTTGGTTTAGTTCATCTGGTGTCTCAATCAAATACCTGAGTGACAGTAAACTGAACAAAAACAAAGCAGATACTGTTCAAGAGCACTTTAAAGGAAAAGGTCAGCTGCCGCTCTGTTTTAAGACATCCATTTCAACACTTCAGCACAAACTGCACTCCAAAAAGTCTTATAGACAAGTGCTTGGGATACAAATCAACTAGTAAATGCTTCCCCCAGAAGACGCTTCAATCCACTTTATTGCTAAACGACGGTGTCGGGATGTTGTTTCTTTTTTGGCATTTATTTCATCATCATTTTGGCTTAAGAGCGACACGCAAGTCAGCACGTTTTAATTTATTGAAGGTGTTTTTTAAAACTTCTTTTACCCATGACGGATTCATGACACCTTTGATGGCCACAGCAAAACCTGCAAAGAAGCATAAACACGACTATTTCTACTAAAACTCGGATATTTTTCACAACATCAAAGTCAGCTTATGAATTCTGTAGATAGCGACGTTTTCTCTCAGAGCAAATGTAGCTGTGAAACAGTCAGGTCCTACCTGTCAGGCGGTTTGTGCTCTCTGCATGCTTTATTAAGCGATATTAAAATTTGCTTTGATGTTGCTCTCGCCCTATTATGCACCCAGGCCTTGTCTTGTCATTCTGTTTAAAGTGTCAGTACGCAGCGAGCCTTCAAACACAGAGTCAGGGTATCATCAGGTCAGGCTAAGCCCTGTGTGCACAGTCGGAAAAAGAGAGAATACCGCTTCTTGTGATTGCAAAACTTTTTCGCCTCTTTTGAAGAGTTCCACCGCTATTTTTCGAGCGGCGCACTGTAGGATGTGGTGAGGAGGAAATTTGAAATGTATCGGCAGATACAGGAATAGATCATTATGAAGGATTTGGAAACAGAAGCAGCGGTGTCAGGGAAAAAAAAAAAAGTATCACGCAGCCAGAGAGCAGAAGATAAGCAGACAGGTTGGCAGCTGCGTTTGATGTGGTGATTTATTTGGCGGAAGGAGGATTAAAGTCGCTGGATGGCTGTTTGCGATGACTGTATCGAGCTCTATCTTCCCTTATATTTCATGCAGCTATTTCTCACATAGGAGTATTTTTTTAGAGGTTAAAAACACACGAATGGAGGCAGAAGCTTTAATATCTTTCCCGTCTTTCCCCATCTGCTGAAAGTTTGCTCGGAAAAGTGGTTAAAGTCAAAGAAAAATCAGCTGGATTTCGCTTCTTTTTGATCACTGCTTGCTTGGTAATCGCATGTGCAGGTAGAAAAGCAGCTCACTCTCATGACTTTTTCTGACAAATCCTTTTGTGTGTTTGTGTTTCAGTCCCAGGAGCAGATAGAGGAGGAGAGGGAGAGGGTGAACACCTCCATCTTGACTCTGGAGGAAGAGCTAGAGAGCTGCAGAGACCGCGGGGAGAGTTGGAGGAAGCAGCTGGACGCAACCACAAAGGAGTTAGTGTCTACAACTCGTGTTTTTTTTTTATCTGTTTGCAATGTGTGAAATAACAGATACAAACCATGGCCAGGTTTTAGCAGAAATGATATGATAACCCCCCCAGAGAAAAACATAACATTTTGCACATATATGCCTGCATTTCCTACTTTTTCTTACTTCAGAGGCTCATCTAAACACAAATCATTCATGAGCTTGAAAACACTGTGTTACTTTCAGGGTCTAGTTTCAAAGAGGTTTACAAAAAAAGCACACTGCATAATCACAGTGCAACGTTCAAAGACGATAAACATGAGGGGAAATCGATGTTTCCTCTCAGGAAGCCTTTGTTCCTGAGCTCACACGCTGATCTTAACTGTTTATGACAATTACTTGAAATCCAAAACACAACAAGCAGAAAAAAAAACTCATGCAATCACAGAAACAGGTACAGATGCTCTTTGTTGTTCTGAATTATTTGCAGCTTTAACAGCCGAGGCTCAGCGAAGCATCAAACACTTTCACATTAAACATTTCTGACAGAAATTTAGATCAAAGATTTAAAGTACAGACTGAGAAGTTGAACTTCTGTTAACTATAATCTTTATGGATTTCCTGAAGTTGCTGTTTTTTTTTCCAGACTTGCAGTATGACATCTCTCTTGAGTTATTTTTAATGCATGCACTCTTTCACTTGACTTTCTCATTCAGCAGGAGCAGGAAGCGCGTCGGCAGGCGAATGTGAGGAGGGAAAAAATCAATCTCTCTGTGTTTTGGTTTGAGTAGCTTTAGATTACTTTCAAATCAGCAGCTCTGAAAACTTCAGATACTTTCTGTGAAATTCACTCCGAGAGCTGAAACGTCAGAGTGGATTTCGGATCTGATGACATCTGTTTTGATCATTAGATCTGTGAACTCTCGCTTACAGAAATCTAGCAAATATGACCCCGATCATGTCACTCCTTCAAACCAATCAACCCCATAAAAAAACAACTTGATTTGACTGATTTTGTTTTGTCCCTTTTTCACAATCATCCACTACTTTTAACTTTTTGTATGAAATTGTGATTTTAAATACATTTGAAGCTATAACCCTTCAGTGAGAGTTCTTCTTGCTGAACAGCAAACAGATTCTGTTGATTTTTTTATGGTTTAGACTTTTAGTTTGACTCCCTTGTGCTTTGTTTTTTGTTAGTGCTATCTCTAGTGTGTTGTTACAGCCTTGCAGTGTGTGTTTTCTGTGTTTGCACGGAGCCTCTGTCACCATTGTGTCTTCTTTAACATCTCCTCTTTTTCTGCAGGCTGCTGAAATCCCGTCAGGAGAAAGAAAATATTGAGGGGGAGCTGAAGGATCTGCAGGATTCACTCCTCAGCATGAAGAAACAAATGCCTGCATCTGATGATAACGGCTCTTTAGCCGAGGTAATTCACATGTCAGGCGGAGGGGAGATTAAGCCGGCTGTGTGGGTGGTGTGCAGGAGCTCATCTCCTCCTTTTACAGTGTTCTGTGTTTCCAAAGCTGATGTGTTTTTCCAGTAATTTCATTCAGTTTTTCCTCCAAACACACACACACACACAATTTCACACTCACGCGCCCCATACTCCTGTCAAGGCATTGTTATTCACCCTCACACATTCCTCTTACTCACACGCTCACATTATTCATCTCTGATTGCTTATCCCAAGGAGCTCCGGCGTTGCCATGATGATCTGAAGAGGGCTCGCACCGATCTGGACGAACAAAAGAGCCAGTTAGACGAGGAGAGGGAGGCACTCAAAGCCCTGAAGAGACCGAGCGCGGAGAAAGAGGGCGAGCTGCTGTCTGAGATCAGCAAGTTGAAGGAGCGGTCGCAGAGAGACAAAGACGAGCTGGAAAAGGCCCTCGAGAAGGCAAAGGAGGTGAGGAACCATCTCCAATCTGTAGAAAAGCAGTTTTATACTGTAAATTACAGAAAACATCCAAGTCATATTTCAAATGGAAATAATCGACAATACAATAGAATAATAATTATCGTCATCATTTTAAAGTCTATTTAACTCTCTTAGAGAAAATGCACATTGACAGAAAAACATAAAACTCAATCTTGAGATATAAGTTGTGTTTATTGTGATTTAGTCATAACTTTAAAGGGATATTCCGGCGTAAAATTAATTTAGGGTCAAACACACTGTAACACCGAGTTAGACACCTCCTTAAGAGATGAATATTGCCGATCACTTGCTTCTCTCGTTACACCACCTTTAGGAAAGACCGCATGCTAGCAATACACAGCAGTCTGAGGAGCCATCAACAAACCTCAACCAAAAAGCCACTCTATAGCCACAAATAATGCTCAGAACAGCACCTAACTTCATCAACTGTACATAAAGGGTCCCAGCTACAGTACTAGCCACCAAACATCTTTTTAACTTTGCCTAATTTCTTTAGCAAAGAGACTAAACACAACTCACCTACTCTCTTCCAGCAGCCTTTTTGTAGCGAGACCTCAGGCCAGTCCATTATGGACTACAGCGGGGTGACACAGCTCAAGGAAGAACATTATCCCTTAAAGAACATATCCCTTTAATGTGTGCTGTTTTGTCCCTTTACGAGGTTAGGCCACTGCAGAATTGAAAAGCTCTTCTCTCTTTAAAAAAACTCCCACTGACACAATTGGCAAGTCGAAAGTAACATGCACTTTGTGTCGTGTAGAATCAGAATATCAATTTTGAGTTTAAGCTGCAAGTTTAAGCAACCACCTACAATCTATGCGTACATGTGCAGCTTCTCAAGCTAATGTCTGCAGAAAGCTGGATGACAAAAGCTGGCAGAGCACAACGTAGGAGTGTGAAAGTCATCACAGAGCTGTGGATGAAACACGCTGAAACTGTCTAAGTCATGGTTGTAGATCTCACTGGTGTATCAGGGCTGCATTTATTTGAGTAATAAATCTAGAAGTCAAAACCGTAAAGTAGAAACAGAAATCCAGAGAGAAAGGTACACTTTGTAAAATGTTGAGAAAAATGGATTTTGATAGTTTGCTGTTTATTTACACCCTATAATGAACTGAAACTGAAAATTTTATTATTCTATGGAAAATACAAAATGCTCATTTCAGATTTCATCACAGAAACACATTATAAATTGGTTTGGCTGTGACAAATGTTTTTAAATGGTGACAAATCAGGACTGCAGGGAGGCCAGTTCAGCACCTGAACTCTTGAAGTCATGCCGCTGTTGTAGTATGTGCAGAATGTGGTTTGGTCTCCCTGAAACAGGAGCTGTCTGGATGGGAGTAGATGTTGCTCTAAAACTTGTGTATACGCTCCGGCATTAACTCTGCCTCCTCAGATGTGTAAGCGTGCCCTGGGCCCTTCTGCATCTCTGTACCCTCACAGGTGTTTGCTTTTGAACTGTGCTCTGATAACAAGCCAGGTGGTTTTTAGAAGGGGGGACACTGTGTCAATGATTTCCAACAGAATGTCAGAGTTGGATTTGTCTGAATATAGGACAGTTTTTCGCTTGGCTTCAGTCCCTTTTTAAAAGAGAATTTCCAGTATTTACTCTGGATCATGTTTATTTATGGTTTCCTCTACACTTTTAATCTGCATCTGTGGATTCAACAACAAACTGTGTTCACAGTCAGGGGTTTTTGGAATATTTTTCTGATTTCTACTTCATGTATCACAAAAAAACAACATGTCTAACAATCTGAAGATCACTGTCATCCAGAATGAGTTTCAGCCTCGGGCCAAAAACAAGTACTTCAGCCTTCAGCCTCACTCTGAAGGCCTTTATTCTGAAAATGTTGAACTACTTGCTCACGCAGTCTCTCACAAGAGGGTTGAACCTCTGACGATGTTTACACCTCAGAGACTCAGCCTCTCTCAAATGTCTTTGTTAATCCCCCTGTCATGTTAGTAACCCGTTACAAATTAACCAGATTAGTTGATGGATGTTTTTTCTAGGGTTTCTGTCACATTGCACAACTTTTTCAATGTTTCACTCTTTTACTCTCCTAACGTTTTTAAAAGGTTTTGTTTGCAGTTAACTGAAAATGAGCACTTGTTTTTCATAGATCAGTACAAGTTTTCAGTTTCACCTTTTATAAGTTGTCTTTAAAATACTTTAATTTGGGAATATAGGATACAAATGAAAAATCTAGATCAGTTTTTATCTACATATATCAACTTTTAAAGAAATGTTGTATGTTTTTTTGCATTTATTGATCCACAAATTAAGACACTGGTGAGAACTACCTAATATAAACTGAAAAATAGTATTTTAAACATGTGACACTACAATGTAGGGTTCATTTACTTCACTATCTTTTGTTTTATTGCAGTTTCCTACCGTCTTAAATCAAAACACCTTTCTCTTATGTGCCCCTTTTTTTCAAACAGAGTCAAATAACAAATTCTCAGACAGTTCACTTGTCTTCTTTTTCTCTACAGGCCTCAGTTTCCTCTTCAGGAAAAACTGTGGTTGACGGCACCAATGCGGAGCTCCAGGAAGCAAACAATCGCCTGAGAGAACGGCTGGCTCGCATGGTACTGCATCATAACAAGACACACAGCTCCACACACACACACACACACACACACACACACACACACACACACACACACACACACACACACACACACACACACACACACACACACACATATATACGCTAAATGATAAAAACAGAATACTGTACCAGAACAAAAGAAAGAGCCTCCCACACAGACTCTATTTTCAACCCCAAGATATGAATTAAATCAAATCCAAAGAAAATTTCGAACATGTAAGCACAGAAAATAATCCCTGAGAGTTAAATTTATGCTGCTCATTTTGTTCCATGTGCGTTGGAAGAGTGGCATAGTACAGGAGGTTTAAGGACTGTAATCTTATTGTCAATACAAAGTAAGAGCATACATAAGTAGGGGCAGAGCTAGTAAAAATAAACCTCTGCAAGGCCACAGGGTAAAAATAGTTTACAATAAGAAAATCGTGAAAGACTGTGAAAATGTTGGCTGAATATTCTCCACGACTTAACATGGCCATAAAGGAGTCAAACCACAAAAAATGACACTCTCCTTCAGCTTGTCAGTGACGAAAAGTGTTTCCTCAATCTCCAGACGAGGCTTCACTCCAGCGCAGCCCGCAGCTCAGACACCGAGGAGGCGGTGGAAGCTCTAGAGGACGAGAACCGCTCCCTGAAGTCCCAGCTGGAGGAAGCCAAGAGAGGAGCCAGCCGCCTGACTAAAGAGAGGGATGAGCTGAGCCGGCGGCTGGAGGAGAGAGACCTGGAAAGGGACGCGCTCAGGAGGGGGAAGAGTGACCTGGAGGAGCAGAAGAGGCTGCTGGACCGAGCGCTGGAGAAGATCAACAAAGAGGTGTGTGTTTAATTTTGAGGGATGTATCTGCTGAGTTGTGGTGTTAGTTTGACACACAATCATCTCTCCTTCTGTTAGATGGAGGTGATGATGGGAGATTCTCGTCAGTGTGTGGCCACCCTGCAAACACAGCTCGACGACTACAGGGAGCGCTCGAGGAAGGACCTGCTGGAAGCTCAGAGGAACAGCAAGGACAGACTGTCTGAGCTGCAGAGAGCTCAGAGCAACCTCAAGGCCCAGCAGGAGGAGGTGAGGGCTGATAGGGTAAAAATAGAAAGGATAAGTGTGGGGAGGAAAGCTGCAAGTGTGGCACAAAATCTGAAAATTAATGAGAAGTGAAATGAAATATTAAAAACATCAGCTACTGTTTTAGGATGAGGTTTGGTCTAATAGTAGAGCATCCCCAAAAAGTGCAAAACATGCAGTCTGTGAGCAAAAATCGATGCACTCAGGTGCTCTGTATTCTGTTTTTAAGGTTTCTCGTCTGAAGAAGGACCTGCTGGTCTGCAGCGAGGAGAGAGACAGCGCGCAGTTGGAGAGAGACCTCCTCAACAACCGTCTCAAACACTTGGAGAGCGAGCTCGAGTCAGAGAAGAGCACCTACACCGACCGCACCAGAGAGATCAGAGGCCTGGAGGTGAGGCTGTGAGGTCAAAGGTCATGAGGAGGGGGATCTAAAGTTGGCTTGAAGTATATCAGGGATACGATGATGTGTCAGCAGAAGATGATCAGTATTTTAAGAATGTTTGGGGTTGGTGGTTTAGGTAGATTTGAACGACTAAATCAATATGTCTGAGCTTTTATTCTTGTATTTAAAGGAATAATCTGACGTAAAATTAATTTAGGATCAAACACACCGTAACACAAGTTGATATAACTAGAGAAGCAAGCGGTCTGCTACATTCATCTCTCGAGGAGGGTGTCTAACTCAGTGTTTGTTTGTGCTCAAAGGATAAAATAAAGACACTTGAGATCGAGCTGGATGAAGAGAGGAGCAGCGTGGAGCTTCTGAACGACCGGATCACACGGAGCAGAGATCAGGTGCTTCATTCAGATTTTGCAGATCCATTCAAATAAGCAGAAGTCATTTCTATGTAACAGTAAATCTGACGACAATAATCTGACTCTGTATTTGTCTTCTTCACCTGTCAGGTGGACCAGCTCCGGTCTGAGCTGATGCAGGAACGATCAGCAAGACATGACCTGGAAATGGACAAAAGCGCACTTGAGAGACAGGTACTGTTGACTCATTTACTGCCTGAACTTTTGAAAAAGCACAAAATTACAACCACTCAGTCTGTACAGTCACCTTTACTTAACAGGATTTTTGGTTAAATTTGTGAAATTATCTCACGCCTTCCCCAGATGAAAGAGCTGAGGTCTCGAGTGGCAGACTTGGAGGGACAGACTCGGCCTTCAGCCGGAGCGACGACGCTGCTGGAAAACAAAATCAAAGAGCTGGAAGAAAGACTACACAGTGAAGAAAGGTACGGCTACACCTGAAAGGACCACACCGTCAATCATCCTCAAAATTCACCTTGAAATTGTAACATACCCCCGACATATGTTGCATTTACTTCATACAGAGAGAAGGCCAGCATCCAGGCATCCCAGCGACGGACGGAGAGGAAACTGAAAGAGCTAAACGCCACGTTAGACCAGGAGAGAACCCAGCATATCGAGCAGAAAGATCAGGTAAACTCCCAGATTAGCAGTCAAATTGTTTCTAGAGTAAAATTAGTTAGGACTGTTAAAGGTGTACACAGCTAGCATGTATCTGTCCAAAGGTAACAAAATTGTTCACCAGCACCGTCTAAGCTCACTGACCAATATACTCTATTTCTCATATTCATTCATATGTGCAAGACAAACTGTTTCCCCATATTTCTCATAATTTATCTGTGTTTAACTGACTGTTGACTGTTACTCGATATTACTCTTGTCTAGAAGGGAAATAAGTAAATTTTCAGAACTACTATTCTCGTGCTAGCTTAAAAAATGTGATTTCTTACTTTCCTGTAGTAAGCTTAAGTTTCCAGACTATGTTTGTATAATTTTACTGACTTTCAGACAGAATTATAGACAAAATTTTTGACCTGCATGAAGCTTTAAAAGTGCTAAATTGCTTTTTATAACCAAAAGTCTCATCTGTACTGCCCAACCCTTTCCCACTCGGCCACCAGATTGCTCCCTGACCTCCCCCTCCTCCCCCTATCATCTTTCTGCTGCCTCAACCTTTTTGTACGTAGCCTTAGCAGCTCACCTACAAACCCACACACTTGTAGAACCTCCTCGCTCTCCTCGTTTCGTGCCCTACCTCCCCTCCTTGTGGTCTACGTCTTCACCTGTGTGACCTCCCGTCTTCCCCTCTAACCCCCTGCCTCTCCCTGTCTCCGTCCCCAGCTGTCTCTGCGTGTGAAGGCCTTGAAGCGGCAGGTGGACGAGAGCGAGGGAGAGGTGGAGCGCTTGGAGGGGGTGCGTCGGAAGGTTCTCAGGGACCTGGAGGAGCAGCAGGAACTCCAGGAGGCACTGCACGCCAAAGTGACAGCGCTGGAGACTGAACTAAAGTAAGACTTAGAGTCGTGCAGTGGCAATTTTCTTTTGACTCAGGGGCGGAGAGCGAAATGCTGTTTTTAACGTCCTGTTGCATAATTCTTGGTTTTCAAGCTGCATCACTGCAGGTGACATGACAAACCTTGACACTTATTGGCTGTTGTTACCGTAGGAGAAGTAATAAGCAGCTAAAATTACGTTTATATGGGACATTTGAAAGACTTGCAACCTGAGCCACAGCAGTGTTAAAGGGATATTCTGGCGTAATGTTGATTTAGGGTCAAACACATCATAACACCAAGTTAGACACCCCCTCAAGAGATGAATGTTGCCAACCGCTTGCTTCTCTAGTTACACTAACTTTAGTAACAACCGCACAATAGCAATACACAGCAGTCTATGGAACCACACACAAACTTCAACCAAAACGCCACTCTATAGCCACAAATAATGCTCAGAACAGCACCTCACTTCATCAACAGTACACTTCATCTTCAGCAAAGAGACTAAACACAACTCACCTACTCTCTTCCAACAGCTGCTTGTTTGTAGTGAGACCTCAGGCCAGTCCATTACGGACTGCAGTGGGGAGACGCACCTCAAGGAAGAACATTTATGATCTTTTCTTCATGAAAATACAATCAGACTGAGATGCTAATGCAGAAGAACTACCGTGTCTGCAGTGTAAAATGATTTATATGATCATTATTACTTACTTAATAATAAAAAAATGATCAGAAATGTTCTTCCTTGAGCTGCGTCACCCCGCTGTAGTCCGTAATGGATTGGCCCGAGCACTCGCCACAAACAAGCGTTTGCTGGAAGAGAGTGGGTGAGTTGTTTTTAGTCTCTTTGCTAAAAAAATCAGGCAAAGTTAAAAAGATGTTTGGTGGCTAGTACTATGGCTCGGACCCTATATGTACTGTTGATGAAGTTAGGTGCTGTTCTAAACATTATTTGTGGCTATAGAGTGGCTTTTTGGTTGAGGTTTGTTTATGGCTCCTCAGACCGCTTTGTATTGCTATCTTGTGGTTGTTACTAAAGTTGGTATATCTAGAGAAGCAAGTGATCTGCAACAATCATCTCTCAAGGGTGTGTCTAACTCGGTGTTACGGTGTGTTTGACCCTAAATTAATTTTATGCCGCAATATCCCTTTAATAAACAATACCTCAGAATATAGATCAAAATTAATAGTTATTGACATAAGGAGTTAAATGATGGTTCCTACACTGCTACTGGGTGCTGACTGAGGGGATATTGCTGTTTTGATTCTACAGCTGTGAACAGCTCTCAGCACAGCTGTTTATATTTGTTTTTTTTTTTTGTTTGTTTGTTTGTTTTTTTAAATGTAGAAATCTAGTGTTTTTTCACAGCACTTTAGCATCCAACCCTGAGCATGACATTTGAGGAAAATCCCCCAAATGCATAAAAATATAAAACAAAGTCCAAAAAGTCTGTTTATCTTTGACTCCTGTATTTTCCCTGCCAACATCATTTATCTTTTTGACACTAGGTGGCACTCTATAATAACAAGCTGGACACGTGTTGTAAAGGAGTGTTGAAAAGTCGAACTGATTCAGTGTTTTTGTGATTGTTTGTTTTATCTCAGGAGAAAGTCACAGCACCAGACACACCGTTCAGCTCTGGGCTCCTCCACTTTGAGCTCCGAGGAGGAGGACGGCTTCTATGACACCAACATCACCTCTATCCTGAACGAGGGCCACCTACAGACAACCAACTGCTGAGGGACTCTATCACTGACGCTGTTATTTCTACCTGTGAGATTCAGTCATAGAGAGGAACTCAGGGCATCAAGAGGGACTCGCTAGTGTGAGGAACTCGGTTGCCATGCACTACAAAATTGCCTTGCAGTTGTTCCTCGGTTTTTATTTTTAGCTCAGCACTCCATCAGAGACAGGTTGTCGGGATAATTAGATTGAATTTTTTCGAGCCTTCAGCTGTGATTATGATTGCTTCAGTACTGTCGTGTCTTATCAGTCTTGAAATCTTCAGTTTTTCTTCTTTTTTTTTGAGAAGATTTACAGTGACACTTTTGAACTTGAATCACTACTATATTTACAGTAGACGACTGTGGTAGCACAAAGCTGTGGCATGATTCATGTTGAACCAAAAGGAGATAATTGTATGTTTCCTATTGTTCTAGTCTTTATATCTGTTTGTGTAGGCATGATAAATGACATCTGTCAGTGTTGTTAGCAGCTACAAGTGTTGTTTTGTTTTTGTTAATTGAAGTGATTTTGTTTTTTACATGATTTGAATGTGGCAATAATAGGCCGTTTGAACTGAGCCTACATTTTTACACTGTATTAGCCGTGCATACCTGTTACTCAAGACAATCAGATTTACTGTATGTACAGTTGCACTGTGTGTCCTCTGTGATAAAAACCCTTTTCATAGAACATTTTCTACTCTATCCATTCCCCCCGCTCATGTGCTTTAATATGCTGTTTTATTTTGTTTCATTCATGTGCATGATTTCACTTAAACGCCTTAAAATTCACTTCATGTCTTTCTTGTTTCCTCTGCATGTGCTCTGTTGAAATGCTGCTACTGTAATGATTTAAATAGTATTTTATATGCTCTCTATCTCCTCTACATTCCTACTGAAAGAATCATTAGCTTAGCGTTGGAAGCGCTCCACATTTCTCTTTGTTGCACCCAGCTTTGATGAATGTTGATCATAATCCCTTAATGACATTTTGATGGTGTTAAAACGTTAAAATCACGTCACTTTGAAAATGTTTACACGGTTCAGAGCTTTTTAAGCTTTCCAGAAAGGTTTATCAGATATTTTAAATGGATTATTATGAACCGTGTGTACAATAAACAGAGGTATATTGTAATTTTCTAATGATGTTGTTTCTTTTGTCCCTCGTTGTTTTGAAATTGTGTTTTGAGCATTTTGTGCTTTTCTGTTGCAGACAGTAGAGGTAAGGTTTTTAGCATTTTAACTGAAGGAGAAAATTTCACTGTTTTCAGTTTGTGTCTTCAGTATTCAAAGTTATTCAACCTCTTACTTGAGATTTCAGAAATCTGAATTCTTTTCAGGTCGAATCAAAATTTCTCCTCATCCTTCAACAAGGATGGTTCAACAAGGCAACAGGAGAGTAATTTGTACAACCCCATGTCCAAAAACGTTGGTACGCTGCATAGAGTATTGATTTAAAAATGTATAAAATATAAATGTATTTATAATAATTTTAACCCTTAATTCCCTATCAAAATGGTGCATATATAAACTTTTGAAGCTTTCAAAAAAGTTGGAGAAAAGACCATCCATCCATCCAAAACAAAAATAACTTATAAGGTTAATATGCGACAGGTTAGTAACATGGCTGGGTATAAAAAGAAGTATCCCTAAGAAGATGAGGTGTGCAGAATCATCTTTTGAATCACTTCTGAAAACTTTCTCTTACAGACTGGCTCTTAGGTGATTTTACTTTTTAAAGCATTTTTTAAATTTAACTTGATTAATTAGATTAAAAACTTTTTTATGTATATAAATGATTTTGTTCAAACCATTTGTTTACAAGTCCTCAGAAATCTCTGAACATAAAAGGACAAGTCTGAAAACTAACACTGGATGGCCATGATTTTGAAGCTTTCAGGCATAATTGCATTAAAAACAGCTATGACTCTGTAGTGGAAATCATTGTGTAAGCTCTTAATCACTTCAAAAACATTGACTGTGAACACATTTTGTCGTTGAATCCACAAATTAAGTTAACCATGCAAAAGAGATTATATTAGATTTTGAAAACTCCAAAAACTGGTTTCTTCAGTTCCCTAATGTTTACTCGATGTTGTTAAAAGTCAAGATGTCGCAACAAAATGGAAAACATGCTCGACCATGTTAATCAGATTTTATAAACTCATTTTACACAGAGTTCCAGCTGATTCTGAAAAAAAGGTAAATTGAATAAAAATTCTTGATTTAATCCAGCCAGTTGAAGCCCCTATTAAGTTAACAGTAACTCAACTTGTGCAAAATGATGGATTTTGTCCCCTCTCCTCGGTTTTCAGCACACATTTAAATGGGATTATATCATAGCAAGGGGGAACAGGGGGGGTAGATCTCATGAATACAGACCTAGTCTAATGTTTATGGGGTTATTTACCCAAGTCGTCAATCACCTGCCCACATTTGACCAGATTTTTGTATCTACTTCATCATGTTAAGATTCCTGCCATGTCAGGGAGTCATAATAAGGCGGTGAAAATCATAATTCTGACTTTCTAACGGTTTCGTGTTAAAGCAAAATTATATGAAATTGAGAAATAATTGCCGGGTGATTCAGTGATTTGAAATTTAACAACACTGCAACTCTTTGTGAAGCATCCAGTTTTGTAAGTGAGTTTTTGATTTCTAACCCTTTAGGGGTTGTCAGATACATGAACCATCCCCTCCCAGGGGTGTGGCTGTTTGCATCATACCTGCCTGCTTTGTGGTCACGTCTCCCGGGGTGTATCCCTAAGAGACAAGTCTGAGCCTATTACCAATAACCCCACCACACACACACAAACACACACACACACACACACACACACCTTACTCCATTAAACCCTTAATGCACTGCTTCCATCCAAACAAAACTTTGGACAGAGGGTTTTACATTAAATCCTCCTATTGTCCCCAAAATAAAAAAACTGGTACATTTATGGAGTCACTCAGAAACTGGAGATGATTTGTCAACAAAGGCTTTGTCTTGGTTCCTTTCATTTTTGTTCTCGACGCTAACAGTTACCACAGGATATAATGAAGACACAGAAACTTGATCATGATTTTCTTTCACAGTCATCTTCACATTGTCGGACAAGTGAAGAAAAAGAATCTGGACCTGTGAGGAGACTAAGTTATGCTTCTGAATGCTGATTTTACTGTTAGAGTTAAAGCTGATTGTGCTTAGTGTAGTTTACTGGAATTTTGCATTTACAGCAGAAATTGGTTTGAAATATAAATAAACCTGAGGCAAGTTTACACCTTAACAGAGAAACAGAGAATATAAGAACAAGACCTGCTGTTGTGAATATCCTACTAACTTAGCCACACTGACAGTCATCTTACAAGCTATTTTGACCAAGAAAAACAAACATTTATGTCGTTTTCAGAAGTGGACCAGTCAGTGAATGGTGTATAGATATAATAGTTAAGTGTTATGTGGTTAAAACTGCTCTCTTAAAACCATCTTTTTTCCCTCTCTCAGTGCAAACACCTCGGCTGCATGTTCTCTAAGCCCTGACTGGATTTGCCCCCTCAGAGAGACGGTCTTTAATCCATACTTGCTTTACTGTAATTACCGAAGACATCAAGCTGTGGTCACGACTTCACCTCATGCAGTGCCCTTGTCTGTCTCCTTATGTCACCTTCACCACTACTTTCCCAGGGTTTCTTTCTTTAAACTCACTCTTTGCTGTCTTAAAAGAAGAAAAGAGAGAAAAGAAATCCATCATGTCTAATTAGATCTAAATTAGTAGTTCAGCACAGGCAGCGAATCTCTGAGCTTTTCTGCAGACCTCATGTTATTTGCAGCACTCAAAGAATCTCTGGTATGAAGTACATCTGTGAACCTGAAACACAGCGGTGTGACAGCGACTACACTGACATCACTGTGTAAATGGGGTGACTAACATGTCTTCTCACACGCCCAGAATAAGCTTAAATCAGCTTTCATTTTCATGTTAGCTCCGCACAGATTATACAATGACCTAACCAACTTCTTCATCACTGTCGGTAAAAAGGAGGAATGAAACATTATTCACAACTTCATGAAAAAACAGGCCTAAAATAGAATGAACCTTTGACATTGTACAACACACAAAGGTGTCCACTGATCCAACAAAGACGGATCCATTACTGTGTAAGACCCATGCATGTTTACTCTGGGCTTGGCTTTTTAAAATGAGCCACCTTTTGAATCGGTGTCATTCTTCCGAGCAGCCTTTTTACGCCAAGTAGGCGCCTCACACAAAGCAGACGTGCTATATTTATTGTTAGTTACTGAAATGAAATATAGTTATGTAAGGGGAAGAACATTATGTAGAAATATAATAGTTAAACGGTTTAACCTGATTTGAGGATTAGGTCATGGCCTTTTACGGCAAAGGCCTTTCTTAAATCATCCGCCACACCTGCAGGTAACAACAGGAGAATAAAGTCGGTCTGTCGCCTCTTATATGTTAAGGTAAACTGACTCCTTATGAACGTTCTTTCACAGCATAGTATTAAACTTCTCCTTTGGTTGGAGCTCATGTTCAACAAAGATCACAATGTTCTCACACTGTCGCTACTTCTTGATACTAATGTTGGGATGCTATGGCAAAATGCATGTCACAAAATGTGCCAAGCTATATGCAACCAAAGGTAAATGAGTTCAGCCATAGACCTGTAGTGGCGACAGAGCCGCCAGCCATGTGACAGGACTGTTATCAAACAAGACTATATCCTATTTGCCAGTCTGACACAGAATTAGCTGGAGGGCATGGGAGGCAGAACCGCAGTTACAGGAAGTTCCCGGAGCTGTGCCGTGACTAACAAGGATGTTGCAGGAAAAGAGGGACAAATTTTATTGAAAGGAGGCAGATGAGGAGAGGCAGCGTATGGATTCGATCTGGAAGAAGATGAGGCAGGTGACGGAGGTGAAACTGCGCTGGTTTGGCGGCGCACACAGCAAAAGTCTGACGGATGGAGGGGTCATCAAGTCCTCTGAGGTCAGGTTAGACAAGGTCTCAGTTCATTCACTAAATAACATTTACAGATCTCAAGGATGGGCGTTGTAAATATATGGTCACTTCATGATGTTTCTTCCTGTAATTTACTGAATTTCTTGCTGTGGGATGTTGCATCATTAGTAAAATGAGACTGTTCACTGTGGGCAGCTATAAATGGACAGTTTCCTCAAATATATGAAAAAAAAAGAGTTTTACTGGCACATAAAAAAGGGTTTTATATTAACTGTTAAAGAAATAGAGGACACTTAGTTTAGGATGTGGATGAATTTTTGTGGACTAGAGTGTATACACAAATACAGCTGTGAATGTTCTGAATCACCTAAAGGCAGTCTCATGTTAAAATGACTTTTTACAAAACAGCTTTTTATCAGTTATATGCAATAATAATAAAAAGAATTATTGTACCAGTTGAATAGTGTATAACACATAAAAATACACATGAATGTGAAGAAGTGACTGTTATTTAGGGAGAGAGAAGGTGAGGAAGTGTGAGGGGGCAGTAGGGATACGGCTCAACTTAACCCGCTCCTATAATCAACTTACCCCATACACGGGGTAAGTTGAACATAGAAGACCACCTTTTTTGGCATGCTATATTATCAAGACAGTTATGTTTACACTCATTCTGTTGGTTTGCAGGGATGCACAACATCTTGAAATATATACAGATACACGAGTTAGAGACAAAACTATGATTATGGCTCATCTTACCCCACTCTCCCCTATAGTTATAAACATATAGGCCTAGGTATGATTTAGATTAGATGGATAAACTTGTGGATACATAGGACAAGACCAAACTGTACAGGACCAGAAAGTTTTGCCATTAGACCTTTTTTAATGTTCTTTTTAATCTGGACTTGATCTAAATTGATATCAAACTCCCACTTTGACGTCTGTTGCTTCCTCCTGATTTATGATTCAGTACATTCCTTTGAAATGAGACTCGGGCATGTTGTAGACCTGCAGGCTTCAATTGTACCACCTGGACGGACACACACACACACACATACTCACTCAGAGCAGACAGAGGGAGAGAGAGAGAGAGGAGGAAGCACACACAGCTCAGGTGTCTCCTCTGTCTGTGTGTGTCTGACTGAATTCCCGAGGAGAGGGGATGTAACTTTTACACACCAAAACAGACACTTTAGACACTTGAAGTTTCCTCCTCGTGTTCATGTGCTGACTTTATTTTGTTAACTTTCCACGGTGAGAAGATGGACGGTGACGAGACGTGGACTGTGGAGGACACGGAGGGGAGCAACCAGGCGAACGTGAGTGAGGAAATAAGCAAACTTTATCGCTTTTATGCAAAGTTAACGACTTTAATGTGTCTGTAACACAACCGTGTCACTACTTGGAGGATATAATCGCACTTTGCAGGTGTTGTGAAAAAACTGAAGCAACAGGAGAGTTTTTTTTTATAGCCGACTTCGTGATAAATTTACGCGGTTTTTAGGACACATGTTTGGGTTCTCAGTAGGTTATTGTATGTCTACGGAGGAGGGCAAGGACCACTCTTGGGTGAATGCGACAATCGCGTCTCGGTTGGCTATTTAGTCTCAGTATCAAGTTTGAGCAATATTTCTGCTAAACAAAGACAGAAATTCTCAGGAAAACAACGTGAAGGCTCGTATAAGACATGAGGTAAAATAAATAAACCAGAAACTGATAGAAAGATGAATGAATGAGGAAGTAAGTGAATTAATGAGAGTTGCAAGCAGAATAAGAAAATGTTTCAATGGTAAGAATAATTTACAACCAAAAGCTGATTGTTATACAGATTTTTAGTTAATCCAGTGTTGTTTCATATTTTATTTTCTCATCCAGGCCAGGAACCAACCTTTATGGCCATCCTAAACAAATGTGACTAATTTTATACTTTAACTTTGATCGCCTGAAACCACTAGAAGAGGTTCAAGATATGGAGACCAGACTTTTACACTGCGTTTAATAAACTCCTGAGAGATAAGTTTGACTTTAAAAAGAAAGCTGTAAGAGAAAAACACAATTCAAACGTACAAATACTGAGTAAAAAGGTAAACGGTATCTACTCAAACAAGAAGTTTCTCACAGGAGCTTTAACATTCGTATAGAATAATTAATTAATTAACATTATGAACATCACTAAAGCCTTAATCATGCCATCTATGAGTGAGCACATATTTATTTGGTACAGATTTACAGTATAACCTTATATTTAAAGCTCCTGTGAGGAGGTTTTTTTCCATTGTTGCGACTGACATGAGACATCAAAGCCTTTTCACGATGTCTAAAAGCAAACAAGACCATCAGCAACAAGATAAACAGTTTGTATGTTGTTGTTTTTAATCCCTAAAACTGCTTTGAGTGGGTAGGTGTCAGCCAAACGGACAGTTTTTACTATTTCCACTTTAAGTATTTACAGTAAATGATAGATTTCATTGTTAAAAGTCAGCAGGATGAGATTTTTTTAATCAAACGACACTACTTAGGAATATAGTGATTAGAAGCAAAAACTGCGTTGTCTACATGGAGCGCAGAAATTTACATTAACTGAAAGTTCCTCAAAGGAGCTTTAACTTTCCGTCATGTAGAACAAGATGTAACTGATTTCAAAGTCTTGTTCGCTTTCTTTGTAATCACAAACTTGGTGAGACGTATTTTTCAGTATTACACCACCCAAAAAGCCTTCTTTATTCAAAAGTAGTATGTTAAAATGAATTAAATGAAAGACAATGGAAAAGCTGTAACATTTACACCTAAAACAGAGCAGATAAGCTCTCATTTGAAATTAATACAGTGGGTAGTAACGTTACACTCGCTGTCTAATTCAGTCTATAGTATTAACAGCAAATACGTAAAATGGTAAAAGGCATGTTCTATGGCAAAGGATGGTACAGACTTGAAAAATGCTGGTGTTGACTAGAACTAATAGGATATATAAGTCCTTTGTTATAATAGAGAAGTCAACACTTTAAAACCTGAATCAGAATTAAGACAGAAATCATAGAGGTCTGGATTTAGCTTTAGATTTGAGTTTTCCATTTATTTCAAAATTTATTTCCTCAGGAAATAATCACAACCGTAAAATATAGACATAAAAACATAGTGTTGTATACTCAGCTAATGGGACATATTTGAAATATGACTGTGATGCGACATGACATGAATGTTTCCAAATGACGGCGCACTTGCTTTAAATCTAAAAGCATACCCACCTGCGTGTCTCTGTTGGCCAATCAAACCTCAATGTTACATTGAACTCGACACATGTAATTACATATATATCAAAACACACGCTTGCATGTGTTTGAGTTTAGGTACTAACTGAAATATGTGAGGCTAATTTCATGATGATGAGGGCAAAGCGCCAATGTTACCTCGTCTAAGCCTGATTGAAGCCTTGAGCGTCAGTGTGTCAGGCTGATGGTATGAAATGTAGGGCAAACTGGGACATCATTTAGTTGCAGTGTAAAACTCAAAAAAGACAGTGATTTAAAGGAGAAACTGAATCATTTTAAACACCATAAAGAAGAATTTATAATGTACTTTTTGATGGAATAGAAACATAGAAGTGAAGTGGCAGGTGTGACCGTTAAATAACATGTCCTCATGTTGCATAAGTTGCTGTATCATTAACTTTTTTCCAAACATGTGTCACTGTGTACACAACACTTTCACTGGCACTGGAACCTGATTGGGGAGGGAGTTTGTGTGGCGCTCACAGTACAGCATGTTCCATGTGTTCACACAGGATGAAATGAATCCTTCTTGACAGCAAATCTTGACTTGTTAAAAAAATAATACACTGATGGGCCGGAACAAGTGGAGTCCTGATGCTGCACTTCAAAGACTATTAGAAGTTAATTCAATCACATGTACCCTCCAGCCATGTTTGGACCATTTTAGAATAATTGTGATATCCAGTCTCATACCAGTACTTCTCTGAGTTCATCTTAAGGGGAGGAAACAATAGACCCGTTTACGGTTTTCAAACTATGATGGGTGAGTTTTGCTAAATCATAAACATTTTGCTTAAACAAAGTGACAGTGACCCCCACACTGTGATGTTAGTGAGAGGATAGAACTCAATTAAAAGTGCAGAAAAGTGTTTTGAATCTACAAGTTTTTTGAGTTTTTTTTTTTTTTTTTTAGTTTTGCGTCTTTGAATAAAAACTCCTCTACAGTCATATTGAAGTACACAGAATTAGTATTTACAAAACCAGGGCCCTCAGAGTGAGCTGCACCTGCATGTCAAGTTAGTCACCTTTTTGTCTGCGAACATAAATCTATATCCAACCTTGAATTATTACCTCCCCATATGAAGTCCCATTACCAAGACGGTAACTACTTTTTCATTAAGTGCACACCGTGGTGTTTGGGTTCAGAATTGCTGCAACTGATACTTTTTATTCACAATCTAAATTTCTACTCATGAGTGTCAGCTGAATGCGTTTAGTTTATCATCACAGACAAATTTAATGAGTATATTTTGACATAATTTAGTCATGAAAACTAAAGTAAGTTGCACTTGGAATTACTTAATTCATGTTTTAACTGTTGTTGTAAGCATGACCATGGACACGCAAAGACTAGTAGTTGCTAGTTGATAAGGAAACTCTTGAAACCATAGACTGTATATACTATGGACAACTTGGTTCTGCCTTCCGCCAGTATACGGATTTGAAGTAGAAAAGTTCTCGGTATTCCGTGTTTTTCTCCATTTCCTAAACCAACATTGCACAGCAGCGTTGTGTGCATTCGGCGGGAGAGTCGCTGTGATGACGCTCGGCTCAAACAGCGTATCTCCCCGGGTGACCTATGCAATCTTCGTACGCCCATAGGCTGTATCAGGTGTCAATCATAGAAAACATGAACCCCCTAATAACTTTTAAAACTGGAGCTTCACAGAAAAAAGAGGACTTAAGCAATAACCAGTCTTACAGTAACTACATGTCAATAGTGCAAGCGGGGGTGGGGGGGAAATTGCGTTGTGTGTAATAAATTTCTAAAGTTTGTCCACAGCCCCATAAGTTTTGCTGGTGGAGGCGGGATTTATGACCTATACTGCAGCCCGTCACCAGAGGGTGCTGTTCTCACGATGGTTTCACCCCGCAGACGTTGTCCATTCTACCGTATTTTTTGCACTATAAGGCGTCAGATAAGTCAAACTTTATTTAACTCATTCAATAACTCCGCGAGGCGACGGTAGCTGCAGTGCTCTGACAAGCCAAAAGAATTTTAAGTGCGCCTTATAGTGCGAAAAATACTGTACATACAGTCTATGCTTGAAACTGACACCAGTTTATCAAACTCTGTAACATGTGACCCACTTGTCTGTTTTATTGACGTCATCACAAACTCTTCACATAAAGAAGACTCACTTTGGTAAATGAAAGGTCAAATATTATATAACTCTGGTCAGGGGAAGTAATTGACTCTAAACCCATGATAAAACAAGTGTCCTATCCTGACAGTCCATGTGAGTCACTGAGCTGGCATGAAGGAACAGATCATCTGATATCTGGCAGGAAGTGGGGAAATAAAATCATGCCTCGACCTAAACAGGCTGCAAATGAGTTCTTGGCAGCTGTGATCAGCTCAAATTATGAAAAGAGAAAGATGATCGGAGAGGTTGTGTCAGGACTTTACCTGGCTGTAGGTCATACTTTGATCCCCGCCTTAGCTATAGGTTGACGTTCACACGGATTTGGTGTATACAATGAATTCACTGGTTCTTTGTTTTGACTGGATGCTCTTGAAACTTGCTGGCTCTTCACTTTTATTCTCCTGTAATCCTGTGAGCTCACTGCAAAGATGAGGTTTTCGCCTCTTTTGTATCCTGTTGTGAAAGCGACTTTCTCCTCCTTGAGCACATCCACAGCAGTTAAATTGTTTTTGGCTGATCTTGACAGATGATCGACACATGTAGGCCGATGTGTACTCATAGTGCAGTGTGGGAACCAGAAGAGCAAAGGCACAAGTTGTCAAGACAAGTATATAATTAAGATAGCTTAGCTGGATTATTACGGCTCTTTGGCAGATCTACAGTGTACTTATATAGTCAAAAAGAGAGATCTATTTAATTTGTGCGTCAAATGGCGTGTTTGAACTGCTCACATGTCAACATAAAGGTGTGTTTCTATAGATACTATGGAGTTGCTCACAAAAAAAGGAACGTGTTTTTGACCGTATCCACCACAAGCAAACGCTTGACAACATTTAGCAAAGAAAACGTCTCGCAGGCAGAACTAAAGTGAAGTTGAATATGGGCCAACAGAGTGAGATAGGACAAGAGAGGGGAACATACAACAACAACAACAACACAGCAACCCTATTCTTTTTGGGTCAAGGATCCTAGACAAAATGACTGGAGGCAAGTGGAAATTCCAGCATTTTTGGCAGTTAAATAGCTGAAAATAAGAAAATAATTCTTCTTAAGGAGGAATTTAATGTTCAGTTACGCCAAAATGTGGATTAATATTTTTCTGATTAGCAACACATTTAAAAAAATCAAAGCGAAAGGCTTCACCAAAGTTTCTTTTCAGTCTGCCTCCTTTAAAGTGAAAAAGTGACCCCATACCAGGGGTGTCATTAACTCACATCACATCTATTTTATGTGTTTCCTGAGTTGGGTGATCACTTTGACTGACTTTGTGTGGACATACACATTTATCCTCTCCGCTTTTAGCACAAATCCTTACCATACTCTGTCTTTTTGGGAAGGGTATAGTGTTTTACATTTTGTATTTCAGTCACAGCATTGTTGAGTTATGGTGCTTATCGTGTTTTTCTTGTATTTCACCAGTACTTTTGCAAGTGAAATGAGATGATTGACTGCTCTCAACCACTCAGACTTATGGCTCCAGCTCCAGAAATAAGGACAAAAATATGTGTGATATTAGAAAGAGCAGTATAGCCGTGTTAAAAGACATACAAGACGATGAAATCTACTTCTTAATTACCAATTAGAGTAACCAAAATGCAGGACAGTATTAATATACCAGAATTATAGCTGGAAAATAATGTATGCTACAAATGTCTTATTTTGTCATTGGAATAGTTATTGCAGAGTTCCTACGCAAGCATGTGGAAAGTATGGAAAAGTATGGAAGTAATTTGATCAATTTCCAGGTCTTAAAAAGTATGGTGAATGAAAAATAAAGTATGGAAAATATTTATGTTAACAGACTGTATTACCATAGTTATAAAATACTGTTTTCTAAAATAGAACAGTAGGTATTTCTGAAAAATAATTCTAAAAAGTATGGAAATTCTGACCGTGTAGAACCCTGTTATTGTACATAGATATGCCTGATGTTAGTGCAGTGCAGCTTGAGCTCTGCAGGTTAATTGCAGGTCCCTCCATGTACAGAGGTTGTAGTCTTTGAACCAGGTTGCTCAAGCTTAATTCTGACCCTCAACCCTTTAGCCACTGTCCTACTGCTTAATGGTTTTCTGTCCTCTCTTGTTATAGCTCCACATAAAAATATTAATCAGATAAAAAAATCACAGTCTCAGTCATGATGATAATCCCTACTACAGTCTTTAAAGACACTTGTAGCAACAGTGAAAATCATACTGAGTGATTCCCTTTTAGTGCCGCTATCATCAGCGACAGAGTCCATAAAGTCTCAGATTGTCAGGGACTCGCTGCCAAACACTAACATGATCATATTTGGAGTGTGCCGTTTGACTTGTGTTTGCACAGTTTTGTTTGCACTGTACACACTCGCGCGCCAGAGACTGTTATATAAAGACGCTCCATTAATCTTGGTTATATAACTCACGCCACACATTCCTCAGGGTGCTGCTAACTACTACTGTCACCAAATGCCTGATAGAAGCAGCCATCTTCATTCCACTGTTTAATCTCCAGGTCACTTATTGTCCAGAGTTGGTGTGCACAGCTGTATGTTTGCATACATTGAGGGTACACATTACCAGTAAGTTTAACCAAGTCACTCATTAACTATGAGTCATGGTCCGTATTTTCATGCTCATGTGTCAGCAGTTTGAGCAAGAAAGAGGAAAAAGTTAGTATGCAATCATCAAGATTTCTTGCAGGACGGTGTATGACATAACCAGAGAAATGTCTCCTGCAGTTTTTTCCGTCATGTACTTGGCGTTGCAGTCCTGCAGGGGAGGCTAACAGCTATGGGCCTCCTCAGACTGGCACCGCAGCTCTGTGACTGGAGGAGAAAAGGGTTGGGCAGCCCGTGGGGCCTCACCCAGCCATGTAAGGCAAGACAGCCGAGGCTTCCCACGCACTTAGTCACACGCACAGAGTCAGTCTGGATCACAGCTGCATGAACATCACCGGGGAGAGACCCTCACAGCCTCAACTGCCCAGGTAGATATCACCCGGATCCTTAAAAGAGACAGATAAGGGTTTAAATGCGGGTATAAGTGGATGATGCTACTTGTGGTTTTAGAGTTTTGACTGACTTGTTAGTTTTGGGTGTTGTGATTCATTTGGGCATGTCCCTTAGTGAACTTGTCATACTTGAAACAGAAGGATAAAATCTTACATAAAGTTCAGAATGACTAAAAAGATAACTCTTCTGGGTATTTTAGATACAATACAGATGTTTATCTGCAATAATTTAAAGATAAAAAAGTGGAAGGTTTAGTGGAAAAGACACTTGACATTGTGTAGTTTAATTTGAGTTTTGTGCCAGTCAGTTTTTGTCTATTTCTTGTTTGGCAAAGACGACTTAAGTACGCACTACCACCAAGTTTACCTGAGAAAACTGACTTTGAAACATCGTGGAGTAACATTCGAGTACTCTTCAAACTGTGAGAATTGCCTCTGTCTGTGTTGTTTTGGTCACACATAGTATCGGCACTAGTCAGAAAAGAAGAGGACACACTCACCTGGTGTGATGTGTTGTGGTTTGTGATGTCGGCCGCGCTGATATCAGAACGGTTCAAGTGTTTTATGACGTTTCTTATCCCTCGTAGCGTGTGTAGTCGCGTCGCTCGGTAATAAATCTACTTTGTTTTGGCTGCACTTAGCGGGTGATGGATGGATATCACACTTGGCTGTGATCCCTGTCAGGTATTTGGATTCTGGAGTGGGTGCAAAAGGTGATGTACGATCTCTGACTGTACACTAATTTCATTCTCAGCCGTTTGGGGAATGTAGCAGGTGGTCTTGATTCACGATTTTTCATCCGTCTCAGACAGTCAGTGCAGCCATGATGTCATCTACAAGTCACCAAACGGCAGTCATAGAGAGAGGTGTAACAAAATACTGATATAGCAGCGTTCTGTCAGCCTGATTTGTGTGATGTAATGATTTTATAAATGGCACAAATATTGAAAATTGATTTTTACCTGATAGTTTGACTCGCAACATCAATCCTGTTCCTATTGTACCCATCTAACAGTTAAACTGATATTGTTTTGCGTTATTTTAATCATCTCATTGCTGTGTCAAAAAGTTATTGTGGGAAATGCCTTGGGTATCAGGAATTAGAGCTGCACTGATCCATTTTTTTTCCGATCCAATCTGATACCAATATCTGGGCTGACCGTATCGGCTGATATCCGACCCCGATCCAAGACTACTGTTGAATAAATGAACTGTATACCCTGCCCTGTGAGTGAAGGCATCAGGCTTAACATTAGCCTTGTTGAAACAGAAAAAGTAACAAATTAACACAGAAATAAATTTACTTTATGTTATTTATTAACAAATAACAAATTGCACATTAGCACACAGCAAAAAAAGTAAGACTTCCATGTAAACAATTAGTGCAAAATAGAGTGGACAGAATCGCTGTGTTGCTGTGTTTGATATTAATTAAAAGAAAAACAGACTGGATCGGCGTCATTCATCAGATAACTGCTCCAGTTAATTTGTCAATATCTGAGCCAATATCTGATCCAAACATCAGATCGGTGCATCTCTATCAGGAATTGTATTTGTATCACTCCATACTAAATCAAATCATTTCATTTTAACGGATGTCTGAAATTATTTGCATACTTGCTGTGTCAGCAGCTATGACATTTTTTTACTGATGTGGGGCTGATAAGGTGACACTTGAATTATGCACCTGCTCACATGCACTTACAGCGAGCTCCAACATGTCGGCTGCAGTGTGAGAAACTTGGAAAAAGAATATTTGTATAACTCACAATAGAAACATAAGTTGTTTATAATGTTTGATGACTGTCTCTAAAACAAAATAGCACACTGGATGTCATAAAAAATCCCAAATCCTGCATCCCTAATCGAAATGTATGAGACTGACATTCTTGATGACAGAGGTGAAGAGGTGGTGTCTTCTCTAAAGCTGTAAACATGAGACACTCTGGGCGGTTATGTATCTTCCTGCCAGTAAACATGATCCATCATGCAGCGTTGTTGCTTTCTGCGTCTGGACGCCAAAGATAATTAGATAATATGCCCTCTAATTCACAGTCCTCACATCTATTACATCATTCAGGTCTCCTGCTCTGTTTTCCTTTGAACTTGGTCATTTTTGCCGTCATGCATTGAGCCACCTCTGTCTGTCTTCAGCTCTTTATACAGTGACAAAACACAGCAGCGACGCTCTGCCACCCGCCTTTGTTATTATCACCAACTGGAGGATCAACGGTGGAAAGAATTTGCCCCATAATAATCATGCCTCCATGACATTTAAACCGGCGGTAATTAGTCACGACATAACAGTGATGTAACAGCGCGGCCTCGAACAATCAACGTTAAATGGCTGTTGACAAAATGTACTCAACCCAACTGTAAATCCCTACAGGAAAATATTCAATCGAAGGTGATTTAGAAACTAGACACAATCATTGAGGGCTTTTTTACACAGTGTTAAATATGATCAGTTTCTAACCTGTAACAAAACCTATGACAAAAGCCAATCACCAGACATCGGTAACAGACTCTTCTTTCAGGATTTGCAGATGCTGCTGAAGAGCTGACCTGCTCTTTGACTGAGTAGGCAGCTTAGCATCATTGTGCTCAGTGTTTCCTGAGAAATTTGTGTATTTAGCTTTTAATTTCATTTTGATTTTATCAAGTTCAGATGAATTTGATTTATGTAGACTCATTCCTCAGAGGGATGGTCAGTTATGTCATGGGCTAACAGCTGAGCACTGCTGTTGATATGATCTCTAAAGAGACCCCAGAGAGATCAGCTGCATTGTTGAATCTCTTTACAAAAGAAAAACACCTACAGGGAAGATAGAGCTAACCTCTCCACCTTGAGGCCTTTTTTCTACCTTTTTTTTCTCTAAAATTTGAGGTAGCTCCTAGAAATGACAGAGAAATGGATATTAGCGTTCCCGGAGCTGCACAGACAAGCCTGGTGAAGCGGCACTTAGAAGTTTTTTTGCCTCAACACTGGAGGCAGATAGTTCCTGCACTGTAAATGCACCGAGCAGATAAAAGGGCTAATCACATTATGTATGTCGGTATTTCCAGTCTGCACTTGCTTGTGCAGCAGAAAGAAATGTTTATCAGAATAAAGCAGTGAAAGTGTAAAGTGGAGACAGCGTTTTAGTTTAATTACAGAGAAAAACACCCTCGTTTTCATAATTGTACACATGTTCTGGCCCAGATCTGTGGTTTGCCTTTAGCCAGTACATGAATTTTTGTGTTAACGGTTGGAGTTTTCAGTTTGGACAGGCCAGCACAGCAGAAGTATGCAGTGTTTTAATGTTTAATGCACCCTGGAAGAAGATCAAATGCCTGGACCATTTGGCCCGTAATAACACCTAATGAACACCTTGTGCAGGAGTGGTTCATAATCCACCTCTTTTATTTGTTATCACGTTTTGAAGCCGTTTCCAAGAGCTCAGCAAAATATTGAACGCTCATTAACCCCTCAGATTTTTGGACACATTTGGTGTTGAAATGAGCCTGCAGTGTGTTAAATAGGTAGTGTTTGAAGCTGTGTCCCACCTCAGTATGATCTCGCACGCCACACTGTTTGCTTTTTTTGTTTGTCCCACACTCTGTTTCTGTGTTTTCGGGTCATGAGCTCAGCCCCAGGGAAGAGGGATCCTTGTCAGGGGGCTTTTAGTACAACACATGAGGAGCCTGCACGTGGCACAAGTTTGGCCACTGTTGAGAATTAATTTGCAGAAACTGAGAACAAATCTTAGAAGCATTTACTCTGAAGCAGATTAAAATCTGGGACCTGCACTGCAGCTTTAGTTGTTTTTAAAGCTTAAATTGTAAACGTGTCTAAGGACACCTCCACTGAATAGCGTGTGGTGAGCTGGGGAACATTATGTTACTATGTACAGTCAACACCTCCCAGGGTGTGTCCGTCCCACAGTCCTCTTCTGGAGAGGAGAAGCCCTTGAGCTGTTTCTCCCTCAGATCACAGAGGGAGATGTTGGCGTGCCTGTCACTGCCGCTCATTTGATGGTTTTCAGACACAGCAATTACAGACAAAGAGCTGCCACTCTGGCTAAACCATTGAGTCTGTGTTTGACTTGCAAAGCGAGCACAGAACTGGTTGCTTACGTAAGTAAGTAACCAAATGTTTTTTCCACATGTAACCTGCTGGGCTGCCCTCGCCTCTGTGTTTCTAAGCCATACATTATTATGCTGAGTGTGTGTGGACATGATTCACTGCAGGCAAGTTCGCACACACTCCAAAGCTGTAAACTGTTTCCACCCATTCACACGCAGGTCTGTTCTGTGTGTCACAAACACACACTCAAACAGAGGTGACTGTAACGTAACTGTGGCTTATAATTATTACAGTAAGATTCCTGAGATCTGAGAGGAATCAAGGACATGATGCAGAGTTCAACATCACGTCTGAATGCTTTGGAAAAACAAAAAACACATGTAGATAAATACAATCAATGTATAATGATTTGGTAATAATGTCAAGACTTTGGCTTATAGCCTGGTTAATATTGTGAGCCCCACTTTCATCTTGCTCTCTCTTTCCCTCTGCTCCACTAACACACACCTGCCCTCCTCTTTCCATCTGTGGCTGCATTATCTGCCGTAACACAACATAATGATACAGCAGTCCACACCTCGCAGGTGTAAATTCTGCATTTAAAGGGATATTCTGGCGTAAAATTAATTTAGGGTCAAACACACTGTAACACCAAGTTAGACAGCCCCTCGAGAGATGAATGTTGCCGACCGCTTGCTTCTCTTGTTACACCAACTTTAGTTTCGACCGCACGATAGCAATACACAATGGTCTGAGGAGCCATAAACAAACCTCAATCAAGACGCCACTCTATAGCCACAAATAATGCTCAGAACAGCACCTAACTTCATCAACAGGACATATAGGGTCCCAGCCATAGCACTAGCCACTAAACATCTTTTAGCTTTGCCTGATTTCTTTAGCAAAGAGACTAAACACAACTCACCTACTCTCTTCCAGCAGCCGCTTGTTTGTAGCGAGACTTCAGGCCAGTCCATTACGGACTACAGTGGGGTGACGCAGCTCAAGGAAGAACATTTATGATCATTTCTTCATGAAAATGCAATCAGATCGAGATGCTAAGGCAGACGAACTACCCTGTCTGCAGTGCAAAATGATTGATATAAGGATTATTACTTCAAGGAAATAATAAAGAAATAATTAATTTTTTTAATTAATTTAAATTGATGTGGTGCCACGGTCTTACTCAGAAGTTGGAGGGCCGCTCCTTGGAAAAGAGGACGGGTTGAATAATAAAGGTGTGTGTTTTTACATCGAATTGAAGCGTGAAAAAGGGCGAAATATTTCACTCCTTTCTGAGGAATTAACAACAGCTGCGTAATAATACGTTGTGCCAGTAGTTCATGTTTATACTGTTGCTACAGTCGTTATTCCCACATTGTCGTCATACTTAAAGTGAAAAACACTCTGTGGTATTCAGTGGAACTGTCAGTGCCTCTTTATCATTCCTACCCTGTAACCGCAGGTGTCATTCTCACAGGGAGCTATTAAAGGCGTGTAAAGAAGTGGCTTCATTACCTGTACAGTTCAAACCTTATTGTGCTGTATGAGAAAAATCTTTCATCGCTTTACTGAGTGACAGCCAGTGACAGAAGTGACACTGAAATATTCAGTGTACCCAAAGGGTGTGAGTGTGAAATATGCAAAGCAAATAATGAGACACACACAAAAATTTTTTTTTGTTTTTAGTTTCATTTCTCGAACAAAACATAGTCCAACAGTTTTCATGTTGGAACCAAAAGACACAGGAGCAACACCTGTATCTTGTCTTTTCTGCTCAAGTTTCTCATACCTGTAAATCTTGTAAAAATTCCTGTTTTATGATCTAAGGTTTAGCTGCTGCCTTGAGTAAAAGATTTAAGTTATAGTTGGTATTTATTTGGTTGTTTGCCTCTCCTTATTAACTTAGAGCTAAGATGCCTCAGAAAGGATCATTTTATTCACTTTTATAAACAAATACAAAAAAATAACAACAAAGAAAATCATCAAAAATGGAGTACAAGCATTTACACCACACTTGGATTATGTCACTATTTTCATTGGATATCAAACTGTCAATATTGTTGTTATGTATCCACTTGGCTTTTGACCAGATGTCGTATAATTAAACCGTAATTGACGCCCACATTGTTTCAATAAGCCAGCTAATGATGGCATCCAAAGCAGCTCTGCCATTTAAAAGTATAGGTTCGTGGTGTCCGCCCTACATAATGACTGATGTACCAATTGAGTTTAACCTCGTTTTCTTCAGGGTGGAGACTGTACACGCATCAGATGTTACGCATACACATACATAGATGTAGAAGGAATGCGTACGCACACATAACTCAGCAAAGTCCAGGATTAACCTTAATGGAAGTTGGTGATAAGATAAGAACCACTGTGTTACATAACCCACCTGCACCTGGACTTTTTACCTGAACCTGAAATAGATCTCTCTGTCAACCTGCGCAATGGTTTGTTGTTTTTAGCTCATTCAGAGACAAAGGAAAATGATTTCTGTGGAACTCTTACCTCAGCACACTTAACATGGGTGTTGCCAAGGAGGATTATGTGCTGTGTCAACTCAAGTATGTGTTTGCTGTTGGGACAGGTTTTGCCTTCATTTTGTGGTCAAAAGGTCAGCAGACGGTTTTAACCTTCCCGTCCTGTTATCTCACTTTCGAAAATCTACGAAACAATCAGTTTGATTCTGATCACTGCATTGTTTAGTCTCGTAGGTTTCAGGACAGCTCCCCACAACCATTTTCAGTAGATGTTTTTACAAGCTGAAGCTCTACACCATGAACCAAATAAGATCTGTTGCATTATGATGTGAATGCGCTTCCAGAGATGTCTGCCGTCAGCATCAGGACTACTTTCGTGTTATCAGGAAATCCCAAAGTGTCTGTAATTGAGCAATAAAAGCTTCAGCGGAAGTTGGCAGCCCATCAAACACGGCTCATGATAAAAAAACAGATGAGAGATAAAGAACTTAACGAAAAGAAAGCATGAAATAGTCCGAGGAATGTTAGAGAAGATAATGAACTTACCTACAAAGAGAATCAAACACAGAATCCCACACACAAAAAAATCAAATCAAAGATCCTGTGAGGAGTGATATGCTGGTTATGAAACAGTCTGACATTAATACTCATGCTTCTTAATGGGTCACATAAGTAAAAAAAAAATGAGGCCACCAGTAACAGGCTTCAATATGTCGTTATTTATAAATGCCTGAAATCAGTGGCACAAGGTAGATGCACTTTGCAGAAACAGCTTTTAAACACTTGATGAGGGACATACTTGGCTTTCTAAAAGAAAAGACTTATTACAAACGTGTCAATGACACTATCGGCAAGGAGATAAGCTGGATTGGATTGGATCTTGTCCAGTACAATATGATACATTTACAAACAGTAGTAACAGAAGTGAGTGAAAAGCGAGTTGGTGGGTCTTGATTTTTACTTTTTCCCATTTCTCCCGTCCCACAACCCTCTTGGGTATTTAAACCCCTGCTGTATAAAACACTTGTCTCAAATTAGGAAACATAAGAAACGTAATAGAATAGAACAATAGACACAAATAGAATAGCTGACTACTACACACAACTTTTGGATAGAATAGAAAAGGATATAATAGTAGACTACTACACACAAGGCTATAGAATAGAATAGACTAGAAGACACTATTACAATAGCTGTAGAATAGAATAGTAGACACTACTACACACAGCTATTGAATAGAATAGAACAGTAAACACTACTACACATAGCTATAGAATAGATTAGAATAGTAGACTACAACTACACACAGCTATAGATTTGAATAGAATAGATGCAGACTACCACACTCAGCTCTAGATTTGAATAGATCTACAAAACACTTCTCTTTTGACTGAAGTATAACAGGATGTAAGTCATCAGATACTGTCTGTATTTTTACTCTGTGTCCTGTCCATCTGAATGTTACATCAACTGAACTGTTGCCTGTAAATACTTAAGGGTTTTTTATTCTTTTGATCTTTTGATTTTTTTCATCGGGGTTGTCAAAGCAAACATGACAAATTCAAAACCACGTCTTTGTTTCTGTTGCTAAGGCGACATAGATGGCATGAGAGTGACTCATCACTCACTGATGTGTTCAGTGTTTGCATTTTTGTCCCTTACTGGACTGAGCTCGTTTCATTTTCTCCTCTGAGTGTAGTGTAGTGGACTGTTTGATCATGATCACCAGACCATACCCCGAGGATTCAGTGGAAATGTCTCCTCAGTGGTGGTTGCTAAGCACTGTCATCTAACAGTGTGGCATCCACTGAGGAACTTCAGTTTGGGGAAGTTTTACGGCTAAAAGTACCCGCTCCCTCTCTAGCCCCGCCTTCTTTCTCTTTCATATCGAGCCTCTCTCCTTTTTCTTCATTGGCTGTTTTTCTCACAATCCCCACCACTCCATTTACTCACCCAGTTCTTCTTATCCTCTCATCTTTCACTCCAGGACCGATGCAGGCGGCTTAGGCTCACTCTGCAAGATCAGAACCAGTCAGGCTGCACCTCAGAGCAGACCAGCAGCAAGGTCAGAAATAACAGAGAGGAAAAGTTTTGCTTTGGAGCTAACTGGACCAACATTTACTCAACTTATTTTTCTCCTCTGGATGCAGGAGAGTAGCATCGCTGTAGTGCTGCCACACCAACAAGAGAAGGAGGAAGAAACACCTGAACTCATCACTCCTACAGCAGAAAAAGTTGAAGTCATAAAGGTAAGCTAGTTTCATTTTCTTTTTTTGTCGTCGATTCAAAGAGCCAGTTCCCGTTTTGATGCTTGTCAAAAACATCTTCCTGCTCTTGTATTATCTAACACACTCATGAAGCTGCTGTGTCATCCAGGTTTACCTTGAAGCTCGTCCAGAGACAGCAGAGAGTGTCAAGATGCTGACGGACGAGGTGTCCCAGATTCAGGAGGTCAGTGTGTGACAAACAGAGCTGACATTTAGACAATGACTCAACGCTTGACTGCTAAATGGAGAGTATCAGGGATGAGTGTTTGTTATAGGAAACTGAAATGCATGGGTTAAATAAGGTGAAGGGCTTACCAGTGTTTCTACTTAACACGCTCACTGTTTAATATATGATGTGCTTTTGTTCTCAGGTGAGGTACTGTCTGAAGACTCTCAGGGAGCAGATGGCAGCAAGGCAGAACAGCAACAACAACAAGGTACACACCCAGGAAAAAGACTATTTTTTCTGATTTTAGCGCTGAAATATTCCGACACTGTGTTTTTCATGTTATTAAAGATACTGTGAGGAGTTTTTAGCTGGCTGTGAAATAGACTGATTTCTCTTTGTGACCTTAAAAAGCAAACAAGATCATTAACAAGATGAGACACCCAGGAAAAAGACTGTTTGTCCCGATTTTAGTGCTAAAATACTTTGGGGTATTTCTTGCCTCATCTTTGCTTGTATTGGTGCTGTGAGCAAATTTAGGTTTGTGTCAGTTTTGGCGCCCCCTGTGGACAAGGAGAGACCTCTAATCTTTTGTCCTGTACATGTAAAAGAAGTTTTTCCAAAGTGAAATATCTCACTCACTGTTAGTATTTTCCATTTCGTACAATTGTGATCGGTCGTCTAGTTTGACACCTAAATTCACGACTTAGAAATTTTCTGCTTTGGTTCTCCGAAAAGAGGCATCAGTATCAGTTTTAGGCTATCTCTCCAACTGCTAAAAACGCATCACAGTGTCTTTAAAAAGTGATGCCCTTTTACTAACTGGCCTTCTTTCTATAGTATCCTGCCAATGGCTACAGAGTCAACGTGCCCAGAAACCAACCAGTCATCACCAACGGCTACAATATCCTCATTGAGTCAGACACTCAGGTGAGTTAATCAGCTGTCTGTAATGTCTCCAGAAGTGTGTCGGCTGTTAGACTAGAAAGAACCGCGCCAAGTGGGAGAAATTTATTTCAGATTTGACTAATCCGATTGTGCTCAAATTTTAAATGGCGTCTAAAATGCAGAAAAGCTCTTGGCTCTCCTTCTGTTTGCCTGCTGCTCAGAGGAAAACAGTGCCGGGCTCACTGAATCTCATGACTAAGCTTAGCACACACACACACACACACACACACACAGCAGAGGGTCTCGCTTACATTCTGACTAATGGTGCACACACAACAATATCGTATTTCCCATGCATTATGCGAGACTCAGCACAACAGCACATCCCCTGTAATAAAACACCCATGAAAGTCATGTGAGAGTGAAGAGGGACTGTGTGTTTTTTGGCTCTCTGTATAGTCTGACCTGTATATGTGGCATACAGGTAAGCTAGGGTCCATTTACTCAGCCCCTCATACTTGACATGTGTGTCTTTAGGCAGCCCAGAGCTAAAAGATAATCTCTACAGAGTTTAACAAACACCCAGCTTCTTTTCTAATGCTTGTGTCGCCTCTGGATACACCAAACAGCCTTTTAAAGGTGTAGCAAATGCCCTTTGAGCAGCCTCTCTTATCTGTTTGTGAGCTCCCATCTTGTCCTCAGGGTTCAAGTGCCCTGCCAGATTAACCCTAATTGAGCGTGTCACCTTCTGTCTGCCGGCGCTCTCAGGTCGAGGATAATCAGGAGGAGAGCGTGAGGCTCAGGGAGGCGACCAGACGTCTGTACGCCCAGCTGAAGGAGATGGAGAAGAGGCACCAGGAGGAGAGGAAAGCTCTGCAGGTCTGTCTCACCAGATGAGGAACATGACACAGTTTTCCTGTCTGCAGCTATGACTCAGCCCTCTGCTGCTCGCTCTCGCCTTCATTGATCTTTAGTATCTGTGGGTTTCATCCCTCATCCTGTGATCCTCTTCACATTCAGCCTCCGGTCATGTAGGGACGCTGTACACAGACTTTACTTTGTATCATCAGCTGATCTGGTTGCACTTTACAGCTTGTTTTGGATCGTCTTAATTGGGGTTGTGGCACAAGAAGTGATATATATTGAACCGTTAACACAGTTTCATCAGTTTTAAATAAGCAGGAGAAATAGTGGAAGGTTGTTATGAAGAGAAACTGAGTCATTCAGATGAGGAATAGAAAAAAGGAAGTATTATACAACAACATTAAATCAGTTTTTTTAACATAAACTTCTATTAACAACCTCTGCGCTCTTTCACTAACAACTTTTGTTACATAACTCAGTATTTACTCTTTGCCTCCTCTTATAGGCCGAGGCAGATGAGTACCGCATCCGTCTGGCTGAGCAGTCCGAACAGCTCCAGAAGGCAGAGGACCTGTCGGAGGAGAGGGGCCAGCAGGTGGAGGAGCTGCAGAGGCTTCTGGGAAGCCTAGAGAAGGAGAGCGGCAACCTCAAAGAGAAGGTGGCTGCCGGGGAGGCAGAGCTGCTGCAGCTTCGAGCGGCTAAGGAGGAAGGAACAGAGAAGGAGGCGAGGTGCGATAAGAAGTGACAGAGTCAAATACAATCAGTGGCACAGACAGAGAAAGAGATTTTTCTTTAGTGCTGTTTTGAATAAGTGATAGCATGAAGAATAAATTGGAAATGTTATAAGATTTCTTGTAAATAAGGGTGAATTAGTACCCTTGAATATCATTTAATATGTGAGTTCAGCTTCAATCAATCCAACTTCAGATCAAATGTTTGGTTTTGAAATAATTTTAATGAAATGTGGAGTTCACCCTGTGCTCAAATGAAATATTTCAGATAATCTTTATTTCCTTTTCTTGTATTTTGACTGAGTTTCCTCTTTGTGCGCATGTTTGCAGATGTGAACAGCTCGAGAAGGAGTTGGCCATCCTGAAGGAAAAGATCCACCACCTGGACGACATGTTAAAAAGCCAGCAGAGAAAAGTCCGCCACATGATCGAACAGGTATTTAAGCACCACCCACAACCAAACACACTTACGCACTCATTAGCGATGAGCTTTCCAGTGCCCGTAAACGCACAGGAAGCCATTAATAGAGGAATTAGATTCTGAGGAGGCAGACACACTCTGTTATTGATTTAAGGGATGGGAAGTTAAGCGCTCTGAAACAAAAACCCACCAGTCATGAATAAGTGATGCTTCTTTTGCTGCTCTTAGAGAGGTGAGCTCGGTGGTTATGTTGCTTGTTTTGTCTGTGATAAAGCTGCAGAATTCCCGGACAGTCATCCAAGAGAGAGACCGAGTCATCGGTGATCTGGAGGAGAAGGTGGCTTTCCTGGAAGCTGAGGTCAGCAGCTTTGATTTAAATGAAATCTATATCTACGTCTCTGTTTCCATTCAGCCAAAAGCTGGAACATTTTTCAGCACTTTTATATCTTTTGCCCCTTTCTGTCTGCAGAACAGAGAAATGCATGACCACATGGAGTACTTACTGGCAGGACAGGACCCTCCACGCCTGACATCCTCTGGGAACAAGCCAGAGATTGTCTACAGGTGAGAGATCAGTTACCATTCAACATTATCGATCATTTTCTCCTTCAATCCTTTAACACTTATGTTCTCTCTCTGCACAGTAAACCACTCACACCGACATCTGCAAACAATAAGGCCCTCCCGTTCATCAAAGTCATTGAGATCATGTCCTGAATGGAGAGACAACCAGTGGTATGACCGGAGGTTAAAAGCATTGTAAATAGACAGATAATTTCACCATCTACTTAGCGAGAAACAGCTCTGCAGTGATAAAAACAGGCTGCCTTCACAGACCTCATGGTGTCAAAGCACACTGGTCATCCCTTTGTACCTCATAGCTCCTTTCAAGGCTGCTCTGCATGCCTTTTCTAGCTTTTTTCGCCGTTTCAAACAGTATATGAGAGCGAAAAGTTTCAAAGAAATTCAAAGTGTGTCAAGAAAGAAGCGAGGAAAGAGCTGTGCAAAGAATTTTACTGAACTCTTTCTGTACTTTGTTGGCACATCTTGAAGATGTAAGAGTTTGGTAAAGTTCTTGGTGCTGTAAAAAGTTTCTTTCAGTCTGCAGTCTGAAATCAGCTGTTTGAACCTCTCTGTTTAAAATGATGGGTTAAGACTAAAACTTGTAAGTTCTATTAAGTTTCTATGATGCATCCTTTCAAAATATGTATAAGTAATGGGATTGTGTTGAGTGTTTTAAGGATTTCTTCAGCCTCCTTCCTGAGCGTCAGGGTTCAGGTCACATTCCTCAGTGCTTTGCACCACATTGCCAACAGCAGGCATGCAGTCGTTGATACTAAAACATGAGTGATGTTTAACTTAAATGTAGTTCTCTGACATGACAGGGAGTTGATATATTAAGATTAATAATGCTATGTTAAGTTTTAGTTATGCTGTAATAAGACATGCTTGTAAAGCTGGAGGTTAGTTAGTTTGCTGCCATATATGAAACATAGCGCTTATAAAACTGCTTATCTTGCTTTTTCCTCGTTTCTAAACATGTTTTGTAAAGTCCTTAAAGTTCTTCTTCTGTTATGTGCTTTCCTTTATGATCCAGGATGGACATTTTTTATAAAGTGTGTTACCATTTACTGTGAACATTGTAGATAGATTCATTGAAGTTAAGTCTGTTTCCTTTTGTCTTATTATTATTATTATATTATATACTATTCTATATATTATTATATTTTAATACGTTATCAAACTTGGTTTGTCTGTTGTATTTGTTAAGCTATGACCTAATTTATCTTCTCTCCTGTTGCATCTTTCCTCTTTAACCTTGTACTGCCACCTAGTGGAGAAAATAAAGACATTAAAAATGAAAGCATGAGGGGTCAAGACTGTTTTATTCTTGAACCACAACATCACATTGATACAAACACAGTCAGGAAAATAAATTATCCTCCATATAAACCTCTTAACTCTGCATAAATAAAGTGAAATAGAAGGGACAGTCATATTTACATTCAAGGAAAATAAAAAAGTGAAACTTTTTACAAAGAAACCCAGGCAGATTTATTACAATCATGTTGTTCCTGGGAACACTCTTGTAGGTCCAAAATCAGAACCAAGACCTCAGCGTAACTGACCTGGTCACCCGATCACCTTAAACAACTTTTGGTTTCCCTTTAATCTGCGTTGACACACACATACACACACTTCCCAACAATGGGTCCCTCACAGTGTGCTCTCCAGTGTGTTGTAGTTGTCTTTGAAACTTTTCAGCTCCAGGAAGTGTTTGGGCCTCTTGCTGCGCTGACCTGTGGAGGGTAGGTAGGTGACCTGGATGGTAGAGGGGGTGCCACGGACAGGAGAACCCGTCAGGTCCTTCGCTGCTGACTGGTGATGCTGGTCTAAGCTGGTGGTGCTGGAATAGGCTTTTACCCTACATGGAGAAGAAAAATGAAAACAGCATGAGATCTTTAATTGATGGAGACGAGTTCAAACCTATCCTGTATAGACATGCCTGTTCTAAAAGGACATGAAGATCACTCTTTCCCAGAATTAAAATGTTTTGTAGTTCTGAAAACACTTTACCTTCAATTAAAAAGGCCTCAGGTTTTAATCATTCATTTGGTTTGAATCAATACATAAACGTCTATTAATTCCATACCTGTTCTCCTCAATAGTTCCCCTCAAATCAAGACACATCTTGTGTTTTATTTTGAAGCATGTGATCTCAAATATATGAAACTCTAATACTGCACTTACACATCAGCTAGTTCATTGAGAGCCTGCTGGTATTCAAGAAACTCAGCTTCCCCAAACACCTTAAACAAAGAGATAGAGTAAGATCAGTGGCATGTTCAAATATAAATCAAACCAGGTTCTGTTCTCTTTATTCTCTTTAAAAAAATATCATTTTCTCACCCCGGTCCCATGTCGAGCGCTGTCATAACCCTCAAGCAAACGGTCGATAAGTGCGCTGCGGCTGCTTTTGATCAAAGAGTGGGAGTTACGCAACTCCAGCAACCAGTTCCTGAAGTTTCGTCCTGTGAAAGCACTGGGACAGCGGCTTATCTCCTGCAGGGGAATACCTTAGGTCCAGACAGGATGGAACAAGGATATTAGAGAGGACAAAACAAAACCTTGCAATGAGTATTACTTAGTAAGCACAGTGAGCATTATCTATGTGTAACAGAGCAGGCTTAAGTTGGTATAACTAGAGAAGCAAGTGGTCGGCAACATTCATCTCTCGAGGGGGAGTCTAACTTGGTGTTATGGTGTGTTTGACCCTAAATTAATTTTACGCCAGAATATCCCTTTAAGGATTTGTAGAACACAGGTTTTTAGATCCACTGCTCTGTCATATGAGGTAGTAAATATGCAAAAAGATGAGGTTCATTTACTTGAAATGAGAAAATATTGCATGTGCTTGTCAAAAACCAGTTGTAGGCTTGAGAATTCAACCCCTACCTGAGTCTCGGATGGCATCTAGAGCTCTCATTCTGTACAGGTAGTTGTAGCAACCTTTGAATAAGAACATGATTTTGTTAAAATGCTCAAAGGAAAGGCTGTGTTCAGTGATAAAATGAGCTGATGAAGTGACTCACTAATTTGTGATCCGTGTTTCAGCCTGTCATCTTCCTCTGATAGGAGGCGAGGCTCAAAACGGATCTCCTGGACCTTTGACAACTTGGAGTCAATCTCCTCCCTCAGACCCTAAATATTCATTCATAGATAAAAAAGAAACTCTCTTAGACCAACAGCAGCTTCATATAAGTCCAGAAACCCCTGAAAACAAGGTGAATAGGGGAGACCGGGGCTTGTTGTCACACTGCCATGTTCTGTTTTTCTTTTGTAATTCCTGACCATGTCTTTTTGCTTTCTCCTCTCCTTTAAACCACTTTTTTATCTGTAAAAATAAAGTCCAAATTTAAATATGACAACTGTTGATGATTAGAGTCTCAATGTTAATTTTAATCCCTTTTAAACATGTGACAACTAACCCCAAAATGACTGAGACATGTTGCCCCAAACTACCATGTTTGCTTATTCTAGCTCTAGCTTAAAGTTAGCTTAAAACAGAACAATAACTTCTAACGAGTCCACATGTAACACTGCTGGGATTTTCATTTTGGAGAAGCTTATTTTAAAATATACAAAGTTAATTGTTTTTACTTTGGGTTGTGCAAAATGGTTAATTGGCGCTCATCTCAGCTCACAATGTGGTCTTCTCTTCCCAGACAGGACACAACCCCTGACCATATAAAGGTAGAAAACTAGTATTCCACTTTTTAGTTGCGCCCTTTGGTGGCAAAGATAATTGCAATGTGACAACCATGTGAGAACAAGCCCCGGTCTCCCCTACTACCTCATGAAGGAGTCACTTTACCTTGGGTGCATTGTGTCCAATTGGGGCGTGCGGTCCTCGGCGGGATCTCATAGCGAAACGCATAATCTGCCTTTTGACAAAGATAAACAGCAGCACAAACACCTGCACAGAAAACCACATGAGAGGGGGTGAGGGTTTTGATTCAGCGCATAAGAGGAGACAGAAAGTGCGTTTTAACGCTACTTACCAGGCTCCCGTAGGCCATAACCAGAACAACATTAACTCCTGATAACGGCGCTGAGTCTGCCATGATATCCGTCAATGTGAACGACACCTATCCACAGGAGGTCGATAAACTAGCTAGCAAAGCATGTAAAAATCCTCTGTTGCTACATTAGCTTACTGGCTACCAGTCAGCTGTCCATTTAGAAAACATTACCACTTCCGCCTTTGCAAGGTTTTATCTTTTAGGTTACAGCTTTATAAGGACGTTTCTATATGAAGAAGCGATACAGCGACGGTATTGTCAGTCATTGTCATGTTAAGCAGCATTTAGCACGAAAAACGCAGTTTAGCTTTAGCAGGAGCAACGCACTACTACGGTAACAACCCGTTTACGACAGTTATTACCGTAATAACTGAGTGAGAGGGGCAAGAAAGGTTTAGAAAAACAAACCTGTGAAATTCCACTTTGCACAATGTAATTATTTGATATGTATACATTTCTAACAAATCCTTTGAACCTGCTGCTGAATATATTATTTAATAAATTATTCCATATAGTTTTTTTTAACCAAATTTGATATAAACATCAAGAACAATGTTGAGCAATGCGTTTCAATGTTATTGTATTAAATTGTGTCATATTTTTCATAATAGAAGTGAAATAAAGCAATTTTGTTGCGTGTTGCATTATGTTCTCTGTCTCCATGTGTATTTATTATAATAATAATATAATTATAATGACTTATACTTTTCAAAGTACGTTGTAACTTCTTTTAAAATATTTCTGTAATTTTATTTTATTTTTTAATAAATGCACGTTACCAAATTCACAACAAAACAGTAGAGTAGCTTAAAATTTTTTAGATTAGATATGTGTTGTTTATAGTGTAAAAACTTGTATATTACCTCTATATTTAACTTATTTTACCTATTTTATCTATTTATCTCTAAATTTCATTTCATCTATAATTTATCTCCTCTTTTACTGTATTTGCACTAAAGTACTGTGACAAAAACTATTTTAAATTGATTTAAAATTAAACTAGTTACAAAGTACCTTGTTGAGTACTTTCTTACTGGTTTTTAAATATTACTGTAATTTTATTTTATTTTTTCAATGAATGCACGTTACCAAACTCACAACAATACAGTACAGTTACTTGAATTTTTCAGATTAGATGTCTGCCATTGTTTCTAACCTGTGTTAAACTCCTCATCCTGTGACATGTCCTAACTATGTCGCTAATATCAAACTATTTTAGTGAGTGTGTGATCACATGCTGACTGTGGGTCCAGTTTCCTCGAAGCGCTCTGTGGACCACGTGACTCAGCTCTCCGTGGTGTCAGAGTGGAAAAGAAACAGGTAAATTCAGTCTCTCGCTTATTGTGTGAGCGAGTCGGCTCGTTATATTTTCCCCAATTTGGTTGTATCAAATTGGGATTGAGGAATTATATCCTGTCCTTTAATCTGACTAGAAGGTCGACAACGAGACCACTTGTCGGTCGGTTGTGTAGCAGTGTCTAATATTGAGCCGGGTTTCTGGTCAGTATCGCCTGTTATTTATTTTCTTTTCAGGGGCCTGCAGGCCTACCTTTAGCCTCGGTTATTTGTTTGTGGAAAGACCAGCCATCAGATTGTACTGCGGTCAGAATAATCGTGAATAATAAAGAGTGGAGTTGCAGATTTTAGAGCAGCTACATGCTAAGGTTGAGAGCGTTTACATGCTAACGTAGCCTAGCCGTGTTGGTTAACTTAGCATGGCTAACCAGGGGGGCATCGTAGTGACATGGGCGTTTTTGGTTTAGTCGGACATGAAAGCTTTAGTGTTTGCCTGCAGCTGATTAGCTATTTATTGTCACGGCTATCAAGCTTAGCCGGTCAAAGCTAACAACTTCTGTCGTTGTAACGGCTGTTTTTTCTCCTCCGCTTCTCCTGCTTTGACGAGTTAGCTAGCGTCAGTCTGGGGTAAAGTTAGCCTCGTTGTCGCCATGAGGTGAAGCCGTGAGAAGCGGAAACCCACCGAGACTTCATCTTTGGATGCTTTCCCCGTAACTATTAGCCAATTTGGCTAGCATTTTGGCCATGTGGCTGGCTAGCAGACCTTAAGTATGTTCCCCAGGGCCTGGCTTTAGGCTTGTTTGAGGGCTAGTCCAAACAGGGTTTTACGTAACGTGTGCAAGATTAAGGAGTCGCTGTCGATAGCAAGGTTAACAGTTTACCATCAGAAAGAGATGATTTATAAATCGGCTGGCTAATCCGGGTGTTTGTGCACATATATCTATCATAGTTACATCTGTGTTTGACATTATTTGTCTATTAAACACCATGGTGGTTATCTCACACAGAGAGTATTGCATAATGTGCTGAAGAGGTAAGTAAGTTGGCTGGTGTTGTGCACTTGTAAGCCCTGAATGCTGCAGCAGCACCCAGTGCACCGTGGCACTCCTGCTTCCCGGGTCAAACCCGCGTCAGCCTGAGAAAAAATGGCTAAAAAGCCTCTTTGTTTCTAGGCGTTTCTAGCAACAAAGCTGGTGGTGTCTTATTGAAACCACTGCTAAGCGTCTCCCCACTGGGCTATAAGCTGTCAGGCCAGTTTGAGGAAGTAGTATTCAAATGTAGTACCAGTACCAGATTATGTTCATGGCAAAAGTAGGTCATTGTCACAGCTCTGTAACACCTCTCTCTCATCCTTCCTCCCCACAGGTCTTATTCCTTTGTAAATACTGTTATTTGTATATACTGTAAATGATGACGTCCATGGGCGGGAACAAAGCCCGGGGCAACTGGGAGCAGACACAGGGCCAGACACAGAGCCAGACACAGCACAAGCAAAGGCCTCAGGTACCCTCACTCTCTACACCTGTCACTTTGCCCGGATGCATAATTTAGTGTACCAGGGTTCAATAAAAGCAAGTAAACGGCACTGAATGTAACTTTTCTTGTTACAGGAAAAGTTTCTGGCTTAAAAGCTTTAGGGTCTATACCAGCAATTAATCAGTGTAACATATCTTAATGCAACACATGTCCAGCAGCTTAGTAAGTATGGTTAACAGGCGCAGAGGGCAAAGCCTTTCATACAGTTGACACTTGTAATAAAAAATAGTTCAGCAGGTCTTAATAGTCTATTTGTAGTAGGACTGGGCGATATAGGAAAAAGTTTATCACGATATATTCTTTTCATATCAGTCGATATCGCTATATATCACAGTATAAAAAATGAAATTTAACAGTGCTTATAGGTAGCATGTCTTTTGCAATACAATAAGCTACTGCATCTGTGAGGTCTTTGTGTCTCTTCAATGTTTTGTCATAAAGTGGACAGGATGGGCAGCTGTTTCGGCTGCACAGGCGCCATGGGCTCCTTGCTATGCTCAGGGTTTGTAACCTTTTGCATTGCGCATGCTCTGCCGCGTGGCACTGCGTCAGGTGGTGAAAAAGATTTTCGGTATACCCTATCTTTGCGAGAACATTATTCTGCTTTCATTGACTGTTTATATTGTCTACCAGAACATGGCAGAATGCTGACTATCGAAAAGCATATTGACCATGTTTTATATTGATATTGATGGAAATGAATTTTCGATTTATATCATTGTCGTTTTATCGCCCAGCCCTAATTTGTATATTGAGTATTACACAAATTTGATGGTGAGAATTGGTAGTTTTGTCAGATCTTTTACAGGTCGAATCAAGACTGATGGCAGTCCTTTCTGCTGGATTAGACATTAAAGGGATATTCCGGCATAAATTTAATTTAGGGCCAAACGCACCGTAACACCGAGTTAGACACCCCGCCGAGCGTTGAATGTTACGGACCGCTTGCTTCTCTAACATTTATGATCATTTCTTCATGGACATACAATCAGACCGAGACGCTGAGCCGGGAGAACTACCGCGTCTGCAGTGCAAAACGATTAATATGATGATTATTACTTTAAGAAAATGATAAAGAAACGATCATAAATGTTCTTCCTTGAGCTGCGTCACCCCGCAGCAGTCCGTAATGGACTGGCCGAACAAGCGGCTGCTGGAGGAGAGTGAGTGAGTTGTGTTTAGTCTCTTTGCTAAAGAAATTAGGCAAAGCCAAAGCATATCCTGTTTTGATATGAAAAAGTAGGCCCTATCCCTGTATTTGCAGTTACCAGACGTTTCTGTCCCTTTTAAACAGGCTACTGCAGAGCAGATCCGACTTGCGCAGATGATTTCAGACCACAATGATGCAGACTTTGAAGAGAAGGTCAAACAGGTGAGATGTACATCCTTTTGCCCTACTTAAACCTCCTTGTGTTTTCCTCGAGATATGTATGTGTGTGTCTTTATATCAGGCTGTGTTGATTTGGTTTTGAAAGTGCACCAATACAATATCTAGCATTCAGTGATGTGTTGTGTACCTTATTATTGATTTTAAAATGATAAATTTAAAATGAGAACCTAACATGACATCCAAGGTCTGAAAGTTCTCCAACCAGGTCACCAGGACCTTTTGATAAGAGAGTTTATCTTTCGCATGCCCAATCATATTGCCTAATGATTTGAAGACATTAAATAGAGGGTATGGTGTCACAGTTAGTGTGCTTTTACCTAACACTGTTCAGACTGTGTGTGTGAAAAACATGGTGCATAAGTCTACATAAGAGTATTTAAGTGTCACTTGTGGGTCACCTCTGTGTCTCATCATGCCACTCTTTCTGTCCCAGCTGATTGACATCACAGGCAAGGACCAGGACGAGTCTATGATTGCACTGCACGACTGCAACGGGGATGTCAACAGAGCCATTAACGTGTTGCTGGAGGGCAGCCCAGACACTGTGAGTATTGGCTTTGTGTGAGGGGTGAAGCGCCGTAGGGGGGCATATTCTGGAGATCTGCAGTGGATTAGATAACTATGATACTGGACCAACACTGTCCTCTGTTAAGGCGTTTGCAAGGACGTGAACATGGAAAGAGGAGAGGTTTAATCCGCCAGTAGAAATAAACATGCTTGTGAAGCTCAGAGGGTAGATGGAGAAGTTTACTGAGCACACTCACTTAACTTCCCTAGTTGGCCGCTTCTCCATGCCCCCAGTGTGTTTGCTCTGATCTCAAACACCTTATCAGTAGAATAATTAAACAGAAGCTGAGTACAGTGGTTGGAAGATAGCGTATGAGAAATTCTTACTGCTTTTAACATTTTAATTGACTAAACAAAGACAGTAAATCGGCCTTCATTGTGGAAAAGAAAAAGTGTAAGAAGAGCATCAGGGGACGTTCAAACCAGACAGATTGGAAATTAGTTTTACCAGAACACGAATCAGTCCTGATAAGCAGTAGCCAGCTACCTCCATTGTAAAGATACAATCTAAGTGGATAGGATTTAAAATTGAAGCTAAGTCAGAGTGGCTTGGTGGGAAATGGCCAACACGAGAAACAGAATTATTTTTTTTGTTTTTACACTCATTTTAACTTCCAGCCATTATGAAAATTTTAACTGAAACGAAAACAGAGAAGTGTTCAGATATAGACTAACCATGCTGTGAGAAATTAAAACATGTTTACTTCATCAAATCACTGGCTGACCACAACATTTCCTCCAATCAGTGTCTCGCTGACCACCAGACCACACGTGCCACCTGCTCTGTTTATGCATGGACACAGTTCTGTTGTGTTGGAAATGTAAAAAGGGACAACAGGGTGATACTGTCTTATTTCTTTCTAAGGACTCTTGGGAAATGGTGGGGAAGAAGAAAGGGGTGTCAGGCCAGAAGGAGACGAGCCAGGCGGAGACCGGGGACGAAGGAAAAGAAAACAGGGAGAAAGGAGGAGAGAAAGATGTTGCACGTCGTCGAGGCGGGGCGCCGCGTAAGGGCCGCGGAGCCAGCAGGGGACGAGAGTGTGAGTGTCAATGAATCCTTTTGCTGTTTCCTGTTTTCCACTTCATGGTATAAAACTATCTATACGCTTCGTTAAGTCGTGTTGTTTACGTACTTTTTTGGCTTTAGCTTTGGATTCCACTGTCACTGGTCTTCTTGGGGAGTTAGCTGGAGTGCGTTTGCGTGTATGGACAAACTAAACCTGAAGTTTGTGATGCTGGTTGACTCTGCTGTGCTTTTGAAAAGGAATTACACGTCTTCGTAATAACAAGTTGTCTGCCGTTGGCTCACCTGGCTGCATCTTTTTCGTTTCCTCCAATTCTCCCAAACAATATTTAAAACCTGTCTGTGGACGAGAATTGCAGAGAGCTATCCTTTTCATAGACGAGTATCTTGTCAACAAATTTGCAACATGCCTCCTGCTATTTACATCATGAGATCATTTTCTTTCCTCAAGAGTTTGACACCTCATTTCATCAAAAACATGTGACCGTAGCGTGAGCGTTCTCGCCCTGCCGGATCCTGAGTTTATCTTCTGTCTTTGAGTGACACTTTCCAGATAAGGCTGTGCTTCAAAATAAAACTACCTTGATAAGCGATCAAAAAGACACGTGTGAAGTAAAGTAGGAGTAGAAAGAGTTTGTCTCACAAAAACAAGAGTGGGTAACTTTTGTAAACATTATAACTGTCTTTTTGATGAGAAGAATAATATAAATGTTTTAAAGGATTTTCAAAAGAACAGATAAAAGATAAGGGTAGCGCCTCTGCTCAGCGGTAGTCATCTATTCATCAGCGTGATGTATTAAAGATCATGTTTCCTTGCATGTTTGCAGCTCACTAGTCGACCATTTTCGCCCCCAAACTGTTGTCCTGAAGGGGTTGAGGAGGGAGCAGCAAGAGATTTATTATTCATCTTTATTCTGAATGATTTGGGCTATCAGTCAGAACCACATTTTGACCCATTTGCTCTCTACAGTGCAGCACATATTATCTCTAAATCCTCTCTCTTTTGAACCCCAAGTTCGAGGTCAGGAGAACGGCTTGGATGGAGGAAAGGCCGGAGTCGCCGGGAGAGGCGCAGAGCGAGGCCGAAGGGGAAGAGGCAGAGGAAGAGGGACAGTCGGTAAGTGGCGCTTCTCCCCATTTAGTCAGACTTCTTTGGGAAGGAAATTGATCAAATCTAAACAAACAGGACATGAGTGACTCTTTCATTTGCTCTTATTTGGTACAAAAGTTGTCAAACTGAGAAACTGAAGCAGTCCTCTGTTGTCTCTATAGGAGTGTCTGGACGGCGAGGAGGCAGATTTTCGGCACAGGGCATGGGGTAAGGGAACACCTGCGTTGCCCAAAACCAGAGTTCCTTTTGTTCCACTTTTACCTGTTGCCATGGTCACCAGAGAGCAGGACCCTAGTCCATTGTTTAGCTTTAATCCAGCAGAGGGTGGACATATGTGAGCCAATGGGATAGAACAACGTGGGCTGAATATCCCTCTTTGGAGAGTGCAGTGTACAAACATTTGATTTAGAGTGAAAATTGGATAAATCCACATAGAAAAGACCAATTTGGTTGACTTGACAATACTCTCTGCTCTCTGGCCTGTGGCAGCAGCGTAATCCAGTTGCACGTGGCTTATTCTGTGTATCACTTTCTATGTGTGTGCTGTAAATAACACTGGTGTGGCAGAGGAAGAGTACGCATCTTGATTGATAGATGTCCAAATAGAGGAAATACTCCTTTCAGCTGTACTGACATTCTTGCCTCATTCCTTTTATTTAATCTGAGGTACCGTAGTGGGGCTCAGATGTGCTGTCTCTGGTGATTTGAACCCAGATTTGATCTTGCTCTGCAGCTATAGATTTTTACATCCTTTTACTGAGGCTGCAAATGTGACTTGAAGTGGCTGCCAGTAGTAGAGGGAAGCGCTGAGTGTTTTTTTGCCTGTGAGAGGATTTCTACTCTATGGAAACGGAAAATTGACAGCGTGTGAGTGTATATTGGAAAGAGGCGGCATGACCTTAGAAGAACTAGGCGATGGTGCGCACTGTCACTTTTTAAGACCAGAAAACCTCACAGCTCTTTTATTGCACCACCAGCCTTCAGCCCTCCTCGCTGCTTAACGACCACATGCCTATACCGGTTGTGCATTCAGCCAGTCAGATTGTTATGTGTCAGTTCAACTCGACTACAAACGACTTCATTATCATTTTTCAAGATCCGAATGCTTCCAGATTGAGCTGCGTCATGAGGTGCCATCTGTCATCTGTGCTTGTTAACGTCAGGGCACCAGACCTTTATAGCAGCAGTCACTGACCAGAGCTGCAGTCTTTGGAGGCAAAGAGACAGACCTTTAACCTTCCTGTTAAGAGCTGCAGTGTGGACGCCTGTCAGTCAAGTCAGCCACGCCACTACTAATGCAAAGATCATTATCTTAATCTTTTCAGGAAGTGATAAGTCATAACCGGTACAAGTAGGGCTGGGCGGTATGGGAAAAAGTTTATCAGGATATATTTTTTTCATATCAGTCGATATCGATAAAAATGTTTTATAAATGTTTTCTGTTACTCTTAAATGAAATTTACTAGTGCTTATTGGTAGCATGTCTTTTGCAATACAATAAGCTACTGCATCTGTGAGGTCTATGTGTCTCAACGTTTTGCCGTAAAGCGTTGAGCTAGAGAAAGTGGACTGAATTGTCGGTTCAGTGCAGCGCAGACCTGGGGCAGCTCCCCTTTTCATTGGCTATTCGTATAGTCTCCCAAAACATGGCAGAATGCCCGCTATCGAAAAGACTTGACCATGTTTCATATGGATATCAAGGGAAATTCATTTTTGATATATATCTTTATCTTTTTATCGCCCAGCCCTAGTACAATGTGTACGTAATGAACTAAAACATTTTTTAACCAGGTTGTCAATAGGCATCGTTTTGCTGTCTAGATGGGCTTTTTTTAATGGATGTGTATGTGGCTTCGATACTTTTGCAGCCAGCCTCAAGTGGACACTCTAGGAACTGCAGTTTTTTTGCAGCATTAAACATGATGGAATCTAGAGAAATATTTTGAGTTTTGTTTTTCGTCAGCTTGATAAATATACCTCTGATGTGTGTTGTCAGATGATCGTACACTTACAGGCAAACGGAATAGAGAAATGGGATGGGACACACTGTTGTGTATTAAGACAGGAAGGGTGTGGGTGTGTATAGATAGTAGATCTGAAGAAGTGCAAAGTGAGCAGAAAGGTACATGCAGATGTGTCTCGCATATCTATAATATGATTTTCTGCTAATATGATTACTAATATGATTATACTAGTAACGATAAGCTCGTTTTAGGTGAGCTGAAAACGGAGGCTTTCCACTGAGATAGCATGTAGTGCTCGCTGATTTGTTTTCCTCTTGACTAACCTCTCATATCACACAACACAACCGCTCTGATTGCTTTTGCTTCTCGCTGCCAGCAGACAGCTCAGCAGCTTGGCTTCAGTGTCATTTTTAACACGCCTGCTTCAAAGTAACACACAGGAGTTTAAACGCAGCGGCCGCGAAGCACACGAGCTGTTCTCATTTTATAACATTGTGATAAGGATGGTCAGTTGGAAGTTTGCTTCTCAAAGTGTAGGTCCGGTGCCACCACTTTCAAGATGATGCAAAGCCATTTTCCTCTGTTTACAATGCACCAAAAATGTTTGCATAACCCCGATTCAAACGGAGTTCACAGGGGAAATGAGTCTTTTACTTTATTAGTGATGAATATGCTGATTAAGGAGAATTGCTTTTAAACTCAACAGAGTTGGACGATTATTGATTTAAGTTCTCAGTATTCACAAATGTTGGGTTTCAGCCAGAGAAAGTAGATGATATTGTTTGATTTCAGCAAGGAGGCGGCTTATTGATGCAGAAAACATCTTAGTGTGAAGAATTTCAGAGATAAATCAACTCACTCCGTCTTTTATAGAGTGGACTAAGTAAGACATAAGGAGGTACTGTGAAATATGAGAGATGGGAAATGTTGTTTGGATCATTTTGATACTCAACTACAATGACACGGGTCGTCCACAGAAGATATTAGGTGTATTCAGGGTGGAAGTACAGTCTATGATGTTAAAATAATCACATCTCCTGTCATCTCAGAGAGCTGGACCATATTTCATTCATGCTAGTGTCGACACATCATTGTTGTCCAGGATTAATCCAACAAATATTTACCTTAAGTTACTGTACTGCAACTGACTGCCCTGCAGGCAGTTTCTGTGTCCGTTTGTCACATGACCATTGAATGTAAACATGCATTCGAGTTGCGATACCTGGAAAACACTGGATTATGCAAGAGATGCATTTTTAGACCACGTTGTCCCGCTAGTCTCAGTGTTTGTTGATATTTGGGGCACACATATAGACTGCCAAACTGACAGGGTCACAGAGTGCTCACTTTATTGTGTCGTTATTGTAGGAAGGAAAAGAAATGTCTGTATTAGTTTGTGCTGATACCTGCAGCTCTTATCTCAGACATATATAAACAAAGAGGTGAAAGTTCAGCTACATTTTGCAGAAGCAAAACTCATCACGTTGCAGAATAATTACTTACAAACCTTAACGGCGAATTTCATCCGATGCACTTTTCTGTCCTCAGATTGAAACAAACATTTTGAAGTCAGTCCTGTTGGTCAATAATAGACAAAAGAAATCCTTGTTGAAATTGGCAGGTTAAAAGATAGTGAGCTGGCGAGAGGAGGTGACTTAAGGTTTGTGTTACGATGCTGTTGTTAGGACATGTTTTGTAAAAAGGCCTTGAGGCAAACACCAGTTTTGTCATCTCGTCTTCCTACAAGCACTTTTTTAACACAAAAACAAGGAAATTCACAGGCGAGTAAATTGAGCAAACTTTGTATTCAGATCCAGGCAGCTGCACTCGTGAGCTTTGAACAGCAGCACTGCAGGCCGTCCTACTATGACCTGCAATAATTCATAGTCAATGCGTCCACCTCCTCCTATTAAGGGTTTATTATGAGACATAATGTGTAAATGTTTTTGTCTGTTTTTTTCCCCCGCTGTAATCAGAGACTCCATTCTGCTTCTCTGCCACTTTAATTTAAAGCCAAACCACAGACCAGTGAGACCAGGAACACCAGGCTTTAGATAACCAAACAAAAGTTTTAGCCAGTGACATCACTTCAGTCCTTCATCACTATGCTGCTTGTGCAGTGTGTGTCTGTGTGTCTGTGTGTGTTTGAAGAGCAGCCTTTGTCGCGTTGGCAAAACAAGTTTGTGATTATTTGATGTGATTTTTTTTTTTTAGTCTAATTTTCTTTTCAAAGATATGTTTGTTTGGCACTTTTGCTTTTATGAGGACAGCTGAGGAGAAAGAGAGGAAATGTGAGGAGGACAGTGTGGGGGGAAGATGTGCAGCAAAGGGTTGTGGTAGGAAATCGAATAAGCGCCTCAGCGTAGCCTCTACATGCTGGGGTCTGAGACTACTAGACCCCAAGTCTGGGACCTGAAAGGAGGCTGTAACAGTATCAATAAAAACTGATTTTACCACAGCTTTGTTCAGCTCATCGACAGTGTTACGCTGTAGATTTGTTCCTTTTTAAGCCTGAATCGTGTTGAGTTTGCTGCTCGCACTAATACTATTAAACAGTGACTTTTGAGCTGTTTATCTGGAGTTCTTTTTGTTTTCTTGGCCTGTGAAAAAATGAGACGTTTTTATCTAACAACAATCCAACTTTTTTTGTATTTTACTCTTGCATACTGCTAATTTGGGCGACAGTCTGTTGTGTCTGCAGCTGCATTGTGTCTCAGTGAGTTAAGCTGCTTTCACACACATGGCTAGAAGCACGCTGGGTTGCCTTGCATTGTAAAGTAACTGACAGATACAGAGTTTGTTTTAGGCAGATTACAGGCATTTTGCTTACGCTGTTGCTTCTGACAGTGGTTTGAATAACAAGCTTGTGTTACACTGAAACCTTTGTCATGCATTTTCTAATTGTTTTTATTTTTTATTTTTCTCTAAAGCCAGATTGATAAGGGGCCCAGGTTTGATAATGCAGGAGGGTGAGTGCATCACCTCTGGTATGTTTGTAATTCTTTCTTCAGGGGGATTTTTTTTTGTTCGTGTTATAAAACAGGATGATGTAATTTAAGCCTTTTACTGTATAACTTCTAAAAAAAGTAATGATAAAACAGAAATGAGTTTCTTGAAAGTTAACTGCCTTCAGATTTGTCCGACCAATACTGAAAGTTGCTTGGCTCGGCTTGACGAATATTGAAAGTAGCTCGGCTCGGCTCGATTCAAAAGGAAAGTGTAGGACCTTATCGTGTTGCTAGGTTGCAGAAGCTTTTATTTTCTCTGCATACACACAGATGTGTCAGGTTAATGAAACGCAGGCAGGCCTGGGGAAGAGTTGCAGAGGAAAAACAAAAACAGCATTAAAGGCTTAAACCCCTTCGACTTGCATGTCTTGACTACACAAACTTCAGCCTCCTATCATTTCCTCATCTTGTCTTCCTATCATAACCACCATCACTCCACTGTGTCTCTCCAGATCAAAGCTTAATGATGATAGCAATAGTGCTGGAGTCCATTCAGACAGTATTGATAGTGAAATAAACAAACACAAAACCGAACAGATTCAAAACTTTGATCTGCAGTGGAGAAGTTAAGAAACCCAAGACCTGGTTTGTGCTTCGGTTTGAGTACATAAACCTCCATCCTAACTCGACCATCTTTCCCTCCTCCTCCCTAGAACTTTTGACCCAGCTGATTATGTGGAGCCAGCCCAGACAGAAGAGAACTACGGAGGGGGCAGCACCTGGAACAACACAGGAAGCGTGGAGATGGAGGAGGGAGCGAGTAAGTTAATTTATTCACAAAGGTCACCCTCAAATAAAAGAGAATCTAATCTTATCACAGAGGCATCTGCTTAGCATCCCAACAAGTTTGAAATCATGTTCAGCATCCTGTGGTTCAATTATGTGCAAAACAAACAAGCCCACTGTTGGTTACAACCACCCAAACCCCACATATTTGTTTTCCTCTGGTTGTCTTTGCGTCGAGGCGACTAAAGTAAAATCATCTTTCCATTTAATCCAACTTTGATCTCCTCACCTTTGATCTTCCTCTTTGTCTCCAGGGTTGGAGTACTCAGCAGGAGAGGGACCAAATTACCCACCCAAGTTTGACTCTGCTCCTGGTAAACCTGTCTTTACTTATCCCACCCCCCCTCTTTATTTATTTAGTACATCCTTTATTCTGTTCAAAGCTGGCACTGAACAGTTTTCTCTTTGACTCGTAGGTGCCTGGAGGACTGCCACAGAGGAGTGGGGCACTGAGGACTGGAATGAGGATGTGAGTGTTGTAGCTCTAAATTTAACCTTGTTTGAGCACTTCTAAAGAAAAACAGAAGTTAAAATAGGTTTTAGGACAGTTTAACTAAAGATAGACTGGATCTCTTTTTGAAATCTACAGTTTTTCCTCGGACTGCAGCTAAGTACTCTAATTTTCTCTGCAGCTTTCTGAGACCAAGATATTCACAGCTTCCAGTGTTGCGTCCATCCCTATGCCTCAAGAGAATGTGACCATCACCAAAGGACAAAGGTGGGGCACTTGTTCGTTAGCCCGACTCATGCAGGGTTCCCCTTTTTTTTTTTTCTTTTTTTTTTTTTTTACAGTATTTGACTGTTATTCGTAATTCCCTTCTGGTTTAGGATTGACCTTGCGGTGCTTCTGGGGAAGACTCCCCCATCCTCCTCCTCAGAGACAGAAAATCCCCCTATGGAGGCCCCTCAGCCCCCATCTTTGTCCCAGTCACTGGTTTTCAGCAACTCCAAGCAAGGGGTGCCACTCTCCCAACCCTCCTCCAGCACCCCGTACAACCAGCACAGCATGGTGAGACTCACACATGAAATCTGTAAAAACTTTACTCTGATTTAAAGTGAAGTGCTTTGACTGTCTCATTCAGGCTAACACTTAATATTTTGAAAAGATTCAAGTCACTCCAGTCATCAGTTTTTGCATTATCATGGTTCTGATGTCGCACTCTGCCACCACTACAGGTCAGCATGCTGAGCAAGGGTTTTGGGGAGGTGGGGGACCCCAAAGCAGCAAGCACGGGGACCACAGGGTCTCAGTTTCTGGAGCAGTATAAAACAGCTCAGGCTCTGGCCCAACTGGCGGCCCAGCACTCACAGACTGGACCTCCCAATTCAGCGCCTTCATCCTGGGACACCAGCGCCGCCTCACTGGGACAGTACGGTAAGATGAGAGTTGATTCTGCTCACCTGGATCCCTCTTAAACATTAAATGAAAATGTTGACTTTTATTTTATTATCATAGAGTTGTTCTCCCTGCAGTATGTAACACTAACTGATGGTACTTTCCCCGTTTCACAGAAATGAAGACTCAGCCCGAGTCTTCGGTTCATTCCCCCTTTGCGAAGCGGCAGCCCTACCAGGCCGCCACCTCATCCTCGTCCATGTTGGATGTTTTCCTGCAGGACAAAGGACTGCCTCCTTCCTCCGCTGTCTCCTCATCTCCTTCCTTACCCCAACAAACAACATCCTCGCCCCATGCGGTGCCTCCGCCTGCTTCCGCCCTCTCCAAAATGGCAGCAGTCCCCTCTCTAGGTCAACAAGTGTCCCCCAGTTCCTCAGATGCCCAGAGTCCTCTTCCTCTGCAGCAACACAAACTAAAACAGCAGAAGAAGAGGACATCGATCACAACAAAGGTTCATATTCATTCTTAAGCATTTCACACAGAGTAAAACAACAGTTTTTGTGTTTGACGATTCTATCAAATATGCACTTTAAAGAATTAAAGGGATATTTCAAGAGTTTATGTTTACGCTGTGCATGAACATCTAGAAGAACCAGCTCTGTGTCAAGACATGACAGACTCAAACTGTCCCGGCCAAGTCTATAAATGCCCTTTAATCCTTCTCAGATTCCGGCTATGGCGGTGGAGATGCCTGGCTCGGCGGACATCTCAGGCCTCAATCTGCAGTTTGGAGCGCTGCAGTTTGGGTCTGAGCCAGTTCTACCAGAGTACGAGTCCGCCCCCACATCCACAACCCCAGCCAACCAGGTTCAGAACAGCCTCTACACGAGTCCCAGCAGGTTAGTCAACACACAATACAACTCAGCAGAGATGTTCCCACATTTGAATAACTGGTCTGTAAATATTATGAAAGTTGAGAAACAGTTTTTTTTAACACTCTTCAGGGTCAAGAGAGGTTTTATTTAGAATACAGGATCTGAGTGTGTAGATCTGAGTAGAGGAATGTTAATAAAAATGCAACAAGGCCTCACAAGAATGAAGTGAATTATCACATTTTCTGTAGTAAACAGTTTTTATCATGTGATTACGGACAGACATGAAGCGGTTATTGAGCTTAATCTGGGTTTGTTGACTTAAATTGGTTGTTATGGCTAAAAATTAAGGTTCACTTGTCGAGTTTTAAGTCCTCTTTGGAAGTTATCGATTAGGAATACACTCTGACTGGTTTTGTTGTTACTGTTACGATCTGCAGTGAATCAGCTGCGGCTCTCTCCAACTCCAGCCAGATGGACCTGTACGATCAGAGAGCAGCTCAGACACGGCGCTACCCACCCTCCGTCTCCTCCTCCCCTCAGAAAGATATGCAGCCAAAGGTAAACACCAGAAACACGTCTTTGTCTTATTCCCTATGTTACTTCTTTTTGTCTGAAAATGGAGATGTTGGAAGCGGTTAGTGTCGGGCAGCATGCTTGAACCCTTATAATGTCCCGTTGACCTTTTAAGTAAGTAAAGTTTATTTACAGAGCACTTTTTACAGATAAAAATCACAAGGCGCTGTACATGAAATAAGTGCAGTAAGATAAACATAAACGGTACAAAAAATAAGTACATATACATACACAAATACTCATACAGGTGAGTACAGAAATAAGTGCAGATATAAAAGATAAGTAAAAGAGATAAACAAAACTCAGTTAATTTAAAGCTTGTCTAAAAGATTCTTCAACTGTTTTTTCTGCTTCCTTTAAACCAGTGTGGGGGTTATTGTCAGACTGTAAAGACTGTGCAGTTAAAACTTGAACAACAAAACTCCTCTTCAACATACTACAATTATTTGCACAGATTATTGGTTTTATTGATTAAAACCTTTCCGCTTTAATTTCAGCCTCTTTTGTATAAAATTCATTATCATGTTTTGTGTCTAATCTTAAGTCCTCGAGGGAGCTGATGTGCTGTGTGAACTTTACTGAGACTCTCTTGACTTAAGAGCCCAACACCCCGCAACTCCTTCTTCTTATTAATGGCCTGTTTCCATAGAAACCTGTGAGCTTACCTTCATTGTTGGTTTTACAGAATGGCTACAGTTCAATACAAGCAACACAAGCCGTGGAGGGTGAGTGTCTGTTTGCAGAGCTCTCTTCTTCTCTCTAAAAGCATGATTGAAATTGTTTGGGACATTTGCAACTCCCATTTTATCGGCTTACAATTCATTCTTGTCTCTCTTTTCTCTCCCTTTCTCTCTCTCTCTCTCTCTCTCTCTCTTTGCAGCTGCAGCAGGCTCTGCAGTCAAACCGGCCTCTGATTTGGTCACGCAGGCGTCTGTCTCCAGCATGGGCACTTTGACTGACTCAGGCCCCGCCTCCCTGTTAACCACGTCCAATCAAACATCCCTCAGCACTCTGGGGCACAGTGAAGACCTGCCCCCAAGCACCATTCCTCCTCCTCCTCAGCACAACAAGTAAGATGAAGCCAAACTCGCTTCCTAATTTCATCATTAATGATTCAGTTCTGGTTTGTGTGTTCAGTGATTTATCCAGAACCCTGTTGTCTTTTATTCTCAGCTCACACCCATCACAACAGAACAGCCTAGCGCCATCTTCAGTCCGGACATCAAATTCAAGCTTATTGGTGAGCTCTTCATGATTTCTCTGTTTGTGTTCTAGACCTGCTTCATTGTCTTTCTTATTTGTCACTCATTGAGAAATACTGATCTACACATGAGTTATCTGTGCTTCTAATACTGTGCGGTCGACTCCCCTCTTCCTCTGAGCCTCGCTAAAGCTCCATTTCCAGACAGACACATTAGATGTCAATCCACTCTAATGGAAATTTAATCCGATCAATCCTAACCGCATCTTTTATCTACTTCCTTCCATCTCCGCAGCATCCCAGCGTAGACGGCGACTCCAGCCTGCACTCCTCCTCCTTCCCTTCCTCCGTCTCGGCCGTGCAGTCTTCATCGGTCCCCTCCTCCTCTTCCTCTGTGGCCGCGGCGGCGCAGGTGTCGCTCGGAGCCCCTCAAGCCCCCTCGGTGGGCTCCGCCACAGTCTCGGCCCCCTCCGGCCTCGGACCCGTCAGCAGTCTCACCATGGGACTCAACGCCGCCTCCATGGGCGCCCCAGCTGCAGCCGCCGCCACGATTTCAGTCTCCACGACTGCCTCAGCCATTCCTTCTTCAGCTTCGTCTTCATCCTCACGCGGCTCCGCAGCATCCTCAGGTGAGACACAGAGTTTGACATTGCATACTGCTAATTTACATATGCAGCCAAAGGAAAATAACTGATTGTGCCTCCTTACTTTGTTTATAGTTGAGAATAGTCACAGTCAAGAGACGAGATTGTTGTTTTTTATGTCAAATGCTTAGTTTTTTAATGTTTTTTTCTTTGTATTTATAGGGAAAGCACCTCCAAACCTTCCACCAGGAGTGCCCCCTCTACTGCCCAACCCATACATCATGGCCCCGGGACTACTGCACGCCTACCCTGTAGGTTCCTGCCATGGTTAAGTCAGTCTCTGTACAGTGAGAGCTATACCTTTTAACGGAGGTGATCTTATAGAATCTATTGTGCTAATACCATCCCCTGACTCATGTCTCGATTCGTTCCAGCCTCAGGTGTACGGCTATGATGACCTACAGATGCTGCAGACAAGAATACCGCTGGTGCGTTTACTCATGTACTTAGCTGCAGCAGTAAAAGCACATCTTGTTTTATATACTCTGTAGCTTCAGGGCCTGTTGTCTTTTGATTTATGTAGTTGTTTTTTTCCATTTTCAGGATTACTACAGCATCCCTTTTGCAACTCCCACCACAGCACTGACTGGCAGAGAGGGCAGCTTGACAAACAACCCTTATTCTGGTGAGCTCTGACTGATTATATGTATATAATGTAGGATTACATAAACTTAAACTAAGTAGGATGAGTGTCTACATGTGATCAAACATGAGCTCTTTCGTATTGTGAGTCTGCTACAGCTTTGTAATGCAGCTCCAGGCTCAGGTGGTCACAACAAAGAAAAGGGAGATGCACACCATGTATAAGAATCAAAACAAATCTTTATGAAATCAAATTGAACCAAAGTAGAATATTAAGAAATGAGGTGTTGTAAATCAGTAAAATCAGTAGTGTGTAAGGTGTGAATGAGTGGAAGGTAGGTGTATGTGTGCGAGGGTGTTTTACAGAGCAATCATAAACTACAACTGAACTAAACCAAGTACCTGTAAAGGAGGCTAGGACAAAAAGGAGGGCATTGCAAGTAACTGTGGGATCTTAAATACCCCCAACACCCAGGTGTACATAATTACTCTGATTAATGTGCAGAGAGAAACCAACCAGACACACCTCCAACAGCAGCATGACCCACAGGGGCATCTCACATCATACTTATCCTGCAGTGGTGTTTTATTGGTCATTTCACATTTTGTTTTATGTACTCCTTCTCCAAATATTTTGCGTTCCCCTTCAAATCCATCCTCTGAATGCACTTCTACTCTGTTGCTTTTGGCTCAGCGTTAGACTTCCTCCTTCTTTCAGCTATTTTCTCTTCTATAGGTCTTGGTTTTTAAGAAAAGGTCAAAAATCTCATTACCCCGACTTTGTCCTATCATCCTCCCCTTCCCTTTTCCCACATCAGCAGGCGACTTGTCAAAGTTTGGTCGAGGCGACGCGTCGTCCCCGGCCCCCGCCACCACATTAGCTCAGACGCAACAGAACCAGACGCAGACGCATCACACCACACAGCAGCCCTTCCTCAACCCTGCGTTACCGCCCGGCTACAGCTACACGAGCCTCCCTTACTACACTGGCATGCCGGGCCTGCCCAATACCTTCCAGTACGGACCTGCTGTGTTTCCGGTGAGGACATTTAAATCTGTATTAGCTGGAGGATTCATGCTGCGTTTGAGTTACCTTGGAATTCAGATGTCCGAGCTGGGAATGATGTCAAACCAGAGTTTCCAGCGTTTCAGTTACCAAGTCAGAAAAAAGCAAAATTGGAGGCGGAAACAAGATGGCTACATCTACGAAAGTTATTTTAGCCGAAAAAAGGAAAATCGGAGGCAGAAACAAGACGGCTACATCTACAAAAGTTATTTTAGCACTTGCCTTGTCCGAATATAAGTAAGAACAAGGCAAGCGCCAAAATAACTTTCGTAGATGTAGCCATCTTGTTTCTGCCTCCGATTTTGCTTTTTTCTGACTTTGTAACTGAAACGCTGGAAACTCGGGTGAGACGTCATTCCCAGCTCGGACTTCTGACTTCCAAGGTAACTTGAACGCAGCATTAGTCTTCTAACAAATGAGGGAAATGGTTTGGTTCGAACAGAAGCAGGAACCTTCCCCGGTTTGAGATCTTTCTGACTTCATAACAAGCTGCTGTTGTTTGCACACAGGTGGCTCCTACCTCGTCAAAACAGCACGGAGTGAATGTCGGCGTGAATGCATCAGCCACACCCTTCCAGCAGGCTAGTGGCTATGGTTCCCATGGATACAGCACTGGTGAGGCACTGAACCACATTGAAAACAGCATGGTTAGAAAGGGTCACACCAGATCCTACGCTGCATACTCAAACACCAATAACTCAGCGCTGATTCCTCCAATGAACCCATTGATTTTTCTCATCGGTGCGGGGGAGCATATTTCATTGGAGCTCTGCAACATCAGCAAACATAAACATGATGCTTATGTTAACGGCAGTCAATAAAACATTTTAATCTGCTCGTTCTCAATTGAACTGCTGACCTGGATGTAAACTGTCATTCAAGCATGAGTAATGATGAGGTATTTGAACTGTATCTGCATCTTGTATCCAGCTTTCATTGCCTGTAAAAAAAGAAGGGACATGCCCCGATAATGCAGATGTCACTTTTAATGAAATGGCCTCTGGTGCTGAAAGAATGGGACGGCCATTTAAAACAAATGGAGAGAGAGAGAGAGAAGATGGGCTTGCACAGCGGCACCTGGCTCTGTCAGTTGAATAGCAGAGGGGTTAGATTATGGGTCTCCTGCTGTCTTCCATAGCTTGCTTTTGCTCATTTCAGAAAGTGAGTTTACCTTCCACCACATCACATCCACCTTAAACACATCAACAAACGGAGCACCCCTCATCTCTCCATATTTCTTTAAAGGACCCCCTTCCCCTCTTAGAGCACATTTCCTTCCAGCAGTTTCACATTTTTCCAGTGGCTTTTCTTGTTTCACTTTGATTTCCTTTTTAACAGGGATTTCTTGATAGTTTGTTTTTATTTCCATACTTTAATTCATCACTCAATATTCACCCATGTGCAACACCTATGTGTTCTAAGCTGCACCATCTGCTGCTTTCTGCCATCACCCAACTCAAGCTCACTCTCCAACCCCCTCCCTCCCACACACACACAACCCTGCCTGCCCCCTCACTCCCCCCCCCCCACCTCCTCCCCTTCAGACCTGGCTCAGATAGTACTTGCAAACGATGTCGGCGTTGATTCGGACCTGTTTGTTGAACTAGATGGGCAGGTTTTGCCGCACAGGACAATGCATACGGTGTCAAAGTTCGTATATTTTCTGTGGCGTGTTCTGAGTGGGTTTAGCGTGCTCTCTTAGCGGATTTGACACTATCTGTATTGTCGAAATGTCGGGAAACCTGTTTATTTAGTGCACAGTTTCAAACCAAACGCCGCGGAGAATTTGCAAACACTATCCGAGGCAGGTTTGCTTCCCCTGCCTGGTGTGTCTAATGCTGTGGGCTGCGGCTGTGTGTCTGACTGTTGCAGGCTATGAGGATGTGGGCCAGGCTTCAGGGAGTGGGGATTTCTGTAAGGGCGGATACGGCACTGCTGTGGCCGCTGCCGCTTCTGCACAAAACAAGCCAGCCAGCTCTGTCACCGGGCCTGGAGTCGGTGAGTGCCGCCACATGCCAGATAGAAAACAAAAAGGAGCATTTAGAAAAAGAAAAAAGAGAAATTTCCCTGTCCCTCCCGTCTTCCTCCTTGTGTCACCAATCATCATTCTCCCCCTCTCTGCTCTCGTTCCGTTGCCTCATCGCTGATGAGCTGAACCATCATAATACATACGCTTCGAGACAGCCCAATGCAGCCTGCCTCTCTTACAAGCCCTGTCCGCCTTTTCGTCTGGTACCTGTTCTCCTCCAGGGGAACTCATCATCAACCCAATCCGGTTCAGATATTCTCCACAAAAACTCTGCCTAATTATCTTGTTTGGAGTCAAAAACGTGGCAGATCACAAAGATCGTGACTTCCACAAACTGATGAGTTTCTCTGGTTGAAGCTGTCCTACTTTCTCTCTGTGTGGCTTGCTTTTCATTCATGTTGTCATGCCGATGTGTTGTTTTCCAGAGTATCAAGTTTGCAGCCTGGTGGTGGGTGAAGTGGGTAACAAAATATCAGTATCACTGGATGAAATAGTGCTGTGCCATAAAACGTGACTGGATATTTTGATTGATTAGATTTGTTGCTTTTTCAGACACGCACGTCGCTGGCCATGAATGATGAATGAAAGAATGGAACACTGTTTCTTGAAAATCACACAGAAATTTTGGCAGCTTGGACCTGATAGTATTTTCTTAACCACTCGTGTGCAGTGTGGGTCTGATTCAAATAACACTCATTAATCTGAGAACGGAGGAAGAGACATCTTTTAATACAGACAACGAAATGCGAAACAATCTGAGAAAACTATCGAGTGTCACTGAAAATCATAAGTTAAACAGAGGCTTTACACTAGCTTACTCCCACAGCATAATAAAGCTGTAAAAGTCACTAATGTTGCTGTAATCCACAGATTTGTGGAAATTAATAAAAGCAGCAGGGAAAAACTGTCAAAAGGAAAACATTACGCGGAGAAGTCAATTTATAAGATAAGAAAACTTTTGAAGATGTTTGAGTCAGCAACAATTTGAAATGGTAGACCAGTTTCACAGGAGTTGACCACTTTTATGGAGACCTTGTATGCGTCTTGTCTTTTGTACGTACTTTTACAAAAATTCTGGAAAAAAAACAAAAAGTATGAAATACAAAAATAAAAAAAAACTACAAAAAGGTATGAAATACAAAAATAAAAAAAAAAACAATAAAAGAAAGTATGAAATACAAAAATGTAAAAAAACAAAAAAATATGAAATACAAAAGTAAAAAAAGCAGTAAAATAAAGTATGAAATGAAAAAATTAAAAAACAATAAAAGAAAGTATGAAATACAAAACTTTTAAACAGCATTAAAAGAAAGTATAAAATACAAAAATGTAAAAAAACAAAAAAATATGAAATACAAAAATTTTAAAAAGCAATAAATGAAAGTATGAAATGAAAAAAACAAAAGAAAGCATGAAATACAAAAATTTAAATTTAAAAAAAAAAAAAAGTATGAGAAAGACTCGAATAAAGCAGACCAGGTAAGCCCTTACGAGGAGAAGAGAACAGCTTTGAGAAAGCTCACTTGTTGATTGAAAGTCAAATTGATCATTTTGGATGCATTACCTGGTAGTCTGAAAATGTAAATGTGACCACACAGTGTGAAACAGATTTGCTGCTTAAAACTGAAAGGAGTTTTTAGCAAGGCACAAAACAGACTAGCATAAATATTGATGCCCATGCAACAGTAAACTAGAGCATTAGGGACAAGGTTGGTTATTTCTGTGGATGTGTTTCTGCTGGTAGAAGGTGTCAGATGAACTGATTCTGAAGGTCAAAGAAGGGTGAGATGCTTTGTGAGGAAACACAGTTAAAAATTAGCAGTGAGGAGATACCCCTTATGGTCCACAGGGGTTACCAAATTCAGCGCAAACCAAGATGGGTTCAGATTGGTTACATTAATGACAAATCGGTCAATAAATGTTTTTACGAACTTACTGAAACTGTGTGCACAGGTTTTGTTTCCAAATATTCAGTTGAATGTTGTGTTAGATGTGTCATTGCACTAACCTTTGTGATTATTTTCTCCAGTTTCCTGCTCACGGTCTTCTTATCATAACTTTAGGAACCTGAAGGCACTAACATTTTGCTGTTTGGTTGACACTAAAACTGATCTTTGAAAACAAGTGTTCTGCACACCAGTTGACCCTGTTTTGCGTTACCGTAGCGATCCAGGGGGTCAGAGCGTGCCAGAACAACTACGGCAGTATCCAACAGATACAGTCAGATTTACACCACTGTGGCTGACTGGAACTGATACGCTGCAACACCATCTTTTTTCACCTCTCTTCCTCTTCATCTCATCTCTCATCTCCTCACTGTCTCTCTCTCTCATTGAGGGGAAATCCTGCTGAAATCATCTATGGACTTGTGCTGACATAGATGCTGTTTGTGAAATTTCCTGGATTCTAATTCAAGTCTCATCACGGGTGCTTGAATAAAACATGTTTTCATGTAACCATAGTTGTAAGCTAACAATGCTAGTGACCTCACTAGAAAGATGACTGGGCATGGTTTGTTTTGGGAGGTCGCTCCCTAATCCCCTGTGCGTGCTCATTTTTGCAAGTATTGGACTAACTTTCTCTCGTCTTCTCTGTCTCTGCAGGAGTCTCTGTGACGTCAAGCAACACAGGGGTACCAGATATTTCAGGGTCTGTTTACACAAAAACGCAGGTAATTACAGGCTGTAAATAGTTTTTTTATAAACATAAGAAGTTTTTCTCCTGCTTGGGATGTGACCATGTCTGTGTTTTGTCTGACTTAACCCCACAGTCGTTTGAGAAGCAGGGTTTCCATGCTGGCACACCAGCAGCTTCATTCAGCCTGCCCTCAGCTCTGGGGAGCGGGGGACCCATCAACCCCCCTGCTGCAGCTGGCTACGCCCCGGCCCCCTTCATGCACATCCTCGCACCGCACCAACAGCCCCATTCTCAAATTTTGCACCACCACCTGCAGCAAGACGGACAGGTAGAGTTTGTGCTTTGGTTGTTTCATCAGTGTGCTATCAGTGAAAGACAGTTTTTCAGTTTAAAGGCCCTTACACGACGGGGCCGACGCAGATTATAGAACGCGAAATTACAAAATATTCGGAGGGGAATTTTGACGGGCCTGACTATACACATCAAGCCCGATGCGATTTTGCAACTTTCCGGGGAGGAAAAGACTCATCCCGGGGAAGACTTTTTTCGGGGAAAGTCCCACCTCCTTCGCCTCTGATTGGCTAGAAAAGCTAGAAACATCATCACACGCTGTGAAAGGCGTGAAAGGACCTTTAATTGGCTGGTTTTGATTTAGAATGAGTAAGTCCTGTTAGATCATTCAGCACTTGCCTCCAAAGTAGATATTCAACCCTCCACTGACTCAATAAATCCTCCTAATTTAGAAATTTGTAGTTCTTACCATGGTTATCAATGAATTCATCACCCTAGTAAAGCTCTGCAGTTCACTCAGAACCAAAGGAGGACGGACTCAATTTGATAAATAAAAGAAAACAGGAGATTTATTCATAGATTTCACCATGATACAAATAATCCAAACCACAGCGCGTTCATGTGACAGTGGATCCATCCAGAAGTCCTTCAAACATAAATAAGAAAAACGTGTCCCTGGCAGATAAATCATAAAGTTCATATTTGTAGCGTCATAATGTCACCAAGCAATCTCCCATTGGTGTAAACACATGGCACGAGTTATCAGCTCACATGCACCCTGTCCTCTCTCTCTCTCGCTCTCTCTCTCTCTCTCTCTCTCTCTCTCTCTCTTACAGAGCGGCACTGGACAACGCAGCCAGAACGCCTCCATCCAGCAGAAGTCCCAGATCAACAAGTCGGCATACAACAGCTACAACTGGGGGGCGAACTAACATCTGCTGACACCCATCCACATCCACCGTTGACAGAAGCAAAGAAGGGGGCTCATCACCCCTTCCCGCTAATATAAACATCCTCTCCCTCCTGCAGAGATTCTCCCCCCCAGTCTCTTGGCCCAGCACTCCTGCAGCTCTGACTGCGGTCAGAGGAGGTGCTGTGCCGAGAGAACCAGCACTGTAATGATGCATGGATGGGGGGAGGAAGGGAGGGGCTTAGAAGAGAGGAGAGACAGGAGCTTAATGGTTATAGAAATACACCATCAAAAGGTGACATATTGAGTGTTGGGAATTCGTATCGTGTTAACAACCCCGCCCCACCCCCCTTTTTTTCTTTCACTTGTATGTAACATAGAACTGTTTTCTAAAGAATGAACGTTTCCTGTAAGGTCTCCTCCTTTTTCGTCTTTGCCCCATTTTTTTCTTGCTGATGGGGAGGAATGAAGTTCAATCTGAAGGTGGGGGGACAGGCTGGTTTTGTATTTCTCACCCTCAGCTCCCCATTACTTAATTTTGGAGAAAACTCTTTCCACCCACGTGAGATACCCAAACACAATTATTTGCTTAATTGCTGTTTTGATTTGTTTTATTTTTTTTTTTTTAGGTCATTTTAAGTTTGAAGAAACAATTCTCTAAATCGGTAGAGTTGTGAAGTTTATTTTTTACCAAATATAGATATATATAAAGACATATAAGCAAGCTCACTGGCTTGGACTGTGAGGAAAGTGTGTTTGTCATGTGACTGCGTGCATGTTTGTACACACAGGGGCCGAGGGTTGTGTACTGTGCTTTGTTTTCTTCCTAGCACAGGGTTTTTCATTATCTGACATATGTACAGTAATTGTTCCCATGAGTTATAAATATGTTGCATAAAGGTCCCACTTATTCTGCAAGAGATGTTGAGAGTGATTTCCAAGGCCAATACACACCCAGTATGCCTTCCAGTGTGTTTTATTTTTGTTGATTTCTGAGGCCCCCCACCTCCTCCCCATCCCACCACCTGTCCCCCATTGTAAGGAAACCTGCAACATTGAATACTGATGGACAGAATTGTATTTTGGGTTTTTTGTCAGTGATTTATTTTTCTTTTTGTACTGTGCGTTTTAAAAAAAAAATTTAAATGGATAAACTTGTCTTGTACATATATAAAAAAACACAAGTACTGTAGTCCCTGTTTGTTCGATGGCTTTCTCCTTTTCCTTCTCAAATCCTTGCAGACTTGTTAGCTTATTGTTTCATATATTTTTTTTATTTTGTAAAAATATATAAATATTAAGTAAATAAACAAGAAAAAGACATTTTTCATCATTTTGGATGTGAATGTCTTTTAAGAAACTATATTTGTTTCTCATGTGGCTTGTAAATACAGCATCTCTTCCAACTGTTTGACATTGATGCCAAGTGTTTGTGTTTTGTTTAACACTGGCACCGTATCAGCCGACTGCTTGAAACGCTAATATGATGATACTTGACATCAGCAGTGCAATGAATTGAATAATACTGTGTTTGGTAGCCCACAGCTCATTTTAAGACTACATGTTTGGCTTCTGTTTAAGACTGGCTCACTCGAGGCTCAGTCAGCTCTGCCAAGTTAAACACACTAACACAGACCTTATGCATACTTTACTATTTGTTTGTTTACAAGGCTTGGAGGCACTTTCTATATCTAGATAACTAGTCTTTTGTGATTGACAGTCTAGTGGGCTATTAGATTATATTTCCCAATGTGTTAACAGTATTTTTCTGATACATATACTGTGTGTCTTTACCTTTACATTCTGACTCCAAGGATGCAGCTGTGCACCCATTTATTAGAAAGTTTAAACTGCTTGTTTGCTACAGTAGCCTAAATATAATTAGGTCGATCATCACATTAAGGAAGTGAAATCATTTTAAAATTGAAGTCAAATAATGTGATTTATGAATGTTTCTGCCAACAGATTTTTGGTACCATCACAATCACTGAAAAGCTGTAGGGGACAGTGGGTTAAGTTGGCTCAACTTACCCCATAGCTACACGGGGTAGGCTAAGTTAACCATAGGGAACCACTTATTTTGGCATGCTATTTTATCAAAACAGTTATGTTTACACTCATTCTCATCTTGAAATATATGCAGATACACTAGTTAGAGACAAAACTATGATTGTCTTGATGTAGTGAACTGTAATATGAAAAATGTCTCATCTTACCCCACTCTCCCCTACTACACTGAAAATACACTGCACTATTCACAGGGTATATAAATAGCTGACTAAATGTTAGGATAAACGGGTTCTTCGTGGAGATTTTCCTCCATTTTTGACGGTCACAAAAGTCGTTTTACGATATGGACAGAACAGTTTACTGACCCTAACGGCTCCTGTCACCCTGGTTACTAATTGGCGCCGTGGTACTTTTCTGGAACGTCTTGCTCCGGTGGAACGGTAACGGTCCCCATGAAATGGAACGCCGTTGCTAGGAAACCGCTTTACTGCTTTACTTAGCAAACATTTCAATAAGCTGAGGTGCCGAGTGGATACTTAAATTTGGTGAACTCAACCGCAAGAGTCTCATTCCCTTCGAAAACTATCACGAAGTAACAGTTAAAATGATTTAACTTCATCGTTAAGGGGGTATTTTCTCACACCTAAGAAACAATTAAACACGTTTAGAGGTTATTTTTACCCACGTTTGACGGTCAGTAATAAATTTAGACTTTTTAAATATCCTGAAAGGCATCCTAATTAGTTTTTCATTGGATTAAGTATAGAAAATTTGCTGCGCATACTTACTGTTATTTACGGTAACGTAGCATGACGACAGGTTGCGTCTTTCTGAAGTTACTAGAACGTTTTGCGACAGTGTTGATAACGTAGTATTTGGGTTTCTCCTGTGCGTATGTTGCATAAAATAGTGATGGTTTAGTTATTTTTTTAAGCGAAATTCGTCAACAAATGAGTGTTTTTGACTTATTTCGAGGGTTCTTCGGGGTTCCCGGAGGTCATTATCGTGGCCGAAGGTGAGTTTATGTTATCCAGGTCGTTGTGTTTCGCAGTTTCCTCTCGGCTAAGCTAACTGAAGTTGGTATCTGCATGCACGTTGTTTGGCTGCTTAACCAGCTTTGGTTACAAGATTAGAGATTTCTCTGCCAGGGTGACCACAGGGGTCCCTCAGCGAGCCTGGTCACCGTTGTATTTAGGCTTAGACTGACCTCTGGAGTAACAGGATTGAGTACTTTGAAGTCTATTATTGTAACAGCCAAATAGTACACACAAACCTCCTAAAACCAGATGTAGTAGTTAGTACATGTGATATCTGATCTGTGTTTTGCTCCAGGGATCCCTTCTTTGATGCCATGACTCATGACGATGATGACGAGGATGATGAAGAAGATGAGGATGTTTTCTACTACGATGAATTTAGGGGGGACCAGCAGGACCCCTTTGACGGTGACTGGAGGTTTGGTTTCAGCTTTGGTCCAAATGGTGTGAGGATCCAGGAGCCTCCAGTGTTTGGCCAAGTCCTCAGGGAGATGGAGGAGATTTTCTCCCAGCTGGGCCGTGAGGATGGGCAGCACTTTGGTATAAAAACTGAGCCACGATCCAGTGTTTATATGCGTCTTTGCTCATCCCAGAAACGGTATAATCAAATTTGTATATTGTAGGTGTTCCCAAGCTGCCACCACCAGAGGATGGAGGTAAGAGTAGTGAAGACAGATCCAGCGGGAACCCCTTGAGAGACTTCATGCTCAAATCACCTGACACCAACACACATGGACTAAGAGAGCCCAGAAAAGACAGCCAACCTTCCTATGAGTCACCAGGGGTGTATGGCTGGACCCCTTTTCCAAAGGTTGATAATTCACACTCGCTTTTCTCTGCTAATGCAACATTTGGCGTTACTGATGCTATAAATGTTATTATCCTTAAATGTCTTGGTAATAGTTCAGTGATATTTGGAAACGGGGACCACAGACAGCTCCAGAGGATGAGCGCAAAGAAGACAGAGGTGATCTGTCAAGTTCAGTCATTTTCTTGACGAAATACAGGCTTTGATATTTACCAGATGTTCCAACTCATGTCCCTGTTTCTCAACCTCTTTAGATCTCGACTCTGCAGTTTCCTCTAGAGGTCTGGATCAGGTTTTGACGCCACCTGCTGGTCAGGCACCAGACCAACCTAGGACTTTTTTTCAGTCAGTCACAGTCACCAAGGTGGTGAAACCTGATGGGGTGAGAGACACAGAGTACTCTGATTCAAAATACATCATATCCATAAATATGTTTACTATATACCATTTCATACTGTTTCATCTCACAAATTAGCTAACTCTTGGTTGTATATTCTGTCAGACTGTGGAGGAGAGGCGAACCGTTAGAGACGGACAAGGAAATGAAGAAACCACAGTGACTCGCTCAGGGGGTCCGTGCAGTCGAGACGACCACACAGGACCTCTCATGCCAGGTTAGTATACATATGGGTGTTTATGAAAGCTATTGTCTGTTAACCAAGTCATCTTAAAGTGTTGTAAACACCTAGTAGACTGATTTAGCTCTAATACAATCTTGTTTCTTATTTTTAGGAGACCAACATCCATTTTCAGACATGCGTGATGATGGCTCGTTGTTCTCCAAGTTCTTTCGAGGGTTTAAATAACAAGTTAAAGAATGTAAAGTGAAGCACATTCTTTACTCTTTCAGTCTCCAAGTGCTTCCATAGAGCTGTGAATGAGCAAGTTTGTAGACTCCATCTGAACACTTGCATGTCCTTTAATTGCCAAAAACAAAGTCGGGAAAGGATCTCTTTACATAAGACCACGTAGAGTACAGGCTGCCAATCCTGAAAACCAGTGATTTTGACAAGTGGATACAAATCAGGGATTTCACAATACACTGTTATACAAATTTTATTTTTTAACACTTTTTGGAGAATAAGCCAGTATGAATATGAGTGTATGAGTGTGTGTGATATGTCAAATAAATATAATATATCTACATTATCCTCATTTTTGTGTTGTTTTTGACCTCTAATAAAATATTTCTTAGGCTTCGTTTTCTTTAGTCATGAATATTAGCAAACTCTGGTACTGACTTGAAGTGAGTGCTTTTTAGAAAAACTCTTATGTCACTAACACTTGTTTTGTTAATTCAGTAGACTTTGAAGCTCCTGTATGGAATTTTTACCTGGTTATAAAACAGCCTAAAATAATCTGAAATGTTTCTATGAGACCCATGACAGGACAAAATCAAAGCATGGCAGCTAATTAACAGTTGACTACTTTGTCAACGATTATTTACTACTTTGCACTGAAGTTAACTTAAAACAAAATGATACTCAGCAGCACCTTACATAAAAACCATAAATGTAGTTTGCTGTGTCTCATTATATGATGTTGCTCTCCCTCTGTTTGTACCAAACTGGTCTGACTCTTGATCTTTTCAAGTTGGACTCAAGCTTATCAGCTCCTTATCTGTTCAGATCTTTTATCAAGATTGCTGTCCAACTTTTTACCTCCCTAGCTTATTCCATCCTACCTCCTTTTTTCATCTTAATCTTTCGCAGCCTCCTAAAACTTACTGAGTCAGAATGACCTCGAGAATATTTGAAAAACCTTGTTCCTCTGTTGGTATTTGCTTTGTAAGGATTGACTAATAATTCAGTCCAAACTCAAGATTAAAACTTCTAAAAGCTCTTTCATGTGTGAAATATTGAACGGTCTGTTTGCTTTCTTCATGTTTTTGTCAGTTTTTCCTCATGGGGAGGAGAGATTGGGGTATTTGAGGGTGTCATGTAGAAAATGAGAAGACTTAAACTTCAAACGGAAACTCGCAAATAACTACATGAATATGCTGCAGTGAGAAGGTCTTTTTTTTTTTTTTTTGGCGTTGTTTTGCTTAAATATGCAAGGTCTGTTTTGAGAAAAGCATAAGCCTGGATGGCGAAAATAGTTGCTCCAAAACCTGTGTATATTGTTAAGCATTAACAATGCTGTCCCAGATGTGTAAGTTATTGGAAATACAATACAATACAATACAAAATCCTACTGATCCGTGGGTGTGGGTACAAATTTTTTTTTTTTTTTTTGGTCCATCAAGGTGTTATCAAGTGGATGATCCATGTTTTTTAGAATGGCCTCTACCTTCCTCGGTGTGCATCTCTCCACTGTATCCTAACAACTGTATCATGGAGAACGTCACACTGAACTTCACCTGTTGCCTTGGGTGGGATGTATACAAGTATTGTTATGATATGACTGAACTTCTTTGGAACATAATAAGAGAGTTCAGTCATATCATAACAATACTTTCCATTTATTCCACGTGGGCACACAAATATACATTACCATACCATCACAGAAGAACTGTGTGTTGTCAGATAGGTGGTCCCTCTGCTTATTAGGGCAGAGGAGACAATGGTGATAAAGGGAAACATCTCATCACTTTGCTGATGGACATTCGAATAAACACATAGAAGACATCAAGAGCTGGGATTGTATTTGATATGCATCATATTAAAACCATAAAGTTAAGATCTGCAGTGAAGTTTTGACACTCATCTTTTTCTCTCAGGGTGATTGTGATCCTAATTGCAGTCATAAATGTTTGTGCAGAGTAGACACTTATCAGTTTTATTATTCTGCGGAAACACAAACAGACAGGAATAAGATATACATTTATTTGTGTGCTTTAAAGGGTTCTAGGACAGATATTTACTCTTTACTTACATATTTAACATCCTTGTCTTGTTTTTGATGATGGAATCAAAGTTGGAGTAAGAGGATAATGTTTTAGTTCCTGTTTGTGTTCAAAATAACCAATCAAACGAGAGGATCAATCAGAGCCAATTCCAACCAGGTGAGATCACAAACTAACCAACCAGGCAATCCAGTGTCAAAACACTTCTCTGCAGTGAAGTGCTCCCTCAGATTTAGGCATCAGCATGTCCTACAATGCCAAATACTCTCCTCTCCGGCGCTCACACAGGTTAACACCTCCTGAGCCAAGTCATAAAGAGTGTGACGCAGTCATCAGCTCCAGTATGAAAGGGCAAACTCTGCTCAGGAAGACAGACAGCGCAGTGCTGTTCAGGTCAGATGATCCCCCTGATGACGGCACCCCGGCTCTGAAGGCTCAGGCCTGGCCGCAGCGAGCTGAGGAAATGGCAGGAGTGGAGCAACTGCTGAGGAAGTGCCAGATCAAAAATAAGCTGGTCAGGGAGTGTTTGGCTGAGTGTCTGGGGGTCTACGTCCTGATTGTGAGTGATTTGAGACCTTTAGGGGCACTTTTTCTCGTGCATAAATGTGTCAAAATGAGGCCAAAGATTAACTCTTCAGAGCGCTGCAGCTTAGGCTTTATCTCTGCATCATAATGTTTTGATAGTAGATGCAGCTTTTTGATTTCTCTTAAACAGGCAACAAGAAGAGATAACAGTGCATTTCTGCTCTAAAACTGAGTTGAAATTCTTACTTGATCAGTAATCTCAGAATGACGTATTGCAAATGCAAAACTTGAACTTTTGTTTTGACACGGCTGGTGCTCCACTGGTAACTGAGGACTTTGGCCTGAAGACAGAAAGAGAGTGACAGTGAGAGAGCATGACAGTGACTGTGTTTGTGTGTTTTTTTATCTATTTGACCGTCTCTCACCTGTCAGGGTCGTTAACATTTATGGCCGATATCATAAAGATGGTTCATTTGTGATGATGTTCATGGAAAAGAGGATTATCCTACAATGTGCTGGAACTGTTTGAACTTTTTATATGAATATAAAGTTTAAGGTTTCCGTTTGTAACTCAAAGCTTCAACAGTCGGATTCTGACAGTCTAATAATCTTATAACTCTGCTGTCTTTGTCTTCTATACTCTCAGCTGTTTGGATGTGGCTCTGTCGCCCAGGTGACCACAACTGAAGAAAAGAAAGGACAGTACCTGTCAATCAACTTGGGTTTCGCTCTGGGAGTAACATTTGGGGTCTTTGTGTCACGCGGTGTGTCAGGTAGGAAACTGAATGAAAATCAGCTGTAAGGATGTTTATATGTTTATGAACCTGAATTAAACTCCACAGTTAGAGTGGAGCGTTACGTCGAAAGCGTGACCTCTGGGGGTTATTTGGATCATGGTTTAGGACTAGGAGTTACAAGACCACCAAAAAATAGTCTGTGGGTGACGAACATCCTGATTAATTCAGCCACTGGGTTGTGCAGAAGAAGAGAGTGTGAAATTAAAAACATCAATTGATCAAATTTTTATTTTCTAGTGTGCATCATCACTGTGTATGGGGAAATTGTAATTTTTCTCTTTTACTACACTATTTATCCAACTCTTGATTTTCCATTTGGCAAAAAGAGTGAATGAAAAAAGTGTTTTTTAAAGTGTTTTCTGACAGTCTTGATTGTTTTCCTCACCAAGGTGCTCATCTGAACCCAGCTGTGTCTCTGAGTTTGTGTGTTTTGGGCAGACATCCCTGGATCAAGCTGCCATTTTTTGTCTTCTTCCAAGTGCTCGGAGCATTTCTGGGAGCAGCCACAGTCGCTGTGCAATACTACGGTGGGTTTTACACCGTCTGAGCAAAATTAAACTGTGATTTCTTAAGGAACATTAAGACAGTGGAATAAAGGAAATGTTTTTTGTTGTCTGTAAATTTAATGAAAAGATAAAAACAAAGAATCCCAATGATTTCTAACCAAGAAAAACTGGGCAATTCAGATTTTGGCAAACAGTATATTCAAGGGGAAGTTTTTATTGCCGTTTATGGTGTGTTAAGAATCTGTTGTGTGTTTTTGCATGTTTGATTGGATGTTTGCAGATGCCATTCACACGTACGGTGGAGGTGAGCTAACAGTGTCAGGTCCCACCGCTACAGCTGGCATTTTCTGCACCTACCCAGCTGAATACTTGACTCTATTAGGAGGATTCATGGATCAGGTCAGTCACAAATCCAGAGTTTCCAAATTGTAGTATAGCTCGTGAAATATTCAGTATTTTTATCACCGCTGAATAATGGTTAATATGTTTGCTCAAGTACCTTTCTGCTGTCCGTTGTCCAGGTGATAGGCACAGCTGCCCTCCTGCTGTGCGTCCTGGCCCTCGGGGACAAGAAGAACACTTCCGTCCATGAAGGTCTTCAGCCCATACTGGTGGGTGGTGTGGTGCTGGTTATTGGCATCTCAATGGGCTGTAACAGCGGCTATGCCCTCAACCCTGCCAGAGATTTTGGACCTCGTTTATTCACATACGTTGCCGGCTGGGGAGACGAGGTTTTCAAGTTAGTAGAATTCATTTTTTAAAGACTGAAATTTTCTCTTCTTTGTCTGTTGTGAACACATGAGTTGGATCTGTTAATGTGTAACACTTTTGTATCCGCAGAGCTGGAGGTGGTTGGTGGTGGGTGCCCATTGTGGCCCCCTGTGTGGGTGCTTTAGTGGGGACTTTAATCTACCAGCTAATGGTCGAGGTTCACCATCCTTCGACTCCATCTGAGCCGCAGAGTTGGTGTCAGGAGGCCACTGACGGCGAGACGAGTGTGGAGCTTGAAGGGGTGGAGCCTAGCTGTGGAAAACCTACGTAGTGCTCGAGTGGAGCAAAGAACTGTCACACATTAAAGGCTATTTATGGGATCAAGCTAAGTAGATCTATTGTTTGTGTCTGTTTGATGGAATAAGTTTTTTTCTGGTCTCATTTGGAGCTAAATATGAACACAGTGGAAGATTTAAAGGGATATTACGGCGTAAAATTAATTTAGGGTCAAACATACCGTAACACCGAGTTAGACTCCCCATTGAGAGATGAATGTTGCCGACCGCTTGCTTCTCTAGTTATACCAACTTTAGTAACAACCACAGGATAGCAATACACAACAGTCTGAGGAGCCATAAACAAACCTCAACCAAAACGCCACTCTATAGCCACAAATAATGCTCAGAACAGCACCTAACTTCATCAACAGTACATATAGGGTCCTAGCCACAGCACTAGCCACCAAACATCTTTTTAACTTTGCCTAATTTCTTTAGCAAAGAGACTAAACACAACTCACCTACTCTCTTCCAGCAGCCGCTTGTTTGTATCGAGACCTCAGGCCAGTCCATTACGGACTGCTGCGGGGTGACGCAGCTCAAGGAAGAACATTTATGATCATTACTTTATCATTTCCTTGAAGTCATAATCACCATATTAATCATTTTGCACTGCAGACGTGGTGGTTTTTCTGCCTTAGCGTCTTGGTCTGATTGCATTTCCATGAGGAAATTATCAGACTCCTCAGACCGCTGTGGATTGCAATCATGCGGACGTTACAAAAGTCAGTATCACTAGAGAAGCAAGCAGTCGGCAACATTCATCTCTCAAGGGGGTGTCTAACTCGGTGTTACAGTGTGTTTGACCCTAAATTAATTTTATGCCGTAATATCCCCTTAAGGGTCTTTGAAAATCCTCTGCCTGAGACACTTGATGTAAGCTACTGTCCCTTTAAGATCCCCCCCAGCATTCCAGAATCAAACATTCTGGGAGCCTCCTTCACTGTTGCCATGCACCAAAGTTGTATTTCTTTTTCTGACAATTAAGTCCTTTTAAGGAGATGCTCCGTCTGCTGATGTCACGATTTGAGCAAATCTCATATTGATTTCACTGAATTATCACAAGCCATTCAGAGCACCCTCGATTACCTAACTGAATTTTAAACTTTTGCTCATGTATAGCACTTACATCAAAATTTTTAATCTAATATTTGTTTTTAAAATATGAAAAAAGCATAACCCCACCTCCATTAATTGTGTAATTTCAAGGTGGGTGCAATAAAACCATACCTGAGAAACAGTGTCTTTCACCAACCCTAAGAAGCTGCAAACACCGCCCTGAATGAAACCCCTGACAAGTCCTTCATCTCTTTTACACATTTATTTCAAAACAGCACAAAAGTGTATGGCATTTCAGCAAGCAGACCACAACCATGGAAAAGAAAATGACATGAATTTTCCACTATTGAGCTATATAAATATGATATCATGACATATAAAAGATACAAACAAAATAAATCCACTCATAGGCCTCCAAAATACGCGACCGTGAAGGCTGCTTCTGAAACATATAAAAGAAATGTGAGAACAGCAAGCACTGATTCTGTCAATAAAAAAGAACTGTCTCAAAGAGATAAACATTTGTATTCATACACAATAAGACAACACGACCCCCACACTCTGCTCTGTAAATACAATGTATAGCTACCTCTGTGGGGGGGGGGGATCTTTTTTCTTTTAGACTTCAAATCGTTTGAAAAAAAAAGGAAACAGTACAAGTACAAATACTTTACGTATTCACATTATCATAGCAAGTACTAAAATCAGAACGCTTTCTTTTAGTGTCATTATATGTATTTACAAGGCAAAACTCGTACACATTTACTACTGGCAGGAAGCCTGACCTCTCTTCTTCTTCTAGCTTAACGATTAACAACATCACATATTATTCACACAACACAGGTTACACACCTCCAGTAACCTCGTCTCCTAAAGATCAACCTTCAGATATTCTCACCGCATTTCTCCGTCGCAGGTAAGTCGCACCATGTCGCCACAAAAACACCAACAGCAGTGACGTTATTTCTTATAAATAAATATTATAGCAACATAAAAATCAGTGTCAAATTCTCTCAACGCTCCCCTTCATGCTTCAGACGCTTCGGGAATCTCCGCTTGAGGCCAGTTTTAAAAGGATTCGATACTGTTAAAACTGATCTCACGCCAGAGAAACTAGCATGGGTTTGAGGCGAACAAGTATGAATATTGAGCGCGGGGTGAGTTAGAAAAACATCAGCGCTACAGCTGTCAGGAGTTCAGTAAAGAGAGTGTGTGTGTTTTTCGAGTGTTACATGTTGAAACAGGCAGGTGGCTGCAGGCAGTGCAGAGTGACTGAAATGAGAGGACAAGATGCTTTGGACACAGAATGGCTGATATATAAATGCTTGACTCTTGGGGAGCGTTTGAGAGCCACGCCACTCAAACAGTCTATCACAGGTGAGTTCAGTTACGTAACGTGATCAAACATGCGATAATTGCACAGAAGAGGTGCCATAAAGTGAGTGAAACTGTTTATGGTGGCTAAAAAACTGCAAAGGGAGCAGCTGTGTTTCATCTCAGGATAAACATTCATATTCTACAGCCTCCCGACACCTTGTAGTAGATGACCTGTCAGTCTCAGAGGACCCGCCCCCTCCTCTCTACTGAGGCTTGTCCGTCTTGTGTGCAGTGAGGAAGGCCATGCCGTGGGTCCTGAAGTGGGTGTTGAGGTCCGAGGCCTTGTCAAAACGCCGTCCGCACACCCTGCAGTTCAGGTCTCCGTCCTCACCCTGCGCCTGAGGGGAGGCGGCGGGTGAGCCGTCGGGGGAGCCGTGGGCGCGAGGGGTGCCGCGGTCCGCCTCGCTCTGGGTGTCCCGGACGCGGTGAGTGATAAAGCGGTGCCTGCCCAGAGAGCCAGCGGAGGCGAAGCAGACACCGCACTGCAGGCACTGGAAGGAGGCGGTGTCGGCTCGATGCTGAGGGATGTGACGCTGAAACTCCGCCCCGTCCTCGGTGGAGAACCCACAGGGGACGCAACGGAAAATGTTGTCCTCCTCCTCTAGCTCATTTGGTGCCAGCGTTGTGGAGGAGGTAGACGCCCTGGTTCTCTTAGCGGGACCTGCACCCTCCTCACCATCCTCTGCGGCGTGCTCTTCCTCGTCTCCTCCTCGGCCTCCAGGAGGTCCAACCTCCCCGTCCTGTTCTGAAGAGCTGCCCTGTCCCTCTCCACCTGTGGCTGCACGCTTTCTGGTCATAGGGGGACCCTGTGGACACAAGATTAAATTTTTGGAGTACAGATGCTCAAGGCGAGGAAAAAGGTTTTGAAGAACAATTTGTACCAATTCTACGTTGAAATTCTAACATAAACACCTGCACAGAAACACTGCATTTAAAGGCATGGTTGATGATTGGAGAAATTGGTAATTATCATGAATCTCGTTTCTATGGCGATCATTGTCCTACAGCACGAGCTCCACAAAGTGAAGATAATAAAGAATGGAAAAATCTGTTCACCCTAGCAGGTGCAGGGCTGCAAAAACATTGACCAGTGGGAGCCATCCGTCCCGGACAGCTCCTATTGGTCAATCTCCTGCTATGCCTCCCCATCCAATCACCTCGCTGTATTCGACACACCCCTCTCCCGTAGTTCTGACTCGTCCCCTCCCACTCTCCCTGCCCTCCTCAGAGCTCTGAGTGGCTAAAAGTAGCGTAGCAGCTTAGCTACAGGAGCCTTGATGGAGAAGGACGCAAAAAACCCCACTTCTGTTAGCCCCATCGACAAAAGTGCTGAAAACAGAAGCCAAGACAGCAGAGTTTTTGTTGAACAGGTCATTTTTGCCTTTTATCATGGCACGTTACATAAATAACTCTTATTAGTCTCTGCAATGCCAACACAGTAGCTCTCCAGGCAGCTGCAGATGGTTCTCACTAGCAGAGCTGGCGTTTACTGCTGCTAGTCACTAGCAATCCGACATTGTGAATTTATTTGAAGCTAGCGTAGGATCTTCTGCCGGCCGGATTCTTGCTCTGCCAGAGGGGGTGTGTCATGGGGAGGGTGATACATGAGTTTATTGAGTCTGTGTGCAAGAACAGAAAGGTGCCTTCGCTCACCTGTCCGTCTGTGGTTCTGTGATGGAGCCGGACGTGTTTGTCCAACAAGAACCGACTGCCAAAGGTGCGCTTGCCTTCTGTGCAATATCTGTCAAGATGAAAACACACTCAGATCACTTTGTCAGCATCAGAGCAGCAACTATGGCAAATGATACCAAATCCAAGCCTCATGAAAAGCCTGACCTACGCTCATATCAATATTTGGGAAATTTATAGATACCTCAGTAGACAGTTAACAAAGAGTTGAAACACTCCCTTCATAGGAGCTATTTGAATAAAAAGTTAACCTTGTACATCAGTAAATTTGATCTATATAGAGAAACATTTCATGAACTAAAAAGGCTGTTTTGATGAAGTCTTCGTTGACTTACTGGCAATGGAAGACTCTTTTGTTGCCCTCATGGATGACTCGCTCGTGACGTCTCAGGCTGGAGGATGTGCTGAACGTGCCTCCACAAATACGACAGGGGAACTTTGGAGTTGGTGAACAAACACACGCCGAGGCAAACATGAGACACAGAGACGGACAAAGATAAGATAAAAAATATATGGAAATATGAGTCTCAATCAGCTGTGCGGCGGAACAGACAGGAAATTAAAAACAGCCTCCCTTCAAACATGGATGCTTCTTTTTCCCTTATACCTCATAAAACACAAGTGGATTATCAAACCGCTTCATTTGCAGCTGAGACATTTCGTGCCTTTCTGGTGTCAGTTCTTCTCACCTTGCCGTGCTCCATCTTCACGTGACTCAGGTAGTCATCGTTGTCGGTAAAGGTGGTCTGACACTGCGGACAGGTCCACTCAGTTGGGGCAGAGGGTTGACCGCTGCTCCCCGGGGCTTCGTAGTCCTGATCTGCGTCGTCATCCTCGTCTTCTTCCTCCTCCTCCTCTTCCTCCTCTTGTTCGCGGCCCCAGTCCTCTCCGTCAGAGTTGTCGGGTTTTCCGGAGGATTTGGATTTGAGGCCCGAGAGGCCGGACGTGTTGGCGGGGGCCGAGGTGGAACTAGAGGAATCGGACTGCGAGTCGGTCTGTTTGGTTGACTGTCCTCTGTGAGCGGTCTGAGAGGGGCGACAACCGAGTATGAGTGAAAACAGAAAGGCATCACTGGAATAACAAAACATGACAAATCAGAGTTCCCTTCACCCGAGCGACATTTGTACTTGGTACAGAACTTAGGACAAGGTCACGAGTGAGAAACCTTGCTAAGGCCGATACAAGACTTTCCTGTATGCCTTTGTTGACACCACATTCACCATGAAAGCAATGAACGGGCAACACATAAAGGCAACGTGCCGGTTAATCATGAAGTATAATCTTCATCAAACAGACCTTAATGTGCTCCATCATGGATCCTTTCTGAGCATAGAGCTTGGTGCAGTCAGGACACTTGAACACATGCACTTTCTGCTTGGCTAGATGAGTGTCAAAGTGCATGTACAGCAAGGGCTTTTGGGTAAAAACGGTGTCACACATCACACACTTGTAGATCATTCTGAAAAAGACACACACACACAAGAAAATTTGAAGTTAAAGGGTCTTTTTCCAACCACATTTGATGAACATCTTGGGGCAGAATCTTAAGATGATTACTTGGCCTGTCCTCCAGTGAGCGTCGGGTGTTGGGTGCTGATGTGGCTCTGGGCGCTGGGGGAAGACTTGAAGGCCATGGGGCAGCTGGGGCACTTGTGGAAGACCTCGCAGTGAGCGGTCTGAATGTGGGACTTGATGGAGTTCAGGCCTCCAAACACGACCTGGCAGCTTGAGCACCTAAAAGGGAACAATACAATGGAGAAAAGATGTGTTTTAACCAGCCCTGGATGTGTGTAAGCTTTGATTTAATCCTCTTAATATTCCTGTTTTTACTTTAGTAATTATTCACGGCACTTTCTTGGTTTCATTTGCAACGTATTCAGAAAAAACAGTAATTTCTTTTGTTGCTGTACTAAATTAGTTTGAGGTATTACGGTGGAAATTGTTCATGTAATGTCTATATAAGAAGCTGCCTCCACACCTGTATCCGATGCGCCTTGCAAAGTGCAGACAGGCCTCCTCCAGGTGGGTCTGAAAGCTGGCCTGCCGAGCCGTCCCGCCACACTCAGGACAAACGTGAGGCGCCCTGTGTTTATGGATCCTCTGATGCGCGGATACGGCACACGAGTTAGGTAGCATCATGGGAGGCGAGCACTGCGTACACGTCTGAAATAGAAGTGAGGACCATCAGAAAGTGATCAGTAATCTCCAGCTTAGATATCAGATGCATCAAGGATAAATAGACTCACAGAGTTGGGAGCGGCCCTGATCTGCTGGAAATGGGTGACCAGCTCAGCCTTGCTGTTGAACTGCGTTTGGCACTCTGGACATTTGAAGTTGTTATACTGCAGCCCCTCAGCCTTCTTGCAGGGCAGAGGCATCAGAGCGTGGGGGCCCTGAGGTGCGCGGCGGACCTGTCGAGGCTGAGCCGAAGCGGCTGAGGATGAAGCATCTTTCGCGGAGCTGGAGTTGGCGGAGGCTGCGGAGCTCCCGGTTGTGGTGGAGGGAGAAGAGACTGGAGGAGAGGAGGACGAAGATGAGAGCAGGCCTGGTCAGCCAAAGGTGGGAACAGAAGAGACAAATGGGGCGCGATCAATGGAGATGATTCACGAATGAGTGATGACACATTATCAAAGCTAAACAAATGTGTGATTCTTTTATGGCTTTCTCTGCTGATTAAAACAAAGACTGTATCATTTACAGCTAACACCAGATCTGCATAAATTAAACTTGAGCCGAGTTGTAAGAAAACCCACTAATTTTTAAAAAGACTCTTTCAAAAACAAGTCTTTATTTTTATGAAGAAAGCAATTCAAACAAAAAGATAATGATGAGGAAACTATCTGAAATGGTTTTCAACAGAATTTAATTGTTAGACCTGGGACTTTTCTCTGTATTCTATACAAAGTAATTATAATAATGCATCAGATTTCATATAGCGCTTTATCAGAGACCCTCAAAGTTCTTTACATCGGATACATCATTCATTCGCTCACACAGTCACACCCTGATGGTGGTAAACTACCTTCGTAGTCACAGCTGCCCTGGAGCAGACTGACGGAAACGTGGCTGACAGTTTGCACCTACAGCCTCTCCGACCAGCACCACACAACACTCACAATCATACACCAGTGGAGGACTCACACTGGGAGCAAGGTGGGTTAAGTGTCTTGCCCAAAGACACAACGGACAGACTCGAGATAGGGGGGAATCAAACCGCTGCTCTACCTCCTGAGCTACTGCCGCCCCCAAAAAACCTGTTCGATCTGTTTACAACTTATCACTTTGATTAACTGCAGCTTTTTTGGGGGTCCTGTGTGATGGCCATTTTCAACAAGGTACACCAACCCACCTTAACATTATGAACACCAGGGACAGCATGTACGCATTTCAACCTTCCAAGCCGGGACCGTGGCTTTAGAATTTAGTGCTGTTTTTGTACTGGCACTATACTAGGGCAGCTGTATACCCTTTCAACACTTTAATTTTTTTATATTTACATTTGTATTGAATGGACACTTTATCATGACTGCCACTTGTTTTATAGAAAGCAAACAGTTTGTTATTCTCCAGTGCAGAGTCTTTACTTTTATGTATACAGCCGCTGTACTTCATTTGAGTTTGTTTGTTCGAGGTTTTCAAAAATCTTATGAAGGTTCAGAAAAAATAAAAGACAGTTATCTTGAAAGTTATATGTGTAAGCTCTCCAATACTTTTTGAATTTTGTTTCTTTCTGCTACAGACGCTGAGCTATCAGTTTTTTTGTAAACCTCAACACTTCAGAAAACCTCAGGATTTGGGGGCCCTTCTTAAAATTACCCTCAGGATTTCAGAGGCGTGTCTCAGACAGGGTTCAGGTCTCAGTGGATGTTGGAAATGGAAATATATCGATTGTGGGCCTCTGATTTCAATAGGATCATATCTGTGCATCAGCAAAGGTCTGACAGCAACCAAACAGTTAATACATCATATCTTGATGAAAGTAAAACTTCAACCCCTCTCTATCTCTCGATATTAAATCTAGATAGTTTTATCATATTCTCGTCTTCAGATAATACAAATTAAGCAATTCCTATGAATGTATACGTCACTGGGCCCCAGGATAATGTGACTGAAGTTTTACATGATTTAACATCTTTTTATTAATAAAACGAGTGATTATTCAGTCCTAAAATTACAGACAAACTCTTAATACTAAACTTAGTGTATACCACTTACCACCAATGGGTGTAATGTCCTGCTGTCCGATCATCTGCTCCACAGTTACAGGCCTCATGACCAGGTGTGAGCACTGCATGACCAGCCCGCGCTCCTTGTGCTCCCGGGCGTGTAGCAGGAGGCTGCACTTGTTGAAGAAGGCCAGCCTCTTAGCACAGTGGTTGCAGGTCACCTCGATGCGGAGCGATCGTCTGTCGTAGTGTCGGGCCAGGCTGCGCTCCAGAGCGAAAGCGTCCCCGCACTCCAGGCAGCGGTACCCTGTGGCCGGGAGTGGGAGACCCCATTCGGGTGGAGGGGGTGCTGAGAGGTCAGGCTTGTAGCTGGGCAGGAGGTTTTTACTGTTCAGGATTTTGTTAAATGCCTCCACCAGGCTGGACTGACTGCGGGAGATGACAGCGCCCGTACTATTGACGATGGAGGCGGGCTTGTTTGGCTGAAGGGTCCCGCCTATGATAGTGCCGCTACCCCCATTAGTCGTCTTATTAGTGGCGGTACGAACACTGATACCACCAGCAGCTACGGAGAACTTGGGAGAGGAGGCCACGGCTGGAGTTGCAGGCAGGGCCGCAGATTTAGTGATGCTGACAGCAGTTGCAGATACCTTGGCCTTGTCTGACGCGGCCATCTTGTTTTGGACCTTTGTGGCGGCGGCGAGCATGACGCTGCTGGCTGCGAGTGTGGACACAGGCAGAGCGTTGAGAGCACTTACTTTCTGGGAAGATGTTGTCAGACCAGGCGAAGAGTCGAGTTTCTGACCCTTGTTTCCCATGATTTTGTGCTCCCCACTTTGAGATTTAGAGTCCAAACCTTTCCCTGCGGCACCACCTTTGGGTGCTACTCTTGTGACAGTTCTGGTGATTCCACCGGTGGAGGTTTTGATTGTTTTTATTCTGACCTTAAGGGGTCTGGATGGAGCTCCAGTAGCAGCAGGTGCAGTAACCCCTGCCTCCCCTCCATCAGTGGTTGGAGCTTTTGGCTTTCCGTCGTCTACCTCCATCTTTTCCTCGCTTGTTCTCGCATTTTCTCCCTTGTCAGTTTTGCCGTCAACGACCCTCTCGATCCCATTCCCGACCTCCATCTCTTCCTCTTCCTCTTTAGGCTCCCGCAGTTCAGAAGGAGGTGGGGTGGAGGCCACCGCCGGGCTGGAGCACCTCTTAGCAGCAACTTGAGCAGTTGATTTTGGCATCTCCGGTTCAGGACTCTCTGGTGAGTCTCTCTCCTCTATGACGTGTTCTGGATGCCGGTCTTCCAGCTGAGGACTCTCTGTTGAGCCTGACTGGGGTGTTGATGAAGTCTGAGATGACCCTGAAGGAGTGTCCCCGGGTTTAGGGTGGGACGCAGTCGAGGAAGTGGGCTGGGCTGAGACAGAGTCAGATTTGTAGCGCCGGTTCAGCTGAGTGCAAGTCGGGGAGTCGGGACTCTCTTGGATCACCAGAGGACTCCCCAAATCAGGGTCTGAATCGTCCTCCTCCATCTGCTGGTGCTGAAACCCAGCAGAGCCACTTTTAGGGGCCCCGTTGAACGGTTGAGAAGAGTGCAGGGGGTGAGATGAGAGTGCAGAAGGGGGAGTGGGGAGCAGAGGCTTGGAAGGAGGAAAAAAAGGCGAGGCTAATCCAACAGGTCCACCTGCAGCCAAAGGAGGTGACCCCGCAGATAAAGAGGATGATGAAGGTAATGATGCTTTGACCCCATCTGCCCTCTCTTGACCTGTATCCTGCTGCTGTTGGTGTTGCTGCTGCAGGAGCTGCATCTTCCTGGCCCTGCCCACTGGATCTCCAGACCCCTGTGCTACAAGCGGTTTCAGTCTGTTGAAAATGTTCCCACCCTGTTTATGTGACTTTGCTGCGCCGGCACCTGCTGCCTCTGAAGACACTTTGGGGGTGTTCAGCGACCAGGTCGCTCCGTTAGACTGGGTCTGGCTGAGGGGAAGAGGTGTGGAGGCACCAGATGCCCCAAAACCATTGTGGTTGAGAGCCTCAGATTCAGCCATCCCCGGGGCACATGCACCTAGTCTGGGACCCACATCAACCCCCGCTATCACATCGATAGGATCCTGGTCAGTGTCTCCTCCTTCTTCTCCATCCGCGGGCTCAAGGCGTACTTTATTTTTCACAATCACACTGACGATGGAGGTGTCCGCCTGGGGATCTGGGGGGCTTGATGGTCTCAAGGATGATCCCACCACGCTGTCTGACTTCCCCAGAGGTGGCCCCGTGGCTCCGTGGGGTCCCTCTGCCTCATCTGGGGCGGACTGGATGGCCTCTTTGGCATCTATGTCAGGAATGTCAAACGCTGCCAACAGGTCATCAAAATCTGGGGTCTTCATGTCCCCCATACCGGGATAAACTCCTGAAAAGAAATGTAGACACAGATGAAATAGGAGAAAGGGACAGGGACTATGTTGTTGTCCAGCATCTATCGCTGAGAGTGGGGTAAGTTGAGCCACCCCCTGTTGTGACCAAATATTTAGGAGATGGACATCAATTCACGGAGTTCATCATTGGTAGTAATGATTCTCCCCCAGTTGCAGCTGCTAAGTTACCTGCCCAGTGTCACACAGTCTGAGTGACTGACACACCCCCTCCATACAGAGAGAGGGTGGAGACCACAGGAGGAGAGGCTGTGTTCACGCTCGGCATCATGAAAGATGTCAATAATTAAATTTGGTTTCCTAAACCACAAGGAGTATATTTGTAAAATGACATGCAAGCGAAAACACTTGGCAGTGGACATGTTCTGCAGTGCACAACTCACAGAAACAGCTGGTGCGACTTCAGCTAACGGTTACCATACAGTAGTGTTGTAGTATTTAAGGTCGGTCTTGGTCTCGAGACCATTTTTTGAGGGTCTTGGTGTCGTCTCGGAATTGAAGGCATTTTTACTCTGTCTTGTCTCGATCTCGGTCCTCTCTGGTCTCTGTAATGTCTTGGTCTCGGTTGGTGCGGTCTTGACTACAACACTAGGTTAGACATTTATTTCCAAAATAACATTTTTTCAGTCTTGAATGTGAATTTAGTCCGTCTTAAGTTTTATTAAAATTGTGTTCAGACCAAAAAATATGATTTTAAATTTGTTTTATGCATCAATTGTGGTATCTATGAGCTACAACATGAGGTCAAAACCTTGGATAAAAGTCCACCATTTTAGCTTAGAGGACTAATATAGTCATAATAGTCTTTCAGGGGTAAGTTGAGAAAGTAAAGGAGTCTGGTGAGAGGATCAGAGTTTCAGTTCAGATTGTTGAAATGGGTTACTTTTTCTTTTCAAAAATACAGCTGTGAATGTTCTGAATCACTCAGACATTCTCATGTTAAAATGGCTTTTTAGCAGGTATATGCAATAATAATAAAAACAGTTATTGTACCAGTTGATTAGTATATAATACATAAAAATACACATGGTCAACTTGCCCTAAACATGAGGTAAATTGACCATAGGAGACCACTTTTTTTAGGCATGCTATATTATCAAGACAGTCATGTTTACACTCATTCTTGGTTTGCAGGGATGCACATCTTAAAATATATACAGATACACTAGTTAGAGACAAAACTAGGATTGCCTTGATGTAGTGATTAGAAATATGGAAAACGGCTCAGCTTACCCCACTCAAAAACCTCTCTATAAACACATTTAAAATATATTTAACTCTAAAACAAACATTTATTCCTTTAGCTATGTTGGCTAGCTTCCCTGGTTTCAGAGAAGCTAGCTGAGCACTAAAAGGATCCACCTCTGTTAGCCTCCTGCTAGCTAGCGACGGCGTCTCTGCATCCAGACCTCCTCTGAGGAAACAGGAGAAGTATAGGTTTTCTATGAATGGGAAAAATCTGCTTCATTCGTATTTTCGTGCATGCTCAGCTTTTACAGCAGTGACTATCTGAGACACAGCTCCACTCGGGCTGCAGTCTCGGTTATTTTGAGCTCCTCCCCGGCTGAGGCTGGCTAGCTGTGGCCGCTGAGCTCCAGCCAAGACCGAGAGGGGTCATTGAGCTAACTAGCGCTAGCGCTCGCCGATAAAAAAGGCAGCTGGATCGGTCTGCTGAGGTTTGGTCTGACAACGAGAACGACCCGGTGGTCGTAGGGTCGACGATGTCACGTAGGAGGATGATTGAAATGGGGATATGCGTTTAATATTTCATGTATTTTTGATTGTTTACCTGGATGTGCGATTCCCGACTATCCTAGCTCGTTTTCAGCTGAAAATGCTGCCTTCCCGTCACGTGATCAGGTACATCCTATCAGGCTGTGATCGCGCTGGAAAAATGCAACGGGAGATGCTGCAAACGACACGTATGTCTCTCATCTAGAAATTATGCTCAGATTGTTTAAAGACAGTTTACAGAACCATCTAAATCTGTTGTTTTGCTTTGATACACAGAGACATCAACACTGAGGCTCTGAGGTCAACAAATACACAAACAGACAACGTGTTTACACATTGCTTTTATTGCAAAAACACACAAAGACATGACAGGTGTGAGGCTGGCTTTCTACCTTCAGGAGCCTGTCATCAAGCATCATTTCTCTTTAATCAGAAACTTTTTCATGTAGAGAAAATCTGTTTGTTTTTAAGATGTATCAATAGTTGTCAGATTGTTTTCACTAAATAGTCACTATGTTGTTGCTTTTGAGTGTCTGACTGATGGAAAACGGAAGTATTAAATGTTGTGGTGCTGTCAGGTGCTTGGGCAACTTTCCTTAGTAATCCTGCATTAGTTTGCAAATTGTTCATGAATAATCTGAATGTTCTGCTCCTCATTTCTTCTTCTCTTCATCCTTTTTGCCATCCGGCTTGTTTCCCGTTTGGGACGCCAGGGAGCCCATGGCGTTGCGGATGGCCTCGTTGTTCGGGTCGACGCCTGGCAGGTTCTCCAGGACGCTCTGAAGGAACTCGGGGTCTTGCATCACGTCGTAGTCGTCTTCCTCCTGTTGGTTTGCAAGAGGAGATACAGTCGGTTATGACAGATGTGTCTTAGGTCAAGTAGTTTAACAGCTCCTACTCTCTACAGCTCTCTAAACAATAGTTTAGGCTGAAGAATGGATGTTAGACTTTTTTTTTTTTAATTTCTCACCTGAAGTTTTTTTATTCAATGTTTTCACTTCATCTTCCAGGGCTCAACAGTGCAACTGTTTCACTTGCATTTGCGACTAAAAATAGATGTGTGCGAATTGTAAAATGTATTTAGAGGCCCATGTGTGCATAAAAAAACTCAGCCGAGGCAACAAATGTTTTTTCATGTACCGTACCACAGCAAAGTTAGTTTTAGGTTGGATATTCAATGGATATTCGCTGCGGATCTACCGGTGTATTCTCACTCTCCATAACAGGGAATAGCAACAGCAAATCTACTTGGCATCCTCACTAACAACGGCGGGTGTTGAATAAGGGACCGTCAATAAATTACCGGTTGATGTTCTTAAAAAAGGCCGTTTTCCTTCAATAGCTTCTATGTCATGTGACCAATTGACCTAAAATTGATTTCACTGAGGTCGGACAATAAGACACACCTCTTAATTTCACTAATTTGTCCTCTAGAAAATTTGTGTTAAATTTAAAGGCAAATTTTGAACATTTTCTTCAATAGCTTCCATGTCACGTGACCAAAAAACCTTAAATTGATTTCAAATAGTAGTACTTATGTTGACCAATAACACACATTATTTGATCAATTTTCATTGTACCCCTTAAGTTCTTTGTGTGCTCCTTACTTTTTCAACTTAGTACATGTGCTCCTTGTGAAAATAGTTAGTGTCGAGCCCTGTCTTCAGTTTGCTTACAACAGTAAATCTTGGTAAAATCTCCACCTATCCATTCAGGCCTTGAAGACATTTTCACTGTTCTTAACTTGGCACCATCAATCCCAAAAGCGAACCAGCCCTTCATGTCTCCACCCCCTCTCATAATTCTGTTGGGAAAATATCGTATTGACTCACTTTAGCTGAATCTGCAGTATCCATGGGGGCGCCTGTGTCCATTTCTCCATATTCTGCCCCCACAAAAAAATAAAAGAGGAAACAAGTTATTATAGCGACAGACACTCCTGAAAACATACAAGTTATTATAAATGATAAGAAAAGCTTAATGTTCTATAACAACCAAATAAATCTCACCTCCTCCAGCAAGAGACATCTGCATGGCGTAAGCTATCTGCTCCTCCTCTGTCATGCTGCTGAAGTCAGGAAGCACTGCTGCACCGCTCTCTGGCTGAGATACCGACATCTTCAACAAGGCCTCCTCTGATTCTGTCAGAAAAATGGAGCAAAGCAGATGATGGTACCAGCCTGCTCTATTCCCATAATTCTAACCAATACCTGTTTCGTCTGTGTCAATACTTCACTTACCATCGGCACTTGGTGTGGGCATGCCTGCTTCAGCTGCAGAGGCAGCAGCAGCTCTACGAGCCTCCTCCTCCTGCCTCTGTCGCTGCTCCTCCATTGATACTCTAAGTGCCTACAGACACACAAACATTTAACAATTAGAATTAAAGACAAAGACAATACCAACTCTTAAATATCTCATTTCTTTTTTTGTAGTCTGACAAGCCACCGAGCACAAAATCATCAAAATGTGGGGATATGGGGGGTTGGGTATTCTTTAATAGCCTAGGAGAAGATGGGGACATATTAAATGAAGGAGCTATACCAAAAATACTGTGTATGAAAGTAGTTCACACATCATAATGTTCACATTGCTTTGCATGTTTGTTTATTTCAGGGATGTCTAATTCCTCTGAATGTATTTAACAAGAGGGTTTAAGTCAGGAAAATTGACTCTTTATAAGATTTTCCCACGTTCCACTTTGTGGTATCACACCAGCTTTCTGTACATAGATACTTAAGCTCTAACCTCAGACCAGTTCCAAGGAGCTTGTACTGTTGAATTTGCTGTTTAAACAGCACCACACCCATACAAACAAATGTTAACTTTGGCTCATCGCTCATGAAGTGATAAATAACAAGTAGGGATATCTTAGTAGACTGTTTCTAGGATCTATCTATGATATTAATGCTGGTGACTGTGTAATGTTAGCACTTCACACAAATCTATATGTCGCTTACCAGGGCCAGCTCTGGATCAGCACTGGGATCCACACCAAACTCAAAGTCGCTCGCACCAAGACCCATCATAGAGCCTCCCTCACCGGCCAGGATGGGAGAGGACAGCAGCGCATCAGCCAGACTGGGCCCTGGAGGGACTGTGACCAGGTGGGAGCCAGTCCCCTCTTTCCCATTTAAAGTATTTATAAAGGCGGTCAGCTTCTCTGTGTTCACCTCCTGGAAAGATTTGCAGACAAAGACAAGCGATTAAAAACTCCAGCCACGAAAGGAGATATGGTCATGGAAATGAGGGATATTTTGAAGAATTGGTCAGAAACAAAACATTTATTATTGAAACTACTAGAGCGTGAGTGAAGCTTTAAATAGCAGTGATACAGTCATCTAGTTACAGTTATTCCTCTGTCCCAAAGTCACAACCACAGCCTGCTTTCTTTAATCATTTCAACTTATGAAAACTGATTTGATCTAAATTGCTGTCGGTCATGAATCTCCCTATTACACTACTTTCTCTTTTACTTGCCACTGTGGCTGCACCGAAATCTCCACTGGGTGTGCACTGTAACCAAAATGTATGTGTACAAAACCAAAACGCGCATTTAAGACAGTTATGACAGTTTTGTATAATCCATGTTAAAGCAGGTCATGACATTATTGAAACAAACACAACGCTCCCCTCTTATAGCTGTCAAGAAAACAAAATAAATATACTTTAATTCATTCCAAGTTCAGGAAATTCAATGAAAACTTTCTCACCTCTTCTCCAAAGTTGATAATATCCACATTTACTTTTTCTTTTTTCAAGCGCTTTGCCATCTTGACAAGCTGTAGAATCATCAGGTTGGGCCAAAATCAAAGGAAGAAGGAAAAAAAAAGGATGTTAAATATCAGGCTAAGACAGTTAATTGCTATGAAAGGTGCTACAAAGGGGATTCAATCTTACATCTTTTTCATTGTCTTCTACAGGACTCCCAACAAAAGCAATGATCCTCATCTTGTGGTTTTTGCCTTGTCTATGTTTTAGGGCCAGCTGAGCAGGGAGAAAAATGAAACACAAACACACTCAGTGAAAGAGCCCGGCTTTGGATAGTTTACCAATCAAGTTGTTACAAGGTAGTGCTCTTCTACGAAGTCTGAAATTACTCATTAAAGGGATATTATGGCGTAAAATTAATTTAGGGTCAAACACACTGTAACACCAAGTCAGACACCCCCTCGAGAGATGAATGTTGCCGACTGCTTGCTTCTCTAGTTATACCAACTTTAGTGACGACCGCATGATAGCAATACACAGCAGTCTGAGGAGCCATAAACAGACCTCAACCAAAACGCCACAAGTAATGCTCTGAACAGCACCTAACTTCATCAACAGTACATATAGGGTCCCAGCATTAGCACTAGCTATCTAACAACTTTTTAACTTTGCCTGATTTCTGTAGCAAAGAGACTAAATACAACTCACCTACTCTCTTCCAGCAGCCGTTTGTTTGTAGCGAGACCTCAGGCCAGTCCATTACAGACTGCTGCGGGGTGACGCAGCTCAAGGAAGAACATTTATGATCATTACTTTGTAATCTTTTTTAAAGTAATAATCATCATATTAATCATTTTGCTCTTCAGACGTGATACTTCTTCTGCCTTAGCGTCTCGATCTGATTGCATTTCCATGAGGAAATGATCATAAATGTTCTTCCTTGAGCTGTGTCACCCCGCTGTAGTCCATAATGGACTGGCCTGAGGTCTCGCTACAAACAAACGGCTGCTGGAAGAGAGTAGGTGAGTTGTGTTTAATCTCTTTGCTAAAGAAATTAGGCAAATCTAAAAAGATGTTTGATGGCTAGTGCTGATGCAGGGACCCTGTATGTACTGTTGATGAAGTTAGGTGATGTTCTGAGCATTATTTGTGTCGATAGAGTGGTGTTTTGGTTGAGGTTTGTTTATGGCTCCTTAGACAGCTGTGTATCGCTATCGTGCGGTCGTTACTAAAGTTGGTATAACTAGAGAAGCAAGCAGTCAGCAACATTCATCTCTGGAGGGGGAGTCTAGCTCTGTGTTACGGTGTGTTTGACCCTAAATTAATTTTACGCCAGAATATCCCTTTAAATCCAAACAACGTTAAACTTCCTCACATGGGCCACTCTGATGCCAGTGCAGAAGGAAATTTTCCCTTTGGGCTGGACTGCGTGGAGTTTGGACAGGATGCGACCAGAATCTGGTGTGAGGGTGGTCAGGACCTCACAGTTACTGTGTGAAACAAAGACCCACAGTTTTACATCTCTGAGCAACCATGAAAAAACAATTCGTGTGCTATAATGATCATGATCTTGAGGTTTCTATGACTTTTGTCTGAGTTACATAAAGTCAGATATAGACTTACTTTGCCATAGTGATGAGGCCCACATTGTTTTCGGGGTTGCTCCGTGTTTTAGAGTGACAAACGATGTTGACAGCATCTTGTTGAGCCTGTAGCCTTGTTGGTAGAAAGTCTCCATTCCTCATGTATTCACTGTTGTCCACACTGAGGCGAAAACATCAGAAATAACCTCATTATCATCAGCTGCAGCTTAGATGTCGGTACATTAGCGCGGATGCTAACGTTAGCGAGTGTATCGACAACTGACGAAGCAGCACATATCACCGAGTTGTCAGTGTATTATTTCGACAAAAATACACTAATTTATCAAGACAAAGGTCTACGTATGTGGTCAAACACGAAGCAGTGGAAATAATACCAAGTGAAAGCAGAAATCGGAACAAACTTGAGCTACAATGACTCAGCCCGCTGACACTACGTTAGCATGCTAATAGCCAGCGGCCAATTATGACCCCGATTAACATCCATTTATTATTCAGATTTAGTTCAAAAGGCTGCTCAATGAAATCAACAACTAATAGATCTTAGTATAGACCGCTTTCAGGTCAACAACTACAAGAAAAAGGCATTTAGAGAGGTACTTACCAGACCATAGTACTTTCCAGCACCATTTTGGAAACTTCTTGTTACTCTCTGACGGCGATCTAACAAGGTCGTAGGTGATTGGACAACGACTGAACAAATGGGAGTTTGATTGGCTGAATCAAGTAAACTGTCAGCTGAGGGATGAAAAGAAAATAAAGTACAAGTAAAACATAAAAAATATAGAAGTAAACAAAGAAAGGTCTTACTTTATTATCATTCAGTTTGTCTGTGAGTCGCTCCATGGTTGAAAAGCTCAGACAAGAAGGTTTCAATAGAAAGACGATTTGGTTTGGGAATTTTCCCATTAGATAACAATATTCTCTTGGCAGCTCAAAAAAAAGCTATGCCGACTGTTTTCCTTTCCTGTTTGGTTTTCAGCTGTTTATCCCTCTGACCTAACAGACATAACGCTGGATATGGCGAAATATTGACATATATTATTAAGTCTAAAGGAGTAATGTCTGATGTTTTTTTTATATATATGATAAAATGGAATAAAACATTATTAAATGTTCAACCGCAGAACAGGAGTTTTGAAATTAAGATCTTCTGTTTCCTAATAGCAATATTTAAAGTGTGGCAGATTTTCTGAAAAATGCATCATCCCATCAACGCAAAGATGATATCAAAATCTATATTTTTGAACAAGTCATTTTTATTGATTTGCAGCTTTGCAAGAGGAAATACAAAAAGGATCATTTACAGTAAAATGCCCAATAGTTCACAATTTAATATTGTCTTACAGTATGCATAGCAGTTATATAGCCCAACTCTGATACAGACAACAATCTGTATAGTTCAATTTATACAAAAGCATCATGCCTTTTTTATTTGTCATTTTAGCCTCAAGTGTACAGAAAAAAATAATTTTTTAAAATAAGAAATAGAAGAAGAAAAATATCAAATACATCTTCAGTGAAAAGGCAGTGTTGTGATGCATGTATACAGGTGGGCACACATTAATCGTATATATAATTCAAAGGCAAGTGAAGATTAATTAAGGTCACAGAAAATAATACAGGATGATTCAACGGGTGTGATAACAACAAAAAATCATCTCAAAGATTAAAGGACTTTTACAACAAAGGCTGTAGACACCAAAGAAAGGCACGTTTAAATCGACCACTCCCATTTATGAACACTTCAGAAACAAGAGTATTTCAAATATACAGATATAAATACTATGATACATTTGACTATCTACATGTCCGGGCCATAGGCTGTGTGTGTGTAGCTGCTTAGGGTTAACAGTTAAGGAAGATTTTCTCTTTAAACACATGAACACTCTGATTTGGAGTTTGATTTACCAGCCAGCAAACTAAAATAACCATCACCTAACATTCGTAATACTCATGAAAATGCTCCATATTTTTTCTAATGTTTTATGGAGTACATAGATTTTGTTTCATGGTCAAGTAAAAATGTAAATTACTCATTTTAAGCCAGTTGAATATACTCACAATACATTATTTTCTGCTTTACACACTGAAAGACTCAACCTGCCTCAGCAGTTACATCCAAGTTAAAACCCCTCACACCCATATTGAGTGCCAAAACTGCCTGGAACCGAATAAAAAAATATGTAGCTTGAGTTTGAGAACATTTTGTCTCTTGTAGTTTTACACAACTGGGCAGTCATCACCAAATGTGTCCACAGCCCGGTCCTCTCTCCAAAATTCGTCCATAAATTCTCGGTTTCACGTAGCTAACAGCCACTATTCTGCATCAACGCTGTCATGACCATCTCTGTGAGTTCACCAGAAGCTAATCACGCTTACAAGAACAAAAGTTACGATTCATACAACAATTCATATGCATAATCACTGCTTTATATGAAAAAAAGGAAGGAACAGGAACCCTAAAACCAGAAAAAATAACAAAAACCATCTGTGATAAATTAATTCATAAGTAGGCTCTGATATGCAATATGAACAAAGGTTACAGAAAACATTTGCTGAATCCACATAAAGTTGAGAAAATAGTTTGCTTTTTTTAGTTTTAGCAGCTTATTTAAACAAATAATGAAAAAAAGTGTAAGAAGTTTTAAAAGCGAAAGCAGCACCAGCCCAGTTTTTGATCCAGTATTCAACAGCAGGACCAAATTTCCTATTCACCGTCTCTGATACCTTTCCTTTTTGGCCCCAGTTCACTTCTTAAAGTTTGCTGCTATTCACTCTCTGAAGCAGCCTGGTCTTTATATATTCTATGTTCAAATTGACATAACTCTTCTAACACTATCTAAATGCAAACAAAACACAGTGTTACAATCACTGGCTGTACGGACAGCAGCTAGGTTACAACACGTGAGGCCGTTAATTCACCCTCTACACTCGAATCTCTCGTCCAGGCTGCGGCGACTAAATCAAAATTGGTTCTTCGGGGCTTCAGCTTAAGCGTTCATACATAAAGCTGCAGTGGACCAACAGATATCAACGGAGCAACAGTACTCTTTATTTACACAAGGTAGTTTGAAGAATTATCTAAGCTGTGCTCTATTACTAAGAGTTTTACAGCCACAAAGGGGCATTTGCTTGTAATGCAAGCATTGACTTTAAAACTAACCAAACATCACACACTATAATGAAAAACAGTGATTGTACTGTCTTTGTAATAAAGTCATGCTGGGCTCTTTGCTTTTTAGTACTTTTGTGAGACATTGTGTAATAGTAAAGTGAGACCCTGTAAGAATAATGACTTCATCTCACCCTCAGACTCGATCTGTGAGGGTTTGCTCGGTTGCACTGGAGGCAAAGACTCAGCAGGAGTTTCTTACTCCGATCACTGAGGAAAAAGCAAATGAAACCGCACACTCGTCCTGCTTCAAAGGACAAGCCTCAGGGTCGCTGCTTTTTGTGCTGTGCTCCATCCACAACTATCTTCGCATCAGGTCTTTGATAAACTATTGTGAAACTAGATACAGTGTGCAAATGTGTTAGATCTGAATGTGGAAGGTGACAGATTCACAGTGTTCTTCAGGTTCTTATGGTCCATTACAACAACTGATTAAAAAGTAACCGCAAGCTGAGGATCAACGTTTTTTCCAGCACGATTTCTATTCAAAAGAACTTTTAAAATGTCTGTTAACTCTTGTTAATATGGTAACTTCTATAAAAAGTTAATAATTTTATTAAAAACCTTTGTCCTCAATCCATTTAAAAGAGTTTTGTGTGTAAGTATGTTAAGATGTAAGGGAAGAGAACTGTGTAAAGAGGTGCTACAGCAATTTTATATTCATAGAAGACGAAGTAATATCAAAGAATGAGACAATGAATGTTAAACAACAAAGAGGTTTTGTTCTGGAATAAGGCAGAGTCCTCAGAGCTCAAGGGAAGGAAGAAAAATCTTTGGTTGTGCATCCATGCATTCCTCTGAGATGAATAATAGTGTTCAATAACAACACAGCATCAACGTTAACACGATTACTAGTGTCAGAACACAACCACACACACTCATAAAATTCATACCAGGATGAGAAAAAGTGCAAAAATAAAGACAACAAGAAGAGTCCCACTTGGTCACGCTGCTATACACAGAATCGATCGTGGTACCTCAAATCACACCAAGGAAGGGTTGTAACATTTGATCCGTGCTCAAAATATTCTCAAAGTTTGTTCCACTTGTTTGGGTCCGTTATTCGTACTCACATCTACACCTGTGATGAAAAGGAAATAAAAACCAGGTTAGAAAAGGATCAAGAAAAAATGTCACAGAAACTTGAGAAGGTAATTCTTTCGACTTACAGAGCATTTGCCTGCAGAAGGCACAATGTCACTGAGGGAGATCACGTCCACGGAATTAAGGCTGTCCTCAAGAGTCCCATCCTGGGAACTGTGACAAAGTAAAACAGTAGAAGAAAAAAAATGAAGATATAATTCCAGTATCCATACACTTGAAATAATGTCTCATATAAAGTATAAATAATGATCTTCCTGTGTGTCTCTGTCTTACCTCTGGAGGGTGCTGTGCTCTTGAGCTTTAATCAGCATGTTATGTAGATCCACTCCCCCTGACCTGCTGCTGCCCTGAGAGAGAGGTGAAGGCTGAGCTGTTGGAGCAAAGTCAGAGTTTCCCAGTGAGGAGGAGAAGGAGGCTGTGGTTTCAGAGGCACTGCCAACACCTTGGCTTGGTAGTGAGGTGTTTGGGAGGAGGTCAGGACGTCCTGACTGCATGCCTGGGTGGGAAGGGAGGAAAAGCTTTTAATTCCATGCTGGGAAAGAAGCGCTTCACATGCTGGTACACGCAGGAGGACTGCAGTATCAGTAACACAAAAATGTTTTCAGCATGACGACCAAAACATAGGTTTCTGTTTCCAGCTCTTACTGTAGTCCACTTCAGCATCTTCTCTGGTGTCAGTGCTCATTTGATGTTGGTAGGAAACTGTCTGGCTGTTTGTGCTTGTTTGGGTTGACAAAGGAGGCCCTGAGCCAGCTGTCTTCCTCGGAGGACCGTGCGTAACTGCACGGCGCTTCTTAGATGGAGATGTCTTTACTACAGAGTAAAGAAGAAGAAGAGTTAACTTAAAGACCATACAGTGACTTCGAATATCAAACACAAATTCAGTAAAGTAGTAAAAGAACGCAAACTGGCATTTTCCTGTTTCTCTGAGGTAGTAATCTGAACTATGCTGTGTATGATCTGCTGTGACTTGCACTGATAAAATTATGCAGGCCGAGAAGTGTTGCAGAATAACCACACACCTCAGTGCTCATGTGCAAACATCATGTTTTGTTTCTGCTGTGTGAACTGATCCAAAACTTTGAGCAGCTGCTGCATCAGCTTTTTAAACTTTTGCCAAAGTCTAATCAAAGTACCAACCTGATGGTCACATTTGTAATCCAACCATAAATCATTCGTCTACTACAGTCAGAGATTAACAAACTAAACTTTATGTTTGATGCTACAAAAAATCATGTAATACACAAGATAACATTTTAAATTTGACTGTACAGTTGTATGATTATTAACCTCTTCAAACAGGATCTTTTCAACATAGAAACAGTGATAATCTCTCTTTAGTAAGTTTTTGAGCTGTTGCAGTCATACTTGAAACTCAGGATGTCTAAGCCTCAAATGCAAACAGGCTTTTCTTTTCGCTAAGGCTCTGTCTGCATATTTGTAAATGTTTGCAAAAGTCAGGGTGAGCCTTTATAAATGCAGCAGGAAAAAATGTGATGGCATTTTTAATGTAAGTGGGACAAATCCAACGGGATCTTATTGCACATAGTGAAGCTTCTCTTAGGCTTCTGCTGTGGTCTATGTATCAGCCTGTCATGTGTTGATGCTTCTGCACAAAAACAGTAAATACTCACATGTGATCTTCCTGAAGACTGTGTTGCACATGAACTTCTGGAACCGTTCTGCATAGAAACTTGGTCTGTGTACAGACACAGTGTCCTTGATGAAAAGGGGGGAGAACAGAGGTTACAAATATATCTTTATAGTTTAAGACACGCTTACTGAAGTTAGCGAAGTACCTTACCCCATCATGAACCAGAGCCTTCCATGAGTGTTCGAGCTTCTTTACTAATCTGAAGAAGAAAAAAAAAACACACACACACAAACAGAAAGTGGATTACTAAAAGGAGTCACATGATATCAAATTCTCAGAAGAAGAGCTGGACTAACTTCCACTTTTAAGTTTTGCCTCAGTGGCTATTTGCAGCACAGTTGACTAATCCATGCAGAGAATTACATCCAATCATATTCATGCAGGTAGAAAGCTAGTAAAGGACCCAGTTTGAATTATCTAAGATGAATTTTCATGCATAGGACTTGTTTCTGTCAGAGTTAACCCAGTAATGAGCAATCCACTGACAAAACTTCAATACTGACTGTGAAGACCTTTTGTAAGAGTCACTGACTGAACGATGACCACATGAATCCACCAAGTGTGTACTGTTTACCTGTAGGACTGCAGAATGTCAATGATACCCATATAAACCAGCAGTCTCTCGCCTTTTGCATTGCGTGCTGGGATTCCTCCCGTCCTGTCAGGAAAACACACAAAGAAACGTCATGTTCGGCTCAGTCTTTTACATCAGAAACTTGCCTCCTCCTGTAAGACCAGCGGATAGTCACAGAAACACGGTCACTCACTGGTCCTCTGTTTCCGTTGATCCCATGCTCCCTGCCTCCGCCTGGATGGCCTCGATGGCGGTGCTGTACAGAGACTTTTGACCTTGGGGTCTCCTTTGGTCTGCAGCTGCGGCAACTGCCTCTTCGCTGACCTGCTCTCGACAAGCCTGGTCTAGATTGTGGATCCCCACCAGAAGGCTGTAATCCATAATCTTGAAACTTTGCAACAGCTGCATGACAATCAAAGAAAACAAGATAAGAGAAAACAGCTGATTTAGGAAAAAATACACGAAAAAAGATATAAAGATGAGCACAAGAGGCTTTATCTGTCATTTTTTTTACCAGACAGTCTCTCTGGATAGTCTTGCAAACAGCACTGTACTTGTCTCCCTCCATCAACAGCCCCTCTTGTGAGTCCTGCATAAAATCCAGATCCTTATACGTGGGCACAGCCTTGTCTCTTTCTTTAGCTGAGGCTCGTCTTTTGTAGGTGGACCCTTTCAGATCATATTTAAGGTGCATTCGAACGGTGCTCGGGAGCAGATTGTTCATGACTACAATACGGATGTTCTTTCCTGCTGCCTGGACGCAGTAGAGCCCGTAAAACTTTGGTAACAAGGTCCGCTTGTTCTGGTTCAGATTCTGTGGGTGAGAGGAGAGGAAAGAAAACAAAGTTAAATATGAAAATCAGACTTGAGCGCCGGTTGAGCTCGCTGCAGAATCAACACATTGTCCTGACATGATTCTCTTGCATCTATTGAGTCTCTCAAACTTTATAATCAAAATAAAAGCTGGTGTCTCTTTGATAATAGTTCTTTTTTTTAAATTATAAATCTTTATCACATTTTAAAAATACATTATATTTAAAATTATTCATTAATAACTTGATCTGATTTTTTGTGTTTTAACCTAAATAAACCCTTAAATAGTGAGTTTTGTTACTGATTGCCCATAGATGAGAAATTAAACTAATTTTGTCTTTCAGATCAGCTAACCATCTGAAAAAAAAAAAAAAAAGCTTTTTCTTATAAAAAAGGACACCAACTATCGATAAAAAAATTCAGATGCAAGTTTTAATCATTAAATCTTTTCATATTTTTAAAAGTAAACTCAATACCGACCTTTTTAGTCTGGCTTTTAGTTGAATTTTGTTTTAATCTTTTAATCAGCACTATGTGATTGTACCCTGTTTTAGTCCTAGAGTTATTATTTAGTGTTTTATTACCTCTTTATTAATTTACTTTCTGTTATTGTTTGATTTTAAGACTGTTTTATTTAATTACCTTTAACGCTTTATCACTTTTATTATATTCTATCATTGTTTTATCGTTTTAGTCCTTGATCCAGTGTTTCCTCGTTTTTTTAACTCAAGACAGCATTTCCTCAGTCATCTGTGGCAAGTTGAAGAGTCCTCACATCATCTTTTGTGTATGTATCTGTGTGTGTGAGTGCTGTATGTGTTGAATGGGGGTTGGGAGAGTGGGTGGTGTTTGGTATTTGTATTATTATTTATTTTATTTCATTGTTTTTAATATCCTGCTTGAATGGACAACACTTTGTGCTACATTCTATGTATGAAAATTGCTTAAAAATAAAGTTTGAGTGATTGATTGATTGATTGAAATCTATTATTTGACTATCCTTCTCATCAAGAGCAGCTGTGGTATCACTGGACTTTGCTTTTAATGACAAAGACAAGCAGGCAGAAGGATAAAGATTAGGGCGTGTTACTGAGTGAAATGTCCCACAGTTTCTCCAGTTATCATCTTGTACCTAATGCTCCTCATAAATCTTACCATGAAGTATCCTGGGAGCAGTTTCTGCAGAAATTCGGCCTCTTTGTGCTGTACTGTCTTAATAATGTACTCATCATCGCTGGAGAGGTAGAAGAGAGATCCACTGGCTCCAGAGTTGGAGAGCTCGATCAGCGACTCATTACAGAGAGAGTACTGAAACCAGAACAGAGAACAGCAGTCATGACATGATAAGAAACACATTCACAACACAGATAGAGAGGGTAAAAGTCAGCGGATCCAGCTCCACCTTTGAGTGTGTCAACACTTTTCTAGTTTCATTTTTTCCAGTTCCTCATTCACCATAACCTTCTCACAAGTCACAGCCCTTCTCTTCCCCTCTGAGCAAACACTGCTTCACATTTTTCAGAGTATTTAAGATGCTGAGTGAACAAGAATACCATGTAGTCATCAGGCCGGATACCAAACATCTCCCTGAAGTAGCGGAAAGCGATTGGGGCGTATGTCTTGAACCTGAAATCTCCATAGTGATGGGCTGGTGTTAAGTTACTCCCCTCACTGCGAGTTAAAATCAGACAAGGTAGAGGGTCACTTACAGCACATACAAAGAGGGGTGAATCAGTAAATTAATGCAATGGAGACAAAACATCCCATCTCAGGAAATAAAGCACACATCTAATCGTCGTCATGACACATTTCCTCTTAATTATTCAAAAGACTCGCCTGGGAAAGAAGATGCTTTCCACTACTTCAAAGTCCTGCAGCAGTACATCTCGCTCAGGTTTCTGGCTCAGGCTGCCAACAGTGTGCGTGATGCCTAACTGGATCGCACCTTTCAGAGCAGATGATGTAGTCTGAAAGAGAAAGTATCAAATACCGTCTGTCACTGCTGGGGTCGATTTCAAAATCTCAGTGCCAAAAAAATCCAGGTGAGAGAAAACAGCAGAGTTCAGTGAATTTAGTAAATACACTTCCAATTCTTTTCATTGTGAGTGTTACCAACACGATACTATACATTATTGATGTCCCAGTGTCTTATTCGGTGTTGCATTCATGGGGCACAACTTACAAACAACAGAGTTACAAAAATACACACTTAGAAGTCTAATACTGGTTTGCCTCTTACTATCTCCCAAGATCGGCACAGTGGAGGGCATAAAAAGACATGCCTTGAACTGCTAATGTGAAAAATGTTACTTAAAAGTTGTCAAGAAACTCAAAATATTGTCCCCTGAAAATGATTAAATCTTTTTGTTTTGGTCAGACAAAATATGAAACATGAAGATGTTCTGGCTCTGAGTGCTCATGAAGGACTATTTACAATTTTCTGCTGATCTCATTTTAATAACGTGCAAATAATCTGAGTGAAAACAAGGGCAACAGCAGTCCGAGGTGAATTCATGTACATGTATCAGAGTCAATAACAGCTGATTCGTCACCTTCTTGTATGTTGTCTCCCCAGTTGGATCAATTCCACGATGGCCGATAGTCTTTTTCATGTTTGGAGACATGGTCGCACTCGGACCCTGTCAGGACAAACACAGTGAAAGGGAAAATAAAAGGAAGTTTGGGAACTACATTTCATGTGTGCAGCAATGTGCGATTTGTTGTTGTTGCAAAAGAGGAAGGAACAGAGGACATGTCAGCTAAATACCAGTGAATCTCTCACAATCGAAGAATTAGCGGAAAAGTTTCATAACTGACACGAAGTTTGATGCAATTCCATTTAAAAAAACAAGAAACACTTTTCTTACCTCGGGAGAAGCATTTTTTCTGACCCCGGTCGAATCTGTAGAGAATACAAAAAGAACAACGTTTTTGGAGGAGATACAAACAAAAACAAGAAGAAGTATGAGTTAATTCAACAAGTCTCAATCCATCACTGGATGCATTAATATCAGACAACACAACCTAAAGTAGCTTCTACCACTCCCTGACACACACAGAGTGCAGCTCGACTTTGAAACAAGCATGCAGACGCACCTCGTTCATTACCTCTGAGGGAAGAGAGTCTCCTCCAGAACTGACTCTGCAGGTCTTTGTGGGCAGTGGGAGGAATTAGATAAGTATGCTATTACTATTAAAATGAGTTCAACCAGAACCAATGACCAATGTTCTGAGCTCTGTGATAAAAACCTGTGTTCTTGAGTACATGAAAAGTTTCAAGGAAATAACAGCAATCCTATTTGCCTTCGTGTAAATTTTGCCAGAGCTGTATGGAAGTCGCAAACCATGAAAATCTGGGAAATGAAAGAGTAAGGAAGATTTAATAAATAGTCAAGAATGTGGGGAAAAAATATTTGGTGTTTTAGTTCATGTTTTCAATTTTGCAATTCAAGATTACAAGTCAAACATGATTGGAATTTTTATTTCATGCTTTGATTTTGTTCAACTCAGTATTTGAACTTGTGTCATTTTTATACTGTAGATTACAATTTTGAATTTTAAGTCATATTTTGACCTTTTATACTCGATTTCAATGTTCTCCTCATGTATTTGCTCTTTAAATGCATTATATTTATTTTTAATATCATGCTCTGATCTTTTGTACTAATAAATACAAATAGAATAGAATATATTTTTTTCTATCTCATGTTGCCTTTAAACTTATCTTTTTATCTCTTTAGAATTTCCAAATGATTTATAGTCATTGCTATTTTTGTTACATATTTTTGAAAAGGAGTTGGACAGTTTTGGTAAAATGTTGACCCTGTTTGGCCCTCAAGTTGGACCTAAATCCAGATTATGGCCCTTGCTGTGGTTGAGTTTGACACCCCTGAGCTAGAGAGAGATACAAAGAGAGGATAGCCTGGTTGGGTCTCAGAGAATCGCCCTGGGGATGTCATCAAGAGTCTCTATTGGGATACTTAGTCAAAACAAAAGCAGAAAAGAGGAATAAGCATGTCTGACATGTTTCAGATAGATACTAAATACGTCAAACTAATAAGGTACTATTGGTTGCATTATGGAAAATGAAGAAATTAGGAATTTTAGTGCATGACTTTTAGTGGTGGCTAAAAGTCAAGATAGTATAACCTTTGTTGTGTCAATATTGACCATCTCTTTCAACATAAAAACAACAAAAACTATTTTGTTGACTTAATGATACAATTACAGTCATTTCCTTTTTTGAAGTTTGACAACTATACCAACAAGTATTTCCATATTTCGTCCCACAAATTGATTAGACTGTAAGACAAAATATCAGGACATTTTATCTGGACATAACTGGACAATCCTCTAAATCACCATAAACTCAATGCTCCAACATGACCTTTGAGTCAAGACAGTGTTTCTATTCAACTGATAACAAGTCCCTTCATGGAGGTATTTCATTGGTTTGTTTCAGGAGAGATTTGTCTGATAAACTCAGTGTACACAAACAGTAGACATAGCTTCAAATACCCCTTAGGATTACCTTTAAAAAGCTCTCGCACGTTTTGTCAAACTAGGAAGACTCACATGTGCATAATGCAACAACTTACTCTGATAAGCTCCAGACTTTTGGATCAATAACCCAGGTTCATGTCACGACTATATGCGTCATTTAGGCAACGTTACACCCCAAACCTTATCTGTTTTATCCCTCTAAATGAGAGCTGGTGTAAAATAATAACACAGTACTTACAGCCAGAGTGGCCCTGCAGCCCCGGAGGCTCCTCTGCAGCTGTGGCCATTCAGACCTGACACCAAACTCAAGACTTTTATGGAGCAGAGAAATTCAGATGTTGGTTTATATCCTGGAAACGCTGTCAGCTTTCCCTTATTGGGCACATCAAGTGATCTGTGTGGACAGGCTGTATCTCAAACCAGTATGTTAGGAGGTCTCAGCGAGGAGAGCAGATGACTTCATGCTCCAACTATTGACAACAGCCACGTTGACTGGCTCTTCAGGTCTGAAAACACAAGAAAAATACAACAACCATCGTTTTAAAGAAGCTGTTCGCTCTCTGATTATATAACTCGGATATCTTGTGATAAATGTTAATAGCAGTTCAGGCTTGCCCGATAAGTTACCGACATGTCTGGGGAAAGGCAGTACAAGAAACAGAGGAGACGATGCTAATTAGCTGCTAACTCTGGTTAGACTTTTCTAACTTTAAAACGGTCAATAACGGTCAAAAAAGATCTCAAACAAACTGTAAACTCACCTTAAATCTTTGTGGGTTATTTTCTCTTTTTCCAGTCAGAGAAAAGGACACCTTTTTACTCTTCTAGAGGCACTGTTTTCACTAAAACTAATGAACGAGGAAGCAGTGCGGAAGCGAGCCGCAGTTTGTGTTCAGCCCCACGAGCTAAAGCGAGAGCTGTATTTCCGGGATATTCCCTTTCAAAATAAAACGGTTTAAAAACTATTCTATACATCACTCCATAATAATATATTTTCTGCAACGTATTTATTATGGAATTATGGAAGATGTATTATTATGGAATAAATACGTTTGCAGAAATTATATTATATTATATTATATTATATTATGTTGTAGGTATATCTATTGTAGATATTGCATTGTGTTTCAGATAGACAGGATAATTAGCTGAAAACAGGTAAAAAGTCAAACAGATTAAAGTTTATTTTGTAAAAGTACAAAACAAATGTCAAGGATTCTTTTTGTTCATGAAAATATTTTATTAAGCTTTTTATGATGCATTACATGAAAAAGAGCAAAATATAAACTTTATAAGGTAATAGTGTCATGTTTTAATGTAATGTAATATTGTTCTTTAAGAAATATAGAAATCACAGTGGAAAAAGTAACAATTTAACAACGTTGGTACTTGATCAAAATTTTATGTTAGAAATAAAACTGTTGATAGATGAATGGATTAAAATGAAATAAAAGGTAATGATAGGTGAGTAAAAAGTAAATAACAAATGAGTGAATAAAATAAAACAAGTGGTGTTTTTCAAAATAAAAGTAAATCTTATTGAACCAAACAAAAAATGTTTAAATAATAATAATAATAATAATAATAATAATAATAATAATAATAATAATAATAATAATAATAATAATAATAATAATAATAATAATAATATAAGCACATATTTATATATTTAGGCAGCACCAAAGCACTTCCTAACCTCCGTGTGCAGCCTTCTTATTCTCTGCAGGTTTTCAACACAGAGAAGTTATTAACAAAACTGTTCACGGAAGACATCGAGTATGATTAGAAAATAAAAAAAAGACTGATGCATGGATATTTCATGTGGTTCAACGTCATATCCTTTTATTTTGAAGCCGAGCAGGATCTTAGGAGGACCTTTTGCGATTTCTAATTTTACTTCTTTTATAATCTCTGAGTTCTGGAGCACAAAGTTAATTCACTCATACAAATAACACAGACTACAACAACAAAACAGTGAAAACGGGAAAAAGTAATGTTTGTAACTTTTACTTCCTACTGAACACTCTTCAGTTTTCTCCCAGCTTACTCCAGCGACTGTAATGGCCAACACTGACCTCTGTTGGACAAATATATTATTACAATGATTGATTTTTAATTTCTTGGATGAAAGATCTGAACTTGTTTATAAGGTATTTGGTTTAAACCTGAGCAGTTTTCCTCCATTGTATATGACAATCCAATATAATTACTGTAAACTTGATATTCTTAAAAAAATAAGGAAAGAATAAAGAAAAAGAGCATTGTGTAAAATTTTAAAAACTTATTCATTGCTTCTTAAAATAGATTTCATCAGTAAACCAGAAACAGTGACATAAAATCAACTTGAGTTAAGACAGTTTACATTTTCAAATAAGAATAGCATTTCTTCATGCCATGACATATTGTGATTAAAAAATATTGCATTAAAAAAAATGAAATATTAAAAACTATTACAAATTTAGCTTTTTTCATTATTTGTAGCACTGATAATCTCTTCTGAGCCTCTGCTATCTGCAAGGTGCAGAGACGCTTGATTTAACTCTAATGTTTAAATGTGAATATATTAATAGTATGTATTTGCAGAAGTTTTATGTCTTTCACACAGCTGTACTGTTTATGTAGTTTTTGTTTTATATTGGACATACTTAAATTGGATTTATTTTTACACCTTTAGCAAGCATGAGCGTTGAAGGTGAATCCTGGCTGCAAAGGGACTGCAGGTGCAGTGTATCCTGGTAATGGGTTGTAGCCTGGGTTTGGGAGCTCGCTGTCAAAGCAGGCCCAGCGTGCGTCTCCTCTGTCCTCACAGCACTCATAGGGGAGAGTCATGGTGGAGTATTCGTCCACACAGAACCGAGACAGGGCCTGTTTCCACTGTAGGAAGAGAGAAACAGTCATACGAGGGAGAAGAAGATAAACTAAAATGATCTCTATGCTGAGGACCCAGAGGAAAAATCAAAAGCCAAAGTTTTGTGCATTAAATGATTAAATACTGGTAGCTCTGTGTTTCGTAGTGCTTTGTGTTGCAGTAAAAACATCAACAAAGCCCATTTTTAGAGAGTATTACACACACAGTTCAGCTATTTTGTGTATCTTTGGTTAAAAATTACTTTATGATTGCACCCAGTGAATATTCAGACGTATTTAATTACACTTTAAAGATGAAAAGTGCATCTATCTAGAAAAACCACAACAAAGGAGTCACTGAATGTAACACTCACAGCTTGTCGGGTGCAGCAAAGGATCTGGTTGTTGTCCTGGGCGACCTGTCCACTGCAGCACAAACTGTACCACGACTCCAGACGGTTGATGGCATCTCCACGGCGGCGGAAGTGGCTGGATCCAGAGCCTGAGAAGAAGTTGTCAGGGTACCTGGGTCGGCCCTGACCAAAGTGGCATATAGCACCGAGGTTCAGAGGGGTGGGATAGGCTGGAGGGAAGGGGACGTCAGGCTCATTGAGGGAGTTTCTTACAGACTCTGTGGAGACAGGAGATCAAGAATCACAGAAGTTAACACCTTCAGGTTTTCAAGAACACTGAGAGTCAATGCTGTGAGTACTGAGAAGAAATTACCTCCCACATCTGCACCATGAAAAGTCAGCAGTGCGAGGATCCAAATCCCTGCGAGGCCTCCCATTGAAGTCATTGTTGTATGATTTGAAAAGGCAGGTTTCTCTCCAACAAGTTGATATTCTATCTGTGACAGCAACCAGCTTTTATATTCGAGAATAGGCAGTCTGTGGGCGTAGGATGGTGGGAAATGGGGGAGGAAAGTATGAGGGGAAGTGGTGTATGTATGTGGTGGGGGTGAGGGCAAGATAACATAATACTGCGAACCATCAAGACTGGACAAAATGAGTTTCAACTTTGATGATATCTGCTGACATCTGCAGCAATCAAAACTATCACTTTTAATTAAATTTCTTTGCCAAGGTTGTTCCCGAAATTCTTCATTCGTCCCAGATGTGATTCACCCAAACCAGCGATGGAACTTTTTCTCTGATAAGACATAATCTGAGGAAAAACAAAGGCTTGACTTAATCATAGTATCGATGAAGCTGCTGTGTGTAAGTTTCACAACAAGTCATGACAGCATGAACAAAAGCAAAGGTCAAGTATTTACACCTGCACATCAGAACTTTTAACTCAATGGATTAAGTTTTAACATACAAAAGATAGGACTGTGATTTCAAGAATCACGAGTCATGTCTCATTTCACTGTTTTGCATAGATTTGAAAATAGACTTACCTTTTACATTAAAAATCAAGGGAAAAAAGGAGAACATGCACGGTTCTATGGCTGCAAATATACACTTTCTATTAAATTAATGGAGTTTATTTTTGTTGTATTTTCAAGGTTGACTGGCAGGTATTTCCTGAGACTGATTGCTAAAGAAGAGGCCTATCCTCCTCCTAAATTTTATGTCCTCTACTAGTCTCAATTATTCCCTTTATTTGAACTTCCCTTTAGGATGAGACTGTTTAATACTGTCAAAAAAGTCACATTTTAGGGCTGTGGCATATACACAATAAAAAAATATCCCATTTCTTCTAGATTAAACATTGAGAAAATATCAAGGTTTAATCTAAAATTCTGCTTAGGTGAGGGAAAAGTCCATTTTATCAGTGATGTTTTGCTGACTGGATGAAGAATAAGAAGATTGAGGTACAGAACAACACCTTTATCAGAGAAATCCTGACGGCTTTCCCAAAACTTAATCTCACCTCAGACTTTTTTCAGTAAACTCCCCAAAACTCTCTTATCAAAAAATGTCTGAGTGAGCTCTCTGTTATCAGAGGATGGTTAACACTCACTGCAAAAACTTCTCCTGTTGTTACCGACAATGTTTTGACTCTCTGCATGAGATTAAAAGGATTCACTTATTTATTTCTTCATTATTCCTGCTGTTTAGCAGGTGCCCATTGATTTAATCATAAATGTTTTTCACTACTAAAATAAGATTCTAATTTTTTACACTTTTGGACTCTGGTTTAGTAGTTTTTCTTTTGCATGAATGCAAATAAAACTCTTCCGCTGCAGCGACAGTCTCTCACTCTTCTTCTTTGCCTTCTCATGCAAGCTCACTGTTTTTTTCAATATTGCCCCATTTGCATATTTAAATGCACAAAACTTGGTTTTAGAGTGTTTTATTTACAGTATTTTCACTATAGGTTACATAGAAAAAAAAACGTAGTTCTCTTCAGGGATGTCTGGGTAAACGTTCACATTGTTCTGCTGAACCCACTCCAGTAAAGCCAGAAAGGCTGGTCAGACCAGAGATCAGAGTGGGACCATAATGTATGTCATCAGGGCTGTGAACTTTAGCCAAGAGAGACGAGAAGCTCAGTCAAGACAGTAAACATGAACTAGAAAACTCCCTCAGAGAAATTTTTGAAAGGGCTATTCCCAGGGTGTAAACAGCATGAGGAGATTCTTCAGATATTTCTAATGATTAATATCAGTAGCATTGTAAAATTATGTACAAGGAGCACACCTTCAACAAACATTTTTTTCCAAGTATTTATTTCTACTAAAAATGGAGCTGTAACAGTATCATTTACAATAAAACATTATCACATTGTTTGAAAAAAAAAAAAGAAATTAAATGGAGTTTATAGGTAAAAGTATACCAAGCAGGTAAGAGTCAGTGTTTTATCATAATCAAATTGCTCTTAAGTGATTTAATAATGCAGTGATGTAATAACAGGCCCTGATTAGTTAATTAGTCCATGATTGGTATCAGCTGTGGGCTTTGCCTGAGGCTCACAGGTTGCCACGACGATAAATGCACCGCAGGCTGAGGCAGCCAAAAAGTTCAGAAAAAAGAGCCATTTTTTTGCAACAGCCCTATCAGAAAAAAAAGCAGACCATGGTCATCGTAAGGACTTCCTTTGGTATGATTTTGGTGTTTCTACGGTAAACAGTTCGGACATACTTGCAAGTTATAAACCTAGGAGCCCCTTTGCTTCTCTCAGAAAATCTTTGTATCAGTATCAATGAGGAGCAGAGAGAGAAATTGCTGAACTGAGAGACTCAGTGTTAAAATTCTGTAGGTCTGTCTGCCTAGATGTCTTCTTACTCTGAAAAATCAAAACAAATCAAAATCAGGATTTTGAGCATAATACACATGCATTGATTTTCTACATCTGCTCTCTGATATTCAAGTGAGCTGTTTTAATGTGCATTTATTTTTCATGTATATTTCTAATTTGACTGGACCTTGTTGCTCACAGCCTTCGCAGAGTCACTGATCACTTCCAGGTGTGATCATTTGTTCAAATGAATCCCCAGCCTCTCATTTTATAAAGCAAATATTGATTCCTCATGTAAGAAAACTCCCTCAACTTGCTTATTCTGAAGGCAAATCCTACTATAACTCTTTATCACTTTGATCCTGTCCATTCTCTTCAAACTTCAAATTAGCTGTTTAACCTGTTTGCACCATGAAACTCAGACTGCCAGCAAGTTGAGAAAGGGGAGGAGGCAACAATGAAAAAAGGCGGAAAAAAGCCACAAAGGCAGTACTGAGTGAATCCTGTGGCCTGGGGAGAAAACCTGTCAGTGAAATCAAAGTACAGAAGAACACGGGAACTAAAGTTTAAAACACAAGTTGAAGGTAAGGAAATGCTTTTCACTCTTCATATTAAGAGCACATTTAATCTTTTTCCTGTTTGTATGTTTAATTAACCCTCTTTTTCTCTCTGTTTACTCTCTCTGCATCACAGCTTCTTAAACAGCACCCATGCGTATTCAATGGATTGTGTCCATTGTGTCCAACCTGGTGTCCATGGGACTCCTAGTGATTGTTATGGGCCAGTATCAGGTGCTGAACATCCAAAAACAACGTGAAGAAAAGCTGAAAACGGAGGTACAGAGACTTGCTAACGAGTACGCAAATGATGACTTATCGAAAGTGACCATGGAAAAGCTGCTGGCTGACGGGAATAAGACAATGACAGAGCTGGAGGCTGCAATGGCCAAACTCAGCCCAGAGTTGGAGAAGAAGAGAAAGGACGTTGATGCTTGTCAGGCTGAAAAGGTGAGGAGTTTCTTTCAATTTCCAAAAATAATTACTCTAACCAGACAGTGCTTATTTTCTATTTTTTATCCAATACATACAAACATGAACGATTAATACCAGCAGATTAGGTTGAGGAGTTTTGGTGATCCAAGTGAACCTTATTTGGGAAAATATTACATGCAGTACGTCATGACAAAATGTATATGTTTGAAACAGAGTCCAAAAAGTCCACAAAGCTTTAGGTTTTGGTGGAAACAGATGTGTTTAATTCACTTAAAACCCCAGTGACATTTCTTCTGTTTGTGTTGATTTGGGCGCCCCAAGTGGACAAAGTGGGGTATCTGATCTATTTTCCCATCTTTCCTCATCTCAACTTACAAAATGGTGTTTTTTATAAGGACAAGTACCACACCCAAAAGACACTATGGTGAATAAGGCCTCATGTTACCCATACTGTTGAGGGTTGTATGACTGGTTTTGAAATCAGGCCTAATCTAAGCTTGTTTGTTGTTTGCACACGCACAGTGGTTACAACCCAATCAGCTGCTCCCAACCAGAGATAATGATACTGCAGAGTCCCGCCATGACCTGATTCTCCAGCTTCAGAGTTTCCTGTTATGTTGACAACCAAAGTACCTAAAAATGAATCAAAACTCCACCACAAAATATACTATTTGCATAGCTTCAAAACTTGTAGTTTCTGTCGATGCACCAGAAGAGTGATAACTTCATTTGATGTTACTCTCTAAACTCAACTTCAGTCTGTTTACATTATTGACAGACGTCGGTCTCAGTTTAACAGTGTAGACACTGAGGTCCTGTTTGACTGTGTCGCACAGTGTGATCATATCATTTGTGATCTTTAGAAAAATTCACTATTACAGCATAAGACATTCAGTTTTCTTTGCAGATAAACTTGCTGTGGAAAATCTTAAAAATCTCTCTGCAGTGTACAATTCTCATGCTTGTATGGCAAAAAAAGCCATCAGTGTTTGTGTTTCATACCCAGCCAATAATTCCTCACTAGAAATTTGCTTTTCTTCTAGAAAATTTTACATGATTGTGCCCCACTTTGTCAGTTTTATATCAAACAACTTGATATTTCTGTTGTATAGCATGAAAAGAAAATTTTAAACCTTTTTCTGCCACATTTACCTAACACAGTTGGAGATGAGAAAATCAAGATTTTAAATGGATTATTAAGCCAGTCGCTGTAGAATGAATCAGTACTTTACACTCTTTTGGGCTTGAAACTCATCATTGGGAAAACGGTGCCTGTCTGTTGTACAAAACTTGTCATATTTAACATCTTACAATTCAAATCCCAGACTAGAAACTCCTGATCTCAAGCTAGCATGGTGAATGTGTTAAAAGGACTATCACCACTAAACGGTGAATAATAACGAGGAGTCGCATGCATACATGCTAAAAGTACTTTTCAGCGTGTATTTGACCGATGGACTCTGACAACTCATTCAGGTGTTTCTAAACCCCTCAGGTAAAATACGTTCTCTCCCGTCAGACCATGCTTTCCAGTCTTACAGGTTTGAGCGGATAATGAAAGACTGATGGGTATTCAGTGTATTGTGTTGTTTTGCTTTGTTTTTTTGTAGAATGACTTTGACAGACCTTTTGCCAACATTTTTTTTCAGAAAACACTAAGTGATGAACTGGATGTCGCACAGAAGGAGCACAGTGACACTGAAGGTAAAAAGTACAAACACACAAATATGGCTGCTTGTGCCACCATGTGGTGAAATACAAGAACTAATGTGAGGGTCTGGATTTCTTCTCTCCACTCAGCTTCATTGAAAGCAGCTTCTGATGTCTGGAACCAGGAGATTGATGCTCTGAAAGGACAGCTGACGGGATACAGATCAATATGTGATCATGTGAAGAAAGTCCCACTGGCTTTGTATGTCACACAATTTCTTAAAACACTTTTTTTATTATGATGTACCAAGTGGAATTATAGTGGCATGATTGTGTTTTCCAGGAAACTTTGTGGCCCTAAACCCAGCTGAACAACATCAGTGGAGAGGACAAAACCTGACCAATGAATATCACAACCTCTCCATGCCTGAAGCCGATGTTTATCCTAAACTGATTTTGATATCTGCTGCTTGCTGTGTTTGTATTGCACTGAAAGTAAAACCGTATTTGTACTGACATATTTGAGTGATGATGGTGATGCCTCATTTAACATTTCAGGCTGTAGGGCAGTGTTTTTTCATCAAGCAAGAAAGCCCCCAGTGAAACTTCAATGTGAACTTGCTTACACATCTATTGTCCCTGTAGGCCAACAATTCACCCAGCCTTATCTGGTTTCGTACCATACAACAAACAAATGTTCTAATTTCTTAACTTTGTACTCCAAAAAACTCACATGTAATTGCAAATAATCTCAGAAGAAAATCCAAGGATTCATGTTAAATGGAAATGAGGAGCTGCTGACTTGTTGCAAACTCGTTGTCAGTGATGCCTTGTCTATGTAGTGTTACACGAGTTAGATCTGTAGAAGGGTTGTTTTCCTTAAATTTCCAAGTTTATTTGTTGAGATAAGAAATAATTATACTTAAAAAGTGAGTGATAAAAGAGAAAAGGGGGACATATTCTTTAAATCTGGCCAGACTTCTCTTTTAAATCACAAAACAAATACACAGGGTATTGTATTTGGCCTCACTAATGTGCGAATATAAATCTGATGAGTATAAAGTACTTGCTTGTGCCAGTTGATTTACAACATATTTCTTAAGACCTTTTAACATTTAAAATGGTCAGATTATTTCAATACATATAAATATTTTTAGTAACAAACTTGATTAGCAAAGAGTGGGCTTTAAGAGTGACCTAGTACCAGTGACTACATCTTCTCAAGTGTGCTAAAAGCGTCTGAGCCGCTGGTGTGAACATGAACACGACACCTGCCACTTCACAGAGCGTGCAGCAGACAGTGGGGAAATGTGATCCAGTACAGGGGTCCATGATGTAGTCTGACCTGGTCACTGACAGGATGTTCTAGGTAGTCCTGAACAAGTTTACAACCTGTGTGAAGGATTGGATGTCTGGATGCAGTGATGCATAGGTGAGCGTACACAGAGCGTACACAGTACACTGGTGTCAGTGGGTCACACATTAAAACCTCCTTCATTGAAAATGTAAATTTGGATTGTATTTTATGTCCTTAGAAATTGGTGCAAGGATCGGAAAGATGTTGAGGAAGTTACAGTTGAAAATGTGATTATACTTTGGAGCATGAAGCAAGAAAAGAAATCCCTCACACTAAAACCTATTCATTTTAACAATGTTTTTTTTTTTTTTTCAGATTTGTGCTAAGTTGTTTATTAAATCAAATATACTGGTGCAAAAAATATGCTATACACTCCTGAAATAAATCATCAGCTTTAAACCACAACATCAAATTATTAAATGATGAAAAAGTGTTTGTATAATCGGAAAAAATGCTTTTTAGTTTTTCAAGTTTGCTCTCAATCCCATACGTTTGAATGGCGGGGACTTTTTCTGCAGCCGGTCACCAAAAAAAATCAAAATATCCTTAAAATTTAACAAATATATTTCTTTATTTTGTTTGATACCCTAGATGTTTTTGGGAACTGATAAACCACAAGATGACATTTTTATCATTTATCGGACTGTATGAAGGTGTTTGTTTTAGTAATTTGTTGATCATATTGATTTGATAGTATATTAAAGTATGTATCACATATGATTAAGAAAAGGCAATAAAGGGTTAAGGACTTTTGAAAAATGGACCAATTTAAAAGAACATCTTTCACAAAAGGTAATGTATTTGGCTTCTGTAAAATGGAAAGGAATTTAAGATCTTAACAGCTGTTTTTATCTCGAGTCCCACCTCTGATAAGGCAGCAGCAAATCATAGTTAACAATTCTGAGTTGTCACATGGGGTGGCCAAACAGAGGGGGCAGGGGCACCCCTGCCTGCCGCGTCAAATACGCCCCTGTGAGCTTGCTTTTTTTTTTTTTTTTTTTTTTTTTTCTTGACTCAGGTAAAAAAAAAAAAAAAACAAGGACGTGAAAATAAAAGTTTTGATGGCAGTCTAAGGCTAATGAAGATGTAAAACTGAACATATATAAAACTATTTAATGAATGTATGCCTATTCAAAACCTAACGTAAATCAATGAGGGTGGCTTATTATTTGTTATGTGGGACAAACACCAGAGTTAATCATGTTATCTAGTCTTTAACTGACCGATTTCACAGTCTGTTTCTGAGAAATGGATATCGAGCGTGAAAACTAACCATTGGAGGGGGATAATGTTAGAAGATTAAACATACAGGAGGGTATTTGGAGGGTATTCCTGGTTGCAGCCGACCAAAAGAGTCCACATCCTGTCTCCGAAACACGACCTGTGCCTTTGACAAACTAAGGGTCATTGTCCACGCAAAAGGAGGGTCACTTCACCACAGAGAGGAGGAGGAGGAGGTGTGTGAGGACAGAGGAGGAGGAGGAGGAGGAGAGAGGTGTGTGGACGCAGTTATGACAACAAGCCGATTATTGAAGCCTGTCGGGCTCTGGCTGTCAATGTGTCTCCGTCCTCTCCTGGTCAACCAGACTCGAAAGACAACTGGGGCTGAAGTTTTAATTTCCACGTTGAACCGGCTGCATTCGTCAGTAAAGACAGGAAAGTATTTTTTATAGAGGCTGTAACTTTTTATGGTCGTAGACATTTGAGTGAAAAGCGTTTATTTCGATTTTATACAATGCTACAGAGAGCTAAAAGTAACTTTTTTAGTCACAGTTTTTGCAATTCCCTTTTCATACGTATTTTTTAAACGACTGTAGCCTTAAAATAGTTATTTATTCATTAATGGATAAATGTATTTATTTACTTATTTATCATTGGGCTATCAGTTTGGGGGGAATGCATGCTTAAATTCAGGCTATGTATAACTTTATTTATGTGTTTTGTCACTAAACTAGACTAGTTCGTTTATTTTATTTATCTATTTATTTATTTTATGTTATTCTTTATAATATGCACAAAAGTGTATAAAGTATGTTAAAACGTACTTTTATAATTGTTAGAACTCAACACTTACATTTTCTTTAATGTACACTGCTATTTTATGTTTTTTCTAAATTAATCTAACACCAGTAATGCATGAAAAAGCAACAGCAGCTGCAGCAGAACTTGTTAGTTAGTAAAAGTAAAGATTACAGCCAGAAACCTCACAGCCAAAAAACAGGGCCAACAGAACCCTCGTTGCTTTGGCTGGTCAGGTACAAAGTTTAACAATGACCAGCCCTACCAGGAGTGTCAAAGACCAGAAAGGCATCAGTGACAGCCCGTCTCACAAACCAGAAACTCCCAGGTACCGCAGCTGGAGCAACTGGAGCTTTTCCAGATGGAGGAGCGGCTCCCAGAGAGCAAGCCCCCCTGCTTCCCCCTCCCCAAAGGTGGACAAGAAGGGTGATGTGTCCAAGACGCTCTTCTCCTTGGTTAAGACACACAATGATGACTACACAGCGGATCCAGATGGCCTGATCAACATCAACGATGAGGCTGATGGAGGAGGCGATGATGACGTCGAAGAGGACCAGTCCACTTACTTCCAGAGGCAGTTCGGCTCCATGCTTCAGCCCGGGGTCAACAAGTTCTCCCTGCGTATGTTTGGCAGTCATAAGGGTGTTGCTGCTGAGCAGGCCAGGGTCAAGAGCTTTGGAGTGTGGATCATCCACCCCTACAGTGATTTCAGGTAATTACATTACATCTTCAGAATCAGTGTCTTAAGAGTTAAGTTTCTCTACATCATATCAGCAGAAAATTTGCATAAAGGGTGAAAGCAGGTCTGCAACAACTTGCTAATAAAAGATTTTTCAATCTGCCATTTATCTATTATATTCTCCTTTAGAAAGTATTCCATTTCTATTCAACAACACAGCCCACCAACTGTGCTCAGATCTTATTTCCAAGGTGGCTCAGCAGCTGATGTCATGGCTCCCAGCACATGATAAGGAGATGAAGGGATTTGATTAGTGATACAGTATATAGGACAAGATCATCTGGATTAATAATACCACCAGTGACTTTCTTTCTCTGCGTGTATGAAGTGGTAAAACTGTATTCATTGATTCTTGTGACTAAAGTTATCCAGTGTGCTCAGTTGGAAAGACACCCAACAATTTATTTCCCTGGCTTGCCCTCACTGTTGGAAGATTTGGTGAATCATTTAGCTTCACAGCTGAACAACATCTTAGCGGTGGTGCCAGAACAATCTGTCTGTGTGGTCACTAATAATAGCTGCCATCAATTTAAACAATTCTAAACATCAGGCCTGTGCCAGACACAGGATAAACCCGTGCACAGGGATTATTACCCATAAGAATCCCTATAATTCCAATCTCCTTTTATTATGCAATAATAAACAGACAGCTGAGGGGGAGATTATCAACGGCCTGCTCTGCATACACCGTATGCTCCGGCTTCCAGCTCTTTAAAATGAATGAATTAGAGCAGCACGTTTTTGGTGCTCAGCTTTACTTTTGAGGGTTTAAGGTCAAAGAGTTTGTAATTTGGACTTTGGATCATATTCAAAGTTGGTAGATAAACAAATTTGTACATTGTTGCATAAATACACATTTCATATACATTTCTATCCTTATATTTATTGATGGGTTGATGAGGCTTTCTGATCTGGTGGGAGTTTTGACTACTAGAGTGCATGTCCTGTTAAAACTTCACTCTTTTTGTTTTTACAAAACATTGAGGTTGATGTGAACTAAAGCACCATTATTCACCTGTTCTGGTGCTTGCATTTTTGTTTTCAGGTCGTCATCAGTAGATCTGTTGTTATGGAGCCAAAATATTTAGACTCTGAATTGCACAGGACCCAGTGCAGGAAATCCTTGCACACTGTGAGATTGTACCCGGGTACTGCAATGTACTTGAGGATGTGCAATGCATGTCACTCTGAAGGGTGTGCATGTGTAGTTGACTATTGAAACTTGGCATCAGACCTGTTTCTGTTCCTGATGGCATCTCTTTCTAAAAGGGTTTTCATTTGTTTTAGTCGTTCATCAGTTTTAATCTGAACACACAAAACTATCAAACCACTTTCTTTTTCCTGTTCCACTCCCACTTTTATCAATCGCTCATCTAAAATGTTTTCAGTACAGTAGACTTAACTCTACTCCTTGATGACACACGTGCTCACGCCACTTGACAACTACTGAAATGCTGCATAGGAGATATTAGCAACAAGCAACCACTAATCTGCCACACAACGTGATCGCAGATGTTAAGTAGACATGCGAATCAGTGTGTAGACATCAGAGGACATGTGTGCAAGTGATTGCTGGGGGGGATAAATGTGAATGAGAATGAAGAACTAATCTATCACTTCCCTGCTCTGACTGGCTAAAGAAAGAAGGCGTTTTTCGATTGTAGAGGTTGACAGTAATGAAAATAGACTGGCTCTGTTACAGCGACCTATGTAAAGAAGAGAAAGAGAGAGAGAGAGAGAGAGAGAGAGAGAGATAAAGTGATTGACACTTGATGGAAACAATCTGTACGGAAACCCAAACTGTGCAGCCAAGTCATGTAACGAGTCACTGGAGACCTAAAGCAGAACAGGGCTTGTATGACGGTAATGCAGACAGTGATGCATACAGATCAGACTTCTGGTATTCTGCATGCCAAGTGAAGCAGACTGTGTATAAGACATGCCTGGCTGTAGTGACATTTTCTTTCCTTTATTCTCTTCTTTGGTGGTACGTGGAGCCTGCCGAAGTTAACATCATGCATTTTTAATGAGAGGAGTTCCTCCTGTGACAGAAGATCTTATAGTTACGTTCACATTTAAATGGGTCATCCCCTGGATGGCAAACTTCCTTTGTTTGGATGACTTCACTTGACCCCGATAGCTTTTTTCAATCCCACAATTTAAAGGAATAGTTCAAGATTGTGTCTGAGAAAAGAGGATTACCATCTTCATCTCTGTGCACCAGGCATGGAGTTAAAGAGACCAACATATTGTGTGTAAAATCTCGAACCCATAAGCTTAGAAACAGACTTTTGTTTGAGGATCATTATAGTTTCTGTTAGGAGTATTATGGTAGTCAAAGTTGCATCGATCAGTCGTATTTCAGGAGATTTTGTTGTGTACAGGAAAAACAGTCAGTATGGAGAGCAAAAGAAGGCAGAATATAGAATGCAGTCCACCTTAATGACACCCAGGCTGCCATCTTCAGTAAGCTAACACTGTTTTCTTTTATCACTGTAAGGTCCCACATGATAGATTTGTTTCCTATAGCTGTTTACAACATGTCTAAATTGTCTGTAAAGGTTGTGAATTGTCACAAAAACAGACAAAATTTTGCATCCGTGGAGGATCTGCAGCCCCTCAGGAGATTTTCGGTTGCACCAGTAATCATCTTAACTGCTCCACAAATCAAATCTTCCTCTGATCTCTTTTACAGGTTTTACTGGGACATCGTGATGCTCCTGTTAATGATGAGTAATCTGGTCATTTTGCCGTGGGGAATCACCTTCTTTGAAGACCAGAACACCTTACCCTGGATCACCTTCAATGTCCTGTCAGACACTCTTTTCCTTATGGACCTAGTTTTCAATTTTCGTACAGGCATCCCAGGAGAGGACAGCCACATCATCCTCGACCCCAAAGAGATCCGCATGCATTACCTCCGCACATGGTTCCTGGTGGACTTTGTCTCCTCTATCCCAGTGGACTACATCTTTCTCATTGTTGACTTAGAGTCACGGCATGAGTCGTCTGATGTTTATCGCACTGCCCGTGCTCTCCGCATTGTACGCTTCACCAAGATCCTGAGTCTGCTGCGACTTCTAAGACTATCCCGCCTCATCCGATACATCCACCAGTGGGAAGAGGTAAAGGGAAGGGGAACACAGAGACAACAATTTGCACACACCAAAGAGATCCTCCTTTTACATGTCTATTTTCTTCATCAATCTTTCACTGTCAGATTTTCCACATGACCTATGACCTGGCCAGTGCTGTGGTGCGTATAGTCAACTTGATTGGGATGATGCTGCTGTTGTGCCACTGGGATGGCTGCCTGACCTTCATGGTGCCTATGCTGCAAGACTTCCCCCCAGACTGCTGGGTATCCAAAAACAATATGGTGGTGAGTACACTTCAATTAAAAGAGTCTGGCTTGTGATTTAGAGACCTGGCAGAGCATGATGGGCGTAGTTGAAGTAGGAAGGAAGGAAGGAGCTGTTTTTTTCACTGTTTTGTTGCAAGAAGTAGAGATTTGAATTTGAGCTACAACTGTAAGCCAATGGAGAGGGATGAACAACAGTGGTATGTGTTGTTTTGGGTTGTATCATCAGCAGAGGTTCATCTGTGCACACAGGGAGGTATAAGCCAGTACAGAGTTGCAGTTGTCAGTGTGGAATATTGCCGAAGCTGAGTTGCATGCTTTGTCAGGTAGGGTTGATTCCTCCTCCGACATTATAGAGGGAAAATCAGCACGAGCGAGTAACTGTTTGGTTTAACCAAGCTGATCTGTGGTTGTATTAAAGGACTGGCTGATATAACAAGAAGCGAATTTTTTGACAGGTTGAGCTACATGTGGTGTTCATTCATCTATTTAAGACATAAACCAGTGAGAGGCAGAATCTGAGATACCAAGCATAGAGAGCATGGAGAGGAGGATCTGATGGTTCACATCAAAAGCAGCTGATAGATCAGCAGCAACAGAACTGAGGACGTTTCAGCAGCTCTAGCTAATCACAGTGATTCAAAAGTTTCAGTAAGGTGGCCCCACTTTAAGCCAGACTGACTAAGACCAAATATGTTGTTGCAGAGACCTGATCAAAGACTGCGAATTCAAGTATTTTTAACAGGAAAGGCAGAAGTGAAACTGGTCTGTAGTTTTTAACTTGGGCTGGGATGAGGGTGGGATATTTGTGTAATGTGATTAACCGAGCTTACTTGAATGCAGCTAGGACAAGGCAGAATAGAGTTGGCCAAATGGTCTGCAGAAGTTTTAAAGGAATTGGGTACAAGCTTTAAGGCATTATCAAACTTTTATTCGTACAGTAATTTGGCTAAAAACTTTACTCATGCTGCAGATATTTACATTTTCTTACCAAATTTAGGTGTGGTGATTGTACAGTATTTTCCAGTGATATTTCTCTATTCTTTCCAGAATGATACTTGGCACATTCAGTACTCCTACGCCCTGTTTATGGCCATGAGTCACATGCTGTGTATAGGCTACGGGGCCCATCCTCCAGAGGGCATGTCCGATGTTTGGCTCACTATGATAAGCATGGTGGTAGGGGCCACCTGCTACGCCATGTTCCTAGGCCATGCAACTAACCTGGTGCAGTCCTTGGATGCATCGCACCGCCAGTATCAAGAGAAGGTAATCATCTCTGCGGGGATTGAAAACGATTAACAGACTACAACATTTTGACCTGAAGGGTCACTTGTATTGTATCCAGGAAGGTTCACGTGGGTGCTTATGTGATCCTGGCCGTGAAGTTTAATATCTCAGCCATGTTTTATTTCATAAGCTTGCTTACTCTCTAGTGCTTTATTCGTCGAAGCCGTGCCAAAGGCCTAGAAAATATGGATGTTATCTAATGGCTTTTGAGGACTTAACGTGACACTGCCCAGGGGATTTTCACATGATCAAACTGAATGCACCTTGGTTTAGATCACTGTTAGCTAATGCACATTACAAATGAGATTGTAATCCACTTACAGCTGGAAAAACCACTGGAAAGTAAGAGTAATGCATAATTATTGTGGACTAATCACACTGAAACACGGGTGAAAATATTTCTCAGTGTGACAGAGTTTTAATTGGACACAATGAAAGGTCAATTCATGATGTGTTTTGTTCAAATTTTTTCAGTACAAGCAAGTGGAGCAGTACATGTCATTCCATAAACTTCCAGCAGATGTAAGACAGAGGATCCATGATTATTACGAGCAGCGATTCCAAGGCAAGATGTTTGACGAGGACAGTATCCTTGGGGAGCTGAGTGATCCACTAAAGGAGGTGTGTCATGAATCAAAACTTTAACTTCTTGTTCGACTTGCTTACACTGATAAATTGATCCTAAAAACAAGTTCTAATCAATATCGATTAATGTGCTAATTTTCCAGTAAGGTCTTTTTAACCTATTTCTAGGCTTTGAATTAGCAGAAAACTGTAAAATATGTCCTTAAGATGATTCTACAGTGAAAGTGAGACAATCAGATACCATATTGAGAAAAAAATCAGTTATGGATGACTAATTTGAAGATTTATTTAATAAAAATTTTAACAAGTTGTAATTGCTATTCAATTGTTAAAGTTATAATTTATTCAGCCTTGACTTTATTACTATTTTCTAACAGTTATCAATAACCTAAACACACAAGGGCATATCCTAACAATAGGTTAGAACAAACTTGACATTTTTTCTTGAAACTTAACTCATTAATAAAATACACAGTTTACAGTTTAGGAAACTCAAGAGGTTTCTCCAATCTTCATGTCTTTTCATCCCACCATGTAGGAGATTGTCAGCTATAACTGTCGTGGTCTCGTCGCCAACATGCCACTTTTTGCAAACACCGACCCTCATTTTGTGACTGTGATCCTGACCAAGCTGCGGTTTGAAGTGTTCCAACCTGGAGACTTGATCATACGAGAAGGGACACTGGGTCGGAAAATGTATTTTATTCAGCACGGCACTGTCACAGTCATCGCTCGTGGCAGTAAGCAGATTACGCTCAATGATGGGGCGTATTTTGGAGGTGAGATATCTGAAATTCAACCCTGAAAAAGTGACTCATAAATCTCTCAGGGGCTCTCAGGGTGCTTTTTGTTCAGCTCTTTCATTAAGTTGGAACTGTTCCCCTAGACATTCACAAGTCTGACTTACTTTATCATCTATCTCAGTATATATGAGGCTGCATTTAAAGATAGTTTTGATGAATCAAAATGGGAAATGTGTCTCAGCAGACAAAGAAGAGAGCAGAAACTTTGATTTGAGAAGCTGAGGTCACCGTAATTATAAATACGGTCAAAGGTTAAACTAAACTAAAATTCTCTCTCTTGGTTTAGAAATCTGCCTGCTGACCCAAGGACGGCGCACAGCTACTGTGAAGGCAAACACCTACTGTAGACTTTACTCCTTGAGCGTAGACAGCTTCAACGAAGTCCTGGAAGAGCACCCTTTGATGAGGAGGGCATTTGAGAGTGTGGCTGTGGACCGACTGGGCCGGGTCGCTCGCAAATCCAGTTGTCAGTCTACTTCTGCCGAGTGACCTTATTGGACACAACAGAGATAAGCTCCTGCCAGACGAATAAAGGATACTTATCGAGTTTGACTGAACAAACCTTAAACCTGTGAATTTCATAAATTACCTGATACAAACCCTCAGCTTTTTTCATGAGCACCTAACTGCTGCATTTTACTAGAAATATTTTAAAGTCAATTCACTTGTCTTTTGCTTGTATCTTGGTACACTTCCTGAACTTTCTACACTTTACAGATTAAGTGTGTTGTCAATTCATTTGGTATTTTCTAAAATTATGAATACACATGCTTTTTTATCAGCATCAACATGAGCTTCTGCAAGTGTAAATACTGTTACAAGAATTGTTTCTATTTGCCTGTAAGCTTTTTGAGACTACAGTTTCATCATCTGTCACATCACTAGTACTGAATAGTGGAAGCAAACAGGAGCACCAGCTGGCCGGTTGATCGTACAGCTGCATGTATGCGTCTCTGATTTAAATGATCCCTCAGGTCCATAGATTTAAACAATTGAGGCTTTATTTCTAGTGTTTACTGAGGATAAGCTGCTGTTATGTAATAACTGTACAGAGACAGATTTTACATAGAAACATACCACTATTAAAATAACCACATTACATTGGGCGTGCTCATATTTGGAGTTAAGGGAAAATGTATTAAAACTGATCTTACAGTTGAGTAGGTTATACAGTAGCCTACTAAAACATGTGATTTATGTTCAAGTAAGACCTTAACTTATTTTAGTTTTCTTAGAAGTTAGTCTATTTCTTAAAATGTTTATAAAAATTGCCTCCAGTATGTTAAAAACACAAGAACACAGAAGACCAGATCCCTCTATGGTTCATTTGATTTAGGTTTTTTCCCTGATAAACGTGAGACGGCCAATAATGAGAGTCATTAGTTCATAAACAAGATCTGAAAGGTGTTGATATTAAAAGGCTGAATGTCTGGTTTCCTGTGAAATAAATGACTTTGATAGGTTGAGGACTGGTCTCTAAGTCACCTTCTTGAACACATACTGTAAACTTTTGTGACTGCATTAATAATACAGGTATTTTAAATTTCCTTTGCATGCAAACACTTGACAGCAATATCATACTTTTAACATCAGATTAATAAATTTAATACCAACTACAATGACTTGCTTATCTTAAACATTGTTCCAACTTTCTGCAGGACGATCATCTATCAATATTATTATGTAAATATAGATATTTCGACCCTTTAAATACAAATATTGAATACGTATTTTGAATATGTGTTTTTATTTTGGCAAAGATATGCCAACTTGTGCCCCTTTTTGGCCATCCCAGACCAAAAACTCTGGCTCCACCACTGGATGAGACGATCAGGTAAATTGATATGCCATGATGGGAAAACCGGCTTTATTAACCCGCTAATAACCAGAAAAAAATAAAATTTCTATAAAGGACAGTGAGTAAATCCTAGATTGCTGATGCTACAGACGGTTGGCTGCTGTGGACCTGCCTGACTCCAGCTGTATCGCTTATGTTTGTCTGCCTCAGGCCCTGAGCTCCTTCTACATCAGCCTCACTGACATTAATAATATAAAACTAGAGTTAACTGCTATGAGGCCTGCTGACTGTGATCACATTATATCAATTTAACATTGTCCATAATTACTCATATCCTAGCTCTGTAAACTGAATTCATTTTGTTTCACCATTACATGAGCTGTTGTTGTTGCTGTTGTTTAATGTTGCTGCTGTCCCCTGTCTCTCTCTCTCACCCTTGTTCTCTACTCTCTCTCCTTCCCTCCCCCTTCCCTATTCTCTCTCTCCTTCCTTCTTTCTTGTTCTCTCTCTCTCTCTCTGTATTCCTCCCCAACCCAGCAGCAGCCTGGTGGCTGTCAAACATGAGTCTGGTCCTACCCAAGGTTTCTTTCTGTTAAAAGGAAGTTTTTCCTTGCCACTGTCACTCATGTTAGATGAAATGGGCCAAATCCCATCTTAGGTTGAGTCTTGATAATTCATCAAACAATGAACGTGGTCTAGACCTGCTCTTTCTCTTGGAAAGCGTCTTGGGATGACGACTGTTGTGAATTGGCGTTATATAAATAAAATTTGAATTAGAATTTGTAGGGATACATATCTGCTTGGGATTTTCATAAACAAAAATAAAAACTGAGTTTGGTTTACATGTCTACATAACTTTAAGTAGGGCTAGAATGCTGTTATGAAACCTCCTGAATTCATAAGGGTGGTTCTTGGGTAACATATTGTGCAACCACATCATTTTAAACAATGTAAACCTCCGCAGCAGTGTGGCAGACAGAGGGACAGCTTCCGGTTGAACACTCATCCACTTCCTGTTTGAATTTCGTAAACTCGGGACGGAGAGTAGGTAAGACAGACCGATTATATTTCGCTAACTTACTCTACACTTGTCGTCATCTCGATTGCTTTACATGCATTAGGTGTTTCAAATGTAGATAACAAATTCATGTATGCGTGGTTAGCTTGAGAATCGGCCGGAATCTGCTGTTTGTTTTCTGACATTACAAGGTTAACCGCTAGCTCACCTAGCTTAGCGCGAGGCTGAAATAGCTTTGATTCGCTGTGTGAACACTGAGGTCAATATGTATCAACATAACACTGCAAACGAGGAAAATTAGTATAATTTATTCTGAATCTTGTCGTTTCTTCACGTGTTTGACCCTAAGTCACCTTTACCTTCCCCGGCTAACACACTGTGATATAATAACAACACAGCAGAAGTTACACAAGGTCTCCGGGCTGCTGAAGCGTTGACTGCTTATGCTTTTTACTGATCGTGATCAAACCTAATCAATAAACTGTTAGATACGATATAAAATGCGCCTGAAATAAGTCAGATTCAGTATGATGTTTCTGCTCTTTTGTGTTGTTAAAAAGAGGATCAGATAGGATAGGAATAAGGTTGTAATTGAGCCTTAATATTGACAATAACAAACATTATGATGACAGATTTTTAGTTTTACACATTATTGTAAAATCTCCAGGACTCAAGATACAATTCTTCTATTTGTTCGAACCAACTGATGCCTTTAGGTTATCTGGACTATATAAAGCCAAATAAATGCTGGTCAACTGACAGGAACTTACAACTCAATAACGTAAAAAAGGGGTTGTTGTTGTTGTCTGAGAAAGGTTGTTCCCATAATTTTACAAAATATTAGGTGCCTGCCTTCTGCTGTTTACTCCCATCCCTGTAATCTTGAAATGTTTGATAAATATGCAGTGTTTGACAGCCATTTAAAAACACTTCACAGCTCAAATTATTCATTTTCTGTAAGATCCTTCATGTCATCCCTAAACTAGAGATGCTCATACATGCTGTCGTGTCCTTACGCATTGAATAAAATCTGTAATCAGTACAGATTGCTGCTGCAGACCTCTATACAGGTCTTAGTGCTTTCATAATCCAGTTTCAAATTCTTACTCCTGCTCACAGATGCCTTCATTGTCAGGTGCTTTATTACTTAGTCAGACAAAAGTAGTCCCATCAAGTGGTGACTGAGCCATCTAAGCTGTGGCCATATTTACATCCATATTTACATCTGCAGAATCAGTGGAAGTTTTAAAAAGCTTTTATACACATACTCTACCTGTTTAGATATGCATTTGGTTGATTATCCTGCTTTTGCTTTGAATAGGTAGGATGCTGTCCCTGTCGCGAGCAGTGGCATGTGGGGTGGCCCGTGCTCCAGCTGCTGTAAGCCAAGGTGGAATTACAGCCATCACCAGATACAACAGCACAGCACAGGTACATCACCTTTCATAAGTTACAATGTAAATGTCAATAATAGGCTGAGCATTAAATAATGTGTTTGACATCATTTTCAGGGTCCTCCTAAGAAAACCACATATGGACCTCTTGCAGATGAGGACAGAATTTTCACAAATCTTTATGGCCGCCATGACTGGAAGTAAATATGCTCATATGACATTAAAGAACAGTGTCCTGGGATGTGAGATTAAAAAAGAAGGCATTCAGTTTGACCCATTCATGTTTGTTTTGAAGGCTGAAGGGGGCGTTGAAGCGCGGGGACTGGTACAAAACCAAGGAGATACTTTTAAAGGGGGTCGACTGGATCCTCAATGAGATCAAGGTCTCTGGACTGCGTGGGAGAGGTGGAGCTGGTTTCCCCACAGGCATGAAATGGAGCTTCATGAACAAGCCCAGTGATGGCAGGTCAGTGATGAGACAAACAGAAATCTACAAATTAAATTTTTTGTTCCCAAGTGATTTTCCAAAACATTTGTAAAGACATAATTCCTATTTGAAGGTCCAATCAAAATGTGGCTTTAATCAATGATTGAACTGCAGCTACCATGGAGGCAATATTTACCCAATTTATTCTTCTTCAGACCAAAGTACCTGGTGGTGAATGCAGATGAAGGAGAGCCTGGCACCTGCAAGGACAGGGAGATCATGAGGAATGACCCACACAAGCTGGTGGAGGGCTGCCTGGTTGCTGGAAGGGCCATGGGGGCGCGTGCTGCTTACATTTACATCAGGGGAGAGTTTTACAACGAGTCATCCAACCTGCAGGTGAACATGGACAGAAAAAAACTTAACAGGCAAAAACATTTATCAATAAAATATGAATGATTTTTAAAAAAAACCCCACAATCAGTTAATGAAAATAATTTTCAATTGGTTTAAAATTATTTTTCCTTCTGTATGTATCATAATATACAACAAAATCTTATATGTTTATGGCCTTCAACATATAATCTGAAAAATTGTGTTACAAAATCTGCTTTCTGTTGAAGTGCTTTGTGTTATTTTGTGTTTTCACTCTCTGCTTGCAGAACAGTGACACTTAAATCTGTCTAGAGTCCAAGTATGTAACAAGCCTAAACATTTTTAATGTGTCTTCACAGGTGGCTATTAATGAGGCCTATGCAGCTGGGCTGATTGGAAGAAACGCCTGTGGCTCTGGTTATGACTTTGATGTGTTTGTGATGCGCGGCGCTGGAGCGTACATCTGTGGGGAAGAGACGGCTCTTATTGAGTCCCTAGAGGGAAAACAGGGGAAGCCCCGCCTGAAGCCCCCATTTCCTGCTGATGTTGGTGAGTTCCAGTGGGATGAAGTATTGAAGAACATAGAAAAGACATGAAGAATCCATTATTCTTGACATTACTGAAATATGTACCTTACCTCTGTTCAATCCTAAAGGTGTTTTTGGATGCCCAACAACCGTTGCCAATGTTGAGACAGTGTCTGTGGCGCCCACTATCTGCCGCCGTGGAGGCACATGGTTTTTGGGCTTTGGCAGAGAGAGAAACTCAGGCACAAAACTCTTCAACATCTCCGGCCATGTGAACCATCCTTGCACTGTGGAAGAAGAAATGTCTGTTCCTCTGAAAGACCTTATTGAGAGGCATGCAGGTCAGAAGACATTAAAAAAGGATCACATGATTGGTTTCATTTTTACTGAATAGGAATATTTAAGTGAGCAGCACCTTTGGTCTAAAACCTGGGGGCTAAGTGAAATGTTTTTGAAATCAGTTTTTTTGTTTTTCACCTAAAAAAAAAAACTTGTGGTTGAAAGAAAAGTGCTTTTGATAAAATCTTAACTGATGGAAAAGAAAAACCCGAATGCATTGCTTGTTTGTCAGTAGCATTTACTGCCATCAGGGTCAGGCAGTTCATAGATTAAGTAAGCTTAACATGAGCACAGCCTAATTCAATGCAGTTTCTTCTCCAGTTTACTTAATTGAGTTGAACATCTGTTTGGTAGGTGGAGTGCGTGGTGGGTGGGATAACCTGCTAGCCGTAATCCCCGGTGGCTCCTCAACGCCCCTCATTCCCAAAAGTGTGTGTGAAGAAGTGCTTATGGACTTTGATGGCCTCATCCAGGCTCAGACTGGTTTGGGCACAGCTGCTCTTATCGTCATGGACAAATCTGTAAGTTTTTCTGCCCTTCAGTCATTCCTCACAGATAAATCATAAAACATCTTTTATATTAATTAATGCATTGTTTCTTTAGACTGACATTATCAGAGCCATTGCGCGCCTGATCGAGTTCTACAAACACGAGAGTTGTGGTCAGTGCACACCCTGCAGAGAGGGTAAGTGTTACTTCACTCTGAACTACACACATCTATTCTCTACCTCCTAAAAGCCCACAAACACCACATTTTCCTTTTTTTTATTTATAGGAGTGGACTGGATGAATAATATGATGTGGCGTTTCGTGCGCGGTGATGCTCGGCCAGCTGAGATAGACATGATTTGGGAGCTCAGTAAGCAGATTGAGGGACACACTATTTGTGCTCTGGGAGATGGTGCTGCGTGGCCTGTCCAGGTAAGCATATGCTCTGTAACCATTTGCATAAAACTGACTCCCACAGCAGGGTGAAAAAAAATAGATATGATGGAAGGAAGTTTTGTTTCTGGGTGGTTGTATCAGATTTTTTACATAGAAATTAAAACCTCTTTGAGTCCTCCAGGTATTATTTAAAACTGAAAGAGTCTTTGTTGTACAGATTTTGCTTTTTATCTGATGCAATTCAAGCAAAACTAATGTACTCTTTTTAACCATCTCTTGTTAATTCCTTCCCAGGGATTGATCAGACACTTCAGGCCTGTAATGGAAAGTCGTATCGCAGAATACCAGCAGCAGCAGCAAGCCAGGGCTTAAAGGGCACCTGTAACACCTTGAACTCATCCTTTTGCCTCATTTGTTCTTAATAACCTCGTGCTTGTGTCACTCATTATTTAAAATGTGCCCTCTGATCACCTCTTCATCAAGATACGCATTGATGTTTGCCTTGTCCTGATATCAATAAAGCTCTATGAATCTTAAGAAGAGTGTTTGCTTTTGAATTTTGTAAGTAATAAAATGTAACTCTCTCCTCCCTGGTTTAAATAAGAAATCACTCTCCCACCGCCAACTCGTTCAGAATGCAGCAGCTATGCTTTTAACTGGTTTTAGCAGACAGCATCATATCACTCCAATTTTAACCTTTTTCTTAACTATTTTATGTTTCCATATTGGTCCTCATGGTGTCATTTTATGTTGCCTGGTTCTTGTATTGTCTGGGTTCCTTATGACATGAAAATGGCCTTCAATTACGTTTTTACTGAGCTTTTTGTTTTTATCTGTCTTTTTCCATGTGCCCTATGATTACATGTCAAAGCACTTTGTAGACTGATTTTTAAAAGTGCCATACAAATAAAGTTATTATTATTATTATTAAATTCATAAGTGAAAGCAAGCTAAGAGTCTTTGCTAGGTGTTATACAAATTTAATACATTGATGTATTGGCTATACTTAGTCAGACATTAAGAGATATAGCATTGCAGGAAGACATATGCAAAAGATAACATTTTTGAATATTTGTGTGAAATATGTGGCGTTATTATTATGATGCCGTTAAAAATATTCAATATTCCACGGGTGTGTTTTGTTCTCGCGATAGTTGGCGTTCTCTGTCTTTTTTTCTCCTCGTCACGTGACATGAGCAAGCTATTCGCTGCGGCTTCATTTCAGTGGACGTTCCGAAGGGTAAGCTATGAAAACAGATTTTGATTGTTTACAATAACTATATTCGCAAATATTCACACTCATTCCCTCACACACGCAGCTTAAAGGCTCGTAGGTACAACCTGAGAGTGAGCAGAAGGCGAAATAAATAAAATAACGATTAAATTGATGTGCATCAACGTCGCGTGTTTGGTTGTAGCTTTGTATGCGGAACAGTGTCCGCCTTTTCCATCCTTGTGGAAACTAGCTCTGATTCGAACAGCTTTTTTTCTTTCTTAAACCACTTTTTCCTCGTTAAGACAAGAAAAAATCCACTTGTGGTTCTGAATTATTGAAAGGTATGTAATTTTCCAGGAAGCCCATGCTCAATCTTTGATCGTCTATTCGTAATATGTCAGTAGCAGAACGCTATTAAAGTGTGCTAAAACGTTAAATATGTTTTTACTTGTTTACATCAGTAGTTTGGCTATGCCTTGCAGCTCCATGTGCCTGAAGTTGCATCTAAAAGCATCAGCACCGAAATGTTGAAAATCGAGCAGGTCGTCGTGGGGAGTGAGGGGAAAACCATCCCTAAGGAAATCAAAAAGGAGATCGTGGTTGGACCTGTGCAGTCATGTAAGCCTGTGTTTTTCCACATACTTCACACCTTTTACTTTGTTTTTAATCTAGTCCAAGCTGTTAAATCTCATTGTCATTATTAACACAATGTCTATAACAAGTGTCATCCCATTGAACTTTAGATCACCATGAGAGTCTGCAGTGTTTTCAGTGTTTCATCACTTTCTGCAACTCCAAAGCCAAGGAAAGACACATGAGGAAGAGTCATAGAGAACTATACAAGATGCAGCTGCAGGAGGTAAGGAGATCAAAGTAGGAATTATGAAGTCTTATGTAGGGATGTAACGATATGAAAAGTTAACATCACGATTATTGTGACCAAAATTATCACGGTTATCAATATTATCACAGTCAATATGTTCAAAATGTTTAAAAAGTACTTATACACGCCCTGAAATCATTTAACAAAGTTTTGTTTTGAAAAAAACAATTGAAATAACATGCAGAATGAACTTTTCCTTAACCTCAAATAACAGAGAAACGATAAGCTTAAAAAAATTAAAGATAGGACCTTAAAAGAGCCAGAGGTAATCAACACTAGTACTAGTAATAACAAAGTACAAAGTAATGTGTCAGTGGCATAAAGTGGTTTCTGGGATGCACAAAAGCTTCCTGGCAACCCTTTGTAGAAGCCAAAATACGCCCACACTTCCGACTTTGTTTTCTTTGACAGTGGAAAAATCTCTGCAACACGGTCAGCAGAACTGCCCTCCGCCATGTTTACAAGTTGTATACTGCGCCATGTGCGCAGCATGCCTGTGTCTGAAGGACTGCTGCTTGCGGCTGCTCTTCTCAGCACTGAGCAGTATCACTGTGAGCTTTTCCATAGTGCGGCAATCAAACACGGTTTTAATGGTAATTAAAATTTGAAACAGTAGTACTTACTGTCAGACATTTTACCACGGTTTATCCTTTTACCAGTAATCGTTACATCCCTAGTCTTATGTATATGTAATCATTATAGGTGGAAATGGATGTGTAATTTTTTTGTTTTCCCCCTATAAGAGAAGCTTCATTTGATTAAGATTTTTGTATATGAAACTCGTTTTCTGATCCATCTTTTGCAGACTGATACAATCTTCACATGCTATCAGTGTGACAAAAGCTTCTCCTCCTCTGAGTTGCTCAGCGAGCACCAGGCCACCCACAGTACAGAGGAGAAGCCTTTCCGCTGTGGCTACTGCCAGAAAAACTTTTTAACTTACGCTGAGGTAAGCAAGCAGGGGTTACGTGCTGAACTGTTTGGGGCTCCAAAATTCAAAAGTAGTTGTTCTAAGATATTTGTGAATGTATTACAGGTGAATAAACACAGACGAGCAGACTGCATAGAGCGACGGTTCCCCTGCGAGCAATGTGGCGCCTTGTTTCCCAGCCCTGCTCGAGTTCGCCACCATCGCATCACAGTGCACCCCCAGAGCTCCATGGCCTGTGGTACCAACACCTACAAGTGCTGTAAATGTAGACGTAGTTTTCAGACAGAAGAGGAGCTCCTGAAGCACCAGGAAAAATATGCTGAAAATGTCAAGTGTGGCCTTATACCTTTAGTCAAAAAACGTGGCCGTAAACCGAAGAATGCAGCTCATGAAGAGATAATTGAATGCAAGAAGATCAAAGTAGAAGAGGATTCAGAAGAGGGATATGGTGACTTTGCACCTGAGGAATGCCCATCCACTCTGCAAACAGAGCTCAAGATTCCCTGTCCTGAAGATTACTGTGACCTCGTATTCTCTTCTGTTACAGCCCTCCGGGCACACAAGAGAAGGGAACATGGACCTCCCCCTGGTGAGCCTCACACATGCACAGAGTGTGATGAGAGCTACGCTCAACTTGAGCAGCTCCAGGCTCACATGTCCAAGGCTCATTGCTCTGAATACACCTGCCCCACCTGCCAGGAGGGTTTTTTAACAGAGGGTGATCTAAAGATCCACCAGGACACCCACACTGGTGGAGAGGAGGTAGCAGAAAAAAGATAATCCAAGGGAAATGGACTCCAATTTCATTTTACATTATGCATTTCAGATGATTGTCAGAATATTCCTATCATATTCCCCTCTGTGTAGGTATATGTGCTAACAGTTTAGGGTGAGGGTATTTGAGGGAAGGTAATGCAATACAGTTGAGTTATGAGGTCTGATTCAGAAATGCTGTTTTTTTTTGCTTTTAGAATTATGTCCTACAGTTGTGAACAAGACTGTATTGATATGTATGTAAATATTAATAATGGTCACCAATAACTTCTGTCAAAAGAGCCTTTTTGCTGTTTGTGTTACCTTTATTGTACTAGTAATGCTTTAAATTAGTTGAAGAGTAACTAGTCAATTCTCACTCAGTTCTGGAAATAATTTGTTCCTACATTTTTCACTTTATTTACAGGGAAACAATTGCACAGAGAATGTCATTCCTGAACATCAAAGAATCCAGAGTCCAATAAAAGGGTCACTGTTGAGGATGCTGACCTTATTTGACTCCATGTCCATATACAGTTATTGATATATTCTGCGGTCTTATCACTTTCCAAGAGTAAAAATTTGTTGCATCAAGCGGAAAATTCTGTGGTATCTTTCACTGTTTCTTTGTGTTGTGTGTGTATGTATGTGTGGTTACAGACAAAATATTTAGTATTTTATCCAGTAAAAGTTTAACCAAATGTTCTCCCTAGTTATCATGTCAGTTTTTATTTCATACATTTAAAATGTATTCATTGTAAATCTATATCACTATATGACAGTTTTAGAAACCTAGTTTACAGTGGCTGAGAACTGCCACTGCTGCAAATAAAAAAGAATGCAGGAAAAAAAAGAAGTCACAACGGAAGTTACTGATGCAAAAAAAAGAAACTGAAGCCTTCTGCAAACAAAAAAAGAAACAGTGCAGTAAACATCGCCACAACGGAAGTTAAAAACGCTAAAAAAAAAGTGGCGATGGAAAAAAAAGGGACTTACTGCAAAAATAAAAGGATGCAAATAAAAAAAGCCACAACGGAAGTGAGCTGCCGGGGACCAATAATGATGATGCACCGGTGTTTCAAGATCTAGGCACAGAAGACGACAGGGAAAAGACGAGCAAAAAAGTCAGTTTAATTCCGCTTTGTAAAATTTTCAATGTGTCATTTGGTTAGGTCATGTTGTGCCTGAGTGGATAAGAAGTTGAACTGAAGTTAACATATACTGGCATCCTCCAGTTCAACTTCATATCGACCCAGGTGCCACATGGCCTAACCACATGACACATTGAAAAGTTTACGAAGCAAAATCAAACAATAACCTTTCTATTAACTTCTTTGCTTGTCTTTTTGCCGTTGTCTTCTGTGCCAAGATCGTAAAACACTGGTGCATCATCATTATTGGTCCCTGGCAGCTCGATTCCGTCATGGCTTTTTTTTATTTGCATCCTTTTATTCTCGCAGTAAATAACTTTTTTTTTTTCCATTGCCACTTTTTTTTGTTAACTTCCGTTGTGGCTTTTTTATCTGATCCGTTTCTTTATTTATTTGCAGTGGGCTTCGGTTTCTTTCTTCTTTTTTTTTGCATCAGTAACTGCCGTTGTGGTTTCTTTTTTTTTCATTCTTTTTTATTTGAAGCAGTGGTATTCTTTTTTTTTTTTTGCATTCTTTTTTTATTTGCAGCAGTGGTGGTTCTCGGCCACCATACTAGTTCCTTGCAATATATTATAAAAATGCAAACAAATCACTAAATTTTTTTTGTTAAGTTATTTCTATTTGAACAACAGCGTAATTTCTCATGCACACAAAGGTATTATCAAATTGTATGTTTTGAATATACATTTTCAATGCTTTGAAAATAAAAAATACACTACTCAGCGGTGGGCGATAGGTGTTTCGCACAGAGAGGCGTCCTGTGCCTGAGAGGCTTGTTTTCCCGTGATGCATCTGTCGTTGCTTTCTATCTCGCGCCTTTGCCGCTGCGCAGTCCATCTTGCCTCTCGTATCGCTGCTGTCACCCTCTGCCAGCGCGCCGTCCGTGTTGTTGTAGTAAATAATGGCGGCATCTGGGGGAGGATTATCACCTCCCGCTACCGTCGCGGGCTTGAGCACCCAGGCTCCAGCGAAGGCTCGATTCCCGGGTCGACCGTGCACGGCTCGGAGCAGGCTGCGGTCGGAGAAACGAACCAGACGCGGAAGGTTGGGCTCGGCTGATGGAGAGCAGCCTGCCGGAGGGCCGAGGCCCGTAAACATCGGCCTTGCGTTGAGTGAGGACCCGTCCCTGCTGCGTCTGCTCGGGGTGGCGGAGAAGCACAGTCGGCAGAGAGATGCAGGCTTCGACTCCAGCGACAGTGAGGAGGTGAATAAGCTAACCATAGCATGTCAGCTACAGGGTTACAGTACGCTTTATGAAACAGCCAGAGGAAGATAATTGAACAGACCAACACAAAAAAGCTTTTTGTTTATTACTCTTGTAAAGTATTTAAGCTAATGTAGCGCTAGTTAGCGATAACTTAGCAAACACTCAACCAAAATAAGTGAGTGAAGCTATCCGTGTGCCTGCAGGGGAGGATTCAGATTGGTTGATGGGTTTATATTTCCAGACTGCTGCCTATGCTATTATTAAAATTGATGACCTGATTTTAAATTAATATATCACTGTTAATAGAAACAGAGAGGCTTTTACTGAGACTGTCCAGTTGGATTTTTTTGTAACCGAGAAACATAAGGCGGAAACTTTGGCGCTATGATAACCATCGTGTCTGGTGTTTGTTGTGGAAACGGGGGCATGTCTTTGGTTATTAATCCCCAAACTCAGCGTGTTTCTATGAGGTGCATTTCCCCTCACGGTGCAGACATCCACAAGTTGTTACTATTGTCGTTTTCCAAATGTAGCTGCTGCTTCCCTCTCTCCACGTTGGAGCCACCAGCTGACTGCTCAGTGTCTTTAACGTCACTTTAACGTGAGCTGCAACAGGAAGAGCAACAATAACGTTATTCACACGTTGATTGGACTATCCATCTTTATATTTTCTTTTATATAAACCTCATTTTGCTTTGTGTTAACAAAAAATATCCCTATTATGCATATCTTCCACTTTAATGTTGAATTATCTATATAACAACACTACCACAAATTCTACTTACAGTAAGATTCAGTTTTGGTCAACATCAACAATATTTGGTGTTTCATGATTCTTGTCGTTGGGGCAGGGAGATATGAGAAAAAGTTTATCAGGATGTATTATTTTCATATTAGTTGATATTGATATATATCACCCATGCAATACAATAAGCTCTGTGCTCTGGTGTCCAGTAAAAGTAGAAGCCTTGCGTATCCGATTTGACCGCCAGAGCCGATCCGCAGCGGAGCCGGACGGATTCTGTTGAATCACACACATTGATTATAATGCTTCCGGATTTGATCCACCGGCCGTGCCATGAATGGTCGGTTGTTTCGGCTGCACAGGCGCCATGGGCTTCTTGCTCCGCTCAGGGTTTGTAGTGCTGTCGTCTTCACGTGTAAAAGTGTTATGGTTGTGTGTAGCTGCAGCCTGCTACTATGCAATTGTTTGCAACTTGGTTCTAATTCAGCACGATTGATCTACCAAAACATGGCAGAATGCTGACTATCGAAAAGCATATTGACCATTTTTTATATTGATATTGAGAGAAATTAATTTTCAATATATATTGTTATTGTTTTATCGCCCAGCCCTACTTGTCGTGTTAACCGATAATAATACACACAGGACTAGACATTATTGGTCTCAACTTATTTGCTGGTCTCATTGTTTACTGACATTGTAAAATAATTCATGAGGCTTTCAAGTGGATATTTTCTGCGCACATCTATTTGAGTTGGACATATATTCAAACATAACTATATGAAACCAGTGAGCAAGACCTTGAATCTGCAGCATTGTACCAAAGCTGCAGTGTTAAATACCCCTCACATCCAAAGTGGTCTCCTTTAAACCATGCCAGACAGGATAATGATAATGATATAAAGCTTAATCAGATCTTGTTATATTATTCAATCTTCCGAACAGGGGGCTTTAGTGTCTGACATCAGTCTGAATTCACTGATGCAATCCCTTTAGAGTGGACTGTAACAGAATCACATGGCCTACGTTTAAGCTTGTGGGTGCTGCATAAGTGTAGTACCACACATCACTCATTGCTTCTTCTTGCACTCATGTGCTCTTCAGTGCTTTTGAATGGACATCATTAGTGAAGTCTCATCACTGACAAATACAGTAAGTCTTTATTTTGCAAATTAAAAAGGATGTGAGTAGTTACAGATGTGGTGTGCTTGAATTCTGCTTAGCAGCAAGTTTTTGCATATGCAGTGGAGAGGTTTCTAAATGATAGGATGCTGGAGGCAGGTTCTTTTTCTAAAGCAGCTGTTAAAACGTTTGTGTTACTGTAGTATGGGTGTTTGATTTCACTACAAGTAATTTAAATTCAGTACAGGTGCTCCTCCTCTTCTGTTCTCCGTACCTCTTCTATTATTTGCAGAGAGATGCAGAGCAGGTACACAGCCTACTGAATGTTTTTTTTTTATTGTTGACTCACAAATTGGGACCAAAATCTGCTACATTTGTTGCCTCAGCAGCTGATTCTGACGCAACACTTGAGCAAGAGTAGATTGCCGTGCTGATGCTTCAGCTATAACTGTTGCGGAGGTAGTACCTGAGAATCAAATGAAATGAAATGAGTCATAAAAAGTTGAAAACTAAAATTTGTTTCTGTTGCACATAGCTGAAAAAAGGAAATTCAGTTGGGCTTATTTTTAAGGGACAAAATTGGAATAGATTTCTGATTTAAGATTTGATAAATCACCAAGAGTTTTACCAGTGAATATATGAGCATGCCTACCAACTTTAACTATAATCATTCTTGATAGAAATGTTTAAAATCTGAACAAGTATTTATCATAACATTTATTGGCCATAGACAGAGGTTTTTATATCATTTCAAATTGAACACATAAATTAAGATACATATCATCCACATGATGAAGTAACTGCAGATGTAGAATAAAGAAAATATTGAGCTATAATCTGGAACTAAAATAACTCTTACTTTAAGCAGCTTACAGAAAAAAGTAGAACAAGTCGACAGCAGATCTTTTTGCCCATTTTGAAGACACACAGAGGATCAGCATTTCTACCATTGATGTCATCAAAACATAAAGCCCAAGTCTGTCAATGTTTGTTTTGAAATCAAAATCAACACCCTAAAATTTAAGATCAACTACCTGAGTTAAGTTATTCACTGACATATTCTTCTCTTTTTTTTTTCAGGAGGAAGAGTTCACTGGATTTGGGACCTCGACAGCCCGTTCAAAGAAAACTTCAGTCACTGTTTCGAAGCCCCCACCTCCTGCAGCCTCAGATTCTTCTGCTGAGGCAAAGCCTCTCATCGGAAAAATTATACCCAGGAGCCAAAAACCATCTCTGATTGGGAAAATTGTACCAAGGATTCCTAAAGAGGGCCAGGAAGTCAAAGAGAGCACGGAGAAAGGCAAAGAAATACCAAAGGTGGTCATTAGATTTCGAGGCAAACAGGGGGCCCCAACTGCAAAAGACATCTCAGGTAGACAGAGCAGCACCGAGTCAGCTGACTCCATCAAGAGAGCAGGAAAATCAGCGAGTTCAAGCAGCATGGAAAACCAAACAGCCGTTAATTCAGCAGATGTGCTGACTGGTGCTCAGACAGCTGTCACTGGTGTAGAAGACGCTTCCAAAGTCAAAGAAGAGTCAGAGGAGTCTGACAACGACCAAACACGGCCACAAAGAGCTGTGAAACGCATGAGGGGCTTTCAAATGGGGCAAGTGAGACGCTCATCTCAGGCAGTTGCTTTGTCCTTTCACAAACGGCAGAGAAAGAGGACAGCTAAGGCCATGGGGGCTTCGCCAGAGGCCGGGTCAGAGGCTGGCCTGCAAAGTGGAGAGGAGGCGGCAATGCCTCTTGAGTGTAAAGCTGCAGATACCCCTACAAAAAGACCACACAAACGACCACGTCGGGCTCTGTGGGGGCAAAGGCGAAAGCCACTGAAAGACGATTCAGTGAATAAAGGTCCAAAAATTAAGCGTAATCGCACAAAGCGAGTTTTTTACACCTATGTAACAGAACCAGTTCCAGGCACAGAAACGACAGACGGGCAGCTACAAAATCAGAGCACCACTCCATCACAGGGGAAGACCATCTTGTTTTCTGAACAACACCAGCAAGGCTCTAATAACTCCTCCACCACTGTCACAGGTGGACGCTCCGCCCGGGTCATCAAAGTGCCAAAGAGGTTCCTGGATGAAGAAGTCCCACTTCCAAAGGGTTCACGGTCAACATCACTGAAAAGCCATCAAAAGGAGGATGAAAAACCAAGTCTATCATGTCAGGTGATGAGCAGCGACGACAGCTCTTTGCTGTCAGACAGTGACTCAGACTCCGAGGAAGACAGTCCGTCCCCTGTGACAGAGTTCCCATCAAAGCCCAGCCTGCACCCAAGCCACCAGGAGATCTACAAGAACCTCAAAAAACTCACCTTGAAACTGGCAGAAAAAAAGAAAAGCCAGCCCGACCCCCAGGGTGAGAGCACACTTCCTGGTGATAGTTTGACTACTAAAGTCAGGAAGAGGCGGAGGCCAAAGGTCACAATGGAGGAGATGGACTCTCCTGGTGTTGTGAGAAGACTCGCCATTGTGGTGAACACAGACACAGGGGTACAGTCGCATGTGGATTTGGGAGAACAAGGCAGCAACAATGGTAAGAATCGTTTTGTTAAAATCTTGTTGCTTCTTTACAGAATCTGTCCTGGATTAAGAGATTTTTTTCTACAATAGAATCATCAGCTCAGAATGATAAAATCTGGTTCCTTTTAAACTCGGCTGAATGCTTGAGACAGCAGCGACTTAAACTGGAGCTTCAGAGAAGAGTCAACTTATGTCTGGGCTTAATAGCACCTTAAATATTAATACAATATAGATTAAAGGTGCGAGCAGCATTAAGCAAGCCCTCGCACCTTTGCCCACATTAGAAATGAAGCATGTCGGGCTGGGTTAACGTCAGATTGTAGAGCAGTCACAGAGTTTGCTTAGAAAAAGTAGCAATCAGAATATCTCGGAAAAGGTTTGATTTGAGCTGTGCATGAAGAGTGAGCGCGCTTACCCTGCATCCCAGAGTTTTCAAACAGTTATTTAAACCAGAAGCTCTTCATAATGCTTAGAAAGGAATGAACTATGAGTTTTTTGCACAAGCTAAAGATAAATTCTTCAATTTCCTTGTGGTTGGACTAAAATAGCACACAATACTAAAGAAAGGAGGACAAATGTTACTGAAGACAAAGATTTGAAAAAAGGCTTTGTGGATGTCAAACTATGAACAGCTTCATTGGCCCTTCCTGTATTATAGGCACATTTAAGATAAAATGTTTTTCCTGTGTCGTGGTGAAACGTCTTTAAGTCCCTAATTACAAATTCAAATATCTGAAAAACTGCACAGATAATTATAAGAATTGATGATTCTGCTTCACTGTTATAATGAGTTACGAGTATGTGACTACGTTATCTCAGCAGAGTTTCTTTCATCTTGATTTTAGGCGCAGGGGAAGCAGGAACTAAACCCGAGGACAGCCACGAAGCATTGGAAGTCAGTGGTTCCAGCCATCGGATTGGTCCCAGTGGAGCGAATAAGACGATGCTCCACCTGCTGAAGAAAGCAAAAGTCCAGCTTATTAAGATCGATCAGCAAAAGCAGCTCAAACTATCACAGGTACAAAAGCACAAGTTACATTTTTTTTGAGTGACTGTTGAATTCAGTCTGACAGTAAAAATCTTATTAGCTAATTCAGAAAAGTAACGGTCATCACTTCAAACTTTTCTTTTTCTTGCTGTCTGGACTGATAGCTGGGATCAAGAGAAGCAGGAGTTCCAATGAGTGGAAGGAGGAGGAGACGAATTAGTGTACCTCCCAGAGATCTTGGTCCTCAGGTAATGCCATAAACAGGGACATTAATATTAACCCTGTAACTTTTTGTTTATGCTTATACAAAAGAGAAAGAGTCTAATCCACAGAGTAAATTAAGGGCTTCCTTTTGTCTAAGAAGTATAAAACTTACACTAATACATGCACATTTGTCATTCAATATCTTTGTATCTCACGGTGTGTCTTTCTTTCATGCAGGAGCAGCCGCTTGGTGGTCCGAGAATCAAACATGTCTGCCGGGCAGCAGCTGTGGCTTTGGGGCAGCCCCGTGCGATGGTGCCGGACGATATTCCCAGACTCAGTGCCCTACCACTTCATGAGAGAGAGGGCATCACTTTTTCGCAAGCTACAGAAGGTACAGTGCACCTATACTGTATACTGCGTTGAAGTTGTCTTTCATGTGATGTTGTTTAAAATCTTAAATGCACATTAACTAAATTCAGTTTGCAAAGTTCAGGAAGCGATGTGGCCAAATACCTCTGTACCAGTAGTGAAGAACTGGACTGTTATATCTGTTGTCTGTTTAAAAAAAAAAAAAAAAGGTGAGATAATTGGGGCAACGTCAGGCCACCATACAGCCGGCAGCTAAGCTCCGGTCAGAAGCAAAACAGAGTCTGTAGATGAATGAGTGTGCAGCGGGTGTGTGTGAAGCTCACACTGTTTGTTTTCACTGGCAGAGTCTGTTAAATCACATGCTGGGTCACACAGATATATCAGGGCTGGTTGGGTCGATGTAAAAGTATGAAGGTGTAGTGGCAGCCGTTCCTCTCAGCATTGTTGGGGAATCAACAAAAAAAGAAATAAAACTGATGGCAACTCTGCTCGAAATGAGTATTTTTAAAGCTTATTGAAAGAGTGTTTTAAAACGTGGAGTCAGACACACAACACAAAGAGCTGCTGCTAAACAAAGAGGACTTCTAGAGGCTGTGTGAGGATGGGGTTTCAGTCAGAACCATCACAATGTCGCTACAGTTTCCAGAAAAGCTAATCAACACATGATTGAAAAATATTTAGGCAGATAACTTTGCCTAAATAAAGTGTAACACAAATAAATCCATCTATTTATAATACTTTTATGAGGAGGCTGCAAAAATTGTCTTCATGATGTTAGAAAAAATTACTGCAAATTGCTTTGAGATGGTAAAAACAAGATGACTATAAGTTTTAGGCTTTAAAGGGATATTCTGGCGTAAAATTAAGTTAGGTCAAACACACCATAACACTGAGTTAGACAACCCCTCGAGAGATAAATGTTGCAGACCGCTTGCTTCTCTAGTTATACAAACTTTAGTAACAAACGCAGGATAGCAATACACAGCGGTCTGAGGAGCCATATACAAACCTCAACCAAAACACCACTCTGTAGCCACAAATAATGCTCAGAACATCACCTAACTTCATCAACAGTACATATAGGGTCCTAGCCACAGCACTAGCCACAAAACATCTTTTTAGCTTTGCCTAATTTATTTAGCAAAGAGACTAAACACAATTCACCCACTCTCTTCCAGCAGCCGCTTGTTTGTAGTGAGACCTCAGGCCAGTCCATTACAGACTACAGCGGGGTGTCACAGCTCGAGGAAGAACATTTATGGTCATTACTAATAATAATATTGTGATTATTACTTCAAGAAAATGATAAAGAAATGATCATAAATGTTCTTCCTTGAGCTGTGGCACCCCGCTGTAGTCCATAATGGACTGGCCTGAGGTCTCCCTTCAAATAAGTGGCTGCTGGAAGAGAGTGGGTGAATTGTGTTTAGTCTCTTTGCTAAAGAAATCAGGTAAAGTTAAAAAGATGTTTGGTGTCTAGTACTATGGCTGGGACCCCATATGTACTGTTGATGAAGTTAGGTGCTGTTCTGAGCATTATTTGAGGTTACAAAGTGGCGTTTTGGTTGAGCGTGTGGCTCTCTGTACTGCTATCCTGCAGTCGTTACTACAAGCAGTCTGAACATTCATCTCCTGGGGGGTTGTCTAACTCTGTGTTTCGATGTGTTTGACCCTAAATTAATTTTATGCCAGAATATCCCTTTAATGTGGCTTAATCTGGTGTTTAAGGGTCTTTACATTGAAGTTGCTTGACCTTCATTGACTAGTAAAGCAGATTATAAGCAGCACTTCACATTTCCAAAGTGAAGTGTGCTGCTGCGTAGTTAGACTTACTGAATCACCACGTCATTCGTTCACAGATTGACTGTTAAAACATAAACGTCACGATAACATAACCGTCTCCCAAGGTAGGTTTTATTTTTGATCTCATTCATTGTTTCAAACTTTATTGGCATCGTCCAGGTTTCAGTCCATATGCTTCCAGCTGTTGTCTGGCAAAGCTACTCAGCTAGTTTCTTTGAATGAAACCTTCACCAGCTAAAATTGAAAACTGCTTCTGCAAAAGTAAACACACAGCTTAAAAATCAAACCAAACAGAATCTACCGAGCAAAAAATTTCAAAGAAAACTGCTCATTTTTTTAGTTTTATGTAGTTGTAATTAAGATACTTGCCAGCCAAAATATCTTTTGTCACACACAGATTAGCCACCGCTGTTGGAAAGCTTTACCCAACACTGGTCGAGTGAGCATCACTCAGTATGAGGTGAGGAAGTGCCGTTTGACAAATGAACACATTTAGTTTTTGCTAGGAGAAGAAATGATCCTTTCACAAGACTATTTGAGCTAAATAGTTCATTTAAAACATGAAAACAACCACCTCTAAGTACCTTTATTTTTTTTCTCTGTCTGAAGTTGCTTTGTGCCAGCTGGCATTAAAATAAAAACCACTGGGGGTTGCAAACGCTCTCAAGGGGATTTAAGTTTCAAATTTCTATCCAGTTGCTTTCTAATCAAAAAAAAAAAAGAAGAAGTCAAGGTGGGGGACTTCCACAAGCAGTTGTTGAGACTTCTCATGTGTTTGTGCATCCACCTTACTTTACTTTAGAGAGACCCTTTGGCTTTGTTCAGACTGATTCCCTCTGCAGTAGATGATCCAAGCTACATTTGGATGTAGCTTGGATGAGCCTAACGAATGTGTTGTAGCCTCCTTCACCACTAATCTTTTGGAGCTCTTAATAATCCCTCATAGTTACAGATGCCTGCGTAGTTATCACAGACCTCCATGCAGTGAGGGTGGATGTCTGGACACACAAATCTGACTTGTGAACCTTTTTGAAGAGCAAATCTGATTGACCTGCAGTCTTAACAAAGCCTTAGAGTTCTTCAGGCAGCCAGTAGCAACATGTAGCTGCAGTAGTCAGGTTTGCTTGTTAGCAGGAAAAAGTAAACTCTAGTGTGTAAGCTCGTCCAATCACAGGAGCCCTCCTGCTGGCTGAATACTAGTAAGTTCTGGCACTCAAATATGTCAGCCCCACAGCACATCAGCACTCACTGATTTCTGACTTAGACACCGTATGTTGTTGCTCTTCACTCATCCTTCACGTCTCTCACTTGCAGATGTGGCGGATGACGACGACGACATCACTGATCAGGGCAGGGCTCAGTGGGTTGTCTCTCAGGAAAGCATCCAGCGGAGGAGGAGAAGGGGGAGGGGGAGGGGAATCGGCCGGAGGTTCAGGAAGGCCCTGAGTGCGTTTGCACCAGGGGGACTCCGCTCCCGGCGCTGCGGTGTCTGCAAAGGCTGTTTGGTAGTGGAGGACTGTGCGAAGTGTATGAACTGTCTGGACAAGCCCAAATATGGGGGGCCGAATACCAAGCGGCAGTGTTGCATGTAAGTTAACCTAGATGATAGATTTTTTTGTGAGTAAAAGCAGAGAAAATAAGTAACTAAATAACTGAGAATCTTTAAAATTTCAGAGATAGTGACAAATTCTAATTTGTTCTCCCTTAACTGTCTTGATCTGATTTTACTGAGCTTTCATGGGGGTGTGGAAAAATACAAAATGTTGGCGTTTAAGAGTAATTTTGATGTTACTGTATGACACTTATACAGAGTTGGAATTTCCATACTTTTCCATACTCTACTTTTTAGAATTATTTTTGGAAATACCGATTTTTCTATTTTAGAAAAGAGTATTTTATAACTGTGGTAATATAGTCTGTTAACAGATATATTTTATTTACTAGTGATGCACGATATGAAAAATTTCAACCGATACCGATAACCGATAATTTTCTTCTTCTCATGGCCAATACCGATACCGATAACCGATAAATTCATATTTTTACATTTATTATAATCTTCATATAATCTGCAGTTTGTGCAGGATGCAGCGATTGAAAACTGATGTTTTTGTTGCTCTGGCCTATCTAGAACAACAAACAAAAGTTTTTGGCTCTTCAAATGTGGTCATTTGCTATAAATAACAATAACAGAGCAAAAAGCAGAACTTCATTTGATCCCCTGAACTGTTCAACAGAACTGTAAACTGTAAAGGAGCTATTATGAGACGTTAGGCTTAGCATGCTGACCGGACTAACATCTGACGTCCATATGTCTGTGGTAAAACTCACGTGTAGTCCGTTCTTGTCGATCAGGTTGTGAATGTATGTGGCGACAATATCATAGAGTGCACGAAGAGACACATCCGAGAAGAAGCGGCGGCTTGGGAGAGTGTAACGTGGCTCCAAGTGTGCTATTAACTTGCGAAAACCCGGGTTCTCAACGACGGAAAAAGGCTGGTCGTCGACCGCTATGAACTCCATCACTTTGTCGTTAATGGCTTTAGCCTTTTCGCTGTCTCTTGAAAAGCTTTTGCAGTTTTTAAACGCCCGCTGAATGGGGACATCGATCCTCCGTAGTGTTGTTGTCTTAGCTTTAGTACCGCTAGCAGCTTCGGCGGCTGTCTCATATTCCTTTACTACCGCTTCGCCGTGATGGCGACTTTTCAGATGAGCTATCAGATTCGCTGTGTTAATACCTGACGTCTTCTTTCCTCCTCTCGGAATCCTCGCTGAACAGGTTTTGCATATAGCAGCTGTTGTCATCTTCTGCCACTGAGAGAAACGACCATGCTGGTGAAGACATTTTATTATCTGTCAGGTAGTGACGGGGTCAGGCTTGGGACCTGCGAGTAAGGCGCGATAGATGACGTAACCAGCGCGTCTCGGACGGGCAGCTACTCCGCCTGCAAACGTTACTCGTAATTTCATTAATATATCGGATCTTTCTATCGGAAAAATGCACCTATCGGACCGATAAAAAATGACGTAATTTCCCCCCAAATCGGCCGATATTTTATCGGTCCGATAAATATCGTGCATCCCTATTATTTACCATACTTTTTAAAACCTGTAAATTGATCAAATTACTTTCTTTTCCATACTGCATACTCTCCATACTTGCAAGAGAGCACTTAACACTAATAATGTTTTTGAGAAGTTCTAGAATTACTTATAGGTTGAACACTTAATTTACATAACTCAAAATACATAATTTATGTATTATTTTAATTATTATGTAGTAAAATACTGGAACAATTGAAAGTTGATTCTCACTGTTTTTCCTTCAGACACAAGAAGTGTGAGCGGATTGAGAAAGCAAAGATGCAGCGCTTTCTCAAATCAATGAAACGTAAGTCTCTGATTCATGGATGCTCTGTTATTCTTAGTTCTCTAACCTCTCAGCTTTTTTTTAAATGTCTTTTCTAACTTTTTAAAAAAATTTGATTATCCTTGTAGTGTCATGTAATGGTTCATTTGTGTCTTGCTGCAAAACAAATTGATCTAGAGGAAAAACTAGAGTTACCTGATTCTGAAACCGGAACAAAATAAATCAGTGTTTTTTCACATTGGTGAATCAATAGGCGCTTCTTTCTCAGTCCAGTCGAGGAAGTTGTCGGCTTCTGTGTCCAGCAGTGAGGACGGAGGGGGAGAGGGATCCTCCTCGATGGCTCTCGGGATCAGAAAACACTCCCTACGTAACATCAAACCGCGCTCCTACAGCAGCCTGCTGGAGTCTGAATCTGAGGAAGAGGAGTACGAAGAAAAGGAAAAGGAAGAAAAACCCGTGGTCAAGGCAGAAAAATCGGCAGTCAAGGCAGAAAAATCGGCAGTCAAGCCAGATGTAGCTGCTTCGAGAAACCAAGGTAACTTATTTTAAGTTTTTTTTTTTTAGATTTCAACAATTAAATTACAAAATTCTATTCAAGTGACCAACTAAAGAAAGGAAAGAGTTTTCACATCACATTTACTTTCTCTTTCTTTAACTTTCATGTTTTTATCGAGAGGTTGGACAGTGGATAGACAATTACAGAGTTAAAGCAGGGAATTTAAGAGTAGTGAAAGGCTGCAGTTATAAATCCAATCAGGGCTGCATTCAGACTCTGTAGACAGGATTCGCAAATTTGCTATTTTGCTAAATTACCCTCTCAAAAACAGAAGTTGATACTCAGCTAACAGAAAGGACTTTTCTTCATGTACCAGAAAAGTGTTTCAAATTTTGTTCTCCTTACTTTTCTCCTTTTCTCCCTAGATCCTGATTGTCAAGATGGCGGATTTCTGCTGGACAACCCTCCCTCTGAGGCTGTGAAACAACGACGGCCGGTCCATCGAGGAGCCGTGAGCAGACCCAAAGCTTACAAGGTAAATCATACGGTAGATATCCCTCCCTCGTTTCTGGTATGTTACTTTAAAAAAAAAAAACCTGGGGCAAAATGTACTTTAGGGAAATGTTTTTTTTTGTGTGTGTGTATGTTGTGTTAGTACAAACATTAAATATAACCACTGAAAAAAAAAAGGTCTGTTCAGGTTCGAATGACAGTTTAATGGTAGCGATTTAGACAGCGAAAACCTTAAACATTTCCAGAAACACTTTGCCCAGGTTTGTAAATCACTTTATTTCTTTTTAATTTGTTAACGCCTGTTTGAATGAGCATTTTTTTAACAACACTTGCATTCAGCCTTTGCTAATCCTCTGGCTCTTTTCTCCTCTGTATGACACGTCTGGCAAATACTAATCATGCAAATCAAAAAGCAATAAGTCAAATATCCAAAGCAGAGAAAATAGTTAGGAAAACGACCCTAAAAAACAGTATTTTCAATATAGTTGCTGTTCCAGATTAAGACCTGTGCGGTTTTGTGTGGATGTTAATTTAACCGTATGGATACACTGTCAGATTTCTGCACACAGTATAAATAAGTGAGTGTCTGCTGGGGTGAGATAACTGTTAAATTTAAGGGACACGGGACTCTGATAAAAAGAGAGTCCCGCTACGATATTGATATCAGATATCGGTCCGATATTAGCAAAAAAAAAAACAAATATCGAATTATATCAGCGTGCATCTGAAATCTCTTGATATCAGCACTCCGATACAAGCAGTCCATTCCAGACACCTCTATCTAGCAGAGCCCACAAAAACAACAACAGTGTGTACTAAGAGGTACTAACAAAGTAGCAAGGAGTAGGAGTGATGTGGTCATGAGGCAGTATTTTTGTTTAAGTCCTCAAAAGAAATTGCAGCTGAGTGAAAAACTTGTCATGCACAATTTTTTGCCAATATCAGATCAATGTCGGTATCGATTGAAGGCGACAATTGGGCCTTTTTGTAGGTTAGCTCAGACACAACAGGACCAGCATTTTCAGCCTGCGATTATAAAATATTAATTGACTTAGTAGTTTCATTCAGTTTGGTCTACAGGGTGTGCCAAAATCACTGCTACTCAAAAGTTCCTTATAGCAGCTTTACTTGTGCTTTGAGCATCAATAAAATCTGTAATTGCTTGGTAACACCGCTAACCTAGAAGTTGAAAAAGGCTGCAACTTGTTCTCATCACTAAGATGACTTGTATATCTTTGCATCGCTGGCTTAACTTCTGCTTTTTGCGATTGACAACCATTTTGCTTCTTCATATCACGACAGTCTCATTAAGCAAACAATCTTTACCAATGTGCTGTTTGTTTCACCTTTAGCTCTGCATTGCTTGCTCTTGTGCTATTCAACAAACAGTAGATTTCTTATTTTTTTAAATTGTTGAGTTTGTCTCCATCTCTGCATGTGTTGGTTGTGAATCGGTAGGACTGGTTTTGTTATCTGATCCAGAGCATGCATCTTAAAATCAATGAGCATTCTTTTTACTCATTGGTGTTCAGTGATTTGCAATGGCGTTTGCCGTTTACTCCGTATTGCTCCTACTCCTGAAACACAGCAGCAACAAAGGAAGATACCGCACTTTAAAGAAGACGTTAATTCAAGAGCAGGAAATCAACAATGCTCGGTCAACTTTCACTTTTTAGTTATTAGAGACAGTTCATGGATGGATTTTTTTTTTTTGCACAATGCATGCGTCTGTTTAAAAAGATCAGTAGTGAATATCTTATTTAGAGGTACACCGCATTAACTCTTATTTATGGTTTGCTGCATGTATACGTCAGACTCTGTTTGACAGGCTGTGTGTGTGCATGCATTTAAAGCTGTGCCATGACAGTTTCCGCTGTTTTATCCATGCAAGAGATGCATGAAAGCTGCGATAGACCTAACAATTCTGTCAATATCCCCAAAATACTATATAAAAAAAACAGAATTATAGGATATTGTTAAAAGAATGTATTGTTGGGAGCAAAAGTGCAATGCACAAAGCAGAAGGAAAGAAAGCCGAGTCCTCCTCTGTGAACAAAACTCAGTCAGTGAAACATCTGCACCTGTTCCTGACCTCAAATCTGCATTTTCACGGATAATGGTCTCTACAACTGGAGACGCCGTAAATGTTTAAACGTAACCGAGGATGTTGCAGCAGTTGAACTTCTGAAGTTGTTCTTATTTTATGGCATTATTACCACAATTTAAACACCAACCTCTGTCTGAACAAAGTCTTTGTACAGTTTTTGTCTAACAGTCATTTAAAGAGATATTTTAATGTAAAGAGTCTTCAATTTGGACATGGTATCCTCCCCATGAGATGCTAGCACCTGTGTCCAAATATAACACTGATGGTTTGTTTGTTTTCCTGAATGGAAGAAATTAGAAATTTCAATTATCTGTTTATTTACTCCTTGTAGTCACACCTTTACGTCTACTTCTACCTCCGGATGCATTTGCTAAACTTTCTCTACTTTTTCTGACTGTTGATTCCTGGCTAACACAATGCTCAAAGACTCAGTGCTCCTTCCCTTTACTGTCACTTTTGCTGCTGCCGGTCGCCGCCTCTGCATGTTACTACTAGTATCAGTAAAACTTTGGAACCTGTGGTGCTGGTTGGCTTAGGCAGTCCCCTCCTTCGCAGGATCAGGAGAACACGGAAGAGACGGAGCCCCGAGGCACCAACCTGTCCAGGAGCCCAGTGCCGAAGCTGCAGCAGCAGCTACGAGTACACTTACGCCGTCTGCCTGATTCAATGCTGCAGCCTGCTCTTTCCCCGCGGCGTTCGGATCAGTGTGCTTCGAAGTCCCATCCGTTATTGTCCCAGCTTCTAGCGCAGTCTGCTGTTTCACTTTCATCCCATCCCACGACACAGTCCCCTACAGAGCCGCCCCCGCCTGTCCTGCATCCCGCTTCAGCTTCTCCACTTTCACCAGTAGACTCTGTTCAGAAATCTCTGCGGTTATGTTTGCACCGTTTGCCCCAGGCTGTAGTGCAGTCGGCCGCACGTTTGCACAAATATATGTTGTCGTCATCATCTTCATGTACACTCCAGTCTGCGCAGCACACACCTCTGACAGAGTCAAAGTTGTGCCAGGCGGGACATCCAGAAGTGCAGACAAAAACAGACGCGACAACGGGAGCTAAAACAGATCTCAGTACTGTGAATGTTCCGCGTCACACTGCAAATCCACTCACTGAGTTACAGGAGCGCAGGCAAGAGGAGCAGGAGGACGCACCGAGGGATCTGCCCGAAGAGAGGGAGGACGCCAAGGATTCTGTTACAGAGAGAGTGCCGCAAACCTCTTACCAACACTATGTCCTTCGTTCCCAGAATTCTGCAGAGTGTGCATCAGCGAGCACCCCGGCAGGGTTCACTAATGGATTTCCCCAAAAGGGCCTGTCGCAGAACAAGTACAAGATCCGGGTGGACTTTAAGGTGGGTTTTTTTGCATGTACGTCATGCCAGCTTCAACATGGTGAACATTAGATGTGAATAGTCGGTGTTTTGACAGTCTGGACTAGGGTTGCAAAGGAACGAATAATTTCTTGCAAATTTCAAGAAACTTTCCATGGGAAGTTAAGCTGGGGAATTTTGGAAATATGTCAAATTGGAAACTTTTGATGGGAATTTACTGGAAATTAACTGGAAATTGGGGGTAATTTAGACAAACTGTATCATATCCAAACATAAATGTAAAGAGGAGTCAGAAGAAAACAGCATCACATTTGAGGTCGCTACCATCATCATAATAAGCTAGCCCCTTAAATGGTCAATGAAATAAAAACCAGCTTACATTTACCACCTATTTTTATTTTAATTTTTGCAAGTTATATTTTTATACTTTAGATTATAGATCAAATACATTTACCCCATAATATTATCAAAACTAACTTGACTTTATATAGTCTGTGGGCTCAAATGTCTTGTGCTTTGGGCTCAAAAGTGTGGCTTTCAATGTTCAAGAAATCATCTGTTCATGTAATGGAGGAGTGTACTTGCATTAAATGTTTTTTTAGCCAAGATTATGCTACAATATATTTTTCCCCAACTATATTTAATTCCCCTGTTGAGGGCCATCCTTCAATTTTTTAAAGTTCAGATTTATTCACGTTAATTTCCATATATTCCCGTTAAGTCCCGTGGAAAGTTTCCAACTTCGAAAATTCCCGAAATTTTGCAGCCCTAGTCTGGACACAGTATTAGAGAGAAATATACAGCTGAGGCAAGCAAGAAAGTAAAATTCAGCGGTTTGTATTTACACATGCACTCTAGACTTCATGAGTAATTTTACAAGAGTGCAGTGTATGCATGAAAAGGGTAAATGATGCACTTCTATCATACGATAGTTATCAGTTTATCAAAATCTGCCTGCTTTGCTTTCACACTCTTTTTGGCTCCATGTGTTTTCAGGAGGACTGTGCTGTACAGAACGTTTGGCTGATGGGCGGCCTAAGCGTGCTCACGTCTGTCCCGACCACCCCACAACCTGTCTGCCTGCTCTGCGCCAGCAAAGGACAGCACGAGGTAATTCAGCGCATTTCAACCCCCACGCTTGCAAAAGGTCGGTGCTCTGTAGTGACCTAAGACTAAACAGGCTTTCTTTTCTCCTCTCCATTCATCAGATGATATTCTGCCAGATATGCTGTGAACCTTTCCACAGTTTCTGCCTCTCACCGGAGGAGCGCCCAATCGAGGAGAACAAGGAGAACTGGTGCTGCAGGCGCTGCAAATTCTGTCACGTGTGTGGCCGTCGAAACAAGCACACAAAGGTTTGCAGCCCAGTGACAGTTTTCATACCAGAAGTTGAATCAATCAGATGTTTGGTAAAGATTCAAGAATGTCTTTAAGTGGTGCCGACTTCATTCGCACTGTGAGTTGTTAAAGTCCTTAACTCACATTTAGTTTTAAGAGTATAAAACTTAAATAATTTGCAACCAAAGTCTGGACCTTTGAACAGACTTGCATACACTTGGGTCATGAAAAACCAATGGTATTTAATTAGAAATTTAAGTAGCATGGACAACTTTTCTTCCTTGATTTGATTTGTGTGAGAGAACTTAAACATAAGATAATGTACAATCAATATTAAGAGGGTTTTCCTTTATTTACAACCTTTCTAATCAGTGTATGTGTGCATTTGAGGTGATGGTGACACTGAAAAAATGACAAAGCCTAAAACTATGAACTTTCGTTTTTTCTCTCCAGCCTGTGTTACAGTGCAGAAGGTGCCAAACCTCATACCATTCTTCCTGCTTGGGACCAACTTACCCCAAGCCAATCAACTGCAACATTCCCTGGGTAAATCTTTGAAAAGACCAAGAATATGTTTCTATCTTCCTCTTGCTTTATTGTTTAATTTTTCTTCTCAAAAAAAATAAAAAAGATCCAGATCCATTTCCGTGACTCTGTGTTGTTTGTGTAGGTTTGTATGACCTGCATTCGCTGTAAAAGCTGTGGCGTAACTCCTGGAAAGTCCTGGGACTTGGCCTGGAACCACGAGCAAGACCTGTGTCCTGACTGCACTCGTCTTCACAAGAAGGGTAGGAACTCAGTGAGACAACAGTGTTTCCTGGGAGTGTATTTGTGAATATACAGGAGCGGAAATGGACAAAGTGACTGATATTGTATTTTTATTCTTATCAGGTAATTTCTGCACAGTCTGCCATAAGTGCTACGATGACAACAGCCAGTATACACGAATGATTCAGTGTTCACAGTGCCGACACTGGATTCATTACACCTGTGAAGGACTTTCAGGTGAGTTATCTCTCTGATCAGACATGAAAATGTTTCAGTCATTTCTGCTTCTGGATGAATTAATGTTGAGTTTCTGCTTGAAGTGAAAAGAAACACTAGATCTTAACCTTATTTTAACTCCATAGTAATGAAACCACTCAAATTGATTCTAAATTCTAAGATTATCATGCTTGTTGCAATAATAGTACACAAAAGTATCGCTGCCCAGATCCCAGTCAGTGTTATATTCTCTACATTGTGTTTGTCATGACAGATGAGCTGTTCGACTTGCTGTCACACCAAACAGAAGAAGTTCCTTTTAAGTGTTTGCCCTGCAGCCAAACTGAAACCAGCAGCTTGAAAGAGGAGCTGCAGAGGAGGCTGATAGCTGGACTGCAGGAGGTGCTCACTGGCCTCATCTCCAGTGACACCACACGGCACCTCCTCACCTGCAAAGCGGTAAGACGTAAACACAGAAACACGATTTAAGAGAAACTTGGTATAGATATTGTATTTGTTGAATTTGTCCTCTTCTCCATTTGTTTTAGTGTCAGGAAACAAGAACCACTCCGTGTGTCAGGGAATCACAGCAGGTCTGTGATCTACGAGCCATGGAGAGGAAGTTTGAAGGCAGAGGATACACCACAATAGTGAGTACTTTTGTCATGTCACTCTGCCAGAAAAGGGTTTGACCTGTTCTGATTCCTTTGTTACTGTCCTTAAAGAGAGAAATCATTTACAATTCTGTCTCTTCTCCTCAAATTTGCCCTGATAGCCTTCATTTTTTTTCTTTTTCTGTCAAACAGAAAGCTTTCCATTCAGACTTTGCTGCAATGATGAAGAGGTGGCTGAAGGAGAAGGAGGAGACTCTTCCTGAGGGCCGGAGACCGAGCTGTCAGGCCAAGGCGCACTATGTTAGAGTAAGCATCTCCACCCCATAAACATGTCTATTTCTTCAGGGGAGCCATGTTTCATTGGTTTCTCATCCAAATGATCTTTTACCCCAGTTTAGCTTTAGGGTTTCTTTGTCTGGCGAAAATTACTTATACTACTTATACTACAACAACAGGAGTGAAATATTGTCTGTAATGTCCAAAAATAGATGTTTCCCCTAATATAATTTGACTTAATGTAATAAATTTTGCAAATATTTTCTTCCCCGTAGCTTGTTGAGCGGATTTTTGGCTGGTTTCCTGCACACCGTCTAAAAAAGTGGAGCTCCTTTTCAGAGGAATTCCCGAGGTAAGTTTGTTACGGTAAAAATGAAGATTAGTCCTTTAATGTTCAAACATATTAAGTTTACAGTCTGTACCCTTCACTCTGTAGCGGCATGCTCCCTGAAGCCGTCCTCCCACCCTCCAAGGAGCACAGCTATGCACAGTGGCTTGAAAGGACTTACCAACCTGTGGAGCTCAGAGACCGTGAGCCAGGGGAAACTTGGCCATCATCATCAGGAACTCCTCAGCAGGCTGGTGTGTTGCACAGTCATCATCAGAGCTCTCAAGGTATGGAAACTAATTAAGCCTGCTAAAAAAATTTAAAAATATTTTAAAACAAATCAAATTTTAAGAAGTTTTGCATCCTGAAGTTAAAAGTAGGGCTTGATTTTGTCCTCTCTCTCTCAGGTGAAATAAGTGATGTGAAAACTCCTAGGACTGAGGACATGCGGCAGTGCGCCCTGTGCCAGCAATATGGAGACTCTGCTCCAAGTGTGAGTTTAATTTTGCATGTTTTCACTGCAAAGAATATGAATAAAACAGATCCATGAATCCACAGTCTGCTTTGTTTAAAGTGAGGTGAGTCTGTGATAGTAATAAAAATACTTAAAAACGATGTTTTTCTTACAATCCGTGCAAACTTTATGTCCGTATTCTTTAGAAGCAGTACAACACATTAAGAAGTTCATATATAATGTCTCACTTTTGAAGCTGAAAGGATTAAATAATTGACATTTTGATGAACAAACTTTCCTCTACAGCTGTTAAAAGATGTGTTTTCTCACCCTGACAGGACGCAGGTCGGCTGTTGTTCTTGGGTCAGAATGAGTGGGCCCATGTGAACTGCTGTATTTGGTCTGCTGAGGTCTATGAGGACAACAGTGCTCTCTTGCAAGTGCACAGTGCGGTCTCAAGAGGGCGCCACTTGGTAAGTCTTAATCAGGGAAGAAATTATACGATAATCTGCGTTCTAGTTTCAGGTGTTGCAGCTCTGATATGAAAGTGTGACGACATGTGTGACATGATTTCTTTCTGTGTTCATTCCACAGCGCTGTGATCGTTGCGGGCAGTCAGGAGCCACCGTGGGCTGCTGTCTCAACACCTGTCAGAGTAATTTCCACTTCATGTGCGCTCGAGCTCAGAACTGCGCGTTTCAGCGGGACAGGAAGATTTACTGCTTCAAACACAGAGATCTGCTCAGCTCAAAGGTGATTCTCTTCCTCCGAGAATATCTTGTTTTTCCTTTCATCAAGTTTCCTTCATATTAAAACTGATATTTGATTTACTAAACTCTTGCAGAGGGTGTCTGGGAAAGGGTTTGAGGTGACTCGGCGAGTCTATGTGGACTTTGATGGGATCAATCTCAAGAGGAAGTTTCTCACAGGCCTCGAACCAGAAACCATAAACATGACTATTGGTAAGAACTTTTGGATGTTGTGAGTTGAAGACACTTTCAGGGTTCCTGCAAAATTGTCATTTCCATACTTTACTTTTTAGAATTATTTTTAAATACCTACTTTTGTATTTTAGAAAAAAGTATTTCCAAACTGTGGTAATAGTCTTAAAACATAGATATTTTTCCATTCTTTTTTTTTTTTATTTTCCATACTTTTAAGACCTGGAAATTGATCTAATTTATTTCCATACTTTTCATACTTGCATAGGAACCCTGCGGCTTTGTACAGTAAAACTCCAAATATCAAATATGAATGATTTCATCCTTTTTTCCTCTCTCCCTTTAAGGCTCTCTGCAGATTCAGAAACTTGGCGTGTTGTCAGAGCTGTCGTCTAACGGGAGGATGCTGTATCCTGTCGGCTATCAGTAAGGAACATTAGTTTTCCCACTATGTTTTGTACTTGTGTATACTTTGTTCAATAACCGTTTAAATCTAGCCCCAACTAGTGCTTTGTTATTCCTCTAAAACAGCTTTTCACTCACATCAGTTGAAGGTTTTCTCATTTGCACCTCTCCCTCCCTTCTTTCTCCAGATGTTCTCGCTTGTACTGGAGCACCTTAGACCCCCGCAGACGCTGCAAATATACCTGCAAGGTGACAGAAGTGAGCACGCCGCTCCCTGGTGAAGAAAAACATCCGGTTTGGGACCCAGAGGAGAATCACACCATCGTCCACAGCCCAAGCCAACGAAGAGGTCAGCAGGAATTTATCCCCTTTTATCTTAGTCTGGAATTTATGCGGATCCTTTAAAAGTCTTCGATTGGATTTCTTGAATGTTTCAGAAAGTCGTTTTTGATTTCACATGACTCTTTGATAAATGTCTGAATATGTGATTAAACCTCCACTCCTGAATATTATACAATTTTCTGATTTTTTAATCAGATAATCCACTTTGTGTTTATTAGGCTTTCATTTTTGAAAATGATCATCTGCTTAGTTTTTTCCTGCACCCTGTCTGGACTTGTCATAGATTTAGTCGCCTTTATTTCCTCAAGTAAAAGTCAAGTACAGGAGAATTATAATGATGACCAGGTACTCTTGAGTTCAACTCTGTTTGTTTGATATCCTTTTCTTATTTATCAGACGCAGAGTCCCCCGATCGTTTAAGTTCCTCATCCAGTCCGTTAAAGTCAACCACCTCATCACCCGACTCCAGCACAGCACTGCACAAAACACCCGGGTCCAAAAGTCCTGGCTACACACAAACCAGGAAACCAGCAGGAGGGTCATCTCGACCTCTTCCATCTCCAGGTAAATAGATAATTTCAGGTATTCTTTGTTATCTTGTGCATTTGGTCTTTCTTTTCTCCTTTTAAATATTTTTTTTCACTGTTTTGAGTTCTTAATTCAATGTGACATCTTGATAAAAACTTGATTTGATGCTTTCAGGGTCCACTCTTCCCAAACCGCATCATGTGCTGACACTGAGGGACCTGGAGGATACTCGTAGACCACGCAGACTCTCAGCAAGAAGCCGCTGTAGTTCCTCCCAATCAGACAGCGACCCGTCTACCCCTATGACCCTCCGTTCTGGCGGCAGCGTCCACGCCAGATGTTCCCTCTTCAGCTCCCCTCCAAGGTCATCGAACATAGGACCTGCCTCGCCTCCCGTGTCCAGACAAAACTCTTCATCACCAGTCTGGGGCTCCCCATCGGGATCTGGTATTTCTTTGGGCTTGTCGCCTCGGCAAGGAGCCATCACTAACTCCCCCAGAGGGAGGCAGAACTTTAAAATCACCACTCCAGTTTCCGCAGAGGTCCCCCAGGACTTCCTTGCATCATCGGAGGCAGAAGACGCAGCGGTGGCGACAACAAATGGGATCTCGCTAGCGCCTGATAACTTAGAAGAGGAAGTAGCTCATCTCATGGCGCAGGAGCTGCCTTACACGGTGTTCGACACTGACACGGAGGTCGCGGTGGCTTCCATGCTAAACGCTAAGCTTGAATTCGACGAGGCTCTTCTCAACGAGACCGTAACGCTGGAAGGGCCCGGGAGAGGGGAAGTGGAAGGGGCGGTGCAGGAAGTGCTGGAGGGGAATCAGGAGAACGACTCCGAGAGCGAAGAGTCGAGTCATTACTTGAAGTTTTCACGCACAGTTGTGTGTGACGTCGCAAGCAGCTCAGACACCTCAGGTCAGCATCCGCCAGCGCAGTCGATCTCACAGTTAGACGGAGCAGACGGAGGGTCAGACAGCGATGAAAGCGATGCGTCGGATGATGAAGTTCAGGACAAAAGACGGGAAGAGTTTGAGAGGCATACGAATCATAACACGCCGACCAAACAGCTGACTGTTGCTCTGAAGAGGCTCGAGTCAATCTACACTTTGTCCAAGTCCAGAGATGAAGAAGGACAAGCTGAGTCAGACTTTCACGTAAATTCACCGCCGGCTGATATTCTCCAACCAAGCTTTGCTAATGACGGCATGTCGCTGCAGGAAGAAGAGGTCCTGATGAGCTCTGAAATGACAACATCTCAGAGCGAAGTGCTTTTAGACTCTACAGAACATTTTGTTTCTACTGAAAACGGCCCAGCAGTTCAGTACCGCAGTGAAATTGACTGTAAAGATGAGAACAGTTCATCTGCTGACTCAGTCGAGGGATTTAAAGATGACTTGAATGATCCCGATTACTCCCCAGAACCTAAATCCAAAAAGTCTCCCGTAGCGCAGATGAAAACGATCATCGTGAAGTCGAAGCGTTCCCCTCCAAACCTCAAACGGGTGTCCTCAAAACCGTGTCTTCCTCTGCATGCGTCAGTTTCCTCAGCTGCGGCATCCACTCTGTGTGCGGTCCCACACACAGTCACCTCCCCCATCATAATCAACGGATTAAACCCTCTGCCGATTCAGCCCGGAGCTACACGGGGGAGAAGTGTCGCCATCCGTTTGGACAACTCCAGGCCTGAAGGTCAGCAGCAGGTTATTCAGAATCAGGCTGCAGCCACCAGCTCGCCCCCTTCCCAGACTCCAGCTCCCGCCCCTCAGGTCCTGCTGGTCAACCGTCAAGGCCAGATCCTCATCAAAGACCCAAGGACAAACACTTACCAGTCACTCAGTTCTCATTCTCCCGCTTACAGTAAAATAAGCCAGATAGCCAAGATTCTGCACAGCGGAAACACGCTTCAGCGCTCCATCCCTCGTGTCATCTTAAAGCCCCGCCCCTCACCTTCCGTCTCAAACGTCCCTCCCTCTAATAACACCGTCCCGCTGACCAGTCACAACACAGCAATCGGAAGGAAAATCGTTTTTAGGGTGCTGCCCATGAAAAGCAGCGTGACTCAAGCTCCCGTGACTACCATCAGGGTGCAGAGCGCTCCCGAAGCAGGTATCTCCAACATCGAGGAAAGCACAGCTCAGGCTATCATCAACAGAGCCATGGCGACCCACCGGGAAGACCCGACGCCAAAACCGATACCAAACATTCTGAAAAGCACTCAGAAGGCCCGTTATCAAAGCCCCGCCCAGTTTCAGGAGTCGGGGGAGGCGGGTTGCTCACCTGCTGCGCAGTCAGACTCCTCCAGCAGTTGCCTTAATGAACCAGCTCTGAACCACCTTCACCACCCTGCCCCACTGCGCCAGGTGAAGGTGAAGAGGGTGTCCTCGCTGTCCGAGAGGCCCTCCAGAAAGAAGTCCAAGATTGACTTCTTGAGGGATCCAAACAGTGACCTGGAGGACATTAATGAAAGCAGGTAACGACGGATTCAGTTCTCTTTTCACTGCAGCTTATAAATCTGAATATGATCATATGTTGACGACGTCTGGATTTGCTACAAAATTATTGTAAACATCAAGAGTTTTATTAGAAATCACCAGAAATGTGAACTGTGTCACTTTTTCTGCAAACAGGCAAAGTGGTGTGAGAGTGAAAGCTCCCACCATGAAGGATGTTCTTGATCTGGACCAGGAGGTGAAGCCTAATGAGCCGCAGCAGTTGAGGATCCCAGTTTCACCTCCTGTCCCCACCAGGTTAGTTCGTCTCAAAGGCAACAACTTCATTTAAGTAATTCTTCTTAGTTGCGTAAAATTAAGTTAGGGTCTAACACACCGTAACACTGAGTTAGACACCCCCTCGAGAGATGAATGTTGCGGACCGCTTGCTTCTGTAGTAATACCGACTTTAGTAACGACCGCACGATAGCAAAACACAGCAGTCTGAGTCATAAACAAACCTCAACCAAAAAACACCTTTTGTGGAAGAGAGTAGGTGAGTTTTGTTTATTGTCTTTGCTAAAGAAATTAGGCAAAGTTAAAAAGATGTTTGGTGGCTAGTACTATGGCTGGGACCCTATATGTACTGTTGATGAAGTTTGGTGCTGTTCTGAACATTATTTGTGGCTATAGAGTGGAGTTTTGGTTGAGCGCGTGGCTCTCCGTATTGCTACCGTGCGGTCCTAACTAAAGTTGGTATTACTCGAGAAGCAAGCAGTCGGCAACATTCATCTCTCGAGGGGGGGTGTCTAGCTCGGTGTTACAGTATTTAAATTAATTTTACGTCGGAATATCCCTTTAATACTTCTGTTTTCACTCTGTTTCCTCAGACATTCGCGGGTTGAAAGTCCACTCCCATTTACTCAAACCAACAGTCAGATCAAGAGTAACACACACATGTGGGTCAGCGCTCGCCACGGAGACCTCTCTGAGTGGGGTCCTTACACAGGTATGTAACTAAACATTGTGGGTTTTTAAAAAAGGTGTTAATGAAATAATTTTTTTTTTTACATTGTTGGTTTATTTTCTTCTTGCAGGTTTCAGCTCCGAGGAAGATGCACCCGCACCCAAATGCAAAAAGAAGACGTACATGAACCAGCCTCATCTTCGCTTTGAAATCACCAGCGATGACGGCTTCAGTGTAAAGGCCAACAGCATAGAAGGTGAAAGCTGCTCATTTCTTATACTTATTTCTTATACTTATGTGTTGTTTCCAGCTCTCACACTCGTCTCACCTCTCCATTAGGTGCCTGGCGCGCGGTTATCGACGGCGTCCTGGAAGCTCGAGCCGGCTTCCACATGAAGCAGCTCCCCCTGAGTGTGATGAGCGGGCCGCGGATGCTCGGCGTCCTCCACGATGCTGTCATCTTCCTGCTGGAGCAGCTGCAGGGTGCGGGCAGCTGCAAACGCCATCGCTTCCGCTTCCACCGCTGTGACGAAATAGAGGAAGAGTTACCCATCAATCCCAGCGGCTGCGCTCGTTCTGAAGTCTACACACGGTACTAGACACAGATACTTCGCCTATTGTATATCTGAGATTTTTAGAGCGTCCTGTTCTGTTTCTAACATTTGTTTTGTGTATTTTCTTCTTACTTCTCCCCAATCCAGGAAAGCAACTTTTGATATGTTCAACTTCCTGGCATCACAGCATCGAGAGCTCCCTATCGTAATTGGTCCGTTTGATGAAGAAGAAGATGAATTCCCTCTGAAGTCTTCCAGGTAAAAGGATTAAATACTCACTGCTTTCTTATACCTTAGCTTTATACCTTAACAAACAGGACTTCTAGAAACTGCCTTAAAAAGTGATTCAGCAAACGCCATGTCCTTGTTGTCATCGCTCTTTCTGTGTCTCACTCTGACAGGCGAGCCACCAGCAGTGAGCTTCCCATGGCAATGAGATTCAGACACCTGGAAAAAACCTCCAAAGAAGCAGTGGGGGTGTACAGGTGATGGAAACAAAACACATTTCAATATAGACCTATATAGATGTAGATGTTGTTTAAAGTGTATTAAAACTGTTTCACGTTTCCCTCTAGATCGGAAATTCACGGTCGCGGCCTTTTCTGCAAGAGGAACATTGAGGCAGGGGAGATGGTGATTGAGTACGCAGGCACCGTCATCCGCGCCGTTCTGACTGATAAGAGGGAGAAATACTACGACAGCAAGGTCAGTCAAAGTTGTTTCTGTCGTTGAAATCTCTCCTGTTTCATTTTGACCTGACAAACTGGCAACAGTAGAGCGTTGATGGGCTGATTTTTAATTCAAAAGGAAAAGGTGAAAGACTGTTCTTAGTTGTATGATCAAATGTTAAATTTATATTGAATTTACTGAAACGGTGACAGCGATGTTGTTCTCCATCAGGGTATCGGCTGCTACATGTTCCGCATTGACGACTTTGACGTGGTGGACGCGACCATGCAAGGCAACGCAGCCCGATTCATCAACCACTCGTGCGAACCCAACTGCTACTCCCGCGTCATCAACGTGGACGGCCGCAAGCACATCGTCATCTTCGCGCTGAGGAAGATCTACCGCGGCGAAGAGCTGACGTACGACTACAAGTTCCCCATCGAGGACGAGAACAACAAGCTGCACTGCAACTGCGGGGCGAGACGCTGCCGGCGCTTCCTGAATTAGTACAACCGACACACTCAAACCAAGACACACCATGTATAAATAGCCATCTTATTTAATGCACTTGAAGTTTTCAGAGTTTGATGAAGCCGATTTTCGTGAATTAGCCATAGCAGCGAGTTCTCCAATGCACTCAGACCGGATTGAGTTTCAGTTTTCCCTTTTTGTTGATTGATTTACGACGCGTGCTAGTTTATTTTCGTGACTGGATTACGTCACAGAAACCAGATTAGAGCCATAACAAAAAGCAATGGGTGATTACTATTTATTTAAGTTTGGACTGCTGGATTCTTGATCTGTTAGAGAGCACAGTTCAAATGTTACAACCACTCTGCTTTTTTGGATTCGTGCAGTTCGACCACCGCAAACTCAACATTCAACCAGTTCCACAGAGTCGGATCCGTCAGTCACCTTCACTTGGACTTCAGCTTAAAAGAAGCTACAGCTGTTTTAACCAGCTCCCAAACATTCAGACTAAAGCACCCTGATACCAGTCTTAGAAATATTAGCAGGTTTCTATTGTTATTATGCTGGTGAGTGTCTATAAACATCAGGTCACGGATTGAATTTGTCTGCACCTTACTTTGAAACAATCTCCTCTGGCAGCATCGGTGTTGCAAAAGCAGAAAAATTTTTTACTACAAAGCAACAAAAAAAAGACAAAAACAAAAAAAAAACACGTTAACTCAAGGCACCTCCTGATGTACGTTGTAGTGCAGCTGCATTTTAACTTAACTCTGAATATAACAGAAAATGTGAGCAGGGAATCCAATATTTTAGGTGCTGGTGACATTTAACCCCATGTTGTAGTTTTAATATAGTCACCTCAAACATTTTCAACCCTCATGTATTCTGTTTGAATTTCCTGTTTTTATTTGTGACGGCAGATATGCTGTGATGTTTTTATCCCGTCTGTCTTTATTTGTGTTGGTTTTGTATCTTAAGGTCTATGAGGGACAGTTTCCTTAATGCAGGGTTCAAATTGAAATAAGCGATCTTGCTCGACACAGTCCCCCTATACATGCTTTTGTATTTTTGTATATTTGAACAATAAATGTATATTCAACAAGCTAATGGAAATACACGTGTTTGACCTTTTAACTTTCCATTTGTAAAGTGAAGGCTGACGTAGAGAAGTGAAGAGATTGCGGAGCTACGAGATCTTTTCGTCTTTAGTTTTTGCACTGTTTTTGCACCCTCATTCTTGTGTTTTCTGTCTGCCACAGGTGTACTACCTCAAAACTGTTATAAAACAAGAATTTATTTAATTATTCAACACAATTGGAAATTCTGCTTCTTTACTTCTGTGTTGTTCGATCTGTATAATGACAACTCTTCATTACAAACCAAACCAAAACTGTTGAACACTGACTTTTGCGAGACTAGCTGGCCACCATGTTTTCGTGCTCGTTTCTTCTGTTTGAAATCGCACCCAGTGAATGGATGTAGATAGAGTCTTAGGGTTTAGCTTGAAGGCTGAATGCTGAGAGGGTGTTTGTGTTTTCGGAACAATAATTGAAATTCACAAAAAGTTTGTGACTTAATCGTCTCACAGTTGATCCTTGCCTTGTACATAGTTGTATAAAGAATTTCTAAACCTGTTAAATATTTTTGTACCTTCAATTTTTTAATTTATGTTCAATAAAAATTTGAAATGTTTAAAATTTGCATTGATTTTTCAATTTATTTATTCATTAGTAAAGATTAAACTTTGTGGACTAGAGCAGTGGTTCTCAACTGGTCCCACTCTGGGATCCACGTTTTCCCATAGTGCTTAAGTCGCAACCCACTTTTATAGAATTCAAACCAAGCATGATTTATTTTTTATTTAAAAAAAAAAAAAAAAAACCTTTAAAGACTCTAATCTTTAACATAAATCCACTTGTTTTATTGAGTAAAGTGCATTTCAGAGCACATGAAGGGGACAACATGAGGATGACAACTACTGAAGTTGCCTATACAGGAAATATCAAATAAATATCACATTAAATATTTACTTTTTTGACCAGCTGTTTGTGACCCAAACAGTTGAGAACCCCTGGACTAGAGTAGCTCTCCTGATTTTCCAGACATTCCCATAATGGATGGTTTTGTTGTGTTCCTTTTACACAATAATGTGATGTCGTCTCGTTAAAAGAAAAAGCAAATATATCAAGACTAAGAAATGTGTATAAATATAGACCCAGTTTTTTGGAGTAAGAGGCAGTTTGGAGTGTCGAAAACATAAGCCATGGGCTCAGTGTGCTTATGATGGTTTGTGAAATTCATTTTAAAACATGTAAAGCAGAATCATAGATATACATGTGGAGTATTCTTATGAGACAAACTTCTTTCTGTTTCCTTTAACAGCAAAAAGACTCGTTGAGAAAATTTGCATGTGAAAATGTAAACGCCCTTTTGCTCTGTGTACTGTCAAGTTTCGTGACTGAAATAAGCATAGCTAAAAAAAAAAAAAAGTTTTTTTTTTCTCTGGCTCAGTTTTTAGGTGCTATAAAAAATTCAACAGTTTCAAAATCCTCACAGCATGTTTGATTTGACTTTTAATGATCACCTTTTATGACCAAACATTGCTTTTGAGTGGTGACCAGCAGACAGCATGTGTCCACATTTAAAGCAGAATCGTTTTTAGTCTAACCACATTTTGATCAGTGAGAATCATCTTTTATTCCAGAGTTCTGACCCGCAGCATGAGGCTCCATTTATACACAGCAGCATACAAAGCTTGTTCCATTTCATTCCCCCTTCTGTGCTTTGATAATTATCTCACCAGGTTTTCTCTCTGTTACTGCAAAGCCTCTTGAATGTTGTGTGCCCTGCTGCAGAGTAAAGACCAAAGACGGCTGCAAACATACACAACTGATTATTCAAATCACTGTCTAGGACTACAGTTGATGTGGTGTTTATCAAAAATGTCTAAGTCCAGTGAAAACACATCTTTTCTCAGAGGAAACTTCAGGATTTGTTGACCTCAGTTTCAAATTTCCACCTGTGAATATGAGGCCTCATGTTACATAAGCTCTGATTAGATAACTGTCATATCAATCAGCAGTTATTGGAGTAGCCTGGATGTTTTATCCTCTAGTTTTGACATTAGTCAAGGTCTTACCTTTGCTTTTAGCCATATGGCTCATTCCCAGAACACAGTTCTGCATTTACCTTCCTGACTTTGCAAAATTTAAGAACACAGGTCAGGTGTATATAAGGAGATACAGAGAGGACTCTTTCTTACATTCATCAGAAAGTCACCATGAAGGCGCTGGTGTTCCTGACTTTGCTTGGAGCAGCATGTAAGAGACTAACCTCATCATAATGTTTATTATTATATGTAAAAGTTCTTTCTGACATATATCACCTGACATATATTGTTTTTTAGTTGTTGCTGCTGAGGATGAGAAGGTTGTCGGAGGGTATGAGTGTCCCAGAAACTCTGTTCCCTACCAGGTGTCTCTGAACGCTGGATACCACTTCTGCGGTGGATCCCTCATCTCCAGCCAGTGGGTGGTGTCTGCCGCCCACTGCTACAAGTCGTAAGTACAGGAGGGTCACATTTAGATCAAGTTCATCTGGGCATTTAAAAACCTACTGTATCAAATAGTGTACGCAACCCAAAACAAGAGCTCTACCAAAAATTCAGCTTTTTATGATTTTCTACAATTATTATTGACATGGTCAGACAGGTGATAATTGTTTTTTTTATGTATTGAAGTTTTAGTACGGCAAAGCTAATGTCAGTAAACTCTACATAGATATTTGTGTTTAACCAATCCTTAAAAAAGACATATCAAAACCTAAACTATAAAGCTGATCACTTAGACTAGTGGTTATATGTCTTCTATTCTGCTAGTGTCCCCTCTTTGAACTACTCATATAAAGATTGTAGTACATGTTTAACAAAGGTAAGTTTTTAAACTGTGTACATCTCTACCAGTCGTATCCAGGTCCGTCTTGGTGAGCACAACATCGCTGTGAACGAGGGCACAGAGCAGTGGATCGATGGTGCCAAAATGATCAAGCACCCTCAGTACAACAGCTACAACCTGGACAACGACATCATGCTGATTAAGCTGAGCCGTCCCGCCACCCTCAACAGCTACGTCCAGACCGTGTCCTTGCCTTCTCGCTGCCCTCAGCCTGATGAGAACTGCATGGTGTCTGGGTGGGGAAACACATCTGCTAATGGGAGTAAGTTGAATCCAAAACAGAAGAAAAGTAAACTCATACTCGTAATATAAAATTTCACTTAATTAGGGCCCTGTCATGAGTTGCATGTTTCTCCATCAAACCCCATAGTTTAAAGATTTAGTCATCTAACAAATTAAAGAAGCAAAATACTTCTTATTTCAGTGTAATTTTTCATGGCAAATCAGCAGGGCAAGTCACTCGGTTCATAAATGTCGAAGTAGTGCCAAAATGCCCAAAGGCAGTAAGTCAAAAATGATGAATCGAAGAAATTACCCACATGGTAAAAGAAGTGTTAGGCTTGAAGCCCTAAGAAGAGTTAGGCATGTCAGGAAATAATCTACAGAAAAAAAAAAGGAAACATGTAACAAGAAAAATATTGACTTTCCTGCTCTCTCTTAGGCAACTTCCCTGACAGGCTGCAGTGCCTGAGGCAGCCCATCATTGATGACAGGATCTGCAGGAACGCCTACCCCCACCTCTTCACTGAAAACATGGTTTGCTCTGGATTCATGCATGGAGGTGCCAGCAGCTGTCAAGTGAGTTTGACACAGCAAACACACAGGGAGTGAGGTGGTGGTGGATAATCCCTTCCAGCAGTATAGCAGTCTGACTCAGCAGTGTGGAGCTGAGTGCTCGAAAATACTTGTTTCTCACTGAGTCTTTGGTATACTCCTTACCATAAAACGATACATTTATGATTTAGCATTATATGAATTTAAGGGGCTCCACTCTGAGCAGGAAAACAAGTGAAATTATTTCATTTCTGTTTATTCTATCCTTTGATTTTCCAGCAAAAACAGTTTCTTATAGTCATGTGATGTTTGGCTTCTCACTACATGTGTTGAAGGTACTTTGAAAATCACTGCTGGGTTTTTTATGTGCAAACAGTTGATTCATAGTCTCATTTAAATCCAATGAGCAATAGATGGCTATTAGACATCAAGTTCTTTTTTAGACCTAATTTCAGCCGTCTAGATTCTGTGTATTTTTACAACCTATTATTTGATAATTATTTATTTCAAAAAGCAACTTTGAATCGCCTAACTGATCTCCAAGTACTTAACCAAAATAATTATGATATACAGTGTAGTGTAGTATAGCCGGCAAGTCTAAACTTGGTCTAAATTTAAACATTTTAAAAAAGTTCATTTTCAGACCTGTGGTAGCCTGATTTTAGACCAGTCGTCTAGGCTACATTTAGATGTCTATTAGACCTCTTTTAGACCAAGAAATGCTCAGTGAGAAGTCACTCCTCACTTTTCTTCTGCCTGTGTTTGCAGGGAGACTCTGGTGGCCCTCTGGTGTGCAATGGTCAGCTACAGGGAGTTGTGTCCTGGGGTTATGATTGCGCCATGCAGGGACACCCCAGTGTCTACGCCCGTGTGTGCCGCTACAACAACTGGATCAGCTCCACCATGAGCAGCAATTAAATACCCGTCGCCACCCATGTATCCACTCGCCAGCAACACTGTCCTCAGTACTTGAATTCACTGTATCAAAACACTTTTTGTGGAATACTGCCATTCATTTACACCTCATACATAACATGTGAAAGCAGAACACCAAAAATAAAAGAAAATAAATACAAATAAAAAGCATTAATTGCTTTCATGTAGGTTTCATGTTTTATTTCACTGTTGTTGGCATAACAATTTTAACATGTTCTTGGTTATATATGTTTAAATCTCAGTGCTTTTGTTAAAGCTTATGCTTTCTTCCCATAAGGCTACTGCTGTATAGATATGAAACGTTGTATACCTACCTGCAAGTGCTGCAAAAGCCTTGTGAGATACATTTAATATTTATACTTACACATGCATCTCTGAAAAGCTTTTGTGCTCAGTTACAGAGGCTCCTGGAGTGATTTGGGAGGCAAGCAAACTTGAGTAAACAAGCAATAGGGCATTTTCCATTTCACCTGTCTGGATTCTGTACATGCATTCCTCAGATGGTGCTCTGTAAACTTCACTGCTACTTGTTTGCTGAGGCAACCTGAACATACAGAGGAAAAGGTAGAAAAAACAGCAGGGAGAGTCACACACTTTTTGAAAGGAATTAACAAAAAACGTTGATGTTAAATAGCTTGAAACTACTTTTAAGATGGTAAATAAATGATAAGCTACGTAAAGTCACTCTATCATACAAGACTAGCTCTGCATATTTCTTTATATATATAATGCTTGTACATATACTAAGAAACTTGACCAGCATTAAGAAATCCCCCTGACCCCAACCCTCCGATTATTTCTACATGCAGCTAAACCATGCAACAACTTTACAATATACTATATGTGCCAATATATTCTTCTGCAACTCATGTTAACCCAAAAGACACGACACCAAACACTTATACTTATCAAACGTGTGACATTTTTCTGCAGACCTCTTTTGTGGACTCAGTATAGCTAAAAAGATAACACCAGCTCAGAGGTGTTTGGGCACATATGGTTTTCTATATACATTTTTACAGTTGCGGGGGAAAACTGCACAAAAGGAATAAACAATATAACACAAGGGGTTCGTGTTTTATCTCATATGCTGAAATTTCTTTAGTCAGAGTCTAAATACCAGCATGACTCCAAGAAAGATGTCAAAGGATGTCTAAGGGAATAAAAACATACCTCATTTACATGCTGTTCAGGCAAAAAAAGGAAGAATTGCTTACTTTAAAACGAAAAATTGCAAGGTGAGACTTTACAGGAGGTATGCAAACAGTCTGCATAATATCCTACTCTGCAAACTGGTTTTGTATACACTCCCTACTCTATATTTACATACCTTATTTCTAGGAACAAAATCTCTGTGCGCTTTGTAAATAGTTTTATTTGTAATATTTCACACTTTTTACCAGCCGTTGCAATTTCTTATTTCTATTCTCTTTCTATTGATTCTTTTTTATCTGCAGCAGTGACATTACTTGGCCACTGTATATTGGAGCTATAACACATTCTAACTGGGGTGTTAAACCATGGGCTGAGACCCTTAATTGTGAGTAAAAGGTATATGATTTAGTAGTAGGCTAAACTTAAACATTGCACCTTCTTTCAAGGAGATTTTGCAGATTCATAATAAAAATTTTGGCAGGTGAAAAAATCAGGTGACTTGATAATGAGATCGTTGATCAAAATTGGATATGGATGGGTTTCTCAAAGACAACAGTAATCAATTATTTATAGTATAAAGTCGATTTTGGGGGGATCTGCTCTTTTTCTTCACTCATCTACGTCATCAGTGTTGTTTGATTGACAGGTGGTCATCAGCTGTGCCCGCCCACTCAGCGTGTTCAAAAAGCTCCACTCACTTTTTTGAGAGAAGCTGACAAATCCCTGCTGGTTGACAAATGTCAGTGCTACACTGAGCATCTGAAAGGTAATTCTGAACTAAAGGTGGACGAATAATGATACTATATATCGTTATAATGATGTATATCTTTAAAATAATGCGGCGTAGCAGCTAACGAAGGCGGGAAAGAGTCTGCCCTCGCATGGAAAGGATGATACCGTAGCCTGAATTAACCTCTCTAGCAGCTTCAAATAATCGCTTAAGTCAGGACTTGAGGGAGAAATATAAGATATAAAGGTCTAAATTCTTTAATGTTTATTTCCTAACATACATGAAACATGTTTTTGTTGGGTAACGACAGAAGTAAAATCGTTGTTTTCACTGTGGTGTTGAATTTGGTGCACTCCCGCTTATGTCCTGCAGAGGGCGCTGTTTGGCCACATGTTACATATCTCTGTCCCATTTCTCTGCTCCATTATCAGACTCAAAGGCTTTTCAAGAAGTGTGCTGCAGTCTGCAGGCGGGGAGAAAACACCAGTAGAGGGTTAGTGGTCTCATTCAGTTTTATTAGAGTCATTTTTATCAGCCTCTCTGCAAATACAGTCAATTTCTTTCATTAGTCATAGCTTTTAGACTAATAATACAAACGCTGGGGGCCTGAATAAAATCACAACACAATGAATTTTCTAAATGTTGAGATTCTGCAAACAATGATCCTGAGAAAACACATTTTAATTAAATTTTCTATTGTAGATTTTTAGTAAATGGGATGTGTAATTTGGCATCTGGTTTCAGAATACTGTCCTAGCTTTTGTTTGCCAAGGTGATGGCTGCCCTTGGAACTAACAGCAGTGTGCAGTGACTGATATAAATATTCCAACTCAAGGGCAAAATGTAGATACTTCCAAGGAGGACAATACTCTGAAAAGCTTCTCTACAATATGATAAGATTTTTACTGTATTTCTCTCGTGACCCTCTTCTACTCTTTACCTTCATAACCATGACTCTGTTGGTACAAGTGTTTGCTCTTTACTCACCTGCAGCAATTTCTGCAAGTCACCTGTGTGCTGCGAAATGCGGTGCCACAAAAGTTCATTTGAATACCTTTCACACTGTGTAAGTAAGTCCTTGAAGGGAATAAGGAAGCTGTTAGCACTCGAGGCCGAATGGAGCTGCGTCTAATGAATGTTTTTTACCATGTAGTCTGTCGTTTATGGATCTCAGCTAACTGTGAAGTATTTGTTCTGTGCAGATATATTAGAAAATGTGCAAGAAAGGTTTAACATTGTTATTAAACATTATAGTTAGTTATAGTTTTCTTGCATGAGGAAATAATAGATGTTGAATCTGAGTTAAATGTGATGTAATGTGAGTCTTTCACTAAAGTTTAAAACTGTCCAACTAAAACTAAACAAATATTAATTTATAATACGGCATATGTGACTGTGTGTTGTCTCCAAGTGTTTCCTGCAGCTCTGAATTATTTCTCTCCTCGATCTCAAAAAGTCGTGTCTTCTTTTTCAGGCGTGGAGGCTAACATCAGATGCGGATTACCACCAGAGTGTGAAACACTGCATCGAACACCAAGGTAGATAAATGTGTGTTTACAAATGTGCGGACATGTTCGTGAGTACACTCGTGCAAATACACACACTCACACATATAGAGCAGCCCTGTACTCTCTGTGTCTGCCTGTCTAAGCTTCTTCCCCTCCCCCCCAACATCTCTCTCCCCTTTTTTGTCCCCCTCGTCCTCTCCTTTTCCCTCCTGCTCGCTCTCCCCTGCCTGCTAGCCCTATTTCAAGGTTCTGCCTTGGAAAGAGAGAGAGAGAGAAAGAGAGAGAGAGGCAGGAACACACAGATGCGCAGTTAGGGAGAGAGAGAGAGAGTGAGAGAGGGGAGGGGAAAACAGACAGGATTTAGAGTTCAAGTGCACGTGCAGAAAATAGGCTGAATAGAGGAGAGTCAGAGCAGAAAGGAAACCAGGAAAAGGAGCGGCAAGGGGGGGAGCCAAAGCACACAGCAGCTCTTTCTCTTCTCGCTCTCCTTCTGTATTTTACTCTAGCTGAAAAAAAAGGTATCAGCTCAGAGAAAAGAAAAGCACAAAATTCAAAAACGAAGGGTTAAAAAATATATTCCTCTTCCTGCCTCTTCCTCTCTCCAACCGACACACTCCTCCTGTATCCCTCCCTCTTGGATATTTCTCTATGAACCCCTCCAGTCTCTCGCTCTCTCACTCACTCACTCACTCTCTCTCTCTCTATCTTCCCCTCCCACCTCTTCGCGCACACACATCTACACACCCGGAGTCCTTCCCACTCCTTCCCCTCACCATGCTTACTATCGACTCTCACTGGAGACGACTGCGACAAGCTTTTATTTTCCCTTTCTTTTTCTTGCCAGTCTTTGCTTTTGGTCATGTCTGCAAGTATGGAGGCACCGTCACGCAGATGCTTCACCCCATGCGTGGCACCCCTGAAAAATGCAGGCCCGTGGATTGTCCCCGCGATAGACTGATTGCTACAAACCGCTCGTCCTCTCTTTAAAAACATTTTTCAACTCTTCTGCAGTGTTTTTTTGTTTTTGTTCGAGGGTAGAACTCGACTTATATTTGGAAAAAAACCTTTTTTTTTTTCTTAAAATCATATCCGTGTCCCGAAGCGGGTGCTTGTGGCTGAAGAAAAGAAAAAGAGTGTCCAATGAATGGACAGATGAAGGGGGACAGGCAAAGAATGAGGGGAAAATGGAGAGCATGGTCTGCGGGAGAAAGCGAGAAAGCCAGAGAGAGAGAGAGAGAGAGAGGTAGGAGAACAAGCACCGGCACTGGCAGAAAAACAGGGAGGGGGAAGAGAGAAGAAGGGGAACCAGTAGGGGATAGACTTATAGGAAGGTGGGACGGCTGGATAGAAATTGGCAAAAAATAGCGGGAAAGGGGAGAAAAAATCAAACTCCAGAATGACGAGAAACTGGACTTCTCTCCAAAGTCAGACTTGCACTTTGAGGTTGCCATTGCTTTTTGTTTCTTGACATGATTTTTCATCACTTCAGCAGTCATCTTCTAATTCACATGTGAGTATACTGTACCTACATGTTCTTCTCTCCTCTTTGCCTTTCTCTCGTGAAAGCATTCTCCTCTCTTACGCCTATGAATTTTTCAACTCTCCTCTATTTTTTCCTTCCTGTTCGAAAAATTTGTTTGCTAGGTTGCTAATCCCCCTCATCCTGCTTGTCTATCCGATCTCAGGCTGCACCTCTCTTCTTCTATCCCTCTCTTTCCTCCTCCAGTTCTTCTTTATCGTAGGTTATCGCTGCTCTCTTTGCCTCTCCTTGAAGGATTACCTCTGCTCTGCACATTTAGATGAGGGCTTTGGAAAGGGATCACTGAGTGCACCCAGTTTTAGGGGGCCCACGCATGGGAGGCTAGCACATGAAGGAGGCAGGGTGTGTGCACTTGTGTGTGTATATATCTGTCTGTACTAGTCATGTGTATGTGTAGGTCTGTGCATGTGTGCGTTAGTATGTATGGGTGTGATTAAGAGTTAACGGAGCTGGTAGTGGCGTATGGTCACTCCTGCTTACGCATGCGTAGATTTGCACAATCATGTTTCATGTTTCATATTCGCGAAATGATTGCGCGTTGGTATAAAACCCGCAGATATGAAAGATAAGGTGTTAGGACGGGACAAAATGCGGAGGTGAAAACGCTGTAAGTACCGCAGGATTTCTTCTTCCCTGTTTCACTCCTCCTCCCATGCTTCTCCCCCTTTTTCTTTCCCATCTTCCATCCGTTCATCCGGGTATCCCCAATCTATCTGTTGGTCCGCCTGTAAAGAAAAAACCCACAGTTCAAGATGTGGTTCGGTATCGACAAAAAGATACGACTGGATCTGCAGAGAAACAAACTTGAGTCACTTCGAATGAGTTTTCTTTTTTCTTTTTCTTCAAATAACCTGCACGTTACAGCGAGATCACTTCTGTTTGATGTGGTGAAGTTACAGGTAAAGACGGGGGGGCTTTGGTGCAAATTACTGCTCATCTGCGCTGTTAAAATGTCGACAGTGGTGGATTACATGAAAGCATGATTCTACTGTAACTCCTGTGGGCTGACCGAATAAAAACGATATACAAGAGAGGCACGGGATGTTTTAAAACGTTCATTTTTACAGCCGATTTGTTTCAATCTCCATCAAGCCGACCGTTTTTTCCTCTGCGGTATCGGCCAAAGATATCCCCTGGAATCTCCGTCATTCCTCTTTCTCCTCTTCTGTGTTATACATCTACCTACTCTGTTTGTATTTACACAGCCTCCTGCTATCTCTGCTCACATTTTCACTATCACTCGCCACAGTTGTTATCTTTATTCAAGATTGTCCCCTGGTATTATTCCAAGGCGAGTGTGCGTGCGTGTGTGTTTGCGCTTGTGTGCAATGGTATTTTATTGGTGTGTGTTACTTTAAATGATAAGTGTTACAACACCTTTTGAGTGGTCTTGTTTGTTCCTGGTATTTTTGTCTGCTTTTAATTCTGCGCACCATCTGTTTGTGAATGAAGCGAGGATATTGAAGCGATACGAGGACAGGGTTATCCCAAAAAGTTTTCATAAAAGCGGCACAGACTGTAGATGTAGGTAACATTTTCGTTGAAGTTACCGGCCTAGTTCTCTAATAATGTCTTCTGGGATATGCGGTCATTCGGTTTAGATACAGGTATATGACATTTATCCCTGCGTATCGTGATAAACCAAAAAGGGAGGGACACTTTTGTCTAGCAACGACCCAGACTTGACCTTTTTGCGACCTCTGCTGCAGCCCTCGAGAAAATAGAGAGGAGTCTTTGATGTCCAAATTCTCGTCATGGATATCCCGCCAAAGACAAAAGTAGGATAAAAGAATTGAGCCTCCCACCCCCCTCCTGGAGCCTCCTACTCGCTCTTATTTGAGTTCAAATTTGGCTTTTACGTGACCAAACCTTTTCCAGCACCTTTGATTTTCACTCCTGAGGGGGATTTGGTGGTAATGCCAATGTGGTTGTGGGACCCCCAGGTTATGAAATATTACTCAGACAGACCTGGTGTTATGTAATCTTACGTAACTGAGGCGGCAGCTCAGCAGGGTCGTGATCAGGGGCTCTGGAGGAGAAGCTATATGGGTCTGCTTATGGTATGAACTCACTGGCAGGGTCAACACACTCTGGGCCTTAAAGGGGAAGAGGCCCCATCTCCATAAAGACACAGCAGAAACCACACATATGGACTTAAGTGCCTGACACCTAAAGGCTGAGGAAATAGAGGAACTTTGTCTACTCTTGAGACTTTTCGCCTCATTCATTAGTTTGTGTAATTTCGCCAAAATTTGTGCTAAAAGCTAACTGCTCAGTCTTAACTTCGATTTATTTCTCAACTCGGATTAATTTCAACAACCTCTCAAATAAGTGGCTTCCCTGAAAGAGCGCTCAGTGTTTCAAATATAGCATTTCAAGGACTAGAGTATATATCCGACTGTGTATTTGTAGCCTTTCACGGTATGCTACGAATACGAGATAGGCTCCACTTGTGTGCCGTGACCCATGATTCGCTTTCAGCCAGCTCTCTGCGAATCTTATGTGTTCCTCATTCATAATTAATGACATTCAACCGCAGAATACATTAATTGATCGGACAGATCTTAGGAATTCCCATGCAATCTGCCGTTGTGTGCAGCAGGTTTGGATTTGTGTGAGGCCAAGAATTAAAAGGAAAAAAAGCTATACTCAGTTATTTGTCTGCTTTTTTTGTTTCAGATTGAGCCTCTGAGACGACCAGAGCTTCCTCACTCCGGACCTGACTTTTAACAGGTATGAAACTTTTGGGATCAGCTTCTATACTTTTTTTATTCACCTCCAAAGTTAGAGAGTCTATGTATAGCTTTGTTTATACCCCGGTGCTTCACTGACAAGACTTTGGCTTAATGGCACTCAGCAGTCAGGAACACTTGGTCAGCCATTTTACTCTGTGGCTGGATCGAAACGTCGATGCGCCATCAGAATAATTGAATTACTGTTCCCTGAGTCATTCTGTCGTGATTAACCTCGCAGATATGTGCGAACTGTGAGCCTACGTGAAAGGAGCAAACAGACTATCTTTCATTTTCGACGGCGCGCCTGTTTGTGTCAGTCCGATGTAGCGCTGCTGTTGGCTGTGACTTATCATAGTTTGCAACAAGTGGAAGGGTCATCTGTTGGTCACGTCCCGATTATCAGATGTTGTTGAAAAGTGAGAGAGCAAGGGGGTGGGGGTATAAAGGGCGTCCTGTGGTCTAGCCTTGAAGCTAGCTTTGGAGATGCCTCACATTTCATTTTTGTCTTTGTGCTGATGTCACCCCCATGCCCCCGGTCCAGCAGCAGGAGAATAAGAGCTACATTCTGCCTCCACGACACAATAGAGCCCTTCTTGCCCTGATATTTTCACAATGTGTTTTTTCGCCGGGGCCTTACACACACATGTGCTCACACACACACACACTCTCTATGGGCGAACCGCAAAGTTAGCATAGCTGCGCAGTGATAAACCTGATATTTCTATTCTTGTTGGAGTTGTTTGATCAGAGATTTGAAGTTACATCTGCAGATTTATTCCCTGCGCCTATAAGCAAAGTAGGAGGTGTTAATGCTGCTTTATTCGCCGTGTCAGGTCATAAACGTCTGTACTGGAGACTGTTGATAGAGCTGATTGGGAAGATGTGTGAGTCAGTGATACAGTATGTTGGTGTGGCATGGGTTAAAGCCTGAAGACTGGAGGAATGTGTCCGGGTCGACGGGGAGAATTCCTCAGCCCTGCGCGACTAGGTCACTGCACTGACAAGAGTTTGCCACCTATTTAAGCATGCGCAGTGCCGCCCTGCGCCTCTGTCTCATTGCCTCCTTCTATCTTTTTCTAATTCTGCCTGCCCGCCTCTCTTTCTCTTTCTCTCTATCTCTCTCTCTCTCTCTATCGCTCCCTGTAGTTTTCTCTGTCTGGCTCCGGGTCTGTCCTCTTTCCTCTTTCTCTCTTTTCATCATTCTATCTTTTGTTCTTCCTGCTCACTCTTTGTCTGTTCCCCTCTTTCTCTCGTGTCTCTCTCAGTTAATCTGTCTGTCTGTCTTTTAGTAACACTGTCTTTTTTCTCGTCCTACTTTGCCTCTTGTTTGCCCAATCTTCCTTCCACGTCCCTGTGCACTTTTTTCTTGTCTTTTTCATTTGAGAATGTTTTTCGCTCTTCTGTTTTCGCTCTCCATTATGATGTTGTCTTGTTTATGCGTTCTTTAACTCTTCAGCCTGCTGTCTTGTTGTTTTATCAAGTCTGTCTCTCCTTCTCTCGCTCTGTGTATGTGGCACATTGAGTTCAGTGCTGCAGGTGCTTTTAAGAGGACAGACATAAATATTCTTAAACTCAATCTCTCTATGCTCGTGAAATGATACTGACATGCTTGCTATTAAAGCAGTGCCGCAGCGTCCATATAATGACCGGCGGCGTTGATCATGTATGATTTATACGGTGCATTCCCACACAAAGGCTTAGGGCCTCCATACTATCTTTACTCCTCCTGAGTGAAGGACTTTGCAGAGTCTCACCTCTTCATTGGCTGACAGATGAGGTGACAGACAGACCCCCAGGTAGATGTTTGTTTCAGTTGATGGCAGATGACACCGTCTGAACCTTTTATAGATATACTCACTGAATCGAAGCACATTTCCTCTCAAGATTTTCAAGAGAGATTTCAAGATTTGTTCATTTGTCATGTGCATGTTAAACAAGGTCAACAATGCAATGAAATGCCTTGGATGAGAGGACCACTTGACTTGAAGGAGTACAGAATAAAAACACACAAGTATGAACAAGTGAATAAGTGAAATGAATAAGTACTGAGAGGAATACAATCAATAAGGAGAAATAAAAGTGTAAGAGAAATATTTACAAAGTGCACAAACGATGAAATGGAGGATAAGTCGGTGGGATAAATGAGGTATGAAAATTGCCATATTGCACATGATAAATAATGGTGAACGAATTGCTGTATTGCACATGGTATTGTAAAACATCGATAATATTGTACAGAGTATTGTTCGGTGGTACTGTCAGGAGTGTAGAAAATGAATTTCCTCTCGTCTTTTACACAGAACTACCATCTCAGTGCCTTTTCATACAAACACCTCAGTTAACATGAAATGAGTCAGCATTCTGGATAACTGATAACTGTCAACAAAGCAATGATTGAACAAAAGAGCAAAGCATTATTATGGGTTTATATTAACGTAAATTTAATGCAGTTTCCCCCAAATCGTACACTGCAAAAACAGCCCTACTAGAAAGAAGCAAAATGTTCTTATACTCCATCAAATAATCTTGTATCAAACTAAAAATCTGCCAATAGGGTAAGCTTTTTTTGCTTGACAATAATTCTCAAAATAAGAACAATTTTCTTGGCCCCGACAGACTCAAATGAAACTTAAAACTAGACAGAAAATCTTACATTAATATAATTTTTCCTACAGCAAGTGATGAAAAATGAAAATGAAGTTACTTCAAATTAGAATTTTGGTCTCTTGAATAAATGAACTTCATGAAAATACACCTTAATCTAGGTTTATTAATAAGCCTGACAGTAGTTCAAATAAGACATCATTTCTTAAAACAGCATAGCAAATATAAGTGATGCTGTCTTAAATCAAGAAACCAAAACATTCTCATTAATAAATATGTAATTTTTGTTCCACAAGCAAGCATGTGGAAAGCAAGCGTGTTCTTTGTTGTTCTTTGTTGTTTTGCAGTTTTCATCTGTATTATGTCGTGTGTTGTACAGACTAGTTTACTGACATCTTTATATGTCAGATAATGTTTGAGGCAGCAGATTCTGTCAGGTTCAGATGACCTGCAATAGAAATCTTAATAAAACAAAAATCAGCTGTTCTTGTTTCGTGGCATTCTTAAATTCAGAAGTTGTACGTTTGTCTTACTCTTAAAATGAGACGAATGATCTTGTTGCTCTGCTGGATTTTATTGTAAAACATTTTTTTACTCTGTTTCTGGTTCATTCTTTCTCAAAATTAGCTGGAATATCTTATCAAGAAAAAGTTAGCCATTTTCTCTTAAAATTAGATAATTTTTCTAACGTCAAACATGCTTGACAATATTAATAGTCTTTTTGTACAAAAATTAGACTTGTTTCCTTAATACAAGGCTGTTTTACTTTCTTGAACTTCCTTTTTTGCAGTGTAGGAAACTGTGGGATGGTCTCCTTTGGATAAATTTTAAAATCAGTAAATTTAGCAACACCATTTAATCCAAATTACATACTACCTAATATGAAAGTAATTCAAAGTTTACATGCTTGATTAAATTTGAATACTTATCTAAGACTGACTGCATACCACAACATTTTTTACTATAGAGTGAACTGTTGTGCACATTTGCGGATGTATTTAGGTGAAAACTGGTTATAATATTCATAATCCATTGAGATGTCGGATTTTGTGGGGAATATTTTGTTCAAAATTTCAGATACCTGTAGCTCCATAGCATGTAAAAAACCCACATAAAGAGCTGAAACATTAAACTAAATGTGTTATTGAAAACAGTTGTAATAAGACGTATCTGTTTTAGCGTTTTATCTGTGAGGCTGTGTTCTCTTTGTGTCGAGGCAATCTAAACAAAAATCAGCTTTCGGTTCACAGTGTCTGGACATTTCACGAGCTTTTTCTTTGACTGATTTCAAACGGATTTAACTACACCAACTATTTTAGTTTAGGAAAATCTCCAAATTGGATTTACAGAATTTGAGGACAAAGCCCTTCAGTTATGATTTTCTTTGGTGCCATCAACATCAGTGTTAATCTGTGTGTGTCTGTGCGTGTGAGCTTGACCCCCCAACACCGAGCACCCAGAGCTCCGGCACTTTCAGACGGTGAGAGGAGGTGAGACATGAGTAATAACAGTGACTGATGATGTCACGGACAGCATCGCGCCGCTTCAGCTGCCCCCATGACCCGGCTTTAGGATGGCAGCGGCAGTGCGCAGGCACCCATGGGTAACACACGCCAAAGCACATTAGAGGCAGAGAGATGGAGGGAGGCGGAGATGGAACACACAGAACACCGCTCAGGGGGACGGAGAGAGACGGAGAGACAAAGAGAAACAGAGAGAGAGAGAAAGAGAGAGGAGGGTAGGCTGTCAGATTAAAGAGAAGAGAGAAGAAGAAAAGATGAGAGACATGGCGATGTTTGTCTCTCCACACTTTTTTTTTTTTTTTTCTCGAACAGGCTGTCTGGTTGGAGATGATGTTTTACATCACTGCCTCAGGTATCTCTCTGTCTCTCTCTTGCTCTCTCTCTGTCCTGAGTGTTGTCTGTTGGGGTTTCTTCCTCTACCTCCTTTAGTTTAAATAAAATTCAAGAATCTGCATTAAAAATAGAGATGCACTGTTTTCTTTTTACACCAACTTTGAGCGATGATAGGATACATTCCTCATAACCATAATCTAACCACAAAATTACAACACGCCCCATGCAATTCAACTTAAATGAAAAAGTTAACCCTCATTGTTGCATGTCCTGGCTTTGTATAGACTTCAAGTTCATGTAGAAGATGGATGTCTGTGTCTGCCAATCAGCATACACAAGATACTGATGTTTAACCTGAAAGCTTTTTAGTGCAGTGACCTCAACAGTTTTAATCATAGTTCCTGTTTGTTTTTAGGAGGTTAACACCTCCTCTGATAATTTAGATGCCTGAGAAATCTTTTTTTTACCATTTAATATCAGTGAAGATGGTCAAGTACAGACAAATTACCCTACCTGACATGAGTGGCAGCTCGGCTCTCAGCCCCTCTGCTTGTATCATGTCTGAAAAACTCAAATAGGCAAGGTTAAAACTGCTTTTCCAACCGCCTATACTCAGCTAGCACTCCAATGTTGTTTCCATATCTTCATGTGAAAACGCGGTTCAACTTAGTTAGTCCAAAAAAAGTAAAGTTTGTGATAGTTTCAAAGCTCTAAACTCTCTCATGTCGGGACACATTTCCAACAATTGTCGTTGAGTGTCCGACTGATTCCAATAAAAGAGGAAAACAATAGCAGGAACAATTTTGATTATTGATTAGCGATTTTGGTCCAATCAGGGCTACTTATTTGTTAAGTTTTATACCGTTTGTCAGACATTTTTAAACACATAATAAAGTTATTCATGACATAAATTGTACATTTGTCAGCAATCAAAACAGAAAAGTTGTTGTAGATCTACATATGATATCTATATTTTTTAACACACCCTCATGAACACACATTTCCCCTTTAATCTTCACTGAGACACTGTCTTTCTCTGTCCCTCTTTACTTCGTTTGTATCCATGGTCACTGTCTCTTGACTTCACACGCTGTGTAAAATTGCCAAAGGTGAAAGTAGCGGTGTGAGTTCAACAAGCGGGAAATGAGCGACAGTGATGTAGTTGAAGGACTGCTGAGCTCGCTGCTTCAGTTATTATTCTCAGCACAAGTCTGAAAGATTGACTCAGGAGGGAGCTGCAGCCCCCCTCACCCTGTGGGTCCTTCACTCCACTGAGTCCATGATGATTCATATGATGCAATAGGAGCATTTATGTAGCACAGACACAGCTCAACATATTGAAAGACAATATGATGTCTGGCTGAGAGAGGTTACCAAGAAGGGGAGGAGGATTCTCACTGTCTGACAACGCCAAAATCCATGTTGTGGGGCCGTAGGTATCAAGTCAATCCATGTAATAACCTTTGGTTATATTATTTCCTTTACTTGTGTTTAGGGCTGGGCGATAAACCGATAACAGTATATATTGAAAATTAATTTCCCTCAATATCAATATAAAACATGGTCAATTTGCTTTTTCAATAGTTAGCATTCTGTCATGTTTTGGTAGACCATACGAATAGCCAATGAGAAGGGGAGTTGCTCCGAGTCCACGTTGCGCTAAACCAATCATGTGCTGAATTAGAACTAAGTAGCAAACAACTGCACAACCATAGCAATATAACACGTGAGACCAACAGCAGTATGGTGTTCATTTAAGAGTAACAGGGAACATTTAAGATTGACAAGTATTTTTTATGTGTTGATATGTATTGATATGGACTGACATGATCAAAAATATATTGTGATGAACTTTTCCCACATTGCCCAGCCCTACTTGTGTGTAGTAAATGTACATTCAATTAGAATTATTGGAAAGTATACAGACGACAGAAATGTTTCCAGTGTTGCTATCCCAACTTCATAGAGCCAACCCCTCACTCACATTCTTGTTATTATATTCGTATATAGACTCTCAGCACAGTCGCAATCTCTATCAGACAATACAAATAAAACGTACACTGTGTGCACCTAAAACAATCCTGTTTGAAAAACAATATAACCTCAGTAGATCATAGTATACAAGGTGAGATGGAAATAGCTCTTCTATTCAACCCCATTATCTACAAGTATATACCATCTACAAATTATAATAGCTGTCAATTAAATACAGTGCTCAATTCAGATCACGCTCTCTTTCAAGGCCAAGTGTTGAATTGTGGGGAATCCATTGCTTTAGGGATGCTTTTCTATTAAACAATATCACTTACAGCCTACTGTATTTTCTCTAAGGCATCACAGATACCACACTCAGAGCTAACTGAGGCATTTATCATTGAAATCCATCTCAAGAGGCGAGGAACCTTGAACTGCAAGTGGAGAGTGCCCGTTCACAAGCACTAAGCACCCAATGTGTTTGTTTTCGCCACTATCACTTCAAAGTCTCATTCAGTTCCCACTCCCAAACGGCTCTTGGTTCTTTGATCTCCCCGCAGAGAGATGAGCAAATACTTGAAGCCCAGCGATTCTGTTTGCAATTTCAAGGCGATATTTAGAGGCAAAAGAATCTCAAATATTTTTCTAAGCATAGGTGATAATAACTGCTTTGATATATTGTATACCACTAATGAGAAAACGCTGATAGAAAGAAACAAGATTATAGGTGATAGAAAATGAGACAAAGAAACTGGTATAGAGAGATATAGAAGTACAGAGAGGTACAAGCAATACAGATACAGGCAATAAACTGCTTGTCAGTCTCTCTATCACTTGGCAATGTTACTGATGCCTTTGAACCCTTTACATTTTGTATCACTCATAGTCTATTAATCACAAACATTTTGATGATTTTCAGAAATATTTAGCCATCTTTTGTTTTGTGTTAGAACACATAAGAGACCGATTGATCGGTGGGTCGATTCATCTGACTGATTAATGACCTTTTGACGTAATCAGCTACACATCGGCATTGGCCATCGTAAGGCCGATGTCATCATTATCTTCTCTATATGAAAAATTCATTTTTCTCCATCCCCAGTGATGCCATATTGAATCTAAAACAGTCTCAAGCTAGTGTTTCATCTAAATTCTGTTATGTTGTAAAAAACAATATAGTTAAATATAACTCCTTGTGTCGGTCCGTCATGTTCAGAACACAATTGCATGACCTGACGTATTTGTCTTTTTTGTCAATTCATGAAAAATACATCTCAAACATGTTACCGGGGTCCGTGTATTATCCGTCTATTCAATTACTCCATTCAGTCTAGTAAATGAAAAATGAAAAAATGAGTCAATATTTTGTTTATTTGTTTTTCTGTATAACCAAAAACTAAAAAATTAGTGATTTTTTTGTATTTTTAAAATAATAAATCTTATTTACAATTATTGATTTTTGAGTGCGCCTGTTTTGAGCATACGTGCATAGAGGCTACATCGGCCTTCCCATGATCCTCAGCGACAGTTACCATGGTGAAAGATGCGACAGAGCGGTTCGAGCGCCAAAATCTTACATTGTAACAGAGCTCTGGTTGTAATTTTTTCTACAGTCATATCTTCCTCCTTCAGCGTGACCCTCCTGGCGACTTTGAATAATATGTAGGATGTGTCCATCTTCATGACAGCAGGTTAGCATTTCTCTACCGATCTGACCACGAGTTTTTGGTCCACGTCTGTTAGCTACTTTGTGGTGCGAACAGTAGAAAGGCACCATGGGAAATGGGGACATCGATAACCCAAAAATGAAAAGCAGATTTATTATTTTGTTCTCGCTTCCATCTCTATCATATATTCTGTTTTGAACTGAAAATACATAGACAAATACTATTTTTTTATTTTTTGGTCATATAGAAAAACAAATAAACAAAATATTGACTCTTTTTTTGTTTTTTGTTTACTAGATTGAATGGAATAATTGAGTAGACAGATAATACACGGACCTACCGGCTAAGATGCTCATGTTCAAACAAGTTTGTAATGTACAAAGAATGATAGATTGACACATGGTTTCCCTTTAGTAATTGCTTATTAAATTAAACATTCCTCAAAGTGATATTTCACCAGGCCAACAATTTTTGTCCACATAAAATATTCTCTCAAGTTCTGCTATTTTGTTTTTCATTAGCATGTAGATTTTATTTTATCCTATTCTGTCAAATGCCAAACAACAAAAAACTGATCATTTCCCTGCCCACATATTGTAAATAGTGTTATTTTTTTCCTCTTTTGCTCTCATAATTGTAAATTTCGTCTCTTACATGGCCTTCAACTCCTCAGTATTAAAATAAGTTTTTTTTTTCTCCTGTCTAGTCGAGCCTTCTGCCAATCCGATCACGTTAGGTCCGTACAGATTTGGCTGCAAATGTCACACTCCAGCTGGGAGTTTAAGTTGAAAGGTCAAAATGAAATCCTCCCTGGCCTGAGATTTTTAATCTTATCACGCTTTGTTAGAAAGCAGTGTTATTTAGCCACCGAGTAGAAAGGGCCAAAGTTCACTTTGGCTGCTTGTGTGCCGACGGTGGCAGATGTTGCTGTTGTGAGATCTCAGGTCAAGGTTTGTTTATTTGCAACTTTGATCCTCTCACTCTCCTCCTCTCTAAAACGGTAAATCAAATTAGCAGTACAAGCACAAAATTCGAAGAAAAGGGTTGATCAGTTGATTCATTGGTGTTATTTTAAGAAGTTCTTGAGGTTTTATGTAAAGAGAGATTTATTCAAGTGGAAAAGGGGATGAGGAAGATTAAAAAACTTGGTGTCAGATAATGAAAGTCATATTTCTCTCTAAGTGTCCAGTGAAACCAGTACCGGTGCAGAAACGCCTTTCGTGCACTGCTGCTCTCATCTCTCTCTCTCTCTCTCTCTCTCTTTTGCTGTGTTTTTTTTCCTCTACCTCGCTTAACCATCCATTTTAACCGTCAATGACCTCAAAGCGCTGAGGTTCGTGCCATAGAAATGAGTGGTCTTTCCCAAGTGTACAGTTAGTCGCTGTGCTGCTGGTAACACATCATCCCTCCAAGCCACTACCTCCACCCCTCCTCCTGCTCTTCTTCTTTCTCCTCCTCTGTGGTGCATCACCCCACTCACTCGCTCTCAGTCTCTCCTTCTCTCTCCTTCACTCCCTGGCTTAATATTGATCTGAATTCATTTGTTTCTTATTGATCTGCCACTCCACCCTCTGCCGCATTGAACAAACACAAGGACACACACCGTGCACACATAAGCCCTCATACTGGCACCCAAACAGAGGCAGCACATGCACGTCTACCTACACGTCTCCTACAAGTACACAAAAGGTCTAAATTTGAAAACCTGTTTGCTTATAACGTGATTTCAAGGTTAATATGCTGGCGCTGCAGACAGACACACCTGCAATCACACACTCTTTATCAGAGAGATTGCAGCGGCTGAAAACATGAAGGTTTGGAGAGGTCTCAGCTCAAGCACCAGACAAGCTAATGACATACAAAGGAACCTGGATTCTATATTGATCCAGCGCCTCAGGAGTGAGATGAAAACACGAGCTGTCTGGGGCTGGTACCGGCGGGCGACACAAATACAGCTGCAGTTCATTTCTCAGGTTTGCTGAATTGTACTCAGTCATTACTGCAACAAATGAGAGGAGCTCAGTTTGGAGGAAGTTGTTCAGAGAAGTATTTTAGCCGAGGAGCTGTTGAGAGCAGGGATTGTGTATTCAGATAGGAGCCAATCAGTTTCATTTTGATTCCACTCCAAGTTTGCTTTTAAATGTCTGGAAAACAAAGCGGAAAATGAAGTTATGCTGTATCAAAACTACAGAGAAATGCATTAGTTTTGCATTAGAAGTCAATGAGTAATGACTTCACCGTGCCATGACTATTAAGGCTGGGACGGTATGCTTTTCTCCTGATTCGATTCTTCTACGTTTTTTTTGGATGCGGATTCTACGGTGGCTGAGAGCCGCCACTTCTGCAAATAAAAAAAAAAGAATGCAATAAAAAAAAAGGTCACAATGGAAGTTACCGATGCAAAAAAAGAAAGTGAAGTCCGCTGCAAATAAAAAAGAAACGGTGCAAATAATATAAAAGCCACAACGGGAGTTAACAACGCCAAAAAAAAGTGGCACTGGGGAAAAAAAAAAGTTACTTACTGATAAAATAAAAGGATGCAAATAAAAAAATCTACGACAGAAGTGAGCTGCCAGGGACCAATAATGACGATGCACCAGTGTTTTCTCCTGAGTTGATATGAAGTTAAACTGGAGGATGTCGGTGTAGTGTTAGCTTCAGTTCAACTTCATATCAACTCAGGCGCTACATGGCCTGACCACATGACACATTGAAAGGCGCACGAAGCAAAATCAAACAATAACCTTTCCACAAACTTCTTTGCTCGTCTTCTCGCCATGTCGTCTTCAGTGCTTAAATCATAAAACACCGGTGCATCATCATTATTGGTCCCCGACAGCTCACTTCCGTTGCGGCTTTTTTATTTGAATCCTTTTATTTTCGCAACAAGTAACTTTTTTTCTTTTCTTTTTTTGCATCAGCACTTTTTTTTCGTCGTTACCTTCCATCGTGTGTTTTTAAAAAAAAATTTATATGCGCTGTTTCTTTTTTTATTTGCAACGGGCTTCGGTTTCTTTTTTTGTTTGTTTTGCATCGGTAACTTCCGTTGTGGCTTCATTTTTTTTGTTTGCAGCAGTGGCAGTTCTCGGCCACCATAGGTTCAATTTAAACTGTGATTCTAAGGTATTGTCGATTTTCTTGATAGTCTGCATTTTTAACACCAGTGAAACTGTTTAATAATTATGATTGTCTACTGACTATTCCAGGAACCATATTTTTCCAAAAAATACACATCACATGTAAGTCAGTTTTTAAGATTTATTCTTAAATTTGAAATACAAAATGGATTTAAAAATTGTAAAATACAGAATAGCGATACTTACGTGAATCGATTTTTTTCTCCCACGCCTAATGACTGTAGACATCCCCCTCAAAAAACAAAAATGAGGGGTCATATCTCCAAACGCAGCAGCGTGGCTCCTTGAGCTCTTTGACTAAATACTTCATATTTTCAGCGCTCAGTGTTGACTTCAGTTTCGAAGAGTGCGACTCCATCTTTGGGAAGCCGTGACAGGTTGGCGAACCATTCCTGTGGCCCCACCAACCACTCCAAATTTTTGGTCGGTGGCATTAAGTTGCCATGACGCCAGACTGTTTTCCCTGCCCTCTGACCCCCTCTCAGGACATGCTGTGCTCAGTCAGACAACATCTCCAGCAGCGGCTTGAGTTCAAAGGGCTGTGAATGGGGGGGTAAAAGAGGCGACGGGGGAGAGGCTGCGTTTCCTTTCGGTAATATTAGATAAGATACACCGAGGGCTATACTCGCTTCCCTTAAGTGGATGCAGACAGGAGCACACGGATCCATACATACGCACACGTGTGGGAATTAATGAGCGCAACACAAAACACAAAAGCTGCACCTCTTAGTCTCTGTTGTCTTTCATTGTGTTGCAGTGTCATAATTATTGCATTTGTTTGGCTCACTGCTGTTTAATTTATGATGTCGGATTGTATTTTCCAGCATTATTAATGTATTATTCATCACCATTGACTTTAAACGTCTCAGCTCGACGTGTATTTTTGTACCTCGCTTTGTTGATGGAACAGTATTTGTTCTCATCACTTAGCCGATCCGTTTTTATACCCTGCTCATGATGTCTGACGTGTTTCTATGTGATTCTATTGTGTTCTTTGTGCTGACCAGCGCTTCATCTCTAATCGAGGTTTTAGGCCATTATGATTCAATTAGCTCCTAGTATTCTTTCATGATGGTTTTTGCTGAAAAGGCCACTCTAGACTTTGTGGTTTGGATAAAAGCCCAGATAAGGTTGTGTCTGGGTGGCTGACTTTATTTATTTACTTATCCCAACTTCATGGCTCGACGTGTTTATTGATGTTCCCTTTCCTACCCTGTGGTATGCTAATAATTTGTACAATGCTCTGCTGATTTCAGGAATGCCGTGGTCAACCGTAGACGCTCCCCGGTGAGAGGAGAGCCATGGGAAAAACCTCAAACAGGATCTCAGCTGTAAGGTAAATGCTTTGGCAACATCTGTTTCTTCCCGTTCATACCAACAAAGACTCTTTTGATTCTGAGTGAAATGAAAAAGAGAGTAAACAGCTTGAGAGATCAGAGCTGGAGATGGAGAATACCATCTCCAAGTGTACACAGAGACACGAGCGTAATCATGTCTTAGAGCTCCTTTTTTTTTTCTCTCTGACTTTCTCTCTCTGTATCCTCCTCTCTCTCATCTTGAATTCTTTCAAAATACATTTTAAATTGAAGCAAAATTGTTTCATCCCCCGTTCTTTAAATGGACCTATTCAACTGTTAGCTATAACGCAGTCAAACCTGTTGAAAGAAGACTAAATCGGAGCGCCATCTTTTAATGTTATTCAACATAATTGCATATAGGATCTCGTGTAACTGCTTGAGCAATTATTTTCTCATCCTCGTTCTTTTTATAAAGCACAATCTGCAGAGATAAATGGGTATTAGCTAACAATACAGGCCTCAAATCATTTATTTCACCCTGAGAGTTAAATTAAAAAAAAGAAACAGTACAAAATGATATTTGAAAAAAGAGATTCATCATTTAATAATAAAAATAAATTGTTTACAAGAAATATCACCTTGATGGAATAAAAACATTCAGTTCAGTTTGTATTTTTTTAACTAAACTTGCTGTTTGCTTTGTGCTCAGTTTTTAGGACGCACATTCAGACTTTCTCCTCTTCTTCATAAACACATGTATGCAAGATATACGCACACACACACACATACTGGCCGACACTACCCAATAGCCATTGACAACAGTGCCCTAGCAACCATTGGGCATCATGCCAAGCCACTGAGGTTGCCTGGTAGTGTGTTCCCATGGTAACATTTTCTGCCTTTGTAAATAAGGTACGAGGAGAGCGAAAAAGGGGGGCTCGAGAGAAATTGCACCACAGAGTCTCATTCTATCTTGAGAGAGCTAATAATTTCTGGATTTTCGAGTAGTAGACACTTACCCCGGCCCTGCGCCGAGCCGCCATCCCGCTGAAGTGGTGCATTAGCATCGATGGGGATCTTTGGTACGAGTTCTCCTCACAGAGGGTCAGATCCAAATTTGAGGAGGACAAAGGAGGAGCATTGAATTTCCCCCCGTCTTCCCTAGTCTCAAAATAAGCGACAATCACACGACTATAGTATTTACTTAGAATTTCTTCTTTGCACATCTATCTATCTATCTATCTATCTATCTATCTATCTATCTATCTATCTATCTATCTATCTATCTATCTATCTATCTATCTATCTATCTATCTATCTATCTATCTATCTATCTATCTGATTGAATGTCTCTGTTGTTTTCTTAAATTATATCTTGTCTTCTTTTTAAATTGGGTTTATTCGTGAGCACCGTTTTGAGCACTTCATAAAGTCTGTGGTTCTGTGGAATCCAGAGGACCATCGGTTGTTTTTGGATGTGAGTTTGGGAACCGCTGTTGGGGTCTGCATTCCTTGTGCTGGCTCTTGCCAGACGATTCGTGGCTGCGGATAACGGTTTATTTGCTGTCACTGGGCAGATTTCACTCCTCCGTGCCCCCTTCATTGTTTGGGTGGTGCCATAGTCTCAGTGCGTCACTTCTTGGAGACAAGTGGTGTGGTGTGGAGAGTCACCTGAAGATTTTCTTTGGTCTTTGTTTTATCTCTGGCAGCAAAGCCTCGATGAGTGTTCTTGTTAAGAAAGGGGATTTGTTGATTTTACAGGGATGTCTTACTGCAGGGCAATGTGGGCTGGTGCTTTCTGGACTTTGGTGCTTTCTTCAATTTATTATCTCACCGGCTAGTCCGTGAATTATCGGGTACTTTTACAGGGTCACGTTTATGACGCTGATCTCTTCATGTCTATTGCTGACAATTTTGATTTCCATTGAACCAATTTGTGAAAAAGAATCAAAAATATGTATTTTCCAAATGTAGAATTTCCTTTATGAAATGTCAAGCTTAATTGTGTGCGTTTTCACACAAATCCTCATACCTCTACAGCAGATATTCCTCCAAAGTTAGAGCTTATTCAGATTTACAGTGACAGAAAAAACAGTATGTTATCACTCCAGTATTGTCTCAGCTGTTGTTGGGCAAGATTAACACATGGAGATGATCGTGTGTGTGATAATCCACACACCCAGAGTCATTATGGAATCTGATAATAGCAACAGTTTAGATTAAATTAGCAACATGATTTCTTGCTAAATGTGATTTGAGAGGTTTACATAAACTCTGTTAGTGTTATGAATTAAAAATTGGCTGTAATTGAATTATTTCGAGACATAAGTCAGTTGTAAATCATAATGATACACGTGTGAAATCCTGCTCAGCAACACATGCTTTTATCTTTCATTCATTTTTCATCTCACAATGAAAACAACTCGTGATCTCAAATGTCCCACATTGATAAAATGTTGTCATGGTGAATAACTCTAGGTATGGCACTACCTGTTTCCCAACATTTTTAGGTTCATTAATAATTCAATGAGGTTACCCCAACTAAAATTATACTTTAGTTCAACATGATTAGTTTGTTTTCACTCCCACAAGAGGCCGAGCCGTAATCCCAACAAAGCGTCACCTGACCCGACACCAGCAGAGGTTTGGGCTCCAGAGCGGGGGGCTTCCCACCAGACTCGCATTGGCACACAAACACACCCAGGCAGTTTGGCAAAAAAGCTGGCACTGGCACAACCATGCCGCATTCATGCGTGATCTGACTGAGAATGAGACGGGGAGAGAGGTTTAAAAAGGGGGAGGAGCAGAATCAAGGGGATCGAGAGAGGTGACTTGGCTGGTATTAAGAGAGAGAGGGGAAAAAAAAAAAAAAAAAAAGTTGTGTAAGATTTCCAGACCTGAAACGTTCAGTGATGAAGGACAAATAAGATGCACGTAGAGAGGTGGGAGGACGGCCAAAGGAAGAAAATGAGGGGTAGGCAGAGGGTGAGCTTTTAGCATGGCAGAGGGCAATGAAGAGATGAGGTGAATGGGTTTGTGTTTGGAAGCTGGCCAATTAAAAAAAAAAAAAATCATGTCTCTATTAGGCATATGGTGCTGCCAAACCTCTTGAAGTTTAACACCTAGTCTGCTCATTTTTCACACGAGGATAGTCAACTGTCAAACTCTTTCACGGAATATCAAATCCAGACTCATCACACATAGTTTTAATCCTAGTTATGTATTTAAACAAGCCGTTTTTATCTAATTCCAATGCAGTACGCACAAAAATGTAGTTACGCCCTTTGCAAAACAGTTTGGCACCTCCTGAGGAATCCGATACAAACCACTCATGTGTTTGAACTTCGCTTTGTCAGTATGCCCCCAATGGTCCGAGGCTTCAAGGTTGTATTTTTTGGTGCATTGACCAAGCTGAATAGGAGGCCTAGCAACTCAGCTGCACAGCGGCGATCAAGTAATCAATGAGTCCTTGAGGCACATAGGAGGAGTGTCAAAACACAGCCATTGACTGCTAATAACAGCCAATTTGCTGCTTTTTGCAGGAGATCACCTCAGCTAGATGTTGAATGTGTGGGTGCACCCCAGTATTTACAGAGTATTAGAGAGATTGACTGAATAGTGCTGTTACTCCAAATTGTCATCCAATTACTCACTGATTAGATCGCGTTTCCACAATGAAACTTCTCCAAAATACACTGATTTCTCTCTATCATATGCCCGATTTTAACCGTGCGAGCTATGCAGCGTGTAATGTGTTATTGTGTCAAGCTGTCAGACAACATTTATGAGACAGTTTCATGAAAATATGTGAAAAAACTCACAGAATTCAGGTTTGCTGTCAGCCTTTCGTCCTTGCACTCATTCATAGTCTCATTAATATTTGGCCTGTCTGAGGCAGCCTCTCGGCCCCTCTGCAGCACCGCTGAACTCTGTAGGGTGCTTCACATCAGTCACACTGTTCGTCCTTGTTGATGTTCAGACATGAGTAGAGTGACGTGTAGCTTACTACAGACCGCCCTGTTTGTTCTTCTGTGTAGTATTCCCTCTTAGACAATCAGCTCGCCTTTATTCAGACAATTAATGCAATTAATGGTCAAAGGGGGCGTTTCGTTTCATCTTTGGATACCAGTTTTTTTAACTAAGAGATTATTTTTATCCGCCTAGATTTCTTAAAGTGGGATGTTCGCCTGGAGAAGAGTCCAAGTTTTCTCTCATAGTTATATCTTATATGTCTTTCCTATTTGAGGACAGTAAAATTAACCACATAACAACAGAAACGCAACACTCCAAAGTGACTAGTGGCTTGTATCAAATACTAGTTTGCAGCCAAAAAATATAGACTTAGCACAAACGCAGGATTCAGAGCATATGGCGCAGACTGAATGAGTGCATGTCCAATCGTATATTCCTATATAGGGGGCGCACAGTCACGATATGAAGTGAGCCGCATGGTGCAAAGAGGGTAGATGATGTCCCTTGTTTGTTCATGGGTGTGTTTTGGGCGGAGCTTGAATCGGGCCAATCATTGAGGCTGTTTTTATTCCCTTTAATAAACAGGTGCACATGCAGACTTATATATTGCTATTGAAACAGCAGAGTTCAGCCTTTTTACTTGAAATATACCAGCGTCTCTCTTTCTATTGTTCTCTACAAACACAGAGAAAACACAAGTTATTTCATTGAATGGACTAAAACAACAAGAAATGTAAAAAAATCACCCTTTAGTTGTGTGTGAGAAACTTAATTAAGAGAAACTTGATGTCTTAGGCTGTAGCTGTAAGACAGTGCATGGCTGAGGATACTAGGAGATAGCAGTGAGTAGCATCATGATGTACAAAGACAAGGAAAAATACCAGCATCTCCAAGCTCTCTTTCCATATAAGAAAAAGAAATAATTTCACTGTATCAGCAAAAACACAGGTGTTATAAAATGAGATAAATGGGAGCGTGGCTGTGCTCCTCTGTCTGTGCATAAAAGGCAAAGAGAAGCACGTTGTCCTTTTTACTCTCTCTCACGACTGCGCCCTCAACATATCAGGAAAACACTGCGGCACTGACTGCTACTTCAGACCAGGTTTTTTTTTTGTTGATCAAAGGCGCAGATGCTTTCTGCTTTCTCAAGATGGCAGCATGCCACCTTTGCGCCTCGCCACACCTGTCTTTAAGGCCAACACACCCACGGGCGCCAGCGTGGGCAAAAGTTCCCCTGCTATTTACACTGCGTGGGCACCGGGATTTCAACTCAAGAGTACGTCGGGTGAAAAATAACAATGAGACTTGTGCTGCATGCCAAAAGGCTTTGCGCCAGGTGCAGGATACAGCCGCTCCTTTGCTACATTTCACAAATGATTTTCAATTTGAAGATAAAAGTTAATGCTTAAGTGAGGGATGTGGAGTTTTCTTGTCATGACAGATGCAAAAGAAGCACACGGACCCAACCCTGCCACCAACCACCGAAACGAATCAGAGTTAATGGAGTTGATATCATTTGTTGATTCATCATTAAGGCCATATCAAGTATATATATTTAACATTAAGGTAAAAAGGTTTTTTCTTAATTAAGAGATCAGAATTTGTGCTGGTCCAATTCTTCAACGTCATGGTTTACTTTGATTTAACTTTATATTACAGTAATTCAGACTTGTGTTTATTGTTTATTTGGATCCCCATTAGCTTTTGTCAAGATAAAGCTAGTCCTCCTGGGGTCCAACACAGAAAATAAAACATTCAAAAACATTCATCCGTGATTATAGAATCGCTCATTTACCAAACAATTACATAAAAATAGGAAAAAAGGGTTTTACAAGGAAATAACAGAAGGAATCAATTTGAAATAAAGCAGGATCAACTACAATACATTAGTATTGTTTGATGTTTGTCTTGAAAACCAATTTTGTGCTTGAATTTTCTATATGATTAGGTATTGAGTTCCTTCCTGTCGTGTTAAAGCGAGGAAACATCAGATTCAACCATAACAAGAAAGAAACATGAATCTCACCCTAAAATATCTAACGAACAGGGTTATTATTTATACCGCCACTGATGAGTAAAGACAGCAAAATGCAGAGATGCGGTTCCCTTAACCAGCTAGCCTTTGTCAGGAGCTGTTACCTCGTGGAATCTTAAGTATTGGTTCAGTGAAACAAAAACAGCAGAGGAGTGTTCGACTTTCACCTCAGAATGACAATGAAGCGAGCTCAGATGTGCTGAATCGAGTCTTTGAGGAGAAGCAAGACTCCACTGGCTCCACTTGCAGAAGTAGGTCAGGCAGACGCCTACAGTGAGCAACTGCAGGTTAACTGCTCGTCTTTGTATTCAGAGACAGTGAAGAGCTGCCTTGGCCTCTGGTGGGGGGTGGGGTGGGGTGGGGTGGGTGGTCTCTGTACTTTGTCTACCCACAAGAGGGAGACAAGATCACAAAAAATCATAGAGTGGAGTTATTAAGTCAGATTGGGCTGTGACTCCTTTCACTTTCAGCAGTTTCATAATAGTACGCTTTGATTTCTACTTAACTTCTTATCTGTTTAGAGTTTTATTACATCTTTTGAAACATTTTATTTGACTTTTTTGGGTATTAGTTCAACCCCTTTTCAATTGTTATAAAGATACAAGTCAAATACAGGTTTCTGGAAATGATACCAAGTTGTGTGCATCCCCAACATACCCTAAATATCTATAAAGTTATATAACAAGGACAAGACAGATGAGAGGGACAGGCATGAGGAACAGACAGATGTAAAGACAGGCAGACAGAAGTCAAAGATGTAAAGATGCCGTAATGAAGAAGAGGAGGAGACTCCAGCGCTGACCCTGCTCCGGTGCTCTGCAGTGTGAGGTAGTTGGTTGTATGGTTTCGCATAATAAACAGCCTGGAGATAACTGTACAACCTTCTAGCTTTCCCTGCGGTGTCGCCCAGACTTCATGCTGATGCCACTTGCTTTTATGCCTTATGAAAGGGTAAGTACGAAGACGGACCTGAGAGGACACGCAGAGAGTAGAAAACTTGATTCATCGTTCTGAAATAAAGCTTCCTTTACGTATGACAAGGTAGCAAAAGATAGGTGTCAAAGAGGTTCAAAGCAAATGAAGAGGAGAATATAAGGCTCCTATTTGGCTTTTGTTTCATTCATTTTTGTCACCGTCATTTACTTTTACAAGATGCTTTTAGCTAAAGGTCAAGTGGATGTTTACGGTAGTGATGGAAAAGTGTCTGCAGTTATCAAGAGTGAAATAATTCAACGTTTCTCTTTCTTTATCAAATTTAATTTCCGAGACACTAATCACACTGACATGCGAACAAACCACAAAACAGTTCCTGTTCTGACTTTAAATCTATCAAATACTAACTAGTGAAATACTAATCAGGTTCTGCTGTCTAGGTCCAGCTAATCCAGACGTCAATATGCCCACCTTGCTCTGCAGTGCTCTTTGATTTGTGATTTGGTGCAGTCTAATGGGGGTAAGAGCCAGATATCAATAGCTGTTTGTACGGCTGCTTTCTTTGTACGTTGTGCTCAAAAACACTGAATCGCTCTTTAAATGAGATTACAACCAAGTGTGGACATGTAACCCCTAACTCCCCCCATGACGATGCAGTGCTGATGTTACAAAGCTTCTGATTTTCACTAAACTCCCAAAAGTTTAGCGAAATATTTTACTTATTTCATATTTTTGTTTCAAACTTGTAAAGTTCATTTTTGAAGGAGTGCTGCTTACGCTGCTCTTGAGCTAACCATCACTCCGGCTGCTCTCTGTAATCACAGTGGATAGTAACAGTATGCCTAGACATCAGTATCACTGTGTCCTGATACACTGGGGCTGTATGTGAACTTGCTTTACTGCCTCCTCCTCTTCTCCCCCCCACCCCCTTTGCTTCCTATCACACCCCCCCTCCACCACCACCACCAGCACCACCCTCACCCCCTCTGTCCCCCAGTGTGTCTGGCTAGTGGCTCAGACACTCAGTATCCGCATTGCGTTGCAGTGCTCCAGCGAGGAGGAGAAAAAAGAGCATATATCAGCAATCTGTGCCGAGCATTGCTCTTTTCTGTGCGCACACAAAGAAGCGACTCCCCAGCTCATTTCGACTCGAGAGGAAATACAACCGTCACAATAAAGCTGCCTACTAAACGCTGTATTATAAAAAGAAATATATGGACACTTCCTTTAATTCATTATATTGCAAACATAACATTCAGTTTCTTTCAAAGGATAAAAGTGATTACAGAACATTTAGTTTTATTGTGGAAATGAGCGTCTTTATTTGTCCACAACAGGCTGTAAGTTTTGGCGAAAGATGAAAAAGTTCCTCTGTGAGGTTGCACAAAGTCTGATGGCTCATTTGTCGCTCACCGTGTTGAGTTTTTGGAGAGTTTTGCAGCAAAGGAGGGTGGATTGATATGTGATGAACTGTGCCGATTGTCGACCGCTGCGTTAATGAAATATGAAAGACGAGCAGCAGTGTTGTGGTCAGAACGGCTGGGAGGTTAATCACCTTTGGGTTCGCTGTGGCTTTCATCCTCACGCTGTGTAAAATCCACAGCCTCCCTCCCTCCGACGCCTTCCCCCCCCCCTCTGTCCCCCCACCTCACACAAACAGTTGCACACAGTGGTGAACAGGGACACGCACACACACACACACACACACTCTCACACCTTACCCACATGCGCCTCCCCTCCCAACACATCGAATCTCTCGCCTCCAGATGCGCGAGCGTAGCAAGCGCAAGTTCAAAACACACACAGTCAAACACAGAGTAACAGACACCCCGCTCAGAGACACGGCATCGTGTGAACGCAGACTGCAAGACAGGACGTCACGCCTAGGAAAAAAATGTACGGGGTTAGAGAGGGGGAGCGACGTAGAAGGGGGAGAGACGGGGATGGGAGGCTGGAAATGTGGGGAAGGGCTGAGACAGAGCGGGGGGAGGCGGGGACAGAGTGATAGAGAGTATTCAGGCAAGAGAAGAAGAAAGAGCGATAGCTGGAGATACTGCATGCTTGCATAAGTGTCTCAGTGTGTATGTGTGCGCGTGTATGATGTATGTAGGTGACACAGATTTATAAGAGGAGGGGGTCATAGATGGAGGCGCTGTTGGTGGTTGTTGGGGGTTGGGGGAAGTGGGGGAGTGTTGGTACAGCACCAGATAATGGAATCAATGCAATCTGTGTGTGTTTTCACTGTCTGTGTGTGTGTGAGAGAGAGTGTGAGTGTGTGTGTGCGTGTGTGTAGCGTACCTGCCTCATAGACACTGTCTGCCTGGACTCTAATCGCCTGGAGAATTAGTGATGTGACTTGGCAGAGGGAAACAGGCACAAAACAGAGCCAGGGACAGCGCCTGAGAGAGGGATAGAAGAAGAGGAGAGACAAAAAGAGGAGAGCGAGACATGGAGGGGTAGCGAGAGGGGAATAGCTTGTCTGTTTTTTGCCGCCGCGTACAGCGCTCACAGAAAGAGGAAGCCTGTGAAGATGGGGCAGGATAGGTTTTATCAAGCGTTATTTTCTTTGCCTCTGGATTAATTGGTGCTTTTTTTTCTCCCAGACAAGGGTAAAACGGATCAATAACTCATCGAAAGAGTGTGTTTTGTTTCGTGTGTGTGTGTACCTGTTTTGTATACACGCACTTGTTGTATGCATGTGCACACGGACATTAGTACAAACGTGTGCATGTGTTCATGTAAGGAACACCAGGCAGAGACAAATGGTGAGTCCAGAATGACTTCAACGGGCCGACTAACAGGCAATTCGGCTGACCACGTCCGCCGCCGCCATCTTCCCTTCATTTGTGTCCACCTTCATGTTCATTCTTTTTGACATGGGTTGTTTTTTTTTTTTTAACACAAAAATATCTCACTTCATCCTCCCTCTTTGCTTCTGGTTTTCATCCTCCGGTCTTTGTCTCTGGTGTTTTTAAGAGCGGCACAGGGGCTCATAAAACTGGGACAGAGGCAAACATCTCAAAGCACAGAGACAAAGAGGAAACACAGAGAGGCAGGCTAATTTCTCACACTGGCAGCAAAAAAGGCTTCATGTTTTGTGTGCCTTTGTGGAGTCGCATGTTTGCCTGCATGAGCGTGCACCTGGCCACAGACAGACTGTGATAGTTAGAGACTTGTTCTCGATTGTTGGCAGACGATAAAGCTGTCATCTGCACAGACTTAAAAGTGATGCAAACAGAGCTTCTCAGCTGTGCACCAGTTCTTTGGACCAGGGCTCATAGTCTCCATGTGGCATCTGCAGAGTCAGGCTTGTATGACATTTATTTTGTCTGGGGAAGAGTAAATCAGTGTTGCTCCCTTAAGGCTCAGCATCTTTGTCATGGGGGCGAGATTGCATAATCCTGTGAGATCACAGGGCCTGTAGGAAATATAAGACGGCGGTGTAGTCTGCGGCTGCAGGCACAGCTGTCTGTGGATGTTTCATGCATGTACACAAGCAAAGAGTCGTATGTGTGTTTGTGTGTTCGTGCATAACCCTGCGACTGCTTTGTTGGAGCTTAATAGAGGCCGTATGTTCGTCCCATATGCAAATCCTGATTTATACATTAAATTTGAGGGATTTCCTCCGCATATGTGCGTCTCTCTTCAAATGCTTTGTCTATCTGTCTGCCAGCAGGGGGCTTTTTTTTTTTTGGTTTTACACAGACCCGCACAGAAAAACAGGCGCTGGCTATGCCAGGAGGAAAGACTGTAAAAGCGCCCTGAAAACGAACAGAAGAACGGACAAGAAATGTTACGAGAACTGATATTTACATGCTGAACAACGTAGCTCTAACAGAACCCTTCTCTTTCTGCAGGATCTGATCCAGACCGTTTGGTGCAGACGTGTCAAGACACAAGGTTCTTTTTGGGCTTCATCCGCATCGATCAAAAACAACGGTAACCACCCAGTCTGACGTAAAAACTGCGTCTCATTCTAGCGTCCAAATCTCTTGAAACGTTTTATCCCATCTGTGTCTTTTTTGTTAAAACTGTAGAAATGTAGACGTTAATCTGACTGAGCTTCAGAATCTTGGTGCTCGCTCGTACTACATGTATACCTGACATGCGTCACAGGAATATATACCTTACATCTTAATACTGGATGCCTTATCTAGTATGTTAAGTTTGATTTGGATAAGGCTGCCTGAACAGTTTGGATCAGCTCAGAGGAGTCGTGTCGGTCTGTGTGCGTCTTTGTCCCTGAGACCCTTAACCTGTGATGATGTTAAGGTCACAGGTGAGGTCCTTGGGAACAAAGTTGTATGCAGCTGCATCCGGAGACCACAACATTCCCAGTGATCAGACAAAGAGCTGCTAATTTAAAGAACATTATTTTTCCTTTTTTTAAAGCTTGACTTTATTACAACTAGTAAACTAAAAGGGATTTTCCAACATGAAGCCACCAGACGAAATTCTGAAACTTTACAAGCGTGAAGGAAAGTCAAAGAGAGACGATGACGTGCTTCTCCAGAGGGGGCAGAGTCTTTTGGCTGGCTTTGTGAGCTGAACTCTTGACATGGTTCAATAAGAAGACAGCCCAGGTTCATGACCCCGATATGTGATCCACATGGGATTGGAAGTTACAGATCTGATTACTTTGATGTTTACTTTATAAAAAACTTACCAGTCAAACCAGTCCAAACCCTCAGCAGATTCTCATTCATGGAAAAGGTTTCATTTGGCTGCATTCCTTTAATTTTCATTCATGATTAATCTGCACTCCCTTTTGTATTTATAGATTTATTATGAATGTGAAACGTCAGGAAGATCCAGCTGTTTTGCTTTAATGACAATCCTTAAAACAAATATATTTTGCTTATCATTCTGTGAGACAAAGATGAACTGCTACCTTCACAGCTCATGTTTTTTAAAGTTTATTTTGAAAAGCAAACTGTGTTTGATCGGTTATCAGAATATGTGCTCAGTTTGTTTGTCGATTGGCTGGTTGGTTGATTAAAAAAAATTGATCTTGCATTATGTTTCCATCATTTGTGTTCATGTAATTTATTTCGTTTGTTCTAGACTGACCTAATAAAACTTCACAAGTTTAAAAAACATGTTTGTGTTCTTTTTTTTTTTTTGGTATATGCAATAAAGATCTAATAAAAGAGAAGTCATTACCTTTATTTGTACATTTAATCTGATGTTGTAATTGCATGGAATACACTTTGGCGCCTGGTCAGAGGTTCAACTGTGAGATAAATATGATATCAGGTCCACATCCAGCTTCTTCACATTTCCCGGGGCAGACCTGGAGCAGTTTTGTGGTGCATAAATAAAAGTGACACGGCATTGCTCTTTCACACCCTCAGCCTGACGCTCGGCCAGGGCGGCCCGGTGTCCCTGGCTCTCGGCCGCTCTGTGTTTGTGCATCCCAGGACAGTTGACATTGATTGTGCGGGAGACAGACTGAGACACATTAGTACCCAGCTCGCTCCTGCCGCTGAAAAACACATTAACTGGCTGCATTGGGAGCCCTGTCTGGTAACCATGGCAAAGCACACAGGGAGAGGGGGGAAGGTGGAGAGAGGAGGGTTGAGACGGGGCAGCGGGTTCAGCAGGCAGTCTCTCAGGGGTTGTCTTTCTCAAACACTCCTTTCCTTTCCTCCGGCCACGTCTGTCATTTTTTCTCAGCCTCTCTCTTCTTCTTCTTTGAAGTGACAGCCTTTCTCTCTCTTCTTTCTCTTCTTTCTCTCTTTCTCCTCTTCGACACTCATAAACACAATTTGCATTTTTCTTTTCTTCCCCTTCATTCTTCTTATTGATGCTGACCTCATCAATCTCCCCTTAACTCATACTCCACCCCTCATCCAACCACTCTCTGCTTCTTTCTCAAGTTCTTTTCTATCGAGACGTTTTCCTCAAACATTTCTTCTGTTGTCTGTTTGGTGAAGAAGTGCACTTAAGACGAGAGAAGGTGGGATCTAAAACTGAAATTAAAGGAGGACACACATTTTATCTTACCTAACAAATAAACAATACTCCTTTTTAGGTCTATGTTTAGTCTGCGCTGTGATTTTTAAATGCTGATTTTAACTGTTTACCGTGTTTAATTAATATTTAATTTTAATTAAAGGTCTGTGCATTCAAGTGAGGAAGCCTTAAAATAGACAGACTTTTTGAACATGTATATCCTTTCTAATGTTTTGCTTGTAAAAGTCACACAGATCAGCTGGATAACTTTTCAGCCACAGTGACCTCTAATGGCGTTATGGGAAGATTTTTAAACAAAAGTGAACAGAAGAAGTACAGAATATTGAACTCAGGGGACTTGTTAATGTCAGTTTCAAGCTCATTAATATGTAAAAGTCTATTAAAAGTGAGGGCATATCAACCCCCCTGAGGCGCCAAGTTATGAATCAAATTTCAATGGGATGTGTCATTTTTGCTAATGACTTATATAATCTCAATTAAAACTAAATACATATTTAAGGTCTTTAGACTTGGTCTTCATTTTTCATCATTTCCCCTCAAAGTTGAACATTTTAATTTCCTATTTTGTCCTTTTTTCATGTTGTGACATGCTGGTATTTTTTTTTTCTATCTGTAAGAATGTGGGAAATTCAAAAAACCAGAGGCAGCACCAATGAAACACAGTACACATTCTACAAATACAAATACTGTGACGATACTTGCACTAAATAACAAATAAATAAACACACTCTATAAGCATGACCATAAGGCAACAGACACACTTCCAAAACCACAGCCTTTCCCATCTAGGAAAAATAACGAACCAGCCTTATAGTCAAAGCTTATTTTGGTTTACCTAAATCTACCTATGCACACAGAGAATAAATAATTTTTTAAGATTATTTATGGTTGCTGCAAAACTCATATATGGCATTAATGTGATTAATAAAGATTCTAATCTCTGTAAACTGACAAATTATATTTATAATTGAACTGTAGGATGTTGCAGTGGAGGTAAAGTTAGTCATGCCCTCATATTTTGACCCCTAATTATGACCATTGCTGACTGACTATTATTTACACTTATCAAGACTGTAGGGGGCAGTGCTGAGCTACACAACAACATTTTACCTTGCAAAGCAGCAATAAATTAACACTCGTGTAAATGTGACTTTCTGCCTGGATTTGGAAACTAAATTGACAAACTGAATGACTGGTAGTACATTTTTAAAATCATTTTTACTTCTTTATCAACTTACGGTTGTGCGTATTGCATGTAAGTGGGTACATTTAACTTGGCAACTGTGTGGACTTGGAAAGAAGACAGCTGTTACATAATCTGTTTTACAAAAATGATAGTTATTAGGGGGGAAAAGGTGGACCAAACAGAAGAATTGCTCCTTGGAGTAGGCGCAAAGACTTTGTACTTCAGGCATGTGGAGAATATCTTCTCAAAACCAGAGTGACTGAAGTAGGAACCGAAAGCGCGGGCTGCCTTTTCCTTCAGAGCCTCTTAAGCACTACGGACACCCGGAAGTGGCTGCAAATTCAAACCGCCATCACAGCAACAATAAGCGCGTATTTTTCTTCTCGTGGGCTGTCTGAGAAATTTAAAATTCACAAAAAATAAGAGTGCAAACACGAAGAGGATTTCTCGGAGGTGAGTTATACACTCAGTCGGTTGCAGTATTTATGTGCTTAATGCCGCTAGCTACTCTTTAAAGCGCCATCTAATTTTGAACTGACTATTTCCTGGAAAACAATCTGCTTCACCGTAAGCGATATTGAGGCCTTAAAAAGATCAGATTTATTTACCTTTAGCTAGAGTTCGAGTGCAGGAGGGTTATACTAAAAAATTTTCTGAATTATTTTGGGGAATGCAGCCCAAGAATACTCAATTTTTAAGAGTGTTTGCATTGGTGTAAAAAAGAAACACGTTAGCTTTCCTTCTGCGCTGAAGCTTCCCGGCTTTGCAGCGTTGTGTTCCAGGAGATAGACAGAGCCATGCAAAATCTATTTTGGCTATTCTAAATCTCTAAAAGTATAAATGTTAAATTTTTAACACCATTTATTAAATTCTAATATTTATTATGTTATATTATTTCAAGGTGTGTTATTTTTGTGCCATCTCAGTTTATGGGAAATATATTTTTTAGTTGTACTTTATGTAAATTACATTAAGATTATATTTACTATTTTCATGATATCATGTAATAAAGGTAATTCAATGGTATTTAAGCACTTCCTTTGACAAAATTAGGTAATTACTGAATTTATGTGTGCATCAAATTCATTACATTATTGACAAATTATTTGTGATTAAATTGTTTAAATGTCAATTTAGAATTTGGTATTGTTTGGTCACATTTAAGGATTTTTATTTGCCAACAGGGAAAATGAAAACAGTTTTTAAAAACTGTGTGTAAGACTTGGTCGTATTTAAAAAGATGGATTATTACTCCTTTTGAGTTAATTTAAAAGTTATTTATTTTTTTTTATGTTGCATTTTGCCTTTCTTTTCCCTTTTTTTTGCTTAAAAGAGCTTTAAGTGACGAGATTCCTGTCAATAAAATGTTAAACTTTAAAAAGCTCTAAAGGAAGCTACTCACAGTTTCACAGATCACTAATTGAATCCACTCCAGTGGTTTTTTTGATGGTTTGAAAAGCTGCAATAAAATTTAAAATGTCTTCTAAATATCACACATGTAGATAAACTGGCATCTCTCTTTGTATTATCATTCTTTTCAGTCCAAACGTGTAACAGTGGAGGGTGTTACCGAGGTCAGCAGTATGGAAGAAGAAATTATTGCTGAGACGGAACAAGGAGATGCTGGAAGCAACGAGGGTGAGTCTGCGGGAGAAATAGCCAACAGCAGTCCACCTAAAAGAGGAAGAGGGAGGTCAAAAGGGTCCAAGAAGCTGAAGGTTGGTGTCACAGATGTTAACCTCATGGACCTGGTGTCGGGCATTTCTAATGGTGAGGCCAAACCTGCACCCAAGAGGAGAGGAAGGCGCCCAAAAATCTCTCAAGAAGAAAAAACAGAGGAGCAAGAATCAGAGGACAACCACACTGATAGCCCCGTCAAAATTCACAAAAGACCAGGGAGGCCCAAAGGGTCAAAAAACAAGACCCTAAAAGTAGTAAGTTCTGTGACTGTCGGTGTCCCTGCAAAAAGAGGCAGGCCGAGAAAGATAGTTGCCGAAGTTTTACCAAATGATGAATCTGATGTGCCAAAACCAGAAGGGGATAGTCCTGAAGGATCCGAGAACCTGGAAAGTTCAACAGAGGGTGAAGAGAACAAAGGTAGTACTGTAACGCCTAGAAAAAGAGGGCGGAAAAAAGGCTCTACCAATAAGAAACCCAGACTGGATCAACTGTCTGATTCAGCACCAAGGAGAGGAAGAGGGCGGCCTAGAAAAATCCAAGTCCCGGAGAGTGGTGAACAACTTGTGAAGAGGGGGAGAGGTCGACCGAAGGGTTCTTTGAACAAGAAAAAGCACGGTAAAGTGGGCCGGCCTCGGAAAGTGCAACTGCTTCCTCCTTCAACTTCCAAGCGGAAGCGTGGTCGACCACGTAAAAGCCCGTTAAAAAGGGGAAGGCCTAGAAAATACCCTTTGCCATCACCTGAGGAGATAAACAAGCCAAGAGTGTGGAAGCCTTTAGGAAGGCCGAGGAAATACCCACGTGTTGATCCTCCAGAGGGAGCTCCGGCAGCTCTCAAAAGAAGCCGAGGTAGACCTCGCAAGTCAGAGTCCAAGAAAGGGGCTCATTTGCACAAGAAAATTCCAGCCCCTCCATCCTCAGTGAGCGTCCCCAACAGTGGAACTCCCAGAAAAAGGGGTCGACCCCCAGGCAGTGGAAAAAGTGAAGGTGAAACCCCAAGTAAAAGGGGCCGCCCCAAAGGTGCAGTCAACAAAAAGAAGGTCCGAGATGAAACAGAGCTCGTCGATGAAATCCCGAACCATTCGAACGAAACAGATGATTCACCTGCCGTCACAGAAGAGGTGGTAGAGCCGACTGTGGAGATGATGCCAATAGAGCAGGAGGACGATGTTCAAGAAATGCTGGCTGAACAGGATGCAGGCTTGGAAGTCAGTACCCAGGAGTGATGGACCACTTTGATTTGACAAAAACAGCTGGTGAAGTAGCTGTCGAAAACATTGAATTCGATCTTGTCAATGAGAAAAAAAAGCATTCTTGATATTCAGTCAGTCAGGTAGGCTAGATATTTAGCAGCTCTCCTATTTTCCTGACTAACTCGTCCATATTGGTTTAATGTGCTCGGTTCTGTTTTTTAAATACCTTCATTCTGTCATCTGAGTACGCAGTAATTCTAATAATCTTTTTTCTGGAACTGGCATGTAGAGTTTGTTATAGACCAGTTCACTTTTATTTAGCTTTTAGATGTAGTGTTTGTCCGTCTAACTGTAACAGTGAAAAGTTTGCTGGTAAATAACTTGGATAGAGAAAAAAAAGAGGGGGGATAGATGAGAGGAGAAAAAAAAAGTGCAGTGAAATCATAGAGAGCCGAAGTCCAAGTGTCACATCTGATCAGCCTCTGTAAGAATCCTGTGTCTCAGTCAGAATTCTTCTGATGAGCAGTTGAGGCAATTTTTCTTTACCTGAACATAGATACAGAACACAAAACTAAACCACAACTTAAAGTTTCCGAACTAGTAAAAGAAAAAAAACACTCAGCTATCCAAGACCAACACACCGACGGTTAGTTAATAAAGGTCAGCTTGTTGTGCAAAAGGAACTTTAACACCAAGACTGAATATATTTTTAATTTTGTCTTTATGTTTGGCATGAGTTATCACTTTAAAATCTACTGAAAAAACAGTACAACACTTTTAGTAATGCTGAATTGGTAAAAAAAAAATGTGCAAAGTTAAGCTTTTGACTTTTGTTTGAATGTTAACAACTTAACAAATCGTAGCCATGAAGCTCTGAGCAGAAGTGACATGGCTGATGGTGCAGCAGGATTAACATCATTCGTCTCTTGCCAACAATGACTTGTGTTTTTTTGTCTTGTTTTTTCTCCAGTTTGAGATTCATGTTACAAAGAATTTTCTCTGACCTTTTTTAGTTTTTAGTTTGACCTGTATCCCATTTTTTTAAGAACAGAGGAGGCTGGCTTTATTCATGGCTGATACTCCAGCCTGCCACAAAGGGGAGCTCTAAATGCTTTGGCTTAATTTGGATTCTTTTACAGTCTATGACATGAACCTACAAAAGATTACCAGCAGGATAGAGAGCTCTCTGTACATGTGAGGTATCAGTTGACTTTTCCGGCCTCGATTTCGTCATTTTTATTTTTGCCCTTGGATCAAAATGGTACACAGTACATTTTAGTTATCCAGTGAATTGTCTTTTTACGGTGATGGGTTTAAATTCACTTTGGCTCTCCATCAAATGAGTGAAGAAAGTTTGAAAGCTTGTGAAAAAAATAAAACAGCTAAATCTTGTCCTATTTTTTAAAACTTCCTTTCCCTGTGAGCATATTTGTTTTTATATTTGTTTTGCTTCAATAGCCAAAGCTTTGAATGTACCATAGGTTAGTGTTTTGCTCTAATCGATGAATTGTCTGGCATGGATTTTTTTGTTTTTGTCTTTACATACGTTCATTGACAGGACCGGACTTATGTATCAAATGCCTTCCTGACTCTCACAGTCGCCCTGAAGATTTCCTTCTTGTTCTTTTAAGTGTCAGCTGTTTTCGAGCAGCAGTTGTGTTTGCCTCTTTTCTCTAAACGCTTACATGTCACTGTGAAGCCTTTAATTTTTGTTTTTTGTTAACCTGGGACTGCCATTATGTAAAATTCAAGTGATTGGATTGATTTCACAAACATTTATTGGCTTTTTTTTAGCCCTGTGTAAATACTGTGTGACATGACTTGTACAACATCATATCTGATATTCACTCCTCGATTGGGTCTCTGAATGCCGTAAAAAAAAAAAAACGTCAGACGGGCAAGACTATGGACGGTTAAAAAGTCTCTGTAAAATTTGATCTGGCTTTATGAAGTCAACTTGTTCTAAGTGCAACTGTTCAGATTTTGTGTGTTTTGAACAAGAAGTCAATTTGTGAAATTATGCTCTCGAATTAAAATGTTGATCTTGCTGTTTTATTTCTTGTGTGGCGCTCATTTCCTGATTATATTTTTCTTTTTGATTGATTTCCTTCAGACACTTCACATGACAACATGATGTTGCTAAATATGAAAACAGTGATCAGCTGTTTATTATAGTATTTCTGGGCAGCAGCTCCACCCTCACTAGTCCTGTCTGATGGCTTTGTGGAAACCTTGAGCATGAGTCAAGCTCAGACAAAGACTGTGTGTTTTGACAGATGGATCACTCTAAAGCTGCAAACCAATACCATGGGGAGTGAGACTAATAATTAGCTTTATTGCATTGTTAAATATCGCTCAAAACAAAAGTTGCATCTCAAGCATCTGGCCTACATTTTGTTTCATTCAGTCATTTTTGCACAAGTTTACCTTGTGAACTAAGATGAAGACAAACAATAAAAACACGTTGAAACTGATGAACACATTTTTACAGGACTGCTTTTTTGAATTTTGGCCTTTAGAGAAAAAAAAGATAATATTAGGAACCAGAAAGGACTACATAAGATAAGATGTTAATTTAATAGTCACAGAGGGGGAAACTGCAAATTTATAGTAGCATACAGACATACAAAGAGAAAATTAAAGTATTAAGAAACTGAGAGTGAAGAAAGCAGAAAAAGGTATGTACATGAGTCATATTTACAATATTAATTATAATAAAAGGAAAAAAAAATACATTTTATGCTAATTACTTTTTTAAAAATGCAAATCAGTGTGTAGAATAAAGATGGGTCCTGAGTGTCGTTAAAGACATTTAATGTTTATGCACAGATTGTCACTGTCAGCGCTTCAGCGTTGTTTTCATTGACGAAAATATTTCGTCAATGGAAACAACACTGCAAAATATATGTTTAGCGTTTGACTGACGAAATGCTCTTGAATTTTGCAACTCTGTTCGTCGTCCACCGCTAACGTTTTTGTCTTGTCTCGTCAACGTAAATGCACAACGTCATGGAAAAAACAGGAGCAACCAAGACAACACTGCAGCGCTTGTATTATTTTATTAAAACGGGATAAAATATTTAGAAGAAAAGAAAAACTTAAAAAACTTGTCCATTTTGATTGAAAATGACCAATTTCGTCGAACCATTCGGCCGATTCGACGTGATGACGTCAACTTCGAGTTTTTCCGTGACGTTTTCCAGTCCCTGGAAAATAGAGCAGAGTGAGACCTCTTCTCTTTTTCCGCCTCTGTGGTCGAAGAGTGGTTTTAGCACCTGGTCACACCTGCCGGGTAACTTCTCACTTCACCTGAAAGAAACAACTTAAAGCAGTGAGCTCGTTTGTTACCGCAAAGAGACGGAATATTGTGTATTGGGATGTGACCGAGGTTAAAAGCAGGTAGGCTAAGTTTAATCTACTGTTTATGTTTCTCTGTGGTCAGCTTAGATTAGATAAATTCTTCCAAAAAACCTGTCGAGTTGTTGAACAAGTTTGAGCTGTAGCCTCAAACCACATTCCTTCCTGCTTTGAACCAGGCCCATTCAGCGCTATTGATAGGACTGAGACATTTTTTTGTTCACACTTCGACATATCATAAATCATGCTTTTATTTAATACATAACTGTTATGAAGTGACAAACACAGGGACAGACTGTTGAAGTGTCAGGCTGTGAAAGTGTTGTCTTTGTGTCAGCTCTCACTTAAGAGTTTTACTCTCTTTTCTAACAACAACAACACTCTTGAATCTTCCAGCTGTGTGGTGCATGAGAAAGTCAAAGTCCAGGCAGAGTTGATAACTCCAGTCAGCAGGAATGTAGCTTTGTTTGTATAACTTGTTAATCCCTTCCTAGCTGGATCTATCAGTGTTTGCTGTTAATTATTGTCCATACAGTTAGAGCTGTCAGAGGGAAGTAGTCTGGGGTAAATTTGTGTAGCCTGGCTGATAGTGGAGATTTGTCTGCTTTGATACTGACAGCACCGGTCTTTGTTTATGACTTGTATGTGTTTGTAGCAAACTGGAGGACTTTATTTCATGTTCAATACTCATGGTTGATACTGGAATAGGAGTTACAATAAATAGCTACACTTTTTAAAGTTAGTTGGAGACAATCTACATCCAGGTCATTGCTAGATATCAGCTAATCTGTTCCTCTTTAAAATCTGAAATATTTTGGGGAAAAGTCAATCCCATTTAAAGAGTTTTGAAGGTGTGCCTTTATAGTGGTTGCACAATTTTGAGTAGCCATTGCCAAGACTGATAAAAAAGAGAGTAAGTGGGAGGATATCAAATGCCAGAATCTCAAGGTTCTTTGTTTGTTTGAGGAAACGTTTCAATAAATAAACCAGACAGTAAAATGTCACCAGAAGAGGCTTTTGGATTTATTATGTATATATTGTGGTTAAATTACCATCTAGCGGATGTTTGTAATGTTATTTGCTGACATAGGGGCATTCAAAAAATGTGTTTCCAAAAGTTCTTTGTGATGTCAGCCATGTAAAAGCGGTATCGATATGATACCATGACTACAAACTGTCATTAATCAGCCCCGATTAATCAGTCTCAATCTCTACTTTGTACAGCTTCTTATGTCTGGCTAATGCTCCTTCAAAAATATAATTTGCTGTAATGATCAGCAGATAAAAGTAACGTACTTCATGTTTGCTCTGGCAACACACTTGAAGCTCCTGTGAGGAACATTTAATTTGTGTCTTTGGACTGTCAAATATATGAACACATTATGTGGAAATTGTAAATCCTTAAAGTTTGATTTTTGTACACAGCAGCTAAATGAACTTCAGTGTGATCTTTATGACGTGTGGGCATGTGCAGGGGCAGGACAAGGGGAGCACACCCATGATTAACAGTGGACTTTGACTGATTTCCAAGAGGCTGGCTTGATTTATCATCGTCGTGACTTTTCCCCTCACAGGACGTTATCTGCAAATCCAAAGATGAGTCCGAACAGCTGGAAGAAGCTTTGTTAACAGTCAAAATCAAGACAGAGCAAAAAAATTGAATTTAGGAAGCCAAGAATGTCAGGGCAAAGTGGTTTAGTCTCTGGCTTACCTGAAGAGGTGGCATTTATACCTGCAGAACCACAAACAGCACACAACCCACAAGAGACTGACGGTTTAAAGGAAACAAGAGGTTTTACAGACGAGGAGGAGGAGGATGAAAAAGAAGAAGAAGAAGAAGAGGAGGAAGAGGAGGTGATCAGCTCTGCTCGTTTGGAGCCGAGCACTTTACCGTGGCCTGGAGACAAAGACAAGAGGCCTCAGACAGATGATGACGGTGAGTCAGGGTCAGAGAAAAGAGTGTCAGAGCCTGAAGAGAGGGACACAGGGATTAGCGGAGGAAGCCAGGACCTGTCAGAGGAGCAGAGCCAGGCTGAGAGTGACAGAAAGAGCAAATCAAAGTGGAGGGAGAGCATGCCCGAGGGAGAGAGGTGGAGGGATGACGAGATCGAGGTGCAGAGGGACGATAAAGGAGACGGCTCACTGGCAGATGATGAACATGAAGAGGAGGAGGAGGATGAGGAAGAGGAAGATGAGACAAACTGGATGTCAGAGAAAGCCGCTATGGGATTCACTCCACTAGTGACGATTGTGCGTCCATCTAGCAAAGAGATCCCCGAGGAGAGTCGACTCTTCATAGAGGGAGACGACAAGAATGACCCGCAGATGGAGACAGAGCCAATCACGCAGTATCAGCCGGAGTGGACGGAACAGGACGACAAATACTGTGAGTACAAGACAAATGACTTTTCCTGTTGTGTCTGTTTACTCAAGTGTGTTTTGGTTTGTGGAAAGGGTGGGATGTCACTTGTGCATCCCTACTGAGCGGCCTCTGGCACCTAAAACCTCACCAGTGCATTGAAGTCAGTGTTTATTAAAGGGATATTTCTGTGTTAAATTAATTTAGGGTCAAACACACTGTAACACTGAGTTAGACACACCGTCGAGAGATGAATGTTGCTGACTACTTGCTCCTCTAGTTATACCAACTTTAGTAACGACCACAGGATAGCAATACACAGCGGTCTGAGGAGCCATAAACAAACATCAACCAAAACACCACACTATAGCCACAAATAATGCTCAGAACAGCACCTAACTTCATCAACAATACATATAGGGTCCCAACCACAGCACTAGCCACCAAACATCTTTTTATCTTTACCTGATTTCTTTAGCAAAGAGACTAAATACAACTCACCTACTCTCTTCCAGCAGCCGCTTGTTTGTAGTGAGACCTCAGGCCAGTCCATTAAGGACTACAGCGGGGTGACGCAGCTCAAGGAAGAACATTTATGATCATTTCTTCATGGAAATGCAATCAGACCGAGACGCTAAGGCAGAAGAACTACCGCGTCTGCAGAGCAAAATGATTAATATGGTGATTATTACTTCAAGGAAATGATAAAGTAATGATCATAAATGTTCTTCCTTGAGCTGCGTCACCCCGCAGCAGTCGGTGATGGATTGGCCTGAGGTCTCGCTACAAACAAGCGGGTGAGTGGGGGTGAGGGTGAGTTGTGTTTAGTCTCTTTGCTAAAGAAATCAGGCTGGAACCCTATATGTCCTGTTGATGAAGTTAGGTGCTGTTCTAAGTATTATTTGTGGCTATAGAGTGGCGTTTGGTTGATGTTTGTTTATGACTCCTTAGACAGCTGTGTATTGGTATCATGCGGTCGTTATTAAAGTTGGTATAACTAGAGAAGCAAGCGGTCTGCAACATTCATCTCTCAACAGGGTGTCTACATTGTGTTTGACCCTAAATTAATTTTACCCTGGAATATCCCTTTAAAGAGGGTATTTTAGTACAACTGGAGGAGTCTGAGTCCACCCGTATTCACATTCAATAAAATAAACAACAACAAAGCCCTTTAATGCAGTTTCCAGCACACGTCAGTCTTCTGTTTGTTATTATCCAGGCAGGTTAGGATGTTTTCTGAAGCACACTTCCTCTCAGTAAAGTGAGTAAAATAAGTGAGACAGCACACTCACAGACCCTCTGTCCTTGATCAGATGTAATTAAATGTCTTTGGATGAATCATGCTGTTATTACTCAGATCTCTTTTCCTCCTTCAGACCTGTGCGAACAACTCTGCAGTGAAAAACTGAGGCTGGCTCTGGCGATGGCAGCTTCAGTAATCCTCTTCCCTCTGCTAGTGTGGGGGGGTCATGCCTTCCTGCCCTTTGACCCCCCTCTGCTCGGGAGCTCCCCACTCAGGGTGGTGTACACACTACGCTGCTCCTTCTTTGCCACTATTCCCATCCTGCTTGGTAAGCTCACTGTGTGCCCATAGGTTTGTCATATGTTAATACAAGCTCTTATGATGGACACGCTCATCATCTTCATCGTCATGTCTCTGCAGGTGTGGTGGTGCAGGGCGTGGCCCGGCTGCGGTACAGCACTCTGAAGCCCCTCTATCAGAATAAACTGGTGCACAAAGAAGTGGCCGTGCACTGGCATTATGTCAACGAATCGCTCGCTCTCTTCTTATTCTTCTTCCTGCAGCTTGCCGTCATGGCAACCTACGTTAACCAGGACCTGATCAAGTTGGTGCCGCTGCTCACCATCATATTTGTGTTTGGCAGGTATGTGTGTTCATCTTTGTCAAACTACAAGTAACTTTTGAATGTACACCGTGCTTGAGAAAAAAACACACAAAAAACAAGGTCATGTGCAACGCAACACAATAAAACTGAACAAATAAACACGGTGTCACCAGATTAAATAAACTGTCACCCTTGAGGAAACATCCTGTTAACACCTGCGTATTTTGATGTGGGTAAAAAACCATCTGCCTCCACCGAGAGAACAAACAGGCCTCAGTCAGACACAGATGTTGTTCAGTGCCGAGAAAACTTTGTTTCAGTTCGTCTTCCTCACTTCACTGCATGAGGGGAAAACTGCCAGGGTGGATGTTTAATCTTTAATAGATGACAAAAAAGTTTTATCTTTGTTTATGATCTTGATGCTCAGTCAAATCGGCAGTTTCTTCCTCTTGTATTCCTCCAAAACCACTACTTTACAGGAGGTCAACAAAAAAAAAGATGTTTTCTGTATAATGAAACACTGAGATTCAACCACAAGTGTTTTAACATACGATAAACATTAGACAAGCATACATGAAGATGATATATGGAAAAAAAAGAAATATGGAGGTGAAAGGCTTCTCCTTTTTGTCTGTGGTTGACAAAGTTGATCAGCGAGTATCTCATTGAATTTTTTGATGCAGTCGCAGCTTTTCTTGCCAAATGATCTCGTTCAGCCAGGATAAAACCGGTCTGACCAGGAATAAGATTACATAACCAAAAGATGAATTCACCACCATGAGAGTCTGTTTTTTTTCTTCCTTTTAATGAATCCTTCCTTCTTTTCTTTCCCTTCTTTCCTTTAATGCATCTTTTGTTTCCTTGTTTTTTTGTTGATATGCCTCTTCGTCAGATTGTCTTTTTCGTCTTCTGGTTTTTATTTTTCATTTTACTTGCAGTCTTTGTTTTTCTTCCTGAGTTTTGTCTTTCAACATTGTTGTTCTTTATCCTTATTTTTAAAGTCTTATCTTTTATTGTGAGGAAGAAGATTACTCAACAAAACTAACAATAAATCAGAGATAACTTATCATGTGAAGTAAATAATCAGATAGAAAACACGGCTACATTACAGTACCATAAAATTGTCTTCATGAATGTTTATTTATTTGATTATTTTTATATAACTTGTTTTTTTGTATTTCTATTTTCAGTTTTTGGATCAGTCTAAATTATGAAATCATCTTGGATTCTGTAAAAATGAAAAAACACCATAAGGGTTTCTATTATTTGTTCATCATAATAGCTTAACTGCAAATTTGTGTTGCTAAACTGGAGATCATTGTTAGACACCGAATGATTCAGTAATGATTAATATTATTAACATACCTACGGATCTCTCTGTTCAGATGAGAGTCTGAGTGTTTCAATCTGTAAAAAAATGAAACCCGTTAGGGAGGACTATATCGTATAAATCAAACTCTGGAAACCTTTGTGTATCTTTGCCATGAATGCTGTGAGCTCTGATAAGTTAGTCCAGCAGAATCAATCACACCATGAAGAGAGTTATTATAGTTAAAAGCATCTGCTGAGATATTAATCTAGATCCTTCTCCATGAAGCACACTCCACAAAGACTGATAAAGAGCTTATTCATTTTTAATAAGCTAACTCAGAGAGAGGAAAGGTGTGGCCACTGGTTGAGATCGAGATCACGTCTTTTTGTCTCTATTTTCTAAAAAAAATGATTTATGAGGTCTAGTTATTATCATTATTATTTAATGTGGTTTTTGTGTGTGTGCTGCAGGCTGATCTACTGGCTCTGCCTCTCTCTGGGCAGCACCATCAGAGGCCTCGGCTTCGGCTTCTCCTTCCTCCCCATACTGGTCATGTTAGGAGCCAACCTCTACTACGTCTGCTCGTCAGCGGGACAGGGAGCGGTGTTCGATGTAGCCTCGCCCACCACAGCTCCTCCTCCGCGGCGCTGGTGGGGTTAAAAGGCGACATCCAAACTGGCTATGAAGCGTCAAGAGGAGAGAGAAAGACATTTATAATTTGACAGACAACTTGACTTTCTCAGAAGTTGTTTTCTACAAGATTTCAGTCTCGATTGATCATATGAAGTTCCCTTTATTACTACAGCAAACTTAGCAGCTTCTTTTTTTCCATTATGACAACTACAGTTAAACGGGCGCCATATTAGAAATGCTGATTCTGACTAAGAACAGACACACCAAGTATCAGTCAACTTGGCCTGGCTCCCAGTTGAGCAAATCTACGCAACTCTTAGTTCTGATTTATGCAAAACAGAGAAATTAACCCCTTCCTGCCTGTGTTTACAATAAAGAAATCAGTCATTCAGACTTTTTCTCTAAAGAGGTTCAATTCTGCTGCAAAACTGGAAATATTAACATCATTGTTGAAGGTTTCTTCTTGACTTTTGCTGCCAGCCTCAAGCGGACACTCAATGAACTGCGTTTTTTTACACTTTGACTTTTTCCCTTCCCAGAAATGAATCTTCTTCTAATATTTTGACATAAACACGAGGACAGGAACAGACGAGTGTCGTATTTAGTTTTTAGAGGAAGTTTAAAAAGACTATAAACACCAACAGAAGCTCTGATCTGCATGTGAATGAAACCTCCACAGACGTGCTTTTCTCTCTGAGTTTGTGTTTACACATTTGTTTTGATCTGTCATTGCGAATCTTTTTAAAGGGCTGTTCCGTACTTTGTCTTGAGCTGTGAGTCTCTCTTCATATAATACAGGTGAATGAAGTCTGAAAATTACGTTGTTGAAGTATAAAGAATATATTAAATATTATGGGTAAGTAATTTTATGCCCTTTCTTAATCCATGTAAACACTGATTTTTTTTCTACGAACATCCTTTTTTATTTTGTCACAAACCTGATGATATTGTTAATCTTAAAAGCTGATATTTATAAGACTTTTAAATGCATCTGTGTTTTATTAATGAACAACTTTTCTGTTTATCAGCTTTTATCATTTTGTAAGTCCTCTTTCTTTGTTTTGAGGGATTTTTAACTCTAAAATTTAACATCAAACTCATGTTTTGGATCTTGAATATGTTTAATAAAGATCTAAAAATATTTTGCAGTAGCTGACATTCAAATCCAAACTAAGCTTATATATGTTTAGTAGAGAAACTCAACATTTTCAGCAGCTTTAGACCTTCACTCTAAGTTGATTCAAAAGGTCTTAAAATCTAACATGCCACTACAGTTTCTCATGATCTGAAAACTGAAGCCTCTTTAGTGCAGTGACTCCTCCTCAGCCTCAAACTGAAACAAAAAAAAGTTTTGATTTACTGGAAACTTTCTCTTCATTTAACCTGCAACTTTGATTCGGTCTAAATAAGTAAGATCTCCCAGCTCTACATCAGTGTTTTCTCTGTTGAATACACCTCAACACTTCTGCAGAGTTTAGGACTTAAGTACAGATAAAGCTCTGAACAAGAACAAACTACCAGACAGTTAATGAATAAATACAAATACAAGCATCTGTAAAATAAACATCCATGCCTTCTTTGTCACATTGTTTGTAAAACCTCAACCCTGGTCTTTTATTCCCTCTCTTTTTGATATCAAACATGTTTCAGCCTGTGTAAATTCCTGTAAACTCTTCAGACTGAATGAAGGCTTCAGGAAAAACTGCAGGGCCTCCCCCTCTTTGTAGCTCCTCCAGCAGAACAAAAACATTTCTACCAGAGATAACAGAGTTTTTATCCTGATCACAGTGTGATGTAAAACATAGTAGGAAAATAAAATATAGGAAAATATACTCAAACATTTTGCCTGTCAGAGCTAAGAAAGTCCCAGGTTACACTCACCTTTAAGCTTCATGAATCATACTTGAAGCCCCCTGTGAGAAACTTTAGTTTGTGCAGGTTTTGGTGCCCCCTGCAGACAAAGTAGCACCTCATCTCATGCGCATTTAAAATCTCAACCTGCTTTATTTTAAGAGTCAAATGTATTACTTGAGAACCACTGGCATAAAAAACAAAAGAGGTATGGTGTGACAGCTAGCCCCCATCATCAGTTTCAGACATCATAAATAACCTCTGCTCAGCAACCAGAAAGTTGACAGGTGAGCACTGCTGAGATGGCCTCGAGTAAGTTACTCATCCCACTAGGATTAATAAAGAACATCTTTATTATTCTACTAATTTTTAGTCAGACAAAGAGCAATAATTGGAGTCTGTTTAACTACTTTAATCAGGATCATTAGGCCCCGAGGGTTACCCTGCTGCCTGTTTACTCAGTGCCTGGAGGAACTCTACAAGTTTTATACTCTGGACTCAAAAGTGTGTGAAAAAAATACATGAAAGCACAAATACATGGAGGCAGATTAAAAGAGGAAAAAAGTGAATTTCAAGTCAAAGATCTAGTGTCTAGTCTATACATTAGATGTATGAAGTCTAGTGTCTACAAAGGAGTGTCAAAGAGGAAACAAACAGAAATCTCCTGTGTGTCCACATGGCTCAGAGGATAAGAAGACTGACTGGAACTCCTAAGGTCAAGAGTTCAAACCTTACCTTACCAAAGCTGAAGTGAATTTTAAAGTCTAGTGTCTAAAAAGGACAGTGAAATTCACCTTGTCCTGGGTAAAGCTCAAATCCACGACCTCAAGAGTCCCAGTCAGTCTTCTTATCACTCTCCTTTGTAGACACCAGGCTTTAAAATTCACCCTGACCCTGATAAGGCTTGAACCCATGACCTTTAGAGTCCCAGTCTGCCTTCTTCTCCACTGAGCTGTGTGGACACACAGGGGTGGTTTGTTTGTTTCCTCTTTCACTGTGCTTTCTGGACACTAGCCTTTAAATTTCACCAAACCTGGATCTGATTTTCACCTTAGAGCTTCAGCTCAGGGAAGATGAGCGCTCTGTCCCTCTTCTTCCAGCGACTAAAAAGGCAACTTAAGCCACAGAAAATTCACGGCAGCTGGATTACAGCTCCAAAATATTGAAAGAGATTTGTACAAGATAAGAGAGATTGTTTATCTACTCATGTTTGTATGTGAACAGGTCCAGTAGATGGCTATTAGAGGAAGTGACGTACAAGCGCAGTACAAATCTTGTTTCTGGGACGGATTGGGTAGCGACAACATCGTTTCAGTTCTCAGTCTTTCAGATGTTATTGACTTACCTTCACAACTGCTCTACTCTGTTGCCAACTTAAGCTAAATTTAGCCTCTGAGTTATCACTGAGAGTGTGAAATGAAGCTTCATTGCACGTGTTTTTAATCGTGCCAGTAAGCAGAAGATGAGACAGGGAGGACAAAAACAAACAGTGCACACCTTTAAAGAAGCCGTAAGGAAGATCTCTTCAGATCCTGATGTCCTAAAGCGGTCAGGGAACAAAATAATCCAGGCGTAGGTTCATTTCACTCAATTTGTCTATTTAATATATAAAATACGGTAAAACATACGCAAAAAGGGTAAGGTCTCAAGGGACTTGGATACTTTGGTACAACAAACACTTTTTTGTAAAAGCGGTATAGAATTTCAATAACATATCAGTGCATACTTTGTATATGAAAATATACACAAACTGTATATCATTCTCAAAAAAACAACAAAAAGAAATATTTTCTTTACAACAAAAACCCAAAGCAGACTAGCTCAACACAATATATTAGCTATAAATTTCATCTTTAGTATTTCATATGCTACATTATTCTGAGTTGTTGTCAAACTCACTTGTGATGCATGTCCGTTATCATTACTGTGTGTAACATAAGTTTGGTTGTTACCTGTATCCCATGCATTTACATGATTCAATTTTCATGAATTACTAATTTCAGTTGTTTCCCGTTTTTTTTTTTATTATTTTATAAATATATTCTATATCTTAATTAAAATTGCAGCATTTAACTGGTATTTCCTTCATTGCATTTGCTAATACCACAATAACTGATCGTGCAATTTTCAGCAAGTTGTTTAAAAAAAGGAAACCAGTACTATATGTTTATGATAAGGAAGATAAAATAAGAGAGAAAAATTAAAACTGTTGACTATCCTACACAAAATAGCAATAAAATAAAAGCTCCATAATAATATCATCATAATAATAATAATAGACAATGGAACTGTCACCAGCACAAATTAATCCAAAAATAGTGAGATTCTAAAAAACATTGTACACAACGAGTAACAGGGGTGCAGGTTTCGTTTCTCATATAGATTGTCTTGTGACTACACTGCTAGATTGGACAGAGAACCTTTTTGTACATGAACAAACCTCAGCCGGTGTGGTGTCACATTTCAGTCGACCATCAGCGCCCACAAACACTAAATGTTTACAGGATTATTTCAATACCGCTATTTTCAATGGAAATGACTGAGAGGTAAAACAGATCATCAGTCTGTCTGCAGTCGGATCTTTAAAAGAAAGTATTCAACATTTGGAGGAACAGACTTGTTGGCTTTTTCTCTGTCACCGCTCTCAAGACTTGATGGTAAATCTGAAGCGTCAGCCAGCTGCCTGTTCGCAAAGTTTAGCCTCAAGAAAACGGAGATGAAAAATATCTTGACGTTAAAGCTCCTGTGAGGAAACTTTGGTTCGCATTGAGTTTGGCGCCCCCTGTTGAGAAAGCATCTGAGCACGTTTAAGTCGAAATGTCGGAGGAAAATCTCGCTCTGCTTTTATTTAACAGTCAAAGCTACTATGTTTCATTAAGCGCCACAGGGACTGTAAACAAACGCTGTTACTGCAGCTAAAGAAATGATCAGCGTTGTCCAGGGTGGTTGGCCTTGTTCGCTTTAGTAGCTCACAGGGAGGCGTTGATGTCGATGTAGGTCTAAAATCTTCCCACTGGAGCTTTAAATGATGGAAAATTTAAAAACGAGTCTGCTATTACAAAAAAAGTTTTTACTTCTTGGCTAAAAGTGGAATTTTTTTTAACTTAAAATCTACGAAATCAAACCAAAACCTCCAACAATTAGAGGAGTCAGGTTATAAATCCTAACTGTAAACCTACTTCTGGCTTCAGCTTCAAATTTACCGAAATGGACCTCGGTGAGAAGTGATTATTTCAGGTACAAAAGCAGAGAAGCTTCATTCCCAAAACAGTCAAACCTTTTTTTTTTTTTTTAACAGTTTAGGAGTCTCAATTTCTTAAACATGGTTACTGTGAGTGTCTGAGGGTTTTAATGTTGGCAGGGATGATTGATAGAAGAACCTGAAAGAAGCAGAGTGAATAGCTACCACGCAGAGGGACGGAAAAATGATCCGATTGAGGAAAAAAATCAGCCACGCCAGTGTGAAATAGCAACACTGAGGCTTTCCCCTCAAATTTATGGAGCCGGTGCAAAAACGCTGGTTTGATTTCGCTGTGGGCCGTGACATCAATTCACACAAGCGTCTGTATCCACTTCCTCTAGTTCAACCTGCACTGATTTAAAAGAGCAGGTGAGTTCGAGCAGATCGTGAACAGTCTTCAACATGAGTTTGCACTTTGAGCGTCGTCTCACTGTGATGAAAAAAGGTCAAGCAATCAGGAGAAACTTTCTATTTGTGGGCTAAAAACAACCCGTGTTCACACACTCACACACTAACTTGAAATGGTTCAGACAGTTTGTACTAGAAAACATACGATTAAACAACAAACACAGCACTTTGTAGCCAATCTCATGACTTCATTTCTAAGTGAACAAAGGCAAAATCTGTGTCTGCTTAAGGTGAGAAAGATTAAACATGATTCTTAATGCGTCAAAGAAGTGATTTATCTCTTAACTACACTACGAGTGAACGGCAGTGTCCGTATCATTCCATGTTCAGGTGTTTATGGACAACTTGACTTAGATTGTGGGTTTTTTTTTTTATTAAAAGTGTGGTAGGAGAATATGATGACACCACAACCAAGCAGGCCTCTGTGAGTGAGGGACAGAAAGTGCACACACCATCAACACGAGCATAAAATAGGTTTACTGAAACGAGTCCGATCGACCGGCACGGCCTAGTGCGGCGTTTACCCCTGCACATGTCAAATTCACACTCATATATGCAAACAGATCCACTGAGAATCAACACATTGCTTGTTTTTAGGGATACCTAGCAAAGTCTATGCAAATATATTCATATGTACATACACGTCGTTTGAAGCTGAAAAGCTAGTTTTACTCTGTCGCCAACTGAAGCGGTAGAAATATAGAAAATGTCTTTTTCCTTTCACTTTTTCCAAACACGGCAAAGAGCTAAGGAGAGCTAGAGAGAGCTAAAGAGGACATCAAAGCTTTTGTATAAGGAGTGATTTTATACAAAGTCGGAATTCCTACTTCAGGACGACTAACGGACCTTCAAAACAGATTTTTTTTTTTTTTAAATACCAACAGATAAAGAACACTTGGACTGAAAGAACCAAATACATCCCTATCTCAAAAACAGCCACCAAAGGCTCAAAAAACTCACTATGCATTAATCTGGATGGCATCTACTCCTGGAGAATAAGCTGAGTGATGATTGGCTGGATTTCTGCTGCGACAAATTTCCATCCAACTTCCAGGGGAGATGAGGAGAGAGGACGGGCGGACGAGGAGGAGGAGCACCCGGTCTGAGAAGAGGGTGCTGAAGATTTCGTTTCTAGTTCTCGTAGTTTTTTAAAATTTTTTATTATTCAACAGTGCGAGTGATAATCCATTAGCGTCCCTGCACCGTGTGTGTGCGAGAGGCATTTGGCATTTTTTTTTCTTGTTGTCGTACAGAGGTTAACGTTGGCACTCTGGCAGGGTCCTCGTCTTCCTAACCCGTAGGACCCCCGTGTGAGTCTGTTCGCTCGGTGCCAGATATAAACTCAGTCCTCAGACATGTCCAGATTAAGTTTAATCCAAAAGTGCAGTTTGGAAGTGACTTAATGGAAGAATGGACAGCACACAATCCAAGCGACGCTGGATTTCAAAGAGTGAGTCATACAGCAAAATGTCCCATAATGACGACAAGCCACCAATCACACTGCGTTATGTAGCAGAGCTGGATGTAAATACATGAAGGTTATGCAGAAACCAAGTGAAGATAAGTGTTTCAACGATAAAAATGACTATAGGGGGAGTCTGTTCAAGCAAGAAGGCTGTAAAAATTTACCGTCCTTCTATTCAAGGGGCCGACCCGGGACAAAGATCCAGCTGAGCGTAAAGCCGTCGTCTCCTCTCAGAGCGTGATCCCCACAGGAGTTTTATTCTTTTCGGTTTTTTGGCAAAGCCTCGTAAGTCTGGGTGACGCAGCTGAGTTGTATAATTGTGGACAGAGGCAGATGTGTGATGATAGTGTCACATGGCAGTGGGGTTAGGGTTGAGGTTTGGGGGGGAGTGGGCAGTGGGGGGGTTTAAGGATGAGTTTGGGTGTGGGTTTGTGGGTGTTTAAGTGTCACCAAAACCTCCCTGTGGGTGCAGCGCCTCTATGTGACCCAGGCGTCCAGTCTCATGCGCTTGATGTTTCCTCCCTCCTGCTCCGGCTCGTTCGCCGCCCTGAGGAGCTCGGCTGAGGGGCTGAAGTCAGGTGGTATGGTGCGGCTCGAAGGGTTGATGCCCCCCGCTCCGCCTCCCCCTCCTCCTCCACCTCCTCCTGTGTTGCTGCCCCCGCCTCCAGCTGCGTCATCGCGATCGCTGCCTTCGAAGGAGCTGGCGTTGCTGCTCACGCTGTCCGCGGGCGAGCGGCCGGTCGGGGGCTCCAGGCACAGCAGGGAGCCCGGGTACTGCGGCGGCGCGGTCAGGATGGCTCCGGCTGATGTAGAGGACGGCGTGGAGGAAGATGGAGGAGGGCAGGGGGTGCTGCGATCGCGGCCAGGAGAGACAGGCTCTGACTTGATGCTCACGCTGGAGTTTGTGTTGACGGTCAGCATGGCGCCTTGAGGTATGTGAGTCACCGGCCTGAGAACGGGGTCACAGAGGACAGAGAGAGGAAGACAATGAGGGACAGAGTGAAGAGGAGAGGCGAGAAACATACAGACAGATGATTAACGACTCGACAAAGGCGCATGAGAAGCTGGAAGGTCACTCGTGTCAAGACAAAAACCTCACATTACAAGGCACAGCACCGACAGGGAAAAGCCACACTCCATTGTTCGAGAACTCAAGTCTGAGCCTTCAAAGCAGAAGTTTTACCCCCCCCCTGCTCCCAAAAAAGATCAACAGAACAGCCCAGGAAGCATGAAATGATTCATGTGACAGGGTGGCTCGCAGTGAAGCAGCTATGATGTGATGTGTGAACAGAAAATAATCTGGGGTTAGAGAGCATGGTGGAAACCAGATCTACATCTCTTTCCTGTTTGACTGCAGACAGCAGCAGACATGCTTTGGGGAGGAGGGGGGGGGGGGGGTCAGCCAAAAGCGAACAGACACACAGGAAACAGGAAGTGTGATACAGTACCGGCCCAACCACTCATCTCTACCCAAGAGCAGGTTGGACGGCGAGCCAACACTGTGGGGAGAAAACAAATGTTGGAGCCCAAACCAAAGGGAAGAGGTGGATTAGAAGGCATGTGTGGAGAAAAGTGTGAAACATTATTGCGAGCAGAGTCTCTGGAACAACAGCAATAATGTTCATCATGTCTCAGCATCAAAAACACACCAACGGCACCAACGCGCCTCCACTTGTTCCAGCACACATGAAAATCTACAGACAGTGTTTGGACCGTTTTTAAGAGGAACAGCCGGGCTCTTTAAACTTTTGCCTTACAGAGTGTGTACGGTGGCCCTTAGGGTAAAAAAAAAAATACATGCAGGTGCAACTTGTGCAGAGGTCATCCTTGCATTTTATGCTTTTGAAAAAGTTCATCATGGTTGAATTAAGAAATTTTATCAACAGAAATCTACAATAAGAAAACTGTGAGGAACAAAAACAGATGGAGCAATTTCTGAAACTGAATTAACTGTCCAATAATTTTTTGTTTCTTCAAATATTCTTTTGTGTAACAGGTGAAGAAAAAAAGTTTGAAAATTTGAATTAAAAATTTTTTTTCCACTGATGTAAAAAAGGTGAAATAAAAGCTTTTTGTGAAGATTTCAGGCTTCTTTAAGATCACAGGACGAAAGTGAGAGTAAATCTAAGAGTAGAAGGCAAAAAAACATCTGTTACTCCACACATGTATGTAAATCAAGGACTTACAAAAAAAAAAAAAAAAAAAAAAAGTCAAAAGCAGAAGAAGGCATGGGGCCGTGCTACAGTATCTTTCTTTAACCTGGTTAAATTATTACATCAACTAAATCAGTGGTTCTCAAGTCCAGTCCTAAAGCTCCACTGTCCTGCATGTTTTGGATGTTTCCCTGCTCCAGCACACCTGATTCAAATGATCAGCTCGTTATCAAGGAATGACTTAATAACGAGCTGCTCATTTGAATCAGGTGTGTTGGAGCAGGGAAACATCCAAAACATGCAGGACAGGGGGGGCTTGAGGACTGGACTTGAGAACCACTGAACTAAATAATAACTAAAAAAATATATAACCGTCTTTTAAGTTTCATCAAACAGTCAAATAGATGTGTCTGTCTTAAGGTGACATATATCCCATGAAGTTTTGTTGTACACTCAAATGCAAAGTGGACTACAAATCCCCCCTACAGACAAGGTCATGACATATCACACACGCACACACTAGCAGTGGCTGTTCACCTCAGATTGGCAGCCAGACTGGACACCTGGCTAGACAGCTCGCTGCTCTGTTTGTCCACGCCCCACATGCTGTGGACGAGAGGAGAGAGCACACTTCAAAGATCTGTGTGTCCACGCTACCAAAAGACCAGCAAACTCTGCAGCTCCGCAGGATGGAGCCCATGCAGCTCCCGTCGCCCTCCTACTGTCCTCTAACCAGATACAGAAACTTCACAGGGTATTTACTCAGAGAAAAGGAGGATGAAAGAATGAACATTTCTGCAAATTATATTCACAAGTTTCCTGAATTCATATTCTGCTTGACTCCAGTGATTTTCATTTTCAACATCCACATTACATGAAATTTTCCTGAAATGGATTAATCATTAGTGTGTCAAATTTTGTTTTAATTCTGACTTTGTGGCTTTCTCTCATTTTCAGCATCCCTGAAGGGTTCACAAAGCTGTTTGTGGTGAACTGTGACAGTAAGAGTAAGACACAAATCACGAAAATGAGGGTCCTAAAACATCAGAAAAACTTGTTAATGTACTATCAACGCCTCGATGATTGCAGACATGAATCAGTTATTATGTGAGCGGCTGTCATAAAAAGTGTAATTGTACAATCAGCTGCCAGAAAATCTCTTTAAGAGTGGGAGTCTTAATAAGCTGATCTACTTTTTTACTTACAGATGGTTTACATTACTTGTTTTCACAGAAATCCAACATTAATTTCTGACATATTTTCCAAAAAACCTTTTTAAAATCAAAAATAGTCTTCAAAGTTTAACATATACCGTATTTTCCAGGCTACAAGGCGCACTTAAAATCCTTAAATTTCATCAAAAATTGGCAGTGGACCTTATGTACGATTACTTTTGCTTACTGACAATGCATTAAAAATCACATACGCATGTACACATACACGACATTTATGTACGACTTTCGTAAACAATGAAGCCGCTCTGCTCAATGGATATTCCAAGCATTACAATATTCTGTGTCACTACCTGATTGGTCCCGTAACTGGACCCCTGAGCAGTCTACAAGACTGCCTGACTGTAATGTCTAAACTAAAAGTGCATTCATGTAAGGCAGCTCGGGCCCAGAGTACGTGTTAGCAACAATAAACCAATCAATGCTTAATGCGCCTTACATCCGGTGCGCCTTAGGTGCGAACATAGACACGTTAATTCACAGTTCGCTGTATAATCCAGTGTGCCTTGTCGCCCGAAAAATACGGTAGATTAAAAAAAATGAAGGAAGACTGACGCACTTTTTCAAGTTTGTATAAAGAAAAACTTGTAAAACTTTTTATAAGCCCTCCTTTGTTCTTTAAGACGTTCATTCACATATCTACTGATGCTTTCTAAGCTGTTATTACGCACTCCTTCCTGCTAAAGAGTCATTAATCAAAGATAATCACTTTATGGTCTTTGACATTATTAAGTAAAATTACCGCTGAAGTGCAGATACAGCAGATATACTGAATATTCAGGTTGATGATATGAAGAGGCTGAGATGGTGAGATGCTGTGAGAGACCAATTCACTAAGATAAGGGTGAATTGATTAGATATAAACTCATGGTATGGATAACATGCAGGCTGATTGGCAATATGTCAGTAATAAGAAGAGTTATCTGCGGAAACCGGCCTGTTTAGTAGGAATATGTCAGCCGACACCATCATTGCCCTCGGCACCTGATGTGAATGATGGAGATCATCAGAGAGAGGAGTGACGCAGCGCTGTGGTGAAAATGAAAGTACGACTTACACCAAATTGCTGAGTGACGCAAGATTAAGTTGTTGTTGCTGTTGTTGTTGTTGTTGCTGTTGCTGCTGCTGTGCTTGCTGCTGCTGTTGTTGCTGCTGCTGCTGCGGTTGCTGGGAAACAGCCTGTTGCTGTTGCCATGTGGACACACTGGTTGGCAACAAGCCGCCAGGTGATGCCAGAGCGTGTAAAGCAGTGATGTCCGCGCTGGTCAGGTGGTACTCTGAGAAGCGAAAAGTCACAACTTTAAGTCCACTTTTTCTTTCCAATGTTTAACAATCCAACTTTATTCTAACAGCAATTATTCATGGCAGATCCTACATCTAGACACTCTACAAAAGGATAAGGTCTGGAAAATACCCTTCATTAGTTTGTGAGTTTATTGAATCATCCAGATAAAGCATATCTAAAAGTCGTGCGTTGCTTTCTCCCTCCACTAAAAGCCGTTTGTCATCAGTTTCACCTGTGTTGTACGCTGTGGGCATTGCAGAGAAGGGCAGCCCCTGTGCCAGGAGACTTGGCGTTGCCACGGAGACCACTGGTGTGGTGAGGGTTTGAGCCACCTGAGCTCCAGCTGCCAGCCGCTGGGCGTTCTGCAGGTAGAGAAACATCAGCATGTTAGTCACAGCAAGAAGAAGAAGAAGAAGGAGCCAACGTTCACATTTGTCCTCCAGCTAGAGTGACTGATTCAATAATGTGAGATAATTTCTGACATGCTGGGAATGATGATGTGGTTTGATTCATAATGATGCTCGGAGTCGAGTAAATCTCAACGTCGAGTGGATTTACTGTCAGGAGTTTCTTTTGATGACATGCATCAAAACAGTTTCCTCACGTCAATAGAGACACATTACATTAAAGGCAATTTAGTCAACTGTCGGCTAAAATGAAAGAGCGTGGATAGGTTTTTAAAAAATACATTAAAGACTAACTACAGAGAAGTAAAAGGCAGAGGGCAGGGAGTAAGTTAAGTTTTCTGTGATCTGCTATAAATGTAAATCAAACGTCAACAATTCTAAAATTAGCTGAGCAACAGACGATAACATTTACTGATCAGGTTCATTATCAGGTAATAAAGAAAGAAAGACTGACGTTTCAAAATAAAGAGTTAGTTATTAAAATGTTGAAATCCTTTTTAAGCTCTTTAAAGCTCCTGTGAAGAACTTTTGATTGGTATCATTTTGGCACCCCATGGTCTTCTACATGCTGAAGTGGTGACTGCTTACACAAAATCTTACTTTGTTGACTTTTGACATGAGGCTGTTTCTTCCGCTGCTTGGCCGACACCTACCCCCTTTGCATCGATTCAAGCAGTAAAAATGATGACCCCAAAAATCCTCATTCTTGTCACTGATGGTCCCGTTTACTTTTGGATATCATGAAAAGGCATTAATATGAAATCCAGTGCATTCCATAAATAACAAAAAATCCTTACAGGAGCTTTAATTTTACCATTACTTGCTGTATTTCGTGCGCTACTTATGAACACAATGATTTCAAACTAATGTGCCAAGGAGAGATATGTGTGTTTAATCAGCCAGAGTTACTAGTTTTAAACAGATTATTAAATAATATCTAAATATCAAAATAATAAAACCTGGTCTTATTATGTGTCTAAAATGTAGCTGAAGCTAGTGCTGTAATGCTTCATTATTCAGATGTGAACAACCAGAGATGACAGATGATATCTCATAGCAGGGTGTGGATTAGCTGATCTAGAAAATGTCTCTCTAGCATACAACCACTTGACTGGAGTAATGTGTAACCAGCACAGATTTGTAGATGTTAAGTCTCTCTTTAAAGGACTCACTCCTGGTTCAAAGTCCTGATAAATTCAGTAAAATCAAAGAATCCACACCAAGTTATCTCCAACTATTTCAGGTCTTACATAAATTTTTAACTAAGCAGACAACTGATCTTTCTCATGTTTCTCCAGCGGATGTCACTAAAGGTCTCACAGTCCGATTCCTGGGTGCACTCGCAACATTTCTCCATATTTTTATGTTTTCATTTTTCATTTTTAGGGAAAGCTAACAGTGTAAAAACCTGCTGCTCGCCCACTGTTTGAACATTAAATCAGACATTTAGAAGACAAAATATTCAGCACAGGTGCAGCAGACATTCTGTCAGAGCTGTGAAACTGCTCCAATGAGGTTTCATTATTACGAACCTGTCCTGACAGACACAAATCTGTGTAATAAAACAACACTCTGGAGTCTGGTTCAGCTGAATTATATCGCAGATAAAAGCAAACTGGCGTCCTTTGTAAGAGAAAAATAATAAAAAGTCTGCATAATAGAAGCCAGAGATGCAATAATTCAGGTCTGGAATTACTCTCGTGAATTGTGAGACCTTGTGAATGCAGATCATCCTGGGAGGAAACATTGGGCCTGAGTTATGACTGTAGTGTTGAATTTACACAGAGAGAGAGAGAGGAGATAGACCGCAGAGACGGGCTAGATTCAATTAACTGCCTTTGTGAAGAAGTGAGGCGGGGCGGCAGGGTGAGGGTGATGAAAATGAATCACTAGTCTCTAGAAAATGAGATTCCTGCCTATCAACATAGAGAGGGAGTGTGGAAGAGCAGCAGCTGTCATCACTCTCTCTTTTAGTAAATTCAGCTTCAAGATAATTAAGATTTGACAGGGTGCTCATTCAGTCAGTCAACTGTGCCAACTTCTCTTGAAGTTTTGGAGAATACAATAAAACAGTTCCCTCTGTAGATGTTTAAATCCTTTATAAATGTGCTGAAAATGTCAAATATTTCTTTTTTTGTGAGTCGAAATATTCATTCTACATATTTTTTCTATTTTTAACAGATAGAAATGGTTAAAAATAGTGAAATAAAGTGCCACTAGTGAATCTGTAGACCTACTAACTGACTTATCATTTTTAACACAACTCATCTGGTGCCAAGAAAAAAAGAGAAGCAGCCAAAATATCCTGAAATGTTGAATATTTTAAGTTTCTACTTACATCTCTTGCAGTCACACACACAATTTAAATGCCTTTAATGTAATTCCAGTAAGTTTTTAAGCACCTCTATAGTTGAATATTTGGGTGGAAGGTGACGATGAGTCTCGGTGTGAGTGTCAGTGAACGGGGAACATGCTCTGTGGCCAACTGCACCATGTGAAAAAACACCCATGCTTTAGGTGGCATCATATGATGAAGTCAATCAGCCTGATTACTCCTACCTCTGCTAAGACACAGAGCATCGACAGCAGTGAAGGTTATTCTACATTAGCGATGACAAAGACATGATCCTAACACTCTAACAATGTTGGAACAACACGACCATGAGCCCTGAACCACATGCAGTCAGGTTGGGAACAAACAGGCTGTATCCCAAGTTTATGTCAGTGAAGAGAAACCAAAAGAATGAGGAACTCCTGTACAGTGTTGTAACCATGCTAACGATGCCAGACAGCCTGTAACCATCGATTCATGCCAGTGACTGATGTGAGTAAAGAATCACCTCGTTTACCAACTCCAGCTCATCCTCTGTCTGCAAAGGGTGGTAACAGAGATAGTTACAGCTCTGATTCATGCTTGTAAACTACTGTAAAAGTTAAAAGTAAGTTCTTTGTAGTTTGATACAACCAGAAAATTTTTCAAGCACAGTCAACCTTTAAACCGAGAGAAGTCCTAAAACCTGAAACAAACAGGTGCTTGTTTAACAGCTAGCTTGCTGGAAAGTTATTTCTCTGGGGGCCTGATGATTGCAGGGCTAATATTTCCTTTCCCCCCGGGCTTGGTTTTCTTTGCGTTTTCAGAAAAAGGAAAAAAGACTCTGTAGGTGCAGGATTAGATAATGGTATCTGAAGCATTCTGGTCCCCATGGGCCTCAGCTGTCAATCAATAGGTTCTAAGATTAGGAGTTTACAAGCACTTGAAGGAAATACCCTGCTACGTGCTCGATTCTCCTGCGTCCAGCTGTACTGTAATAGGGCAGGTCGAGGATGATAGACATGATCAAATCTTTTTACATAGAAAAGCATTTAGACTTACTAAAAACAGAGAAGTTATCATCTGCAATACCAAAACAAAAGAGCTGAGAGACACAAAGACAGTAAAAATAGGGAAGAGAAACTGTACGTGGTGATTTTCAGCAGAATTTCTCTCGTTTCTGGACATATACTTACTTCATTCACTCTGAATACTAATGTAACGCAGGTTTAAAAGCACTGAAAACATCATTTTTTATCTGTACTTCAGTGACATGTGGGCTGACTCCATCATCGAAGAAAGAGCAGTGATCGAGTGAGCTTCAGACCAGCTTTAAATGGACCTTCTGGGGACACTGTCTGTTTTCAACTCCTGAACTTTGACACGAACAGCAAATAATTGCCCGCTGCTGGTGGGTTGAATACCATGTCACAGAGGCTACAGGCTAAAGTGAGAGCATATTTGGTTCAAAAGGTAACCAGGAATCTCATCAACGAGTCAGTGGGAGTTGGTCGATTCATCCAAGACTTCACTAAGTCTGCCAGAGTAAATAATGAGCTCTCGAACACTGAGAGAAGAGCACAAATCTTGGCTCCCAGGTTTTGACTAAAAACACAGAAATGATGCCAGCCTCTAACAGACTGTTTATCTTGATTTGGTTTGTAGATTTCATTTGATATATCAATATAAACTCCAATGTTTTTGTAAGGTTTCCATCGTATTCAACCGCCAGTAAGTGCTGCGTCTGAGATTTAATGAAAATAATTTCAATCGTCTCGTGTTTTAACAAAACTGGGTTTCAAGTGTCTTAGTTGATGTAGCATCTGTATTTTCTTGTATCCCAAATCTTGACAGAGAAATTAAGAACCATTTTCTCACTCCTGGTGGTTGGAAATGTTAACTTGAAGCACCTGAACAGCACAAGTTCTGCCTAGTTAAGCTCACCATCTGCATAAGGCTCTTTCCGCCTTGTGAGGTGATGACTCGGAGGTCTGGCTTGCGGCTGTTGACCATCTGGGGGCTCGGAGGTGGGGGTGGAGACTTGGCCGGAACTACTTTCCCCAGACTGTTGCCGTTGGAAACAGTGAGGAGGCCTGGGGAGGCCCTGGCACTGGTGTATCCATTAGCTGCGGGGTGACAGAGGTGTGAATGGACAGAAATCAATAAGAAAATCAAACAGGTGAATGCGGGCGGCGGGGTACGGAGAGTGTTTGCACTGAGGAGCCGCGTTAAAATAATCCTTCAATGCTTCCTTTTATGCTATTCTGAGACGCTCCAATTTAAAGACCTGTCAACGCAGACAGGATAAAGCTTTTCACATCTTGTCATCAAGAGTAAAAATCAAATCTGATAACAGCTAAAAAGAAGATTTTTGTGTTGGTGATGATTGGACATGATGTCTAGACAAAATGTACTCCTTTAAAAAATCGGAAACAATGTTCTCTTTGAAATGTCAACACGAGCTCGAATAATACATCACATTTCCGAGCCGAAGACTTCCATCAGGTGTTTCATTTTGACACTTAATATCGGATAAAATGAAGGACACCCAGTTTCTAGGAAAACGAAACGATTCATTGAAAAGGAGAAGACTGTAAAAATCCACAATGAGAGTCGAACTCGTGTGAGATATCTCAAGTATGTGTGCTGATATCATTGGTGACATCTCCTGAACCCACAATCACACAGACTACAGAGGAAGAGGGGCACGGCAGGGAACAGAGAAGCACTTGGCAATAAAAAAAAAAAGAGGCAATTAATGAGCAATCAATCGATTACTGGCTCCGAATGAATAAAGCAGTACTCACGGACTGGACTTGGGCATCCTCCGTTTGAATTATTCAGGTCACCTCCAAGAAGAGCTCCTATTGAAAAAAGAAGTAATTAAATTGTGGCATTAAATCTCAGTTTTTTATAAATAAGGTTATTTTAAATGAATACTCTTAATGCAGCTGACACTATTTAAAAGCTACACTGTTAAACTGCAGCTCTTTTGTGTCTATAATCTGGTTAATATAGAGAATAACCAACAATTCAAGACTTCTGCATAAGTTACAGATTTTTAGTTGGACTAGACGTGCAGTAAAATGTCACACGCTGCAGTGCAGAGGAATAAGCTCGACACCCTGGGGAGTTAAGCAGCTCCCTACATGTAATGATGTGGAACTTAATACTTTATCCACTTTGGTTTATGAATGAATAACAACTGAAATCAGTTAATACAGATGTTGCATAGTTATCCTTGAGGAGGACGACAAAGAAAAGGAGAAGCTGGTGCAGTAGTCAGGGGATGAAGCAGAAGGTTAATGTCTTTAGTTTTTTTTTTCTTTTTTCTGTTAGATTTTACTCTTAGAAAACCCGTTAAAAGTCTGGTTGAATACCAACAGCTTGTTTCTGCTGATATTTCGTAACACACTCACCTGCACTGGCTGGTCGCTGTGGCAACCCAGGAGACACTGTATTCCTCTGAAGAGCTGGTTGCTGTGGCGACAGGAGGTGGGTATCCGTGAGGGTCGATGATGTAACATAGGAGGTAGTTACCAGCGCATTGCCAGGGTTACTGAATTGCAGTGTGCTTTGATTAGATGACTGGACAGTGACCGGCATAGAGAAAGTCTGGGGCGGAGCCGCCGTCTGCTGCGGAAATACAAACTCACTGTTAGTCTTCAAACGGACAGGTGCAAAGGGGAAGAGTGAGACCATCAAAAAAATTTCAAACTCCTGCAAAAAAAAAAAAAAATACATCTATTAGCAAGTCCTCGGTGCCAAAACTTTATCAGAGAGACAAAGCAGTTTTTCCCCATCACGTTTTGAGGTCTGGTTGTATGACTTGAAATGTTTGGGGATGGGGGACGAGTTAAGTGAGAAGGAAGTTTATCCAAAAGTGGTCTAAAATAAAACAGAATACTTTGTTGTTTTCTTAGATGACCCCACAAGAAGCTGCCAATGCTGTTAGGAGTGCTGCGGTAAATGGCATTCAAAGGTTTCAATACAGAAGCAGTTGGATGCATGACGTATGTGTCCCCATAATTCAAAACTGGCCTGCCTGGTCACAGTTCTGGTCATAGGACTAATTCACTTTAAGAAAACCAAGTTGAGGTCTTAGCTTTTCAATTGAATTTAAACTGAGTGATCTAGAGGACAAATACTGATCAAGACAGATACCAAAGCACTTAAACTTTTGGCCGTGATTAATGTTTGCATGATTTAAGATGGACAAGTTGGCATCTAAGGGTTCAATATTCTGTCCTAAAATAAAATATCTATTTTGTTTATGAAGGGATTCTTTTTTTTAAATCCCACTGACACACAGAGAAAATAAAAGTGGTCCAAGGGGAGATCCCTGAGGCACTCCTTTATGTCAAATAATGATGGCTTTATTAAATAATTCATTGCTCGGTTCAAGCTTCGATCCTCTTTGGAAGTTATGAGGGAATTTCTCAAAATATTTTTTTCTCTTCAGTCTAACAATGTTACTTAAAATCGAAAGTGTCAACCATAGTATTGAGAAAAAAAGCTTTAGCTTAAAGCAATCTGTAGTTTGCTTTCTTTAGCATCAATAATATATTGATGTTTTTTGTGATGGTGGTCATGTTTTAACTTAGTCAGTTTTATACAATAAAAGAGGGGGATTAATGAAGGATTTATGTATTTAACTGAGGGATGCTTTTGAATGGATGACACTAGGTACACTGATTCAGATGTCAAAGAAGTACAACAGTCAGAGATGAGAGCTGAAAATGAAATGCTCTGTCTTTCAGGCTTGTGGTGAAGATTGCATTAGAATTATCATCAGCCTCTAATAAGCTGCCTTAAAATGGTCTGATATGACTGTGTCCAAAGGAGTGTTTATTTATCTGTTATCTTCTGTGATGATCAAAAGTTTTCTGCTCATCCGTGTGAAAAAAAAAAAGTGTGAAACAACAACTTAGTCTTAGAGGAACTTCACACCAGTTGCTGTTTCCTGTGAGGCACTCAAACAAAACACAGAAAATAACCGAGAAATATTTGACCAACAACTCTGCAGTGAAAATATAAAGGGATTCAGCCGATGGGTCCAGCAAAGCGCATATCGAAAACATCTGAGTTAAACGGGTGTAAGCTAGCTGACTTACTCCATAACGTTTGAAAAGGACATCCAGGTCTTCTGTTGTCTTGCGGAACTTGTCATCATTCAAGGGGCTTTGGTCGATGGAGTCTTCGCCATCCGGCTCTGGACTATCACAACCGTTGAAGCCTTTCTTTCTTAAAGTCTGTGAACAAGGGAGATGAGAGAAGAGATGATGAAACTTCATGTTTTTTTTTAAACAAATGAATTGGTAGCGACAGCGCTAAACTAAAATAACACTGAGCTGTTGTTGTGAACTGATTTGAACCCAAATGCTGCTGCTGCTGTGATGGATTCACCTCGATTATGTCTGCGTTGGTCCGGCTTTCGTGAGGCTCGTTGTACTCTGTGTATTTGAGCAGGACCTTGTCCATGTCAGTGCTGGCGTACTGGAACAGTTTGTTTGCATGATTAAAGATGATCAGGGCGATCTCGCAGTCACACAGAACACTCAGCTCGTAGGCTTTCTTCATCAAGCCGAACTTTCGCTTTGTGAATGTCACCTAAGAAAAGAAAGACGGGAAGAGGAAGCAGACAGGAAAGATGTGAATTTGTTTGAAGTTAAAGCATTATTTATCAAAAAAAAAAACTCAGAGAAGACTCAATAAAAGGCCAAAAACTCAAGATTATAAAACACTTTTTTTGGGTAAAAATTTCTCTGAATAAGTGCCTCTGCTCCTTTTTCAGGGTTAAGCATTTTTACTTAGGTAACTCAGAAAAACATCCTTTGGAAATGTTGATGCATAAAAAGTTTGGACTCAAATCAAAATCACAAGTCAGACAAAAAAGATGATGATGACCTCGGGTATCGTTTAGAAAATGTAATATAAAGATATGCTGTATCTGATGGTGGACCCAAACAAACAAACTCTCAGGTGTCTGGTGATATAGAAAGTATGTGTGGCGTCACAAATAAATCCTTTAGGTGCTCTTTGACTGCCAGAAAAAAAACACTGAAACAGAGTGGAGTCAGTTTTCAGTATCAGTTCTGAAGCGTCCTTGTTTTTGTGGATCTTTTGTGACTCACTATTATTTGCACTTTAATGAAATAACAGTGTCAAACACTGAACTTTTGATGTTGTACTGTGAATAACTTCAAATTGATAAAACAGAAGTCTGTTTTTTTTTTAGAATACTTTTGTTGACTCACTTTTCTCAGAGCGGTTGAGCTCTCATTTATATTGAGATGATTAGATGTGCTCTATACTGAACAAACCTGCTGTACACACCACACTGGTTTAACTGGAGATGTCAAAGCTGAACAATAAAGAAAAAACTTAAACATGAATAGGAAAAAGTTGTCTAGCAGTGTCAAAGTAAAAGTGATGGGCAGAGACGACAGGCTGGACAAACCTTCACCACTTTTAATCCTCTGTTTTCTCACTCCGGTTGAATACTTTCCTCTGATTGGTCGAAACTCCCCTAAAACAGTCATTCAATCTCAATAACAACAGTGACACCAGGCGCAACCGGATCACACAGACACTGTATCAAAAATCTTAAATTAAAGTATGTTTCTGATTTTAACGTTGAACAAATTCCAGGATGAGTCTGCAGAGGCCGGAGATAAAGAGGATGGATTTGGACTTCAAACTAAACCAAAAAAATTCCTGATGCTTCCCGAAAGCAGCGATAAGAGGAGGAAAAACCCTAAAAACACAGGATAAACATTTTTGTCTGACAACTCATTCGAACCCAACTGTAAAAACAATAAAGATCTTGGTCAGAGAGAAGACCAGGAGTCACTGTGAAGGAGCTGCAGAGCAGTGATTATGGATTTATCTAGAATCACAACAATCGGCGCAGCATTTGACATCGCTGAGCCAAAAGACACACACTTCTGAAAAAGACACGAAACATGACAAACAAAGAAAAACATGTAGCGCGCTGAGAGTATGAAAATATTGTGCGGCGTGATGAAACCCGAAATGAACTCTTTTTCTCAGCAATGATACAAAGCACTTTGTTTGGCAGGGCTCGGGCTCATCTCGTCCATCAAACAGCATCCCTGCTGTGAAGTGTGGTGGCAGCCTCACACAGTCAAGATTTGTGAGGACTGAGAAGAAACAACAAATGGAGCTGAAAAAGGCAGAGTCCTGTCAACAGCCAGCTTTTGAGTTTTTGACACCTCTCCGAGCAGAAAACGGGCATATTTGAATGGAGTAATAACACAGGCATAGAGCTAAGTCAACAATAGAGCAGCTCCAGAATGAGAGCGTACAAAACCTGTGAACCATTTCAGTCCATCTTAAATCTGCCTCAGGACGGCGGTGAAGAAAGAGGACTCTTCATTTAAAAGAAAACTTTTTTTTTATGAGGGCAGTTCATGAACACAACAACCCTGTTTTCTAAAATGATTCACAAAACAGTGCTTAAAATGTTATTTTCGAATAAACTGAAGACATTATTCTTATCATTTAACATACTTCTGACACAGTGCTGCCTCGGGGATCTTACTTTTTATTAAAAGTGTGATAAAAAGTGTCGTAAAAAGATTACATTTTTAATGATGCCAATTGCTTTATTTGATTTTTGGATGATCATCCAGTGTCTATAAAGACAATTCCCACCCGTTACTCTTCTCACAACTCTGAGGCGATCATTAAAGTTAACTTTGGCGGTTTGCATCTTTATTACTGATGCATACATCATAATTCTAATACCAACATAAACCTAAAAATACAACCCTGCAGAGTGTGGATCTTATTTTGCATGAAAGGCTTTGACGGCTGTGCAGAGCAGGTATTTTGAAAACTATTTTATTTTATTTTTGAAAATTTTAGAGCAAACGAGAGAAAAAAAAAAGTCACACGCCTCTCATAAAATAAAAGGATGAAACTAACAAACTCCTTGTGTGAAGCAGGATAATCTGATAGAAATAAAAATCTTTAATTTTAAAAGCTTCAGATTAAATAAAATTTACATTTTAAGTTATTTTTTCTGTCTGAAACAGATATTTTATGTTTTATCTGGACAAAAACTAACATCTACTTCTTTATATCTATATTAACTTCTTTAATCGTTTTATACACTAACCATTAGCAGGATGACAAACTTATAATCATGAGGTGCTCAATGAGATTTTTCATGATGTCAACGCTCTGGTATACTGTCCACATTTCATGTTTAAATGAAAAACATAAATAAAGGAAACATATTCAATCTAAACAAATAAGAATTGATCAAATGATACATTCATTTAGAAGCATAAATGTACACTAACAGGACCACTAGAACCAAAGTGACGGAATTGTGACCTCTACTTTGTTATCACATTATAAAGACGACGGCTGAATAAAAGCAGTCTCAAATTCAAAACATTTTGATACAAGAGTTAAGAAATATAACTACGAGATCGTCAATCTGCTAAATTTATAAAAGTTTCTTATGCTTGAAAGTTTCCCACAGGTAACTTTGAGCTGACTGAGAGATACAGAAGATAATGGCCCTGAAAAAAGGCGCACATCGATGATTTCAGACTGAATGTCAGGATAAGAAATTATAAAAATAAATGTTTAAGACAGCTCTCATCTATACATTATATTCATAAAGTGCACTGTCTATTCTCTTAATGTACTTTTACATTACATGTCACTTTCACACCACATCTTTACACTGATGGCAGAGGCTGCTATGAAAACAACCCATTAGTATCACCTTATCTCATTCGCACACCACTGGCACAGCATCAGTGCAATTTAGGATTAGCGTCTTGTCCTAGAACACTTTTGGCATGTGGACAGAAGGACCCGGGATCAAACCCTCAACCCCTCTGTTTGAGAGACAACCACCTCCCCCCCTGAGCCACAGACACCCCATCTTTTCACTTCGAGAGAAAAACAAGCCTCCAAAAACAGAAACATGCCATCACCAAGCCTCACCTGCTTGTTCCTTTCATCAGTGATCCGTTGGATCTGAATCTTTTTCCTACCCATGGTGCTTTGTGGTTGTAGACACAAATGTTGTAGTCAGTCAAGTGTAGAAGAGCCTCTCTGAGGGTGAGAGAGGAAGTGCAGCCAAGTGACCTCTTACTTCAGTCCAAAACACAGTCAGACACAGTCCAGCATTTGAGGACGCACGCACACACACATTTCTCTGCCCAGGTGTGGTGAGGCAACGTTGTCCAATCCACCGACTGTCAGGCGGCGAGAGTGAAGAGAGGGCGCCGCGGGGACGTGTGAAGTTAAAAAGCAGAAGACCTCAGTTCAAAGTTTGTGTCACAGAGACCAAAGTGACAAACTTCCCTGCAGCTGCTGTGTTGAAGGAGGATGTCGCTCCTCTCCTGTGTGGGACAGACAGACACACAAAGGTCACTCAGATGTCGCACATGTTCACGACACGTCACAGACTTAGTACAAGACGACACAAAGGGCATTCGGAGCGATCAATCAAAGGGAGGGTGGTTGGTTATACTCCTGTAGTGTGAAAAAATGAAAATAAAAGTCAACCTTGAAGTAAAAGACGACAACAGAACGATGTGGCTGTGAGAGCTGGAGTAGCTGGAGGCATCAACGTTTATCTATCCAGACAACAAGATGCTGAGGCTTCCTGTGTCCAGTACTAGCCAGAGCATTTCATCATAACATGAACTGAAGTCCTGATTCAGACACAGCCCGGAAATAAAATCTAAATCCCAAATCTGGAAATAAGAACCAAAATATAGAAACTAAACTGTAAAATTGTTTTAAAAAAGTAGCAGCTGCTGCTTTAAGATGAGGCTGCCTTCTGTGAACTCATCTCCAACCTTTAAATTTCATACATTTAATCAAAAACTGTTTTAAATATATGAGCTACATGCCACTAAGTGACACTTTCATGGACTACTACACTGATTGTTTTGGTACATTAAGAGAAAACTGTAAGTTCCCCACAAATAAGACTTTTAATCCCTTGAGGAGTTGCCACATTATCTGAAAGGGAAGTTTACACCAAATTACAAACACTAACAACGCTTCAGTTATGAATCCTGTGGTTGCACATACAGCTTAGGTAAACTACTCGCTCAACTATCAAGGTTCAACTTTTGTTATCTTTTCAACGGCGGCTCTGTTAAATCCTCTTTGGTGTTTTTTTTCTTTTTGACTATGAAAAAAAATAATCGACAAAGACGATCAATAAGAAAGCCTTGAGAGCTTTTCAAAATCTATACGAGCCAAAAATAGGAGAGCAGAGACGCATTCATCTCTTTGTTACACCTGCAGTATTGGTTTTTACCTGCTGTAGCCCATTTTTGCAGTTAACACTATTTACTACAGACAATCTGTACTCTTACATAACCAGATTAAGTATTAAGATTTAATACTCGGGAGCATTTAAATGTTCTCTACATCGATAAATATCAACATTTTTATCTCACAGTTTATCCTTCCTTGAATGAGAGCTGTAATAATATCAACCAGTCTCAATTTAAGTTTATAGTAAGGCTACAAAGTTTTCTTTCCTCTCACCTGAAGCTGAAACGAATAAAAAAATTGTTGATAAATAGAAGATAAATAATCACTTCATCCGCGAAAATGCTAAACATAATCTCATATCTGTCTCTCAAATGTGGATATTTGATGCGCTATCTATATGGAGATCAGTTTTTCAGGTAATCTATAAAGAGCATGAGCAAAAAAAAAAAAAACGTAAGATGTTGGTTCTGTATTTATTCAGTTTAAAACGCTCAGTAGACTCAACTGGACACCTGTGCAGTGTAAAGTGAAGCCATGAGTCACTCAAACTTTTGTTGGCGATGCAAAATGGAACAGGTTGGCATTATTCACTTGTTTCTCACATGCCCGAGTTTAACCGCCCGTTGGCAGTGGATTATGGAAAAGATAGGCGACAGCCCGAGAATAGATGAAGCTCTCATGCTCACCTTTTTACCTCTTGAATAACTTAAAAGCAAATGAAAGGATAAAGTGGGAAAATGGGCTGCTCTCACAACAGCTGAGAGGGTCATATTGAGACACCGGACGGGGCAGATGGACCCCGCCTGCTGCGAGCGTTCAGGATAAGTTTGCCTGAGAATGACGGAGGAGTGATATAAATAAGAAATATGGGAGCCTCTTGAAACTCAATTTCGGAAAACTTCAACTAAGACAAGCTCTTTGTACTACAAAATAACTTTAACAGCATCTTGTTAGGCATTCAAGATGAGATTGGGAGTACAGACAAGACGCCAACATCATTGTCATCTCGTTATTTTTCTTTTTTCTATTATTCGTTGTCATTTTCATTTTTCTTACGAGTGTTTTTTTCTGCTTTTTAGTTTACTTGTCATACAGCATCTGTACAAAATTATTCAAATCCCTGAGATGAAAAGTGAATACTGATACCATTATTGAACAGCAGAGGGTGCCACCTGCCTTTCACTTTGTTTCAATTGCCTTTAAACATCTGTAACTGAAAGGATGCGTCTGAGAGGGTGGCAGCAGATGAAGATTTTGTCAGTGATGATGTATGGCAGTATTTCCTACAGACAGAAAATACCTGGATGGTCGGCTTATTTAATGATCGTTTAACCATAGGGCTGGGCGATATGGCCTCAAATCAATATTGCGATATATTGAGCAGTTCACCTCAATAACGATAAATGGACGATAACTACTCCACAAGCTGCTCACCCCCTCCCACATTAACTTCATCTACTTTAGCCGCCGCTCCAGCCGCTACAACTTAACTGTCCTCCATCTCCTCACCTGTCTTTCCCTCTTTACGGACTGGATGGGGTGGAGTCATGTGTCTGACTTAGGACAACATCTTAAAGGGACATGAGACCATAGCCTACCTACACACATCCAAAACTAACTTTTATTGATTGATTTTTTTTGACACCAAATATATCAATATGGGCAAAACGACATTGGTTATTGTTGTAAATGTTGGTATCGGTAAATTTTCAGTTTATCGTCCAGCCCCATTTAAACATCTGTCTTTTTTATCTCTATAAGATCACATCCACTATAGCGACGAACCACTGGAAGATCTTCCTCTCTCTAAATCAGGCTGTCTAAACTCAGTATATATATCCTTGATAATGGGACATGTTTAATAAGGAAAGCGCACATTTAGCAGTGAAAAAGAGAGCGCACTACAGAAGGATCCTAGAGATAAATCTTCAAAGTCTCATTCCTGCAATGAAAACTGCCAATAAAACACCTGAATAGTGAAGATGAGTGAGGAACTGACAACAATCACTCCACATTTTCAGCATCTTCTGCTCTCAAAACCATTTTTCTTCCCTCTCCTTCCTACACAGAGGCATCGGTCCTGTTGTGTTAAGTTTTCCCTGCAGTCTTGACCCTCTGTGTCCGTGCTTTCCTGTGGGATTGTTGTCAGGCCAGACGGAAAATATGAAAACGCCAGTGGAGTGCACATGGGGCCTCCACAAACCACATTTCAACACTTTAAAGTGTCCAGCTTGAGAATTAATCAGAAGCTGTAATGAAATCCAGCATATTGGGTTCAAGTCTAAAAATCTCCGCTTCATTTATCTGTGCCATGAAATGCATCAGCCGTCTGTATCGGACGTTTAGCCAGAGAGGCAAACCCAAATTGCCTTTTTTCCAGCTTGTTGATGAAACTGAACCCGTACCACATTATTTGGACGTGCTGCACAGTTATCAGCCCTGATACTGACCCCAGAGAGGAGACTTACTGGCCGATACATGACGGGTAATAATCACATGTTATTTTTGTGAATAAAAATGGCAGAATATATGGGATGGGGGCAGTTTGGCAGCGGCCGCTGGTTCAACTCTACTCCCAATGTCCCTCTCTCTTCAGTTGTTCTTTCCAGTAAAAGGTAAAAATGCCCCAAAAATAACTCCAAAAACTTTTGTTTGTGACTGTTTATTCGATTCGCTCAGGTTTGAGTCTTTGGCCTCAAGTACCTTCTGTGAAACTGAATCAAATGACATTTATTCAGTGAGATACACAGATTGTGATTCTGAGGAAACAAGTGCACTGATGCAGCAGCTCACATTTTAGAATAAAAAAATGTGTCAGAAATGAAGAAGTTGGATTATTCACAGTTTTTACACACTTTCAGTCACAGCATGTGGTGTTCAAAACGAACAACTGGCTTGGTTTTGTCTCAAACTAGGACAACGGCACTATTCAAGAAAATCAGAAGGAGCGAGGATCATTTTATGTTTTTAATTATAAAAATAACAAAGCTTGGTCGTATTTGTTCAACGTTAGAGAGCAGACATCACAATCTATACACAGAAATTCTGCTTTTCCTGTGGAGGCGTGCTAATCTAATAACTGATCTCATCATTTTCAGATTAAAATAATGAAAAGATGAAACACATTTCCTGTCTGTCATGTAAACTGAAAAACATCACAAGTCTTATGAAGATATAACTTCAGGTTATGTTTTGAATTCCCCAAATCATTTCATATTTTCGGGCACCGTGGGTTTATACTCTTTATATTTATGATAAAAGGCACACAAATCAAATTGCACTGGAGCACGATTTAATATCCTTAAAATAAGATTCTTACAATCAGTTAATTACATAAGCTTTAAATCATGGTTTCAATTAGCTCTAATTCAGCTACTCCACAAATTCATGATGGTGCCTCTTGTACCCACTGAAGTACACTCTAAATAAAAGCACGATGAGTTGGGGAAATGCTGCCAAAGAAGAGGCGCTATTTCATAATTAATACATGTTTAAGCGTATTTGTGTCAAAAAGTGCACATACTTGTGAAAAGTAATGTCTTTACGATGGTGGCAGTGAAAAGACACCATGAAGTTTAAAGATGTTCATTTTCAAGCACGATCTTATGAACGAACCTGCAGAGATAGCCATGTTTGATGTGATTTACGCCGAGTTGGATGAAGATTTTTGTACATTTTGAGAGTTCATTTAATACAACTATAAGACATCAGCTGTAAACAATTACCATAGCGAGATAGAAATGTTCCACTGTTAGAGGGGAAATGATTAAAAACTGCCCTTTACTGACTCGATTAACTTAACCACTGTCAAGCTACAATAATATCTTTGATTAGCCCTGAATTGACAAGAATTGGGCTTCACTTCAAGGCTTCTGTCTGGCCTTGGTCTCCCTGACTGCCCTCTGCATGGCTGCCCTCTCATTACTGTAATTGACACGTTCATCCCTCCTCTTCCCCCCTCAAGGCGCTGATGGCTCAATTAGGAGCTGGCCGGAGGACTGATTGGACGCCCAGATAATGAGGTCGCCGCTTGGCTAAAAGTGCGTCCAGCCAAACCAACTCGTTCAACGACAAATGGGCAGCAAAAGAAGCAGAAAAAGGCATTTTTAAAAGGAAGTCTCGAGAAACATATGGATAAGAGCGGTGGGAGACAAGTAAGTCCGCTCATTATCTTCATTTGGTGACTCGGGTGAGCCCTGCACATGTCATTCGAATTGTCTGACTGAGGGTTATGCAACCTTTGAATACTGTTCTGATGAAGGACAGGGCAATCAAGCTCAGGGTAGGCATCTGTCTGTTTTGGAGTAGTGTAATTAGTGGCTGTGACCTTTAGCGGATTATGCATCAGCCAATGAAATGTGCCAAAGCCTTGAGATAAATGGTCCGAGCCTCAAACGTGACTCGCAGAGGGGTTAGCCCCTCCGCGGCTCTCTGACGGGGCTTTAGGTTGGTCTTAATGGCTCAATCTCAACCCCCCCAAAGATGGACAGCGCTTATTTGCTCTCATACAGACTTGTGACTCTGCAGCAACATTTCACCTAACAATGACAAGGAACATGGGGTAGCAGAGGATTTATATCTTCAAGTCACTGGCAAGCTGTCCAAGTTATTAAAGCAGTAACTCACCACTGCCTTTGCTATTGATTATATTTTTGGGTGATTTTCAGTGAAAGGTCAAAAAATAGTCACCAACATGTCCAAGAAGCTGTCTTCAAATTCCTTTTTTAACCACAAAAACAGCAGTAAATCAGAATATTTATCCTCATAGACATCTAGAGTAACAGAGTTCTCCAATGGGCAGAACCAACTCATTACTTAGATAAAATATGTCATCTTTTCTTTAGTGCAAAAAAGCTGCAACATTTCATCCAATCTCTTATACTAAATGATCATTCCTTTAATGTTGAAGTGGAGTAATGATGGTACTGTATCGTCACAACCAAAGGACAAACTAAATGTTGCTGAGGAAAAGAAAATAGCAGTAAAATCGCCACTGATGGCAAAAATAGAGGACATATTGTTTCTTTGAAAAGACAAATCCATGAACCTGCATTTTTGATATTAGCCAGCAGGGGGTGATGCCATTGGATTTAAAACAGGAAAAAATGTCAGATTGTACCAGATATGGACATAAACATGCCTCAGAGCTCCATTTTCAACCTTTTTCATCTTGAAGGAAATGGTCTCAAATGCTAGTTTCAAGCCTTCTAGCATACATCAGGATCTTAAGTTTACTTTTTTATGATTTCTTCTGGTCCCATTGATGGCTAAATTTATGATAAAGCAGGTTCTACTTTCAGGAAACGCAATACATGATGTTGTCTGTCCCAATACAGACACCTCTGACTTAAAATAGTAAGTTCACAAGGGCCAAAATGCCAAACAAAAAGAAATTAGATATGGTAATATCCACATGGCAGCTTTGGTACCAAAAATGCCTCTGAATTTATGACAACTTTTTGTGAGCTACATTCTGAGCATGTCTGGATGGTAAATTTGACTTATTCACCATTTTCCAATGAGAGGAGGGCAGCCTAATGAAGCTAAAATAATATTAGACACAACTTTGTATACATTCCTGAATCAAACACACTGTATTAACACAATTTCTGCTCATTTCCTTTTTACCTTTTAAGTGTATAGCTATCCCAAACACCCCTTCTTGACTAGCAAATAAATTCAATGTTTGATTAGCTGTCTGTCTTGTCAGATTTCCCCTGACTTGACTCCAACAACTGATAAACTAAAGCTGTTATAAGAGTTCCTGTTACGGACCTGGAGAAAGCGTCTGTTAGTTTTATTCTGTTCATCAACCACTCCCAGCTTTGTAAGCTCAAAGTCCTGCCCTGACGAGCTGCAAGTTTCAACAACACTGTTGTTTTAAGCACTTTTTCAAAATATTTTTATTGATGATAGCAGCTGACAAGTGGAGGAATAGTCATTTCTAGGATCCAGGTTTTTAGGACCTGAGGAAAGTAGCTTTGACTCCCTCTGGAAAGGGAATCAGCGCAACACCTACAAAGCACATTACAGCGAATTAAATGGTGGCTGTAGAAGTGATTGGATAAATGTATCATGAATGCCCTCCAATGCAACATCTGTAGTTAGTACAGATGTTGATATTAATCCATCTGCAGGGATGGCACACATGCTGGTGTTATCACTCTCTAACTGGCCTACTTCTAGCTGAGCAGCTTTCCTATCTACCCTGGGATGGCACTGAAAATCACGGCTGCACGAGCTAATCACTGCATACATAAATCTCCAATAATTAACTTCAATCGATTCAATCTGACCAGGATTTACGTTATAGGCAGCAGTAAATAAGGCCATGCAGATGCCCTTTCCACAACTTTTAGCAGTATTAGTGTTGGAAATATTCATGTAATTCGCCTAAAAATGAAACCCACTCACTGAAACAAACTTAACAGGTGCAGGAAAATAACATCTTTCTTCAGGCTATTGCAAAACAGGAAAAAAGCAGCTGCGTGAACAGCTTTGAACAATAGGTCACTTATGTGTAATTAGCCTGTTTTCTTCTTAATCTTATTAAACTTCCAACGACAGCGCTGGATAAGGTATGTGGGGTCCAAGTTGGGGAAACTAACCCCTTATTTTACACTAAGTAAGTCCTATCTGTAATATCCTCTGAGCGGTCTGACAGATGGGAGTCTGGAGACTGAGAAGGCCCACTGACGGCGGACAGGTACCCTACAGGATCTAATGTGACAGGTCGGGGAAACTAGCATGCCTCTCAAAATCGTGTCTCCTGACTTCTTAGTGCGGGTAACACCCTCTTTTCAGACACCAAACCCGAAATTGGTTCCCAGAGCAAAGGGATGAGCCCGTCTAAACAGGGCCATTTCACAATTTTCAAGTTACGAGTCGACCGACAGCCATTACCTTCCTTACCCTCTCCATTTAACTGCAAGCTGGAGCACACACGCACTACTTTACATCAAAATACCGACGTTGTGTATTCATTTTAGGGCTGTACTTCTAATCGATACAGGCCAATACAGTGATCCTTATTACTTTGCTGAATTTAAATATTAAAGCGAGCAGGTTTGTCCTCTTGTGCGAGGAAAAAGACGCAGGAAGGAAATGTATCACTCCACTTACCCTGAAATATTGCTGACAAAAACCGAAAACGAGCCTGCCGACACCTGCTCCACAAGCGACCCGACTTGTTTACCAACCATTAATTAAAAACGCTTAAGCGACGTATCTATCTAAGTGAATCCACGGCATTTTATTCCATTTAATGTTGAAGTAACTATACTGTCCACCCAGGCGATACAGTGAACCCAGTGTACGATCAACGTCATTGACATTAGCCCGTGATTGACCCGTCGGGAATCCAATGAGAAGCTGACATGCGGGCCGTTTATCCAATCACAGCGTAGTGTCACAAGAGAGGGTGGGTCCACAAGAGAGGACATGACGGAGGTGACGGCCATGTTCTGCAATAGTGTTTGTATCCCTCCGCCTCAGTATTTACCTTTTGCATGATTTTGCATGTGGGGAAAATGTCACTGTAGCCCCGCTGTGCCCTGCCTGCTTTCCATACGAGAGCCCGCTAGGCCATTTGTTTTTCACGTTTCCAAACGCCAGAGAGCTGCAGACAGCGAATAACCGACCGCAAAAGCCTGTTAGGAGAATCAAACGAGAGAAAAGATTTCTCACTTGTCTGGTTGTGGTCATGCAGAGAGATGTTGTGGTATCCTCCAGTAATAAACATACGGTATAAATAATGTTGGGACATGTTGTTAAACATCCACAAGCAGTCTAAAAATGACATTAAATCAATTTCACAATGGTTACATCTTAGATTATCATGACATACAATGTGCAGTTTAATAATCTAGCCTTGTATTAAGTAGGCCCAGTCAACATATGGAACCACCATAATGTATTGTAAACAACCTTCATATGCGGATTAATGTAGTTTGGTTTCTCTATAACATTAAGATTGCAGGGCCTGGTTTAAACACTGGAAGGCCATGGGTGGAAAACTACTCATAAGGACCCCTAAACACAACACCCAATTCACCCACATCCTTTTACTAGATGAGCTGGCAGTGGTTCAAGTTAAATTCTAAATTTAAACACTCCCTTACTCACTCCTCCTATTGGTGAGATGTTGGCCTTTGAGGACAAAAAGCTCCTGCAATATTGAAATATATGATTTTCATCTTTTTTTAAAAACACTTTTACCATTAAAATATTCATCATTACAAATTCCTTTGGCGGAAGAATTACTCCAACCATCTGCCACCCATTAAATAACCAAAAGATTTCTACATTCAAGTGATTACACACTTATCAAAGAATATATTATATCCCATTTCTACCACATCTGCCACTAAATAATACTCGGTACCATGTGAGCAATGTTTTTCACCTAGCATAACATTAGTCATCCAAATTCATCGGTACCTTACAACAAACAATACACAATTGATTCATTTATTCCAGAATATGTAACATGGTAAATTTGTGTCAAGTAAAAGCTACCATTGCATGTTTATTGTGTTTGTTTAGTTTGTTTGTTTTGGAGTTACAACAGGAGGTTTATGACACTTACCTGGACAGAAGATTATGTCATATCTGCTCCACATCTCTCATTAAAAAGTTTGTCTCATGCGTAACGTGGCATTGTTGAGCGTGACCACTGGGATAGCTGCAAGAAGAAGCCTGGTACAAAAAGTATAGATTTGGGGGGGCAGTTAAACACCACACAAGGAAGGATTCAACTGTTTTTGATTGGATCAGTTTCAATTATATGTTTTTTATATTTGTCCCCATGTCCCTAGATATTGATGAGGTATGAATAACACATACAGTACAGCTCTTTGTTTGTCTGGTAAGTTGGATTGTGACAATTTGGAGAGCGGTTCTCCAACTCTTTGGATTGGATGTACAAGTTTTCACCAGAGTTTTTGTGTTTTTGATGTGTGGGATTATTTTGGATCCAGCAACCACTGAGGTATGTACATGTCTGATTTTGTTTTTTCTGCTTTATAGGACTAAATATACCAGTATTTTTCTGTGGAAAGTTATGAGCTAAAATGGTCAAATTTATCTCATAGTGAGTCTTTTGGTCTTACTCTACAAGAAAACAGAAAAATGTACTTTAGAAAAATGAAACTATCATTCGATTTAGGATCAAAGGTTACCAGATAAGCAATGGGAGAAATCTGAGGTGAGGTAAGTAACTCATCCAGGTGGGTAAAACACAGCCACTATAATCACTGTGTTTAACATGCTGGCTGCATTATTCTTCTCTCCCTTTGGTTTCCAGGCAGACTTGTGTCCTAGTTAAAAAACAAATGCTGTATCAGACCCAGTGCTGTGGACTACTGGGAATAGAGAGGCTGACAGAGATAAAACACAAAACACTTTGGAAAAATGCCTCATCAGGGACATCTTGGATTAGAAACAGTATCAAAGACCGGCTTGATTTTTTGCATTCAAACCCACCAGCTACAAATAGGCATAAAGATGAGTCACAGACAGACCTCACAACACTAAACTCAGGCATGGGCATCAGAGATGACCGGAAAAAGCAGCGGAGGAGAAGAAGAACCAGGTCAACTCTGGTGCACAGAGGAAAGAAACCATGCTAAAGAGACCTGAACACCCCCAAGAAAAGCAGAGTGCAAGGATCCGGAGATGACCTAAAAGTTTTCTGAAGTTCACAGAAGTCATTTGAATGAAGTCCAGCGGGAAGTTATAAACTCAAAGTGTGTAGCATAACGGTGTCCAGAGGCAGACATAAGAAATGAAAAGCAGGTTACAGAGAGCAGAGAGATGAAGCAGCAAAGGAAGGGAAAGTTCAGCTGAAGAAACTCCAGAAAGAATTGGCCTCGGGCACCTGAGAGGAGAACAGAGTGGGCATCTGTTAAATGTTCACACCAGCTGAAGACAGGGTTACAGATAAAATCCCTGAACTGTTCAGTGTTGTGGCTTCAGACCAGTTGGTAGAGCTGGGTAATTAGTTGGTACCGGAGTCTGTTTTGTTCAAGAGTCCTTCAGATGGAAACCAAATCCCACATTGCAATCAATACACAACAGTGATGCACTCAGAGTCATGTGTCAAATTAATCTGAAGCCATGAAACTACAGCTTTAGTTGAAATGCTATAACTGTAACTAGAGTGTTCAATTTGAACACTTGAAGCTTAGATGCATGAAGAATGGCCACTGTGTTGAACATGAAAATCATCAACTGATGGCATCACTTCAAGTAAAAGGTGTAAGAATACCATGAAATCTGAATCAAAGCTAGTAATACTGACAGATCTTTGCTTTCCTCACAATGAACACGTTCAAGTCAATTTGCTGAATCATCCACAGCCTCAGAAGGACATCTAAAAGCATTAAGGTCCATATTTTCATTCATTTAAGAAAAGAGAAATGGTTGGGAGGAAATGACAGCTTATCATAAAAACTTTGTTTATTGATGTCTCACCCTGAGGGTCAATCTTTTCACATAATGCTGTTTTTGTACCCACGATTATATCTACAACATACAGAGGGACTGTTTCATATACTGAAAACATTTACTGCACATCTGTTCATCCTCCTTCAGTTGCTTTCCATGTTTTCCCCCTGGAAGATTTTTTGACTTGAGTGGCACAACTGGAGCACTGAGGGTGGGATGAAGTATGTGCACACAAACAAACACAGTAATACCATATCTACTTTAACTACTACTGTCATATTCTGGGGTGAGGTTTTCTTACTTTAAAAAGTGACTCAACAGAGTAGCAACACAAAAAAATGATCTAGTTTTGAATTTTGACGGTAAAGCTACGATAAAGTACCTTAAAGTTGCAAGTAAACTCATGTGCACTATCCGAACTTTTTGATGGACTGATTCCTGTCTCACACACTGTGGGTGTATGAAGTATTTTTCTACACTCTAAGCTTTGAACCAAACACTGTTGCTGTTTGTAATAAGGTTCAGCAGCAAATACTCTTAAGGGAATCTTTGTCTTCACCAACTCGTGGATTTTCTTTTTATCATATTTACTTTGATGCCGACTGCAAACTACAAGAAGTCTGTATTACTGATGCAGAACTAGCCAATAGTTTAGACTTTTGGGGTGGTCAGTCAGATTTTGCTGTGGATACCTCTCTGAACAAGCTTCAATCTGTAAGGCCTAATTTTGTGGGGTTGTAACTCGTCCAAATTGAGGGTCTGAGGATGGAGGGAGGTAGAAAGCCCCCATGGCAATGTCTGATTTTGGATTATAATCACTCACACATTTGGACTGGTTTGATTTTTTGTTCTCCCAGGAGTAAGTTGGCTCCATGTTGAATGCACTGATTCTATTTATTATGTTATTTCTTACGGATGGAAAATACATGAAGTAAAATGCAACGTGCATCATAACACCAAAAGCAAACGTATATGAGTGTGTAAGAATGTATTAATTCTTAACATAATAAGATTTACAAAGTCAGTAGACTGTTATTTTCATAAATTATTTTGAATTTCAAAATGCAACATATCTTCTGTGTTTTAGCACATTTTCTAATTTGCATGATACTGTTACTGGACATGTGAACCAGATGGGAATGTTTGGTTTTGGTTCTCAGAGTTACTCAAAGGGCTTTATTGGATTTAAGCCAATATCAGACATTTTTCCATGTATTAGTCAGCAGCATACTCAGTAAGAAAACTGATTTACAAAATTTCCAGGATAAATCTAATATAAGAGAAATCTAAGTGTGTAATAAAGAGCTGCAGCAGAAGAGTTAAATCTCTAACGGTCAACAAATGTTAGCCGTCTTATAGTAGATCATATTTTTGTGAACCCCAAATTGACGCCAGTTTACAGCAAACATCTTACAACACAGAGACTGTCATCTTTGGGCTCAGTTATGAAGGAATCCTGCTCATTTGTGCGACTTATATAGGGGGCAGCACAACACACCTCAGAGGTCATCTGATCCCATCTGTGCACCTGGAAATGTGCTTTATCGTCAGAGTGATAATGACAAAAACAAGGCAGAGTGCTCTCCATGCAGGTCTCTCCCCCCTGCTGTGTTGCCCACACACACTCCACACTGCCTCCCACATACGCTCCATTCTGCCATCATGTTGTTCTTTATGATCCCATTTAGCTGTGAAGACCAGAGCTGCTTGTCACCACCGTTTAGTGGATGACTTTTTTTATTTAATTCAATTTTGGGAGCAAAAAATGGGTTTTGATTTCATGTACTGCAAACATTAAACAGTAGTCTCATCACATGTAGTCTCGCAACCAAGAAAATAAGTTAGGTATGAAAGGAATGAGGAAATGATGCAGACCCTTCAACTACAACTCTGGCTGTGTACATCAATTTTGAGCAAAGAAACTGTAAGTTAACACTGATATAATAAAAAGTAATTGTTAAACTGAGTTTAGAAGAGGGAGTAAGTTTGCTTGTTGCGTGAAGTGCTATCAGTGGGTGGGAGTCATATGTGCAGTGTAAAGACCTAACCATCTTTGGTGCTGAAAAGCTGATGCTTGTGACGATGTAAGAGAGAGAGAGAGAAAGAAAAAAAAAGTACCGCTAAGATAAAAAGAAACTGGTGGTTAGTCACAAGAACCACTGTGAAAGACTTCTCTGTCAATGTGTGAAGCACAAAGTGCTGCCACCAAAGAGATTTTTCGAAGAAGTCTGCCCTCATACGCTCTGCTAAAAAATTGATTTGCTGCGTGTTGTTGCTCATTAATTCACTGTGACTTCTGATCTGAGGGAAGCAGAGCTTTGTAAACATAAGAACATCAAATATGTGGCCGGTTAAAAGCCTGATAATAAGTTTCTCTGACATAAAGGTCCATGTTAAGAACTTATTAACATCACTGTGTTTCACGTTTTCAGAGGCTAACTTTAGAAAAGAGAATATAAATCAAATTTTTTTACAGATTTTTTTAAACAATCAAACTACACAGCCTGTATAAGTCAAAGTATTGCCTTTTAGAGGAGTTATACTCCTGGATTTAAAGCTCCTGAATGAAACTTCTGGTTTGTATCAAGTGGACAGAGCAGTCTTTGCTAAACTTGTCCTCTACATGCTAAAGTAGTCCAAAAAAAACCATCAGACTGTTTGCTGACAGACAGTTAAATAAATTCTTTATTGTGATTTTTTAGGTAGAAATGGTAAAAACTGGGCTTTTTCTTTAGATGCTCAGCTGACACCTACCCCCTCGCTTTGGTTTCAGGCATTAAAAATTACAGGATAAAAATCATCGATCATGCCACTGATGCTCTTGTTTACTTTTGGATATCACCAAAAGTGCTCAATGTGAATTTCAGTCTATTTAATTTACACAAAAAAGAAACTCCTCAGAAGCTTTAACACAAACTTGCCATTTTTGAAAGCTCACTGACTTTTACTTTAAGGCGCTCATTAACGTTAAGGTTGAATCTTCTACTTATCCAGCCTGAGACTGCAAAAGATCATGAAAGTTATTCACCTTTGTTGCTTGTCCTTACCTAATTAATTGGTAGCTAAAACCTATGCCTAAGTAATAATTTACAATAGCTAGAGGAGCCCTCAGGTCTTAGTTAACTTTCTTCTTCTTCATAGTTCACACTGAAATTTTTTATAAAATAAACTTGGGACCATTTGTTCAGCATATTTTTGTAAACTAACTACAGTTATATCAACACAAGTCACAATTAAATCAGGTGCTTGGTGGATGTTGACCCTACTTTTCTCACAATTTCAGTCACCCAAACTTTTTGGGAGTTTTCATTCCATTTTGCACAGGTGTGGTTCTTTTGATAACATAATAAACCAAGTAATATGATTGATTGTGCTCATAACCGAAGTTAATCATAAATTATCAAAATCAATTCAAAAATTTAAGAATAATGTTTTGCACTGGAAATCAAGAATAGGACTGATAATGAAAGTTTTCAGACAAAACACCCTCAACTATTAAAACAAGTTATGACTAAGAAGCTCGGTAAATGCAGCCAACAGGTTTCCTTCAATCATTTATAAAATACTGATGAGAATGTAAGATTTTTGTGCTTATAATAGTATAAGCAGGTTGGGGCTTTCACAGTACCATCAATGGCCAAATGGGGCAGCAGACACGAGTCCAAACTCAGTGGGGATGATGTAACACATAGAAACGTCCACATGGTGGCAGCAGCAGAACAGAGAATCACTCATCTTGCTTGGTGTCTCGTCTGCAGTCCCTCATCGCCCTCCAAGAACAGCACTACATAATGCCCCTGATACGATCTCCATGCCAAATGACTTAATGGTGATCTCTCTATGAAATCCTCGAAAGCAGGAGAGTTTTTGCTGCAGATCCACGAACACACCAAAGACGAACAGCAGAAGGACTGAAGGAGCTTATACCTCTAAAATTATCATATCACCTACATCAAACGGTGGCTAGAGAAGCAGATTAGAGGCCTGATCACCTATTATTAGTCTATATACATGTAAAATGAACTTACAAATAAGTCTATTTACAGAGATAGTTTTTTGGTGTGTAGCAGAGACATAAAGCTTTGCGTCTCAGATGACTTTCGCCCTGTGTGCAAAACCCTGAACACAAATCTTAATTCTCACCTGGGATCTGTTGTTTTTGTGCTGCTTCAGCATTTCTTTAAAAAGAAATAACTCTCCCTGTTGAGACAAACAAAAGGCTCGGCTGTTAAAGCGAAGTTTCAATGGCTTCTATACATTTATTGACAGTCATTGATATGTTTTAATCATTTGTGGACATACTATAATTGTAGTGAGGTCACAAAATCAGCTACTAAACTTAAAAACATGAAGAAAAACACACATTTAAAGACATTTAAAAAAGAAATACACCAAATGTGTTTCTTTAACAGGCAAAAACGATAAGACAACTATTCTCAGAAGCTATAATGAATGTTATTAAAAGTCGTCTAAAGTTGTGCTAAAATGTGTAGAGGATATGTCCTTATGAAGGGGGTCTGGGACCATTAATAATTAGCGTATACTGACCAATAAATGATCTACAAGACGATAAAGTTAAAGCAATTACAGCATAGACTGTTGAAAATATGAGCAATAAACGGAGACTTTGAATTTAAAGGAGGATTTCAGCACATTGGAAACTCTAGACTTTATTTTTTTTTACCAAGTCTCATAATTAATAAGTTGTTGTAAATCAAAACAGTCAAAGTTTCTTTTTTTATTTTTGACATCTGGGCTGTGGCTCCTATAAAAATCCAGTTGGGACACCAAAGCTCCTACAGAGTCACTACTGTGCAACCTGTTCAAGTTTTGGCCTGTTTAGAGCAAAAATTCACAGAAGTTCAAAAATAAAACCAAAATACCAAAGTTTTAAATAGATAAACCAAAAATAAAGCTTTTAAAAAATGAGATTATAGAAAGTGTGTTTTTTCGCGAAGCTGCAGTTTTAAAAGTCGATGTATAAACTTAATAAAAGCAGCAAAAAGAAATAAAAGCTGAACAGTTTCATGACTTTCTTTTCCGTGTGTAGTTCCTCCAATTGTGGGCGTAGACATTTAAAGCAATTTATCGCAAACCAGTATCAACTAGATTTGTCAAACTTTATTTAAAGAGCTTGCATTCAGTCTGCAGTCAAATCAAATGTCTCTAAATCAAAGTCACTCGATGAATCTCGATGAAGAAGAAAAGGCAGAAACGATTCCCCAAAGTCTCCCTGACTCAAACTTTGCGTGGAAACTCATTTTGTCCACTACCAGAATAAAAAATCTCAGCCCATCACCAAACGGAACTTTCTGTCTTGTTCATCTGCTTCGTCTGTGTGATTTTAATGTCCATATATCTTGATTCTTATTTCTCTACACTTATAACAACAATAATACTGAGAAAGTTGTTCTACATTTGGTTTGACTCGACGACAAATCGTCCTGAGACAATGATTATACAACAGAGTATATATATATTCATTCACTAAAATCATTTTCATTTTTTAAATTGCAGCAAGTTTACAGGATAGTAAAACAACATTTAAATGCTTTCAAAAATATAGAAAGCATTTAAATACATTTTATTTAACTTTAACTTCACATTTTATACCGTAGCTACAAGTATCTGAAAGTGAGTTTCCCTCTGCCTATTACTACACTCTGCTCTGTGGCCTATTTCCAAATGTCTTTAGAGGCTGCAAACTTCTGTCCAAGATTAAAACTGCTGCCTTTTGGATGATATTTATATTACATGTTATCAGTATTCACTGCTTTCGATCAGCTGACTGAAAAAAGCATGGACTAGTCTTTGAAAAGGATTGATTTTCAGACTTTCAGTAGTCTAATCTTGTCACTCTCACAGGTGGCTGAAGTCTTGGAGGCTATCCTTCTGTCAACCTTGAGAGGGTGGTTTGGTCTCTGCATAAACATTTTCGTTGATATGTTTTGTATAACATTAAAAGGCCTGATGATAAATGGTAACATGGCCTCATTAATAAGACTGTATAAGGGACTGCTCAGACACGACATGAGCTGAGGAGATAAATCCAGCGGCAGCTTTGTCAAGGGGGGACAGAAGAAGCGAAGTGCAGCAACAACAGAATAAAACATGAATGATTCTCCCCACCTCTGAACTATTTCTCTGGTTATCATCGAACCTCACTTTCAAATATGGATGCAGAAAACATCTCCAAATACTTAAGAGCTAAGCTTTTAACTCAGCTAAGTAGGCCTAAATCTACAGAGGTCTGCACCCAGAGGTTGTTTGATTCTATACACAGAATTTTTTAACCAATTTTGCACCAATTTTCCAGTTTCCCACGGTAGCAAAATGATCTGTATTGTGTTGTCAATATGCAAATTCTCTCCAGCTCATCTGACACAAGGAGTCTGTAAAGTGATGCAGAACATGCCAAACCACCGGTTGATGTCATGTAATCCTGGAATAAACAAAAATATACTCCTCTTCATTTACAGCCTGATTTTTAGTTTAAGATCTACTTATCTAAGACCTTCTTTGCTTCTTTTTAAAAATGCAAATGTCTGACTCCCCAAAATACTCTGCATTACTGGGATAACTGGTAAGTTTGCAGCCGAAGTGCCCCTCTGTCATTTATTATACACCACCGTGTCTCAATGAGCTGCTATTCAGATCAGCGCAGCGCCATTTGAATATTGGCGCGACGTGGGGGTGAAAGGGTGCCAGCTCTGAGATCTCCTGTGCACGCTGAATCCTCGTAGTTTGTCAAAGGTGTTACAACTCATATTAACAGTGAATTTATGTGACTTTTATACATGTCAGCTGCATCTAAGCGTTGCTTGTAAACGTGCGTAAAAGCTTTTTTTTGTTGACGCACCGTTCGCCCAGTCAGTGCGCAGCGTAGCTCCAGCTTGCCTGGTGTCTGGCCTGGCAGCAGTAAAACAATGGAGGGATGTGAGGGTGCTTTACTGCTGTCGGAGGGGTCTGAGACAAAGTGTGACCCAGCAGCCAAAAGACTGTCTGCTTCTCACGGCCTGGGTAGCACGGTGCCTTAAGTAAAAAGGGGGCAACAGGCGGTTGACTTTGAACGCACCGAAACAAGAAGCGATGGTACTTTTTCTGAGAACTGTTCTGTGGCGATGTCGCATTCTGGTGTCGTCTCCATGGCAACCGTAGTTTAGCCTCTCAAATTATATGCCTCTGAACACACGGTGAAGTTTCAAACATTGTTGAAAATTCGGCACAGACCACATTTTTACAGACTAGAAGAGTCTTTGAAGTACTTCACTTGGGCCATTTCCATTGAGGCAGAACCTTATAATGGTCTTTGGTGTGTTTCTTGGGTGTTCTGGGTCTTCATTTCCTTTTCTTTAAGCTCATAGTTGAACATTACATGACAGTACAATCCAAAACATTAAAATAAAGTGTTAATCCATGAAACTTCTCAGTTGGAATAATCTCAATCAACGAACTAACCACATCGATGACTGCTTTTAAACGCCAGTAGCTCGAACTTCAGTCTTTTTTTTCACTTTTAGACTTTTTAACAAAACACACTTTTAAGTGAAGGGCTTTAAAACCTTGTTAAACTTGACAAACTCATTAAATTCTTATTAGATTTACAGTAGCTGCAGACTAGGCTGTGTTGGATACGTCTTCGCCTTATGTGTGCCTCATAGTTTCTGGTTGCGTAAAGAAGTCTACTCTTTAATATCAAAGTTGATCTTGTCTCATATGTTTTATATGTTAGGTCTTTGCGTTTTCATCTTAGCTCTTAATTGTTTTATTCTCATATTTTATTCAGTATTTGTTCATTAGAGCTAATGTGGGAGCTTTGATGGGATTTTATTTCACTCTTATTGTCTCCCCCTGTTGTACAGCACACTGGTCAACGTGAGTAACTGTGCTATAAATGACTTGGACTTGACTATTTGACACAGACTCAGTATATAAACGGTTTTTATTGTGGAGTGAACTCTTATGTTACTTTTTAAACATCTAAAATGAAGTTTTCTAGGACACATTTTTCATTTCCTGAATCGAGGGAAAACGGATAACTAGAACTCCTACAACAACATTGTAGGTCTGTCATGACTTATCATAAACCTCTGCCTTTGAAGCTGTTGTTTCCTGGTCTTTTACGCAGTGCAGCGGTTACTATAAGGATATACATTTGGGCCTCAGAGCGATTATTACGGTGTCCATGCAGCGTGCGTGCACAGGTGCTGTTTTACGCACGCTGCTATGCGCTGCAGCTCCTCAGAGAGCTTCTCGGTAGAGTCCCTCAGTTAGTAATAAACTAAAGTTTTTACAGCACAGCATACGTGTGCATATTGTTTCCATGTTGCAGCAGAGAGAACCAGCACCGACGTAGATTTATAACAGTTCCTGATCAAGTTTCTCATAGGTGTTTCTCAGCAACTCCACACGGAGGTTAGGGCAGCTAACGCCAAAACAGACGAAGAGGGAACCAGCTTTTTAACATTATACTTTAAAAACACGGTGTATTTTGCACTTTATTTTACCAATGATTGGCCAATAATTTTCTACAAATTCATGGTATTGATCAAAGATTTTGGGGTAGGCTTCATGGTGGGTTGGAAATGGCATATGAAGTATCACAATCTCATAAATTATAGTCCAAATAGTTGGGATAATCTGTCAATCAGGCAACCAAGATGTGTTTTATTTGGCCTGCAAGACTTCAAAAAAGGTCTAAATGTATTTCTTATTCCCTGCATTTCATACATGCTTAGTCAGTCTGTAGTGGGACATCTTAGTTGTGTATGCAGCAGAGGTGCAGCTATGTGTGTGAAGGCATGTTCACATTCTGGGGGCCACACATCAGCATGGCTGAGTTCACTTTATTTCATGCTAATGACAAGCACGTCTAGTCTGTGCATATACATACAAGACAGACAGGACATGAGACTTCACTCAATACGCTGGAGAGGATACTTCTCAGACCGACTCTTAAGATTTCGGTTTGGGATTATCATGATAATTAGCAGAGCTCAAAGCGCCTCTCGAGTCTGCCTCTGGAAGTTTGATGAGGAGACAACAACATATTTGAGATCAGTCAGTTCTGGGTGAGAAGACAAATACAAAATGTTAGGGTGATTTTCTTAAGAGTGGTGGAGCCATGCAACTCAAATACCATGGATACGTTGGTGTTAGATTGCTGGAGCCGGGGGCCTCCGACGACCCTCCTCAACCAAAGAACCTTGTACACATTTTTTACATCACACAGGTCCCCAAAATATGTTCTGCCATGGTATTTCCTTCTATGGACCCTCCATATATTCTCCTAAGGCTCCTTAAAACATGTTGTCCTTTGTTCTCTCAACTAAATGTCAGCAGAATGTTTGGAAATGTGGACAGCTATATATACTTGAACGGTCTCTGATCAATCTTGTGGCACGATGAAGCTATAACCCAGATCTGCCTTTGGTAAAGCTTGTCAAACTGACCATTCGTGTGGACCTGGGCTTGGCATCCTTACACAAAAGAAGGGACTGAAAACTCCTCAGTAACTTTTCCTCAGTGCCAGAAGCCTACACTTCTAAAGTTATGAAGAAACGGATGTGAATAAATGTTTCAGGACACCAACACAATCTTGTATGTGTGACAAAACTCAAATAGCTCACTGGAAAAGCTTTGAATGGAAAGAGGATGGTTTAAAGTAAAGAAAGTGAGTGGTAGTTACAAGGTGGGGATGTTTAATATAGATGTTCTTACAGGCTAAAGTACTTTTTTTATTGCCTGTAGATTTCTAACATTGTCTAAAACATTTGATACACACTCTGTCTAAGCACCCCTACAGGATTTAAAGTGCTGCTGTATGAATGAATGAATGATGGAGCCATCGTGCACTTCTGCATGCGTCTGTTGGGGGGCGTGAGAGTTGCTGCCATGGGTCCTTATTACAATCACAGCAGCCGTCTTGCATAATATGAAAAATCTCAGAGGGTGGGAACAGTGTTACCTCACTGACTCACGAGGAGGCGGGACTTGGACGGCATATATGATTTTGGACAAATGAAACGTTGGAGCATTTGAAGAGACAGCGGTGGTCGAGGTGCAGCTCCTCCAACTCTCCCCCCTCTCGCCTGCGTGGTGAGGGGAGGACGGGGGTGGGTTTGTGGATGTGGATGTGGATGGGAACCAAGACGAGCTGGAGAAAAAAAAACACACACACACACAAGAGGACCCGTTAGATTTGAAAAAATGGACGCGGCCGGCGGAACGTCACGATGCGCCGTCGCCACAATAAAGCTCAATACGCCGCTCGTGAACGCGCGCACTTGGCTCCCAGCATGCCGCACGTCCGGAGGGAGCAGCGCTTACCAGGAACTCATCCAAACCTGGAGCAACCCACCCTGCAGCATCTGAGGAAGACACAGTAAGACCCATATTTTGTTTTTTCTTAGAAGTGTAATTTCATGCGTTTGGGGTCCAAATCCAGATTGAAACAAAAGGAGCAGGAGAGCCGCAAAAGGGGGGCGTTCAGTCTGTAGCACACTGTGTTGAGTTTAACCCTGTTGACCTAATCTCCAGCGCTAAATCTATTCTACATTCTCTCCTAGAGTGGCTTTTCCACTTTGAGACCAGTTTGAAGCTGAATGTGTGGGGCACAGCTGCAGTAGTAAGATGTGAAATAAAGGCTGAACATGATCCGATGGAAGCAGCAGCAGCAAGAACAGCAAGATCAGCTCAGATGTAGTTTCACTTGTGGCTGCTTGTGACCACTTTTTGTGAGGACAAAGGCGTCCAAATGGATCCAGAAAAAAAAACTGGGTACGAGAGAAAGAAGTTATTGAGGAAATTTGGCACACAGTTTGGTATGATTCTTTGGTGATCTCTTGTCTCCCACGAGGCCTTTTCACTAGTTTGAGATATCACTATTGGTACTCGTACCAGTGGAAATTTGGGACTTACATTTACCCCCTTTCTCTCTCTTCCTCGTGCATTCAAACTGCATTTTAAATGAGGTATAATTAATAGAAAGCACCACAGTTATGAGAGGGTATTTTTACTTCAACTCTTGATCTGGCAGTAAAGGTTTTGATGCTTGGCTGCTATTTTCCCCACTAATGCACAAGTCCAATTCAAAAACTGGAGCCATGGTGAACCCTTTGGCTGTAGGGCTCCTCATCTATAATTACAGAGCTGCAGTGTGTCCATTGAACGCCTCAGGGCCAGAGTGTTAGTGGTGTCAGTGTGGCCTTGGGCGCTGCAACCTGCCATATAGCCGCTGCATGTGGTGTTGTGTGTTTGGCCCCGTTTGCTATCCGCAGATTACCAGCTCAAAAGGCTGAACAGTAGGGAAAAAAGCATGCATAGAAAGTAAAGGTGATTATTGTGTGGGGCTTCATGAAGCCAGCAGCGTGGCTTCCAGCAGCCTGGGATTATACAGCACGGTGCCAGTATGGAGCTCTTACATAAGGCCTTGTTAATCTGTGTTGGAAGCCAGACCTCCCTCTCACGCATGTTTGATTTGTTGTAATGGTTATTTCATTCTGCGTCAAGTGGTGACGCTCTAGGAAAGTTCATTTACTACATTTCTGGACTTTCTCTGTGGCGTGACCAATTATGACTGACATATATGCCACGGGAACACAAATTGTGCGCAACCCAGGACCAATTTTCTTATAAACTGCATTATTGGTTTGGGTGCACGTGGAGAAATTCCTCCAGATTAAACGCACGGATTGCGTAAAGCTACCATCAGACTGAACAGGTGAATACAGGTGGGAATGACGAGTTTAAAAGATACAAGAAAGGCTCTTAATTTGAAAGGTCCTGCTGCGTGCACGGTAGCATCCTTGTAGTACTCATGCTGCAGAGTCAGAAGCTGCAGGTGCAAAGCTCTGACTCAATGAACCTGCTGCTGAGCAACGCACGCTGACCTAGTGGGCACGGTTCCTACGCAGGGTGTTTTCCAGGGATTTTCTCTTTGACCAAAAGAGAGAAATGAAGGAACTCTGTGTTATAATGAAGATGTCATTCAAGACAATTTGATGGACTTCTCTTCTTAAATTATTATTTTTTTCCTCTGCAGAAATCTTCATCCAAACGCAAACGAAATGAGGACGATGGCTTCTTACAACGTCCAGGTAAATTTGAAAACATGGATGCTTTCAATGACCATCAACAAACTGTAATGTAATCGCACGAGACTTACACTGGCTTACAGTTTATAATGCTCTTGTGTACAGCACACACACACACTCACACACACACGAAACTAGAAACAGACGCAGCAGCAGCAACAGCAGCAGCACGCTGAGTGGAACTAATCGATTACTCGTGGAAATCATTTTTAAATCCTTTCTGGATCCTTTTTGTTAACATGAATGTTCCGCTCAGATTTTACAGCACTTAAAGCAGCTTTTTATTCTCCTGACAAACTAATAATGTACTTTTTTTCTTCTCTGTACAACTAAAGTAAACGAAGAGGTGTGTGCGTAACCGAGGCTGTCCCACGACTTCAATGTTCTTTTCTCTCTTTTTACAATTTATGATATATTTTAAGATACGCATTTTATAGCCTCAGTAAAATAGGAATTTATTGACCCTATAGCAACGAGCAAAACCTGTAGGTTTGACCTATACAGTGAAAAAAAGGATAGCCTATAGGACTATAATAATAGACGCTAAAACACGCAGAGAAGTGGCTTTACGCATAGAAAACGCAAAAACAGCTTTATTTTGTGCCAAGTTGTCTCAATTAAACTCGTGATTTCCAGTCTGCAGTGTTGGTGTTAACACTCTATTTAAAACCACAAACTAAAGAGCTTTAATAATCCCTAAACGGAGATAACAGAAACATGAAAAAGAATAAAAAAATGAATAATATAAGTTATTACAGTATCATGATTGGCTTTTCTCTTTTATTAAATTTGCTAGATCAGAAAAATACACACCATCAACACATGAAACGGTTATTACATTGGGTGACGATAATTTGGTCCTATTTTAACATAAAGCAATTTAAATAAGTAGGATTAAAAAAACATCAAATAACAGGTTTAAGTGACAGGATATTCAGTTTTCAAATAATTCAATTTTTACCCTATACGTAGAATATCAGAAGCAGCCTACTAATCAGATCTGCAGATACACTACAGTAGAGAGAAAAAAGTACACTGCAATAGCGTTAAAAAAACTAAAGATGTAAAGTTTAACACAGCTTTAGTTGACTTCTTTTTGAGAGCAGCCTATTAGAGTTTGCTGTGCGCATGTGAGTCTCACTCTCGTGTTTAAACGTGTGTGTCACGGCCTGCAGACAGCAAAGTCAGCTCCACTAATGCAGGTTTCTCTTTGGCAAAAATCCAAATGTCCATGTTAGCTGCAATTCATCCTCCTTCGCGAGGACCTCTCGAGGAAGAAAACGGTTGTAGATCAGATTTTAAGTGCGTAATTATTTGTATGGACTCTTACGTACAGTTTTTTTTTGGCCTGTGTGTGTGTGAGGAGGAATTTGTTGTACTCGTTCAGCAGTGTACAGTGGCCTATTTTCACATCCTCTCCATAATGGCTGGTGTATCTCTCTCTCTCTATGTGTGTGTGTGTGTGTGTGTGTGTGTGTGTGTTAATTAGGCATCACACCTCGCTGCTAACGCATTAATTGCAGCGATAGCTCTGACGTCACTCTCACGCAGACTCTCTCTCTCACCAAAAGTCAGTGAAAAAGCTAATCTACCTACATACGGGGATTTACATTTAACATTATACATACACAGCACAGCCCTGCTTGACTGTGTAACATTTACATTATAAATAAATATTAACATTTTTTTTTAATTTGGCTTTTTCTTAAATAGTATGCATTTTAAATCACAGTTGATGTTTTTCTGTTAAGGCTTCATGCATATTAGGCTAAAGGGAATTTCACTGTAATGCACAATTATTTTTAAAAAAAATTAGTTTGATTCTTAAAAAAAAAGTGGGACCATATTCAAAAACGTCAAATTAAACAATAAGGATTAAACTGGAATATACTGTATTTATTGGTTCTTTATCACATAGATGATTTCCAAAATGTCATTCAGCTGAAATGGTATTAAAAAAATGTAACTCCACAGAATATTATGCATCAAATCTGAGTTTACAAAATATATCCATTAAGCCACAAGGATCTTGAATATTTTCTACTATATTTGGGACAAACTTGTGGTGAAAATAATATTCATACTCCATTAAATAAATTTTAACTTTCTCATTAATTTGCAAATATTAAGTTGCTTAGACATACAATCTCAATCTCTCTCACTCTTTAAAGACAAGTCTACACTGTATATGCCTTCTATAAATGCTTAAGTGTAAAGTAATGAATATTAAAAAAAAAAAAATAAAAAAAAAAAGAGTATGGACTGAAAATATTCAGCTAATAACACACAGATAAATACTCAAGTTTTTAGGAGGTTAAACACATTAGAGAGATGCTCCAAAAAGAAAGTGTTCATAAATATTCAGTACATCTGTATTCCCCTCTTGTGCAGCTCACATTAGTCCAGACTGGACTTTAAAATAGACTGAATACCTTTATATAGTGATGGAGTATTTACCCTGGCCATAAAAATGAGTGTATGTGTTAAATTTCAGGGGATTTCCTCTTTGCATTCAACTGTAATATTTTCTATTTACACTGTTTGTGTAAATTATTCCCTGCAGTGCTGTTCCAGCCCCTCGTAAAGATCTTTATTGTTGTTGTCTTTAGTTCACTGGATACTCGCCTTTAATGCTTTGTTTTGAATTCCTATAAGAGCCTGTTCACATTTCAGTGGTATAAAAAACACTTAATAGCTTGGAAAATGTGTTTTCCCAGCAGTATCCCCTGTGAATCTTTAGTCATGCTTGTTTTTCATCTCATTTCACTGAGGCGTTTTTAACACCATGTGATAAATCATCTGTATTAATACTGCAGATTTATGACCATCATTGTCATTATTTCCACCTTTGTGCAAAACACTGAAAATTAGCTTTGTGTTTCTTTTCTTTTCTTCTTCTTTTTTTCTTTTTGGTGAATTAGCCCTTTAAAAGATTTTGTCCTTGTCACTGTTGGTCCTCACAGGTGTGCTGGAGGTTGCTTGTGTTTGTGTTGTTGGCAGCGAGGAGTGTGTGTGTGTGCAGGCCCGAGGGGTTGTCTGTTATCTTTGGTTATCTAGCTGTATGAGTGACGTACATTCTTCATAAAGCTAGATAACCGAAAGTAACAAGAATCCCATTACACGCCTGCACACCAAGAAGAAAAACTACAGCAAAACAAAAACATGATAAAGAGGAAGAAGCAGGAGAAGTGAGCTCAGAGGACGGGCACTGCTGATGGATGACGTGAAGGTATGATGCTGTTGTGTTACATAAGGCTTGATTATAATAAGAGGGGAGGGCTTTCTTATGGAGGGTCCAGTGTGAAGCAGACACCAAAGATCATCAATTGATTGAAACTGAGTTAGATGGTTAGCATGGATCTACTTAAATACATCTATGTGCTTATTCTTTAACTGTGATAACACTGTAGTGGTGAGGGAGACTGTTGTGAGGAGACTGAATGAGGTTGTGTTACAAAGTGTGTGTTTGTGTGTGCGCATTTCCTCATACTGCTCCAGCTCATGTGAATATGGTGTTCAAGTTTTCTTTGTCCTCCTCGGCTACTGTAAGAAAAACTGATTCCATTCAACACATTTTACAGAAAAATTGAAAAATTATCTGGTGTAATATCCCTTTAAATCTGTAGAAAATCTCAAGAAACAGCTTTATTTTCTATGCAGAAATATTCTGACTAATATTATTGATACAAACTGGATGTTTTCTTGACATAACTTTAAGAAATTAAATAAAACAGTCTTTTGGACGGAGAACGTAAGTGGTAGAATTGATCTAAAGCCCAGATTTAAGCAAAGTTTTTCCTCTAAAATAAACAAAATTGTAGATTTAATCGACTCGGTCTACCCGATTCAACATAAATCTTGAGCCAAATTAGCCTCCAGAATAAAAAGCACCAAGACTTAAGTACACTAACACTTTTAGGATTTATAGCTTTGATTTCATAAGATCTGAGGCCTCTCCAGCTAGGTTGCTTGTTCACTCTCACTCTGACAAATTAAAGTAAAAAAAGGAAGACGTTCAGCAGCATGTTTGCATAGCTTCTCTTATTGATACTTAAGAAATAAGAAGAAAGCCCTGAACTATTTAAAAAAAACACACCTTCATTTTGGTTTAAAGGAACATCAGTCCAGAGTATCCAGACTTCTCTTTCTGTCACAGGCCTCCAGCTTTTCACCCATCTTCCTCCTGTCTTTGTCACACACACACAAACACGCACGTTTTCATGCAAACATACTGCACACTCAGGATTTCCTTTAATTGCACTTTGTTTTGGGGAGAATTTGTCCCCAATCTGTTCCTAATTAACTCTTTTTGCCGTTTCATCAATGCTAGATAATTAGCTTCATCTTCGTTTTAGCAGTTTTTGCATTAAACGTTTTTTTTTTTAAAGAAAGGAAATCTGTCTTAGTTGTCATCCTTAGTTGTCAGTTTGAATCACAGAGGGTTGAGCTTTAGCCTGGTTCAGACCCCTACTACTCAGTAAAAGGCCTCAAACCTCATCAGTGTTATTTGACAGAATACACAAGGCCGTGTGTTGAGTTTGTACAAGTTTCAGGGTTTGTACGAATTATAACGAACGATGACGTGCAGTTAGCATCTCCTGTTAATGCTCCACTGCAGCTGATTTTACGCACTTCTGCTGTATAAGTAAGACTCAGTGAAAAACAAGGCCACAGTGCAACACCAGTTTGTGATACAAAGCAGAGGGGACAAACAGTCTGAGAGGCAAGGACTCACATTATCAAACTTTGCACAGTAATCTTTACAACAACTAGCTTTTAATTATCAATCATCTGAACCAGATCAAATCTTTTATTTCAGGTTAATTATTAAATCGATTTTCAAACTTTAAAAACCTCACAGAAACATAATGTCTGGATTCAGCTATATCGTCAAACCTTTAATCTTATGAGACAGAAGTATCAGCCATTTTTTTGCCTTTTGCCCCCCAAAAATGACACTGTACCCCCCACCCCCCCCAGACACACACACATACACACATGTACACACACACACACATTCTCAACATGCCTCCTCTTTCTTCTCCTGCCCCCCTCCACCCCATTCATTTAATTTTATTCTTTTGGTTTTTTTCCCAGCTAGGATTCTCAGATGGTTGGTTCTGATTTGTATGCATTTGCATAATGAATGTCATTTGCATGCTCAGGGGCAGACCATACCATGAGAACGGCTGTGTTGGTTGTTTGTGTGTGTGTGTGTGTGTGTGTGTGTGTGTGTGTGTTCATGCATGGGCACATGTGTGTTTGTAAGTGTGTGGTGTATATTAAACACATGTAAATTACATTTTTTTTTTTAAAACACAAACAGACCATCATTGGGAGTTGTGTTTGGCGCCCACACTGTACAAACACTTTGTTCTTCCTCTCTGACATGTGTGTTTGTTTCTGTGTTTGCATGTGTGTGTGTGTCCTCTACATGTGCTGCATGTAGGGCAACAATCTGACGATCATGCCTCTCTCTGTTTTCCCGCCTCTCTTCCCTCTGTCTTGCTAACTGTTCAGCAATGTACAGAGAAGACTGAAAATAAGCGACTCCCTCCTCAATCCCACAATCCTCCTCTTCTTCGACCCCTCCCTTGCCAGTCTGTCCTCCTCTCCCACACGGCAAGTCACAGTCCTGCCACCATCTTAGGTGTTAAGACTGGCACAAAATGGCAGCTGAAAAAAGGGGAATGTGGATAGCCTTTGCTCGCTGCACCTTCCCCCACTTCATGTTGGTCCCCCGCTCGTTTCCGCGCCATTGGCTGCCTCAAGACACTGTTAATTACTGCCAGTGTGTTAATTGTACAGATCGCCCCAAGAGACACGCGGGAAGGGATGAGATAGGAGGGAAACCGTGGTAGCTTTTTCAGTGTCGGGAGGCTGGCATTTTTAAGGGCAGCTGCGTCGCTTTCATTGTGCCCGTTGTCGTGATGCAGACGCTGATGATCCACCATTTTGGAAAATTTCACAGAAAACGCTTGGGCTGCTGCGTTTCTGTCGCACTAATTATAATTATTCCAATCGGGTTTGATTACAAAGAGTTAAAATTTGCTCTACAGGCATGTGAAACACACACACACACAAGCGCACAAACTGTATTTACACTGTAGGCGTGTGCACACAGCTTTGTTTGATGATGCGAAAAAGAGGAGAAAACACCTCCACACTCCCTGACACCAACATGGAGCTGTAATTAGCAACATAGTGGTCTTCATAAATCTCCGCTTGTTATCACACTTAGATTTCTCACGTGTGCAATATGCTTCGTATTTACTGGAATATGCTTTGTTCGAAGCAGCAACCGTGTTCCTAACTAATATTTCAACTAGTGGAGCAGCTTAAATTCTCCTAGAAATTAAATTTGAATCACAAAAATATATAAACTATTCCTTCTTTTTTCTTGTGTTGTGTTTGAAAGTAATTAAAATGCCTGGTCTGAAGTCAGCTGAGATGTTAACCATTAAGTTTAAAGTTTGTTTTCTATTCAGGAGGTCCGATAAGAGTAAAAATGTCTTCAAGAAGGGTGTTCAATCTTCCTGTTTTTGCAAACATTTCCACATTGAATCTGAATCTTGGCGTTAAACTCCAATCTGAGTTTTCCTCTTTTTTGTCAGCTGTAAGATGAGAACCAACATGTAGCCCTTTTCTTAAACTTTGGGTAATTTTTAGTGACTTAAATATGTTTTCTGAATTCACACCGGTCAGACAGATGCTGTTAGAGTCAGGTGGTTTTCAAGGTGGACTGTAGACAAACTCTCACAAAAGGACTTGACTGCCAATTTGCAGCTCCCATCGAGACTACCAGAGACGTCGATCCCTCCTATAAGCTCAAGGAGGAGAGGAGTAATATCAGTGAATGACTTAGGAAGACAGGGGGTAGGAAGGAGGCGTGAGGGGGCAGACGGACAAGGAGAGGCAGCCTGCGACAGTGAGATCTCAATAGTGAGAGGCCTTCTTTGTGTTTCTGTGTGAGGTTTATTTTGGGGGGCGCAGGGGTCCACTAAGAAAGGAGGGGAAGAGGAGAGGGTGGGGATCCTCTCCTGGGCCTTCAGACAAGCGGCACATTGTCCTCCCCAATGTGTGGCGGCACTTGTGGCGTAACGCCATTATTTAGGCCAGTGGAGGGACTGGGGGTCTGCAGACCAGCTAAACCAAAACTCCAATTAGACCCGGATCGTCCTGATTAATGGACGAGGGAGATTGGTAAACAATGATGGCCATTGTTAACGTAACACCCCCCCCCTCATCCCGCTGCTCCTCACACACACACACCCCTACCCCATTGGTTTCTTTCACACAGAAGACCCCCATCCCTGCTGCCCCTGACACACACACACACACACACACATGCAGACACACACACAAACTGTCTGTAAGTGCCAGTGCTCAGAGGCCTGCCATTAGCATGCTAGTCTGTTTTTATTTAACTTTTCACAGTCTTAATGTAGAGTTCATTTTTGCATGCTTCAGGGCACGAATGAAAACGTCTTATCTTACTGGAGTAAAATGAATCCTGCTAAAGAAGATTTGCAAAACAAAAAGTACAAATTTGGCAAACAAAACTCTCAAATCGATAGATGAACTCAGCTGGGTCGTTATTTTGTGACCGACTGCTCGTAAATGTCCCGTGTATGTAAATTGTGATTAATTATGACATACTTTTTGGGATGAAATATTACACTTTAATGTTGAGCGGGATAACTGTGGCGTTTTCTTCAAAAAGCCGCGCTAAGCTCGCATGTTAATCACACACACCGTACCATGCTCGGCTCTGCATTTCAATACGTCCTACTTTATTGTTTTTTTTAAGCATATGCGCTGAATAATTAGCCACCGCATAGTCCAATCAGGGGCATGCCAATGTGGGGTTGCCATGGCGACCTCATCAGCTCTTACCCCCCCACATCCCCTCCTCCTATCCCTCTCTACCCCCTCTGTCTCCTCCTCCTCCTCCTCCTCCTCCTCCTCTCGCCTGGCTGCAAACAGGACAGAGAAAAATAAAGCGTGGGAAAAACACTTTGGAGGCTCAGACAATGATAGTGTGGGGGAACGAGGAAGAGGAAGGGGGGGAGAAGGAGAGGAGGAGGAGAAGGAGGTGTGATGTTGGTGATCGGGAGAGCAGCTTGTGTCTAGACTGGTGAATATGGTGGTTTTGGAGTTTGATGATATTTGGGGGTTGGGAGCAGATTTCACCCCAACATTTGGACTGTATGTGTACATGTGTGTGTGAGAGTGTGTGTGTTCCTCCTGTTACTGATTTTCAGCGAACAGCTCCTTACAGTACTGTGTCAAAAATGGCAGTAAATCTGATACAGCGAATAATGAGCTTCGTGATAATTACACTTGGTTTAGTCCAAACAATGAGCCCGTCTTTAAACATGTTGTAAATCTAACTGTTAACACCTTAAGGAAACTTTCTGTCTGTACAAATGAACTGGATTTATGTAAAGCTTTGTCCAAAAAGGCTCATTGTACATATGCGCCATGCAAGAATCATGCTGGATTATTGAAAACACGTGAATATGCTGAACTAACGAGCTGTATTCAACCAAGATGGCTCCTCCAGATCTGTATCTGTTAGTTGACTCCAGTCCTTGACGTAATGCAGTGAAGTTGAACACACCAGTATAAGAGCAAGTGGGCAACTGTTGTGTATTTTGTATTGTACACACATTCTTAGATGATTTCAAAGGATATTTTTTGTGGAATTGTTGCATGTTTTGGTTGAGATTGTGCTGAATCTTTTACCTCTTTAATGGGTCCGTTTTTAATTTGTCCTCTGTGTCTCTTTTTAGGGTTTCTGACCTGTCTGCAGCAACGTCTACGGTGGTCTTCAGCTCTCTGCTCCTTGGACTGTGGCTTTGATGGCCATCGATGTTCTCTCCTCACTCAGGACAGCATCATCTGTACTGGAGGAAATACAGATGTGTCTATTTGTAGACGGATTTCAAAGCTGGATACAAAATTGACTTGTTAATTCATCCCAATAAGAAGACGGAAGACTCCAACAAAAGAGGACAATTTGTTTGAAACTGTGAGAGAGAGATTAAGACGGTGAGGTGGACTACCTCTGACTGCATGTGCGTGTGCCCATTTGTATCTGTGTACGTGTGTGTCATACTCTGCACTCTTAGTGATTGCTCTGCACAGCTGGTCGGGGAAACATCTGCACCAGATTTCCATGTAGGTCAGAGCTTGGATCACTCTCTCTCTCTCTCTCACTCTCACTTACAACCAGATACACAGAAATCACGTCATTTGAGATTCAAACTAGTGTAAAAAAAATAGGATGATGACATTAGGTGATTTTCTTCTTAATTTATTCTTAGATCTTAAACATTTTTTCTGTTTTATTATATGTAGTTGTATTCTGTATGATCTTGCTGATTCATTAATCTTATACTAGTTAGTTTGAATTGATTAATTTTGTCTTTCTGTCTTATGTAATCATTATGTTTCAATCAAACGAGTGACAATCTGGATTACTTGAAACACTTGAAATCATCATGCTTCTGTTATGCCACAAATCCATTGTTTACAGTATAAATTTTACATCATTTCCTCTCACTTAATGACATTTCCGATTTTTTTCACACCTTTATTTCACAGCTGTTGCACCTCCTGCTGTGAACATCTGAAATTATTAGGTTCTTACACAATTCTCTTTACTGCTATCTATCATATACATCTTATTTTCTGTTCTGTTGGGACCACAACCATGTTTTTATTATGAGAGGTGTTATTTGAAATCACATGTACAGCATGTTTACTTTGTCTATGCAAAAAGACCGAGCTGAAGGTTTTTTTCCTTTAAGTCTGCACTATTTTTGTGAAGTTTGCACACCAGAGGTTTTATATATATGTATGTATACGGGTTCAGTTGCGTCGACAGTCCGAGGGGAAAATATGGGTATTGTGATGTTTTTTTAAAGTGCACTATATGAGCATGTGCAATTTCATTCATGTGATACAAGAAGTGCACTATTCAGAATCAGTATGAGGGTTCATCTATTGATTTAATCAGTAATTGCACGATCAGTCTCAGAGACTCAAATCTGGATTTTATTTGTCAAATCCGCCTCACTGTTGTGAATGAATACTGTTTTTCACTGTGTCAAGCTGGAGAATATTTGCAATGGTGTAGTATTTTATAGATTACTTTATGATGCACTGTAGACCACTGTTTCAGCGGTCTAAGAAGCGTTGTTTGCACATGAGTTGTGTTTATGTGTTCAGTGTTTGTACTGTGATTGAATCAATAAAGTATTAATGTTTACAGCAAGACAAAAATGTCTGATGAGTTTCTCTTATGTGTTAGACATCAAATTGGATTAAATTATAATCAATCAGGCAGACAAAGAAGTAGCTAATTTTGCCTGCTAACGACAGTTGAACAATTAAGCTAAGGTTAGCAAAGGCTCAAATAGATTCACACCAAGATAAAACACATTAAAGACGATTATACAGCCAGGATGAGTATAAGAAGTCTTTTTCTGTTTTTTACATGCACCATTGAAAGTTTGCCCCTCCTCCTCCCTGGCACAAGTAGAGAATTAGAGCGTGCAAGCTCAGTTAAGCAAAGTAAAGAGTGAACGACACGAGGTAGCAGCCTTCGCATGAACAATGCGGGCCATCGGAGAACGCCGACAATACGCTTTGATTGTTTCATGGCGGGTTTGTTTTAAAACACAAAAAAATCACAAACAACTCCTTTTAACGAATAGAGACTGCGATGCTATATACATACACCATTTTTTTTTTAAATTTGCATGGTTTATATACCGCCAACGCCAAAAAGCTAAAAATGAGAGGACAGGGCCTCTTATGAACCACACATGCCCGATTTGTCCCGGCTCATGACGAAGACTAAGAGAGACTATTCCTTGCAGAGTCTGTGCATTGAATGTGCTTGCTGTGATATGACAGTATGATAATAAAAGCATACTTTATCTTTGCAACATAAGCACACATAATAGGAAAACGGCTGCTGTTTTTAACATGGTGAATTATTCATTATTTAATCTCTTATTTATAAAAGAATTAGGTCAGTCAAAGTAGTAAACACCTTCTCTCTTAACTAGCAGTGAAGCAGTTAAACCAGTGTTGCCTGGTCGAGGATGCATCTTGTGATATTTATGGAACTTAAATCAGACTTTTTAAGATCAATGCAAATTTTCTTTTTAAGCGAGCTCTACTCTTGGAACTGCAACGCCAAGATGATCAAGTCTCATAAACTACTCTTTTATAGTATTGGTAGTACCGTTTAAGGACGGGTTAATTATTAAACAGAATTTGCTCTTGCTTCAGTATGTTTTAGTTTGAAGCACCACACTGAAAGTAAGATAACCTGCAGGTGTAAAACTGAGCGATGAAATAAAAATATATAATTGTGTGAAGGTGGAACTTCAGCACGTCACGCTGATATGAACACTAAACACAACCACTGATCAATGTGTACACGCGCTGTACACTCAGAGAGTCACATCTGGACTGTTTGTATTTGGACATAGAGGCTCAGCTGCTCTTAAGGAGGTGCAGGTCAGTGAATCCAGCTGCTGCAAAGCCTCAAAGAGGGTCTAGACACATCTGGAGGAACATGCTCCTCCTTCAGCTCCAAAATGCTCTAAGGTTTCAAGTTTAATTTTGGAGAAATCTGGAAGGATGAAGGATGCAAACTGTTCATTTTCAGTGGTTTTTATGAGTAAACATCCCTTCAACTAAATACAGAAATGAGAATTAAAGAAAAGACTTTGGCAGGAATCCAATTTGAAGTCTTAGTTTGAATTTTGATCTTGGTTTTGTAGCGTGTTTTCCTCGATCAGAGATTTTTTCCTGCATCTCTCCCTGGCAGCAGAGCCATTTTTTACGGTTTGCTTTTTGTTGGTCATAAAAAAAGAAACAATATGAATTTCAGTCTGTTTCATTACCAGCTAAAAGGTCCACAAAGGCACTGAAACACGGAGTAAGTCTTGTAAACACGAGATTTAATCCTGTTTTTTTTTAAGGGTAAACATAAACATTGGATGAATGTGAGCGGGGTCGTGTGACAGGTAGACCTTCTGCTGCAGTAAGCGCTGCGGGCTGGCCTCCAGACAGCAGCAAAGTTACGAGAAGCCTCTGATTATAATGGAATCAATAACAAAACAAAAGCTCATGTCTGGGAGGAAAATCGTGGGAAGTGCCGCTGAAAGTCTGATTAGCATTCTGTATTGCGAGTCCCTGTGGGCCCGTCTCCTGGAGCCTCCAAAACCAGGAGTGAAGAATGGCTGCGCTGGACGGGAGGGGGCGCAGGGATGGTTGCAGAGGGCCAGACGGGGGATGCGGAAAGTCAAGGAAGACAGCTTCACAAAGACAGACACCGTGCTGCGGAGGGGGGCAGGGGACAGGGGAGGGGCAGGAGGGCTCGGGGCTGCCACCGTGAAATCAGCAGAGTGAGGGTACTGGGTTCAAGTTCAATGGCAAAGTCTGGACTGCCTGATGAGGTAATAAAGACAAAATGTCTGTGAAAGAATCCCATCTGACTTGAACTTCGCCTCATGTGTCGAACTCCCCCTGCCTTCGCCTGAATCAACCTGTTAATATTGAGAAACTCACAAAAGACTAATTTAGGGGGGGAAGGAAAGAATCATTTGTCTTTGCTGAACATAAAATTCAGTTAAAAAGTGCTAACAACAGCCAGTTACACTCAATAATTTATCCCTGAATCTGAAGGTTTTATTGTCAGATTAATTCAAGTTCTTTAGGGAGAAGCCGACAACATATTTCATTTATCAGTTTCAATGTTTGATTTTTTTTCCTCATAAACTATCCTCGCCGTTATCTTTAAATTCCCTTTTTTGTTCTGTGGAATACATAATATGGACGCAAATAATCAATAACATGCTCATAATAGCAAATATCAATAATAAAACAGATTGTTCTTGTACATTTTTGTGCTGTTCTTGCACACCTGGGAGAAAGAAATGCCAAATGCTTAAAAGATGCGTGTTTATTAATAATATAAACATAAAATTTCGGACTAAAATCACAATTATTTCATAGAAATATGTGGACAGTTCTGGGTCTTAAATCGTCATGTTTTTTTCCTCTCCTCACGCTGCAAACCAGAGCACTTCTATGCTCACAATAACGTCTCTATCATGTGTCGAAGTCTTTATTCAGCCTCTGGATGAAATTAACACAATCCAAGGGCTTTGTCTGTTCGTATAAATTCGTATGATCGCTGCTGTTGATAACAGAGGATAGGAGGTCCTTACTGTATTCCAGCATGAGTGACCACTGTGGACTAAAGCCTCCCAGACCACCACGGTATGTGAACTAGGTGAACAGATCTGACACCATGCACTGATGAGCGTTTGTGATCAGATCAGATTTAATGATTATGTTATGTGTAAACAGCATCTAAGTGCACTAACTGGACTAACATCACAAGTACGTATAGTCTGTGCGGACATATATTGACTTTGTGTGTCCAACTGTGAGTTTAAAGGCAGAATCACATCACACAGAGTCGGTTGAAAACAGCTGCACAGCATTAGTAAAAATAAATATTGTAGTATTTTTTCTTTCCACAATCCAGATCACACCTGATAAATGCAATGTGTTTTTAAACAATGAAAATTTTCAACACACTATTTTCACTCAGATCCCTGAGTCTACCTTTACCACACTGTGTCGAGTCCTTTACAGTAGCTCTGACACCTGAATGGAGAAGTTTAGAGTCAAATGAAGGAGAGATTACAGGTGGAGGGGCACTTGACATCAAAAACTTAAACAATTTAAGCACATTTTAATCTGAGTGACCTGCCCCATTTAACTCAGGCTGACCATCGTCTTCAGAACATGTGCTGCAGGTGTCAAACTTCTGGTCCCAACACCAAGTACTGGGACAAGAAGGCATGCACTCCTACGCACTTTAATCAAGCCTAGAAATTCTCTTATAGGCCAAATAGATATCCTACTTCCATAGATTTTATTCACATCAGAAAACCTGACCATACAGTACAACACAATAATAATAACCACATAGATCTAACTTCATACTTTTCTGACATTTGTAATATGTTTTATGAATGAATTTAGTAAACATGGTGTATCAGGGCCACATTAAACCCACATTTTCCTCATTTTGAGTGTATAAATGTGTTCAGAGAAAAACACAAAATCTGAAAATTTACTGTCTAAAATAAAATACAGTGTCACTTCTTTCTCATAAAATTTTAGCATTTAAACATCAGAGCAATAAGTGAAAGAAAAGGCCGACAAATAAATCAATTGTGTTTCTATCTGCAGTGTTGGGATAAAACAGTCTTTGTTTGACGTAAACTGGATCTATATAAATTACATTAATGACAAAATTGTCTAAAGTGTGTCACAGAAAACAGGAGGACTATAAAATGGGATTGTAATGATTAAAATGAGTTTTAGAAAATGTGACCAAATTTGGATTTATATGTAAAAAACAAAGAAATTAAATCATCCCTATTCTTCCTGTTCATAATCTTTTTAAATTACTCTATATCCTGTCTACGTCAACATTTTTCATGTTCGACAAATATCTTTAGACACTGAATAAATTATGGTCCTTCTGCCGGCTTGAGGTCAGAAATTAAGTGTGACACGAGGAGTCGTGACCTCAGGGCAGGATCACAATGGTCACTTCCTCCCTAATTCACCACTTCTCTTTACACCACTGATGGTCTGACTCTGTGTGTGTGTGGGTGTGGGTTGGTGGAGGAAGTCGATCTGCGTAACCTTGACGACCTTATAAATCCACTAGTTGCTCGACCTGTGACCCCTTTGATTGCTGCTGTGCGCGCGGGGCAGGCCTCTGGGATTTCCCATAGAGACACCTGTGACATCCTGCTGGTGGTGTTTATAGAGTCACTCCCTCCTCATCTAAAACCATTTATTCCTACTTCAATGGAAAATCAGGACCCCAGATTATTTACTCTTCAAGAGTTTTAAAAATGTTTATCAATTTTTTTTTGTTTACCAAAGTTTATCAGAAAAGTGTACTCTCACTAAATCTTCAAATAGAGCTCCACAAATGTCGTCTACGCTTGAATTTCAATAAAAATGGTCGAATCAGACTGTTGATCCTTATTCAGACTCTTGTATTAATCACTAGAAAATTATAACTCAGTTTTTTACTCATCGCAACACTGTGTTAAATTCTTGATTCTGATATAAACAGTAATTAATTCTGAGTAACCAGAGTAAGATCCATCTGCAAAAGGCACCCAGTGCAAGATCGTGATTTTACTTCTTATTGTGGACACTGCAGCTAAAACTGTTTCAGAAAGAATCAGAAAACCGACTGAAGGATTTCTATAATATACTCTCAATTTCTTTGGGGAGCTTAAAAGTTATTTGCTTGTCAGTCATGAGCAAAGAAAAGAAGCCAGAAGGAGGCAAACAGCACAGCAGAGTGGCGCTCAAACGAAAATCAGGAACTGTTTTTACTGCAGCATTAAGATCCTTTTATATCAATAAAATACTTCAGTGATGTGCAAATGCTTCTTCAGGATATATATACTCTATCTAACATTCGATAAGGAGTATAAGGAGTATCTCCCATGAATGAGGCTCAAACAAAAAAAAAAGATGTCAACATGATAGAAAATGCATAATAGATTTACATTTTGTTTATTACTTCTAATATGAAAATTAAATCTGTTGAGTAACCACTACACCTGTCAGATACACAGGACTGTAAGATCAAAGTCAATCTTCTCTGAAATGAGTTGGATTAAATTAAACTGCAAGTCACATTAAGTACTAAACACTGCTGTTCAGGAGAATACTCACAAAACTGGACATAGCTTTGATCAAACGGTGCGAAAACAGCCCTCTTAATTCACCGTATAAGCCAAGATGTTGTAGCATGTGACCTCCTGACAATCTAACTGTAACGTTTCAGCTTGTTTTAGCTCTTCTGGCCTGTATGATACGGTACAGGGATCTTAGTTACTGAAGTAATCTAAATAAATCAAACCCAGTTTGTAAACGGCACGTAATTCATCCCTAAACTGCAGGGCGGCAGCTGGGGTCAAAGGTCGGATACAGGGGTTGTTGACCTGCTGGTTTGCTGAGTTTAACCTCTTGGCTTTCTTTTTGATAAGAGCTCAGAGGTCACGGCTTAGGCGGGAGGGGTCTACTGGGGGGCGTCTTCCATGGACGGTCAAACAGGAGGATGAAGTGTGGCGTCCATCCCCAGAGGGCAGAGGAAATTTATTTCTGTGCACGTGTGCACGGGTGGCTACATTTCTGAACATGGCGACTTATTTTAAAAAGATATTCTCGGACTTTGACATAAACAAAAACGAGAATCTCTCGACTTTTCCAGTTTGTTTCGTTATCGTGCAATTTTCAGCTCTCTAATGCGCTACAAAGCTCCTTCGTGGGAGTGCTCACTTGAGCCTCTTTACACAAATGAACATTGTCTACATCTTTTCCATGTCTCGAGTCATTGTCTCACTGTTTTCCCACAAAAGCAGTCTAGTGGTGCTTTTTGTGAATCATCCCTCGGCTCCCCCCCACACCACTGACAGTGGGGGCGACGAGCTTGATGAGGAAACCAATATCTCATGGATTACGATACAAAACCGCTCCATCCAGACGAAGACACAGGCACAAAACATGGCTAGAAATCAGCCATGAGTGTGTCACGGCATGCTAGAGGGTCTGACTTCTTAATTAGACGTGTAAAAAGGCAGGGTCAGACGGATCAGACAGGCAAAGAAAGGCGGGCGAGATGAGGCCCTTCAAACTGTCTGCGTCACACTGTGTGTGTGTGTGTTTGTGTGTGTGTGTGTGTGTGTGCGTGTGTGTGTATGTCTGGATAGAGCTGTGAGAAAGTGTGTAACATGTAGTTTGCATGTCTAAGTCTGCCTGTGTTTAGGAATGTATCTGTCTGGTGCTCATGTGTGTTTGTGCACTGGTGTGAACACGTCTGGGCTGTTTTGTGATGCAGTTTTTTGAGCAGGGGCAAAAAACACGCATGAAATATTTAACGTTTCAAATAAATGTTGCATTAAAAAATGACTAGGTTTATGTCGAATATTTTTTTTTAGTTCAAAACAATGATAATCTGTTATTTTCTGCAAGATAACAATATGATGTGAGAAAAATTAAATGCCTCTTGACGCCCTGTGCGTGGCCTCTAGCAGAGCATGCAGCACCTGTGTCACATTGACCTTGAAGCAGTGACACTTTCTCAAGTTGTCCCTCCTGTCTGGATGCTTTATTATATCTCCTGGGTTAAAACATACAACCCAGTCTTTGAGAAACCAACACATCTATCTATCATCTTATCTTAGCTAATGTTATTCTAAGCTCTGATTTCTGCAGAATTCGCCCTCCACCTGTACTTGTGTTAGGATTTGAATCTTGGTGCTCTGTGCTCAAGTTAAAGAACTGCAATCATGGACGTGTCATTGAAAGACCCTGTCGGCTTTTGTTCTTACATAGATAGTTTACAGTAAAGCGTGGACTATCATCTTCATCTTTTAAACAAGGTCAAGACTTTTTTATCTTTTAGTGATTTTAAGAAGGTTATGCTGTTTTATCAAAACTCGTCTTAATTATTGCAATGCGCTTTATTTTGGTGCCAGTAAAACCTCTCTTAAATGTGACCACATTTCCCCTATTTTAGCCTCGCTTCACTGGCTTACTGTGTGTTTTAGGATTGATTTTAAAATTTTGTTATTAACTTATAGATCCTCTGACCAGTGCCTTCTGACTGTCCCGAGGTCAAGATTAAAGTTCAGGGGTGACCAGGCTTTTTGTTTTTAAATCAAATCTGAAAACGCACTTTTACTCCCTGACTTTTAACTCCTGAGAACTTGGCCTGTTAATCATGTTTTTTACAGAACCATCTATGTCCCCCTGTTTTTAATGTGTTCCTGTGTCTTTGTTTTATTGTTCGTGTTAATTGACTGTTTTTATCGTTTTTAATTTTTACTGTACAGCACTTTGGTCAGTGTTTTGTTGTTTTTAAATGTGTTTTATAAATAAACCTGGATTGGAAATGTATATAATGTGAACCAACAAAAAGTGGCCAATGGTACGCCATGACATGTGCCACTGTATAGTAGGTTAGTGAAGCATGCCACGGCTGAACGGATGCTGCTCGGATGCCAGCTGTGTAATTAGCCCAGTGTGCTGGTTCCCTCAGTGGTATTACACTCTTCGTCCAATCGTATATCCTTTCCTAACGTCAGGTGCTGCTTGAAAGCAAAAGGCGATATCAGAGCGTAACACCAGCACAAATCTTATCTTCAGGCTTTTACTCCAATAAATGTCAGATTTTTAATTTTTGGCCTTATTGACAAACCTGTGCCAGAGCCAGCTTTTTACACTGATACTTACACAAATACTTCAACGCCTGACCCCACAGCAGGGTATAACAGCAGGGTATAATTTGATTTCATCAGCATTTTGACATGAACTGATGCTGTCATACAGAGCCAGCCCAAACCTCAATGGGGCCCTAAGCAAAATTTGATTTTGTGGCTCTCTATTTCTGCCAATAATATTGATTGCTGATTAGTCACACACCTTCAAAAATCTCTTTGATTAACATTCCATGACATGCAAACATATCTTTGTCTTGGCGTTTTTTCTCTTCTTCCTCTTTCTTTTCTCTGCTCCTGAAGGATATGTCCTTTTTTGCGACATTGTTTTGCCCCACAATTACCTGCCCTTTCGATGCACATTGCACGGCAGAAGGCACATTATGGTCGTGGAGCTTTGACATATCGGCAGTAAGAATCATAGGCCTACATCAGAAGCAGCACTAAAATGTTTTTACTTTATTTTATTTTTTTTACAATAATCATACAGAAAGCATCACTCATACATGCAAAAAATGAAAAATATTATTAATATTATTTCTTTTTGATTGCTCCTGGGGGCCCCCTAGGGCCCTAAGCAGGTGCTTAGTTCGCTTATGCCTTGGGCCGGCTCTGCTATCATAGTTTGCGCTCAATATTTTGTTCCAGCTGGTTACAAACCTCTAGGATCACAACCAGTTTGATAAAAAAATATTCAAAAAGTGTTGAAAAAGTTGTGATTGCGTGTACCTATCCATCAATAAAACATTGCCCTGTCTTAAAAGGTCAAAGGTTGAAACAATTAAGTTGAATATCAAATTCTTGACTGATGCTGCAGCATGTAAACCCACCTGGGATGATGAGAATTCTCTGAAGAAAGTGTAATATGACTGAGCGTGCTCATGTTTTGTCCCTCTCTTTATTTTCATCTCTTGTCACATTTCTCTTCAAATTTAGTACAGCACCCTCTGCAGTTTATCAAATATTATATGTTTGCTTTCTAGTATAATAAAAGTCTTATCTTTGTTAGCCTGTCTCCAGCTCTGTATTTAAGTGTCTATCCTCAAGTGTGTACAAATTATGTTGAGAGAGTATAAGGGAGGGAACAATGTGTCTCAATAGGTCATTAATGCTAAAAACAAGTCAGAGCCACTTATAATAATCACTTCTTCTTACTCACTCAATGTCGCCTCCGAGCAGACACGTCCCAGTCCATCTGAACTGGAGCCGGTGGGTGAGAACCGACTGGGAGCCCTCCATTGCAGCTGCAGCTATTTGTTGTCTGCGAGACATAGAGGGAGAGGTCAGAGGTCAAATAAGTTCACAGGAACTCAGGGCTTTCACATGTTAATGTTTCAGAGCAGCACAAGAAAAACACATTCATACAGCGGTGATTATAACCTAGTCAGGACCCTGTTTGTTAATACGAGTAGCAATCTCACGTTTGATTGACATGTCTGGTGGAGATGAGCGATGTTGGGGTGCCTAATGTTTAAATGTGGGAGATATTCGGGAGAGCATGGATGAGCTGGCATAGGAAAATGTGATAAACATGGCCTAAAAAGAGCATTTTAAAGGAGGTGGATCTATATTCAGTGTCAGATTGTTTCATGATTAATGTGCCTGGACTGTGGTCAAACTGCACAGTGGGTATACTTTTCTGGATCTGTAGCGTCACAATTCTAGTGTGCAATATTGTCATTTTTGGGTGCTTGCTGTCCCAGAAGTCGAAGCTTGCACCCTATTGAGGCTGGGGCTCTCATTACAGCGTCCATGCATGTCTCCCCCCCACTCTCTACCCCCTGTAACATGTCCTGTCTCTTTACAACTGTCCAGTCTAGCAAAAAGTAAAAACATCCGAAAATAATAACTTAAAAAAAGTTTTAGTGCTTTTTAATTTTCTTCATATTTTTGACATCTGAATCTTCATCTTAACCCTCCCCCTGTGTTAGCGTCTGCACCGACCCATTTTTCATTTCAAATGCTTAAAAGAACCACTTAAATAAGTTTTTTTGCATCAAGATTTCGTTAGAAACCTCTATTTCAACAAAATAAAAATAAAAAAATTAAATTGTAAAATGCTCTAATTAAAATTATGGCACTTGTGGTATTAGGGTCGCTGTTGACCTGGTTAGATCAATATCTAATAGAGCAATAACTGAAATCATAAGTGCACTGTAAGGCATCACACTGACAGTCAGATCCTCTTCCAATCATGTGAGATTTAGGAAATTCTCATTTTGCCATGTTTTTCCCTGCACAAAAAACAATGTCGGGCATGTCCAGACATGTGAGATCAATTCAGCATAGATGTCTGTGTGAGGGGTATACTGACAAAGAAAGGCCCAGAGGCCCACAACCAAAACTATTATAATCAATATTTTCATGGATAATGAAACCTAACAAGGTAACCAAGAGATGAGAACCAAACTGGATAATAGAGAATTGTTTTTAGTGTAATTTAAAGTTGATTTAAGACACTATCAATGTTAGAAATCAAACTACTCAAAAATAAGGGCTATGAGGAGCTGATGGCATGGTGGGTTGGGTGTCTAGCGTGGGTACTCATCACAGTGGTTTGCTGGTTCAAGTCCTGACCTTTTGCTGTAGGATCTCCCCAAATATCTTGTCCCCATATTTCCTGTTTCTCTTTTTTTAGCTGTTTAATCCAAGTAAGGCAAAAATGCCCAAAGACATAACTTAAAAAAAAAAATAAGGGCCACAACAGCTTAGTGTTACATAAAAAACTGTATAGGACAGGCCTTTGGACATTTTCACATTCACTCTTTTATTGTCTGGTTCACAGTTTTAAGAGCTGCACTTATTTTCACCCACAAGTATCACACACAAAGAAACAACCAATATCACACAAACCAAAAAAACAAAAACGTAGTGTTACATAATTTATTCATCCTCATGTCTTAAGACTGATAGTTTATTGTACACACACACCTTAGATGTGAAATTTATGGTCAGCTCAGACGAACAGCAGTGGGAAGAAAACATAACTAAAACAAAAACTCGTCGATGATCCTCAGGAGGAGTTTTAACCACATTACCAAAAACCTATAACTGAAACCAGAGGCCAAACGCTGAGAGGAGGTGGTTTTCATGCAGTCTCTTTGCTATGTATAACTACAGTTCAGATCGCCCCCTCCTGGACAACAGCAGCTCTGCAGTGACTGAAAATCTAACAGCACCATGAAGTTCAACACTTTGTCAATTTTTATCTCTAAATACTTGGTTATTTTTTTAGGCAAGAATGTTGGAGATTTTTGTGGACCTGAAATACAGAAATTATGTGGTTCACTGATATTAAAATGTGAGGTTTAGTGTTTAAAGGAAACAGACAGGTCTAAATTTGGCTTTGCTAGCTAACCAGAATAAATTAATATTTAAATGTTGTTTTTCCACAGTGAATACAATAAGTGTCAAACAAAATTCTATTTCACGTTTTATAGCATTTTATTTATCTGCATTTGATTTGAATCTGAGAAGTTATTCAATTATTTGCGGGGAGAAAAGATGCAGAACCATATTTTTACTTCCGAGAAATTTTAAGGTTAGACAAGTTTTCCTAATCTCTGTTAAATGATTTTAAATAAACAAATCTACATTAAAACCAGGTTTGCTAAAAGCTTATACACTATTAACAGTGAACGCTGCTATAGTTTTATTATATCATAAGAAGAAGAAAGAAGCTAAGTTTAAAAAATCATTACTGTGTTTCAAAATCAATTCTTGTTCATTCAGAAACCTTTCAAGCCTCAGTTTATTCAGTGTTTCAGGTTTTCATGTCATTCAACTGATCACTCCTCATTGATCGTTTGTGAAATGAGAAAACTCTTTAGTGAGTGATCCCACAAACCCTTTCCCATGCAGGCTGCGACTTCCATATTGCCTCTCTGTGGGTTCAAATTATAACCTATTCTGTGTCTCTGTTTTCACACGGCTGCCTGTCAATCAGTTCTCCCACCCCCAGCGTAAATTGGTGCAGTGTGAAAACAGCCACTCCCTGTGCCCTGTGGCTCTAATTGGCATGGATTAAAGCAGCCATTATATGAGTGAGCCTGATCTGAAAGCTGAGCCGCCGACTGCAGGCGGGCAGCACGTACTTTTTATCACGCTGAGAAACTGATACGTACACACAACCACTTCATACACACAGCAGAGCAGCACTACTGACTGAAGAAACAGTGCGAGTGTAAAACAGATACAACAGTCAGGAGGTAAAGCTGACTGCTCTGCATCCATATGGCAGGAAATATCTGTGAGATGGTTTTATAGATTATCACAAAGGGGAGGGTGATTGGGGAGGGTCTGATTCTTCAATCCCACCGGAAAACCCTCACTGTTGCTAAAAAATGATGCTCAGTTTTGCACAAAAATAGAAGAAAATTTTTGAAGAAAAGCAAAAGAGCTGTTGATGGTTTTAGACCAGAAAGTAATTCATTACAAAACTATTCAAGGTTTATATATTGTCCTTATTAAGATCCAGAGCCTGGTCAATTAATTAGGCAGTATCAGTCTATCACAGAAAACCTCTCTTAAAAGTGCTGATGAATCACAGAGTAATTCAGTACAGATGTGCAAATAAAGAAGTTTGAAAAGATTAAAGCTCAAATCAGTGCAAAAAATTTTCAAGCGTTATCAAAGTGACTTTTATCACGTCCTGTAAAAAACAATTGGCTTGTTTTATTTTTCACTTTCTTCTTTTTTTAAGATATAGTTGGCTTTTTAGTCGACCAAAAATGTCTGATGATAGTTCTGGTATTTATTGTTGTTTCAGGGGAAGTGCATAAAGTTCAAGGAGTTTTAAAACAAAAATTAAAATCTCCTGTTGGTCTTGAGAAACGTGAAGTATGCATACAGATGATATGCTGAATTACAATGAGAGAAACAAAGGAAAACATCGTACTAACATCTAATAAGTGTTCACTTTTATTCTACCAGCCTATTTACAGAAGTAATAATTATTCAAACTTTTAGTTATTAGCATGGAGAGAAACATTTGTGTGTTTTGTGATCTTGTCGATCTAATTTGCTATTTTTGTGCAAATTATCACCTCCTTTTCCTCCTGATAGATTTTAAGGTTTTATTTGAAAATGATTTCCTGCAGTTCTTCATAAAAACCTGGGACTGTTTCCCTCCATTGTTGAGTTTTTTAATAGTTATCGTTACATGCATAAAATAATCAAAGTTAATCCTAGTCTGATTTAAGCCGTTTGATCCTCTTTTAAAAAGGTAGGCGGTTGTGAAGGAAACTGAAGGTTTTTTTTTATCAACATCATATATGGGTGCTAATAAATATAAATTCCCCTCTTTCTGTTTCTGTGAATTTCAACATTAACACCAGAGGAAGAACTGAGAGCAGCTCAGATCCCCAAAAACACAAAACCCTCAGCATTTGTCTAAATTAGACCTCACTGGAGAGGGAACCCACAAAGGTTGTTTGTATCCTGGTGAGCAGCAAAGCAGGGTGAGGGGTTGTGGGTAAATCTCGCTGCTGAGGTTCCCAGACAACTATGAGCGACGCCTTTTCAATTTCTCTCCTCCTTTCTGCCTTTTCATTCCTTGGACTTGCAGATCTTCGTGAAGTCACACGCTATTGTCCAATAATTAGTGATTTATTCATTCTGAACACAATTTCTATTTCCTACGACAAATCCGGTCAAATCGGCTCGTTGACGAACAAAGAGAGACGCTAAATTTTAAACCAGAGAGAGACTTGAAACAAGAACATTTTACTGACTTTCCTTTAAAAAAGGAGGATAAATTTCAGTCAGAAATTTCTCACATTTTCACGACTATCACTTCTGCTAGAGGGAAATTCTGATCATGTGATATTACTGCAAATGGAGAGTCTACCTGGCAGGTAGGCTGTACATTATTTGGTCAAAATTAAGTGATCAGACAAGCCTGCTACAGTAAAGGTAATTTGATAGTTATGCAAGTATTCGATTTATTATCAACCCTCAGGATTTAAGCAACACATTAAAAAAAGAGTAATCTACAAATAAAACAAAGTACCGCCTGTTTACATCCCTCCATCTGAAATCCAGAGCAGCTTCTCTCTGTGAAACTGGTTATTTTAGTTTTACGCCATTTTAAGTTGAATGTCATTCTCTTTTGGATCTTTGGTTGAACAAAATAATTACTGAACTGTCCGACTTTGACAGAATTCTGTTCCGAATTCTTTGTTGCAGCCTTGGTAACACACCTATATTGATAATACCGTAATCCCTTTCAGTCCTCTCTACCCTTTCCTTCCCCTGGGGTTCACACCAGCGGTCATTTTCGGGTGTCAAGCACTTCGCACTTAGGGTTTGGGGAGGTGGGCCCTCAATTAGAGAGCCACGCGTCCTGAGGATGAAAGGGGAACTCCATGAGGAGTCCTTAACGACCGGCCCCTGTTCACTCTGCTCTGACCCTGTGACCTCAGGGGTCACAGGCCACAATACGCCCCCATCTGGAGCTGTGTTATCGGCTCTACGTCGAAAGGGAAGGATGACAGATTTCCGCATTCACGCCGAGCAGCATGACGCCGTTGAAGGCCTGAGAACAGCAGTCCTGCTCTGACAGGAACATGTCTCTGAACCTCTAACCAGCTCAGTGAATTCAACATCAGCCTCTGATCAGGCACCATAATCTGGATCTGGAGTTAAGGAGGAGCAGAAGGAAGGAAGGTTGCATAAATGTCCTGCACACCAGGGGAGCCGTCTGTGTGCATGGTCACTGAGCAGCACTAATATGGATCAGTTTAAGGGAAAATGCCTGGCTCAATGGCACTTAATCGGGAAACTGCTTCACATTTTTGTCTTGCAGGGGAGCTTTAAGACTCATTTTCACCCTGCATAAATAAACTTAATTGAAATATTAATAATGATCAAAAATAAGTCAGATGATACAAAATTCATATGTTTGATAAAATAATGAACATAAGACGGTTTAATTCATACTTGAATTTGAGATAATTTATTATTTTTTTTAATGCTTCTCCATTTTTGTGGAAAAAAATGTGCTTATCTCCTTTTTCAAAACACTTAAGTACAATCATAAATATCATTTATTGGGTATATTCTTGATTTTTTTTAAATTATTTCTGTTGTTTCTAAAAGTTCCTCTATCTTCCCGTTTTAAGTTTTATACTCTGATTTTGTCATTTTACTTGTCATTGGTATGTTATCTGTTTAAGTCCTGCGATCTTTTCATTATTTGTAAGCCGTAAAACATGATGTGTCAATGCATTTAAACGTGTTGTTCAGGAAATCAAGGTTGGGTCTGACCCATCTGTCATCGGGTAAGCTTTCTGGGTTAGCTTTCATGATTTTTTAGTGTTGTATCAGGGGACATAATGCCAAAGACTGATCAATCTGATTTTTAAATTAATTTTATATTAGATAAAATGAAAATAAGAGACATGCCTTGAATTAATATTTTGCGTCATGGCATTACATCAACTTTTGAAAAGTTGTTTATTGCAGCTAAGCATGATGTGTATTGTTAAATGTGTGGAAATCTTTAAAGTGGGAGAATAAATGGTTGATGAAAACAATAAAATGGAGGATGTAGACTGGCATGGTTTTTTGGCTATCTGCCTGTTCTGGTTTTGTTAGGGTTACGCTGTATTTACTGCTGTTTCACACACCTACACAGTTAGTTGTACAGGTCAGTTTAAGATGTTCCATGTTATCAAAGAAGAAAAAAGATCCACAGTGGATAAAATCAGTAGATAATAAAGAACAATTCCCACTGTTATCACAGCACCCTGTTAAACAGAAGGAGAACATTCACAGCTGACAGCAGATTTGATTATTTCTACTGTTTTTGCAAAGGCAGGGATCAAAATATTTGGTCTGTTCAACTGTGAAATCAAACACCTCGACGTTGATTCATTTAACACAAACACACACACTGACATGTTGGCATCACGCTGTCCCCTACACCTCCAGCATGTGTCACGGCACAGTGATGCCACCTGGCGGCAGAATATCAGACTGCTCTTAAAAAGTTTTAGAAGCGAGTTACTACTTCTACTACTACACGATGTCAAAACAGATTAAATAAACTGCGATAAAAACCATTCCTCGGTTGGTTAAAGTAGTTTTGGTGTTTAATGTTAATTTGATGTTTAATTCAATACGCGGGTCTAGAATACAGGCAACGTCAGTTCAGGAAAGAGCTTTGGGAGGCTCACACACCTTAAAAAAACTACCTTTTTTCCTTGGCATAGCGTCTTTACAGTTGAAAACACGTGTATTAAAGTAGCCTACAAATATCCTCAAACAAAAATAACTTACTGGTTTTCATGGGTTCCCCTTGTTTTTACGGTTTTTCCACACTTTCCCCTGAGTAACATTTCACTTGATGCAACTGACCGCCATTGGTCATATGACTTCACCTTTAACCTGCGTACATTGGTCACGTGACTTCACCTTTCACCTTTAACCTGCGTACATTGGTCACGTGACTTCACCTTTAACCTGCGTGCGAATTTTTTTTTGTGGGATGGTAGGGGAAGGTCCCGCCCTCTTTCGCCTCTGATTAGCTAGAAGTACTGAGCTCAGATTGGTTATTAATTGTGGCTGTGAAACGTCATCGTCTGTCGGGTTAGGGTTTAGGGTAAGGATTTGGATGGGGGTTAGGGTTAGGAGATTCAGAAGTGCGATAATATTCCGTATGTTCTGTTCGATGTACAGAGCCGACAGCCCGCGTTTGGCTTGAGCATGTGACGACGTTTCCAGCTTTTATAGCCAATCAGAGGCGAAGGGGGCGGGACTTCCCCTACCGTCTTACGAAAAAATAAAATAAAATAAAATATCGCAACCCGCGTACATTGGTCACATGACCTCACCTTGAGCGTCCACAAAAGAGTGAAAGACACAGATTGACATTGAGAAAAACTGTTTTTACTGACACAAATACACTTGCTATTTGATTGCTCTTTCATAAATGAGTGGTTTGTTGCACAAAAAAGGAAAAAAAAAATGCAACAAATTGCCGTACATTGAAAATTTACAATTTATTGTCAGTCATTGTTAGTTATCTTAAATCATGTTCATTAAGTTACCAATCCAGTGATGCACTGGTTTAAATAGTATAATCTATAATCCCAAATTGCTTTGATAGTGACCTTCAGGTCATCTGTATTGTTACTCTGGTGTCTCTCATCTGTAAGGATGCCTAGCCCAAGTTTACACTTGAAAGAATGGAAGGTCCACACGAATGGTGAGTTTGACAAGCTTTACTAAAGGCAGATCTAGGTTACAGCTTCATCATACCACAAGTGTAACAAAGACTGGACTGAGACTGTTCAAGTATATATAGTCGTCTACATTTCCAAACATTCTGCTGGCATTTAGTTGACTTGAAGAAGAGTCTATGTAGGGTAAGAACAAAGGACAACATATTTTAAGGAGCCGTAGTTGAACATATGGAGAGCCCATATAGGGGAATACCATAGCATAACATATTTTGGGAACCTGAGTGATGTAAAAAATGTGTACAAGGTTTTTGTTGAGGATGGTCGTCGGAGGCCCCCGGCTCCAGGAATCCAACACCAACGTGAGTTACATGGCTCCACCGCCCTAAAGGCTGATGATACCCCAGAGATTCTCTATGTGGTTCAGGCCAGGCCAACAATCCAGGTCTTGGTAGTTCTGGAGCTGCGAGCAGGTGCTAGCTCCTTCATCTCCATGAACCTTCTCAGCAGATGGAAGCATGAAGTGCTCCAAAATCTCCTGTTTCACTTTAGGGCTCTATTGATTCAGGGTTTAATAAAACACAGTCGCAGTCGACATCGCACCCCAAATCATCAGACTGTAGGAACTTCTCGCTGGACTTCACTCACCTTGGATTCTTTGCCTCTTCGGTCTTCCTCCAGACTCTAGTATCTTGATTTCAAATTGCAAGTTGAAAGTTCTGGACAACTGTCAAGTCAGCAGTCTTCCTCATGACTGTGGTTGTGTGGACTGAACCAGTATGAGGGAGTAAAGGCTCAGTAAACCTTTGCTGGTGTTCAGAGTTAATTGGTGGACTGAAATAAGAAACAAGAAAGTGGACTTTTCCATAATATTCTAATATATTGAGAAAGTGGATTTTTGATTTTCATAAACTGTAAGTTGTCATCATTAAGATTTGAACAAAAAAGTCTTGAAAATTTCTCTTTGTGTGTGATGAATGTAGAATATATGGAAGTTTAACTTTTTTAATCAAATAATGGAAAAAATGAACATATTTGGGACATTGTAATTTTCAGAGCTGCACCTTTAATCCCATCAAATGTAATTACACTTGAATTAATTCAACCAGAAGGTTAACTTCCCATTTATCAGAACAAAAATAGCCCCAACCTGAAATAACAAGCTGACACTGTTCTTGGGGTAAAATTAGAGAACAATTTATTCTTTGCTCTGTTCTACAAAACTTTATTACAACATAAAGCTGATGAACAAAACTGTGTCTGTTGGAGATCGAAGGTTTCTCCTGGAAACATGTGGACAGCAATCACAGGTGTAAAAACTAATATTCTGTAAATGTACAGTTACTATTGGCTTTGTGTTAAGTTTGAAATTGTGCTTTGGAGTCCTTGGATTCCTTGAAAAAATAGGGATTTTTTCTCTACGTCTATATCACAAGAAAGAACAAAAATCTGCAGGATAGAAAAGTTCTTGAAAACTTAGCACCATTTGGTAAAAGGGTCCTTAACTGAACATACAAGAGGAGTTTCAACATCAGTGTAGATTTGAAACTGACATTACAAAGTGGAATTCATGTTTGCTTTATTTCTTTGTAGTGAAAAAGATTCACTTTCATTTTTTTAAATGTAACACACTAAATTAAATTCTTTAAGTTTCAAGACTAAAACACACTGGAAACTATTTTAATGGACATCAGAACTAAAAAACTTTCACGAAAGAAAAACCTGCCAGTGCACTCAGGTGTCTTTAGTTTGTGTTCGCACATCTGCTGTGCGTGTTGTCCTGTTTGAGTGTTCATGGGTAAAAGCCTTGATTCCTGTCACCTTGTCAAGTTACAACAGAGGAGTTAAAGACAAGGAAAACATGGCAGATATTTAGAACCTGATATCCCAGTACTGAGGTGTTTCTTTGACGGCTTCACGCTGGTCTTCAACTGCAGCAGACTCTATGCTGGACTGAGATGTCACCTCGGGGTACGCTGTCGGTTCCCCAGCCTCTGAAAGGTCAGGGAAAAAAATGATGTGAGAGTGCAGTAAAGGATTGAGGCTTTATTTTTTCCTCTGTGTCAGCATTCGTCTAAAAAGGCCAACCATGAGTTTGTTAGGTAGTCATGGTGACATAATTAAACACACTACATTAGGTTAACAGCATTGAAAACAATTACAAATACAGCTCAATGTCACAGAGGAATAAGGTGCATCAGGACTTGATGAATGTTAAATACAGAGTGCTGCAAGATGACTTCACTCACCGGGGATGCAGAGGATCTGAGGTCTCTCCCACTTGCCTGAAGACAAACACCTGATCACAGGATTTAGTCTCTGTTGGAAGCCCTTGGCGCAATGATAGCGCACGACTGCGTTTGTCTCGTATCTCTGTTTAACTTTTCCAAATGTCGAGGTGTTCCTGACCTTCGGTGGTGGACCGCATGAGGCTGTTGGAAAAGATTTCATATTTTAGCTCATTCAAGAAGTTAGCAATGTAGCAAGGAGTTGAAATTACCAATTTTTTTAATGATTACTCACAGGTGCCTTTCTTGCAGGTGTATGCGAGGTGATAGTTGCAGGGTACATCACTCCAGCGTCCATCATCGTGCCATACCATCACTACACAGTCCTCACCAGAGAGGAAATAGCTGTCTGGCTGCCCTCTGTACCAGTTCTCATACAGCTGAATGCAAGAGGAGGAGAGAGTTTGAGGTATTTGTATGTCAGAAAATAATAATATTCATGTCCTCTTTTGCTAATGGTAATATTCATCTTAATGCAGACATCACTGGTGTGTCTTTCTGCTGACACTGTGCAGCGTTCTGTTGAGAAATCACAGTTTTGTTATAATGCCCCAGAATACACGTTAGTCTTAAACTGGAACTCGATGCAAGCAAAACTGAATTCATTGTTTGCCACCGGGGTGAAAGATCTTGTTTTTTGCAGTCTGCAACTCAGAAAATCAATAATACCTCATTTATTTATTAATTTTCTATCCATTTCATTTGTTTCTTTGGCTGATTACTTTTCTAAAGCCATGAGTCGTTCACTAAACTTGGGCTGTCCAGTGAGTTTGATTCCCCCTCAAAGTCAATTTCATCTCTCATTAATAAAAGTTTTTGGGTTTAATCTTTTTTCTCATCAGGGTCCTCTTAATATCAACAAATATTAAGTGGATTTTTTTTAATGAATATATTATAGTCTAAGTCAGACTCTTGCTTTCTCATCGTCCTCACCAATGGGTTCCCATCAGACCACCGGAAATCATCTTCAATGGTTTTATCATTCAAACCGGTCCACTGGTATTCTTTGTAGTTACCTTGTGAGAAAATTGGAGTAAGGTAAAGGATCATGAGCTTTAAAAAAAATAAATCAGAAATATAGGGTAAGTTATAGTGGTCTGAACCCACTGTTGATGTAACTCTGCTCCTCAGGGGTCATGATGGACACCAGGTGAGCTCCCTGCGTGCGACAGTGCTGCTCTGCCACCTCCCAGCTCATACGCTGGCTGAAATGTCGGTAGCAGAAACCATGGAACTTATCCCAGCCGGGCTCACACCGCTCCATATCTGTAAAACATCACAGAGGGGATGACAGGCCTTACTTTGTCACTTCACCTGAATGCAACCTGCTTTACAAGCTCTATAAAAAAACAGATAAAAAGACAGGTAGCTTACCAAGCTGACAGAAGTTTCCTCCGTATGTTGGCAAACAGAGACACTTAATCTGTCCACCCTGCTCTGTGCAGGTTCCTCCATTGAGACAAGGGTCGCCCAAACACATATCTGAAATAAAACCAAGAGCAAATTCAGATTATTCTGCTGGTCAAACTACACAAGAGGGGACAATCTGTGTATAACCCAGAGGGAATCAGGTGTGTTAGGATTTACATTGAAAGTTACTGTTTTGCTCATATTTCAGTGAGCGAGTATTTCTGAGCACAACCAGGCTTGTTTACCTGTGATTTAAACAACTTTGTGACAACACTGCTAAAGAGAATTGTGAATAAATGACAATCACAGACTCATGCTACAGGAAAAATCCCCAGAGAAACAGACACGTGAAAGCTGCAAACTGTGCATCAACCAGCAGAGGGCTGCAGAGGACAAAAGACGGTGGTCAGACTCCAAAGCGCCTCTTCTGTCTTCTCCTTTGTGCAGTTATACCACTTTTATTCCTGCTGGCTGGCTGGTCTTCTTCCTCTTCCTCTCCCACTTGCCAATAATTGAGATTTTCGTTTTTTTTATGCTCATGTCACACTCAGATTTCTTTTCTCTCTCTGCATCTTTGATCCAGAAGTCTGGAGCTACATGTTCATGTTTACTCTGCTGCATTATGTCAGAAAAATGGCTGTGAAAGTTGTATTTAAAGAGCCGGATTGCTGCATTCAAGGAAACTCAAAAACATTTGAAATTAATTCAAAAAAACTGAATGTTGTGTCTCTGACTCTCTGTTTGTGTTGTTTGTTAGTCTTTATTTTTAAGGTAAATCAGAGGTTGGAGTTCCAGCTGTATTTAAACAAAAATGAGATATATGTGTCTACGCTAAAATTAAACATTTACAAGGTGATTTGGTGTATTTTTTCTCTTTGACACTCCATAAACAAGCTCTCTGCGGAGTGTGTCATTACACTACACTCTTACATACGCACCTCTCGTTTTTGGGTCAGGTTGCGTGTTTAGAAGGTAACACATGTTTCACAAAAGAAAGACAAGGAATTAAACAATAAAGATCGCAGTGATGGTTTGACTAATAATCCTCTTCTCTGCAGTAAAACATCATTTTTTAACCCTTGATTAAAGTTTGCACAACAACAAAACTGCATCAGTTTCAGCCCCTCCTTTGTGTTGTGTTGTGTGGTGAAAAGGACTTAACAGCAAACTGTCTGGATGAGATAATGACCATCAGTTATTTGATGTTTTTTAATCTATAAACTGCTGATCCTCCATTCCTTTATCACTGTGAGCAGACGACTACATAAACCATGCGGCTCACTAAACACAGGCCCGGCCCATGTCTTCAAACTGAGATTAAGTGTATGTTCAGCATTGTGTTTCTGTGTGTGCTTTGTAAAGGAGAAAGAAGATACTAAAAGGGGAATCATGTGTTTTCTTTGTTTTTGATGTGGTGTTTGCAGTAATGATACTCATATTGACGCCAAGCCAGTTTCTTCTACTAAACAGTAAAGCTGGAATTTTAATGCACAAAAACCTCTGAAACAGTCATGATGAATAACCATGTCTCTAAGTAACTTTCATCTTTCTGTAGCTGCCATTACTTTAGCTAAACTAAAACATTTCAGACCGCCAGTAAGAAAAACATCAGGCGATTAACCGATGGTCCGAGAAGCCACAATAATAGATTAGTTGATTTTATCATTCACCTGTAACACAAAACTGTACAAATGTTGCAGGATCATCATTAAAACAAAAGACCATGACTGAGTATGAAACATTTATGACCCACGAAGAACATTTAAAAAGTGATTTTTTAAATGTTTCCATAAAACAACAATTCAACACTGAACAATATTTGTGCTTATGAACATAAAACATCCTGTGCTTCAGTCTAAAGTGGTTATGGAAGCTTCTGCACCTGCTAGCCTGACAGTTTTAGGTTTATAACAGCAACAGTAAGTAATCTGATTGGACAAGAGGGAGGATTTTAAGTACAGCAGTACTTTACGTTTAAACGTAAAGAATCACTCCGCCCCAGACCGGTATTTTTAATACTGTGGATTAACATTACAGCAAGAGATCTTAGTCTGGATTAATCAGTCACATATAACTCTAAAACAGAGTCTCATTTCACTGGCTGCACAATAACAAAGTAGCTGATCTGTGATGGCGTTCAAAACAGTCCACTTAGTGAGGATCTGAATGTGTCGGTGGAAGCAGGTTGAAACAAAAGATAAACAAAAATAGTAATCTGTTGTTGCTTCGTACTTTGACTGTAATGAGTTGCTTCTTCACCTGTTGTATAAAAGCAATAACACACCTGAGGCTGTGCTGTTGTACTAAATATCAGCACACTATGATTTTACATGTGACTGAATCTTATAGCAGTGTTGACACTCAGTACATCAACACTCCCTCTTGTGTGCCATCATTTAAAAGGATATTCCGGCATAAAATTAATTTAGGGTCAAACACACCGTAACACAGAATTAGAAACTCTGTCGAGAGATAAATGTTGCTGACTCCTTGCTTCTCTAGTTATACCAACTTTAGTAACTACCACACGATAGCAATACAGAGAGCCGCGCACTCAACCAAAACGCCACTCTATAGCCACAAATAATACTCAGAACAGCACCTAACTTCATCAACAGTACATATTGGATCCCAGCCATAGTACTAGCCACCAAACATCTTTTTAGCTTTGCCCAATTATTTTCGTAAAGAGACTAAACACAACTCACCTACTCTCTTCCAGCAGCCGCTTGTTTGTAGCGAGACCTCAGATGAGTCCATTACGGACGACAGCGGGGTGACACAGCTCAAGGAAGAACATTTATGATCATTACTCATGGAAATGCAATCAGACCGAGACGCTAAAGTTGAAGAACTACCGCGTCTGCAGTACAAAATGATTAATATTATGATTTTTGCTTCAAGGAAATGATAAAGTAATGGTCATAAATGTTCTTCCTTGAGCTGCGTCACCCCGCAGCAGTCTGTAATGGCCTGGCCCAAGCTCTAGCTACAAACAAGCAGCTGCTGGAAGAGAGTAGGTGAGTTTTGTTTAGTCTCTTTGCAGAAATCAGGCAAAGCTAAAAAGATGTTTGGTGGCTAGTACTATGGCTAGGACCCTATATGTACTGTTGATGAAGTTAGCTGCTGTTCTGAGCATTATTTGTGGATATAGAGTGGCGTTTTGGTTGAGTGCGTGGCTCTCTGTATTGATATCCTGTGGTCGTTACTGAAGTTGGTATAACTAGAGAAGCAAGCTGTCGGCAACATACATCTCTCTCGAGGGGGTGTCTAACTCGGTGTTCCGGTGTGTTTGACCATAAATTAATTTTATGCCGGAATATCCCTTTAATCAAACCAATATCATCTTTAACTACGATAACTTCTTTCCAGAGCTGTATCATCTCAGACAGAATGCACTTGAAATATTGATAAAAGATTTACCAAACCAACCTTCGTAAAAACACGCACTGAAACACTCATTCATAAACGTCTCAGTATATAACAGTACTTCACAGAAGTCAATCTTGTGATGAGGAAAAACAACATGCTGTAGACAAATGTCAAATGGGAGCTGTCCCAGTGTGAGTATCTCGAAGGGGAGGTGGAGTCACAAGGAGAGAAGTGAGGAAGGTGAAGCGGGAGGAGTCAGAGGGGTGAGTGGGCTTTCTGAGACAACAAAGTGAAACAAACTTGGGAAGTCGTTTGAAAAGGAGGGGAGGTGTTTTATAGAAAATGGAGCAGAGGCAGGTTGGGGGCAGAAGACAGACCAGGGGGGTTTTAGTGCATTGTCGCATCAAGTAGCAGGAGGAGGACGGTTAGGCTGATGAAAGTGGCTTTAACATTACCTGAAGCTTTCCCCGTGCCGCCTACAGCTGCCCTCTCATTGGGCAATATAAGCAGGGTGGGCGGCTGGGTGAGACTAAACTCAACGTCCACCAGACCTTGATCCACTGGTGGCATGAAGGTTGTCACCACCGGGGGCTCTGTTGTCTTCCGGAGAACGCTCGCTCTTGAGGTGGTCGGGCTCCAGAAGCGTCTGGACCAGTGTGTGGTGGTCTTGATGGGGGGAGTGGTTGTCTTCACTGTAGCAGAAGCCGGTTTTGTGCTCAGAGATGGAGTTTTTGTGGAAGTTGAGGGTGACATTTCACTGCTGTACTCCAGATCCTCCAGAGACTCTTGGGGTCTAGTTGTGGTGGTCAGCATAGCCCAGTTAGATGTTTGCGACTCAAGAGGGATGACGGTAAAGTCCTCTTCAACTGTTGGGGCACTGCTACCCTCTTCTTCAGGAGTTGGGGTAATATTCGCTTCTTCTGCTTCTTCTTCAGGAGTCAGGGTAACATTAACTTCTTCAAAGTTTTTGGAAAGGCTGCCTTCTTCAAGAGTTGGGGTAACGCTAACTTCTTCTCCTCCTTCTTCTTCCTCAGGTGCAAGACTGGACAAAGTGTAATCTACTCCTTCAGTTGTAGCTATAGTAGCACCCTCTTCAGGATTTGGGGTAACATTAGCTTCTTCATCAAACTCTGGGGCGATGTTATCCTCTTTTTCAGGAGTTTGGGTAACATTTGCTTCTTCATCCAAGTTTGTGGTAACAGTATATTCTTCTCCGCTGGTTGGGGCAGTGTTTGCTTCTTCTCCCACAGCTAGGGTTGGAGTGACTACGCCTTCTTCATGAGTTGGTACAATGCTGGTTTCATTTGTGTGCACTGAGGTGCTGTTTTCGTCTTCAGATTTCTCTTCAACAGTTGGGGAAAATTTGATTTCCTCTCCAAGATTTGGACCTTCTGCAGTTTTAATATCTTCACCGAGAATTACAGTGATTGTTTCAGGTTCATGTCCACTCGCCTCTTCATACCCAGTAGTAGCAGCATCCAAATATTTTCTGTATTCTGATGTTTGATACCGTGCTGTGGTTGGATCAGTGGGGAACTGAGATGTGTTTGAGCTCTCTGGGGCCTCAGTAGTAGCAAAGCTTACTCCAGAGTGGATGATGCCTTCATAATTTGTGGGCTGCGGCACTTTGTCTTCACTTTCCAGAGTTACTGTGTCCTCAATTTCTAAGCTTGTACTTCCCTCCTGTTTGGAGATGGTGGACTCCCAGAGCTGTGACACCGTGGAGAGGATATCCAAGTCCAGTTTTTCTGAAAGCCGTGACCCAGAAGAGGCAGTCAATTCAGGAAATGGTGTGGTAACAGGCTCTGAAGTCGTGTCGTTATCAGAAGCAGATGTGGTCAGGTTAAAGGCAGAGCTGGCTGAGGTAGGCTCTGATGTAGAGCTCAAGCTCACTGCTTCATCTGTGTCCCTCTCTAGAAAAGAGATGAAAATGAAATTGAAATAAAAGTATTTTTAAGGCTATGAATACATCCATGGAAGGGAACATTCAAAAAGTTAATTTCTTGTTATTTTTAACCAACGTACTTTCATAAATGTTTTCCATACCTTGAGAAACGTCTCCAGACCCATCCAGATTTGACCACATAGAGGTTAAGTCCTGAATGGACGATTCTGTAGTTTGTGCTGGTTGTGTGACGACTTCTTCCTCTCCTCTTGAAGCCTGAGTTGAAAGAGAAATCTGCACTTGATTTTTACCTGCTGCCTCCTCCATCTCCTTCTCAAGGGTCATGAGATTCACCTGCCAAATACTCAATTCTTCAGTCTGATTACTGCCACTTTCACTGTGATTGGACTCTGATCTGTCAAAATTCAAGTTAAAGGCTGTTTGTGTTTCTAGCTGTCTTTCAGACTGCTGTGTGCTCTCTTCTTGACTTGTGTCTAGTACTGTCTGGTTTTGTGTATTGTGTGATAATTCAGGAAACTCTGTTGTGTTTTCAGACCCAGTCTGGTTGAAAGTAAAGCTCAAGTTTTCCTGAGACTCAGTCTCATTGTAAACATTGGGCGGTAATGATGTGTTTTGTGGGGAATCATAGGTTTCTGCTGTGTTGATAGTAATGTTCATCAGAGCTGTAGGATGTTGGGAGTCGTAACTCATTTCTGTAGGGGAAACAGTTTCATTAAATCCCTCTAGGAGGTCCACTGTAGGTGTTGGGTTAAAGGGAGACTCTGTTGTTTCTGAGATAACTGTTGGGTTTGTGTTCACGAGGTTTTCCAGGGTGGAGTTGGAGGTGAAGGGAGAAGATTCAAGGACACCTTGTGCTTTCAGCTCCACCTGTTCAGCATGGTGGTTTAGTTTGAGCTCTTGATGTGTTTCCATCAGAATAACTACATCTTGTTCAATGTCCTCAGACTCTGTGGCTGCGTAGTCTCGGGGAGATTCTGTGTAGGCATTTCCATTTTCTGCAGAGAATAGATGAGTGATTGAATATTAGATTACATGCATTTGACTTGTTGAAACCAAATTATGTAGACAAAGATCAAATGCAAAGCAAGGATAGATTTCTGTGAGTGTTTAATAAATACAGACGTTTATGGTGCGAATAAAAGCTTATAAAGTTTTAGTTTGCATGCAATAAAACTCACCCCTGAAACAGTAAACATCATGCCGGCTGGTTGGTTCAGGAAAGCCAGTTTGGTTGCTGAAGCGGTAAACAGTTTTTACACCGGCCTGAGACCCTCCACAGCGCTCTCTAGGGCTGATGATAGGGTAACGCACACTGCCGTCAGACAGCCAGCCGGGGCTGCAACGGTCCAGACCTTCACTCCATGCAGAGTAGAGCTGTGCTGTCGTAGCCAGCTCTGCTCCAGCCGCTCTACAGTAAGACTGAGCTTCATCGAAGGTCAGCTGCTGTGGGTTGGGGTCATGAAACACCACCCCTGTGAACACAAGATGGCTTCAGTTTTACACTGACCATGTGGATAAACACATGAAGTGATGTATGTGGCAAATTATTACCAATAAAGATGCGACTGAGTTCTTTTTGAAGCATGTTTACCAAGGTTGATCTCTAGAGGGCACTGAGTAAACTTTTCAACTGTAAAATGCCCTTGAATGACCTTATTCTTAAAGTGACGAATAAAAAGGAAATCTGATAAATATCATAAATTTGAAAAATGTGGTTTTAATCTCTGTATTTGCTCAAAACAATTCACCAAAGATGATAGAAATAGGTATAATCGTTGTACCCTCAATGTCTTCCACGTAACAGTAAACATCGTATAAATCATCTGGATCCATTGTGCCGTAGTTTCTCACTCCTGGTTTGCCGTCCATGTCGCCATAACAACCCTCACGGGGCACCTGGATTGGGTACCTTTAAAAGAAGAAGCACAATCTTGTAGCTCTGTAAATGTTGTGTTTATAATTATCCTGTTCTTTCTAAAGCTACCAGGAGCACCTCTGACTAACATGAGCAACGGTCTCAGCGTAAATCTGAGGGCCTCACAGATTGACGGCACTGCGTAGCTTTAAGTGAGAGTTAAAACTAACAGATGAAGAGGTCATCAGTCACCTGACAGACTGATCAGCCAGCCAGCCTGCATCACACTGCTCATAGCCATCATAATAAGCCGCCAGCAGCTGGTCGGGAGTGGCGATTTGAGCCCCGATGGCTTCACAAGCGCTCTGAGCCTGAGAGAAGGAAAACGCATAACGACCCAGAGCGTCTCTGTAGTGGAACACAACACCTGAACAACCAAAGAAAAACACACAGGTAAACACAGTTATATCACAATGGACTCATCAGTACTCCTGGTTGTTATGGAGATTGCTAATTATTCATCAGTATTTAGAGGCTTGTTTAGAGCATTAAACCATTAATTGAGATGCATTTTTAATCCTAAATTTATAACTCGCAAGTACAATGATGAATTCAGGCAAGCGTACAACAAACAAACAAACAAACAAACAAACAAACAAAGAAACAAAGAAACAAAGAAACAAACAAACAAACAAACAAACAAACAAACAAACAAACAAACAAACAAACAAACGATGGAGTCAGGCAGTAGAGGTAAAAACTGGAGATAAAAATCAGGATATTCTATGATATGAAAGTGGTTAAATGAAAAAAATTAAATAAAAATAAGAAAATAAATAAAATAAGATAAAACAAAATAAATCCAATAAAATAAATCTAAAGGAGATGGATAATATGTAAAGAAAAAGTTCTGGATATTGTATGATATGAGAGAGATTATTTTACAACAAACAAACAAAAATCACACAAAAAATTAAATGACAATTTAGAAAAAAAATTTCAAGATAGTAAAAAAAAAATCAAAAATGTTTAGGCAAAATATGCTCCAAGATATTGAGTTAATTTAGTTTATTTGCCAAAAATCTAAATCAATGAACAAGAAGCTTAGTATATATATTTCTTAGTGTAATAGTGTTATATTATTTAAATTAGTGTATTCCCTTCAGCCCCAAAAGCATTAAAGTATTTTATTACATGTAAATCCCAAATGGATGTTGTCCAGCATCACTTCATACAATATGGTGCAAAAATAAGTTCATGTTGATTCATGGCAAATTTTATCCATCTGCATGAAGAATCTTCAAAACTCCTGCCATGATTGAACTTGATGAACTTCAGTCTTTCATTTGGTTACCTTTGACTTGGAGTTGTACGACGTCGCTAGCGTCCTCCAGACCCTGCTGCACCTCGCAGCGATAGTGACCCGAGTCACTTGAGCGTAAATCTCCCAGCCACAGAGACGGATCATCAGGAAAGGACGTGTAGTTGAGCCAGGCAGCGCGGTCTCTGTACGCTTCATTCACCCTAATCCTTTGACCCCTTGCCACAAAGATCTCCTTCTCCTTCTCGCCAGACACCACCGTCCATTTGACCCGTGGGAAGGGAGAGGGAGGGTAGGAAGAGGTGGAGGAGATGGTGGGTGTGGAGGAGAGAGACACCAGGCAGGGGATGGAGATGGAGCTGCCCAGTGGGGCTGTTAGGAGACCTGAGTGGGGGATGTTCACCTGGAGCTGCTGAGCATCGTCTGCAGAACATAAAGGACACAGAGCGTGAAGAACAGTTGCTGACATCAGTGAATCACGGCTGTACTTTAAACACTTTGTCCTCTTTGTTCTTAACTGAATGTGACTGAAGAGGAGAGAAAACACCCTCATACCAAATGTGGACGGAGTTTGAGTCGGGAAGGCCAGCGTGAGACGACAGACGGCTATGAGAAGAGGAAGTACTTGGACATGTCTGTGGAGATAAAGAGGAAGACCGTTAAAAAGACTGATATATTTAAAAGTTAACCAACGGGTTATTTTTCCTCCTGGCCATTTCAAGTTTCCAATTTCACACATGTTTAACCGTTAATGGGCAGAGCGACTGTTGATACCGGAGGCCATGTAATGTGCTGGTTCAGCTGGTCAGATGACATGCTCCACTGATCTAGCCAATTGATTTCTTACCATAAGAAAGGTCACAGCTTGCACACCTTTGTGTTACTTTACAATAACATCCCCTTTAGTTACAGTTTTGCACGTGTTTGAAGAGATAGACCAACACTACCAAGTATTTCTTACTTTTTGAGGCCCTTCTTCCTCAAAAGTGATAAAATCTTAATGATTAGAAGTTTATAATGTCCATTTAAGAGCAGAATAAAACAGCAAAAAATACTTTGAATACACAATGTAAGAAAATAATCAAGTTATGGGAAAGACAAGACAACTGCACAAAAATGATGGGATTTAAAACTCAAGGTTACTTCAGGAGAAGAACGACATGCCTTGCAAATAAGAGCAAACAAGTTCACCCAAAAATGCCTGTGGGAGACGATATTATTAGAACAAGATAGGAGACTACAGCCATGCTATAGCAAATTTGTCACAGCAGTGCTTGGAGATAAATGCTGCCCAGAGTTACATGAAAGTCTGTGCCAATTTTTATGGTTTTCTGTCCTCGAGATTTTGAGATATCTGAGAGGAAACTTGAGGATAAAACCAAAGTTGTATGATGTGTTGAGAGTTCCTCCTCTGAAGACCATGAATATCTACGCAAAGTGTCATTAAGATTCATTAGAAGTATTTCAACCCTGGACTGGAACCCTGTATTCGAATTAGAGGTCTTTTTTAGTGTTTAGACTTTTTCTATTACTGATAAATGGGTCAGAGCAGCCTTTTTCATTCTGTTAGTACATTTGACAAGAACAATGCTGTCTGATCAATAGAAGAAAATAACAGCAAATGAGCCAAAATTAGCCTACAGGTCTGGTTTTTTGGTGTCAAGGAGGCCGCCTCAGAATAGATAAAAAAAGGCACGTTTGGAAACAACAAACATTTCTCAGCATATTTTTAACAACTGAAGACCAAACCCTCGGAAAAGAATGAACGAAAGAATGTAAAACCCTACACACAAGTCCCATGAGATACTGAAAAAAAAAACACGTAACTGAGAGCTTGACAGTGGAGCATAAAAGAGCAGCTTCTCTGGTTTTCAGAGGGAAGCGTGGAGCGCAGACTTCTGACCACAAACCATTCATCACCTCCGGGAGCTAATGACACAGCGTCTCAGCCCCGCGGCGTCCTGCCAGCTCTCCGTCACCAGCCTGGCCCTGTCATTAACCCAGCAGGCATGGCAGCGCTCACAGTGACCTCACACAACCTCCTGACGGGGCCGTGATGAAGCTGCAAACGTTCATTCATTATTAAAAAGCAGCGCTCTGGATCCTGATTACTTTTCAGGACTGATGAAGTCGGGGTAGAATTCATCAAAGTTTTTCAGTATGTGTAAAGTTTGTGAGTCCATGCTTTCACATTTATAAAATCTGTAATAATTGATGATTATCCACGTCTTGTAAAGTTTTAATAAAATCTAGTCTGTGTCCTTTTTTTTGTGTTTGTGTCATTAATGATTGTTACCTGAATAATCCTAAATTTTAGAGGGGATTTAGAAAATAGTAATGTGTGAGGTGTCTCTGTTTTATGAAATTATTAGTAATATAACAATAGAAATACTAGACGCATTAATATGAAGAGGCACTTTTTGGTAGACGGGGTTGAAGTAGAACCTTTGAACTTTAATGGGTTATAAACCTCAAATGTTTGATATGTCATATATTCACCAATAATGCCTCTTATTTAATACACGACCATAAAAGTACAATATTTCCCTTTTAAACATTGGCGTTAAGGAGAGATAAGTTGGAGCATTATTAATTTGAACCTTGAAATGGGTTAATTAGTTATAGATTGCGGACTATGACAGTTCATAGAGTTTTGTTTGTTGCTGATGGGGAGATGCTCTGAGTTTGTGAATGGCTCTCTTGATGGGCTAATGTTGAAAAGAGAAAAGAAACAGAGCTAAATACAGAAGAAGAGTTGTGTGAGAGCTTCAATTCTTTCTACCAGGATGAAGTTTAATAAAGAGACCCTCAAACACGCACTTGTACATGTGCGGCCAAGGTGGAGTTTGAGTATAAAGTAAAAACATTAAATCTTAACATGGTCCGATCCAGAAATAAGCCCCTAGTTAACCCGGCGAGCTCTACAGTTTTATATCAGACACATCCCTGGTATGACTCGGCTCAAACGAAGCTGGCTAACTTGTGTCAACTTAAAAAAAAGCCTTCTTTGACAGCAGAATAAAACTGCTGTCTGTTTCCTCGCCAGCTGGGTGGACTCCACACGGGCTGCTATCACTATTAGTATTCTTGACAAGAAAACGCCTCACAGAAAGCGAGCAGTGGGCCAGGAGGACAGCTGCACACTGTGCTTTCACTTCATACCAACTCCCTTCACAAAGGGCCTCGAGGGAAAATTAAAGGACAGGGCACTGGCACACTTGCTCTGCTTTTTCTTTTTCCTTTTCTCTGGCTCTTTTCAGGGCTGGAAGGAGGAAGTTTTCAACCACCAAGAATCGTTCTGGAGCAGCTCTTTGTACAGAAAGAGCCGCGTTAAGACACTGAACACTGTTCAAAATGTTGTGGGAGTGATGTGACTTTGTGCAGCCAGATTGATGGCAAGGGAGAAAATCCTACTTGCTGCTGACTATTCAGCTTATTGAAATCTAATTTCCACGTCCGCCTTTGGCATCATTGTTCTAGCAGCGGCTCTTTTCTTTTAACGAGAGTAACGACGAGGAAAAGTCCAGATAAAAATCAATGCTACCAACTGCATTTACAGGTCTAAAACTGCAGCTAATGCATTATCCACTAGCAGAACAAATCCAGTCACTCCCTGCAGGAGTACAGCAAAAGGCAAAGGAGTAACTTTCTCCTCATTAAGCTGGAAAAATCAACATTGATGAATGATTTTTTTTACTGCAAAAAGCTAAGTAAACATGGCACTGATGCTGAGATTCCTGTCTGTGTCGCTCCGGTGACTGAAAAGCTCGCTCACTTCATCGTATGATAAGCCTCTGCAGTTCTCTGCATCAAGGTCAATTCAGGCAAACCCTGTCTCCCCTAAAACCCAGAACAAAACTCCTGATGCCAGATTGGCCTGGTTGGACATGCAAAGACTCTGGTTGATGATGACTGATGTAAGCTTAACACACTGTCAGGCTTGAGCAGGATTTGGCAGAAATGAGTCAGATAACAGAGGGGATTTTCTTTTCTTATTTAAAGATGGGTCCAAGTCTACATCCAAATGAGTGATGTGGCTTCAATCCTCTACTTGTCTTGTATGATAGCTGATAGCTTTGATACAATAAAAAGGATCTGAGTTGTACCCAGTGAAGAAGCTCATCTCATTACGCCTTTACCCCCATATTTTTGCTTTGCCCACAAGTTACATAAGACCGTCCCTAACATCTTTTAACACCCAAGCATGAAGACAGTTGGGGAAAGTTGGGCGCTGAGAGCCAGCACATCGCTAAGGTTACCATGTTGGCACCTCTTGTCTCTGGTGTTTTGTCAAGTCATGCCCACAACACCTCAGGAGGCTTGACAACTGGCTCTGATGTCCTGTAAACAGCCCGCTCGACATGCTAGCACCAAAAAAGACAAGAAAAGACAACAAGAGAGAGGAGTAGATATCAAGGAAAGCAGAGCCAGGGCAACGAGCCTGTTAGGGCTCGGAGGAGAGGTCTGCTTCCCCTGCTTCTTCACTTCAATGAGGGGTGAGAGAGGACATAGCGGTCACCATATTGGAAAGGCTGACTTTGACTAAGTTCCAGCAACATAAAGCCAAAGACAAGACACAAATTTATATGTCCAAAATTTCAGACACAGGATTCAAAATCCTTCAAGATACTTCTGATCCCAGATTAAGGTTCCTGCTTAATTTGACTCATCTCCACTAGAGTGCTTTGGTCTACTCAGATATGATGGTACTTTCTGTTCACATTCACATTTACATGGTATAAGAAAGTACAAGTACTGGCTTGAGGGACTTGCTGCCCACCAGTGTGTTAGAGGTGTACTGCTCAGATACACCGGTGAGTAAGTAGCTATAAATGTTCACAAAGGCAAAGTTATGGGATAGAGGGCGAATGTATACACAATGCACAGTTATGACTAGGGTTGCAAAGGGGCAGAAAATTTCAGGAAAATGTTTTGGTAAATTTCCAGAAACTTTCCATGGGAAGTTAAGCTGGGGGATTCTGGAAATATTCTAAATTGTAAACTTTCCATGGGAATTTATGGGAATTTATGGGAATTCACTGGGTATCATTTAAACAAACTGTATCACATCCAAACATAAATGTAAATATTGTTGTTCTGTCATAAGCAGACATCCATGCAAAATAATACAATTCAAAAACATGACATTTCAACAGATTTATTTGATTAGAATTTTAGTTTTAATTCTTGTATGAACAATCAATTATTTTAATGAACAACAAAAACATGAAAAAAAAAAGTTTCACTTAAAATGTTAAATGAAAAGAGCCCCCCTCCCGCCACAGTACATGTAGGGGGTGTGGCTTCAATAGCCCTGCAGTAAGCAGTGTGCTGTGTGCATGTGATTGAGGAGTGTACTTGCATTAAATCTGGTTGTTTTAGCCAAGATTATACTACAATATATTTTCCCCAACTATATTTAACTTCACTGTTGAGGACCAACCTTAAAAGGTTTCAGATTTATTCCCATTAATTCTCGTTAATTCCCATATATTCCCGTTAATTTCCATGGAAAGTTTCCAACTTTGAAAATTCCTAGAATTTTGCAACCCTAGTTATGACCTGACAAGGCTCCACTTTTTACTGCTCTTAACACGACTTATGTGTAAATCCGATTTGCATAATAGGAAACAAACTTCTCGGCTTCCCACTGCGAATGAGATCACTGTCCGAGATCCAGATCTGTGCAGAGGACTCCCAAGATCCAACTGTTCTATCTCTCATCATGATGACCCATTTGGAAAAGCCACCCACTGATCTAGACACCAACCAGGACCACCAATGATCCTGGGAACGAGTCGTGTCTGTTTCAAACAAATCCCAGCTCTCAGACCTGACTCAGAAAGTCTGTGGCCTGACCGCAGCCTGTGCACACAAGCCTGATCTAAACCTGCAGGGACACTTTGTAGTGAATTTCCTCTGTGCTGTCACGGAAAAAACAAAGAGACAATTTATTCATCTATTCCTGGATTCTGACTGTGTTCAGGTGTGCTCTGTTCTCCTTAGACTCATCACTTTCACACCCCACAGAAAACAAGCCTGGCGATCTAACCTGCTTTTTGTTTTAGAGATATTACGACCATAAATCGAGGAAGCTCATATCGAGATCTGTAAATATTCAAAACTTCTAATACTTAAAATCTACTCTGTTGTCTTATCAGATCCTGGGATTGTTTCTAGTTTGATGTCTTTAACTTTTTCTGAATGCAGAGTCACCATTATACTACTTAAAGGTTGACAGAAGGAATATACAATCAGACTCTAGCAAATTTAAAGCTCATTAAAATGTTTGACACCATATGCAGTATAAAATTATTATGGCTTCATCAGTTTAATGGTTAAATAGTTTCTGACTCTAAAATAGGAGAGCATAATATCTTCAAAATTACATCAACTTCAGAATAACACGGTTAAGTAAAATGATCCATAATCTGTGGGTTATCCTGCTATCAAAACCAGATCAGTCAATCAGGCTACAAATTTGTAATAGATGTCTTTCTGTAAAAGTGATTTTTCCATTTTCTATTTATGGTCCCTTTTTTATTTGCCTTGTAATCATAATGAGTGCAGGTTTTCTTTTCACTTAATTCATACCAGCTTTTAATTAGCAGTTTTAAAAGGTCTCTCAACCATGAAACTGTTTATTATATGACACAACAGTCCAGCAAATCTATTTAAAAACTACCAACAACAAAATAAGAAGTTGCTCCTTAGATACCAAGTGTCAACAAGAGATGAGGTCTGTAAAGATGCAACAAATCCTCGAGAATCAAGAAATCCAACTATTCTTCCAAATGTGAGGACAGAATAAACCAGAAAATGATATCAGTGCACTGAGTTTGAATCGCTCCACTGGTCAATAGTAAATCCTCTGGACCATCAAATTAAAGTGTGCCCATTTTCAGAGCATCTCTCTACCTATCCATTAATGTTATCTACCTGAGCACTGAGGTGAAAGAAAGGAGGAGAAAAGGCAAAATGTGCACTTTGAGACAAAAAGTAGCTTCTTGAGTGTCCTGTAGGGCACAGGGATAAAGTCAAGGAGCTTTAAATCGGTCACACTTGAATCAATGAGAAAAATATAAAAAATATTGAGTTCTTTTGTCTGGGATAAATGTAAAAATGGTCGGCCAGTTTAAGTTTCTTTTTCCTCCTTTCTTTTATTCTGATGGGAAACTTCATGCTAACTTGTGTGAAAACAAAATACCATGATTTACAATGGCTGCAAAGAGATAATCACTGACTGTGGGGAAACCAGCAAACCAGCTACATGTTTTTCTGGATCATAATGGGAGGTCTGGTGCGGAGAGAGGATCAAAAAGGGAAGCTGGAAGCTAATTAGAAAAAGTTGTACTTAGATAAGTGCGTCAGCCACTAGAAATATCATTTTCTGGGTACAAAATTAACCACCAACCAACCACAATTTCAGGACCTCCACAGAGGACAGCAACTTCTGCAAAGTAATTAACTGGTAATTATAGTCATTTTGCGAAATTACACTTTAACTTAAAATCCAAAATAACTTCAACACGAACAGAAACAGTCGTCTACTTCTTATTAGCACAATACTAGAAGAAACCTACCGGGCTCTTGTGAGCAGCAGCATCTTTAGCTGATGCAGGGTGAGTTGACTTCTTTGCTGTTTGAAGTATTTTCCGTCAGCTGCTCTCTGCTTGCTTGCTGCAGTGCGTCTCTTCTGTCAGGGGGGGAAATCGGGTCTGGATGCTCTGCGCAGGTATGAGGGAGCTGGTGACTGCTGTCCGACACACTCCCAGGCTCCGAGAGAAAGAAAGAAAGGAGGGAGTTCAGAGAAAGAAGTGATGCCACATATGAAAAAAAAGAAAAAAAAATCCCGAACAGCCCACTTTTTCAACCAACAATCGGGATGGAGATGGCGCATGCCTGCCTGTCAGGGGGGGATTGGGAGGGATGGCATCTAAAATAAGCGATGTTACAGGCTCTGAACAGTCAGGAGATGACCTATATGTGTTTATCTGCAGGGGGGACGACTAATGCATAGAGCGTCATTTGGATGAAGTGGAGTGAGTTGAGTCAGCTGCTGCTGCCTCTGCTGCAGGTAATATTGCAGCACAGTCACCTATAGTGGATAAAGAGGTGGGTGAGGGAGCTGACAGTTCTCTGACTCTGTTGTGTGGACTGTTGGTCTTCTAAAGTCACCCTGTTTGACTCAGAATCACCAGCACAGGCGTGACGAGATGTTTGCAGCATCCCTGCAGCAGGTCAGATACCTACAGCCCCAAATGTGCAAGGTGTGTCTGACAAAACTCACTCAACACAGCAGCCTATGCTAGTGGTAGGGCTGGGCGATATGGGAAAAAGTTTATCACGATATATTTTTTTTCATATCAGTTGATATCGATATATGTCACGATATAAAAAATTAAATTTAACAGTGTTTAATGGTTGTAGCGACTCCAAAGACCAACCTTGTCGCTTGAGAGGAAGGTTGAGGGTCCAGTATTTGTCCGATGCGCTATCACTTTCTCCATAGACAAGCAAGAGAAATATGATGCATTTTATGGTAGTTTTAATGAAACATCTGCTAGTGGTCACACACACAGGACTCCTTTTGACACACAGCAGGAACAAACAAAAGGCAAACCAAAGCAATGTGATGCGAAGCAAAGCGAAACAAAGCGGTCAACAAAAATTACGGCTACCCCGCTCCCCTTTCTCCACCTGACTGCAGGTAAGCCACAGCATTCATCCCGTGCCCCACGTGACCCAAACTACTGTATCTGTGAGGTCTTTGTGTCTCTTTGATGTTTTGAGTCGGAGGGGCTCACAGCTCATTTATGTTTCCTTTGTGCACGTTGATGCAACCAGAGAAGACAGAAATGCATGCATTCTGTTTTTCTCATCAACTGTACCTATATTAACATTTCGACTATGTTAGTGCATGATTCAATAGTCATTAAACAAGTTATTAAAAGAGTTTAAGATGTTATTTAGTGTTATTAGTGAAGTTTAGAGGCACATGTATTGACTACGATCTAGGGCTGGGCGATAAAATGATAATGATATATATCAAAAATTTATTTCCCACAATATCAATATAAAATATGGTCAATATGCTTTTCAATGATCGACATTCTGCCATGTTTTGGTAAACCATACGAATAGCCAATGAAAAGGGGAGATGCTCCAGATCCGCTTCACGCTGAACCAATCGTGCTGAATTAGAATCAAGTAGCAAAAAACTGCGTAGTAGCAGGCTGCAGCTACACCCAACCATAGCACTTTAACACGTGAAGCCGACAGCACTGTCGGTGAGGAAAAAAAGAAAATGAGTGCTACCCCCGGCAGAAATGCAGATGAAGGCTCAACAGATGACGACATCGGCGACAAAACTGGCAAGTACATTTTTTGAGGTTGGACATGAAGCAGAGTAATGTGCACTGCAAGTTATGTCAAGTACATGTTCTCGCAAAGTCGGGGAGTACCCTAAATCCTTTTCACCACCTGAAGCAGCGCCACGCGGCAGAGTGTGTTACAAACCCCGAGTGGAGCAAGGAGCCCATGGCACCTGTGCAGCCGAAACAGCCAACCATTCAGTCCGCTTTCTCTAACGCAACACCGTACAACAAAACGTCGAAGAGACACAAAGACCTCACAGATGCAGTAGCTTTTTGTATTGCAAATTACATGCTACCAATAAGCACTGTTAAATTTCACAATTTTTATCATGATATATATCGATATTAACTGATATGAAAAAAATTTATCATGATAAACTTTTTCCCACATCACCCGGCCCTACAAAGCATACAGAAATCACTACCCAGTCTGTTATGGCTGTCGAGCAGGTGTGCAGTAGTTCAGTGTCTATGTCAGTGATGTGTAAAATTTATAGCTGGGCTACAACTACAGTCATGAGTTACATGCGATATATGTTCAGAAAGCTCCTTGGCGGCCTCCGCCATCTTGGCACTAGTTAATACTGTAACAGTGACATCTGAGGTCAAGGTAAGTGTGGATGAGAGCCCTCTGCAGACGGAGTGAATAGTGCTTTGTAGCAGTCATCCTGTGACTCCACAGAAGCGGTCCATGCTGCACACCTGTGGAATCTCACATCCAGGTACCAGCGGGACTGTCTGGGAAGGAAATGCCAAAGTTTAGAGAGCAGTCAGAGATCAGAGGTGTGCTTGAGTCTAACTTTATTTTCCAGCTTTGACGGACTGTCATTGTGACTCAGATTGATTCAGAGCAAGTCAGCAGTACTGCTCACTGGAGGACGTCATTCTCAATCCCGAGGGAGGCTTTTTTTACTTTCCAGCTTCAGACATGCTTTTCTACACCTGCCCCTGACATCTGACCTTTGACCTTATCAAATTTTCAGAGCGGTGAACAGGAATAATACATCAGTGGGACTCAAAGCCCAAAAGAAAGACTCGATAATGGCAGTATTTTGTATCAGCCTGTAGACTTGCGGCTGAGCTGAGGCTGTAAGATGATTCATAATAAGATAGCAGTGACTACTTTTCCACAAAATATTACTGCATACTTTCATATTTGAACATATCTGACTAAATTTCTGCAAAAACATATGTTCTTTTTCAAGCAATAACATTACCTTATAGATTAGTCCAAAATCTTGGACTAATCTGTGTCCCAGGGATGAACGTGCTTTGGTATGAAATGTGAATATCAACCCAAGAACAACAGCAAAAGCCCTTGTGAAGATGCTGGCTGAAGCTGGCAAGAGTGTGTCATTATCAACAGTGAAACAAGTCCTGTACTGACATGGGCTGAAAGGCCACTCTTCCAGGAAGGAGCCATGACTCCAAAAGAAACCTAAAAAGCCAGATTACAGTTTGCAAATGCACACAGGGAGAAAGATCTTATTTTTTGAAGACATGTCCTGTGGTCTGAGGAAACTAAAATGGAACTTTTTTTTGGCCACAACCATTGTTACATTCGGAGGAAAAAAGGGGAAGCTTGCAAGCCTGAAAACACCATCCCAACTGTGAAATATGGGAGTGGCAGCATCATGTTGTGGGGTTGATTTGCCAAAACATTTGACCCAAGTCATACAGTTTTTAAGGCAGCTATCGAATACTAGTGGAATGTATGTAAATTTTTGACTCTCGAGAAAGTAATAAAAATTGTCTAAAATATTCTCTCTCTTATTATTCTGGCATTTAGCATATAAAATAATTTTGGTAATCCCAATTTTATAAAAACGGGAAAAGTTGAATCTGATTGAATGTTAGATGGTGAGGAAAAACAGGTTATGTGCCTTTTTACATAGTGTGTGTAAACTTATGGTTTCAACTGTATGTTTACTGAAGTATGATGTTGTATGTATGACTTTTAATTAATTAATGGACACTTTTTAGTAAGTTTGGAATAGCACAATTCTTCTCTTCACTCTTTTTATGCATGCAATTTAAAATGTCTTCTTTCTGTAAATTAATAGTTTGGTATTGCTATATTAACCTGAGCACAAAAAGTTATAAATCAAGCCTAGATTAGGTAATATAAGTCCAAAAAGAAAAGTAAGGGATGTATTTTAAATTCATTTTGCAGCTACTGACAGAAACCTATATTGAGATTATATACAAGAATTTAGTGGGAGGCTTAATAAGACCAAACATACTGTAAAACATGCATGCAAGCTTTTCCTCGGATCTGCATGCAAGCTAACGTTACATTTTCCAGCATCTGTCAAACAAGCAGCCTATAATCAGGCACTATCATTATAATGTAACTGAGCTTAGATCATCATGTGAGTCAAAAGCAATGGTCAAATTTAGTTTCTAAGTGTCTTCAGATGTTCTGAAATGCTGCAATCACAAGTTCTGCTGTCTCTAAAAGGAGACAAATACCAATTATATCAGGCAGTGGTGAATTTCACTGTTTTTGTGCACCGAGGAACGATTAAAGAGCAGTATACAAAGATCTCCCCATGCATTTACAGTCATCTCCTTTCTGACACGTGCAACCAACACCACCAGGTGGGATTCATTAGTTTATGTGGCTGAGAAGCAAACATGACTCAGCTAAAATACAAAGCACAGCCTGCAGTTTATTTATATGTCTTCCTAATGCTGCCTGAGTCATGTTCAGTGGTTTTATTTAACTGGGTTACCAGAATTGCTGTCAGTCTACCACAGAGTAGAAATTACAAGATGATCATTCTTAAAGCTGCACATGTTCAGACTAACATAAGACTGTGCTTTGTGTGTGAAAATGGAAAAAAGGAGACAAATGAATCAACACAAAGGTTCCACTGCACAAATGCTACACATCACTCCGCTGCAGTCCCAGACTGAAATCCCCGTGCTATGACAGAGAAGTCGACCAGCCTTTGAATCATTTTTCCTCCCATAAAAGCAAAACCTCAAAACCCAGTTTCCGCTGACTAGCTGCTTTTATTCACTTGTGGATGCAGAGTGGCAAACTGGTCAAAGAGAGAGACGAGTCTGGGAAAAGTGCCTCTATCATCCAACCAGCCAAATCAACCACTCGCCATGCTTTCTGCATGATGTTTCTGCACTGACCAGAAATTAGGGTATGGACAGCCACTGTGAAATTCTGATGCTGTTAAATTATCAGTGACACATCATTTTTGTTTAACTGCCTGGCAACAGGGTTAGTTACTTCTCCAGCTGTAGATCTGGCAGCAAGCAAAACTGGTATTACGGTAAATTAGTACTGATGGTTAACCAGCGAGGGAAAGGAAACTTTAAAGGCAGCTGGCATGCATAGATAAATTGGTAAATTTGCAGCTGAGGATAAGCTTGAAGACGACAGACCTCCTCTCACATATTGTGTTTCAATCAATAAAACCTGGTGTTTATAGCTTTTATGGGTACTTTTATGCAAAGTTGTTTCTCCATTACGGATTGACAGCTCTGTATAATGAGAAAACAAGATTGTAATCAGGAACCTGACACACCAGATAGACTGTGTCACATTTCAAGGTATGGGATATATTTCACGTCTGCTCGACGACAGGCCTGGAATCTGACCAGTCCGTCATGGCTGTGCAAGGTTATGTAATCTAGGCTCAAGTCTGAAGTATCTTGTGTTTCTTTCATGTTTTTCTTCTTTGTTAGCTTGATTTCACTGCCGAACAGTCTCATAGAAGAGTCCTTATCCAAAACTGTCTCTGTCACCCTTTGAGTGATAAAAGTAACATATTTTACTGAGACCCTTGAGGAAGACTTCAAATTTAATTACCTGAAATGGAATCCAAGTTGCACCAAGCGTAATGAGATATTACCTTACAAACAGCTAGCAAAGGCTCTCATCACTTTACCTTACCCTTTTTAAATGTGTAGGAGAAATTGAAGTTCCTGTGAGGAGTTTTTTTGACATCCATGAAAAAGACTGAAATTTATATTGATACTTTTTAATGATATCCAAAAGTTTTAAAAAAGAGCATTAGCAGCATGATTGATGACTTTTACATCGCAATTTAGCAAAGACTGCTCATTTTGTCCAAAATGACACAAGTTGAAAGTTGCTCACAGGGGCTTTAAGGTTCCCTACTCTTGGAAAACAATGTAAACAGCTTGAAAATGCTTGGTTGTAAATGTTAAGGCTACTGATGCGTCATTGCAGAGTTACATGGTGGACTGCTGAGAGAGGACTAGCTTCATCTGTGCATTTAAAAAAAAAAAAAATTCTCCCTAAATATTACATCCTTACCTTGAAACAGTGGTGCCATTCTGGGTTTAATAAAGCCCTATTTTTTAACAGAGAACCCTGTTAGTTTGTTTAAAGGTGTCTTGAAATCCCCAAAACCCAGACTCTTCATTATTCAAGTCATTGTAGGACACAAGAAAAACCTGACAAGTGGAGAGTTTGAATGTGTTGACCAGCTGCAGATGATGGGTTCAACAGCTGGTATAAAAATAGCCCTATTATTCAGCAGAACCTTTCCACAGCAGACATTTTGACCTGTTTCAGCAGCAAAGCTCAGCTGTAACTAATAACATCAACAATGACTCTGTTCACTGTAGGTACCTCAGTAATCCACGTTATCCAGCCTGCCTGTACAATACAATATACAATAACAGGATAGCACATCCAAATGTTAAATGTTATTATTCGAACCTGTGAAATCCATGCTGCATGAGAATATAACATTGATGCTGAGGAAAAGTTGCTTCTTAATGAGAAAGTAGTCTGTAATAATGACAGCAAATATATATTTCTCTAAAAGCCATATCACTATTAAACACCTATCAGTTTTTGTGTTGGAAACCTGGAGAGTAGGTGGGGAGCTGACATACAAGAAAAGAGCTGGAAGTTGGAAGTAAATCTAGGCCGCCCACTTAAGGACTGCAGCTTTTATTCATGGGGTCCTCATCTTCTCTGCTAGGTCACACCAGCACCCTGTTTCTATGGGATTTCGAACAAGGTTACTCTAGTGCAATTACATACTTCTGCATTGGTTACTACTAAGGTCCACTATTTTAAGATTAAAATTTCATGTTAAATTGAGATTTAACATGAAATTTAATAAAAGTGAGGGGACTAACTGTTAAATGGAGATATGTATGTAACAAACACGGAGTAATTTTGACAAGATAAGATAAAATAAGATAAGAAGCTTGAAATAAATTCCAAACAGCTGAAGATTATTAGGCTAACACCGTTAGCGTCGAGCTAGCGGCATTAGCGTCGAGCTAACGCTAAAGCTAACATACGTCAGTTGTGAGGCTGAATCATTAGCCAGCTGAGCACTAAATAAAGTGAATATGTAAGCCGCAGCGGTACTACACAGTATGCCCAATTAAGTACAGGTTGTAGAGTTTACTGACATTGGGACTGACAAGGATACTCATATTGTCAAGTATTAACAGACGTTCTTTATGTATTTCTGAGCTGTGCTATAACACAGATGAACTTCTTTGGTCATACATTCGAGGCTTAGGTCATTTTTTTAAGACCTGGTGCAAAACCTGCTAGACATCACAGTGATTAAATGCATTGCCAATTTATGAAAAGTCAAATGAGGTGAGTGAGAGCTGGGTTGCAACTCCAGTCTGTGTAGTCTCCTTCCAGGCCGTTTCCTTCTCCACACTGTTTCCCAGACTCTTAGGAAAGACAGGCTCATTTGTCTGAAGGCTCTAAATTTTGGAGAGCAGCATGTCTGGGCTTCTGTAAAATAATATGACTATTTTAAGTCTTATAAATAATCCAAACAGGCTGAAATGATTATGACCATTGTTAACCCTGCCAGTAACCAGAGTAATTTTCCAATCTGAACAGACTGAACAGTGTGTGTGAAGTGTTTTACAAAGTGAAACGTCAAAGCATTTCCTCTAAGACAAGAACTATTGTCAGTTTGATTTAGACGTAGTTTCTATTAGTTCTAGTTTCTAACAGACATGATAATTAGACACTTATATCAGCTGAAATGCCGCTATAAATAGTTTATGACTCTTTCTAAAACTTATTAAACTCTATTTTGATTGACCAAACTGCAAGTTATTTGTTACAATAAAAACATTTTAAGGTAAAATAATTCAGAAAATGATACAGAAAGCTTGTCAGCTAAATCTTATCTATTTATGGTCAAGTTACCATGAACTTCTATAAAAGGAAACTAGCTTCTTCAGGAGCTAAATGCTCCAATAGATTTTCATCATTAGATGCTGGAGGAGGAGCATGTGATAGATTTATTAGAGACCTTCAGTTGGGAAAAGCTGACTGCTGATGCTGGGAATATGGTCGATGAGAGCCAGTAAAAACAAAGAAAGTTTTAAAACTGAAACAGTGCGTTGAAAGAGGTGAAAACACGTCACTGACTTGGATGCACAGCTGAGTCATGTATTCTCTGGGCGTCGACACAAGACAGCTGATTCAGATTACACATACCCTTCTGGTGTATGTAGAAAATAAGGAAAGTGCTTCAAAAGTTTAAGTTTGGTTAATAAAAACCCCTTTGCATCTCAATGCAAAAACTACAAAATATTGCAGTTTGAAAACTGCAGTTTGAAGATATCAAGTTCTTTCTATTGAAATGTGAGGAATAACATATAGTGAGTGGTTGATTTAGCAAAATAGAATCCTGACTGGGTGAAACAAGACTCTGAAACATTTACTGATACTCCTGAACATTGACATCTTTGCAACACTGAAAACAAAGTGAAATAATAAACTTTTTAAATGTGCCAGACTCTGTTCTGCAGATGGATTTAATGACATTTGTGATCTCACTTTTCCTGTTTTTGCACGAACACTGTATAGATTTATAACCATTATGTGGTTGTGACCAATCAGAATCAAGTGTTTAACACAGCCAAGTGATTAGAAGGAAGGTAGAGCAATAAATTAAATTAACAACCATCATATTTGTAACATTTATTAACAATAAAAAAAAGAAGTAGAGGAATAATTAATGGAGCTGCGCTCATTCAGGAACTATTTAAGTTTTTGTGTGTTTTTCCTGACATTTGTATGCTGCAGTACATGCTTTTAAGTCTACCAAAGCCTTCTTTGTGGTTGCTTACTCACACTCTCTTATGAACATGCTGTAATCCAAAACATGATGTCTCCAAAGGCCCTGTAAAAACCTGATATGACAGCATGCAGCCTCAGTGTCTCTGTTTGCTCTGGTCAGTACCAGAAGGACCTCCGGTGCCTCCTGGTTTCCTGGATGCCCAGTTTCTCCATGACTTCCTCCTCCAGTGTTTTTAGAGATGGTACATGGGTCTTTTCTAGAGCGTCTTCCGGACTGGTGTCTTTGGGACCATCTGTGAGTGCAGAAATAAAAGCTAGTCACATGCCAGAACATACACAATTTGAAAAGTGGAGCATAACCCAAGCTTGCATTGAAATGGGCACCTGTGTCGTAGCTTTTTTAAAAATAATTTCTAAAACAATTGCCTAAAAAAGAAGGTGCATAGGGAATTTGATCTTATTTTTTGGTGACATATCTGTCTTTAGAAAACAATCAGATTGTTCCGTTTTTTCCTAAAACTTAAACTGAGAAAACAAGACGATTGGTCCGAATCAAAAGCTTAATTTCTCACCCACTTGTGCAAGAATATACTTCAAGCAACATCTTTCTTTTTTTGATGACACCTTTGTATCATTCACATCCTCTCTGAACCAAACATAAGGTTAAAACATTTGGGAGGTTTCTCATGTATTTCCTTTTTTTCAGGGAGAAAAAACTGTGTTTCCCTTACAATAAATCAATCAGACAGCAGAGCTCAGAAACCCATTTTCTGAATACAAGTCTGAACAAGTAGGAAAAATGAAAGAGAGCCAGAGTTATGTGCTGACTCTTAACTAACACAGAGAATAAACTGGTGACTGAAAAGAATGTCCCTCTAATCCCAGCGCACACGTTTACCTTTCCACTGCTGTGGCACAATGCCATCTCGTCGCTCCACGACAGGTTTCGGGATGATCCGACCGGTCCTCAGAGACACTCGGACTCTATCGCCCTCTTCTGTGAATTTCCAGTCTACCTCAGTGGGCTTCCTGGAAGATCAATAACAGAACATTACAAATTAGCTAAGAATCTTTTCAACTCATCTGCAGTAAATAACACGAATAACTATGGTATTACATTCTGAATGCAACATGAATGTAGCGTGGATAAAAAAGTGCATGAACTACAAAACACATATGTCACAGTGATATCACACAGGGCCTCACAAATATTCAAGTAAAATTTGTTGCAGAATGGGAGTGGAGAGCGTCTTTTTTCTTACTAGCAATGCTGAAAAATAACTGGACTATTTCCAGATAAAATTCTGCCTCTTTTAACATGCCATTGACAGCTGCAGCGCAGCCAGGTTTGCTGTACCTGTCTGAGGGGTCAACGAGGGCAACGTCACGGACCAGGATGGGAGCCTCGCTGGCGATGTAGGATCCACGGTAGTTATTCGTTTTTCCAACATACCTGTAATGCTGAGACAGAAAACAATAACTCACTGTTAAAACCAAACAGGTTCCAAAAATGGCTTTTGATGGTGCACTAAGTGAGCTGCAGCACCCATCTGGCATCTGGCTCCATCTAGTGGAGCTAAAAATACAATACATAGCATGTTACACTGTAAGGGTTTGAGGAAAATGGGGGAGTTTAGAATACAAGTGTGTACTAGAGAGTAAATGAGCATTATCTAAACAGAAATATATACTGGCTCTGGACTCCTGGTCAGATGACTGACTGTGTCTATCAGAAAGAGATTAAGGTTTAGCAAAGATTAAGTCCTTAAAGAAAAGTAAAACATCACTGCTTTCTCTGTGACAACTACGACGATCTTACTGTGTTTAGTCCCTCCAGGATGACCCAGTTCCTGTGTCGGAAGACTTGGGTCACTTTTCCTTGTTTTCCTTTGTCCTTCCCTGCGAGAATCTCAACCTGAAAAAAAAAAGACATTAAAAAACACAACTGAAAAATAACTGGTTGTAGGGAAATACTGTCCCCTTTAGGCCCAAAAAGTCAAGTTTTACAAGGAGTAACCCCTCTATAATAATCGTGACAGACATGTGTTACCTTCAACCATTACTGGCACAGTTGGGGCTTCACCAAAGTCATTTTCTTTCAAGTAGGGGAGAGTGGGTAGGATGAGCCATTTTTCATATTTCTAATCACTACATCAAGTCAATCATAGTTTTGTCTCTAACTAGTGTATCTGCATATATTTCAAGTTGTTGTGCATCCCTGCAAACCAACAGAATTAGTGTAAACAGAACTGTCTTGATAATATAGCATGTCAAAAAAAGTGATCTCCTATGGTCAACTTACCCATTTGGGGTAAGTTGAGCATAGGAGCGGAGTAAGTTGAGCCTTATCCCTACCCTTTGAGCTCTTATTAAACATATTTTACAATAGTTAAGTTTTACTGTAACAAAGGAAAAGACAGGTGAGACTTAAACTTACATCTTCTACTTCTTTTAGAAAATGGTCAGAGTCAAATAAGGTGGAAATACTAGAGGTTTGACATGTCAAAGTGTTGGTATCATCGTGATCTCGTAATTTTGAATAATAAGAATAATACTCAGATTTGATGAGCTTTAAAAGAAGACTTAAATCTTTTTATGGAAGCTACTCTTGTCTTGTGTTCCCTGTGCTACTAAAGTCACTTACAGTGTCCCCCCTGAACACGGACCAGTCTTGGGGTTCGATCGGCTCCACAAACACCTTTCTCCTCTTCTTTCCTGGAGGATTCATCCTTTTTGCTGAAGGCATCCAGGGTCTGCTTGTGCCATAACGATAATCTTTAGGCACGACAACCCTGGCTGCCATGGACAGGAGGAGTGTCAGCCTCATTGTGCTGCAGGAGCAAAACAAAAAGGACTTCAGTTAAATCTTAAATGCTGTCCGTCACCTCTTTAGACCCTTACCTCTCTTTAGCACAAGCTATGCTAACGTTAGCTCGCTTAGGAAGCATCCGTAAGTTGATTTACCGAATAACACACTTTCAAAAATCCAAACCCTTCAACTGAACATCTATGTAGCTCATCAGTTAAACGTTTTACCAATTTTCTTACCACTAAAATGAGCTTGTAGCATAACATGCAGTCAGATCTCACCCTCTGTTGATGTCAATGTCACATGGACTAAACAGACACATGCAAAGACAGGCAGCGCCGCCTGGTGGGCCGGAGTGGAAGAAGAAGAAGAAGAAGAATCTGCTTCACGCATGCGCAGTGGTTAGTTAACGCAATATGTAAATAATAATAATAATAATAATAATAATAATAATAATAATAATAATAATAATAATAATAATAATAATAATAAAAGACACTAAGAAGGAAATTTAAAGTCTTTTTTGTGTGTGTCTTGCTTTTACAACTTTGGGTCAACAAACAATGAGTAATGATTATCTGGAGTTACAGTAGTCTAAATAAAGATTTTTGACAGTGTCAAAATCAACTCTAAAGTTCGGGGCTTTCAAACTAATCTGGACATTGTTTAAATGTCTTTTTTTTTTTTTGTTGTTTTTTTTTGCTAAATGAGTAACTTGGTGTTAATCGTTTTGAGTTTACTCATTTGTTAGGTTCTTTCGTGGTGGTGCATCCATGGGGGCAAATCCAGTGTGTTTTTATTAAGGCCATACTGTATTGTTGCTGTGACAAAGCTGAGCGATAATTAAAGCACCAATGTACCAAATCACAAGAGGCTGCTGTTTGTGAAAACCTGCGAGCATGTAAGCATGTTCAACATGTAAAACAGGTGCACCTGCTGCCAGAGAACAGCTGCAAATCAATGCTTTGAGTCTGTGGCCAAACACTATATTTTAAGATCTCAGTCAAGTAACACCCCCATGACAAACTCAAAGCTGTCAAGCTTTGTTACATAATACCAAATCTAGTTCAGCTATTGCAGCCCCAAAGCTTCAAACTGTGCCGTGGGGTTCTCTTGGGATCAAATTATTTGTGACAAGTGTACAAAAGGTGCTACCAGTGTTATACATTTGTGACAGGGAAAAAGGGAGACATGAAATGATTAATTAGGTCCCAGGCGACATAAAAGGACAATCCTATCTGCTTTTAATGAACTTAAAAGTAGATAAACTGAAGCAAATGAAATGTTAGAAATAAAACAACAAAAACAGTCTTTCTGTAATAGACGAGTTTATTAAATGGACTGGCAACTACAACAGTAAACTAAGCAGCAGATTAAGATGAATGACAGCTTCTGAGAGCAACTGAGAAAAACAAACCGAGGACTACACTGTAATGCCAAATGATTCCCTTGGAAGTACAACACTTTATTTGCATGGGCCGCTTTGATCATTCAACAGCAGTCAGGGTTACTTTCACTTTTAAAAGCTGAGATTTCACTTCGGTTCACCATTTGTTTCACTGTGGGCTCACACTGCCAAATACACAAATGTACACTCAAACAATGACAGCCAAGTAACACAATGAGCTGGGCGAGCGTTTAGAAAAAGAAAAACCTTTGAACCTCGAAAGTCACTTTGTGAAAAATAACACCATATTTTGTAACATGTTGTCGAAACCAATGTTGAAGTAAAACACGTCTTTAAAACAGCACAACGTTGTTAGCTTACAAAATAATGGTAAGATTGTTGGAGTAAAACAGCCTTATATTCCAGTTAAAGAGGGCTGGAAAACCAAGTCTTAACATACATTCTGTTAAATAAAATTTCAAAGTAAAAAAGAAAATATTTGGTACAATCAATATCTGGATGTAGTTCTTTGCTATAACATCTCTTGTATTAAGCAATGGCAGCATTCATGTGAGCTAAACAATAAATTCCAACATGTAATTGAGAGATGAGTTATTGAATTTTTTTGAGTGAATTTGCCATGAAACTCATTGAAAAGTAGTGATGAATAACTCTTAACACATACAGACAGCACAGCTCAAGCTTGACTTTAAAATGTCAAGTGCAAGCAGCATTCAGGAATGTCTTTCAGCTTTTCATGAACACATCAACACACACAAAAAAGGTTCCATTAGGGCTTCACGATGGGACTGTTTCAATCCTAAAATAGTTCTTTTCAAACGGGACTTTTGATCTGGTTGAATTAAATGTAAGATTTGGTCAACTGCGTGAAGCACAAACCAAGTAAAGCAACGAAATCGGTGTTGCAGAGAATACAGAGAACTAGAGAACGAACAGGGACAGAAAAAATTATTAAGGTGCAACCCATCTTGTAACCACTGACTAAATGTAGAGCTTAAGCTGAGGCTGAGAAGCTACAAATCAGAGTAAAACTTTAAATCTGTGAACTAAAGCCGAGAGCATGTGTGAAATTTGTTCTCATTCCTGTACAATATCTAAATGTTAAAACCATCAAATTGGATCTGTTGTCTTTTTCTGTGGTTAAAATGTTCTTTTTTTTTTTTAAGTTATTATTTTCTGTTTTTTTCCCCCACCAAACTGAAAAATGGTCTTGACGCTTAGCATTCAGTCTTTGTAATTATGTAATTGCACTTAGAAATAAAAAATATATACACACCAAAATTCCATTTATAAATGAGCCTTAAAGTGCTCATTTCAGTTGTTTGAAATCAGATTAGCAAACTTTTTTTTGTTGTTTCTGGGATATATGATATCCCAAATAATGGCAAATGAGGATTTGTCTATGTCTCAATACAAACACTCTGATTTTTATTTTTTTTTTAACTTCTCCTATTAATTAAAGAGTCGAAATCCGTCACCCTGCAGGTAATCATGTTGATGCTCAAATTCCAGAGAAAGCGTAGAAGGTAATTGGTTTTCCTTTGTGAGTTGACGTTAAGCGCTGTCTGTCGCAGGCTGCAAAGAGAGAAGAGGAGAGTTACTTTTAGACAACCTCTCAATAAGAAATGGTCCTTAACATAGTTTTAAATCACTGATCCCTGATGTCTAACCTTGTCTGCTGTTAGCTGGCCTCCTGCTGCAGCGTCTTCCTGGGCCTCTGGTTTCGACTCGCTCTGTGAGGAGGGAGCTGTCGACTTGGGCGCGCCTACATCGTTGAGCTTCGTCTCCGCATTCGACTTGTTGCCGTCGACTTTGGAGTCACCCCCCACCTCTGAATCCTTCGGCCTCTTGGGAGAAGCCTTAAACAAGGTTTGACAAGCGTCAGAGTTGGCACGAGCGGGGCCCTCTATTTTGGTTCTGGGAGACTCAAAGAGAAAGGCTCACCTCCGTGGACCCCTCTGCTTTTCGCTTAGCAGCCCCCCTCTCGTTCTTCTCGTCAATGACCAGGGCTCCTTCATCCTCATCGCTGCTGCCTTCAGCATCAGGTTTCTCTGAACCAGCAGTATCTCCTCCTCCTTCTGACTCATTCTCCTTCTTTGATGACTTGGGGCGGTCATGCAAAAATTAACGAGAGTGAAGGTTAGAGTTAGGGACACTAACAGCACGACACAAGCTTTAAACACTGTCTCGGTTGAGTCAAACAGAGTACTTTTTATCTTTTGTTTGGCATTTGTGAGCTGGTTAAGTTTGACCTTGCTTCAACAAATGGGTAAGTGGCCTGTTAATTGTGTTTGATTGCATTACCTGTGTAAAGGATTTCAACTACAAGAGCCAAACATCATGTTACTCTAAATACAATACCTCCTAACAGCACATCTGTTACTACAGCACCAATTATCCACCATACAGTAGGCACAAAACTCACCTCGTAGGCTTCATGCGTGACAGTGGGGTTGTTCTCTATCTCCCACAGCCCCTCAGAGAAGCCTTTCCTCTTGTTTGGTTTCCCAAGCTTCTCCTTATTTTCAGTATATGGTAACAAATCTTTAGCCCCCAAGAATGCCCTGTGAGGAGATGTTTTATCGATTATGTTTTTAAAGAACAAAGCAAACCATGTTAAAGTGAACTGAAATGCAGCTGCTGGGGTGTGTCACATAGGTCGCAGTCTATTTGAACATTTGGATCAAATATATCTAATTTTAGTGGTAAATTTATACTCTGTAAGAAAGAAGCAGTGGTAACTATTTGAAGCTTGCATTAGACCTTCTTCAATGGAAATTTATATCTAAGAGGTATTTTAGAAAGCAACCTAAGACTTGACTCTATGGCTCCAAATATGATATTGACTTACGTCTCGTGTGTTCCAAAGAAGAACACCTGGTACTTGTTTGAGGGGGACTTCACTGCTCCTTCAGGTAACTCATCAATCTGCAGATATAAAATATAACTTGTCAAGATAACAGATCATGATGTTCATTCTACTCTGTGAATATCAAAATGATGTTAAGCTGATAAATGGGAAATAAAAAGTTGCTTGGTTTAACATTCCAACTTGATGAATTAGTAAATGAACTAGTTACGCAAAATATTAGATCTTTTTTGATTAACTGACTCCTATACAGAGCTATCTGAGGACAGGTCACTCCACTTTGCGTCCAATGTCTACCACCCTAACAGTTTACCGTTCGCCTCCACCACTCTGGCGATGTTTATCTGTGTTTTTAAAAAGTGTACAGCATGGCGTCTGTTGCCTCTGCTGGACTGGCCACTGTGTAAGTAGGTGGTAGGTGGGGCAGGGCCTGCAGCCTGCTGACATGGTGCATATCTGATAAGACTGGTAAAAAAAAAAAAGGAGGGAAAGAGACAAGAGAATATCCTGAAACTTGCCTCTCTTTTTGGATCGATTCAAAAGTTTGAATGAAGACACACCCATGGTTAATTTTAAAAGTTTTGTGAATGCAAAGACAATCACTTAATGTAGATGTATAATATAAATGGTTGTTGTATTAACACTAGTAAAATTGTGTGACACTGCAATAACTTCATGGACCAGCTTAAACTTTTAACCTTTCAGAACATGTCAGTGGTCAAAAGTAAAGAGCCAAACACTTTATTTTCATCCCTGTGAATAAAAATATAACCGGATAAGACTTTGTATGAAGCGCTGAGCTGGGAGACACGTTGACCTTATTCGACTTAACGGTTTTCATTTACTGTCGTGCTCCATGGTTGGGAAACACTGACGGCAAAGTCAGGTCACTGTGTATTTAAGGACTGGGTAGACATTACGTTATACCGCCTTTTTTAAAGCAATTTGTAACATTTAAGGAAGTAATTAACTGTAACGAGCAGAAACACGACTACTTGTTGCAACAAGTGGGGGGCAGACAGGCGTGTTTACAGAGCACCAAAGCATATGGCTACACCATCAGCCGTGTGTGGTGTGGTATTGTAATGCAACAGTTATTAAAAACGAGAAACTAAACTTTCAGAGTTGTATCCTGTCGAAGTGAAACGATGGTTTTAGTCTCTGTGCGGTTATCCCGGCTCTCTTGACCGTTTCATTTGCTGCTCTATTCTATGACCGTTACTCCGAAGGTAACCTAACAAGCTATTTTTAACGGTTACCATTAATTAGCTTAAAAAGGCCCCAGGAGATGAAAATGGTAGCACAGGTGGAAATAAAACAGCAACACAAAATTAAACTGGTGTAATTTATTTGCCAAGATGGGAGATGAGACGTCTGTCTACATGATGAATCACCCGAAAGAAATGTGCAAACTGCACACACTTGGCTTGCTCTGCTGATGCTAGGCAATGTTAGCTAACACGGTTACCGAACACGGCTAACTCATGGTGGCTAACCGTCACTGCCGTTAGGCCTCGCGGGTAAACAAGCTCTATGAGCGGCTACGAAGAGGGAGAAAGACAACCCCATATGCCTGAAACAAGATATTCAATGCTGAGTGCTTACCCTCGCAGGCCAGTGTGGATATCCCTTCATTTTAGCAAATACAAGATCTCCAGGTTTGTATTCTATCTGCCTGTTGGACCTCGGCATTTTTCCTGCAGAAATGGCTCGTAGTGTCCGAATTCTCTCAAATTGAAGCCAGGTAGTTTTTTCTCAGTGTGATACGGTACGGTTTGGTGGTTAACACCTGCAGCGAGCAATCCAAACCTCGGTGTATCATCAAATTATCCAGGCTCGGAAAACTGGAGCGAAGACGCCACGGGTGACTTTTTTACGCGAATTCTGTCCAATGCAAGCCCGGCAGAGCAAACGCAACACGGCAGTGAGACGTTTCAGTCACGTATAAGTTTCAACGACGAGATACTTTTGACTATGTAGTTCTATCGTTTTTTTCAGTACGCCACTTGCTCTTTCCTTCTACTGTTTGGGTTTGAAACTGAAACCCGCTTCCCACTTGCAGACGCGCCCCCAATATTAGGTAGAGCTGCACAGTTGGCGCCCCTGCTGTTCTGAACCGTGTACTACAGGTACAACAAACTACGCAAAGCAAGCGAGAAACAATGTTGTTAGATGTCCAGGTCCTACTAAATATGTATGATTAATATAGTGGAAAAGCACTTTTTTTCTTAATCATTTTCTGCATTTAAAATAAAATATTAAAATTTTAGGTTAATACTTATTGATATGTAATGGTTGTAAAAGTATAATATTCAAATATAACTGCTTAAATATAACTATAAATATAACTCGTTTGAATTGTGACCATGTAGCCAATTGCTCATGAAAACCTGAGATCTAATTCATGCTTTTATCACTTAGGCACAAAACTCACCTCATAGGCTACATGCGTGACAGTGGGATTGTTCTCTCCATGGACCCCTCTGCTTTTCGCTTAGCAGCCCCCCTCTCGTTCTTCTCGTCGATGACCAGGGCTCCTTCATCCTCGTCGCTGCTTCCTTCAGCATCAGGTTTCTCTGAACCACCAGTATCTCCTGCTCCTTTTGACTCATTCTCCTTCTTTGATGACTTGGGGAAGTCATGCAAAGATTAATGACAGTGAAGGTTAGAGTTAGGGACACTAACAACACAACACAAGCTTTAAATACTGTCTCACTTGAGTAAAACAGGCTATTTTTTATCTTTTGTTTGGCATTTGTGAGCTGATTGAGTTTGATCTTGCTTCAACAAATGGATGAGTGGCCTGTAAATTATGTTTGGCTGCCAAACTGAGTTACTTTTTCCCCCATCATTTAACTCTCAATCCAAATACCTCCTAACAGCACATCTGTTACAACAGCACCAAAAAGTGAAATTATTCAACATCTCCATGAAGCTTTTCAGCATGAAGTACAGTAAACTCACCTCCTGGATGGCTGTATTGGCTTTGGACTTAATAAATCACTTTGGACCCCCACTAGCAGATGACTTGGCACCCCAAATCATCACAGACTGTGAATCTTCACACCGGTTTTCAAACACCTTGGACTATGGACCTAGATTTTTTAGTGAAATGCAAAAACACTGAGCATCAGTCCAATTCTTTTTCTCCTGGACCGAGACACTTGTGGCAGTGCCTCTGGTCCAGGAGTGGCTTGATATGACAGTTTTAGTACCTCCCTGAAGATGTCTGTGTGTGTTGACTTACGGACACCAGACTCAGTCCCCTTCTTATGAAGCTTTCCCAAGTTCTTGAATGGACTTTTCAAGGCTGCAGTCATCCCTGTTGATTCTACATCATTTCCTTCCTCACTTTCCCTTCCTATCAAACAAAGAAAATGAAATAAGATGTTGAGTGGAATTTGACTTAAATACCTGGAGATGGGGCCACAGAGTGGATGAGGGCCATCACTGTGTCTGTGTAGCTGATTTCCAGAAAACTGTTGATTTAGATGTAATTTTTGTCCTTGTTTAAATTATAAATATAGATGCTACTGTTATCTTACCAAAAAGAATCGACTTGGTGGTTGAAAGAATATGGGCCCTTTGCAAAACTGACAATAATGAGTAGTTATTTTAACAGAATAGACATATAGCCTGTCTAATGAATGTATTTACGACATAAACCTAGTCTGTCCTATAGTCGACCCTGTTACCTCAACCCTAGAACACTATCGCCGGGTGATTTTCACCCGACCAAACATGTTTGCGTGATTTTCATTATGTTGCGTTTGTCTGAGTATCATGGGTCCCTGGGTAGCTTCAGCATTGCCTTTGACATCTTTGAAGGCATATTTGTTTCCCTGATCCAAAACCTGCTTTTTCCTCCAGGCATGTGTTGGGGTGATTTTCATCCGCCAATAGTGATAGAGGGTAAAGTAGGTTTGGGTGGATTTGATAGCTGCATGTAGGCGAATAAGGTCAGTAAGAGTGGTCCTGAAATTTGCATGCTATCTTTAGCACAGTGGTTATCACAAAGTAGTGATTTTCAAGGGAATTCATATGGTGATAAGAAATATTTTAGTCAGCTGGTCATTTTTACTCACTTAAAATCTGCCGTATTTTGGTTCTCTCTCCTGCAGCTGTTATTGTGCCAAGGACCCTGAGTCTTGACCAGGGTAGACTCACATGCCCCAGGAATGGGTGGAAAAGAAACTAAGTTTACAGTTTTTATTTTAGGAATTTTTTGTTCATGAATGTCTAATTGCAGTTATTTTTTTGCATTTTTATATGGTCCCCTCATGACACTTTTTTTCCTTTTGGATATGGCACAGTTAAAAATAAAAGAGAACTACTTTAATTTGTCATGTATTGTCCTATTTTGACATATTTTGATAACAAGTAGTTTTTCTTGGGCATATTATTTCGGGTAAAAATCACCCGGCATTGTGATGTGTTACAAATTTTAGCAATAGTGTTCTAGGGTTAAATCAGTTTTATATCCATTCAATTCGTAACAACAGCACTTTCTATTGAGGTAGTTTTGAGTCGCAGCACCTTTAACCTTCCTCCTGTGTTAGCTTTTACAACACACCCACCATGTTAAGGGTCGGTTTTGACCCGTGTCTTAAATCAGCTGTAAATTACACTAAAAACAATTCTCTATCATCCAGTTTTGTTCTCATCTCTGGGTTACCCTGTTGGGCATCATTATCCCTGAAAATATTGATTATAATATTGTTTGTAGTGGGCCTCTGGGCCTTTCCTCGTCAGTATACCCTTCATACAGACATCTATACTGAATTGATCTCACGTGTCTGGACATGCCTTACGTTGTTTTTTGTACAGGGAAAAACAGGTAAAATGAGAATTTCCTAAAACTCACATGATTGGGAGAGGATCTGACTGTTAGTGTGGTGCCTGCCTGTGCACTTATGATTTCAGTTTTTGCTCTAATTATTAGATATTCATCTAACCGGGTCAACAATGACCTTAACACGACAAGTGCCATATTTTTAACAAGAGCCTTTTATAATTTAGTCAATTCAATTTTTTATTTTTATTTTGTTGAAATAGAGTTTCCTGATAAAGTCAAAAGTTCTTGATGCAAAAAAAGCTCATTTATGTGGTTCTTTTAAGCATTTAAAATGAAAAACGGGTCGATGCAGACCCTAACACAGGAGGATGATAGTAAACAGTCTAATGGTGGCGCATCTTCCCGAAAGCTGCAACAAACAGAAGAAGAAGAAGAAAATGCTGCGCAGAAAGATGCGCAGTTGTCCTTGCTTTAATCAATGATGGAGTCGAATGTTTGGATGGGGTCTAGAGACTAAAATAGGTCGGCTTTTTGTGCCAGTAACACATGGAAACGACATCAACCGGTGTGCAGTCATAGAGCTGAAGCGCGTTTCTTGTGACTGAGTAAGAGGAGGCCAACTGGCTGACATCGATCGTCGCGGCGGCCTTGCTAACATTAGCCATCGCTGCGAAGTTGAGACAGCCTTTCTCTTGATGTGAGGCCTGTTTTTAACTTCTTCTCTTTTTCATCAAATTACAGCTCCTTTAAGGAATAATCCTATTATCTGCGTGGCCATACCGGGCAAAGATTACCCTACCTTAAAGCAAGCTCGTCTGGAAGTGTGAGCACGGCTTCTTGAAGAAGTTGTAATCCATGTCCTGGAGTCACTGCAGATCCAAGATCACTGATATAATCCGAAACCATGTCTTTAGTCGCATATGGCAGCAGTGATGAGAGTGATTCAGAGGAAACCTCCACCTCTGCAGCAGCAGCCGAGAGGAAAGTCGGCGGGCTCTTCTCCGCCCTGCCTGCTCCCAGGAAGAGCGGAGACTATGGACTGAACAGAGAGACTAAAGAGAACCCCACAGCAGGAGAAAAAGCCTCAAACGATGACCCAGTTCCTCAGCCTTCCAGAGGAGGGTTGTTCTCTAGTCTGCCTAAGCCGAGGAAACGAACAGAGCCTGTCAGGATCACTGCGCCAGAAATCCACAGACGAGATGTGAGTACTGCGTCTGTTCACATCTTTCCTCTGTCCTTTTAGATCTTTCCTCTCTGTTTAGATCTTTCCTCTGTCTCTTTAGATCCTTCCTCTGTCTCTGTTTAGATCTTTCCTCTGTCTCTTTAGATCTCTCCTCTGTCTCTTTAGTTCTCTCCTCTGTCTCTTCAGATCTTTCCTCTTTCTAACAGGCTCTCATGGTGTATGATCATGCAGTATCTGATAATCCTCTTATTTGTCTTCCATAGTCAGATTCAGATGATGATGAACCAGCAAGCAAGAAACCACAGCATCAGGTAGGAGCTCTCTGGATGTGTGACAACATGAATCGATCTTTGGACCAATAAAAAATACATTAACATGAAAAGAATCTGTCACCGTAGCTTTTTTCCTCAACATTACATAATGTATCGAATATATAATATATCAATCATTGAACTCACACTGTCACTCCTGTAGACTTGGGTATTTTAGCAGACGATTTAAAGCCAACCGTTTCAAATTCGGGTTTAAGATGGACAGTGATTTTAAATTCGACAGGCAAATTAGCTCAGTAGTGAAATCTAGCTTTTATCATATTAGGCTGCTTTCACAAAAGCACTTTGAAACAGTAATCCATGCCTTTGTTACATCTCGGCTTGATTACTGTAACACACTTTACTTTGGAGTCAGCTAGTTCTCCCTCTCACATCTCCAGTTAGTACAAAACGCAGCTGCCCAGCTCTTAACTGGAGTATGTAAGAGGGAGCACATTACTCCCATCCTGGCCTCCCTCCACTGGTTACCCATGCATTTTAGAGTTCATTTTAAGATTCTTTTATTTGTTTATGTCTATTTATGTGCAGCACTTTGTTCAGCTGTGGTTGTTTTAAAGTGCTTTACAAATAAAGTTGAGTTCAGTTGAGTCCCTGAAATCCATATCTGTGTCCTCTTCCAGGGTGGAGGTTCAGGTCTGTCTTCTCTACTCCCACAACCCAAAAACCTGACGGTGAAGGAAACCGATAGACTCCTGATTCCTCACACGCTTACCAAGCGCCAAGAACCTAAAGGACCCAAGCCTGGAACACCAGCTCAGGGTCTGCTTAACTCTAGTGCATCTCCCTCCGCTATCAAAGCCGCTGCAAAGTCCGCCGCCCTGCAGCTCGCCCGACAGATAGCCACGGACGAACAAGATAACGAGGACGATATAACCCCGCAGAACTACTTTTCCCTGGGAGAGAGCACCCCGTCTCTCCCTCCAGTTGTCCCGAGCTTAGACCCCGAGCCAGGAGCGCCTGCAGAGCCTTTCCCTCTTGCACCCATAGATGAACCCGGTCAGTCTGATGCACCTCTCGACTTTGGGGGAGGCCATGAGGGAGCTGGTTCATGGGGAAGTCAGTATCAACAGCCCATGGCGGGCCCAGAAGGTTTCCCTCAGGTAATCAGGGCTTACAAAGCACCCAAACTCTGTTTACGAACGTCAACCAAATGGCCTTATTCAAACTGGCTCATTTGAAATATGCTTGAATATTTAAGAATAAGACGAGGCTGTTCCAGTTCAAAATATAGGGATTAACTTGTTAACAGCTCATCAGATCTAAAAGCAGCCATGGATACTGCCACTTAGCCTTGATTCTATTAATAGTCAAGATGTCCAGTTTTCTGTATGAGGGCTAACTCAAAACAAGTGGAGCCTCTAATTATAAATCCACATACAAACAGACCTACATAATATAGGTAGTATCTGGTTGTATCCTGATCATTTCTCTTTGGACAGGGTTATTACAATGAGCCATACTACCAAGATCCCAACTCTGAGCAGGCGGAAGCTGAAGAGCCCGGCCAGTCCACCATGTTCGACGATGAAGCGGTAAGAAGTCTACCGCCTCTTCATTCTTTTTCGCTGGGCTTCACGACTCACATTAAGTCACACATGCATTATTTTTTCACGTTCCCCAGTTCATGCGACTGCAAGGGAAACGAAACCGAGGCAAAGAGGAGGTGAAGTTTCTGGAGATCAAAGGGGACGACCAGCTGAGTGGAAACCAGCAGTGGATGACGAAGAGCATATCAGAGGAGAAGCAGATGCGTCAGTCCTTCAGCAAGGTGACTTTTTTTTTTTTTGGAGTGTTGAGTGAGATTTTGTTCCTAGAGGTTTATTTTCAGGTATTTGCTCAGCCCCTGGCAAGAAGAAAGATGTTTGTCTTTGCTCAATATTGATTCATTCTCAGCAGAGTAGGAACACCTCAAGCTGTAATGCACGTGACGCAGAATTTAAAAGTATTTCTTGGCTGGGTTCACTAGACAGGATTCTTGTTTTCTAACGTGGACATTCACAAAGAATGAAATGATTTTGTTTTTTTAAGGGTTTTACCCGACCTCAGAATACAGGTGTACCGTTTTTTTCCCAACTGGGCTTTCAAAAAATTCACCCAAGCTGACTTGGCCGATCATGCTGAGTTGAATAACGTATATTGCGGCTTTCCTAGTAGCTTTAAAAAAAAGTGGCTTGAGGCAGAGGATAGGTCCTGTAAATTTGTGTGACACGCCGGTGCCGTTCCAAAGAAGCACCCACAGTTCATCGATGTTTTGTTGCTTTAATAACTCACAATGATTTACACGCGCACATCAGATATAATATGTGTACACTTTGCGACGTGTGTCATTGCAAAACAAAGAACATAAAGCGCGGTCAACAACAATTATGGCGACATAGGCTCACCTCTCCACCCCAGTGCAGGTAAGACTACCCCTTACATAACCTACCGGCTTTCAAACGCAGTGCCCGCGTGACCCAAGCCCAGCGAAACCAATGGCAACCAGACAAAAGTAATTGAACACAGGATAACCGATCAGCAAAGCAACATTATGGCTCCTACAATGTATGCTTTACAACGGACTGAAATGGTTTTGTATTTTTGCAGAAAAAAGGAGAACAGCCTACAGGGCAGCAGCGGCGTAAACATCAAATAACATATCTCATTCACCAGGTAAGTGACACTAAAATCAACTTCTCTGAAATGCTATATGAGCACACATCAAATCAAACAGTATGGTTATCTAGAGTTTATTGTCTTGCTTTAACTGTAGATCTTTGGTTTGCATTTTACTTAAAAGTCAGTACATTATAGTTCTTTTACTATAACAATATAGTATCCTTAAGGGGTATGAAGTTAATGATATCCTCTAGCGCCTCTGATACAAGACAGACTTCAAGGATAATACTTCCAGTGCTTTCTAAGGTGATTAAGAGCAGGGTAGAGTCAGGGTTTCTGTTACAACATACTGACTGTAACATGTCTGAGCATGTTGAACTCCAGTTTTTAGGCTTCACTAATGTTTGCACAGAGCAAACCTCGTGGCTTGTGTTGGCTTTTTTATGCTAGGGGGTTTTACAGTGAGCTGCATGAAAACAGCTGTAGGATAAGTCTGCAGAAGACATTCAAACAAGGTCAACATGTAGCTACTTCTCTGCATTAGTTTATTATCGAAGTCTCAGAGTTATTGTCTGATTATCATGTCGGGCATTGTTCTGTCTTGGACAAGTTTTTGAATTTCACAAACCACAGATAGAATTTAAAGTAGGGTAAGGCTCTGAGGGTGGGTGCTAATTTGCATGTAACCCTTGATTTGAAATCAGTTTCTACTCATTTGTCAATTTTTATTCCATATTTCTGTCTTATTGGGGTTTATCAGGAGTTATAAATCATGCTCTTTTTTCACAGGCGAAGGAGCGGGAGTTGGAGCTGAAGAATAACTGGGCAGAAAACAAGCTAACCCGCCGGCAGACGCAGGCCAAATACGGTTTCTAAATGTCATCCGTTGGACTTTTTGAGACATAATGAAGCCCTGCATCCAAACTTAGAGTAGAGTTTTCCAGATTTTCCTGAATAACCAGAAACTTGTTTAATAAGAAACTACACACGCACACACAGACATAAATACAGATTTCTTCCTCCTGGCCCTCTGACCTCTGTATTTGTGTTGAAATGTTTGAGTTGTTCTTTTGGTCTGTTGTTTCATAAAGTGTAATACTGGCTTTGAAAGTAAATATAGGTGCTGTACCTTCATAACAATGTCATGTAGTATTTTTAAGGTACCTGTGACCCTGAAGTGGCCATTATAAATCTTTTCCTTCTGAATGTGTAAAATTAATTCTTATTCAGCAAACTTTGATATGCATCATTCTGTTGAGTTCAATGACAGTAAGTTAAAAGGCATGTTTGGTTCCCTAGCAGTCACACAGATGTTGGTTTGATAGTCCCTCCCACAATGAGAAGGAATTTCAAGTCACTTAACGCCTGAATCAAAATGTTTTCAATAAAAGGTAAGGAGAATACTGCAGGTGATCCAAACCACAACACATTTAGCATCTTGCAGGGACCCTGAAGTATGAACGCATGAATGTCAAATTGATATTTTCTTTGTTGGAGTGTTAAGTGATGTGAAAACACAGGGTTGCGAAAATTAATCTTGAATAGCTTGTTTTGTGGGTTAGTGTAGCTCATCCTGTTAGCATAAGCAGCTCTATCTCTCCTATCAATGGGCCAGAAATGTCAGCAAAGGTGACTTATTCTCTACGTACAAGTAGTCCCCCTCTTGATATAGGTAAGCCAAATAACTCATCCTGTTTACTTTTAAGTCAAGTAGTTTTGTCTCTCTAACTGGTAAACCAAAGTTCTCAGTAAGGGTAGCTCATTGTGTAGGCTGTAGCACATCAAAATGTTGGCTGTGCTGAGTATTTCTTTAGCTTGACTGGTTAAATCTTCCTTTTGAGTATTGTATATTTGAGTATTGTAAGTTGTAGATCAGAGTAGCTCTAACAGTCCCATAATTGTAGCTTATCCTTTTGGTCAGGGTAGCTAAAACTGTTGGCTGGGATTGATTTCAGGGCCATCTGAGGTACTTTATGTAGGACTTATCTAGAACAGATGACTACCTCGATAATAGTTGGTAAAGGTACTTTACTCTCCCATGCAGAAAGTAACTGGCACAGCCTATTTTAAAATGTCAGAGAAAGACTGGTAGGTTGTATGGTCAGGTGGAAAAGCTCATTCTTTCACCCAAGAACTATCAGGAGCTCTATGAATACAAGTAAAAGAAAGAAAAGCTTGACTTTTTAAGTATCTCCCTGGAAATATCCATGAAAATTGAGAGGTATTTGTTTAATTTGACAAGTACTTCTCATAAGCAAAGTTGTTTAAATGTGCAGTATTTCACAACACATACAAGTCAGTAGAAAGCAAAAAAGATGTGGCAAAATGAAGAAAAAACATGCCAGTGACCAAGGGATATAGACTGTTAACTGCCAAAAGCCAGTGACAAAGTTCCAGCTGATGTATTACAAGGCAGGAATATTCATGTCTGAGCTAATTTTGAAATGGCTTGTAAAATAAGTCAAACGCACTCCTCTGCCAGTTCATGTTGTACACTTAAAATGAAGTCATAAATCCTCTCTTTTGGTTCTTTTCCATCCCTTTGAATGCAACCCAGTAAATATTGGTCGTGTCTGGTATCACAAAAAAGCAGATACTACTTGTGGTTTTACTTGCAATGTACTGCTATTCCCTCTATAGTTTTCAACAAAAATGCAACCTGTAAATAAAATGAGATTCTCAATCCTCACATGAATAACTGATTTATGCATTTATGGTGTGTTTGACATATAAACAAATTTCAACTTCGACATGTATCTGCACTTGGTATCCTTTAATCTTTTTTTGGACTGTCACTTGGTGGTGCTGTTTTGTCGTCACTCGGCTCTGCACTCGCTGCTGTTTTTTCAGAAGCTGAGGCTCCTGCTGGGGCTGAAGCTTCACTAACTTCCCTCACAGAGTCTTCGTCAGGTTTAGCCTCAGCTTCCACTGTAGCATCAGAAACAACAGCCCTCACTGTAGCCTCCGTCTCATCTGAAGGCTCAGAGATGTTTTCTGCTTCCTGCTGCTGCTTTTTTGCTTTGAGCTGCCGTTGGTAAGCTGCAGACGGGTCTTCATATGGAAGCACCGACACAGGGACGCGAACTGTGTCTATTCCATTAACCTGGGGAGGAAAGCAAAGAATTAGCTATTTTATTATCATGTACAGAGCCTCTGCATTAAAGGGATATTCCTGCGTAAAATTAATTTAGGGTCAAACACACAGTAACACCGAGTTAGACACCCTCTCGAAAGATGAATGTTGCTGACAGCTTGCTTCGCTAGTGGCAATGGCAATACACAGCGGTCTGAGGAGCCGTAAACAAACCTCAACCAAAACGCCACTCTATAGCCACAAATAATGCTCAGAACAGCACCTAACTTCATCAACAGTACATATAGGGTCCCAGCCACAGCACTAGCCACCAAACATCTTTTTAGCTTTGCCTAATTTCTTTAGCAAAGAGACTAAACACAACTCATCTACGCTCATTGAGAAGCTGTTTGTTTGTAGCGAGACCTCAGGCCAGTCCATTAAGGACTACAGCGGGGTGACGCAGCTCAAGGAAGAACATTTATGATCATTTCCTCATGGAAGTGCAATCAGACCGAGACGCTAAGGCAGAAGAACTACCGGATCTGCAGTGCAAAATGATTAATATGGTGATTATTACTTAAAGGAAATGATAAACAAATGATCATAAATGTTCTTCCTTGAGCTGCGTCACCCCGCTGCAGTCCGTAATGGACTGGCCCAAGGTCTTGCTACAAACAATCGGCTGCTGGAAGAGAGACGGTGAGTTGTCTTTAATTTTACGCCGGAATATCCCTTTAAGCAAGAATTAAAGAACAAATGGCAACATGCAGAACCTACGTGTTTATAAAAACAAAACATTTACATTCACATTTGACCTATTAAAAATAGCATGTGTACCAAAGTGTTCATCTTGCAGCAATGGTTAGATGATGCATGTTTTTTTGTTTGTTCTTTTCTTACTGAAACAAAGAGCACTTACTTGTACTTCACACCAGTAGTCGCCCACATCCTTGACTGTCTCAAATGGAAAACTCAATGCATGAGGAGGAACAACAACATCAAGCTGGGGAAAATTTGGTAAGATGAGTAAAATGAGCACACTTCCTTAAACTCCAATGAAACTTGCTTCAAAATAGTGTTTTATATGGATAATGTATCTGGAAGAAATAAAAAATGACAAGCACCCTCTTGAGAAATTGTCTGCAGAGGATCTCTTTGTTGACGTGGAACTCATCCACAGGCATTCGGTTGATCTTCAAATGGGAGGATTTCAAGAACTCCACTGTCTGCACAAACAAGAAAAAGTGAACCTTGATAAGAACAGGTAGCTGCTTCTTTAATCTCTTAACAACTTTCACTCAAATGTTGCACCCAAGAAGGTAAAAAAAAATAATCCGGAAAAGTCATGCCATTAAATTAGACCTACCATCAGTCCAGTGCGGGTTTGAACTCTTTCCTCTAGATTCCCTTCACGTAAAAGCTGGTGGAGAAAAGGTCACAGAGTGGATGAAAATACATGTTTTTTAAAAAAAATAAATATACAGAGAAATGAGGTATCAAACTTCGACACATACTCTTAATTCTTCAGCAAAGATCTGCTTGTTCTCCGGTGATGGATACACTGCAAGACCTTCGGCCAGCAGCTTATTTCTCCCCATAGCCTTTTTCACAAACACAGTGTCTCCTCGACCACCAAGCTCTGTCAGAACAAACACACATTATTTCTTATCATGTGGTGAGTTTTATTAACGCACACAATACTCTAAGAGTGTAAACACAAGCACTCACTTGGCACTGTCTGAGTCAGGATGAGCTCCATCTTTTCCTTGGGACGATTTTTGGTATCTTCAACCAGCTTATATACTCTGTGTCTTCGAGGGTGAAGCCTAGGCGGGCTGCCGACTTTGGACAAAGGCACTTCCCACCAGCGTTCGACTATAATCGTGCTCTGAGGAGGAAGGGAGCAGATTTGTAAATGCTGTCATGTTTCTCTAAAAGGGATAACAGGGCTTTCACTGATGTTATACGTCTTCTTTGAGGTCTTTGCTTTTTCACAAAACACTGATGACGTTATTTAAGGAGGACCACACTGTTTCTGACTGGCATGTGCTGACTAATATTTATCATATATTTTACATTCATAATTGGATTTTCAGACAGGCCAATCACAAGATGGAATTTTCTGTTAGAGCTGTTCATCTGGTCTTGTTTTTGTTGTTGATCATTGAATAATACAGTGGCCGAGAACTGCCACCGCTGCAAATAAAAAGGAATGCAAAAAAAAAAAAAAAAAAAAAGGAATCCACCACGGGAGTTACCGATGAAAAAGAAAAGAAACCGAAGCCCACTGCAAATAAAAAAAAAGGAACGCTGCAGAATTTGCATCTACACTGTTTCTTCTGTTATTTGCAGCGGGCTTCGACTTATTTTTTTTCTTCTTTCTCTTTCTTTTTTTTTGCTTCAGTAACTTCTGTTGTGGCTTCTTTCTTTTTATTTGCAGCAGTGGCAGTTCTCGGCCACCGTACATTAACAACAACATCATAAGATAAGTGGTGGAATTCCTACAAGGACAGAATAACATATCCTTAAATAACAGGGTTTAGTTTTTGAGTCTTTTATTTCTACAAAATAAATGGATGCATGTCTGCTCAGGGCTTCCGTATTAACCAGTATTAACCCATCAAAGATTACAGAGTTGTTTCATACAGGTACAAATTAAAGAATTGTCAACTTTAGACAGGCTTATTTCACACGGTTCAAGTTCCTGACACACAACTGTAAGTGTCTTCAGACTGACCTGAACTGGACTCAGGGAGAAACTCCTGACTGCAGGCTGGAGGAGCAGATCCTGAAGGACGCGGCGGCCGGAGCTCAACATGTTCATTCACAAAGGACACTCACCTCCCTTGAACTGACTGTTTTATCTACTCGTCACTTAAAAAGTACAGCACAGCTTCAACATAGGGACGGTTACCCTTAAATTATGGGGCAATCACTTGTCAAATAACCACAGCAAGCATGTCAGCTCAAAGCTAATTATCGTCGACTGTATGACGTCAAAGGACCCCGGAAGATGACATTGTCGCCCAGACAGAGGCCTGCATGAAAAAAGAGCAAATAGCTGCTGCTGAAACTAGTTTCTGCTACTGTTAATTTCCTAACACATGAAAACCTTTGTGTTAAATTTCACTTTCAGCGCTCAATTAAAGAGTACAATAAAATAATCCAAGCCATTCCAATTCCCTTTAAAACAACGACACAACAACTGCTGGTGTATTCAAGTATTTTTTAAATAAGATCACAAAGTGTTGAAGGAGTCAATTTAGGTAGCAAAATATTCTCTGATAAGTTTATTAGAAATGATTTGACTGCACATTTGACTGTACTTCCCTTATCAACAAGCAAGAACAAAGAAAGCGAAATTTGTCTTATTCAATCCCTCATCAAGCAAAAGAGGTCACATTTAAAGTAGGCCTACTAAATGACATTTATCCATCAAACCACTTCCTACATATAAGATTTTATTGGAATAACAATATGTGTGGATTTTGTGATAGCGACATTTAAACAGTAGAACACATTTTCATTGAATGTGAGCATGTTGAACACTTTTGGACATTATTTCAAAATTGGTTGTTATCTAAACAAATAATTTTGCCCCCATTAAACTGGATGGATAATTATAACCTGTCCCTAACCTGCAAAGATGAACATTATTATACACCACTGGAAAACATGGCTGTTTTAACAACTCAGATATCCGCAGTGAAAATCAGTTTTCAGCATCACACAGCCTTTCTTAATCCAGCCTATGAATTTCAAAATGGTCACTCCCACTATGTAAAGATTCAAAGGTACATTTAACTGGATCAGTCAGAATCAGTCAGTCAGAGGAGTAGTATTAAAGATATCTCACACAGCTTTTCGTTTTATCCAGGGCATGGAGTGGGAATAGACTTTTTTAAAGATAAAATATTTTTATTTGCTCCATTTTGTTTCTTTGTATAAAATAGATACAAGAATTACTGGTAGATTTTCTTTATTCAAGATGCTCAGTCATACTGTCATGAACATTGCAAACTGTATGCAAGACTACAGACAAACCTCAGGTGCCTGAAAGTACCATATCAACACATTTAAAACATCAGTTTTCTGGTAAACATTTCAATTCTTTTGGTTAAAGCAACACTGTACAACACATTGATAAATAACAACTTGAATGGTACACTCCAGTGTGAGCTGCCAATAGATATTCTTAAGTAACACCCATCAACTTTACCTCTGGCTGTTCAAGTGTTCAGGAAATAAGAGGAAGCATGTGATGTGATACCGCAGTTGTTTGAGACGGTATCAGCAGTTCTTGGTCTGAGCTTTTACTGATCTGTGGAGAACAACATACTCACTAATAGCAAGCATTATCAGCATGAAAAGTACCCTTCACATTGAGAGAGAGGGACAAAGATTCAAATCAAACATCGCCAGTTGAAGTTCCTTCAGAATCACGCATTGCACCGTAGAAAGAACCACGGTAAGGTATTAACCTTTGTCTTGCATTAACAGTCCCACAGCAGGTCAGTAGAATGACGCAACAACTACAGATGAACATAAAAGCTAAAGTGACCCACACCAGGGTGGTGACAATGAAGGCAAACTGGTAGGTTGTCTTTTGGCAGTACTGAGATGTTCCAGATGAGTAGGACGGAGGGTAAATTGGATAAATCCAGCAGCTTCCTGTAGGGGAACATTGAAATTTATTCTTCAACATGAAAATACAAAATATACTGAGCTAAAAACACAAGAAAATCTGATTTCTTACATTCTGAAGTGCAACAAAAATTAAGAGATTCCATTAAAGGTGTGTTTTTATGTGATTTATTACATCAAAACTGATCAAACCACACCAACACAGAACTTTAGTTGACCTTTTAGTTAAACTCTCTTTAACATCCAAAGTTTGGGAGAAATGCTCAAAAGTAATTGCCATATGTCAATATTGAATAAACATAGGAGTATAAAGTAGCATGAAATAAAGAAAATTAAATAATTTGCCTCAGAGATCTGTGGTCTCAAGCACTTAATTGTCTTGAATAAAGCAAATGTACATGATAATCTGATGAGTGTCTTACCTGCAATGAACCAGCCAAGTTTGAAGATGACCATGAGAGACAAGCAGGATGAGATCAACATGGAGCAACAGCTGTTCTCCCCTGTGCTTTTGCGGGCATAGGTCAGACACAGACAGAGGACACTGCTCACTCCAAACACGATCAGATAGATGGGGATGTATGGCTGTATTGGACACTGGTCCAGATATAACGTTCCTGTCAGAAATTATGTCCAGAAACAGGACAAGATTAAAAGATCATGAGAGTTCTTGTGGAAACAAATCACAAAAATGACTTATAAGATTTTCATACAGAACTAAACCCACCTAGAGCAACTGCGGCAACCATGACAACCGACCAGGTAACATTCACCACAACTACAAAAAATGAAGAAAGACAGTCAGATTACTTTGAAAGTGAAAAAGAAGCAGATGTGAGTGTAGAGAGCAGATTCTGACCAAGTGTTGAGATCAGCACGGCACTGTTGGGCCTGAATTCAACCTGAGGACGCTCATCCATATCTGCAGTGAGGAAAGTGAGACTGTCACAATTATTTCACACAGAACCAGGAGGAAAACTTCTGGAAAGTGAGTTATTTCCTACCTGTTGAACTCTGAATTAAAGCTTCTTCTTCTTCTTCTTTCACAGAGTAAGGGTAGAGGTATGCTGGAGGTTTTCTTTGTGAAACTGTTTTGACAGGATGTTAACACGTTTTGTCACAAGTCAGAATTATGACAACTGTGTTGCAACACTCTTTGAGTTTAACAAGAAGGAAATGACAAAAATTTGATGCTGTTATCTGATACCATTAATCTGCATGAAACGCACGTTATTGAACCACTAACCAGTCACATGTTTCCTTTCCATTTCTAGAGCAAACTGCACTTGTTGAAGTAGGCCTATTACTTTTTGTTAGTCACTAGATGTATGTAAAAGATCTTACTAGGACTGTTTGGGGCATCAGCAGGAGCTTTTTATTTGAGTGAGTGCACTTTTAGCACTCAGAGCCATTTACAATCTCTGTCAATGCAGCTGCTTTTGGTTGTCATCGATTTTCTCTAAGCTCAATGCATCAATATTTTTCCTGATATTAAAACACCCTCTTAGCAGTCAATAAATATTATAAAATATAAATATTAAAAACAATGGGATAGTTTGATAGCTATCCAAGCTTTAATAAAGCTGAAGTGAATCTGGCACTTTGCTGCTTTAAGAGTGCAGCTCAAGTTCTGCAAGTCATGAAACAGCTGCGTGACAGTTGAAGTGGGTTTGTGATGCAAAGGTTGACACAGTTGTTTCCTCTCATGCAGCTGGCCACAACCAAAGTGTCTCTGAAGTCACACTGCCGTCCTGTGGCGATGATATATGTCTGCTTACATCCACTAAGCAAAGTCAACAAATATCTGTATTAGACTTTCTCATCTGCTGCAGTACATTTTTTTTGGCTGATAACCTAATGTGGCTTTTTTACAATTTCCAAATAATCCATCTGATAAAGTTCATTTTTAAAAGGTTTCAAAGCAGCAATTCAAACACTGTAGTAGCTTTAGCACCAGTTTATTTCTGCACCAGAGTCCTTTTATTTATTTTGTACCCTGTATCTTTGGTTTCATTCACAGTTCACTTCAGGGACTTTGGCTCAGACATTAACAGCTTTATGTGTCATTTTCTGTCTCAGTGAAGAAAATGTATATTTTAAATTAAACTTGTTAAGCACTGAGTCAAAGGCCTGCCTTTTCTTTTCGACCTCTTTAAGCTGGAAGTCAATGATCATTTGGATCATGGGAGATGCAGGGAAGTCCATGCAAATGATTCCAAAGCGCTGGTTTAGATCGGTTTTGGCCCTCAGGTAGTCATAGAGCTGGAGGTTGATGCGTTGTGCGACAGCTCGCGGGTACGCCAACACGCCTGCTCCACTGCTGAAGGTGAGGAAAATCTGGGCTTTGTTTCCTGTCGGTGCAGCTTCTAGGTGATCATAGACACTCTGCCATTTCTCCTCCACATGCAGGAGTGTGGGCACCTGCAGAGAAAGCAAAGATTAACAACTCAATATATATATATTTTTTAATTCTGGATATTATTTCATGTTTCCAGGAATTTTGTACAACGACAATAGTATGTTTGGTTTCTGCAGATAGCAGAATGAAGCTACTCCTTTCTAAACTGGAAAAGGTTACTACATTTCAATGAATCTGTTTATGAAACTTTAATATAAAAACACAATAGTTTGATTTCAAACCTTCCAGTCATCAGCTATGTCCATTGAGCCATAGCGCATCCCCAGGTCTGGTCCAGAGAAGTCCTGCAGGATGATGAGCTTCCCTCGGGCCTCCCCCATGGTTGGCACAAGTCGGCTGTGCCACAGGAGGTCCCAGTGGGCGTAGCGGTGGATGTAGCTGACCACAGCCCCGTAGATGTCATAAGTCTCGCTGAACTCCTCCTTCACCCTCATCAGCACCGTCTCACTGGGAAACTCTTGAAGGAACTTAGACACACCCTCCAGTACGTGTCCAAAGTGTGCCCGCTGATAAGACACCCCGTGGTGGATGGTGAGGTTTCCTTTGACGTGACGGACGCGGACGTCCAGGAAGCGGACCCCCGCCTGGAGCTGGGAGGCCAGGCTCCAGGTCTGACACTCAGCATACACACCACCATACAGAGCCATGGTGTTGTGCGTCCCAGGCATGGTAACCTCAGACAGCAGCTGGTCATCAGGGATGCTGGCCATCCAGGAAGGGTTGAGGAACTCAGGGTTGGGAGTGTCATCATAGTCTGGTCTCTGAATGGCCCCTTTACTCAGGACAGCCATTCTGAAACAAAACAGATACTTGTCAAATTATAACCCTTGGTTTCCATAACACCACAGCAGAGCCACAGACTGATTAACTTCATGTCACATTCATTTATGCACGCAATAGGAGTCTCGGCCAAGTACTGAGGGCATGAATGAACATAATTTTCCAGAAGTTTTGTCATTTGTGAATCATAATACTTTCCTGGATTGGCGTTTTGGAGTCCTCTCATATTTTGAGAAAGAGGATTTTTGATTTACATGAGTTGTAAGCTGTAATCATCAAGATTCATACAAAAAGTCTTGAAATATTTCACTTTGTGTGCGATGAATCTATACTGAACTTTCACTTTTTGAATAAAATCATGGAAAATATTAACTTTTTTGAGATATTCACATTTGTGAGCTGCTGTAGAAGATGTTTGATGGTCTAAGGGAGATGGTAAGGTTGAAGTTTTATGTTTTTCTTCAAACCTGTGGATACCTGTGGCTCAGACAGAGACCCTCATCATGCCATCACTTGTCGCTGTGTGTGTCCTGTGTTCTAATCCCTCTATTGGCTTCAAGCTTAAAATTTAAACAGTACTGCCTGATTACTTCTGTACCCACCAAAGTTATTACCTGTGATCTGGGTCCAAACACATTCAGATACACAACAGTTTTAAGCTTAAATCCTTCGGATTGTTTCAGATTTGTGTTTTTTCATTTTCTTTGTGTATTTGATGGGTCAATCTGTGTCAAACTGCTCCTGAGACGTTAATGTCACATCTGATTTTACTCTTTAAAGCTCCAATAAAGAAGTTTCAATTAAGTAAACTTTGGCGCCACCTGTGGACGAAAGCAGTCTGCTTATCCTGTTTGCCATACACTTTTGAACAGTCTATTGATTTAAAAAACATGATCTTGCTGACTTTAAACAGTCAAAAATATCATTTCTTGTGAATCTTTCGATGTCAATCTGCCAAAAAATGCCTAAACACTTACCCCACCAACACCATCAGCTCAATGAACATCTTGTGCATTTTCACTGGACCTCCTCCAATGTCACACAACACACGTTTGATGGATCAGAGCTGATGACCGGATCTATGATGATCTGAGAGAAAGGAAGGAAATACAGTCAGTATTGTCACAGAGATTAAGCCTGAAAGGAGAAGTATAATTACACCACACCTGTTTGTACTGATCCAACAGTCAAGTCAACCAAAATTTAAAGATTTTCTTGACTGAATTTGACAAATCTTGACAATAACTTAACAAACAATAGTAAAATAAGCCCTCGCTTGTTTGCAGGAGTTGCAAATCTAATCCAGATTTTACATGAGTGCTCTCTTCTCAGAGGAATATATGATTTTAACAACTTTTATGTGCTGCTGTCAAGCTCAGATACTTCAATATGGATTAAAAGTGGTTCAGTTCCAGTAAAATGCCTTAAATTTACATGAATCACAGACAGGGAGCACACTGGTCTTAAACTTTAAATCACCAATCATTGAACAGAGTAGATATTAAACTGCATCATCTTTAAATCATAGGTTTGTAATAACTTCATCAAAGCATGCCAGCTGACACAAAACCCAAAGATGGATCCCAGTACATGCAGATGTAAACCTCAGCTCGCCAATAGCAGATTAAAAACTTCCCAACCTGTAAGCTGAATCAAATAGTCCCCTGATGCTTTATTAAACGTGCAATCCGCTGGAATTCCTACCTGAAACCAGAAGGTGTTCGTCCTCAGTCCAGACCGGGTGACTAGGGGCAAAAAGAGGGAGAGAGAAAGAGGGAGCGAGGGGTAGTGGAGGGGAGGGAGGTCAGAGGCAAAATGACAGCGTCAGTGTGTTGGACCTGGGATGTTATTGTGGGAAATACCATGAAGCGGGGAGGTTGGGTAGAGGGGAGGTTTTGTGTGTGAGGGGGTATTCAACTAATCACGTTACCCAGGTATTGTGGCTCAGAAAAACATTTTTTAAAAATCCAACATCCGAGTCAAGCAAGGGGATTAAAAGTTCTCGAGGTCTGGGAATATTATTTAGGGTTAAGTTTTATGAGCTGATTGAAATATTGTCACTTGTAAATAATTAATTGGAGTTGCCCTTGTATAAAGAGGTCATCTATCTGCATCAATGACAGATGGATGTTTCCCCACCGCTTATCAGTCAGTAAACGCCCTTCAAATACAAATACAGATACAGCAGCATCTTGACAGGGGTTCGATTTTTAAAAGACAGATTTGAAATGAATGAATGTACACACGCTTAAGTGGACAAAAGGACATTTTTTAGTTAATTCGTTATCTTCTATGTCAATATGGTGTATTCAAAAGTCTCGAACTTCACATCTGAAAGAAACAGACACATGACACAGTTGAAGAAAGCTTAAACACATACGAGGAGTTATGCATTAAATTTAAATTAAATATTCAAAGCAGGTAACATTGAAGATGTTTGACTTGAACTCTGTTAACTAAATGTTTCATGGGTATACTTGTTGAGCAGCATGTGGCGTTTTAATGACCGCCTCCAGCAAAGACCTTGGGAATCGTGTAACTTTTCTAATGAATAACCATGAACTGACTTGATAACAGTGACCAGCTGATGTTCGGTTGTAGAAGCAGATGACTGCCTAATATAAGTCAGGTTCAGCTCAAGGTTTCTGTCTGTTAAAAAGAACCACCCATATATGCTGAACTAGTACACACATGTAGATGAAGATGGGATGGAAGTGGATCTGATCTTACAAGATGTGACTCAATCTTATTCCATCTTTATGTTTTGTTTTGTTTGTGTGTAAATTTTAAAAATCTAATGTGCCATAAAGGGTCACCATCATTTTCATTAGGATGTTTGACATTTTGTTTTCATGGAACCCGGCGGCAAATACTATTTTTGTGGGGCACTGATTCCACCTCCTCTACTGGCTGAGGTCTTTTTTAATATTTCTGGATGACTAATTCATCTTTGCAGAGCTCCACAGGACCCAGATTGAAGGGGCCTCAGCTCAGAGGGGTCAAAGTGAGAGCATGTTTGTCTGCATGTGTGTACAGTACATGGAAAAGCCTGCAGATGTTTTCCCATCTTGTCTGATATCCCTACGCAGGAGGCCAAATGTTACACAAGAGACTTGTCCTCACCCTGCTGGGTAATGTTTGGTTAGCTGTCAACGCAGATTATACTCGGGATGTCCTATGGAAATTCAACCATTTTTTTTTAAAGATAATTAGGTCAGGTGAGAAGCCATGAGTCCTTTTCCTAATGTTTATTTCATTGTACTCAAAAGCTAATTAATCTCCATCCATTATCTGTTCTGATGGGATTGGTCTCATCGAGATATCTTCATTTATTTGTTTTTAATGGTCTTAAAAACTAAACTCAAGTTGTATCTTTACTGAAAGGCCCCTCATAAGCTTTGAAGGAGGTAGAGTGAAGGTGCAGTAGGATGAAATGACATGTTCCAGGAGAAGGTGATTTTGCTGCCTCAAGAGGGCGACAGAGAGAATCGTTTTTCAACCTGTCTTTAACTTGAAGTCATCCAGGCACACATTAAGAAAACTAATCCAGTTGCCTCTAGGTATGACAGGCATTAAATCAACCTACCTAGTCTGGCCACAGATGCAGAGGCCGATGAAAGAACAACATAGGAGGATGAAGAATCATGAAGTCCTTCATGGGAGCTGCTACAAAAACAAAACAAGAAAAAGCAAAACACGTTAAACATGCTGTCAGCCATCTCATTATTTACCCTGTGTTTTTTTAATTAGATTTTTCTTTGTTGGCTTTTTGCCTTTTGAACTTGTTTAATAAGTCTTTTGGTGATTTGTGACATGTTCAAAAAAAACAGGAAACATGTCACTTGACCAAATATAAATGAACAACATCACACAGGAATGACAGTAGCCATGAAATCCAAGAGAATCTTCAAAATAAGACAGGAAATCAAGAGAAGACTACAAAGCTGGAGAATAATGAACTGAACAAACAAATGGATGTGTTCTTAAACCTTCGCAGGTATAACCTCTGTCTCCCTGATGAGTAATCATTATAATAATCTGTACAATCAGAAAGAGTCTTCTTTGGCTTCAGGTGTAACTTTCAAAAGTAAATCTTTTATTTGAGACATTAAGACAGAAAATGATGAGATATCTGCTGCTATTTTAAGACTGGGTCTCTGTTGAAATGTAACGTTTTTCCATCAGCATCAGTGATTCTGCATTGCAGTGTTACTGCTGTTCACAATCGTGTCAGAAGAGCTGTAGACTCTTTAAAGACACAATGAGAGGGATGGGAGTAAAAGTTCAAAAGAGCTCCAGTAACACTTGTAGTTCAGGAAAAACAGTTTTGTTTTTTTTTACCGAAACCGATCGATCTGCTTTTCACTGCTTAATAAGGAAACTGTCACCATATACCTAAGTGTGGAGATTTGAGACACTTAGTAGTTGCATTTCAAGTCCTTTGTTGTTCGTTTATAAGCTCCTTTTGGAGAATGTTATCAAAGGCTTCATATCAGTAATAGTGATTATGTAACATTTATTTTTGTTTCCTGGTTACTAAGAAAATCGATCCATCACTTCTGTGGTATCTAGTCAGTGTGTTGGAATGTGCTGCAGATTTGCTTCAATGAAATAAGATTTTAAAATATATTAGTATATTTTTATAATGATGCAAAATAAATAACTCAGTCATCATGCTGAAATACCATGTTGTAATAATCCCATCTTGATTCTACTTATGTTACTACTTATGTTGAATATGTGTTTTTGCAGTAACTCGCCATGATCTGGTGTGATCTGGCTTATTTATGTTACATGACAACTGATGCTAATGCTGAAATTTTACATAAAATACACCCCAAGAGTATAAAAACAGGCAAATGCAGATAGACTCAGGTTCAGAACACAGACAAGATTTTATTTACAGAGCAAAATCCTGATTTATATCCACACAGACACACACAAACACACGCAAGCAAGCTCCTTCAGAAAAACAGCTTTCGGTCTTTCAACTGAAATTCCTAGTTACCCTGTCAGTTTCAGTGTTGAGATGGAAAAAGATAAACAGTCTAAGACCATCCTGCTAAAAGAGTGTTAACAAACAACCTTTTATTTTTGATTAATTAAATTAACTTTTTTTCCCCCCTTTTTTAAAAAAAACTTGAGTCTCCTTTTGTTGGTCGTTTCTAACTCAATCTAAAGTGACTCAGATCAACAGCAAGGTGTGGGGAAAGCAATATTTCAAATGGTAACGAATTCATTCATGAAAATAGGTGTGTTGTTTTTTTTAAATCAATGTCCTGTTCTACTGGTAACACAAATTTGGTCTTTGTTAACAGTGATTTTCTCATGTTGAATACTTTACATGTTGAATACAGTACATGAATACTTTAATAGGAGGCAAATTCTTGGGCCAGTGCGCCAATAAACCTGCACATATTATACAATACAATTATGAGGATTTTTCTGTGCACTTGCATTCAGAAAGAGGGGCTGCTGAAAAAGACTCAAGGAATAATTCTTAATGTTGTAAATGCCACAAAACAAGTTTAATCTAGTCAAGGACATACAAATTTTGTACTCAAAACCAAACTTATTTGCACTGATATTTGACGTACAGATCTTGCACATAATTTTGCAAATCAGCACATACTGCGGAGGTAATATTCACTTATTTATGTTGGTTTTAAACTTGTTTTTACCTTGGTTTGTATCCAGAGGTTGTTTATTTGGGTTATTTATTTGCATTTCTTTATGTGTTGATGTTTTTCTCCCTCTCTTATGTCCTGACTGGGGAGCCTTGGGGTGCTTTTATCATGTGTTCTGTTTTGTGGTTGTTTTATATTGTACTGTAACTTGTATAAATGGACGTCATCACTTTATTTCACTGCAGAACAAATCTACCTTTGGGTATTAATAAAGTAACCTGAACCTGAACCTTAGTCCCTTTAGCAAAAATAGAGGCTAAATCTCTTCTCTATATTCTCTGATCATATGTCAAGAAAAAGGAAAATACACTTATGAGACCATCTGTACAGATATGAGGACATAGAATAGTAAAATAACTGCAGCTTTTCAAACTCTAGTATCAGTGATACTGAATGTCGACTTCACTGCCTTTCACTTTTGTGGTAGCTGGTCACATATACTGGTTTGGGAGGTCTAGGATCTACAATTTAACAACACAATGAAATGGATACAGAACACTTCACAGCCTGTTCTGCAGCCTGTGGTTGCAGTTGACAGCCGCAGTGCATCTGGGAGAACTCCCCTCAGCCAATCAGTGTGGAGCATGCATGAGTCACTTCCTCATGTTCACTCCCCTATTAGACAGGAGGAGGCTAGTCTTATTTAAGTGCTGTGGAAAATGGTGGAGAGGACAGTGAGACGGCTCCAGTAGACAGAGGAACACAAACAGCTTTATCCCTGGTGAGTAAACATGTTCCGCCTCTGATGTTGTTAATCCGATCCGTGTTTGGAGTGTGTGTATAAGCTGAGTCAGCTGTGGCCAAAGGAATGAATATGAAAGATGGTTGATTCATGTCTGCGTGTGTGTGCTCTTGGGGAATCAGGAAATGAGAGGAACAGGCTTAAAAACATGTTGAAATTTGGTTTTAAAGAGCCTTAAAGTCCCTGGAAGTTATCTGAACTGTTCAGGATAGGAAAGAGCATGAACTGTGAACCTCAAGTAGTCATTTCCAGTCTTTCTTGTGTTACTACCAAGACACACCCACTGTTGTCCTGGAGTTATTTTTCCAGCAGGACAACATTTGGGAGGATGATCAATGTCAAAACTATGAGAACAATTTGCTGGATTAGATAGAGCTTGTGTTTTTAAATCCTACTATCATAATTTTGAAAAGGTTTTTGCAGATATGTTCAAATTCATTACAGTAGACAGTATGCTGGAAAAAAAACACTTCCCACACCACAATTTTTTTTAATTGGAGGGTTTTTAATGGATTGATTGCTATATGTGCAACAATTTGGAAGACTCAAACAAAAGCTGCATCATTTAAGCTCTAAGGAGTTATGAAATGAACTTTAATTAAAACAGATTCCCCATTAGTATAAAAATTGTCTGATTCTATTAAGCTACTTTTGATGTCCAAAGTCTGAATGCAAAAGATTTATGAGTTTATTTGAAAGTTTATGAATGTTATCGTCTTAGGTTTGAATATTGGCTGGTTGTCATTGCTGTCTATCATATTAACCCACTATTTAAGGTTTTCAGACTGTCAGCCAGACAAAACTACCTTTTATTAATTTACAAAAAGTTTGTGAGAACCATTAAATTTAATGTTATACTTAAGACTAAACAACTAGTCAAACTACCAGGAAAATGCCGGATGTGTTATTGATACTTGATTGCTTTCCAGCGTGTTTTTCCTGCCCTCGTGTAACGTAGAGGCTCTGTTTGTTACTGTAGACAACAGGAGCCCTCATGGTGAACTGTTGTTAGAAATATTCAGGTGTAATATGACTCGCTCTACGATATGGTGTGTGTGCAGCAGCTGGTGACATGTGGGCCAAAGTACCAGTAACCTGAGAGTTAGCTGTGTGCTTAATATTTATGGTAATGCAAGAAGAAGAAGAATAGGAAGAAGCAATGTTTGACACTTGAGACCTTCTGTGACCAGTCCTTTTGTATAATCTGGTATGCACACTACTGACTCAGCTCTAAACTACATTTGGTTGTTTTTTGCAGCCTCCTGACCCCGTGTGTGTGAATCTGACACTGGCAGAAGAACAGCAGCTGTGATGGCTGACGCTGAAAAGATCAAGCAAACCGCAGCAAAGGTCCTCCTCTGCGTGGAGAAGGTGTCCTCCTTCGCCTCGTCCGTCGACCCCATCTTTGGTATCGTCTCCTCTCTTGTTGGTGTGGCTCGTAAGGGGCTGGTGGATGAAGAAAGCCACGCCCATGAAGAGGAGTTTCAGGCAGTGAACTCCCAACTGGAGACTATCTCCCAAAAGAATCAGCAATGCCTGAGGAATATTCGCATTGCTGAGGTGAATGAAACCTACGGAAGGTATGAGGAGTACATCAAGCACCAGTACGCCGCCTTCAACGACATGGTGGCTCAGGTGAAGAGAGAACCAGAGAAAACAGAGCAGTTCTTTGAGAAGTATGAGAAGATTTACGAGAGAGATAAGAGCGACCTAAGCCTGGATGTGTACTATCGTGGTGTGATGGGCACCAACCTGCTGTTTGGGAGAACCCTGCTGAAGGTGTACTTCGACAACTGCGGAGGAGACCTGGAGATCATGGAGCGCCGCTGTTTACACATCACCCACCTGTTCCACATAGGCCTCATATCCCTCATGGCCTACACGGCTGTTACAGAGGATGATGAGGATGAAGTGCGAGAGAAGTGGGCAAAGAGGGTGGTGGAAATCCAGCAGAAGATGCAGGAGGTGCTGAGTCAGTGCACACCCAGGTCATCCTGAACACGGACCAGCAGAGAGAGGATCTCCTCTGTGTTTTCAGGGAACACTCAGAACTCTCCGCTGTGGACAAATATCAAAATAAAAGTGATATTATAATATATGACTATCTATACATAAAACCAAAGCCATGATTTCCTTTTGTGATATTGTTCTAGCAGCATTTTAGTTATTACTATGACTTGTAATTTTATTTTTATTTCAGATACCACTATCTGTTGCAGCTGATTGTGTTACTGCATGTATGTGCTGAAGTTTTGTACAATCCTTTGAATTAAAATGCACATTCCAGAAGTTGATCAAGTCGCGTTTTTTGTATGCCGTTCTATCTCTAACAAATTAAATTCTTGATAGACAACAAAGTCACTCCTAATAAGCGTCTCTTTGTCTCTACATGGAGAAAAACTCTCACACCCTTTTGGTTCTTGCTGCTTTTGAGCTGGGAATTCAGTCTTGTAGTTTCTATGCACCATCATTAAATGTTCCTTATCATTCATTGGCAAGGCCATGCAGGAATTGCATCTAAGACATATGGACTTGAATATGTCCAAAAATAAAGTAATCCTCCTCCAACAATGAGTGACAATAACAAGCCTACATTTTTGCCATTTAAGCATGAGAGGCTTATGTGCTGAGAGAGTAGCTGGATTATGAAAACCACAAACTACTACTCACACCCACACCAGGACAAGTTCATGCGACCATACTGTAGGCAGCTTGCCCAGACAGAGAGACAGAAGACATTTACAATAAATATTAAACAGCTAAAGCTTGAACAGTCCATCATCTATAATGTGGCTGTAAACCTTATTTTATCTTTTTTAAATTTGAAGATCTTTGTCATCGTTTAGATTTAACTTAGCCAAGTTAATAACACATTTGTTGGTGGGATCTATGAAGGTATTTTGGTGCAAAAGGTTTGTGCATCTGTAACATGTCATTTGTAGTTGTGTACAGTGATTGTGTATGTGTATTAGTAAGTGTGAAATCCGCACTCTATGAGTAATTACAGATGCAAAAATCCTATTTTACAAGTCACAGATTCAAACTCTGACACGCTCAAATTTTTGCTCCTATTATTGCAGCAAATTTGGTGCAAAACATATTTGTGCACCTGTATGGAGCAATGTGAAGCTGTGGACAAAATTTGAATATGTGCAGATCTTAATGTGAACTTGTGCAAAAAATGTTACATTTATGTACAATAAGCTTTCATGAAAGTAGTTGTGTTATCATCTGACTGTCAGTGTGGTGCCTGACAGTGCACTTATGATTTAAGTTTTTGCTCTAATTATTAGATATTGATCTAACCGGGTCAACAGCGACCCTAACACGACAAGTGCCATAATTTTAATAAGAGCATTTTATAATTTAGTCAATTTAATTTTTTTATTTTTATTTTGTTTAAATAGAGGTTCCTGACAAAGTCAAAAAGTCTTGATGCAAAAAAGCTAATAAAAGTGGTTCTTTTAAGAATTTCAAATCAAACGGGTCGGTGCAGACCCTAACACAGGAGGAGGGTTAAAATACAAATACAAATCGATAATAAATAATGTAATTAAGAATTTATGAATGTGTTTATGTTGTGTTGTAGTTGTGGAAATAAAAAAAAAAATCAACAAGTACACACAAAAAATCTGCAGTACGCAACTCATAGAGTGCGAATTTCACATTTACTCACACACATCAACAATCACTGTACACAACTACAAATTACATGTTACAGATGCACAAACTTTTTGCACTAAAAATACCTTCACAGGGATCTGTACGGCGGCCGAGAATCGCCAATGCTGCAAATAAAAAAGAATGCAAAAGAAAGAAAACACAACGGAAGTTACTGATGCAAAAAAGAAAAAGAAAAAAATTAAACCAAAGTCCACTCCAAAAAAAAAAGAAGTTAATGATGCAAAAAATTTCGCTTAGTAAACTCTTTAATGTGTTATTTGGTTAGGCCATGTAGCACCTGAGACAATATAAAGTTCTGTTCTTCTGTTGTGGCTTTTTTTTTTTTTTTTTTAACTGCACCGTTTTCTTTTTTAATTTGCAGCGGGCTTTGTTCTTTTTTTTGCATCAGTAACTTCCGTTGTAGTTTCTTTCTTTTTTAAAATTAAAAAAAAATATATATATATATATATTATTTACAGCAGTGGCGGTTCTCGGCCACCGTAGCGCCGCCCAATTTCCGGCTCATTAGGTTTAATTCATAAACTCTAAACTTAAAAAAAAAAAAAAGTATGGTGATTTTTAAGACCTAGCACTCTCTTGAATTAATTAAAAGATTTAAGCTAGGAGGATTTATCGAGGAGTCCCAGTCGTAATAAATTCGTGTGTTTTTCTCTCGCACTAAGTCCCCCTCACCGCCAGAGTACTCTGTTTTCCAACCGCAGCTGCTGCAATGAAACGTAACACGATTCCTCTGTTTTTCACTACACTTCTGCCCCACCTGCCCCAAGTTACAGGCAGGCCTACAACTTCAACCAAAATACGATTACTTTTACCGGCTCTGTTGGCTGTTGACTATTTTATCTGACAGAGAGAAACTCTGTTAATCCGACAACAGCGGTGTCACGTCTGTTGGAGGGAAAGTCACGTCGCTTTCGGTAAGTTTCTGCTGCTCAACAAGCGGAAAAGCGGGGGTGGAGATGAGGAGTTTAGCATCCCGGCTACATCTGCTGCTGTTTTAGTTCTATAAAGTAGATGTAATTATGTTTTACATAGGGAGATACATGGAGACTTATTTTATCCAGATGAATTGACAGTGGCAGCGATACCGTTACTTTAATTTGCGTTAAAACTGCTGATAGACAACAGAGGCTTCAGTTTCCGGGGCGGGACTCTTCTCTGTCAGAGGTTGATGTTAAAACTTATTTTCACATTCACCACAAGCACAGAGCAGATCATTTTTATTGCACTGTAACATATTTATTATTTGGCTGTTTATTTTTATTTTTAGATCAGTACATCACTTTTAGTCAGCCTTTTACGAGTAGGGAAACCGGTGCTGTGCTGCAGATGTAGGTGAGTTATGAACTGGTGTTTCCAGCATATATTGACATTTATTATTGATGAAGTGTTTGTACAAGAAAAGCTATAATGGCCAAGTCAGAGGGTATGAAGAATGAACAAGATTAAAAAGGAGGTCTTTTTTTCATCCAGTAAAGACAGTAAAATCACCCCAGAGGAACTGGGTGTCTGTTTGTTTAGTGGTTTCCATGGTTTGTCGAAGGTGACTGTGCTTTTTGGGTGGTGGTTGCCAATGAAAGCCATTGCTAGGAAATGAAACTTATCGCTTGTATGTGTACATCTGGAAGAAGAGGTTTCCTCATCGAGAGCTTACGCTTTTAATTATTGTGCCAGTTTTGTCAAAGTGGACAAGAAGACCTATGAATCACAAGTGAAGTGGGAAATGCAAACAACCAAAAATTAGGTCAAGAAGGGTCACTTTGGACTTTTGAACTCCATCCATTTTCTACTGTTTTTTCCCATTGGAGGTCGCTGGAGCCTATCCCAGCATCGCCAGTTCAGTCGCCAGTTCATTAACATATAGAGACAAACAAACATCCACACCTATGGGCAAATTGAAAGTGACCAATTAACCCAACCCTACTTCTGGGAAAACCGGAGGATCCTGGAGTAAACCCACACAGACACAGGGAGAACGTGCAAACTCCACACAGAAACGCCCTGACCCAGATTCGAACCCAGGACCTCCTTGCTGTAAGACGACAGTGCTAACCCATGATGATCGGGGGCTGTGATTGTTGTCTTAGCTTTAACCTTGCCTAATGTCGAGTCCTATCAGCGTTCAACAACCATGACATAACATTTACTCCCTCTGTGGTCTTTTGTTTCAGGGATGCCTCTCCACAGCATTTGGCCCTCATGTAGCATATTTTGTCAGGACTGAGAGAAAGTCAGCAGCATGGGCAACGAGGACAGCCTGGAGGATGTGTTTGTCGCTGTCATTCGCCCGAAGAACCAAGTCAGCCTGAGCTCCAAGGAGTACAGAGCCAAAGCTTATGAGGTAACTGTGTCATGTATGGAAAACTATCACATACTGACCTGATTGTTTTCAACAAATCCTCATGATTCCTCTCTTGTTTGTAAAGATCCTCCTGATTGAAGTGCCCCTAGAGGGGAAGGAGAAGAAAAGAAAGAAAGTCCTGCTGGCCACAAAGATCCAAATAGGAGGAGACAAATCCAAATCCATATTGGATTATGTTGATGAAAAAATCAGACCCTTATCCAATAACCAAGGCTTCGTAGGTCAGCGTGGGACATTTCACTTCACATTTCATTAATTTTAGAGTTTGAGTGCACTCCTTAGACTGAAAACAATGATCTTCTACTATGTTTTTGTTGTAGGGAAGCGTGTTGTGCATATGAAGAAATTCCCCCTCGATGGGGAAAATGAAGGGAAAGAAGCGTCACTTTTTGTTGTACCAGTCAGTGTTAAAGGTGAGTTGAAATCAAAGAATCTCTTGTCTGAAATGAAGCATGAACATTACATAAACTGTTCCCTCTGTATGTCATAAATGATCCTAAACAGACAACAGCAAGCCTGTTTACACCCCCGGCAGCCCAAGCTTCTACTGCTTCCAGGACATCATGCGGGTGTGCAGCGAGACCAGCACTCACTTCTGCTCCATTACCTCGAAGATGCTCCTGGCTTTAGACAAGTGAGAAAAGATGTTAAATCTAAGTCTACTTGGAGGAGACTTTTTGTGGAGTTGGAGAAACACCGTTCTTTCTTTGTCCTCCGACAGGTGGTTAGCAGAGCAGCACACTGTGCCTCACGCCATCCCCGCTCTTTTTCGACCAGCACCTGTGGAGCGAGTGAAGACCAATGTCAGCAACCCAGCCTACGGCAGCGAAGGCAAACTGAGCGACGACGGTTTGCATATGGGCTACACGGCTCTGGAGATCAAGAGCAAGATGATGTCGCTGGAGAAGGCAGACATGTGCATCCTGAACCCATTGTATGGCTCTGATCTGCAGTACACCAACCGAGTGAGTCAGAGGGACTTTTAAAGAGAAGTTCGGTCATAGAATAGTTGATATCATTGCTTATTTGAGAGTGGTGGTCCAATCCTAATTTTGGCATTTGGTTAAAAGGTGGACAAAGTTATCATCAACCCATACTTTGGGCTGGGAGCACCCGACTACTCCAAGATTCAGATCCCAAAGAGAGAGAAGTGGCAACATGGACCAAACTGTGTGACAGAAGACAAGTGAGGAGTGGCAATACATCTACATTTGTAGACTTCTGCTCCTCTTATTTTCTGAGTCTTAAAACGGTTTAAATTAAATCCTCTGCAGGGAGCGGCAGTGGGTGGATGACTTCCCTCTCCATCGCAGTGCCTGTGAAGGAGACGTGGAGCTGCTCTCTAAACTTCTAGATAGCGGTTTTTCAGTCAAGCAACTGGACAGCGACCACTGGGCTCCTATTCATTACGCCTGCTGGTGAGTCCAGAAACATATGTTCTTTGAAAACTTTTGCTTGTCTCATTAAGGGAGTTATCATGAAGTTTTATTTGGTTTGTCCAGGCACGGTAAAGTCGAGGCTACTAAGCTGCTGCTGGAGAAAGGAAACTGTAATCCCAACCTGCTGAATGGACAGCTCAGCTCCCCGCTGCACTTTGCAGCCAGAGGAGGACATTTAGAGATAGTGCAGCTGCTGTTACAGCACCCTGAGATCGACCGGGTAAGAAGATCTGAACAACTTTTTTCTCCTATAGCCGAAATAGATGGCAACTTTATGACTGTTATTGTTGTTAAATCATAAAACTGGTGTTGCTAATGCAGATTCAGGCGTGTTTTTAAACTATTAGAGCTAGAGTACAAAATCCAACCTATGAAGGAGTTATAGAAAACTTTATACTAGAGCCTCATAACACCTCACCAAATAGAGTAGTTGCTGTTTTTCCACTCAATTTTGTGATAAATTTAGATGGTCATCCAGACATTACGATTAACAAATACACATTTTAATTTTTTAAATGAACCTTCCAAAAATGATCTATAAAATTCTATCTGAACTAACCTAGCAGAACAAATAGAATAACTGGTAGATATGGATTTTCTTGCAGCACATTGAAGACCAGCAGAAGAGATCCCCCTTGCAGGTGTGTGAGGAGAACAAACAGAACGAATGGGAGGAGACGGTGAAGCTTCTGCAGCAAGCAAACACCAAACCTGTGAGTCTTTGTCAAGATCTTACGGCTGTGTTATTACTGCAGGCTTAGCACTAAAATGACACAGAGAGATTTCCCTCTAATGTTGTTCTAGATATTAACACTAATAACTACCTGTAAATAAACTAAATATTTGAACATACTTAATCAAAAAGTTTAGTGAATGTGATTTTTGTCAACATATTTTGATGGCAGGTAACTTTGCTGGTCACTAGATGGTGCTATTTCCTCAACGTGATATGTGGATTCTGAATAAACAAGTCTAGTTTTTGGGTAACAAAGTGATTGTGTTGTGTACATGTCTTTTACAGTATGAGAAGGTTCGTATCTACCGCATGGACGGCTCGTACCGATCTGTGGAGCTGAAGCACGGCAACAACACAACAGTGCAGCAGATCATGGAAGGCATGCGTCTTTCACAAGAGACCCAGCAGTACTTTACCATCTGGATCTGCTCCGAGAACCTGCGTGAGTTCACTGACAGTGCGCACACAAGAACATCCTTTTGGCAAATTCAACTTCATTGGTTAAAGATATTATAATAATGTTTATTTTTTGATTTAGACCTGCAGCTGAAACCATACCACAAGCCCCTGCAGCACCTACGGATCTGGACAGAGATTGTAACAGACCTCACGGTCCTCGATCCTCAAAGGGAATCCCCTCAGCTCTTCCTCCGCAGAGACGTCCGGCTGCCTCTGGAAGTTGAGAAGAAGGTAGCTCACTTTAACACGCAACTCTTCTTTTATAGGCTGAACATCTAGTCAGAAAAGACCGAGACACACAGTTGGAATGAGAAATGAGAGATGCTGACTGACTGTTTTATTCCAGGTTGAGGATCCTCTGGCTATCCTCATCTTGTTCGACGAGGCCCGTCACTGCCTCCTGAAGGGCTTCTTTCCTGCTCCAGACAGTAAACTGATCACGCTGGCCAGCCTTCTGTTGCAGATCATCTATGGCAACTATGAGAGCAAGAAGCATAAACAGGGATTCCTCAAGTAAAGAACAGTCTGAATTTCATTTCATGAACATATTCATTTCTGCTGTCCTGACAAATCTGTCATTGTGTCATATCTCTGTTGTTTTAATTTAACAGTGAAGAAAACCTGAAATCAATCGTGCCGATTTCCAAGGTGAAAAGCAAAGCGTATCATTGGACCAACAGGATCCTGCATGAATACAAAGTATGCTTGAAGCTCTTAATGGAAAAATTCCTCACACTCTTTCACTGAAATACGTCTGCTGGCATAATTGACAGGTTTCCTCCCCCTCCTCTCTGACAGGCTCTGAGCACCAGTGAGGGTGTGAGCAAGGAGATGCACCACCTGCAGCGGCTCTTCTTGCAGAACTGCTGGGACATCCCCACCTATGGAGCTGCTTTCTTCACAGGACAGGTTTACACCAAGGCCAGCGCCAGTAACCACAAGGTCATCCGTGTCTATGTCGGAGTCAACACCAAGGGGCTGCACCTCATGAATATGGAGACCAAGGTTCTGCCACCTTTTATCATGGGTTTTAAACTTCAGAAATACACTTAAGCTAAGTTTAGTGACTTATCACATTAATAGGGTACAATTTCTATAGATCAACCTTTAATTCAGTCTTAGAATAAGCACTAGAATTAAGAGTCATGCATCTTTATGAGCTACAAAATCAAGTAAGACTCTCAGTAAAAAAACCTGACTACTTCTTTCAAGTTAAATGAATGCCTTAAGACAGTAGGTGTCAGATGAAGTGATTAACTGCAAGCTAAAGGACAATATAAAAGATGTATTTAACCTCAAAAAGATTCATGATTCATGGGGTTTTAATTAAATGTTCAAGTGAAATAATTATGCAACATCTGTGCTCACAGGTCCTCCTCATCAGTTTAGAGTACAGCACATTCATGTGGCAGCTGGGACACGCTGACCAGTACTTCCAGATTCACAGTGGTGATAACAAAATGAACTTCATAGTGCACACAAAACAGGTAACTTCTACAAGATGTTTTTAATATTTAAAATATTTATTTCTATGATTTATGACAAGAGTGCAGAAAATGACTATAACATGCCTTGTTCAATTAAAGAGCAGAATATTTTTGGCAGTTGTATCAATCAAAGGTTGGTGGTTTAGATAAGATATTGTCTGTTAAAAAATACTGTAAATCAACCTCTGATTTTCCTGTTTCTCTTACAGGCTGGCCTTATTGTGAAGCTTTTGATGAAGCTGAGTGGACAGATGACTCCAAATGATAAAGGCGTGATGGACAAATATGCCTACGGCTAAAAAGACTGATGAATTAAAGCACAGCTGCCAAAGATCCCAGTGCGGGTTCTTCTCTTTTGTGACTCTCTGGATGAAGAGCAGAAATTGGCCTCTCAACAAACGCCTCATTTTTGTATGCGTCTGACTGATAACTTTCACATTTTCACATGATGTATTTTGAAGAGTCACGATTTTGTGTGCATGTAAATATTGGTTATTTAATGTTGTGTTTTAATAAACTGATGTGCAAATAAGGGAGTGTTTACAAATGTTATTGGAAACTCTAGATCAAGGGTGTCTTTAAACCACAAATTTAATCTAAATTAACATTTTTAGATGTCAGTGATACACCAAGTAAGGTGCAATTTTGAGTTATTAATACTAGTCAGTATAAGAATAACAAGTTACTGCATAAATACTGCAATGTGCCAGTCGGAAAATTTGTGAATCAAACAACAAAAATGCGAAGATTAGAAAAAATATTAGAAAAACAAAAATATTTTTCAGTAGTTTCATTTACTCAGCTTCACAAACCATTATTTATGTCTTAACCAAATTCATTTTAATCTCTTAAAGGGATATTCCAGCGTAAAATTAATTTAGGGTCAATACACCGTAACTCTCATTACAAACAAGTGGCTGCTGGAAGAGAGTAGGTGAGTTGTATTTAGTCTCTTTGTTAAAGAAATTAGGCAAAGTTACAAAGATGTTTGGTGGCTAGTACTATGGCTGGGACCCTATATGTACTGTTGATGAAGTTAGGTGCTGTTCTGATCATTATTTGTGGCTATAGAGTGACTTTATGGTTAAGGTTTGCTCCTCAGACTGCCGTGTATCCTGTGGTCGTTACTAAAGTTGGTATAACTAGAGGAGCAAGCGGTCGGCAACATTCATCTCTCGACAGGGTATCTAACTTAGTGTTACGGTGTGTTTGACCCTAAATTAATCATACGCCGGAGTATCTCTTTAAGTCCATCCAAGTACTTCTTACTGGACAGCGCAGGCTACTTTCTATCTCCCTTGTGTGACATCATATAGCCAGACATCGGTTCAGGAACCGGCAACCAATGAGAGCAGCGGTTGGTTGATGGACACCCGCTCTACAGCCAATCAGAAGCCTAAGTTAGTCAGGCGGGGGCAGGACAACTATTAGCAGGTAGAGATGTGGGAGAACTATTCGAATCGTCCAATAATATGAACAGCAGATAGACCACAGCCGATGGGACTTCTAACAACTGAACCTCCTTCAGGCGGATTTGATCTAGTCCAGGTATAGTTAGCTTTGAAGGGAAGACGCCAAAATGTCCATTCATTTGTATGAAATGAGCAGTAAACTGCTGGAGGAAACTGTTGGGACAGTGAACGACAACCTGACCTCGGTGGTGCTTGCAGCCTCCGTCATCACTCTCGCTGTGGGTTATATTTCCAAGTTGCTGCTGAAACAGTCCACCGACGAGAATCAGGTGAGTCAACCTAAAACAAACAAAAAGTCTGTAGTTTTAATACAAAGACTGTCCAAAATCCACTGACTGCTTCTGTCTTGCAGAAATACCCTCCTTACATCCCCTCCAGCATCCCATTCCTGGGTCATGCAATCGCTTTTGGGAAAAGTCCCATTGAATTTCTCGAAAATGCCTACGAAAAAGTAAGTACTTTTCAAGAATTAATGAACGAGTAACCTTTTAAAAGTGTTTCATAATAATTTAAACTTTAATGTGAAACAGGACAGTTTTCTTTCCCTTCCTAAAACTCTAAATTAATGGAGACACATGTGCCTCACATTTCCTTTCCATCATATTAAAGAGTACTGTCTGTACGTAATTTAATCCATTCAGTTATTTTACAGTGTTTACTTTGTTTTCCCAGCATATAAAGGAGTAAGATTTATAGGTCAGAAAAACTGACATAATCAAAGGGATAGTCTGGGGTAAAATTAAGTTAGGGTCAAACACACCGTAACACCTAGTTAGAATCAGTACTAGCCACCAAACATCTTTTTAGCTTTGCCTAATTTCTTTAGCAAAGAGACTAAACACAACTCACCTACTCTCTTACAGCAGCCGCTTGTCCTTGTTACAAACAAGCGGCTGCTGGAAGAGAGTAGGTGAGTTGTGTTTAGTCTCTTTGCTAGAGAAATTAGGCAAAGCTAAAAAGATATTTATTGGCTAGGACCCTATATGTACTGTTGATGAAGTTAGGTGCTGTTCTGAGCATTATTTGTGGCTATAGAGTGGTGTTTTGGTTGAGGTTTGTTTATGGCTCCTCAGACCGCTGAGTATTGCTATCGTGGGGTTGTTACTAAAGTTGGTATAAATAGAGAAGCAAGCGGTCGGCAACATTCATCTCTTGAGGGGGTGTCTAACTCGGTGTTGCGTTGTGTTTGACCTAAATTAATTTTATGCCAGAATATCCCTTTAAGTAATTTGGACAGTAAAAATGGTATCAAAATTAGACTCACTTCTTCAAAATGTCAAAAGTTTATTTTGTCCTGACCCTTTTCATCTCTGCTGTCCACAGTACGGCCCTGTGTTCAGCTTCACCATGGTGGGGAGCACCTTCACCTACCTGCTGGGCAGTGAGGCAGCCACACTCATGTTCAACAGTAAGAATGAAGACCTGAATGCTGAGGATGTCTACTCCAGACTGACCACCCCAGTATTTGGCAAAGGAGTCGCCTATGACGTCCCTAACCCTGTGAGTCCAGCTTGGTTTTAAATGCAAATTCACAGTAAATGAGTCTGAGTGGTGGAAGGGATAAGGTTAACTCTCTGTAGACATTAAAAAAAGCTACAACAGGAGTTTTCCTCTTATGTTTTTCAGATCTTTCTGGAACAGAAGAAGATGTTGAAGACTGGACTCAACATTGCCCGATTTAAGGAACATGTCAAAATCATCGAGGCAGAGACTCTTGAGTATTTTCAAAGATGGGGAGACAGCGGGGAGAGAAGTAAGATGTTTTAAAAATCACTTAAATAAAACATGAATATCAGAAAACAAGCCAGTTATAGGTTTCACTTTAAAACTGATACATTTGTTGAATATCCAGATAAAATGTTTTCTCTATTTCAGACCTGTTTGAGGCTCTTTCTGAGCTGATCATCCTGACAGCAAGCAGCTGCCTTCATGGCAAAGAGATCCGCAGCATGCTGGATGAGCATGTGGCTCAGCTGTACGCCGACCTGGATGGAGGATTCAGTCACGCTGCCTGGCTGCTGCCCGGCTGGCTGCCACTGCCTAGCTTCAGGTAGGAACGTCAACAATGTCAGCTGGCATGGGAAGAAGCTGACTAAGATAGCAGGCAACCCATCAGAAAAACTCAAGGGTGGTTCAAACTTCAAACAGACACAAAGTGGTCCTTTGGCTACAGGCATTTACTTCAGCTCCTTGGGTTTTGAGCATGCCGTGAGAACTAAAACAATACAAAAAGCATAATCTGAATTTGGTAAAACTGCAATAGAAACTTAACACTCTTCAGCAACAAATGAATCTCACAAAACATAACTTGTGTAAGAAAAACCTTGCTACATAGCTCAAAATGACATAAACGGAACAAAAATCGGCCACATGGAGTTGCGCTAATAACAATTTATCTCAATAAACATACTCTAGACATACCTTGTTGGCCGAATCATCGAAAAATGGAGACAAAACCGAACTTAAGTCGTCTTCAGTCGTCTTATCGTCTTATTAACAGTGCTTCACCCTCCGTCTTTAATGAATGTATCATGTGCAACTGCTTTTCTCCTCCTAGCAGGTGCTCTAATCAGTGGGCAAACCCACAGTGGGTGTGTCACAACAAAAACAGCCCGACCCTCCCTCAACTCCGCACATCAGTTCCGCTTAACCTGTCAAATGCCCATGTGAATTAAATAATACTTATCCATTTATTTATTTAAACGACACAGGATTATAATCCATTTTTAATTTAACTTATTTTAACTTATTGACTTATTTATTTTAACTTTTAGCTTATTTATTAAACAAAAACTCATTAAGTTGAGCAGAATGTCTCTGACGGCAGCTACACCTAGTCTGAAAAAATATGATTAAAATGTTCCTTTTTTTCAGGAAAAGGGACAGAGCACACAGAGAAATCAAAAACATCTTCTTCAAGGTGATTCAGAAGCGCAGACAGTCTGGAGAGAAAGTGGATGATATCCTGCAGACACTCATTGATGCCACCTACAAGTAAGAAAGCGGCAATATCCAACAATGGTATACACCAAAATAAAAAGTTAAAGATTTCTGTTATTACTGTTCATTAAGGTAGAGAGTAAAAATTCACCGCTTTAAAGAGACTTGTGATTTTTAAATTTGATTCACCTTCTTAGAAACGGGCGTCCCCTGAATGACAGTGAGATTGCTGGGATGCTGATTGGTCTCCTCCTGGCCGGTCAGCACACGTCCTCCACCACCAGCGCCTGGATGGGTTTCTTCCTGGCCAGAGACAAAGCTCTGCAGGAACGCTGCCATGCTGAGCAGAGAGCTGTGTGTGGAGAAGACCTGCCTCCACTAGACTTTGATCAGGTATAGGCCTGTTTTCATGCTCAAAATCACTTTTATCAACAGTGTAAATATCATGAATTAGACACGCTTTTGCAAAAGTAACATAACTTGAAATTATTCCTTTATAACTGTAGCTGTACTCCTATATAGATTTTACAGTTTGCATATGGTTTATACTTCACATTTTAAGTCTTATACTGTACATGCATAGCAGGTTCAGCCTTTCAGTAAAGACTCGTTACACGTGTGCTTCAAATAGTGTCCTGATTTTGTCCTCAGCTGAAAGATCTCAGCTTGCTGGAGCGCTGTTTGAAGGAGACTCTACGGCTCCGCCCCCCCATCATGACCATGATGAGAATGGCTCGCTCTCCCCAGGTAAGAACAGCAAACCATACTGCTCAGCTAATTTTGTCACATTTGCAAGTCCTGACGGAGATGGAGTTATTTACTTTGGTCAAACAAATTATCAACTGCTATAAAAGAGTGTCGCTTTTATTTTGAAAACCTAGCTGTTGTTTTATTTCAGTTTGGATGCACGTTTGTACATCCTAGATCTGCATTCGTGAACAGAGACAAGTTTAAACATCGGCAAAATATTCGTTGACGTCTTAGAGTTGCTCAGTCCACTTATCATAAATGACTTTGGGCTTGTTTCTCTCAGAAGTCGCTTGTAAAACTCGTGAGTCGCAGTTTTTTGGGCTTGTTTTTAACTAGTAGTTGCTTATTTGGGCTTGCTTTTCTGTATGTGTGAATCCCCTGATTTAAAGTTGAAATTATTGTTGGTTCGGCCCTCCAACACAGTTCAGGTTTCTCATGTGAATTGCCCACCGCTGATCTGGAGCATTTATGTCTCACAATGTCACATATGACTTCAACAGTTTGTTTCTAACTCTAGTTTTTTCTTCCTGTCGTCTCAGACTGCAGCAGGATACACCATCCCTGTGGGCCACCAGGTCTGCGTCTCCCCAACTGTCAACCACCGTCTGCAGGATACCTGGGCAGAGAGGATGGAGTTCAGCCCTGACCGGTACCTCAATGACAACCCAGCAGCAGGAGAGAAGTTTGCTTATGTGCCGTTTGGAGCTGGTAAGTTCAGTCACTCTTTTTATTTCTTGATACTTTCGTTCCAAAAATAATTGATCTCACTTTGACAATTTATCGGTCATGATACTGTTACTATAAGTTTTCTCCAAAGCTATATTGACCTTACTTTATGATACCAGGCTTCACTTCACTTAGTTTGGAATTTAAAGCTCCTGTAAGGAACTTTAAGTTTGTGTCAAGTTTGGCGCCTCCTGTGGATGAAACAGTCACTGCCTATCTTGTCCTCTTCATGCTTTCAGTCGTCAATTCTGTTGCTGATGATCTTGGTTATTTTTGTTTATTATGAAAAAGCATCAGTCAAAATTCAAAGTCTGTTTCACAAATGTCAAAAAACTTTCTTTTACTGTTAGTTTTATCATTAAAATCATATAGAGAACTTTACAAATTAATCCTAATTAATGTATCTACAAAACAACAAAAGTGTCCAAAGTTTAACGTGTTTCTTCATCTCCTCTTCAGGTCGTCATCGCTGTATCGGGGAGAACTTTGCCTACGTCCAGATCAAAACCATCTGGTCCACTATGCTGCGCTTGTACGACTTCGACCTGGTGGACGGTTATTTCCCCACAATCAACTACACCACAATGATTCACACGCCTCACAACCCCGTCATCAGATACAAGAGGAGGAAACAGTGATGGAGCCTTGGAGGAGCAAAAAACATGAGGAAGCAAACGCCTCGAGTGTTTGAAGGGAAACTCTGACTCCCTGGGACTTGAATTTCAGAAATGTTTAGATGAATGCACTTTGCTCTGCTGAAATGTCCAAACTTTTACTTTTTTCCTGAATGTCAACATCAATACATGATTGCTTTGAAAACAGTTTTTCTCTATTTCAAATAGAAATGTGCCTTTAAGGTTGGAGACATGGGATGACATGATTGGAGCCTGGGGGACATGGATGATAATGCTACTTTTCAACACAGAACAGATCCATTTAATGTACACGAATCACAGCAAAGCTTAACTAAACTAGGTGGAGATTCAGAGAGCACACACTACAGCTGATTTTCCACAGAGCTGAAAATCTGCAGGTGCATCCACTCAAACATCTGATGCTTTTTCAACTTGGTGTGAAATCCAGGTCTTCTGAGGCCCAGGTTTTACTTGTCCGCCCAAGTTTCATGAAAATTTGGCTTATCGATTTCCTCATATTTTGCAGACCAAACGAAAAAACGCAAAAACAAAAAATCTGGCCGTTTTGGAGGGAGGGAACAACATTAGGATAGCTGCCATTGGAAGCAGCAGTAAGTCGCTGATGTTTAACTGAAGCTGTAAGATGAATGGAGAAAATCAACCATGGTAAGATGTTACAACTTTTAAAAAAATGAACCAAAAAATTAAAAAAGACATAAAATATGAAAATTATATGTTGCCACTTAGATTTAGGTTGATCTGGATCACTTTTCTGTAACAGAACGGTCATTATAAGCTGCAGGACTCTTGAGCCCTCTTGAGTTTTAGAGCATTTCATAGCTTGAACATAAAATCTTGACCTCTTAAAGCACAGACTGTTGTTTTTATTGTATTGCTGAAAATATACACATATCAAATCTAAATGTGTGTTGGTTTGTTTTGCCCTTTTTCTGTTCTTTTGCTTAAAATTAGACTTAATTATTTCCATAAGTTTCTTTTGTCAATAAAGACTTGTCATGTTTTTAGGTAGCTGTATTTCACCGCAGCAACTTCAGAACTTTGTCTACAAATCTAAAGTTGAATACAAAGCGGCACCTTGTTTCTTTGGTTTTGTCACTGTTCACCTCAATACTGTAGACAGAAACATGTTCTTAATTGAAGAGGATGTTTGTAGGAACAGTAAAATTCAAATCATGGCCAGAGAAGACAGCTGGTTTGAAAGAGGCGTTGAGAACACCAAACCTAAAAATTGAACAGCAGTTTTTAAACTGAGGTGACGACCTGAAACTCCACTTATCACTTCACATCATACTGTAGTTTTGAATTCCTTGTCCAAACAGCTAAAGCTACATTCACCCCCTGGATTATGTGACTCCAAGAACCACAGATGACCGTGGGTGTTCAGGACAGTCAGTGAAACCGAGTCCAATGGTTCAGCTAACAAAGCTTATTTGGTTACACAATCATTAGCGCACAATGACCCACACAGATCTGTGTTTCAGCTGTCTGCACCAGTCACATCTGTGTGGGTCACAAGTTGAGTCCGTCCATAGACTGTATGTAGAATGGACAGAGTCTGCCTCCTCACTGGGTGAAGTCACTCTGAGAACAGCACCCTCTGGTGACAGGCTGCAGTATAGGTCATAAATCCCACCTCCTCCAGCAAAGCTTATGGGACTGTGGACAAACTTTAGAAATTTATTACACGGAATACAAATTTTTCTCCCCCTGGTTGCAATATTGACATGTAGTTCTCTGTACAGCTCCATTTTTAAGTTATTAGGGGGTTCATCTTTTCTATGATTGACACCTGATACAGCCTATGGGTGTGCGAAGATTACGTAGCTCACCCGTGGGGTAACGCTGTTTGAGCCGAGCGTCATCACAGCGACTCTCCCACAGAATGCGGACAATGCTACTGCACAATGTTGGTTTCAGGAAGTGGAGAAAAAACGCAGAATTACCGAGAGCTTTTTGGCTGCAAATCTGTACACTGGAACCAAGTTGTCCATAGTATATACAGTCTTTGATTCAATCACCTGGACGACAATCACAGATGCTTAAACAGGCTCCACCATAACCAGCTTTAACACTCGTGCTGAACTTGAAAACTGATTTTATTAAGAGAAATCTAAACGACTCAAAACTTCTTAATTGATTGTAATAGCAGTATAGCTTAAATATGTAGATGATGCAGTATGTCAAGAAAACACATTGGAGTGGCCAATCAGAATTAAGGTAGAGTAAACGCCAACCTGGCCGTCCCCTGGATCTCCCCCTGCCAACAAAACCTCGGTCTGTCTGAACTAATCATGCACAGCAGTACAGATAAACGCAGCATTATGGAAGCAAACATAGGACCCCTGACATCGTGTTTGTACAATTTTAACCAGTTGCTGCCACACACCAATTTCAGCACTCAAATATCACCTGAAAATCAAAAACAATGAATGGCAAAAGTTACCTTTTTTCAAGAAATTGATTCTTAAATACCTATTAATTGATTAAGAGGATTAAAAAAAGGGGGAAATAAACCGTTTTCTTTCAAATAAGTATTCCTCTTTATTTTAGTTTTTGACAAAATACCCAGAAAATTCAAAGCTCCTACACTTTACAAAAATACGTTCTCTACAAATGTCCTCTGTAGTCTGTCTGGCCTAAACAAAACACAGTGTAGTGTAGAACATCCAGCAGCAGCCTCCTCAACAAGAAACTCAAACATTCTCCACAGTACGCTTCACCCATACCACACAAACATATAAATTAATCACAAGTCTTAAATTATTATCAGACAAATATACATGATTGTTGCTCATCCACAACAGAGAGGCAGATTCAATTACTAACATAGCTGTTTTTCAAGTGCTGGCGACAAATAGCCTGAATACAAGATGTCGTACACTAATAAAAAAATGGGTTTTGGTCCATATGGAGACAAACAGTCCACACCTGACGGGTAGAAAACAGTAGAGCGCTCAGCACGAGAAAAGGCAACTGAGTTTCTTCAAGCCAAAGTATCTCCACGGCATCTATCTTCTCAAACCAAAGTGCAATTGAGCGTACGAAGAAGCACCTGCGGGGAGAGAGAGAGAGCGGGAGTTGAGGTTATTTTGATGCTGATTGTGTCGTTGAGTTCAGGGCTGACCTTTTTCAACAGAGCAGGAAACAAAGTTCAGTTTTAACTCTTTCTGTTATCTGGTGCGATCACTTATTATGTATTAGGTCTTGTAAGTAGGTTCTCTGTTGACTTCATTTCAGTAAACAGAGACACTTATAGCAGAGTGGGCTGTAATATCCACATTCTCTGCATCAGTCAAATGATCACAGATGGTGGTTACAAACATATATATGAACAATTATTATTATTAAAACAACTGTATCTTTAAATTCTAGATGCTGTTGGACTGATGTCAGATAAAAAAATATTTCCAGTTAATATGACTCAGTGACATATTTTTATTTCATCTAAATATAAATATATAACAAGAAATCATTTTAATTATGAAAGTTTCCCAGTGTTTGATTGACAAGTAGCAGAGAAAAACAACAAACTGGTCATCAGAAGGAATTTAAAGATGCTATAAATATGTATCTCTTTTCTACACCTCTACTGAGTTCTCACTATTTTAAAACATATATGCAGTGGAAAATATGTTGAACAAAATATAACTAAAACTCAAAGATCTTTTTGTGCTCAGTTGCATTCGGGCACTTTACCACTGGCCATTAGGCAGGCAGGTTTAGTTTTGTACCAGGGGAACCAAGACTTTGCCCGTTCAAATGAGATTCATTTCATGTTTTTTTTGTCCTTTGTATGATGAATTTAGACATATATTCTTCAAGAAAATGAGTTTGTTATCCAATGATTTCTTTCACTTAGATGATTATGGGAAAGTTGAATTGTGTTTTAAAATAGGAATTTTTTATACAGCTAACTTTATTTGTAAGGCCTGGGAAAGGAGAAAAAATGTGTTGTACATACATACTAAGTAAGTAAGTAAGTAAGTAAGTAAGTAAGTAACTAACTAACTAGTGTTGAATGATCAAGACTACCACACAGTCTGTTACCTGAAGTCACACTCCCCAGCCTCCTCTGCAGAGCCTCCAGTCTGGAGATGTAGTCGGTGAGCGCTCTGTCAGGGTCGTAGTTCTGCAGATGGGAACAGGTGAGAGCTCCAGGGTCTCCAGCCATGTGAAACCTACACAACACAGACAAAGCAGCATGTCGGTAACACAGTATTACTACTGCAATATTTCACCACTGAGGGCCCTTATTTCTGGCATTTAACTCAAACAATAAAGAGTGCATGGAATTAGAATAAAATGTATTTGCATTAAGTGAGAGGTTGCACAGAAGAAGATGGGAGAGGTTGTTGTGTAGAAAAGAATTTTATCCCTTTAATGCCTTTTGTATAAAAGTATATACATACTTTTATGACACTTCTATCAAATCAATATGATCAACAAATTAATTACATCAATTACTAAAAAAACACCAGAATACAGTCCGATAAATGAAAAAAATGTCCTCTTGCGGTTTATCAGTTTCCAAAAACATCTGATCTATAAAACGAGATAAATGAATAAATATCTTTGTTAACTTTTAATTTAGATTTTTGCATGAAAGGGTTATAGAAATACTGGTAAACATGACTGTATGATTACATGATTACAGTGACGTACCTGTGGTGTGTAGAGGAGACAGCTGATGCCGATCTGGGCGACTCACGCCCACTTCTCCCCCTGCTGCTAGGAGCCCCTCCTCCCCCTCCACTCCCTCCTCTGTCTCTGTAAATCTCCACATTGCCCGGGTGCAGATAAGGAGAGTCTCTCAGCTCTGTACCTGAGAAAACGCAGAAATTATAAAGTTAGCGTGACGTCTCGGGAGTTTATAATGAGCCAACAAGTCAAAGCAACATCCCCTGATTACCTAATGTTTGACCTGCTCCGTTCTTGTTGATGCTGCAGGAGGCCGAGGGGCTCATCCCCGTCGCTTTGTGCCATCGCTTGACCAGGAAACGCATTCTGAAACACAGCAGGTGGCTTTTAGTTTGTAAAAAAACTTTCAAAAATTAATGTTCAAGTGTGGATTTTACGTGAGATTCAGGGATCTACCTGGACAGAGCGATGGAGACTCGGACAGCAGAGCGGAAGCGCATCAGCCCCCGGCGGCGCTGGCTGAGGGAGTCTAGGCTGGAGATGGACGGCCGGCTTCCCATCCTGGTGAGGAGCAAGAGTGTGGCCTCCTCACACTCCTGGAAGCCGCCCAGCAGTAACAGCAGATACTTCTTCTGATAGATGAGAGCTTTGCGGAAGCTTTCTGACCTCAAGTACTTTCCGTAAATTCTCTAGAAACGAGAAGGAATATCGTGAGCGTTTTAGGTGGAACTGCAGGCTCATTTTTTAGATACGGTTCAGTGAATTAAAAAGAATATAATGTGGCTGACCTTCAGTGCAGCATTGTCAGCCTCAGGACCAGTGACCTCTCTCAGAGTTTCAGTCCTGATCTCTCCCCTGAGTCGGGCCACTTGGGCCTGGGATTGATGCAAAGCTTTCTCCAGGCGAAGCTTCTCTCTGCTCCAAGCCTCACGCTCCTGAGAAAGCAGCAAACTTGCAGAGTCTCCCTTGTTCGATCCTCTCCTGATGCTGAGCTGCTGGAGGGAAAATCAAATCAATCAAAGCAGTCCAAGGTCCGAGTCTTCCTCATGAAACGGCAGAACATTCGACTAAAATCTTTACTCACAATGTCGCCTGAACCCAGCTCAGCCTGACGGTGTCGTCGCAGCTCCTCCTCCAGGCGGAGCGTGTGGTTCCTCAGGTCGTTCTTCTCTTCAGTCAGACGGCTGACGAATCCCGTCAGCTCAGCGTTCTGCCTCAGCAGCCGCTCCGTCAGGGAGTTGGAGGAGCTGGAGGAGCCTCCTGCCAGCAGGGACACGCTCTGCGAAGGAGACAGGCGAGCCGTCACGACCGTGTGGAGCTCAACAGATATAACAGACATTTGGGAAAATAAATATCTGATCTGAGTCTGTCTGTGTTAGGTTGACCATACGTCCTCTTTTACTCTGACTTGTCCTCTTTTTGGGGGCTGTCCGGCTTTGTCGAGGGAAGTTCATAAACAAAATCCTTCAAATGTCTGAGGTTTTGTACGAGAGTTTTGATTTTGTGTTACTGAGTTAGAGGCTTTTAACTGACCCGAAAAACTCTCATTATCAACTTTTTATGACTCCGTGACTGCGCCCCCTCACAGTCATGTCCTCTTTTTGGGAGGTCAGAATATGGTCACCTTAGATAAGATCATTTATTGATCTTTTCTTCTGTGTATCATCCATTAAAACTAAACTTACTCTTGAGGTACAACACATTAAAAGTATTTCTGACCTCAGGGATGGGGGGCAGACCGGTGGATTGCTGCAGCATAGCGATGACCTCATCAATATTGGACTGAACCCAGGATAACTCCTCAGTGTCGACCTCTGCCGTCATCCTGTTCACACAGAAGGTACAACAATAATCAGTTATTAACTTTTTTAATATCAAATATCATAACCTTTATAATCAAACTGTTGGATTACCTGCCGGTGTTCTTGGCCGCCATGCTGCGGATCTTGGAGGAAATGAGGTGGAGTTTTCCGAGGATCTTCTGGCTGGCCGGAGACGTACCGGAGCTTGTTGCCTGGACATTCCCAGACTTCTGCTGGAAGACCCAGTCTTTGGTGCGGTCGGTGGACTCACTGTGCCAGGCTGCCTGCTGTTCAGATAAAAACACCAATTAAATCTTTCTAATTTCATGAATTACACAAAGACAGAAGTGTTTTATGAAGAATATTAATAGTGATTACACTCACACTGGGGCCATCAGCTCCTCTCTGGCCTCCTAACTGGTTCAGCCGCTCCTCCAGTCTCTCCCTCTCTTCCTCCAGACCCTTCCTCTTCTCCGTCTCTCTCTCCAGCTGCTCTTGAGTGTCAGACATTTGCGCCTTCAGCCTCTCCAGCTGGGTCTGTGCGTCCTGGAGCGTCCCCTGGTCTCGCCTGGATCGCTGACTCCCCAGAGTCAGCTGCTCCTCCTTTCGAACCACCTCCAGCTTCTGCGCCTCCACCTGACTCAGCAGACGCACCACCTGGAGACACAAAACGAAGAGAAGTACAGTATTTGTGGAGAAATATGGCCCTGAATCAAAACTTTGAGGTAAAATGAGAAGTTTTAATGAAGTTTTAATCAGCTTAAGTTCTTCAGGTGACTCACCAGCCTCAAAAAATCAAAGTTAAATCACCGCCATAGTGTCTTTAAATGTTAATAAATAAGTAGATTAATATGAAAAAGTTTGACAGGAGGTCTAACATCAAAATTAAGCGATAAAAAAATCACTCTTAATTTGAATTTAAGCATTATGTTAGTACTTCTTCTCCTGAGTATCGTGGACCTCTAGAATAATTCTCGTTGTGTACAGACGAACACAAACATCCCACCTGTGCGTGTTTGTCATCCAGCTCCCTCTGCAGTCTCTCCAGCAGACTACCCTCTTCCTCCTCGGCCACTTTGGGGGACCTGCCGTCCGAGGGTCCGCTCGTCCGCAGCTCCTTCTCCCTCCCCAGCGCGGTGCTCATCTCGAGGGTCTTTGCGCGCTCTGTCTCAAGCTGCACCTGGAGCTCCTGGATTTGTCTGTGGAGGCTCAGTCGCTCCTGTTCGACCTGCTGGGACATCTGAGAGGAGGACTGACGCTCCTGATCCAGGGTCTGGGTCAGCTCGGCTACGTGGCCCTTTTGCTCCTCCAGACTGAGATGTAGATCCTTGAAGGTAGATGGAAATAGACATTTAATTCACAGAATCACGATATGAGGACTGAGACTGCACTGATTGATTTGAAGTCTACAGGACTTTCTTACCTCCAGCTCTTCTTTTTTACTCTCCTCATCTCTCCCTGTTCGACACTTCTCCTTCTCCACGGCCCACTGAAGATCTCTGCTCCTCTTCCTCTCTTCTGTCAGCTGATCGTTCATGGTGTCCACCTCAGCAGCCTTCTGTGACACCTCGGCCCTGTTATCAGAGTCAAACATTCGTCTCAGTTACAGTCTAGTATAGTCACTTTTTTCTTTCCTTTTTCTGACCGCTCATGTGTTGGAGAGGATCTATCTGCATCTATCTATCAAACATGTCTGACCTGAGAGTGTCCAGCTCTTTGAGGTGTTTGTGCTGAGTCTTCAGAGTCGTCTCCAGCTCCAGTTTAGTCTGGGAAAGTTCAGCCTTTAGCTCCTCCACCAGCAGCCGGTCTGCCTCTGAAGCTCCACGAACTCCTCCTCCACGAACTCCTCCTCCTTCCCTTTGCTCCCTCACACCGGATTCACTTAATGATGCAGCAGACGGGCCACCTGATGAAGAAAAGTAGAAAACTGTGAAACCAGGTGAAAAAAAACACCCAACTATAAACATTAAATCCTTTCCCTGATCTGAAAATATTCAGGAAAATCACCAGCAGAATAAAAATGGGTTTCACTGGATTTTGGAAAAGCCGGTTCACCTTGATGATGAAGTTGCTCCAGTTGCCCGCGGAGCTGCTGGACTTCAGAGAAGAGACTAGATCTGTCTGCAGAGTGGAGCGAGCCCATCGCCTCTCTGTGCTGGGCATCCTGGATCAAAATCACAAAAAACAACATGTTATTTGTTACCAAAGCAGCACAACTGATCGAGGAAAAACCGCTGTTGTGGTCCAGTAATATGTATGTCATATTTTAGGTAAAAGCAAGACACTAAATAAAAGTTACAGGTTATGAAAGGTTTCGAAAAAATATATCTGATTAAGTTTCCAAACAAACTTCTGAGGCTGTGAAGAAAGGTGCACTCAGTTTTATGTGAGTACAGATCTGTTTGATCTGTTTTTAAACTTTCTGATTATAAAATAAAAAACACAACTTGCCTCTCTGTTTAGATTAAAGTTTCTAGTTTTAGCTTATATCAATTTAAGCAGAATTTTTTTGTGAAATCTGTTTGCTTTGTATTTGCCACTTTTTGAAAAGTTCGATACATGAATAATTAAGAAAATTTAGCTTAAAGACTGTCATGTTGATACATCTTTACCCACCATTAAGGTTAGATTTCACCCAAATACAAACAAGTCTTAAACGTTTTAATTCCATCCTCATCAAATCTCACAGTTTTAACGTGAACACAGGAGAGTCATCTTGATCAGATGTGAATTAAGCGCCATGTGACGGATTAGGAGGTTTATTTTTCCAACCTGTTCAGCCAGTCTGCGCTCCAGCTGGTTGAGGTGAATGATGGCATCGTTGGTGTCCAGCTGGTCCAGCTGGCTGTAGAGGGCGCTCTTGAGTACGCCACGCTCCCTTGTGAACACCTGCTGCACCGCGTCCAGCAGCTCTCCTCGCCAGTCCTCTCCTCCTGACGTCTGCAGCAAAGCAGGGAAACGCAGGTTAAAAACACACGCTTAGAAAATCTTCAACAGTGTGAAAAATAAAAGTGAGAGCAGCAGACTGCAGGTTGATATTAAACATGATGTTTTTGAGCGCTCACCCAGGTGTCATACAGGAAGTGGGTCTTTCCTCTCACCTGTGTGTCTCTGTGTGTCTGCATCTGTGTGATGAGGCCTTTGAGAGACTCCACAGTTGCCAGTAAGGCGTCTCTCTCCTTCACCCAGCCCTGGGTGTTAAACTGGCTGCCTGGTTCGCCTTCAGAGAGAGGAAGCTCTGACAGAGAGAGCACCTGCATGCCCTCCTGGTGCACCTCACGGAGCAGAGTCTACACAGAGAAAGAAAGAACATGAATCATGTTTCATCCCTCCAGTTTAAAAAGGAAAGATACAGAGATCACTTATACTTAGAGAAATAATTCGTACCTTGATTCGGTCAGGCAGCGGATCATCTGTTTCTCTTCTGGCACCTTCTGGAGTCGTCCTGAACTCCTGCTGTAAACTGGTGACATCAAAACCTGTCCGCTGACTGTAGTCTGAACTGCTGTCTGTAAGAGGACCAAATCAAAACGATGAAAGAGATATCAGAGCAAATGTGTAAAATGAGCCTAAAATGACAAACTCCTTTCACCCTTTATCCCTGAATTATGAAAAATAAAAGTGCAGCATCTCATTTAAAGTAAACCGTACCGCTTGTGTAGCCGTCTTTGAACTGGTGTGTGGAGCGCTCTTGTCTCGATGAAGGAGCCTGGAAAGGAATCAACATGATTTAGAGGAAAGTCTTGTTGCATTTATCACGATCACCTGCTTCCTTTGACATTTTGTAAGTCAGAATACTTTTCTATAAAGATCAGATGACATAAAGAAGTGAAAGGATAGCATGCAGCTAAAGTCTGGATATTAAGTTAAAAACTTTTTACTTTGATTCTCCTCTAAAAATAAAAAGTAGACTGAGTTTAAAAGTATAAAATTGTGTTTTAAAGTATGAGTACACAGGAAGAGTTTCGGTCATTGTCCCTCGTCCTCACCTCTGTGGTGCGCAGCTTATCGATGACAGCCTTCAGGGCCTTACACTCGTCCTCTGCAGCCTGTGCGTCTCTGCGGAGGCCCTCACTCTCTGAAATGTGCCGGGCCTCCATGTCCAGGATCTCTGCCGCGTGCAGCTCCTGCATTTGTACGATCTTCTCCTGGAACTCCCCGATCACCTCCTCCACCTCGTCTTTGGCTGTACACCCGCCTTCCAAATCAAAATCCACAGCTTGGAGAGGTTCAGTCTGCGTGGACGAGTGTATTACATCCACCTGCTGCTGCTGCTGCTGCTCAGAGCTGCTGTTCAGTCGAGAGCTGTGAGATTTGTTGGAGGACTGGCTGGAGTTGCCGGAGGATTTCCTGGAGAGAGACTGTTTATCTTTGGTGCTGCTTCCCTTAGCGGCCGGCTGTTTCCCTCCCTTCCGTTTAGGCTGAGCAGCAGAGGAGGAGGAGGAGGAAGCAGAGAGGAGAGGCTGAGGAGATGGAGAGGGAGACGGAGGACTGGAATCTGCTGCCTTTACCAAAGCTAACTGTGCCTCCTGCAGCTCCTCTTTGAGCTTAGAAATGGAAACTTCACGGACATGCAGCTCCTCCTGCAGTTTCTCATTGTGCTGCCTGTAGCTGCTGAGTTCTTCTTTGGTGGCACCCACACTCTTCCTCACCTCCCGGAGCTCGTCTTCGAGCTTGGAAATAGAAACTTCTCGCGAATGGACCTCCTCCTGTAGTTTCTCGTTGTGCTGCCTGAAACTGTTCAGTTCTTCTTTGGTGGAGGCAGCATCCTGTCTGAGGTCGTCCAGCTCCTGCAGCATCTCTGCCGGGCCGTCTGAGTCTTCATTAGCTTTAACCTTGAGGATGATCAGACAGGTGTTTTAATACTTAGTGAAAACATGTGTATCAATAACATGAGTATCAGTATGAATATATAGATAAAACAGTACATTATTAGCTGTGTTTACATGAGCACAAATAATCGGAACAAATGCCCGATCCTAATAAAAATGCGTCATGTGTACATGTCGATCGGAAGATTCTGATCAAATTCGGCTCAATCTGAGAGAAATTGTATTCCGATCGAGAGGGATGGTTTATGCCGATCGTTATTCCGAAACGCGTCCATGTTAACACTTATTCCGATCGTGACTCTCTTACCTGACTCGATCTTCACTCTTTAGCCTTTCGCTTTTTTATTGAGGTCATTTCATTATCAACACTCTGGCATAAAACACAACCACAGATGCCGTGTCTGCTCCTCCGGTAACATAAGAAGGTGTATATACAGAGTAATGATGTCACATCTGCACGCGCAGAGCAACCTTTGACAGGGCAGTAAAATTAGTACGCAAGGGCGCCATCTAGTGACAATATTTAACAGGGGGAAAACTCCTGAATTCGATGGAGTGAGCCACTACCGTGTTTGTGGAGGCGTGTAAATACAACTCTTTTTTTGCGTTTGTTTAAGCGAAATCTGACAACTCTGTGCATGTCCAAATGCTTCTAATCTGAATAAAGGTCGGTGAATGTATACACACGTCCTGATCGGATTATTTGATTTTGCACCCATATAAACAGTGGATTCAGATAATCAGATCCCTCAAAATTTTCATCTGATCGAGAAATTTTGCACATGAAAACATGGCTGTTGACTTACCTGGAAAAGTTCGGCTTTGAGTTGAGCAATAGTCATTTCCCGCTCCTGTAAAGAAACATCATATGCAATTAAAATGTGTAGAAGTAACAACTTCATTAAACAAATGCAATCACTCATCCCCGATGGTATAAATAAAACAGTTCTTGGCTTAATTTAAAGGAACAGTTCAACCTTTAAAATGAGCTTGTTTGAGTAATTTGAAGCATAATGGAAAAATCAAACTACTGAGGTTCTGTTCTCTACCTGCAGCAGCTCCTGCAGCTTCTCCAGACTCTCCTTGCTGCTGTTCAGCTCCTCTTTGGTGGCAGCTGCCTCAGCCTGGGCCTCCTTTAACTCCTGTTTGAACGCAGACATCCTGGTTTCCTCACCGCCTCCAGATGATAACTACAGTGACAAAGTTCAAACATCAGTCCAGAGAGCACTTTTTTATGAACGAGTAAACTTTGCAGGATGTTCTCGTACACACCTTTTGGAGTTGGTCCTGCAGTCTCTCTACTGTAACAGTTTTTTCCTGGAGAGAGTGCGCACGTTAGTCATGACCAAACCATAAATTACAAATACTCTCAGAAGAAGTGTAAACAGAGGAGCAGACACGTACTTGGAGCTCCTCCTGCAGTCTGCTGCAGCTCTCCTTGTAGCTCTCCAGCTGCTCTTTGGTGGCTGAGGCCTCATTTCGGACCTCCTGGAGCTCCTGAAGAACTTCAGACACAGACGGCTGCTGATCAGCAGAGGACGCCTGGTATAAAAGTAAAAAAAAACAGACTTGGTTTTAACTGGATACTGACTACTACAGGTTTAGAGGAATTTAAGAAACAAGATCCATCTGCTGACAGGTCAGATTCTTACCCTCACAGCAGATGAAGTCGTCTGTGGAGTCTTGGCCTTCATCTGACTGAGCAGCTCCATGAGCACGGACAGCCTCCTCTCGTACTCCAGCACCTCCTCCTCAGAGCTGGACAGAAGCTGTTTCTGGAGCTCCTGGTCCTTCTGCATCCCACTCAGTCCCACCTCCAGCTCCCGCAGTCTCTGAGTCAGATGGACCACCTTGCCTGTGGGAGCCTTACTCGCTTGACTAATCCCGCTGAAGTCCATTTTGGGAAGACCAAAGTCACCAAAGTCATAGACATGTGGCTGAGCGTGTCTCTCCTGGTCCTGGTTTTCTTTGGACTCCTGCGTCTGCTGCTGCTGCTGCTGGAAGGCCTCCAGTGTGGCCTGGCTGACGAGAGCTGCAGCCACTTTTTCCCTCAGGTTTGTCTCCAAGTTAGAGACCCTCTCCTGGAGACCGTCTGCATTGCTCTGTGTCTGCTCCAACAGGAGACGACAGCGGCTCAGCTCTCTGTCCTTTTCATCGACGGTGACCTCAAGCTCCCTGATCCTGGAATCCAGCTCTTCCACTCTAGATGTTGCGCTCTGCTCTAACGCTTGAACCTGAGCCTGAAAGACAACAAGGCCTGCAGTTTTTTCCCTGAGAGCTTCCTCCAGCTCCACTTCAGAGCTCTCCTGTTTTTCAGACTCAGCCAAAGCTTCTGCGCTCTCTTTCAAACGCAGATACGTCTGCAACAGCTTGCTGTGCTCTGTTTTGAGTGTGTCCAGCTCTTTGGTGGCCAGGTCCGTCTTTTGCTTCATTTCATCGAATTCCTGTTTATTCGGCCCCCATGAGGCGCTGTCTGGCTCAGCTCTTAGGTCCTCGTCTTCCTCTGCGGCCGTCTTATGCTCAATATTGGCCAGTTCCTGCTGGAGTTTGTCTATGACTGCATTCAGCTGGTCCAGCTCCTCCTCTTTGTTCCTTTTCAGGCGTTCTTGCTCACTCCTGAGGCACTCCACCTGGGACTCCAGGTCTTTGATCAGCTCATCCCTCTGATCAATTTCCTAACGAGGAAAACAGGCTGATGAATAAACAACAAAAACGTACAGAGTGGAGGAGCCCACAGCTATCCAGACATAAACCTCTGAGTCCCTGCTCCTTGAAAAAAGACTCTTTGAGCAAATCCAATGTGTGTTTTTGGCATTTCTATTAAACTTTTCTGAGGCTGATTAATTTTCAATTTCCTTCAGAGACTCAGAGGGTTAATTTCCACCTCGTATGAGCAAATGATCACCTCACAAAAGACGATGGTGTTGTGGAACTACTTACCGAGACAAAACAAGCAAAAACAACCCAACAAAAAAAACGGTGCAAACAAAAGTGTAAATGAAACCAAAGAAACACACACACTGATGCGACACCAGGGAGCTATGCCTATGCGAAATAGACGTTGATACTATTTCGTATATGCATATGGAGTTACCTTGTTATCAGAAGCTGTTTCCATGTGTTGAAGCTTAGAGATCTTTTCATTAAGAAGAGCTATTTCCCTGTCCTTCTGCTCCATCACCTTTAAAAGTCAGAGATTATAATGTGATGGCTATTAATGAACACGGCACGCTCAAGTCCAACCTGAGTTGGCATGGAGACCGACTGCTGAGAGTACACTTCTGAAGTAAAAAAAAAGTTAAAAAAAATAAACAAATAAATAAATAAAAGTGCCAGCAGCAGCCGCAGTCAATCTTGAATGAGAGAAAAATGTGCAAAGAAAAAACCCTGAGATGTGCAAAGTAAAATTAGCAACACAGAGCAAACGTCTTATCTGAGGAGAGCAGCTGAACCGAGATGATTCTGCAGTTTTAAGGGGCTTGTGCTTTTTTTTGTGCTTTCAAAGTAAGAATGAAAGAGCGAATTCAGTAAAATGACACAGACAGCTCAGGAAAAACAAGAGACCAATGCAATATCACACTTCTTTCTCTTTTTTATATTAAAACAAGTTTGACTTTGAGTGAAAGATTACTTCAGATAATTAAAAAGAAAACTAAATCTTTATTTAAGACCCTGAATAATACCATGACAGAATCCTCACGTTCATTTTTAAACAACGTAATGTTTTTATTGGAAAGAGCTCTGACAAAAAACCCTGACTTTAATTTAAAAGGTTCATTTTAATTTTGACTTTTATTAGACGTTGGAGAAAAAAATGTGTGTGATGAATATCGCGATTTTTTGTTTTACAAATTTTTATATCGATTTTTATGTTCAAAAATCGATTTTTATGGCCAAAATCGATTTTTTTTCAAATTTACGAATACATCTTAAAGACTGACTTACATGTGATGTGTATTTTTGGTTCCTGAAATAGTCAGTAGACAATCATAATCATTCAGCTGTTTCACTGGTGTTAAAAATGCAGACTAAAAATCGAGAAAATCGTCATTATCGTAGAATCGCAATTTAAATCGAATCAGCATAAAGAAAAAATCGTAGAAGAATCGAATCGGCAGGAAAGCATAGCGTCCCAGCTCTAACTTTTATAGTTGTTATCATGCCTTTCACCAGTCTTTTACACGCCAAGAACTGACACAGAATTTCAAGCATGGTTAATAGCAAGTCAAGTGATCACTAAATCAGAACCTTATTATGCTGATTTAAAGAAAATAATATAGGAGTGATCTCTTCAATTTTTCTGCAGCTGTATTAGATCAGTCATCAACCAGCAGTTTCTCTTCAGCTCTTTAGTAAAACAGGAATAAAATCGATCAAACAAAAACAGATTAAAAAAAAAGATTAACGTGTAAATAAAACATTTATATGTACTGTTTGTTTAGCAGAAATAATGTGTTTACAAAGTGGAAGAAACCCACTAAACACACAGCTGGACTTAACGTAAGCTGGACTCATGATCTTTACCTGAATCATGCTATCCCTTGTTTCTAGATATTCCTGCTGGCTGCTGATCTCCTTCCTCTGGATCTCCAGCTGCATGTGAAGCTGCTGCACCTCCTCGCTCTTGTTCTCCAGCTCCTCTCTGAACTGCTCGAGCTGCTCCTCCAGGTTACAGATCTGAGGGAACGGAGAAAAGACGACTAAGATTAGACACCAGGAGACGCTTATAAAAAATAAAGAGCAGGATACAGGAGAGTAATCGCACCCGAACTACAGGACTGTGACAGATCTACGCTAACGATGAATGTTCATTTGAAAGCAGGAAATCATTTTTATGAGAGAGACAGAGCAGCACACTACCTCCTTCTCTTTCCGCTCCAGAGCTTCTCTCTCCGTCTGAAGCTGAGCCTCCAGTGTGGACTGTCTTGCCTCTGTGATAGATGCATGCTGCTTCTTTTGTTCAACCTGCCATACACACACACACACACAAACACACACAAACAAACACACAGTTATTTACAACCTGCACAGAGAGGACTAACTCTGACAGATCTCTAAGGAAGCACATTGTCCGTGTATCCTTCACTCTGCTACTGCAGTTGGTTGATTTCCTTCCTTTCCCTTTTTATTGACTCACCACAGCCGTCCACTAACATGAGACGGGGGCAGAGGGGGGACTTCACACTTGCTAGCTTTGGCTTGGTGGCATCCCTAACAGCAAACTGCCCGGGCTGTGAAAGTAGACCCACCCACTCATTGTTCTCCCTCTCTCTGCCTCCTCCTTTATCTGTCACCTCATCTACATCCTCTTAAAACACACACACACACACACACACACACACACACACACACACACACACACACACACACACACACACACACACACACACACTCTGCGAAGCTGCAGTGCTATTGTTCATACTGCTCCTCTCCCTGACTGAGTCTCCATCATACAACCTTTATCCTCTCCCTCCGTTTACCCCCCTCCCTCATACCTTCTCCAGGGACTCAGCGCTGGCCAGCAGGGCCTGCTCCAGCTCGCGGATGCGGCTCTCCAGCTTGTCAATCTCCTCGTTGCGCTCTCCCAACTCACGACGCAGCTGCTCAGAGCTGAGCAGCAGCTCACTGCACCAATCCGCCTTCTCCTTCAGCTGGGAGGTCAGCTGCTCCACCTGGTAGAGGGAGAGAGGGAGAGAGAGAGAGAGAGAGAGAGAGAGAGAGAGAGGGGGGCTCGTCTTAATGAGATTCACTCAGAGACGCCACTTGCCACAGCATAGCTGGTACATGTGCAGCTAGCTGGGAGGTCAGCTGATCCACCTGAGAAAGGAGGGGGGGCTGAGAGTGAAAAAGGGTGAGGGGACAGAGGGGAGAGTTTCATTTCATCATGGGTGACATGAATTAACATGAAGCAGGAGGACCGCTGGCAGGTAACGGATCCATCTGTGAGGCGGGAAAACATCAGCAGATCAATGAAGGCGGGGGAAGGGGGGTCAACAGGAGGGAAGTCTGATCCAGATGATCTCAAGACAAGAGAAAATTATATCTAGACTGTTTACTGTCCCTCAAGATGAATTTAATAATTAATTTATGTGGAGTTTTAATGTAATTTGTTCAGTGCCAGGTCATTAAAGAGAAATAAACTTTCAGTAAAAACAAACGACAGCGTAGCAGACTGATGAAATCCACGCCCTGATTCAAGCTCTTCATTAAACATTAATGTAACTGGAGAGTAGGATGGACTCTACATGAGAGGACCTCAGCACTGAATGTCTATTTTTATCAGCCAATGCTGCTTTAGTGGCAGGTCTCCTGTGGTTTATTTATGGATGGAACAGAATAATGTCATCAGGGTGTTCAAAAATCTGTGTTTTTCAGTAGAAGTTTCGTTAAAGCGAGACTCAAGACACTTGTTTGTTTGTTTATTTGTCCCTCACTTTAAGGTGATTTCTAAACAGGTACAAAAACAATCTGAATCACTCAAAATGACTAACTACAAAGTGTTTATGTGTTCGATTATTAAAGAGAATAGTATGGATGTAAAATGGTTTGTTTCATGGCTTTAAAAAAATATGAACTCTGCAAAAAGTGTTTACTCCTCTGGCCTTAAATGTAAAATATTTCTAAAATCCCTTCAAACGTTTTTAAAATCTTTAAGACTGTGACATCTTTCGGAGAGACAAAGGTCAAAATGAGTGAAAAGGACCAATTTTTGGAAGTGTTTTCAAAACAACAGAGCACGAATGGAGCAAACAGTATGAAGGATGAGAGGCACAGACGAGGATTGAACTACTACAGGGTTAGGGTGGGGATACTAAAATGCACTAAACGCTCTCTGAGGGGACGACTTCAGTCTACATGTATCTAGAAGCAATACCTTCAAGGTTACTCCATCCACCTGTAAAAGCCACGGGAGAGAGAAGGCAGAGGCGTAAAGGATCAGAGGGTGGAGAGTTTGAGGGCAAGAGGAGGAAGAGAAGAGAAGCACTTGGTGACTGAAATGTGGCAGGAGTCTGTGGAGACTGAACGTTTCCTCTGGGTACGTAACACAAGAGCGTAAAAGAGAAGCTGGAGGAATGTTTATGCTAAAGTTTGAGGTAGAAACACAAGAAGTTGGAATACTAGGGAGGAAACAATCAAGAAGCAAGGCAGCGAGAATGAGAATTTGAGAATTCCCAGTTTGGGATCAATAAAGTCTGTCTGTCTGTCTGTCTGTCTGTCAAGGATAAAATCAGAGACTATAATGCAGCTGCTGAGCATTACACTCCTACTCTATCCCTGATGAAATCCCTGACACAGCCCGACTAAATTATTTTAAATATTAGGTGAGTGTTTGATTGAAATAAATGTGCTATCACGACACACAGCATGCTGTCTCACTGGTAAATTACTTTGAATTGTGCACGGATAATAGGCCTTAGATCTGCTCCCGCGTGAAGACAACAATTTTGACCCGAGTGAAATTTCTCCTTGCCTGCAGAAACCTGTGGGCTGGTTTGTGATCTGATCAAAAATGACAGCTGATAACCCCATCGATGAGGAAAGGAAACATGTATGTTCAAACAGACAGCATGATGGGATTAATATCTCTAATGCACAGATAGATATATTTTGCGTTTGATCTGCTCTTTTTAACACAACAAGCAAGTGATACAGAGGTATATTTTTTCTGTTACGGTCAAATACTTGTCACAGGGTTCCTACACAGTTGGAATTTACATAATTTTCCATACCTACTTTTTAGAACTATTTTTGGAAATACCTACTTTTCTATTTTGGAAAACATTATTTACTGTGGTGATATTCTGGAAACCTAAATATATTTTCGTACTTAATTTTCCATTTACCAAACTTTTTAAGACCGTGGAATTGATCAAATTACTTCCATACTTTTCCATTCTTGTGTAGGAACCCTGTTGTCAATGTTTTTGGTGTTAAATTAAGATAAATAGAGGTAAAGTAGGCCATCAATCTGTAGCCAACAACACAAAGAAACCCATTTTATGTTCTTCATATATTCCTATTGAGATTCTCACTATAAAAATGATGAGTGGGGCCAGGTAAACCCTTTGAATGAGAGCAGATGATCTTTAATACCAGGATTATTTTACTAACTATAACTGAGCTAGAACTCAATAATCAGAGTCTGAATAACCCGCCCAAGATTTGGTGTCACTTTCAGGGCAGCACATGTAACTTTAAGAGCTCTATTGTTCCTCTGTGCGGCTCTTTGCTCAGCATTCAAATCCACATGAGTGTTATGTTCAGAAAGTAAACATCTCATTCAGTGCCAGGTCCTCTGGCAGAAATCGAAGCTCTCTCCTGTTACCTCTAAGTTTCTTTGCTCTGAGCCGGCCTGGAGCTTCTGTGGATTCTTCAGCTGTTGTTCCAGTTTCTGGATCTCCTGCTGGAAGAAGTCTCTCTCGTGTTCCCGGTCCACAGCTTGTTCCTGGATGAGAAAATGTCAACAGGAAGGGGGAAGATTTTTAACCAAATATCTGTTGATGGAGAATTTGTTTTCATTTTTAATTTAAAGGCAACAATAGGACGTATTGTGAACTGATATGACCTCTGTTTATGGTGAACTTTGTCATCTGATGTATTCTATTAAACAAAAACTATGAGATAAAGGAGGCAACATTGATGTTTTTGTTTATTATACAATCCATTTGATTTGCAGACCATAATGCCTAAAAGTGAAACTTTATTTTTAAAGTTTAAACGACTTATTTACAAAATCACAACAGCAACAGTAACCATTGGAAAACAACAGAAAAATAGATTTAAAATTAAAAAAACAAAGGTCTTACTCATCAAATTAGAGAATTACGTGTTTACCGGCGTGTCATTTCCCTCTTTGTGGGTGACAGAGGTCAATAGGACAGACCCGAGGGAATCTGCACTCAAACAACATCTAAACAATAACATGCCAGCTCCTGTCCAAGTGGCCCAATTAGGATGATGGGAACAGAACTCATTAGAGCACAAAGTGACATTAAACCCGACCACAGGACTAATTATAAAGCTAGCTTGGGTTGGCTTAGGAGCCGTTTGTAAACAAGAAACTTATAGACAAAGTACCGTATCTTGTGATGATTTCAGCTCCAGTGAGATCTGCTGTATGAGTTTTATTCATCATCAATGCAGCCCAGAAATTATAAAAAATATCACACTTCTGGATGAATCAAACTGCATCTGAAAGTTTAAGTTTCATTTTCAGTCACTTACGTCAAGGAACTTCCTGTTCTTCTCCAGCTGTTTCTCCAGGGCTTGGATCTGCTGTTGGAGGTCCCCGCTCTCCGTTCTCTGAGCGTGCTCCAGTTCGATCACCTTGTTGACCTGCTCCTCTAGCTCCGCCTCCAGAAGCTTCACCTGCTTCAGGAGGTCGGTGTTCTCTTTCTCTGCCTGACGCTGGACCTCCACCTTCTCTTTCATCAGCTTCTCTGTCTCCTCCAGCAGGTCTGCAGAGGGAAAGGAGGTTAGATATCTCCGCTTCTCGAGCGATGGAGGCTGGATCAGGTTAACTTTTTATCCATGTTTGATTTTAGTCATGCTGAGATGGAGCTTCTGAAGAGTCTGAAGTGTGTGAGCCATCTGATTTTCTTCTCTTTAAAACAATCATCTCTATGTTATAAAACTTTGGAGTACGAAATGTATTTTAAAGCTTTGTCTGGCTAACTTCTGACCCTTCATTCATTTCAGCATGCTTCCCAACACCATCCCCCGTTCCCAGATATGATTCTCCACCATGATGCCTCTTTGCTGTGCTACCACCGGTAACCAACCCACACCGTCCACCCAGGATCAAACCCCTCGCAGGATTAGTGCAAAAGTAAAAGGTGAGAGAGTGCAGATGACAGAACAAACATGTGAACAGCCCAGACATTGCGGTATCCATGCCCAATGAGCTTTTACAGGCAAGGGGAGGGACTTCCTGAATGGCCAATCATCACACTCCTTTACAGAAATGCTGTAAACACAGCACCCGTCTCAAAGTGGAGTGTGGATGGTTGACAATACGGAAATTATGCTTAAATATAAGTGACTAAAGAAAACTTTAATTTTATCATGCTAACATTGATGCTAACACCAACTCCAAGACATTAAAAACAGACAAACCAGGACAAAATCAGTCAAAATGAAAAGCTGAAGCAAAGGTTAGTGGCTGGTCTGAGTGAGTTTAAGAGCCCATAGCAAGCAAGCTCCAAGCTTGGTTGGTGAGTTGCTGGATTAGGGTTAAAGAGGTCACTCTGCTACGATCAGTAAAAAACATAGAAAAGATATGACTGAGCCATGCTCAAAGTGGACACACCTGCTTCAGGTGCTGCAACCAATGCAGCTTCAACTAGGCCTACAGGAGAATAAGAAAAGCACAGGAATGTAACATGCTCTTGTTTTTTTTCTGTGAACAGGAAAACTCTCAGAATAGAAGAAGGTGAGGAAAGAGGAGCGGTGCTTCTCTGAGGGCTGAGGAGAGGATGCTGTGAAAGGGAAAAGCCTGCAGGATTCAAACCCCTTTGTACAGAATACTCACCATTTTATCAGACATGTATGCATGGCACACCTTTTTGATAATACAAGAGTTATAATGTGAAAAAAAGATACAAAAAAATTAAGTTTCTAGTGCAATATGAGTTGTGGCACAAACACTGTTGTGAAAGTTTTGGAGACACTAAGAGACATGCCTCTGTTTGTTTCTGCTGTGGAAAAAATACAGATTTTAATGAGCCTTGCTTGGAATGCCTGGTCCTCATGACTTCGCTAAATTACAGCTCATAAACGTTAGTTACTATTTTCATCATGGCACAGGAACTTAAGAGGAAATCGATACAAGGTCACAGCAGTTTAAATAAGAGCTGTGGACCCTTTTAAAAACCAGCACACATGCAGATCATGTGAAGTGTACTGTCAACATACATTATGTTAATATGAAAGAGGAGAGAGAACAGTTTTAACTGTGTGGACTGTCCAGCTAACTTGGTCTTAGGTAATAATTCATGACAATTCATTCATTCATTAAATCGACCTTGAGTGACTTTTTTTTTTTTTAAACAGTAATTGTAACCTGTTTAAAAACATAAAACTGAGGTGACATTGTGAACTTTTGTTTCCTTCTCTCTCACTCCAGTTTTTCTTTAGATTTCTCTCCAGCTGACTGCATGATGGTTTTTATAAGAAGGCAAATACAAAAAAATCATTCCGTTTGATTTTCTCAAGAGGTAAAGGAGCTCCAGGATACGTACGGAGCTCGCGGGACCCGGCCTGCTCTTTCATGGCGTCTTGTTGCCGTGACAACAGCTCACGCTCCTCCTGCATCTGAAGCCTCTCCTGCTCCAGCTCCTGCAGACGGCTACTCGTCACCTGCGAGGAAGAAACACCAGTTCATTCAGTTCATCAATATCGCCATAATAATAATGGTAAATACTACTACTACTACAACTACTACTACTACTACTACTACTACTACTACTACTACTACTAATAATAATAATAATAAAAATAATCACAATCATTTTCATTCTTATTCTTCTTCTTATTATTATTATTATTACACTGATTGTTAAGTGAAGAGACAAAACCTGTCCCACAAAAAATACATTTATGTTTACGATAAAAAGAAGTAATCAAACTTGTCAAAAACGTTACAATAGATTTGTGTAAAAAAGGATTTAAAAAAACATCTTTATCATACATTTCATTTCTGAACTTTATTGCTAATTACCATCATAAGTTCACTAAAACACCTGACATTCCTATGTCATAAATTAAGTTAAAATAAAAGGTATCTTAGCGTGTCTGACAGAGTTGACAGAAATAAGGATTTGAAGCGCATAAGCCCGACTTTAGGGAAAAGATCCCTTGCTAGTTGAGACGTTCCCCTACAAATATGACCATTTCAAATGAAGTAAATGTCAAATCTTCAAACATGTTTTGTCCCTTGTCTCAAGAATGTGTCTCAAGAGTGTTGATAAGACCTTACTGAAGATCTACATTTGAGTTCTGATCAACAGATATTCGTTGTTGAATTCTGGCTTCTAATCTGACTTGCTGACAACAACATAAAGGAACATGCCAGGTTTATCCTTAAATGCTTTCAGCCTGGATTTGTACAAGACGAAACATGAATATTTGACTTAGAGAGAGTTTAGATTAGCTAATTAACGTTCTTGATAATGTTTCTTTACCTTGCAGCGGTTGCAGCTAGATTAAAGTTTGCCTTACGAAATTGCTCTTAAAAAGGATGTCACAACTCATTTTTGCCAGAAGCAAAAAAAACTATCTTCAAAGCTTGTCAGATCATGTTCTCTCTCACCATAAGATAATTATTTTCTCTCCTGTCTGCAGCTGGAATGTCTCACCTGCAGCTCTTGCTCGAGGCTCAGCTGGAGCTCTTCCTTCTGACGAAACTGTTCGTCCAGCACGGCGCGCTCTCCGGTGTAGCCATCAATCAGACCTGCATGTGGACAAACACAAGAGGATAATTAAAAAGGGCACAGACATAAAACTTCATTATTATCATTATTTTGCCTTTAAAATTCTTGTAATCACTCAGCTGACGAACTGAGATGAATTCCTTTAAGCTAAGCATCTATTAGTCAAGCAAACATTCACACACACACACACACACACACACAGGGCAGCCATCCAGATGAGTGAGCACTTAACAGAGGGACACAAAATCCAAGGTTACCAACAACAATGCCTGAAACTAAAAAACATACAAATGAGCACGCCAAGGCTCACAGACATGCATGCACAGCGCTGAGAAAACACAAGCTAGCATGTCTGACCCATTTTGCTTGACATGAAGCACAAGACTGCGCTGTGAACACAATGAAATGCTCCATCATTACAGTTCTGCTCTGTCACAGGTCAGCAAGCATGAAGCACCAGGATGAGGTTACAGGCGAGGGATGACTCACACACCAACACACACACTGGTGATAAATGATGGCTTAATTTTCTGGACTTTATGACAGCAGTTTTATAAAATACACACAGTATCTGACTCGAGTCTTGTTAACAGCTGTCATGAGATCATGAAGCTCCGTGTGTGTGTGTGTTTGTGTGTGTGTGTGTGTTTGGAAGCAGTCAGACAAGTGGTAGATGTCACCTGTGTTGTCAGGTGATGGTGATTATTACAGACATCTGAGCAGGAACCGAAGCTGCATGTGAAGTTTGTCTAAGGAGGGATCCACAGCCATGGCACTCACATGATCAGTGGCTAAAAACACCTGATCAACTGAATACACAGAGCAATCATGGGAATCTATAAACACACATACGCCCCAACGCTACAACCCCGATATCTTTTGATTCCTTATATTGAAATGGTAAGAAAGAGTGACTCTCTACCCTGTGAAGTGGTTTCACTGACATGTAACACGTCATGTCAATCGAAGGATCTTTTTTTTTTCCAGGTTGAGCCTGTCTCTTTGAGTTCATTCAAACCTGTTTGAAAAGGCCGCACCCTGAGCGTTTACCTGCGTGGAGAACCTGCACAATAGGATGAGAATTATATCTCTCTCCCTTCACAGGTATTCGCACAAATAAATATGCACGAGACGCATGTTAATTCAAACACTCCCTTAAAGCTAACTGAGTATACATGTGACACATAACCTGACGGGCATATTTGCTGTGTGACTACACATCATGAAACTACAACTTGGCTGTTTCTAACGTAATGTGGTTTGTTTATTAGAGCTGGAAAGACAAAAAAAGAAATTGAAATTATATTTTGGGCAATAAGGGTTAGGTTAAAGCTGTAATTTTATGAAAATTAAGTTGTTTTTTACAAGAATAAGGTCATGATATGATTAGAATAAAGTTGTAAATCTGTGAGAATTATGTCCTAATTTCATAAGAGTGAAGTCTAGCTCCAGTCTGTGCTAGCCTGTGTTGTTGTGATGGGAGATATCAGAAGAGCAGTCAGCTGGGTGCACAAAAACAAGAAATGTGGGGCATCTTGTAAAGTTATTTTCAATTAACTCTCAATATTCTCAGGTTCTGTCATCTAAAGTATCTGGATTTTCTGCTCCTATGCTTTTTGATTACTGATCAGGTGAAAACAAAAACACCTAAGACATCACTTTGGTCTAAAAAGTAGAAATACAAATTCACAGACTTGCTTATCACCCTAAAACGCAATAATATCCAGATTAAAAGATGTAAAAACAGCATGATGCATCATTTAACGCTGTTTTTTTCTCCTCCTCTCAGTTGTATTTTCCACCATCTACCACATGGCCTGGCTACCATTTAAAACTTTAAAGCCCTTAATGACAGCAAATATTTGCCAATCTTCAGCGACTCTGTACGATTACAGAAAACAAACAGCAGAACAGGATCCTACTCCAGGCTGACAGTTTGAGATTAGATTAGGAAAAGCTGTAAACTCACCGTTGATCTGTGTCAGCACAAAGAGAAAAAATGAATCCTCTATTGCTGTAAATTTGCCAAATTATGTGAGGGGATTTAACAGCCGGCCCAGACGACGGAGTCTGCTGTGAGACTGAGCGAGTGTGGAGGTAACAGTTGACCCTCGTGGACCAGCTGTCTCTGACATGGATGAGGCATCGAGCTGACTGCCTCTCAGCCCAAACAAGATCTGTCACAGCTCGCATGTGAGATTTTACTGCCAGACTGTTCTTGTTATTCATATTGTAAAGGTTTTATAAATAATAACAACAAAAATACCAATAATAATAACAACTCATATATATATCTATTTATACTGGCAGACTATGAAGGAAAGAAGGATATGTTCTATGGTGCCAACTGTTGAGAGTAGATGTTCGATCCCTACTTTCACTTATAAAATGATCCCTTGCGGCGTTAAACAATAACTTTCTGGTGAACTAAGATTTACTGATTCTACCTCCTGACATGATCCTTTATTACCGAGTTGTCACACATGGATTCAGAGGTTCAAACAGAGACAGGCTGACACACAGAAATCACCATTTGTTGTTTTTCTCACCACAGATGGTCTCACCTCCTTCACTCTCCCTACCAAACAGCTGATCCCATCACTCCCTTTGACACCCTCCCAAAACATTTGCACATGCACACATGTATTTCTACTCCAGGGCCTTATGCTCTGCTGTCATTACTCTGACATACAGACGCATTTGAACTGAAATAAAGGCTTTTAAGCGCTGCAAACAGCCGCTCTTTGTCATGGTTAATAAAGGTGTTATCCAGGAGAACTGACCCTCGGCCCGGTGAAGCTCCAGAGCGAGTTGTTCTCGTGCTCTGGCCTCCTCGGACAGCCTCTCCTGCAGCTCCTCCTGCTTCTGCAGCAGCTCGTTCATTTCCTGGTTGTGGCGGAAGGACTCCCGCATCAGCTCCGTCTGGGTCATCCGGGCATGTTCCAGCTGAGAGAGGAAGAGGAAAGAAAGGTGGCACAGAGGAGGAAAAGTTACGACTGAGGGCTTGATTTTTATTAGATAAAAAAATCTAAACTAGCTGTTTGTCAAGGGCGCTGTGCGGATTTTCAACAAGTCAATTTGCCCGTGGGAAAGCAAGGGTACCAGATCTTTTCATGAGCACACAAGGAAAATGATCACTTTATTCAGATGAATGTCCTCTTTTGGTTTAGAAATGAGAGTTTGGCCATGATTTTATCTTCCTTTTACAACGTCAGTGAATCACATTTCAAATTTTGATAATCTCACCATGAATCTCATTCCTATTTCAAGGCCTAAAACAGAGATTGTAGATAAGTTAGGATACTCTATAACTCCAAATTCTCTGACCTGACAGCTAACAGTCTCTGCGCTTGGGTTTTAAAAGAGCAAACTTGAACATACAAGCGAGGACTTTGAAAAAAAACAAGCATAACTTGAGCAAAAGTCAATAACATGTTGTAGTAAGCTGACATCATCTTTGTACAATGATCCTCCGGTCAGAGAGCTGATGGCCATTAGCTTTAAAATCATCATAATGTGATAATCTGTTATCCTGCTCACGTGCACGCCCACAGTTCCTCTTTATAGTTTACTGTATCTCCCCGAGCAAAGGTCTAATTCTAACATATAGAGAACCAGGAAGTGTTAAAGTGAGCCTGCCACATGGAAAGCACTCTAATCTTGTACGGAGTGTTTCAAAAGCAGCCTAAACAAAGCTGCTGTGTGCTGTGCTATGTGGAGCGACATTAAATTTGCATTATATCTGCATGTGCGGACCTGAACTACATTAAACAAGCGGAGGAAATGTATCTTTGAAATATTAATCAGCACAGATCTCTTTATCTGGATAAGAGAGGCCAAAGGCAAACAGCAGAGTCACGGGTGTAAACTTACTGTATAAGGAGGAGTGGGGAGGGAGATTTTGGAGACAACCTTAAGCAGGTGGCCATTAACCCTGTGATTGATGTGCGAGATCTGGGTCTGCACCACCACGGAGTTTCTCTCATTTAAAGTGTCGCAGACGGGGAAAGGTCGGGGAAGTGGTACACGGGATTCCACTTCATACACGTCCTGGTCCGCCCCCTCCACCCACGTGCTGTTCGAGTTCCAATACGAGCGGTAGGAATCCATGGCGAAGGGTAGATGGGTGAATTTGAAAGGGACTTTGGTTTGATGTGTCCGAGCTGCTTTCCCGGAGTCATGAAAGGCGGTTTCTGTCAGCTATTATCTCTTGGCTGAGCTTGTGCAAATGAGCATGAAGTCCAGTGGGGATGGAGCATTTAGCGACGTTGACGACGGCTCCAAGCAACAGTTTCTATGTGTTTTCCACGCACAAGACGAGAAGACAACTGAAGAGGGTAGCTTTCACAAGAGCACAATCATTGTAGAGGAGGAATGTGTAGATGCTGATATTCTTGAGGATAAGAAAATATGTAGTCCCGTCAAAAAGTGTCATCCTCTGCAGCAGATAGAAGTTTCACCTCCGTCCGGCAGCTTGAAAGGCATTCCAGCGTTGAACCACAGGAGGTCTGTCAACACAGCAGCAGACATTTCTTCTCCTTCTGTCCTCTTTAAAGAAGATGCACAGACCTCTATTTCTCTTCCGCTGTTCTCTCTGACCTTCTTTCCTCAGAGTGAAACAGTATCATCCCGCTCAGTGGAGCTCACACCCCCACGTTTGTACTCACTTGCTCTCTCTCCTCTCGCTCTCTCTCCGCTCTCTCTCTCTCTGGAGATTCATCAACAACACTCTGCCGCCCGTAGCAACCCCGACCTGCAGGGAAGCCTCCCAGTGGCCCCTATTTAATTGTTTGGTCCGAGCAGCAGCCGTCTGTGGGAAGTGCGCTGACAGCTCTCGGGTCGTCCGTCATTCACTTTTTACTTCCTTCTAGGACTGTTGTCATTCCCTCTCCACGCATGCTCCTGCGCTCGCTCTGGAATACCGCTCTGGACCTCTCTCTTGTGTCAGGTACAGTTTACTCACCCAGACAGGCAGCTATCCCCTTGTTACACTTTACTCACATGCTTCAGAGGGTAAAAAGGCAAAAACCCTAAACTTTCCAGGCAGGTTTCCACAGCTTAGGACAGCAGGACTTTCCTTTCACTTCCTACATTGAACGCTCGGAGCAGGATACTGTTCAGCAGAAGTGGGAGGGAAGCAGGTGTGGCTCTAATCACAAGAGCCAGTGGGCCAGGTAAGTTTGCAAATAGATCACTCTGCCTCTACACACAAATAACCCACAGATAACACACGCCCTTCCAACAAAAAGTTGTCAAACCAGATCCCCTCTGTACGTAGCCGCAAAGGAAAAAAAAAAAGAGCAATTAAGGTGCTGTGACTTTCCGCCTCTTGGTCCCACCTACCGTCTCTGTTCGGCATGTCAGCTGTCACACTGACTGCACACCAACAATTTCCACCTCTCATCGGCACATAATGAGAAGCGAGCAAACGCCCTCACCGGGCAAATTATTTACAGCAAGCAAGTTAACAAAGACACTTTACATTCCTGACCGGCTTGTTACATCAATCTCTGCTCACGACGCTTCGCAGACAAGACTAATGGATAACCGATCAATAGAAGCAGGACAATCATTGAAGAAACCATTAGAGGTGTTGTTGATAAAGGGTTTATTGGGCTGTTAATTCTGTATACATGGCGAGGACGTATGTTTATAACGTAATCTGCTCGTAAAAGCAAGAGTACGTCTTTACTAAGGCTCACTTCTGTAATTTATTAAACCATTTTTGTCAATAAAATGGCAAAATTTCCCAGAATACATGTGGACTTTACGTGTTACATGTATACTTTTATTTTTCTTGTCCTAAATAGTGGAACATTTCAAATGATTGTGCAAAAATTGACATTTCTTCAGCCGTAAGCAGTGGATTTGTCATGTCCTCGCCATATTAAACAAAAAATAAGACCACTATGATTGAATACATAATGTTTAACCAACATGAACTCTCTGGTGTGGATATTCCTTTAAAGCTATTTTTAGGCCACCAAGATAAAGTCCATCTGAGCGTGAGTAACGCATGGATTTCAGCCGAGGGGGAAGATGTGCAGCGCTGTGAGTTACTGTAACACAGTCGATGGCCTAGTTTAAGTTGCCCCGTCTCTGTGAGCTGACACCGGACACAGCGGGCGCTCTACATGCACAGCCTCGGGGGGGGGGCTGGAGCCGGCCAGGGCTATGATAGGCCAGCGGAGCAGACAAAAGCTCAGTGTAAATACTTCTCGTATCTATAGGCAACCAGAGGGAATGAGGCAGCTCTTTTGTGTGTGAGCTCTAGACGGGCCAACTTTGTTGCCAGCCAAATTCTGCAGTCTCATTCCTTATTATGTGTCCTCCAACAGGCAAAAAAACCCTCAGAGGGGGTTAACAGTGTTGAGCGTGTGTATTTAAATGTTATGACAAAGCCTTAATGTGTCACTACTGGAGTTTTCTGTTTCGAAAGTAACTTTTAGGCACGCACTGTTGAGGAAAAGCTCTACAGAGAGTGCTTTCTTCTAAGAGCCATCGCTTTTATTTAGCCTTTTGATTATTTAATAAATAGAAGATGAGTACCCAAAACACCAAGTATTCAAAAATAGTTTTATACTAAGAACTGGCTTTAAAAGTTGAGTAACTTTCTGTTTACATCCTGGTGCTTTTAGGGAAGTAAAACCAAAACATCCAGTCCCTCAGATTATGATCAAATGCGACACTTTTTTGTTTTTTAAAATATATAAGTGCAGAATTTCCACTGAGTTGAATGAAGAGGATTATACCAATGCCGCTCCATCAACAACTTTAAGCAAATATCCGTGAATTGATCCCAGCTAACCAAAGACTGTTCAGTTTGTACCTGGTTGGTGGTGTCGGTGATCGCCATCAACATCTTCTTCAGGGCGGTCTGGAGCCGGCTGCTGATGCCCATCAGATATTCCTCGTTCTCCAGTTGTGTCCCCGCCCCCAACAGCAGGCTGTCAATCATCTGCTGGAAGAGCTCCAGACCTTCATCAGCCTCCATCTCTCCAGACCACAAGCTCACACCCTCTTCGGAGTGACCTGTGAACAGATGATCGGAGTGCAGATCTGCATGGATTACACTTTTATCATTTTCTGACTATCTAGTTATCTTTCAGCTCTAGAGGAATGCAGCTGTTAATCCGACCTTTTTTAATCTGTAGTTTTGGAGATAAATATGATAACTGTGAGGAAATAGTGCAAAGTAACTACTAAGGCATTAAATAATTCAAGAGTTGAAACGAGACATGATGTAAGGCTATCTTTTCATGTAGTTTCTGTCATGTATTTATTTACAAAATAATCTAGGAGCCCCGCCAGGACTAAATATAAACCCACAACAAGAGTATAGGTGCATACATCTGCCGGATCAAATGAGTGCACCATGGTCACGTGATCGTGCCTTTAGGGTAGTCAACATGACGTAGTCCGCATATAATTTGTCACACCACATTCTCATTTACGGCAGCAAACAGCATTGCAGGTCAAAGATCATGTTGTGTCAGTTTTACTCTGTATGATTGAAACAGTTTTAGATTGAGGCAATTTTTACATGCAGACACAACGAGAGCAGTAGATATTTTAGCATGAGCAAATTTAAGTTATTGTACTTGCAGAATTATGCACATCACTGGTGTTTGCGGGTTTTTTCCAAGCAACAGAAATTGGAGGGACTTAAAGGCTATGATAATGATTAATATTGACATGAAATATGGCACATGTAAGCCCCCAAACTATGATTAGTGCGCAGGCATGCAGAGTACTAGTGGTGACCCAACATTATGGAGTGAGTACGATTCATGATTGATATGCATAGTGAAGGTTGTGCAGAGCAGCAGTAAGACAGACTATGGAGAAAACTTGAATCCTATGGAATCAGCGTTAAAATGAGAGTATTTCTAAATCTCAATCAATTTTCCGCCAACATTATTAATTTTATAATCTCAGTATGATGCCGTACACAACATACTGTATGCAATAATACAATGTTTGTAGCAGAAAGTGCTGAAATAAAGCCGTGACAAGAATAAAGCCAACAATAAAGCACTTTGTTGAACAATTCTAGATTTTGTTTCAATTGCACAAAACAAATACATAAATCAAAAAAAAGATTTTCTTCCACTGTGCCATAAGAAAGGAAACTGTCAATATGCATTTCTTTACTGTAGTTTCCAAGGGTGCCATGGTTTTGCAAGTCACTACAACTAACTTGTTAACATGATACTTTGTTGTGTTTAGCTCCCATGGAGTCACTGTTTTCACTTTTTATGAGACATTCAGAGAAAGGAAACGGGATAGGTAACTTTGAATTGAATAACATCAGCGTTCAAACTCTTTGCATATAATGATGTTTAATTTCCACATGACAACTCTTTACACATGTTGATCAGCTAATGTGTTTTTCTATCATGAAAGAAAGACCGACAGTCTCTTTATTTACATAGTTATAGAAGACGACGTTGTTCACTCAGTACTGACATGAGTACATGCTGTTGGTTTTGTAGTCCAACTCAAATAATCTGAGATGACACACTTAGATGGACAACAACTTTGACCTCACTTACCTGCAGACTGAGTTGTCATGGTCCTCTGTGTGGAGGAGAAGGGCAGTGAGGCCTGTTGTTCTCCACTGGAGGCGTCTCTTAGACTCTTCATGTGGAGGCCGATCGTTTCCTCTGCTGCTGCTGTAGTTTTCAGGACGTCAACAAGAACCTGACTGAGTTTCTCATTTGCCGTGCGCAGGACGTTTCTGTAAGCAGCCCAAAACAGAAATGTTAAAAAAGATGTAAAAAAAGACATTCAAATACTTGAAATAAAGTCTAGCTTTGAAATGAAAACACGTCTGTTCATCTTTGAAAGACTGTTCATAGAATTTTAGTCTTTTGTGTTTCAAAGGTTACTCAATACCCCCTCAAAGAAACAACATGCAGGTTTTCATGTATAAAACTGATCAATTAAGTTTCTTCTTTGTAGAGCGTGTTATTATTGTCTTATTTATCAAATTATGTTTAAAAAGTAAGATTACGTTTCTGTCAGTACCTGTAAGGGTCTTCATCAGGCGACCCTCCATCACCCTGTGAGGAAAATCTGCCTCTAGCAGCCTGTCTTCTCCTCGTCCCCCCTGGATCTTCCTCTTCTTCAAGTTCTCCTCGCCCATCGTCTGGCTTTTTTAAGGTCTGGACAGGCAGCAGAGAGAACACAGACAGCAGCCCCGTCATTGTGAAGTTACTATCAGATAAAAGACTCCTGGTAAGTCTGCATGGACATAGACAACAGCGTGGCTGTACGCGCGACTATCAGTAAAAGTGAATCCAAATGAGGCGCGGTGTCAACACACACTGCCCCTCAGCGAGCGGACACAGACACACACAGACACAAAGACGCGCTTCTAACTCCCTTGGAGCCCAGTGAAACACTACTATCTTTGTGCTGCTATGGCAACAGGTGCACCTGAGACACAGGGGCTTAAGCAGGCAACAGCCCCACCTGCTGGAGGAGGAGTAGAAAAGCAGCTCATGATAAACTAAGACCAGTTTGTTCAATTTCTCGCTATTTATGTTTGTGAGGCTTTTATAGTTAGAAAACAGAATTGACCAAACATGATCATAGATTGATGATTGATTATTTAAAAATTTGTTCCATAGATTGTTTACCAGACTTGAAAATGTCAACCTTTCACTTTATATTTTACATTTTTAACTTAGTGAACAGAGGTTTTCTTGTTGCTTTTGCTGTAAGCACTTTTAAATCCAGGTTAAAAACATTTCTCTTTTCACGTGCTTATGGCTAAGCTCTTTTGAATAATTTTAAACTTTATCTATTGCTCCTGCTTTTAACTGTGTTTTTTTGTTTTGTTTTTATGCTGTTCTTGAAAAAAAAAGTTTTGTTTTTATGTAAAGCACATTGAGTTGCCTTGGTATGAAATGCGCTTTATAAATAAAGATGCATTGCCTTTCTGTGTTTTCAAATTGTTGAACTTGAACTCTTTCTGCCCTCCAAGAGTGTGTCACACAACTCATGTAAACATCTAAACAGAGAGTTCAAAGCACAGGGAAATTATACTCCTCATTAGAGCTCATCGAATCCAATCACTGGAGCTGAGGGACTTTTTCTCTGAAACATTACAGAGAGAGTGTGTTGGAAAAACTCATCCCACATAGACAAGTGAACCTGACAGCCTCTGCTATCACACAGTTAAAGCTTAATCATGCAATAAATGGTCAGTGAAAGCTGAGCAGGCTCTGGGATTAGTTCTTCAAGACATGAGGAGTGATGAGGAAAGAGAAAAAAATCCTAACAAATGAAGCCAACATGAAGAAACAAGAGCATGCAGAGAGAACGTTTCATGTATGCAAATAAAAAAAATAATAATAAAATGACATTTTAAAGAATAATCAAATCGGGGTTAAGGTGAGACTGACAAAAAACTTCTTTTTAGGTCTAATCAGCCGTGGTGTTTAAGTTAAAAAGTGTTATCATAGCATGCGAGTTCTTAACATGAGAACGATTATTTAAGAAAAAGAGTTTTTTTTGGACCACTACAGAAATCACTGTTACAAAGTAAAAACAAATTCACTGCCAGCAGGTTGAAGCTGCAGAATAAACATAAATATCAGCTCAAGCATACTAAATCAATAACCGATGCAGCACCTGCATTGCGACAAAGTCCATCCAAAATTTAATGACACAGCAGTAATAACTTGTCTCGGATGAAATGAATGAACTTTATGTTGAAGGCGGGTGACAGTAAATCTACGAACATGTGACGGCTGAATGAGTGAAACACTGACCAGCAGGCGTCCTGATTTGCTCATGTGTAGCTCCTCTTTTAACTTCATGATCTCGGCGTTCCTCTCCCTCAGCTCCCTCTCCAGCCTCTCCATCTCCATATCGTGCAGCCAGCCGGGGGAACACACGGGAGTCTTCTCCTCCTCGTTGTCCTTCTCCTCCTCCATCTCCTCTTCGGACAACTGGGTCTGCATGGAGGTGGTGCGCTTGTTGATTCGGGCCAGCTCGCTCTGCTGTGCGAACTCCACGGACATCTGAACTATGGCCTGTTATAAAAAAATATGAATGTGAGGGAAATTTATCTGTTTGATCGGAGACACAAAACCCTGATTCAGTGACAATATTTTATAGATTTAATCTGCAGTTAGTTCTTTTGTTTTTCCCACTTAGGTTTCCATGAATGGGTTAAATTACTGGAAAGCTGCATTGAACAATCCTTTTTCATCACATATCGTTTTTATTTTAACAGCTCAATTTTTAAAAGGTATTTTTGGTGCAATGTATGAGTTTTAAACCCCTAAAATTTTCTTTTTCACCTCTCAGGAGTGCACAAATATTCATGCTTGATTTGCTAAAACCAGCTTCACTTTTATTCCTCCTCAAAGAAGAATTTTTAAATGGTTGTTTGCTGAAGTTTCGCTGATACTGGCTTCACACAATCAAGTAAGAATATCAAATTAAAAAGCCACCCACCTTGGCGACTTCCTCCTCCACTCTCTCCCAGTCTTGTCTCTCTTCCAGCCCAGCTGCCCCGAGGCTCTCCACAGCGCTCCCAGCCCCGTTCACACCATGCACGCCCGGCTCCTTCTCTCCTCTCTCCCCCCGTCGCTCCTCTCCTTTCCTCTCCTCTTCCTTTTCTTCTCTGAGTCTCCTCAGTTCCCTGCTGTGCTGCTCTTTGAGCGCAGCTACTTCTTGAACATACTTGTGATAGAGAGCTTTTCTCAGCGCCTGGAGCTGAGCTGTCAGGCCAACAGGTCGGCCGGGCCAGCGTGACTCCGCGCCGCCCTGCGATGAATCCTCTGTCGCCTGGTCCTGTGAAGATCGAGGAGAGCAAAGAAAAGGAGGAAAGGTAAGAAGCAGAAATTTAAAACTAAAAGGGTAGATAATAGAAAATGCAGTGAGGCATCTCAAATATAAAGTTATGTAAAATAAAAGCTCCTGATGACTGTTCCTGAAATAAACATGCTGCAGCTCCCTGTTCCACCCTTTAGCCACTATTAAATACACCGTTTTGTTCCCTCTGCTTGCCCCGAGGATGATAAGGCGATAAAGGGATCTCTTGCATTACATTTAGCCACATTCCCCCGCACACACTACCACTCTGTCTTGTGATGAATCCCTGGCTTGTCTGTTTCAGGGTCACTCAGCTGCTTCAGCACCAGTCCCCTTAAGCTTCACATTTCCAATCCAAACTTGTGAAGTGTATTGTGCCCGGTCCTTTTTTACAGTTCTTCTACTGTTCTTTCACGTTTCCCGCACCTCTATCTATCTCCCTCTATCTTATCTTCCCCTCTGATCTGTGCGTGAGACCCTCAGAGTTACAACCACATGAGCCACAGGAACTTTGAGGTCGAAAGGAAAGATAAACTAAGACTTGATGGGAGTTGGAGTGACGTGAGTGAGAGACGGCTTAAATGGAGTGCAGCTCATTCACGCAAGACAGAATCCTCCTTTTAACATAGCAGCCAAGACTAGAGTACACCCACTGGTGACAAGTTAAAAAGGCAGGTTATGTAACGTCCAACCCTTTTAATCGTTAAGATATAAGACCGTTCATGATGCTGCCTGTGGAGCAAAGCTGAGGGGATTTAGGGCACGTTTTAGCCTAAAGGCTCCCACTGCCCCCCTCCCACCCACTCTGACTGTCAGCGAGTCTTAATGCATGTACTCGTTTCAGCTCGTAGTAAGATGTAATTCATGTGACACAGAAGATTTAGATGAGGGGAGAGGGTAGCAGCCAAACCTTTGCTGGTTCCTCCCTGTGCTCCTCTGTCTTGGACTCTGAGGTGCTGGAGAGGCAGAGAGGGGAAAAGGAAAAGTTAAAATGATTGATTTACAACCTTAAATAAGATGAAGACTTTGAAATTCATCATTTCAGACACTTTAAATAATGACAGAAATGTTTCTTATAATGTTATTATAATGTGTTGAAGTGAAGTCTTAGATTGTTGACTGTTAATGTGAACTAAAAAGGATAGTGACTCAGCTGCAGCTTGTGCATTTCGATCGTAATAAGCTGAAACATTTTTGCACATTTGCACTAATATTAACCCGGTGTAACAGGAAGCATGAGTTCAAAAGATTGGGCATAAAATAACAGAAATAATCCAGAATAAACTGGTATTTTTCCTTAAAAAAGAGCCACAGAAAATAAAAAGAGGAAAGTTAAACAGCAGTAATAAATTTCCTGTAAATCACTGATGAAAAACTTCAGTTCCTTATTTGACACAAACAAACACGGCATTATTATTAATTATCTTTTTTTTTTTACCATTTAAGGATTTGACTTTTTTTGGGAGCATTTTTTAAATATCAACCAAAAGAGTTAAACAAGTTAATCTACATTTGAACCCACTGTGATAGTTTTTATTACTGAATCCAACAGTGGAGGGCAGCAGAATCTCAGTTTTCAGCGCACTGAAAGGTTATTGCTGCTAATAGGATCTGACGTATGGTTGAGTTTTGGCATTATGATTTGACTTAAGAGCACACTATGATTCAAGTTATCCTGCTTTTATTAACTAAAAATCTTTGGCTGGAATATTCAGAAAGGACTAATTTCTTACTTTTACAGGAGAAAGAAAAGTCGATCAGGAATTTATCATTCAAATTTAATATAAAGTGGGGATTTCTGCATAAATGCTTGTTTTAATAATCATCTTAAAATTGATTTGAACACTGCCAGTTCACCTATTTCTGAAACGTCTGTACTTTTTTGGTTTCATAATCCTCTGTCATTTTCATCATTTCATCTTGAGTCAAAAACAATCTGAGCAGTTTTGTCAAAGTCTTAAAAGAAAGCCTTTGTCTTACTCTAACTCTAACTTCATTTAAACAAGATTTCGCTGCTCAGTTTCCTCTGTTTTCATGAGGAAATTGCTTTGTTGTACCTGGTTGTAAAACTAAGAGCACTACCTAAAGGTTTTCTCCCTACTTAGCAGACAGATCCCTTTAAGACCGATCCCTTTATCCCTTAATCAAGACTGATCCTTTGATTGGGTTAACCATTTTGTTTACTTATCATTGGACTAAGTTATCAGTATTAAGTCTTGATTTTCATCTATATTATTGTTTCGTTAATGTTTTCTGTCTGTATGCTCGTGTGTTTTGTGTTTTTGATATTGATGAATGATTGTGCAGGTTACATCTAAGTTCCCATTGCAACAAACATCTACGGGCAAAACTGGATTTAACATATAACATATCCTTGGAGAATATATAACACCAACACCGCTGAGACATAAGCAAATGTTGTCTTTCTAGGGCAGCCTCTTCAGAAATAGTATGTAACTGAACATGCAGGATGGAACAGGCTTGAAAAGGTCACATCTATCACATTTTCTAAACAGCACTTCAGCGCTCTGATCAACATCGCCTTCAAGAAAACATTTAAAACGACTGAAAAGGTGTTTTTTTTTCTTCTTCTTTTCAAGTGAACAATAGACCCGGAGAACGCTTTAAATGACCGTGTGAATATTTTATCAGCCCAGGCTTGGTTGGTGTGAACTGAACTGGGTCAGAGGATGAGCAGCCTCGTGTTTATCAGATGTTACATGTGGAGACTCATGTCAGCGAGGTGGGCTGCTGTTCTTACACCAAGACAGAACCAATCAATCAATCAACCAATCAATTAATTGAGCCATCAAGTATAACTTTGTACATGCATACTGTGTAGGAGGCAGTTAAACCAGCTGAACAATACCAAAGGATCATTTAGCTGTGAAATCAGTTATGTGTTACATGGTTTCTGCAGGTTTCAACAAGTCAAATTTAAGACTTTTTAAGACTTTTTTAAGACCATAATGAAGAGCATTTAAGATCCAATTTACATCCATACTGGCAAAAAAGTACAAAAGACATGATGGGAAATCAGAACATCTTCAAATCAATCTTCAATACAATTTTAAGACCTTTCAAATTTGTATTTAGGACGTTTTATGAGGTTTTAAGACAATTTTAGACATTTTAAGGACATTTTAAGACTTTTTAAGAGCCAGCAGAAACCCTGGTGTTAAGATTTTGTCTCCCAGTATCATTACCTGATCTGTGTTTCAGTGCCTGTGACCTCTGTCAGTCGCTGTTGCAGCACCAGGATCTCCGTGAGGTATCTCTCTTCAGTCTCCGCGGCCTGTTGCTGGTAGTGAGCTCTGAGGCGCTCCACCTCCTGCCTGTGACTCTCCTCCAGCTGGAGCTGCTTCTTCTGCTCGGCAGCCTTCAGCCTCTGCGCCTCCTCTGTAAGGTTAGTGGAGGGCGCACTGGCTCTCACCTCCACATCTGGATAAAGAGAGAAATTTGAGATTTGATTAGAGAGAGTTACAGATGAGGATCAAATGAGGGAAACTTCATGTTCATTAAGCACATATAACTTTATTTGAACATTGTCAGAGAGGCAGATGTGGTAGCAGGTAAGAAATGAAGAGAGAACAAACTTTCTTATTAAAACTTTTCAATTTTTCCTATTTTCTGGGCTCTGGCTGCACACTTAACTCATGCTATAAAAACCTGACTTGAAAATCCACAAGCTAAGTCCTAAACACCTGACATGACACGACAGCCCCACATTGATGAATGACTTCTATAGCTGAAACAATGACAAAAATGTAGGTGTTTGTCTTCTTCCACACCTTTGTGTTTTCAGTCGGCGGCCTGACATCCGTACTTGATATGTTTACGTTTCATTTACGTCACACTCACCTTTGCTTGTTGAGGTGCTCGAGCTGGAAATTTGCACTCGCAGGTTAGAGATCTCCCTCTCAGTGCTGCTCTTCAGTTCATCGTAAGCTGTCTGCAGTTTCGTCATCTGGAAGATAAACGGTCTTCTGAGTGTTTTCTGTGATTTCTCTGTGATGCTCAAATCATATATGTATACAGTACAACATGAACTGTCACTATACTTCAATTTCGCAGTGAACTGTGGATAAGCAGAGCATTTAAAAGCTGGTATTTTTGAGTAATAATAAATTATACGCTCACATGGTCATAATAAAAGACCAGAGGGAACTCACACAAGGATGGCAAAGATTTCAAATCAAAAGTTGCTTGTTCTTGTGTTTTCTTTGCCGCAGGGATAAACCGTTTTTAAGGTGAAAGCCTAAATTATGCTCATAAACTGCTTACACATCTTGTTTGATTTGTGATTGGGACTAAGCTGTTTACACTGTTTTTACCTTGTTTCCATCGGCTCGCAGCAGAGCCTGAAGCTGCGACAGTCGAAGATGTTCCTGCTCAATCCTCTCCCGGACCAGCTGAAGATCTCTGTAAAGCTCTACAGGAAAGAGGACATTTTTCTGTATCAGACGTCACTGAAAAACTTTAACTTTACTATGTTTACGATTCTACTTACACCAAAAACAACCTTTAACTACCTGTGATTAAAAATAACTGGATTTAATTTAGGGTGAGATTACCTCTGGCCTCTAGTAAAACAGAAGTAGATTCACTAGTTTCTGGTCTTTCCACTGAAGAAGACGGGCGACACTCCACGCTCTCCAAAATATCTTCACCAAAAATCCTCTTGAAACTCTGAACAAAGGACAGTCAGAAATCAGGTTCAGTGCTTTGTTAGTTTTCATAAACACACAAATTCCATCAGAAAACATACCTGAATGATCTCGCTGCACTCCTCTGACACTGTTTGTAACATGTTGTGGTATCTGATTCTTGGTTCAGCTGGAAAAAAAAAACAGATAAATGGAAATGGCTGAATGGCTGAAATGTTAAACTTGATGCACATGCAAAATAGAGCTTGGTACACCAACCTGTTCTGTTCTTGACACTCTTTTATATTCATAAATGTTAACCAAGCAGGTTTCTGAGAGGACAGCTGTTTTGCCAAAATTGAAAAGCGCACACAAAGGCAGCGAAAGCAAAAATTCACTCACTCTTGTCGGTGTGATCTTTCAGGTTCTGCAGTTTCAGCTGGAGAGAGTTTGTGCGGGCGTCCGTCTCCTCCTGCAGCAGCTCCAGCTGGGCAGCGTGGATCTGAGAGAGGCTGATGCGCTGAGCCTCCATCTGCAACCTGCACTCCCCCTGAACACAGACACAAATATCACATGACCACGCTGGATGACGACCTCAGCTAACAGGGATTTTTTCTCATTTATGATCTCATTTCAGATCAAGTTTTTCCTTTTTATGCTGGAAGACAAAACAAACCTCTTGGTAAATGTTATAAAATTAGCACATGGATGAATACAGGTACTAATCTGAGGGGGTAAATGACTCAATATGTAACTCCACCTCTCCGATTTTAATGACAGAGCAGCAGCTCAGGCCATCTGTGTTCAGGATCAGAGTTCAGCTATTATCACTTCAGTAGCAGGGAAACAAAAAGCAGACGCTGAGGCCTCTTCCTCTAATTATGCATTACGCATTAGCACATATTTGTTCGGGTTATTCAGAAACCTGAAGCTGCTGTCGTGTTACCTTTGATCTTGGATGCTTGTTGAGAGCTCTTTCTACGTTTTGATGAGGCTGTATTTTTAAAAAAGCTTTGTTATGATACCGTCGTCTCCCCATATGCACTCATCTGAGTGGGTCCTCTCAGACGTGGAACAGCACAGATGTTGCTGCTTAAATAAAGCTGACAAGAGGCAGTCAGTGTGAACAATCAAGCTGCAGCTGTGTGGTGATGAGCTGCTGTTACACACTCTCTCTAACAGGAAAAACAGTAATATCTTAATGATGTGTAATATCTTGATGACTTTGATCTGAACGATTTTGTAGTTTTAATACTGCATGACTCAAGATTCACCCAAACAGCGTACTTAGAAAGGGAAATTAATGCAAAATGAACACTCTCTACTGAGTCCTCTTTTGAAAAGAGATTTTTGCACGATTAAATTTGGAGTTGTTAGGGCTCCAACGGCCTCAGTATGCCCCATATATAGAGGCTACAGTCCTTGTTGTGGCAGTCGCGAGTTCGACCCTTTTGCTGCATGTCTCCCCACCTCTTTGATCCCCACATTTTCCGTCTCTCTCTCTATCCTATCTAATAAAGGCAAAAATGCCAAAAAACATAACTTTCCAGATAGGGGTGTCCAGATACGATATTGATATCAGATATCGGTCCAATACCAGAAAAAAATCGAATATCGGATTATATCAGCCTGCATCTAAAATCTCCGATGTCAGCAGTCTATTCCAGACTCCGCTCCAGCACCTCTATCTAGCAGCACCCATATCCAGCATGTAGAGCCCACGTAATCACAACATCAGTGTGTACTAAGGTACTAACAATATACCAAGTAGTAGGAGCGAAGTTGGCCGTGTGGCAGTATTTTTCATTAAAGTCCAAAAAAGACGTTGCAGCTGAGTGAAAAACTTGTCATGCATAATTTTTTGCTAATATCAGATCAATATCGGTATTGGCCAATATTGAAGACTACAATATCGGTATCCTATCGGAGGTAAAAAAGATGTATCAGGACACCCCTATTTCCAGACCTCAAATACCTCCACTGGTACTATTATCAATGATAAGTGCACTGTTTTTTTTCTTACAGCAGGAAGTTCGTCAATTTTTTTGCAACAAAACTTTGCCAGATCAATCAGGACACCTCGGGGGGTTGATACGAGCATGCCCTGAATAACGTCTGAGAGGTGCGTTTAACAAGTGAGTACAGACGAGAGATGTTTAGGATGCAAATACCAAATCCATCTTTGTACTCCAGCTGTAAGAGCACCTGTTTATTGACCTTTAAAGTACATTATGTGATGTATTCAAGAGTCTATTGACACTTAAGACAAGGGGCAGGATGTGAGCTTAAGTGACATTTACATGCTCAGATGTCTCCTCCTCTTCCTCTGCACCCTGACACATGGCAGGATCCAGGTGGCGGCCCGTCCCATGTCTGATCACCTAATGAGAGAGCAGAAGAAGAAGAAGAAGAAGAGAGTGATCGCACATTTTAAAAACACAGTCTTATCAGGTTTCTCAGGTTAAATGTAGCTAGAATGACGATGGTCGACAGGAGATGAGATGCAGCATCACTTCTTGAGGAGGAGTAGAAAGGGCTTGTGTTGTAACTTCAGTTTATTCAACATGAAATAACACCGAACGTCATCTCTTTAAAGTTTGGACACCAATTCTCAGTCGCTCATACAGCTCTTATAAAGATCTAAGAAGAAGTTGGTCATCGTGTTTGTTTGCTTATAGATGAATCCTCAAAAATGTATGTAATACACACAGAATTGACTTTTAGAAGTATACTTATCCGTCTTTCTGTTTCATTAAAAAGTAAACTTTAAGACTCCTTCAAACAGTGTAAGATTTAAGTCAAACATATTTAAAATTCTTGATCATTTAGTGATCCTTCCAGCCCAGGAGGTGACAAAACAAAATGCGATATGAAGATGAAAAAGCAGACGGACAATATAGAGCTGCTGTTTTTTTTTTTGTTTTTTTTTTTTGCCTGGTGGAAGTGAGACAGAGCTTTAAGTGACACAGACATAAAAATGACCGGGGTAAAATGGCTTCTCACCTCAAACCCTTCACTCCCTGCAGGATGGAAAGAAACTAGAATGTACACAATTCTACTCAACAGTGATTTAAATCTATCAGAGGAGTCTGGCCAATTGTTACCGTCATATGTTTGTTCAATTCAATTCAGCGTCACGTGAATGCAGGTTATAAATCTCCTATAGATCTCCTCTACAGGTAGAAATGCGCAGAATAATATCGATGGGAGTCTTAAAATGACTCCGAGCCTTTTCTCTGCACAAACTTTAAAACATACATGACAGGCTGCCTGTGCTGTTTAATGCTACCTTTGAGAGACAGCCTTCAGATGCTGAGGCAATTTGCAATCACGACCGTTCATCACCAGAGAGGAAAAACAAGTCGGTGCAGAAATGCCTCAGTTGTTTTCTTTTCAGTTGCAAGCATGAATTTTTGATGAAGCTTACATTATAAACACACAGAGTTAACTGCTGATGCGATATTAATTAAAACGTGCATTTTTACTTTACTTTCTCTTGACATGCACAGTTTTAGAGCCCTCTTTATGAGTCATTAAATCATGTAATTTAATCAGATGGTATTAATGTAAAAGAAGCATGTGATCGTCTACCTGTTTGTTGATATAGTCTCTGCCTGCGTCTCCCTGGTACCCGTCAGTGGAGTCCTCCTTACCGGCCCTCTCTGGTGAGCATGACATAACCTGGCTCTGCATCTGAGGCTGCATCTCCGGCTCTGCAGCACTTGTAGCTCTCTCTTCCTCCACCGCCTCCTCCTCCTCCTCCCTTTGTGTTTCTTCTCTGCAGTCTGAAAGAGCGCTCTCCGCTTTGCGCTCCTGTTTCGACCTCTGCCGTCTCCTGCGCCTGTTTGACCCTCCTGAGGCGGTGGACTTCTGCAGGGAGGATTGTCCTTCAACAGGTCCCTCCCCTGTGGACTGAGCTGTTGTTGCTGCTGTTGCTGCCAGGGATGGAGAGTGCGAAAGACTCCGGAGCTCCAGACTCTTTCGGGTGCTGTCTCTCTCTGATTCAGCAGCCTCTAAGAGGGACTGGAGAGTCTTAATCTCCTCTTGGAAAGATTGAATCTGAAGGCGATGATCCTCAAAAGAGCAAACTGGCTCAACAGCTTGCTTTTCATGCTGTAACTTTCTTTCAGCATCCCTTTCCCTCATAATCTTTTGATTCTTTTCCAGCTCCTTCCTGAGGTTTGTGTTTTGGGCGATGACCTCTGCGCTTTCTGCTTTCATTTTTACCCGCTCTTCTTCCAGCTGTTTCATTTTCCTCTCTGTAAACATCAGTTTTTCTGTAACTTCAGAAAGCTTTCCAGCCAAGCTTTTCTTCTCACTCATAGTAACATTTAGCTTCTCCATTAGCTCAGTAGTGTCTTTTTCTATCACGGTTTGCTCCAACTTGTCTGAATTTGGGTTCTTTCTCTCAGTGTCTGTGCTGCTCTCCTCCAGCTCCCGAATCTGTGAGTGGAAACTGGCAATTTTCACTTCAAACTCAAGTGTCTGCCTCAGCATCTTCTCCTCTAGCTGCGTCTTCGTCTCAACAAGACATCTGTACTCCTTCTTCAGCTCCTGATAGTTCACCTCAAAATTCTTCTCGGCAAAAGAGAAAGTAGTCCTCTGCTTTTCAATCTCCTCACCGAGCTCGGCTACTTGTTTCTGCATTTGATCTCTCTCCGCTGTGAGCGTCTCGATCTTTATGACTTTTGAGTCCAACTCGTCTTTCAAAGAGTTATTTTTCCCGGTCAAAGTCTCCTTTTCTGATTTCCAACTTTTTTCTTTCTCTTTTGAGTTGTTTTCAAGCTCTTTTGTCTTTTTTTGTAGTGTCTGAATTTCTTTCTCCAATCGAGCTCGATTCTCTCCTCCTTTTCTCAGTTCCTCCAGCTCGACTTGAAGCTCCTGAAGCTGCTGGACGAGCTCGTCAGCTCTGGAACTGTGCAATGCAAGCTTAAGATCCTCTTTGAGTCCATTAATTTGGTGGAGAAGCTCATCCCGCTCTGCAGCGAAGTTTGTCTTCTCCTTCTGTAACAAATGCACTTTTGCGTCATGACTGGTGTGCAGCTCCTCCAACATCTTCTTGTACTTCAAAGCGGTTTCATTGACAAGGTTTTCAGCGTTCTGGAAATTCTCTCTTTGCAGTTCCTCCCTTAGGCTGGTGAGCTCTTCCTCGTGGCTGAACAAAAGCTGTGTCCTGAGTCGCTCCAGCTCCGCTTCCTGTGATTCGGCCATGCGGTCGAGCACGGCGTCCTTCTCCCTCTCCATCATCTCCAGTTTGATCTTGTAGTTGGTGATTTCGGACTCATGTTTCGCCTCTGCCTCGTGCGCGGCTTCCTGAGAGTCCACCAAATCGCTCTTCAGATTGTCAATGATCTCATGGAGGCGCTGCAGTTCACCTTCTTGGCTTTCCTGAGAAATTAGACTGTTGGAGACCTGCTCCATCTTGTCTTTAGCAGAACGGAGATCCCGAAGAAGGTCCTCAACCTTGGCCTGCAGGTTGAGCTTCTCTTGGGCGACTTGGCTAAGTTCTTGCTTGGTTCTATCCTGCATTGTTTGGGATTGCTCTAATGCTTCTTGAAGCTTCCTAATCTTTGCATTCAGAGTTTCCACCTCAGCAGTGGAGCTTTGAGACATCTTCTGCGCCTTCAGGAGCTCGAGTTCAGAGTGATGTTGCTCCGTCATTTGCTCCTTTTCAGCCACATGCCGCAAATTAAGCTCCTGCTTCATCTGGACTATCTGCTGGCCGTACATCTCATCCAGCTCTGCCCTGAGAAGTTCCAGCTTCCTTTCCGACTCTTCCTGCATCTTCTGGACGGCGTCGCTCTCTGAAAGGTTGCCCTGGTGACAACGCTTCTGCAGGTCCTCCACCGTTCCCATAAGCTGCATGATTTCATTCGAGGACATTCGCTCTTTCTGTTTAGAGGCCGCAAGTTCGCCTTTGCAGCCCTCAAACTCTGTCCGCTCTTTCTCTAATTCTAATTTCACACTCTCGATCTCACTTCTGCTGCTTTGCAGATCAGACTTAGCCCCTTCCAGTTCACCCCTACATATTTCAAACTCTGATTCTTTAGCAGACATTCGCTGTTGGAGGTCAAGCAGGTTCTTTTCTGAAGCCTCTAGCTCATTCTTGAGCTGAGTAAGAGAGCAGTCACGTTCTGAAATGATTTCATCTTTCCGTGCTATAATCAGATCTTTTTCATCTGACTGGTGTCTGAGATTCTCATCATTAGTCCTTCCCACACGAGCGAGCTCCTCTCTAAGCAGGGTCAATGACAGCTCGTGTTCTTTGATTATTGCAGTTTGCTTTGAAATTAGCTGATTCCTCTCTTCCAGTGTTTGTGCAAAAGACGCCTCCGCTGCTCTCAACTCTGCCAACGACTGCTCCAGACCTAAAATAACTTTTCCTTTTTCAGTGATGAGCAGGTCCTTTTCGTTTATCCTTTGTGTGAGTGATTCTTCTGATCTTCTCCCTGACTACAAGGAAAACAAATATTAGAGATTCGAGGGAACCAACGGTAACATATTTATAAACTGCATAATGTAGCAGGATATATCTGGTATCACAACTGGTGTCAATATGAGGTTCTAGTGATCAAAGAGCGCAGTGTATCTTCCTGATGATTACAAGTGATCACTTAAAGGGATATTGCGGCGTAAAATTAAGTTAGGGTCCAACACACCGTAACACCAGGTTAGATGCCCCCTCGAGAGATGAATGTTGCCGACCGCTTGCTTCTCTATTTATACCAACTTTAGTAACAACCGTAGATAGCAATACACAGCGGTCTCAGGAGCCACGCGCTCAACAAAAAAGCCACTCTATAGCCACAAATAATGCTCAGAACAGCACCTAACTTCATCAACAGTACATATAGGGTCCTAGCCATAGTACTAGCCACCAAACATCTTTTAACTTTGCCTGATTTCTTTAGCAAAGAGACTAAACACAACTCACCTACTCTCTTCCAGCAGCTGCTTGTTTGTACGGAGACCTCAGACGAGTCCATCACTGACTGCAGCGGGGTGATGCAGCTCAAGGAAGAACATTTACGATCATTACTTTATCATTTCCTTGAAGTAATAATCATAATTAATCATTTTGCACTGCAGATGCGGTAATTCTTCTGCCTTAGCGTCTCGGTCTGATAGCATTTCCTTGAGGAAATGATCATAAATGTTCTTCCTTGAGCTGCGTCACCCCGCTGTAGTCGGTAATGGACTGGCCTGAGGTCTCACTACAAACAAGCGGCTGCTGGAAGAGAGTAGGTGAATTGTGTTTAGTCTCTTTGCTAAAGAAATCAGGCAAAGTTAAAAAGATGTTTGGTGGCTAGTGCTGTCGCTGGGACCCTATATGTATTGTTGATAAAGTTAGGTGCTGTTCTGAGCATTATTTGTGGTAGTTAGTGGTATTAGTTGGTATAACCAGAGAAGCAAGCAGTCAGCAACATTCATCTCTCGAAGGTGTGTCTAACTCGGTGTTACGGTGTGTTTGACCCAGAAAATCCCTTTAAGACTCAAGATTATATACTAAAGCAAATGCTCATTTTTACTGCTGTCTATTTGTTTTTGACCACTAAGAAGACATGTTGATAGCAGGTATAAATCACACCAGGTAACTTCCTACCATCTCCGTCTCCCTGAGCTCTTGTTGGAGCTGGCTGATGTGCTCCTGCTGCTTTTTGACCTCCACATTGACCTCCTCCAGCTGCTGTTGGTGCTGAACGAGCTGCTGCCGAGCCTGCAGGAGATCAGCTGCCGTGCTGCTGTGACTCGTGTTCCTAAGCGTCTCACCTGCCTGCAGCTGTAATATTTTTTTCACAAATTAATTTCTGATTGAATACATGAATAAGAAATACTTGATGCAATTAGTGACAGTGTAAAAGTCTGTCAGTTAATTAACATAGGATCAGTGCACTTGTTAAGACATGACTTCTCACCTGCTGGAACTGAATTTGCAGTTTTTGGCTTTGCTCCGTCAGTTCCAAAAACTCTTTCATGATCTCGTCTTTCTCTTTTCGAGCCTGCTGGAGGTTAGACGTGAGCTGGGTGATGATCCCATCTCGCTGCTTCAGAGCAGCCTCAAAGTCCTGCAGCTAGAAGAAGAAATGAAAGGAAGTAAAACCATCTGACAAACAGCTTTAAAATAAGAGAGAGGACAAGAGAGAGAATGAGTTTAGGACAAGAGCTTTAAAATGGCAAGTGGAGGAACATAACTTCAATAAAAATGTGTTAGATTTTCCCAAATGGTAAAATACTGTCAAACCAAAAAGCAAACATGACTTCTAGTCTTCGTATTTTCTGAAGTTAAGCTCAATATTAGGAAGTAGAAAAAAAATTGAAAAATGAGAAAAGATCAAAAGTAGACAGGATGAAAAAGACAAACAAAACTGCCAGAGTGTGATGTATAAAAAGACATTGAACACTTACCTGTTGTACTCCCTCTGTGCCAAAAGCAGCCCTGATTTCTTCCAGCTCTCGGCTTAGTTCCTCCACCGCCAGAGTCTTGGCAGCAAGTGCATCCTCCATATCCTGCTTTCTCCCTCCCTTCGATACCTGTTGCAGAGCCTCCACTTCCTCCTGAGCCACAAATTTAGAGCATTTTCAGATTTCAGTCAAAACATCAAGACCAGGTCTAAAGAATAAGCGGAGTATTTGAAGTTACTAAGAAAGGCCAATAACTACATGAAGAGATGTGTAAAAAGTTCAGTTTTCAAAGGCATAACCTGTTTTTTTTTCCAGAACTCAGACCAAAGAAAAAAGGAGGGATTATTTTAGCAAAAGCAGCTTTTCGTTTGGTCAAAATGTGAACTGAAGCCATCGCACAAAGCAGCTTTAATAAAGTCTGTGTTAGTTCAAGTCGGAGTGATAAAGTAAAAGCGAGTACTTTACCTGTTCACTATCACAAAGATGAAAGTTTTAGTTCTTGTGCAATAGTACGTCTCTTTCCAGTCTTATTGAATAATTCAGATTAGTGACATGAGTTAGATTTGACCCTTGTTGGTTTTTGAGGAAAAAGGCTGTTTTGGCATTGAATCATTACTATCTGACACCTACCAGAATTATTAAGAAAGATAAAAATACAAGGTAAAATACATAAAAAAGTCATATACAAATCTTTTATTCCATTCACTAATATATGCAGTTAACTTAGTGAATAACATGCTTGAAGTAGAGTTTAAATGAACTGATGAAAATGCATTACACTATGCTAGAGACTACAGGTCAAGGTTGGTAATTATGTCAGAAGCAATATTAAACTGCATTATTGTATTATTATTTGTTAGTAAAATTATCATAAAGTTGCCGGTGACTGTTATAGATTTGATTTTCTGTCATTTAGGATGAGAAAAATGTGTTTTAACTGAGGAAAGATGACAGCAATATCAGTTATGTGAGAGCCAACACAGATTATATTAAAATGTTGATAATCAGCCTGCTGGTTAATTGATCAATCTCTAATTAAGATTAAGGTAAAGAGTCTGATCTTTTCTAATATGCTGCATTAACCAAAAACTAGATTAATGCTTTCATAATTCTGTCACTACTTTTTCTTTGTTTTGCTTGATTCATTATTACTAAGTCTAAATAGTTTCATGCAATTTATCCTGAGCCTATCTCATCTGAAACATTTTAAGTGGTAGCAGTATGTATTTCCTCTTACAAAAGTCTGTCTCGGCTTGGTACAGTGATTTATACTGCAGTCTTCATGTCGTTTCACCATCTCTGTTTCAGTCTTTATCTGTTCCAATAACCCTGATCAGCAGTACCTCTGTGGTTTCTGCCCCCCCGTGTTCAAATATCACCTCAGTGCATCTAAAGAGAGCAGCTCTTTGTGTAACAGCCTCTCCCCCACCCTTCTTCTCACTATCTCTCACTTCTTCTCTACCGCCTCTCCCTCTTTCACTCTTCCTCCACCAGCTTTCAAAGACAATTTACACCTCAAAAATGTCAAAAAGTCCCTGTTCGATCCAAAACTCCTCCTCAGCCACTCACACTTTTTAAAAAAAGCCATTATAACATCACAGTACACATGTATATTATTGTCACAGAAGTGTCACAAAATCTGTTACGTATACAAGAATATCTAAAAGTAAGCACAGCAGTAAACAGGCTTGGTTAGTAGGTTACAGGAAAATCTTGCACAAGACTTAAGTATTAGCGTGGAGAGGGTTAGATCCAGCAGCCAGTAGTGCTTTACGAGCAGAGCCAAAAGAACTGCTTGATCGGATTACTGTACCCAGATAAAATCCTTAGAAGACATCATTAGGCTCTCTGTCACCATCTCATCGTGGCACCCATTTACCTGTTAATTAACAACGCCATCAGTGAACAGTATGATTCGAGAGAGTGTGATGTGTGTCCCTGATGTCTGTGTACAGTCCTCTTTAATCTCTGTTACTTGTGGGTTATTATCGAATTTGTATCATCATCCACCAACTGACACTAGCAGGAGAAAATCAGGAGATTGGTTTTCAAGAATTTGGGTTTATAATGAGTAAGATTGTCTTTATTTGATTTGACAAACAAAGAGAAAATAAGTAGTGGTTTGAGGGCTTATTTAGATTTCACATTTGTCTCGAAATCTGACTCAGCAGATGAGAAAATGCTGACTACAACCATCTGCTTCCTTCAACTTTTCTTTCAACCAGCATTTTAAATCGAAGGAGCAGATGTATTCAGAAAACCTGACAGTAACACTACAAATAAATGATGACAAACCCTATTAAAAAAGATGTGTGTGTGCATATGTGTGAGTCAGTGAGGGCGACAAATTCTACTCTACTGCTCTACTCTCAGTCAGCGGATGATCAACATGTGAGTTGGTTTTGGGCGAACTGAGCAGAATGTAAAAGTGACATTTGGAGTGAACATAATATTTAAGCAGAAAAAGTTCAGGTTGTCTTACCTCTGAGGAACAGTCCTCAGCAGTAGTGGATACTTCACTCTCGGGCTGCAAGAAAGACGATGGAGAGATTTTCAACAACACTGCATGATGAAAAGAGCCGAACAAGGAACTGACTTCAACTTGACACCAGATGAAGATTAAGTAAAAAGCAAAACACTTAACCTTTTCAAAAGCATGTTTTATGAAACTGTGTCGTCTCTGTATTTAATGCTGTATTGATTTTTAAGTGACAGTTACATCTGCCTTTGTGTTTATGAGAAATTTGTATTCCTCTGCACAAACTGTTCAGGAGAAGAATTATCATTTGGATGGGAAACCAAAAGGAAGAGAAATGCTCAGTTTTGCTCATTTTAACATTTTTTGGATGTTCCAATCCTCATCTTGACTATCAGATCAACCATGGGCGTTCTTAATGATCATGAATCAGCAATTTTCAGCCAATAATCAAGTAATTATAAGAGGGGTGTGTCCCGATATGATACTGATATCGGATATCAGTCCGATATCAGCAAAAAAACAAACACAGGATTATATCGGCCTGTATCTATAATCTCCGATGTCAGCACTCCGATACAAGCAGTCCATTCCAGACTCCACTCCGGCACCTCTATCTAACAGCGCCCTGATCCGGCAAGCTGAGCCCACAAAAAAAATATCGGACAATATTGGTCTCGTATCGGAAGTCAAAAAGTTGTATCAGGTTGAGTTCTGGGTTGGCCTAACTCGCCATCCATGTGGAACTCCAGCCATTGCTTAAAGTTGATGGCACAAACTCATATGTGCGCAGGCAGCCATGTTAGAGAAACAGTAACCACCACACAGAACAGGGACAAATGGTTCATGAGGGGAAATCTGGTTAAAAACACTGAAATCAAAGGACAGTGTGTTATAGTAGCATTAGTGATCCTGTGGCTGAAGTGCCAGCAGTGTGGGAATGACTTAAACTAGAAAATGAAAACAGTTCAACTGCCAGTTTCAGAATATATACAATATAATCATTTAACAAACTTCCTTCAATACCAATTTGATACGACATCTAAAAACACTAAATTAGTGAAAGAACTCTCCCAGCTTCACAGACGGTAAAGCAGTGGGCACTGATGGAGATGTTAGACAAGGTTTTATCTCCCTTTGAAGGGCTGATGTGGGTTGTGAGTGCAGAAACTGCAAATATAGTTACAATCTCTGCCCGAGACATGTCTCTTTCTGTGACCTTCCACCGACCAGGAAATTGATTTTAAAAAAAGCACTCTACCAGAAGCTGAGGAATGATGCTTTCAGCCTGATCCACTGTACTTCATTTGGGCCCTGGTGCATCTCAGACACAAAGATAGACAAACCAAATATGCCCTGGCAGTGCTGTACTTTGTGACTCCAACAATGACTGTTTTGCTTTATAATCGATCAAATATAATGATTTATACCGTAACAAAAAAGATTGGTGTATGTGTGTGATAACTGTCCAAAAAATCAGATTACAAAGCTGATTGTAAACTCTGCATCATGATACATATTAAGATGGCAAAGACACAAACTGTGTTCTAAGACAGCTACAAAACTAATGACAAACATCTAACAAAAACAGACACTTGGCAGCATGTCAGCATTTATATTAGTTAGAGATGCACCGATCCATTTTTTCCCAATTCAATCCGATACCGATACCTGGGCTGAGCGTATCAGCCGATATCCGATACCGATCCAATACTACTATTGAATGAATGGACTGTATATCTTGTCCTGTGAGTGAAGGCATCAAACTTGAAATAGCCTTGTTAAAAAAAAAAAAACATATAAATTTAGTTTATATGTTTTATTAGCAAATAACAAATTGCACATTAGCACACAGCAAAAAAGAAGTAAGACTTCCATGTAAACATTTAGTGCAAAAGGATAGACAAACATAGAATAAAGAGTGAACTGTGTTGCTGTGTATGATATTAATTAAAAGAAAAAAGAACACTGGATCGTCATTCATCAGACATCCGATCCGGTTATTATGTCAATATCAGAGCCGATATCTGATCCAAATATCGGATCAGTGCATCCCTAATATTAGTAGAGTTGCACTGAAGCATTTACAAACTTAAACTATTAGATTAAAATGTTCTCATCACTACGAATACTATCACCCTTGTCCATATTCTCATCTAAAATGCACATAATAAAATGTCCGATCACTATTTGGAACTAAATGCCTGCCTTCTGTTCAATTTTAGTACCCACTCAGCCTTCAAATATGGGCCTAAGCTACAGCTGCCACACAGCGTCGTTCTCACTCCTACAGTGTAATGACAGCAGTTACCAAAGTCTATATTCGTTAAAGATGTGCAGGTCAGAACCAGAGGAAATCAGAGGTTTGTCTTTGATTGATTGCAGAAAAGAAGATTATCAGCCGAGATTTAAATAAAACTTGATCACGTCTGAGCTTGTTGATGAGTCTGCTTTTCAAGTGCTGTTGTCTCCGATGCCTCCATGAGTCCGCACACTTGTATATGTAATGACAACCTCCTTCAAAAGGCCTGTGTACGACTTCAGAATGGAAAACTTTGATGGTGTTGTGTTTCCACAGCAACACCTTCCTGCTCACAGCGAGCAGCATCACAATGAAATCTCGGAGGAGAAACAAGCCCCAGGACCAGTCCGTCTCCGTAAGTGAAAAACTGATTGTGAAAATTGTAGGGGAGAGTAAACAGGTTATTAATTTATCTACATGGGTGATTCACAGTTAATGCGCTGTGTGGCTCAGTCTCCGCTCACTCACGACTTTCATTTGTTGGTAATACATAACAGCTCTCATCTATGCAGCAGAAGGCAACAGTACGCATCTCTGCCTTGTGTAACAGACGAGATATTCGTCCCTCAAAAGGTAAAAAAAAATAAACTTGCGGAGCGGCACCCATCCAGTCAGACAGCCGTAAAATCTCAAAATAAAGTGGTGCAAAGCCACAGGAAATGCTCGATCAGGGCAACACACCTCAACCTGTTTAAAAGGCAATTGTCTGTTACCATAGAAACCGGGAGTTTTGTGGGTGTGTACCGCATCAAATGAACAGCGGGTTCAGGGGAGGGAAAGGTGGCTGTGCAGACTCAGTTAAACGAGAGTCAGAGGGGCTCAAGGAAAAAATGACAAGAGCTCTCAGGTGTCGATACTCATCCGAACACAATTTATGTCTTATATAATCTTGTTTTTATAGCTCTAGATGATCAGATTAGACCTCTTGCAAATACAATCAGTAATGCTTCAACTATTATTAACTTAGCGGTTTAACATTGTCATCCTTTCTGGTCAACACCACAATTACAAAGTGGTGAAAGGAATGATGAGAAGACATTTCACAGCCAGTCATATGTTGTATTTAAGCCACTAGACTGGGTTGCAGCTCCAGTTGTACTGCTTCAATGCCCGTCCGCCCAGATGTAAAAAACACAGATGACTGATTGTATGTTGCTTTGGCAGCGTTTCAAAGTGTACAAAGAGGACCAAGGGATAATTTGCCATTGCTAACCCCACAGACTGTGATGACGTGTGTGGCAGCAAACTTAAATGAAAAGTGCTCACTTTTTGCTGTTCTTAGTCAGACCAAAAAATCTGCTTAAATAACTTGAAACTCTGCGGTGTACACATACTTTATTATTCACTCATCTGAACTATAAACCTGCATGTCTGTTTTTGTCTTCTTCATTTCTATGTCTGCATCTCCCTCTATTCTACTTTCCTGACCCAGCCATTTGGAGCCATTTGGAGCCATTTGAAGCACGAGGCCGTTCATCAATGTGTCTAGTTTTACCCAGGATTTCTGTCAGTCACAAAGAAAGACTCTTTTTCTCTCGTCTGTCTGTCTGTTGCCAGGTACTTGCACATAATGGGGCAGTGTAAGCTCTCTGTAAAAAATGCATGACAGAGTTCAGCCTCAACCTGCTCTATGTGGGATAATTTTCATAATGATTTAGTGCTTTATGAAAGAAAATGAGATTTTTTTAAAGAATAATGCAGGCGGTTAAGTGTATTTCATTTGAACCACTATAGAGCCAGGTGAAAATTCCCTTTATTCAAAGTATTTATTTACTGATCATCATTAAAAAAAAGGATTTCGTGGGAATAAACAAAATTTGCAGACCATTCATCAAATAAATGCAGCAGTAGCACATCATTTTAGAGAATGAGGTGGATTTATATAAAGCACCAACATTCAGTTTTATCACCTTCATGTTGTTTTGTTCAAACGGCATTAGTGATGATGGGATATATCAGTGATGAATAATGCAAAGGCAGATCTAAAGATTCACAGTCCAACCAAATCTCCAGTATGACTTGAAGCATTCAGATTGTTTCTCTTTTTAAATTTTAAACAGACAATAGAAGATAGAACAAGGAAATGTATATGTTGTATTTTTAAGAAGAAGAAGAACTTTATTGATCCCCGAAGGGAAATTCTCAGGGTTGGCAAAAATATTATCCTTTTTTTTTAAATATGTTTGTGCTCTGAAATCAAGTATAATATTCAAGAAAAAAAATACTTTGTGCAATGGAGGTAAAATCGATGAGAAAATCCCAAAGAAGTCTCCAATGCATTATTTATGGTGTGACACCTGTAGCCCTTCACATCTTCAATCAATGGCAAACAAATAATCTTTCAATTTAATTTTTCCAGCTGAATTTTTAGATCACTTTTCTCTGTGCTCCCACAGGGGCTTGTTATCACAGCAGTTAAAGCTGGTTCGTTTAGCTCCAGTGGACAACAATCTCTATTTTCACATATATCAATAACTATGAACACATCAAGTATGAAATATGAAATCACTGACAGCTTAGCATGAGAAAAACTGGAGCCTTACTCATTTGAGTTTTCAATTTGACCTCACAGATGCCTAATTTGTACCACCTCCTAGATTTATCATGCAAAGCAGCGCACTCAGTATACAGTATGTGGAGCGTAACTGCCAGTAGAAACTACTATAAGTAATAAAACTGATAGGATTTAGTGTAAGCGCCTACCTCTATGGTGTAGGACTGGTCGTGCTTGACGATCTCTCCACTCCGCAGCGTCCGAGAGAAAGTAAACTCCTTGGTGGGCGGGTCTTTACTCCCCTCTTGCGGTCCATGTTGCTCTGCGCCCAAGACCTCCTCAGCTACCTCGGATTGATCCGGCTCGACCTCCACCCTTCCCTGTGAATCCCCTTCCGAGTCCTCCTTCTTTTTCTTCTTCTTCTTCTGTTTCTTTTGGGAGTCAGCGTGAGCTTTCCTCTGGCGATACTCAGCTAGCTGGAGGGGACAGAAGGACAACAGAACAGTGTTACGGGTAGAATTGGCAGTTTCTCCGCTTGTCCTGGGAAGTTAAAAAGCGTCAGCAAACAATACGACAAACATATCAGTGTTGTTCTCGTCAGCTATGCCAGCCAGTGTCTCAGTTTAGATCTTTGTTTATGTGACCCTAATTCGTCAATTGAAGAGCCACCTGCCTTATCCTTTTTTTACAATTTCATGACTTTGCCTCGCACAGACTCATAACTTCAGAGAAAAGGAGAAAAACATAAACGTATGAACCCACGTTGAGTTGACACAGGTTGGCAAAACTCAAACGAAACATTGTGTGCCCCAAAAAGGCTTCTTCCCTGCTCGGAGCGAGTCCTCCCTCCCTTTGACCCGGCAAACGCCTCTTGCTGTGCGAGGTGCTAATCCTGACTAAAGGGATTACGCTGTCAAACTATGTCAATGATCTGTCAAACAGCCAATAAAAGGACTGTTTCCTTTTTTAAGCTTTACTCAAAAACAAATATCCTGTCGTTTGTCGATTTTGAGATTCTGAATTTTTTATATCTAGAAGTTATTAGTTAGGGTTACTGAGGACAATAAACGAGTCACCCTTTTATATCCTCTAAGTAAATATTACACTTTCTGCCTGTTTTATACCATATATTTTTCATTTTACAGCATGCATGTGATTGGATTGTCCCAGTCAATTCCTAAAATGCCTTTTTTAAAAGAAACAAAAACTTAAAAATGCGAACTTTAAACTTTTGTCTGTAAGTTAAGCCGTAACTTGTGTTAAAGAGGAAATATTTTCACTTTTAAAGAGGTAGAGCCAGAAGAATTTTAATCTCTGAGTGACCATGAAAATTATGAGCACTGATTTCTTTACTTTGACCCTTAAAAAAAGGTTAAAAACAGTGTTTTCATGATCAAAATTTCATGATAAAGTTGTTTTATCATAGTTAATATCTTCTATCCAAAACACATATCTCCATGAAGCACCTGAACACACTTCCAGGTATTTTAATTACACACTCTGTAATCCTGCCTTTGCTTCTCTCACGCATTCAAACTAATTTTGGATGTAACGAAAGCAGCAGGAGTAGCTTACACCGAATTAGGATAAGAAGGGACAGCACAGTCCTGAATGGGAGTACTACTGGTATGTGTTATGCATTTTGTATGAGCAACTGCTGACAGTGAAACGCCTGCAGGGTCAGCTGACGCAGGGCAGACAGGCAGCGTAGATTGCCTTAGATATAGACGAACTGTTGCTAAGGATACTGCCCTAATGCCTGTACGCATGTCCTTAAAAAGCCCGTATAGCTGCATGGCACAAGTCATAACCCGAGATGCACGGCTATCCCCACTCCCTTGTCACCCGCTTGCCCGCACTCACACTGCTCCAGGCCCCATGTGGCCCGAGCACGATAATACGGCACACACATGGCTTTACATACGTCATCATGAACCGTCTTTACTTCACAAGAGGCAAAGTCTCAGAGTCAGGATAATGACAGGAACATGTCTGCAACTTCACTGACCGTGTGTTTTACTTTGGACTCAGAAAACACATCTGGTTTTCCCAGTGCAGTTACAATGAAGTTACTGCTGATAACACACACCTGAGTCTTTCAAAATTACAACAGCTGAGCAGGTGTCACTGGAACAATGATTGTATGTCTAAAATGATACTAGACGTGTTTGGTTCGATACCTGAACAAACTTCAGGAACACCTGTGCTGCTTCATATTAAAAATGTATACAGTTATATAAACATGATAGATTTGTTCATGTTTTTCCTTCAGTAAGGCAGCAGGCTGGGCAATTTTACCCTGAAGGTCCTTATCCCCAGGAACATTCAAAATCTTCCTCAGAGACAGGGCACTCTCAGGCCAGATGGGATCTCCTCAGCAGGCCTCTAGTCCTCCACCCATTTGGATATGTCCAGAAAACCTCCTAAGGGGAGCACCCCAAATCAACAGAGTCCTTTAGGTGGAAACAAGTCACAGATTTATCCTGAGCTGCCTCCAGATGTCTGAGCTCCTTATCTTGTCTTTAAGACTGAGCCGAGCCGCCAAATCATTTTGGCTGCTTGACTCTGCAATCTCACTCTTTTAGTCGCTACTCAAATCTCCTGACCACAAGTGAAGGTTGAAGGTAGACAAAGGGGTAAATCTAAAGCTTTGACTTTTGTCTTTAGTAAACTGCAGGCTGGAGCAACCCATCTCTCCATTCACATCATTGTTACCGAGAATAACAAGAGAGGTCCCATCACATGGTGCGTTCGAGTTACCTCGGAAGTCAGAAGTCCGAGCTGAAAATGACGGCACCCCCGAGTTACCAGCGTTTCAGTTACCAAGTCAGAAAAAGCAAAGTCGGAGGCGGAAACAAGATGGCTACATCTAAGAAAGTTATTTTAGCTTGCCTTGTCCGAATAAAAGGCAAGCACTAAAATAACTTTCGTAGATGTAACCATCATGTGTCAGGCCTCCCATTTTGCTTTTTTCTGACTTGGTAACTGAAATGCTGGGATTCCGGGTGTGACGTCATTTTCAGCCTCAACATCTGACTTCCGAGGTAACTCGAACGTAGCAATAGTTCCGAAGCTAACAGAACCACATGCAGTTCTAAATAGTAAAAATAGTTACATGAGACCAACCACGAGCTTTCCCTGTGCTTCTACAAAGACCCAATATGTTAGCAGTATTTTCAAGAAGACCCCCAGGGGAGCACAACTGAGCCCTTCCTTAGGTCAACAAAACACTTGTAGCCTGGATAAGTACACTTCTATGACCCCCCATGGATAAGAGCTGGTCCACCTCTAACCCTCAACTTTAACGACCCACCCGATCAAGCTCATCACAGCAACAGAAAGGAGAATTCCAGCTAGTATTGGCCAATACTGGGTCGTCACAATCTTTGGTAAAATCTCAACTGTTGGTCCCACCGAGGAGTTTCTCAGCAACTTCTGTGATGTGAGCGTCTAAGATATACAGTCGTAGATTTGATGGTATGACAATGAAGTTCATCATCCACCTTTAGTCTGGGGTGCTTGGGAGCCAGGCTGCTCAGAAGAGATCCTTTCTATCTATCTAATCTAATCTATGACCTGCTCAGAAGTCTGATAAACAAGCATAATCTTGGTTCAGATTGAGTGGGCAGATTTTCCTGTTCAACCCTTCTAGGTTTCTCTATCATTCCCCTATCTCCCCAACAGAATTACACGACCTATTGATGGTGACCCTCTCTTTCTTTGAGGGGACACATTCAGTGGTATTTACACCCCTGTCTTGTCTCTCCTGTAGGTGTAAAAGTGGAGCAAGGACATTCTACCTCGGATCCCCACTCAGAGGCAGTTACAGAGGAGTAATACTGAAGCTGTCAGGGTGGAACAGTGTTGTTATGTGTGTTTACAAGCAGTAATACACAGTTTCAAAGAGCGATGTGTATGTTCATAGGCATTGTGACGGCCTAAGTCTGGTCCAGCACTGAAATGCTGTGCATAAATAGCAAGTGCCACTCAGCCAGGACTTGCTGAGTGTCCCCAAACCTGTTGGCTCCTCTTCCCTTGGGGTACTCAGCACAAGGAGAGACTCTTGGCCCTTTCTAGATACAGTATCAACCAAGGACTGTTGAAGACTCTCCCCTTTGCAAAAACACACACAGCAATACCGCCTTTGATAGTACGTACAGGTCATATTACCCCTCAAAAACCCACTCAAGTGCCAGCCCTAGGTTTGCAAACGGGTTTTTGTCATCATCTAATAATACTCAAACTATTTTTAGATAAATCTTACAACAGTTTGTCATGAGCTGTCAGCAAAAACTGAAGGTTGTTGGATTATCTCATACTTAGAGAGTCACAGAGCTCTTTAATTACCAAATACGTGGGTAAATCAAACAGAAATAGATCAAAATCTGGAAGAAATGACCCCCATCTCTCACAATCAAATTCAGCGTTAAACTAAGCCCTGTCTGACAGGTCTGGTTTGGCGATGATGATGTACAAAAGGTTGGAGCTAAGCGTGGGCGTCATGGTCACGTCCCCCACCTACACCATTCCAACAGCTCAAAGGACCACCATCTATCTGTGTCTCCCTTAGAGCTTTATCTAGGAAATACCAGAGCACAAAGAAGATATGAGTGAATGTCTTTCTTACAGGAGAGAGAATCTGGTGATAGAGGCTATGAAGGCTGTCCTTCAGTTTCACTTATTAGAAGAACAAACCAGCAGGACACCAGTTAACAGAAATCTTCCAGAGTTTTTAGAGAATCATGGGTACCCCGGTCTGTGGTTAAACTACTTATCATAGCAGGCTGCCCTATTTGGCTGGCCAGAGCAGAGCATTGGCAGAGCATATGGAGTTTTGAAGCCTGTGTAGCAGCATCACCATCTGGAGAAGCAGAGACTACGTAGGTGTAACACCATCTGCTGTCTGAAAACATTTACACAACCGATTTTTAACACAGGCTCGTTTTTCTTTTTTTTTTCTAACCCTGTCTTATAGCAGCTGATGGACACCATCAATAACAAACTACTGTGAGATCATCTACATAGTAATCACAACCTGGCGGAGATGAGCGCCAAAACAGAACCGTCTTTTGTGAGGCTTTTATTTTTTCAGTGTACTGTGACTTGGAGATGAGTGAGAAAATATCTGTTTTTAGATATGTATTTTATCAGCCTCTATATATTCACCGTTTTGGGCAAAAGCTGGAACTGATCATCAGAATTGATTCCAGACAATCTTCAGTTTAGACAAGTTTAGACCAAAAATGCAAAAATTAATACATGTGTGAAAGATTTGAAATATTTTTTTTTTATTTAAAAGGAATCAAAACACAATATGGGATCCAAGATAAGCAAGTATACCTTCCAATCCCAGCTGAACACTATTGCGTCTGCAGTATTTGCTGAACAACAACAGGAGAAAGTCAGAGATCTTCTCTGTGAATCATAACTTCAGTGCCTAAGGAATAAAGCATGCTGAAAACAAAAGTCCGTCTGAAGCTAATGTAACTCACTGCATGCTTAATTTATTTATGCTTTGAGGTATCAGTTTTAAAAAGTCTCTTAAAATAAAGTAACCAGGTGTTTTTATGTGCTCGCTCTGCTGCTGCCTGTAAGACACACAGCTATAAATACTCAATCGGGACTGAAACACAGCACTGCAGCAGAGCTCAGAGAGGGAAGCGCGCTGCCTCCAATGTCATGTGTCAATGAGACTGCCAGCAAACACTGGGTTAGTCAACACCACACACACACACAGCTGCTATATGGTAGAAAACCTTGTGCTTTATGAACACATTCCCCTTCACAAGCAACAATAGAGAGCGGCCCTGGAAACAGAACAACAGCAACTGGAGCAACGTGTGGAGAGGTTGAAGCAGAGCTGGACTGGCATAAAAATTCAAAAGGCTTCGAGGGGTTTTAGTAGTGATTTTTAAGATGTGCATTTAACAGACGCTGGATGTGTGCAAACATGCCCATCCTCCCTGAAGTCTCCTCGCACTGCTGCTAGGGATGTTTTGAACAGCACATAGCTTTCTCAAGGGGGGTTTATTCTGCTTGTTTGAACACTTTTTGTGTAACTAAAAAAAAAAAAGATTCAAACTGACTGCGAAACAGAAAAATCTGCAGAGGTTTTTTGGGGCTGAGGAGTTAAATCTTAATCTCAAACAAACAAGCTGCTGCCTGGATTAATGGCCTATTCTGGGAATACAATTGCAAAGTCCTGCCTAAAAACCCTTTCTCTTATATTGACGGTAAAACCTACACACCTTATTGTACTGCTTCTGGTATGGGAAAGCAACTTATGACACCTACCCCAAAGCAGCACTTTCACACAAAAAATTAACAATTAATAATTATCAGTCTTAATTTTGACGGCCTTTGTTGTTTTTGTTGAGCATAAAAAGTCATTTTTGTTTTTCTGTCTGTTTTATATCAACTTTATAACTCCTCACGGAAGCCTTCTTATCAACGCAAAAGCTCCTAGAACTGCACAGAGGATTGGGATTATTAGGTCATATCTAATCAAGACTAGGCAGTCGTTAAACTACCCCATTCAATTAATCACTTATCAGTCCTTCCTCAAGCAGAAGAGTGGTGAATTAAAGCAGATTTACAAGTATTCACTGTTTTATATTCAGATATATCAACAGGGTTAAGACTGCAGCCTACGATTAAACTCATTGTGTCTGTCAATTACAGATTAATAGGATGAACAAGTCATTGTGGTCAAGTGGGTGAATTCAACACACTGGGATGTACATTCATGATTAGTCTGCTGAAGGATTAAGCATTCACTTCCAACCTCAAGTAGATCAACTTGTACCTTTCACTGTCCTCAAACTTGAAGTGCTGCCTGACACTGACCTTTAGACGATAAAACTGCAGGACAGGACTGTCACATACGACTTTTATAGGTTGTCTTTGCTTGACAGACTTCTGTATGGGAGTGTTATATTTTGCACCTTACTTTGCAGTTAATAGTACAGAGACATATTAGCTATATAATTAGCTATAGCAAGTTCTGACAGAAATAAAGACAAATAATAAAATCTGTATCTATGGGACAAAACTGTCCTATTGTCTCGTTATGCAGATGATACCAAGTTTAACCTGAATGCAAAGTAAACACATCCACCCTACAATCAAACCTGTTCGAGTAACTGGTAAAGTTACCAGCACACATTGAGTGAGTAGCTACATGAAATAAGGAGTGATACAAATAATGGTGTCGTCTTCTATGAAGGATGTGTGCATCCCCTGAGAGAAATTAAAAACCACTTCACCCTACTTCCCTCTCCCTTTACTGGAGCAGCAAATGGGCAGGGGCATGACATTCCCTATAGTTTCATTAGAAAAATCAATGCTGTTCAGCATTCTGTGTGATGGTGGAATAATGGACGGACAGAGCACTTTCCTCCAGGCAGAAAGATTAAATTAAAAAAAGGAAAAATCTGCAAGGAGAGAGAATTTCCTTCGATCAATTTGGAAACAGATCTACCTTCAAAAAGGGGATTAAAAAAAGAAGCCGATCTAATATACTGACTTGTTTCAGCTAATGATTGAAGCAGCTTTTAGCTACATGTGTGTTTACAGTCAAATTCCCTGTGAGTGGCACTACAGAGGAGTCACTGGATTGTCTTCTGACTGTGGGATTAGATAGTCTGATTGAGGTAAAATACTGGAGGGGAAGAAAGTCACAAAGAGGCAGTGTAAATTTCACCGAGTCCTCCTTCCAGTTGATGAGAAGAGGTGTCATATCTGACACTCCTGTGAGTTTCTCTGACCCTGCATCATTAAAGTCTCGGCATGACACAAAATCTCCTCCTTTGTGCAACTGGAGGACTGAACTTTAACGCACTGGTAATGCAAACTGCCAGTATGGGACCATGTTGCTACAAAGTGGATGTAAAAAGTGAAAGCAGCACTATATCTTACTCAAAATGCACATGCACAGACATAACTGAATTCAACATAAACTGAACAACAGATGATTGACCTTATTCTGTTGCCTCAGTCATCAGTGTAACTTCTGCATGTGTGTGAACCAAAAAACACATTTAACAAGCACGGCTTCTGCTACTAATTTACGAACCATAATCTCACAACCTAGATTTCAACCAATCAGAAAAACACATGTTTCAAGCTCAATACTCAATAGTCTGTGATTTGCGTTGTGGTCTTAATCAGTTTATAATGTGATGATTGACTGAGCAAAAACCAGTCTGAGTGTATGAGGCTTTTACAACAAATAATGAAAACCTGTTCAGTGTTGTCAACGTGTCATTCTGTGGAGTAACAAGTCAAGTTCCTACCCAGCATGTGAGGACATGGTGACATGGCACTGTGTTGAAAAACTGCAGTCATATCCCCCTACAGCACAGAGGGGCCTTTTATAAAACCTGAATACCAAAGTCAGAACCACAGAGACGGTCGTACTTGTAACCTTTCCCACCAGCTAGAGCAGCAGCAACTTCAGAATGAAACCTAGAATGAGCAATAGACACAACTAAAGTGTTGAGAGGGATGATAAAACGAGTGTAGCTCCTTTTTGAGCCTACTGACTTCTAAATACAAGATGCATGTTAAAGGGATATTCCGGCGTAAAATTAATTTAGGGGTCAAACACACCATAACACCAAGTTAGACAGCCCCTTGAGAGATAAATGTTGCTGACGCTTGCTTCTCTAGTTATACCAACTTTAGTAACGACTGCACGATAGCAATCTGCTATCTGATTGCATTTCCATGATCATAAATGTTCTTCCTTGAGCTGCGTAACCCCGCTGTAGTCTGTAATGGACTGGTCCGAGGTCTTGCTACAAACAAGTGGCTGCTGGAAGAGAGTAGGTGAATTGTGTTTAGTCTCTTTGCTAAAGAAATAAGGCAAAGTTAAAAAGATGTTTGGTGGTTAGCGCTGTGGCTGGGACCCTATATGTACAGTTGATGAAGTTAGGTGCTGTTCTGAGTATCATTTGTGGCTATAGAGTGAAGTTTTGGTTGATGTTTGTTTATGGCTCCTCAGACTGCTGTGTATTGCTATCGTGCGGTTGTTACTAAAGTTGGTATAACTACAGAAGCAAGCTGTCAGCAACATTCATCTCTCAAGGGGGTGTCTAACTCAGTGTTACGGTGTGTTTAACCTTAAATTAATTTTACGCTAGAATATCCCTTTAATGTATGTTGTTGGGAGAGTCATACCTGATCAAACTTGTGAGTTGGTGAGTATCAAATAGCTGTATAGTGAAGATTTTTGTGACTTCTGTGCTGACTTACAGCTTTTTCAGCCACTCCTCACTCAATGAATGCCAACACATTACATACCATTCCTCTAGTCAGTGAGATATCTTTAAGGGGTTTTGCAATGAGACTACACATTAGGAACATTATTCACCAAGTGGAGGTCAATTATATTACATGTAATACTAATCGTGTCTTAGGCAAAATCATGAGGACCTTTTGTACTCTCAACAATGCAGGAGCTTCAAGAGAGATGGAGACTGTCCTTACACGATGTGACAGCTGATTGATAAAGCCATGCTACTGATTGATAAAGCCAATATAGCACAAGTTTGGCCTGTGTCTGCTGCTATTGTTGGGGACACGTCCTGTAAATCCTGTTACACCAGCCTGTCAGCCTCACTTAAAGTGGCATTTATCACCCTCTGATAACGAAGTGACATCTTAACCACTGAGGGATTGGACAAGCATTGCGTGCACGTTTTGAAGACAAAAAACAGTGATTGCAAAGGCTACAGAAACGCTTCAGACATGCAGCATGACAAAGGCGTCTGTTGCTAGCAGAGGCTATGCTAACACCCCGGCTGTCAAAGGGGGGCGCATGTTTGGTGGGACTGACAGTTGTGAAGGGGGTAAGAAGGGGAGGGAGGGGGGGACATTAACAGCTGACAGACCCAGCTGTGACGAAAATAAGCTGTCATCAACACTGACAAACTACTTTAAAGTATAAAAAGAAGTGAGAGTGAGTTCTGCTAACAACCAGAAACAGAGAATCCTACCTTTGCTTTGCCGGCCTCCAGCTTTTTCTGCCTCTCCTCGTCTTCCATCTCCGCGGTCCCTGTGGCTAAAACAAGAGGAAAACTGCTTCATGCGAAATATTATCGAAAAAACTCTAAAACACTAACAGCTCGGTATCTCTTGTCCGGCTTTCATTCGCGTTTACTAGGTGCTGTCTCCTTGTTGGTAGTCCGCCGCCATGTTTCCACGTAAACATGAGACTCAACTATGATGACGTAGTGTAGGTGCCTTCACGGCCACGCCCCCTGGCATTCCACTAGCGTTGCCTTCACGGACTGGAAGAAGTGTCGTAATTATTTGCAGTCTGAGTCAATTCAGCATTTTGCCACATTTTTTTAATGTGTCACGGAGCTCATTTGCACTACGGTGGCCGAGAACCGTCACTGCTGCAAATGAAAAAGAATGCAAAACAAAGGAGTCACAATGGAAGTTACCAATGCAAAAGAAAAAAAGAAACCGAAGTCCACTGCAAATAATAAAAAAAAAATGTTGCAGATAAAAAAATGCCACAACGGAAGTTAACGATGCAAAAAAATGTGGTGATGCCAAAAAAAAAAAAAAAAAGTGACTTGCTGTGGAAAAAAAAAAGCCACAACAGATGTGAGCTGTTGGGGACCAATAATGATGATGCACCGGTGTTTTACAGGCTAAGCACAGAAGGCGACAGCGAGAAGACAAGCAAAGAAGTAAGTAGGAGGAAAGGTCATTGTTTAATTTCGCTCTGTGTGCTTTTCAAGTAAGTTACTTTTTTTTTTTTGAGTCATTAACTTCTGTTGTGGCCTTTTTTTTAAAATCTGCACCATTTCTTTTTTTTTGTTTTTGCATCAGTACCTCCATTGTGGCTTCTTCTACTTTTTTTTTTTTTGCATTCTTTTTTTATTTGCAACAGTGGCGGTTCTTGGCCACTGTTCATTAGCTCTTTCAAGTGGATGTTTAACTAGGGGGAAGTACTTAGCTATAAGTTTAGGTCCTATTCTTGTAAGTGTAGCCGCACAAAAATAGAAGCATATCACAACCCAATTGTTATTGAAGTATCCAAAGTGAAAGTCTTCATTGTACTTTAAGGCCACAGTAGCCCTTTATTGCCCTTTGTACCATATTTGATAAATACTTTTATATACTTCTATCAAATCAATATGAACAACAAATTACTAAAAAAAAACACCTTAATACAGACCAATAAATGATATAGATGTCCTCTTGTGGTTTATTAGTTTCCAAAAATATCTGATGTGACAAAAGAGATAAATAAATATATTTGTTAAATTTTAAGGACATTTAGATTTTTTGGGTTTTCAGTAGGAACTGAAATAAACATCTCAGCTCCAAAAAAAATGAAATTTTCTGGCCATAATTTGTGGTTTCAAGCATTGAAGGGTTAAGGGTGTCATATTTATTAACTAACGGGATATATAATGAACCAGAACCAGAAATACACAGGCGTGTTGGCCGTATTACGTAGTGTTGTTTTAACACAAACAGTACCTTATGTTATGTTATGTATTTTGCACATCGAAATTGTCTAATTGCTGTCGATGACAAGAGGAGTAAAGACTATAATTTTATTCTCAGTATATGATAAAAGGTAACCAAATGGTCAAGGCAAACTTTTTAAACTGTATTGATATACACTGCATTAAGTAAATGCTGATTGAAAAAAAAGGCTGCTTTTGACCGTACTAAAATATGTTTGCATTAAGACATGGACTCTGATATATTTTGGATTAGGCCTATATTTTCTTCTAATATTCTGATGTCTGATATTTGAAAAATCAGAGTTTGTGGATCCAAGGCAGATGGTGCAGACTACTTTGAAGTCTCAATGCCTGGATCAAATTTGTTAACAATCATTGGTAATCAGATCAACATGTCTGATGTTTTCATAATGTCATAAATTTCACTGCTTTATATTCAGTCTGAATTCTGCTTGAAACGTCTGCTCAGTTTCTATGGTAACAGGAGGAGAGATTGCAAGAGCTGTCCCAGTTGAGAGGTTTCCTTTTGAACACTAAATTTTTCATCTGAGCACAATGTTTTGCCCAATACAGTTTTCAGTCTTCACCTTCTATTGTGCTGCATAGCGATATGTTTGGCTATTCTGAGCAGGTCTTGACAACAATGGCACGCACTTCTTAGAAAAAGGAAACATCTGAGCTTTCTCCAGCTGAATGGGACTGTAGGTAAGGTGAGACACTGGCATCAGTTTCTAGGACAGATGGAAGCTGTAAAGGACAGAATAGTCATTATTTAACTCCCAAGTCTACAAATAGCTTGTAAATCTCATTAGGAAAGGTCATTGTCCCTTCCTCTGTCCGTTATCCTGACATTTTGAAGACTAAATTTACGGAGTAGTAATCATGATTATTCAACTGAAATGTCATTTTGGAGTCACATCATTCAGTCCTTGTTAGACAAATAAGGGACACTGGCAGTCATTGATACTTTTAATACATTTTTAGACATGGTGAAAAACAATGTTTCCTATTTTCTGCTACCCTTGATTACCTAGTTTGTGTTTATGCTAAGTGTTTATACATTTGGAGAAATGTCACTGTCTCCACCATCGGGAACAATCTCCCCTCAGACATCTGAAATGCCCCATCTCTGGCCACATTTGGAAAACTACTAAAACACCACCTGTTCACAGCAGCCTACAACCTCCCATAATCAGCTTCTCCATCTGACCCCCATGTTTTTTCACCTGTCTCAGTCTTGCCTTTCATGCTATTGCTTCACTTTGTAAAGCAAACTAAGGTCCTTTGAAAATACACTTTAAAATGTTTTATTATTATGATTATGACTATGATTATGATTATTATTATTATCAAAACCAGCCACCCTATCCAACTGCCATCTCCAAAATATGACAGATTTGAAATCCTGCAGGATTTTTACGAGTCCACAAAAAACTATGTAGTCCACGTAATGTGTCTTCAGGGTTCGTATGTAATCAAATATAATCTGCAATGAAAACACGCCTAAAAGCAAACATTTAACATGTTTGTTAAAATGCCTTCTATTTAAAGTACGCAAGTCTTGTTACCTTGTGTTTTGTATGATGCATTAAAGATATTTTCATGCTAATTCATATCTTTCAGCTTCACATGTATCACCGAAAGAAAGTTCAACATTTTTCACATACCAGTTGCAGCGGCAGCAGCAGGAGATGATGGTCTGTGTCGTCGGCTAACTGGAGCAGAACAGCTGATAGTCTGGCAGATTTTGAATTCTACCCATCTTCTTTTGGACATTCTCACCAACTTGATCCTACCTGTAAACACCAGCCTGTTTGTGCGCAGACATCTACAGGAAACACAGGAACCTGTGAGCATTTGAAAGTTTCGACGGTTTCTAAATTATTGATTCACCGGAGGAGTAGAGTGTCAGCAGTTACCCAAGCAACTTTAAACTGAGTAGACCACAACAAATGGAGACATGAAAGGATCCATTCAATAGCCAAGGTCTACAACTAATAGAAGTTTAACATCAGAAGCACTGTATTAAACTTAAGACAACAGCCAGAAACCTCAATATAATACGAGAACACCTCTCCTTATATCATTCCTCAGACAGCTTACACTATCCCTCTCTTCTTTCTCTTCTGTCTGATATTATTTTTCTCATTTTTTCTTACTTTTCCACTAAATTTCTTCTTAGAGAGAAAAATATTCAATCTGTTTTTATTTCAGGCTTACTGAGGGGCCCTTAGTAGTTTGTGACACCTTTCCCCATACTTTGACTCTCATGCCTCTCATCATCTGTGTTACACTAAAACTGATTCAGACATCAGAAACACAGGCCAGATAAGCTGCTCCCCATCACATCATCATGCAAATAGAGACAAAAGTGCTCCAGAGAAGTGCGTGGAAAGAGAATCTGATGAAAAACAACAGTGTCCTGTTGATGACTGAAAAATCAAATAAAACTGTTACGGAGGAAGCTGTTTGAACAAATATGCAGCCTCACTTGATTTTTGAGTAGCCGGGAGAAAGCTAATTTGAATCCTGAAGATATCACTGTTCTGTATTAAAATATTCATGACTGAATGGGGCTCATCAGTAAAGTGTGGCAATGGGTCGGGAGGTTTTTCAGAGCTAAGCTGTGAGCCAAACCGCACGGTAAATACTGTCCTTTTTTGTCATGGGAACATCAGCTGAATATAAATGAATTATTTGACTAAATGAGTAAATGAATTTAGGATTAATGTGACTCAATGTCCACAATTCTCAAAAATCTAAACTCCTATCAAAATGAAATATGTGTAAATATTTTGCTTGTCAGGACATAGCTGCAACATTGAACCCATGTTATACATCTAGGGGCTTGTAATAGAATTATTGGTAATTTAGAGTGATTATGAGCCAAATAGGTACTCATTTATTCTGAATTGGTACCCCTTTTCTTGTTTTGTTTCTTTATAATGTGCTTGTCTGATTCTGTGCTCTCTATTTGTTGGCATACAGATATGTTTGTTTTATTTCGTTTTTTCTTTTTTCTTTTCCTTTCTGTTCTGTGTCCCTGGGGAGTGATGGGGAGGGTAGGAAGTTTTGTGGTTAAAAGAAAAAAAAGTTGACAATTTTCATTTTTGGTTGTTATATCAATATGAAATAAAGAAGATGTAAAAAAAACAGCTTCTTGTTCCAAGGATTAATAGATAAAATAACGAATTCTTTAACTCCAACTGCATGTTATGGATGCTACCCCTATGAAAAAACACCAGCTGCTGTCTTTCAATTCCATCTAGTGGTGAAAAGTTAGTAAAGTCCCAGCATTTACTCCATAACGCTAGATGGCCCTAACTTGCATTCAACGTCTTGTTGCGGGGTTATCACAAATCTCGCGAGACTTCTCGGTGGGTGACGGTTTCGATTTCTTGAAGTGCTGACAAAACTATGGTGGCAGGCCACCGTACAAAACCTTCCTCAAAACCATAATCTGTACAGTCTATGCCCAAAACCAAGTGTTGGTACGTATGTTTTTCATTTAGTATACTTTATAGGGCTAACACTGAGAGCGTTGAAAGTCAGTTTGACACTAATGGAGCTTAAACAGTTACATTTGCTGACCGGGACTGGTGAACTCTCGGCAAACAAAGTTTTCTGATAGTAAAATATTAAGTGTAAATTGTCATGTCATGCCGGTTCACGTTGATTTGAGTCCTGCTGCTGTTAAAAACAGATAACAACTCTGTTGGCGGATGGACAGCTGTTGTCTTGATTAATAAAGCAATAAAAACGATGTCAACTGTAATGTAATGTCATATTATTTCTTTTTGTCCAAGGTACACCAAAAGTGAGAGTGCTTTGTTGCCATACTTGAGATGGCATTATTTCCTGGAATAAAGGCTCTTCTAAGTTTCCATCAATCACTGACAGTGCTGCGCATTTCTTCACTCATTTCTTCACACTCAGTATCCCAATACCTCCTGAAGAGGTTTTACAGTTCTTCAACAGAAAGTGAACAGCCAGCAGCCCCAGAGAATGAATCTCTGCTGCAGAACCTCAGTCTCATGGGAGTGGATGTGACAAAGGCCCGGCAGCGTCAACCCGGGGTGCTCCGTAAAGTCGTCACTAATGAGCAAGGTGTTGCTCAGTTTCTGAATGACAAAGGTGCCAGCAACAAAGTCATTGCAGGAATCATTTCTCGTTTTCCCCGCGCCATCACCCGCTCCATCGAACATTTGGAGACGCGCTGGGCACTGTGGAAGAACATCATTCAGACTGATGCAGAAATAGTGAGCATCGTGGATCGCTCACCAGAGGCTTTCTTCCGCACCAATGATAATGGGAACTTTAAGAAGAACATAGATTTTCTGACCTCGCTGGGACTAAGCTCCAAAGACCTTCATCGGCTTCTGGCAACAGCACCACGAACTTTCTCCAACAGCGTAGAGCTCAACAAGCAGAACTTAGAGTTTTTGGAAGAAATCTGTGTTGAGTTTGGTGGCAAAAATTCCGAAAACTTTGCTAAAAACATCATATCCAGAAACCCTTATATTCTCATACGAAGCACTAAGAGAATCAGAACAAACATTGACTTCCTGAGAGCTACTCTGAAGCTGAGTGATGAGGAGTCGCTTGCTCTTTTTCAAGGCCGTGGGGCAGGAATATTGGACGTTTCCAATGAATGTATGAAAAAGAATGCAACCGGTCTTCAGCAGAGGCTGGTCTCACTTGGCTGTAAAAAGGCTGACATGAAAAAACTGATCATGAGCTATCCTGGAATCCTGTTCATGGGGACAGACACACTTAACTCCAAGCTGGACTGTCTCCTAAAGGCGGGGATAACTATCAAGCAGATTTTGAAAAAACCAAGGGTGTTAGACCTCAGCGTCCAAAACATTACAGGGAGACTGAAGGAGCTGAATAACCTGGGGTATGACTTCCAGAGTGATGGCGTCACTATCCTGAATATAAGCAAAAAAAGATATGATGAAAAGCTGAAAAAACTTGGCGGATGAATGAATCAATTGTTTGATTTTGATGCAAGAAAATGCTGAATGTTGTTTTGTCTTGGCTACAAATGAATAGCCCTTTTTGCACTTCAAGATTCTTTGCTCATGTTTCTGATGCATATTATTTCTCCCTCTTTTTCCTGAATAACATAATGTTTTAGGACCAAATCAGCTAAATAATGTAATTGATTATTACTACATCTTCAGAGTGTAGAAGAACCAAACACAACAGTTTTTTAAACCTGAATACAATACATGGACTTTGTTGATCCTTAAAGGGAAATTTGTCTGGAGTCTAATGTCATCTGTTAACCAAAGAATTATGTAGTCTGATGGATGTGGATACAAAAAACCTTCTGAATCTCTGTGTACTGCAGTGAGGAGAGAGGAGCTGTCCACCATCATACTTCACAGATTTAATTTAATTTAATTTTTTAATGCTTTATTCAGAGTTAACAAAATTACAATTCCAAACATAGCAGAATCAGTTCAGTACAGTAATTTCAATATTGAAATAACATATCAGTGAGAAATACTTAACAATATGGGGAAGCAACAATGCGTGTTTACACAGGGGAAAAAAAACAGCAGGGCAATAAAATAAAGTAGATAGTGAAGAACAACAAGCAGACAGAATCATAAAAGTAACTTTAAATAAATAAAATAATTTATGCTATGCAAAACTTTACAAGGGTTTTCTTTCTTTTTAAAACATTTCTAGGTGTTCATATTGGCGGGAAAATTCTTTCAGTTGTCATAACTTTTGCTCCTTCAAACCAGTTAACGTTTTAAGAGATTTCAAATACATTTTAAATTTGTTTATGAAAACAATAAATCTGGGGGATGGTCTCATAACTTTATTCTTATGGATGAAATATTTGGCAAGACATAAGATTACATTGCAACAGAATTTATCATTTTTATTTGGTAGTATCATTCCAAAAGTAACATTATCTAGAGAAATACAGTGTGGAAATACTGCAATTTTTTGTTGAATCCATTTGTGAATGTTAAGCCTGAATGTTATCATACTTCACAGATAATGTCTTGAATTCCTTTGGAACAATGTATTTTGTATTTTCTTCTTCAAAGACAATTCTTTGCATTCATGTGAGCATTTTTTGAATAAGAACCATATGCAACAAAAGAAACAACTTATGGAGATATGTGTCTAATATTATTCCAATTCTGCTTATGTACCTATGGTTAAAAACATACGTGTTTTTACATGTTACAACTAGTTCAAAGTGCAGCAGCTAGGCTTTTAACTGGTTTTAGTAGACGGCATCACATCACCCCAATTTTAGCCTCCCTTCACTGGCTTCCTGTCAGTTATTATTTTTATTACAGTTATTATTTTTATTATTAATATTATTATTGTTTTTAACTCCTCAAAGTCAGAACATTAATATCCGGAACTATTGTAACTCGATTGTACACTGCGGACCTTTCTGGTCTGATGCACAACAGTTTCCTCACGCTGTTGGTTAGACTTTCTGACAGTGTTGCGAGATCTTAGGCCGATTCTGATCAAACTTTTTTTTCATGACACTTTTATTTGCTAATAGCATCAATTATGTTCGTTTGCTAGCGGATGTTTACGTCTCCAGGCGTGTCTTTAGCTGTTAGCGTATTAGCAAGGTTAGTGTTACTCCGCTAATTCCTCTGAGGAGAGCGGGCTGTTACAACATAAACAAAACAGGTAAAGTAGCTGCAAATTTGATTCAAGTGTTATAAAATTAGCAAGTTTTACAAGCGTTTATTTGCAATAATTCAATCCCACGTTTATAAAGTCATAAAAGCAATAGCATTATGGACCTAGATAATCTATAACAACCCAAAACATAAGCTCTACCACAAACTTTACTTTCTGAAAGCTTTAATTTGACAGGCTTTGTTGACATGATCAGACAGATGATCACTGTATTTGCCGGAAACGTGATGGGTTTTAGTGGAAGGTGTTGCTTACAGTATGCCCACTTCACTACCAAAGATAAACGAAATCAAATGACAGGAAGAGCTTTCAATATAGTGAACACCATAACACTCCCAACACCCTCTTCAGCTTCAGTTTCAGCTTCAGCAGGGGATTTCAAGGAAATGATCACGAGTCTGACCACGTGAACACAAATCAACAATTTGACGTCTTATCTCGTTCTATTTCAACTGCAAATTGTTAAGTATCGTATCGAAAAGTGCTGTACGAATAAATAAAGTATGATTGTGATTATAAATTAACTTTTTTTTCAGATCAAAGGATTGCAGGAAGTCTGTAAGGGTTGTGATGGAAAACACAGAGAAAGAGGACAAAGTTGAAAAGAAGACACATGTGGCAGTAAAGGGTGAAGCTTTCATCAAGCAAGAGTAAGTAAAAACCAATTTTTTTAGAGCAGGGGTGTCAAACTCAACCACAGCAAGGGCCACAATCCGGATTTAGGTCAAACCTGAGGGCCAAAGAGGGTCAACATTTCACCAAAACTGTCAACCTCCTTTTCAAAAAATATGTAACAAAAACAGATATAATTATAAATCATTTGGAAATTCAAAAAGATTAAAAAAAAAAAAGTTAAAAGGCAATCTGAGATAGAAAATTTTTTTTTAATTTTTTTCTATTTTAATTTATTAGTTCAAAAGCTCAGAGCATGATATTAGAAATAAAAAAAACTAATGCTTTTAAAGAGCAAATACACGAGAAGAACATTGAAATCGGGTATAAAAGGTCAAAATATGACTTAAAATTTAAAATTGTAATCTTAAGTATAAAAATCGCACAAGTTCAAATACTGAATTGAACAAAATCAAAGCATGAAATAAAAAAATCTAATCATGTTTGACTTATAATCTTGAAATGCAAAATTGAAAACATAAAATAAAAAACCAAATATTTTTTCCCCCACATTCTTGACTGTTTATCAAATCTTCCTTACTCTTTAATTTCCCAGATTTTCATGGTTTATTACGTACATTTAAAATAATGGTGCTAAAGTTTACATTATTATACTGGAGGAAATCTGCAGACTTCATACTGGTGGACCAATAATAATACAAATATGATATGATCATGTGGGCCAGATATAAATGTTACACAGGCCAGATTTGGTCCCCGGGCCTTGAGTTTGACACCTGTGCTCTAGAGGACATACGAACACACTCTGAAGAGCATAGGAATAACAGTAAGACTTGTTGTCTTGTAAGAACAGATTTACAAGACTGTACTGATCAAAACTTTTGTCTAGGGAGAAGGGGAAATTTTGCTCGGCACTCCACACCAGTTTTCCCCATACTCCATCCTGTTCTTATCAGTGTGCCGAGACTTGCTTGTTGTGACAACTACTTGCTTACATACAGAATAATTTGTGAATAGCATCACATTAGTAGTCATGTGATGTGTAGTCATCTAGCGTTGTTTTGCCTTTACACACTGTCTGCAAGACTATTCCTGTCCTTCTTGTCTTTGCAGATTTCTTACCACCAAAGAAAATTTTCATGAGTTTGTAGACTCTGAGTGGAATGCTAGAAATGGAGAAAAGGTGTCTGCAAATGACAAAGTTGAGGAGACATCTGCTGAAGAACCTGAAGCAAAAAAGCTGAAACTGGAGTCTGAGGAGAAATATAAAACAGGAAACCCAGGTGGTAGACGTCGGGGGCAGAATAAGTCGAGGCCTCACACAAAATCATCTGCGTATGATGAAAAACGCCTGTGTCTCTCAGTCATTCAAGTACGAACTTTAACCTTCAACTTGTTTTATTTGATTCATTTTTGTATCCGTCCCAGCTCTCAGTTATTGACTTTCTCCCTACATGCAGGAGGGAAGGGAATGCCCCTTTGGAGCCAAGTGCCACTTTTACCACGATGTTGCAGAGTACATGGCCACAAAGCCTGCTGACATTGGGGAAAGCTGCTACCTCTATGACACATTTGGAAAATGTACTTTTGGTCTCGCTTGCCGCTTTGCCAAGGCTCACACCACACCTGACTTCAAAACCATGGAGAACGCCGAACTGATAAAGACCCAGGAGGGCAGGACTCCTGTGAAGAACAGCCTGAGTAAAGACCTCCAGTACCGTCTGAGGAAGCACTTGGTGTCCTTCGATAAGTCAGAGGAGTACCTAAAATCCCTTCCAAACAATAAAGACAAAGGAGAACAGAAAGGAAACGGTAAGACAGTTGACCATTTTTAAGAATGTGAAAACACTCTCACAAGAACCCGAGGTACTGTGTGTGTCTCCTTTAGCCATATGGTTTGTATTTGATCAGTGCTTCTGCATGAATCAAGACAGATCAAGACAGCTTCCATTTAATCAGCTAATGTAGTTTAGGTGGGGCATCATGCATACCAGTCTTTGTATTTTGAGCTAAATAGCTGTTAAATCACCACCTTTTAAACTAGATTTTTGCTATGCACTGTAATGCTGAGTTTAGGGTGAACTTTACATTTATGTTGTGTTTCCTGAGTTAATTTTGAATTGAGTGTTTTTACTCACTTAGGTAACACCCCTGTAGTGGAAGTATCTGCAGATTCAACAGACAAGGTGCAGCTTGCATCTTCTGAAACAGAAACAAAGGTATAAAATCGAACCTAAAGCCCCGCATTTTTATTACACATTGTATTTTTTACAGAGTTTTTCTTATTCTCCATGCTTGCTTTGTGAAAACTACAGACCAGCTTGGATAAACAGTCCCCAGTGAAGACTGTTGGCCCCCTGACTGATGAAGATGTCATCAAGTTACGGCCATGTGAAAAGAAACAGGTATACTTCTGTGCCAATCTTCTGTCTTAAACAGTTTTATTTCCTCGAGAACTTAAAGAGTAATTTTGGACGATTTAAGGGATGTTATGACATTTCCCTTGCTCGCTGCATGAAATGGACCAGTAAACAGTATTAAAGCCAAATGATGCCAAGTGATGGTGATAGATATTTAAAAGGCTATTCACACTAGTAGAATCTCTGAACTTGCAGCATGGATGAATGTCTGATAAATAACTCAATTTGTCTCTGTGTTTTAGGTGGATTTTCAAGACAAGCTCTACCTTGCTCCTCTAACAACTGTAAGTGTGATCTCTATCCTGATTTGTTCTGAAGTGGTTTCTATGTATATTACTCTAAAGACCGATAACAAATCATGCTCATGACTCTCTGAAAAGGTTTGACCTGACTTTACGTTTTCCTCTGTCCTTCTTTAGTGCGGAAATCTGCCGTTCCGTCGAGTTTGTAAGCGCTTCGGAGCAGACATCACATGTGGGGAGATGGCCATGTGCACAAACCTGCTGCAGGGGCAGCAGTCAGAGTGGGCACTTCTAAAACGCCACGAAAGTGAAGATGTTTTTGGGGTCCAGGTAATGCCAGCATGGACAATAGAAATGCTCCAGAGCTCCTCAGAATATTTAAACAATTGCTTAAATTGATTTTATAAACAGCTTGTGGGCTTTGTCATATCCTCTGTGAACATGTTTGTGAACAATCCTGAAATGCATATCTGCAGGTGGAGGGCTGCTTTCCTGACTCTATGACAAGGTGTGCAGAGCTAATCAACAAAAACATTGAAGTTGACTTTGTGGACATCAACTCTGGGTGTCCCATCGATCTCGTTTACAAGAAGGTGAACACCCAACATATAATCCTGTTCAGATTAATGTGTATGACTGCGGTTTGACCGTCTGCAACCACACACATCTTTTTTGAATGCAAAGTTTGAGCTACATAATCTTCTATAACCTACTTTTGGTGGCATCTTAGACGATAAAACCATATTTTCAGCTCGACAGATGTAATGGACAGAACATAAAGTCATATAGGAGAATACTACAGTATCATGATAAGTTTGAGTCCTTCGGCTGTTGCACAGACCTGGTATTAAACATCAAAATGACACAAGGACCAATGATGTTTATTTGCTTTTCCTCATCAGGGTGGAGGTTGTGGTTTGATGACACGCACCAGGAAGTTTGAACAGATAATCAAGGGGATGAATTACGTAAGTGTTGATTTTTTTTAACCAGATCTAAAGCAATATTTGAATTTTCAATGGAACTCTGCCTTTTATAGGAAAAATATTTGTATACAAAGAGAATAATAAGTCAAAATTATTTAAGAATTCAAAATATAAATACAATTTCTCTTGAAACATTGACTTAATTATTGAATTCTGCTTTTAAGTCAAAGATTTATGTGATTTGGGTCTTTCCAAAGGTCCTCGATGTGCCTTTGACTGTCAAGATCCGCACTGGTGTTCAGGAAAAGTGCAACATAGCACACAAACTCATCCCTGAGATGAAGAAGTGGGGAGTCTCAATGGTCACAGTAAGCTTTTAAATCTCATGTTTAGGAACTTTGCAGAGTTTTAGTTTGGACGTTCAGCACTCTAACATTCTATATATGTATTACACTATGGATCACCATAATAGGTCCAATTTAACTTAAATGTTTTGTGCTAACAATAACATTTACACTGTTCTTCATCTCCCAGTTACATGGCCGATCCAGAGAGCAGCGCTACACCAAATCCGCAGACTGGGACTACATCAGCTCCTGCTCCAAGCTGGCCAGTCCTGTCCCTCTATTTGGTGTGTGGATTTTTTATTAGACTTTCATTAAACAGCAATGTGAAGCCCTCTCTTGAACGAATGGAGATCTGAAGGCAATAAATTATGTATGAGTTGAAGTATGACAATTTTTGTGCTCATGAGATGTGCCTATCGTACCAGGTAATGGAGATATCCTGTCCTATGAGGACGCCATGAAAGCCAGGGAAACTGGAGTTTCTGGCATTATGATCGCAAGGTAGGTACCATGAATCGTCAAAACTGAATTCCTGACCAGAGGAATGACTCCAAATTAAAAGTCTAAATAAATTTTCAACTTAAATGTGACTGAAGGTAAATTTCAAACCGGTATTGAATTTTTTTTTTTGTGTTTTCTGTCTTTAGAGGTGCTCTCATAAAGCCATGGATCTTCACTGAAATAAAGGAGAGCAGAGACTGGGACATCTCGTCCAGTGAGCGACTTGACGTCCTCAGGGACTTCACCAACTTTGGTCTGGAGCACTGGGGCTCTGACACTCGAGGTGTTGAGAAGACCCGCAACTTCATGCTGGAGTGGCTCTCCTTCATGTGCAGGTAGGCAAAAATTCAATATTAAACCAACTGTAAGTTATTTTCCCTTCACAATGTGGTCTGATATTTTAGTGAGTGCCAGTAAGGTAAGTAGAAAGTTCCTCTGCCACAGCTCAGGATTAAGGTTTTTGTTTTCTCTCTCCCTCTCTCTTCCTCTCTTTCTCTCTGTCTTCCTCTCAGGTATATTCCTGTTGGCCTGTTGGAGCGAGTCCCTCAGAGGATCAATGAGCGGCCTCCGTACTACATGGGCAGAAACTACCTGGAGTCACTGATGGCGAGTCAACACGTCGGGGATTGGGTCAGAATTAGGTGAGCACAAAACTACTAATAAACAAAAACTACTCTCATAATCTAGCAACACTAAAATCCCCCATCAATTTATATTTTTACTGAAATTTCTCTCTCTCTATTTTTCCAGTGAAATGCTACTTGGACCCGTGCCGAAGAACTTCAACTTCCTACCCAAACATAAAGCCAATGCTTACAAGTAAAATATCTCCATCTGATTGCTTAAAATCATCACATTTTTGTTTTTTAAGTGTGTGGTTCACATGCTTACTTTTGCTTTGATAGAAAATATGACTGAAGAAAGAAAATCTTTTGTTCTGTTTGATTAAAATTATTTGATGTAATAATCTGTTTGTTTTACCTGTGGTGCTGAAGTAAAACACCCAAGTGTGAATATCTTTGAAACTGATGCAATAAATTCTTTTGCCACATTAAGAAATATATCTGTCTTGATTTTCTGATTACTTAAAACAGAGTGACCTTAAGCAACAAAGGTACTATGATTTTCTGTGAAATATCCATATTTGCTGATAAAACCAGTGTGTGGAAAGTTAAATTATAGCACGGATATGTTTAATGATTTTGAGTGAAATCTGAGACATTGAGATTGTGAATAAGATTCTTTTTCATCATATTGTAGGCACCAGTTTGTTTTAAACTTGCTATAAAAAGGAAAAAAAGTTGGGATATTTATTCAGGAAAAAGCCTCCATGAGATTATGAGCCTTTTTAACTTAGAGTCGACAGGTGGCCGACTGTTTGTATGAGAATTTGGCGATGAATTAAATGACATACTCAGTTTAAAGTTAAGAAAAGGGTTGGCATCTTCACAAAACGAGACATATTAGTTGTTAAATAAGTTAAAGTTACACAAAGATCCGATAAATTTAAACAAAATAAAAGAAAGTAACGTCACCGTACAAATATGACTCAGCCAATCAGCGATTTTCCTGCGCGCACATGAGCGTTATCAAAGGCCAATTAGCAGCTCCCAGGTGCAATCAATTAACTCCTAAACGCTACTTGTAGTGCGGCAGACGCTTCGTCTTTATCCGGTGTTCAGCAGCTACAGGGGGGGCTTTCACTTGGATCCATGGCTCGGAACGGGATTGAGCTGCTGCTGCTGGTAGTCCTGGTTGGGGCTCTGCTTTTGGTTTCAGTCCAAGGATGGGAGCGGATCAATGACACCGAGCTAATGAACTTATACCAGAGGGGAGAGTGGGGTCAAACACAAGGAACAGTGACTGGTAAGAAACCAACGAATATAAGTATTTAGACGTTTAAAAGAAGTGAAAATTAATTCATATGAAGTTTCTTGTGCTCCATTCTCCCTTTTAAATACTGTGTTTTGCTGCTAAATCGTAGCTTGATTTGTTTAGATTACAAAACTGTGGCTAATGTTAACTATCTTTTGATTCCTGAGTTCTTAACTTTTCTGCCTTTCCTTAGTTGTACATCTCATGCACTGACATTTACTTGTCATAACACTAACCCAAACAACTCTCTTTTGAGTAAATTAAACATTTGAAATAATTTTTGGTCAGGACTTTTCAGTATTGAAAAGTATTTCAGTATTTATTTTTTTACTTTTTTAAATTTTCTACTTTTCTTGAACTTAGGGGCTCACCAGCTTGACTTCTGTCTTCCAAAGTTTCTCACCCTAATCCCCCTCTCCTCCAGACTTTAGCAGCAGCTCTGAAGAAGATGAAGAAATTCCAGAGGAAGTCTATCCTGATTTCGATGGTGAAGCCACCAGTGAAAACTCAGACCCTTTTGCTGGCCATGGGTTCCAGGTGGACACTGGAGACTCTGGTCCAAGACTCTGGGCCAGTGGACATGAAGGCGGGTACCATGTGGAGTTTGAAGACCCCCCTGAAATAAACTGGGCCGGTGGTGATGGTGATGATATGGGATTTGCTGAGGCCCCTCCAAGGAGCTGGACCAGCAGTAGCACTCCCAGTTCTAGTGGGATGGATGTGGTTTGCAGTGATGATGGCTTTCAAATTACTCTGCCCACTGATCAGCTGAGTGAAGTGAAAGTGTTAGGTACGTACTTTTGATTTCTCTGCTTATTTAGATATAGCTGTAGTAAGTTTGAGTTGTAAGCTAACTTGTTTTTTTCTCCCCCTCAGGCTTGAAGGACCTGTTGTCTATCACAGATGCTCCTGAGTCATGCGGTTATGAAGTGAACTTTTTCACCAACACATTAAGTGTCCCCTACACCGGATGCAATGTGAAACACGTAGGTTACTCAAGTAATGCCTTGACTTTTACCTGTCTACTTTCTAAAATGTAATTTTTGAAGTGGAAAACCCTCCTTGTATTTTAAAATTACAGACCGACGGCTACACTCTGCAGCTGCTTTATGAAGATGCATTTGGTCAGACACAAGTCGCTACAGCCTCATGTGAGGAAGGTCCCAGCTCCAGTTCTGGCCTGTTACCCCGCACCAGTACTGGCAAAAAGTGCAATAACCCAACCACGCCATCCAAGGCACAAAGTGAGTGCAGTTTCAGTAACAGAAAAGTGCTAAATTTGTGGTATGTAAAATCTTCTGCATCTTTTTCTGTTGGTATTAAAGTGTACAATTTACCTTCAGATTGTGCTGTTGCTACTGGGGAGAGGGTGACTTGTGGTCAATCAGGAATATCTACAGCAGATTGTGAGAAAATGGGATGCTGTGTGGATTCTTCCAGCTCTGCCTGCTACTACCCCATGGATGGTAAGGCTTCTGTTATCTATGGTGAAGGATAATCTGCTAAACTTCTTCAAAAATACTGCTTTCTTCCTTTTTCAGAGTGCACTGGAGATCAACACTTTGTTTTTGCCATTCGTTCAAATTCTGCATCCGTTCCTATTGACCCCACCAAGCTTGTTATACCTGCCAGTCCAAGCTGTAAACCGGTCATTGTCAATGACAAGGTCGCCATCTTTAAGTTTAAAGTAACAGAATGTGGTGCCCGTGCTTATGTAAGTTATCTTCTTTTGATTAACTACATTTAAACAAGTCTTTTACTGTGTACATCAAGATGAAATTGTTTTCTACTGCAGCCCATAAATACGATCATTTCTAATTTTGAGTTTTTCACGCTTCTGGTTTTCTGGACTCTGACTCAAGACTTCTCAAACAAACCAGTGACATTCTCAGTCTCATAATGTTCAATCTAGGTTTCTGGTTTATCATTGTGTAGAGGTATCTGAGGACTACACTTGACCAAGTTGATTTTTTTTTTTTTTTTTCTGTAGATGGTTGGTGAGACTAAAATCTACCTGGCTGAGGTGCAAACTACTGTCCAAGCTCTGAACCTCAAGTATGGTATCATTACAAGAAGTGATCCTCTCAGGTTAGCTGGTTTCAGAGGACTATTGACTCTGTACACTGTTCTTACTTTGATGCCGAATGCTGCCAGATATTTAACATGTTTTAATTCTTTAGTTTTGCCCCCCACCCCCTTTTTTTAAATTGATTTTTTTTTTATTTTTATATGGTGCATGCATGTAAGCGCCAAGCTTTGACACTTGCACATATCTCCCTGTAGGTTCATGGTTGAATGCAGATATGGTAAATCAGGTGGTACGCCACAGTCACTGGCAAGTGTTGGCTACATGGTGAAGACTCCAACTTCCAGTCTACCATCACAGGTCATCTCCAATGGTTTATATGGTGTTCAACTGAGGATTGCAAAAGGTTGGGTATTTCTTTTTTTTGTTTTCACAAATAGTTGCCTTTTGCAGCTTTCCTCTTATCTCATTCTCAATCCGTCTTAACAGATTCAACCTATAAAAGCTACTTTCCTACCAACCATCAGCCCCTTAAACTGCTCCTGGGCAATCCTGTGTATCTTGAACTGCGTCTCAAGTCGCCTAAACCAGATGCAGCTATTCTTGTCAACTACTGCATAGCTTACCCTCGTTCTGCAAAGAATGCACTGGTGCTTGTTTATGAAGGGTAAGGCTGTCTAAACTCATTTTACATTGATTAAAAAGTTTTTGTCTGCTTACTAAAAATTATTTTTATCTTTTTGTAGATGCGCCAACCCACATGACCCAAGTGTGTCCATCCTTAAAGTCAGCGACCTCCCTAAAAACCGCCACCAGAGGCGCTTTGTGGTCAAGGCCTTCCAGTTCATGGATCAGAAGACAAACAAGTACCTTGATGAAGAAGTGAGTTAAAGTAGTCTGGAGTCATGGCAACATGTTCTCTGTACAAAAGACAAGTGTAAACTGTCTTTTATTGGCTGAATATTTATATATTTTTTTATTTTCCTGCAGATCTACTTTATGTGCTCCTCAGAAGTTTGTAGGACAGCAGAAAAGAAGTGTGAGGAGCGTTGCTTTGATGGAAAGGCAAGTATTAACCTTGGAAATTTGCCATCAATATTGTTTAAAAAATTCTAATAAAATTCTTTGCTTCCAGGCACCGTAAGGAAACTGCAGAGGACCTTTTTTGTGAAGAGATGATCATAAAATGGAAAACTGATTAAAGGTTTTACAGTACGACTGGTGTTGATGGTTTCTACTGAAATTTCAGTACAGTGTAATAAATGCACTAGCTTGAAATATTCTAGCTAAAACTAATTTTTTTTTTTTTTTTTTTTTATACTTTGGATTAATGTTCAGAAATCTTTCTGACTTTCTGGGGTGTAGTTGTCATTTGGGCTAATCACAATGTTTAGTTGGAGTCTAGGCTATTAAGAACTTTTAGCTTGAGCACTTTGAAGGACAGTATTGGCTAGGAGTCACCAAGTCTTGTCTTGTCTCTTAATTGAATATACCAAAATATTACTACATTAAATGAGAGAAAATACAAAAGCTCAAAAATTGTCAAGTAATCAAATGTTGTGAAGACATTTGGTTTTAGCTAATGCAGCCAGTAAAATCTTTAGGTGAAGAAAAATAAATACTGAATTCGTTGCAGTGGTTTGTTTATTAGATTAGTCACCTTTGGGGCCACAAAACTGAATCCCAAGTTATAACTTGTATCATTTACAACATGTTTGCTCCTCCTCAACTCACACTTTTCTACGCCCCACATCTCCTTTTTCTCTTCAGCTGTCAAGTCAAAGGTGAAATTACTTTCAAAAAACCCCAAACTGGTAAAGACAGACCTTCTTGAATGCCCCTTCAAGCATTCAAATGAGAGTGAAAGTTTCACTGTTCAGAGTACATGAAAAAGTACACTCGAGAGCTTTTTTAGTAGAAAAAGTGAGCTGAAGTGTGCTCTCAAAATGAACCTGGTGCAGCCCAGTGTCCTTTTACACTCTACCCCGCCAACATTCAGGCAGCCAACCATTGTTGTAGCATCATCACCCATTAAAGGGATATATCGGCATTAAATTAAGTTAGGGTCTAGCTCACGGTAACACAGAGTTGGACACCCCGTCGACAGATGAATGTTGCTGACTGCTTGCTTCTCTAGTTATATCAACTTTAGTAACGACCGCAGATAGCAATACACAGAGCCACATGCTCAACCAAAAAGCAAATCTATAGCCACAAATAATGCTCAGAACAGCACCTAACTTCATCAACAGTACATATAAGGTCCCAGCCATAGTGCTAGCCATCTTTTTTAGCTTTGCCTGGTTTCTTAAGCAAAGAGACTAAACACAACTCGCGGTCTCTCTCCCAGCAGCCGCTTTTGTGTATGGAGACCTCCAGGCAAGTCCATCGACTGCTGCAGGGTGACGCAGCTCAAGGAAGAACATTTATGATCATTACTTTATCATTTCCTTGAAGTAATAATCACCATATTAATCATTTTGCACTGCAGACGCTGTAGTTCTTCTGCCTTAGCGTCTTGGTCTGATAGCATTTCCATGAAGTAATGCTCATGACTTGTGCTGTGGCTGGGACCTTATATGTAGGTTACTGTTGATGAAGTTAGGTGCTGTTCTGAGCATTATTTGTGGCTATAGAGTTGCTTTTTGGTTGAGCGTGTGGCTCTGAGTATTGCTATCTGCCGTCGTTACTAAAGTTGGTATAACTAGAGAAGCAAGCGGTCAGCAACATTCTTCTCTCGACGGGGTGTCTAAGTCCGTGTTACTGTGTGTTATTTTTAGATTATTTTGCAACTGTATTCAAACCCTCACTCAAAACATGACAATGACATAGTGTAAAATACTGTCGTACAGGATTTTCTAGGAAAGCCTTTCTCTGATGATATCCATGCCTTATATTTTCAAAAGGTCATGGCCACCCCTGGTCACCCCAACGATCTGGCCCTGCAGCACATCCAGCTTATTGCATCATCTGGGGAGTCAGAACTCACAAATGAGAAGTATATTTTCGTCATATTATTTACTTTCATGTTTTTTTTTCTGTTTACACTTCGTGCACAAAGCTATTAACTTAAAAGTCATCTGTGAAGTAGTAAAATTTGCGCTCATCTTGGATTTTCAGGAGCGGGTCACTCTCCTCTGTGTGGACTGTTTCTGGACCTCAATGATCAACATGACCAAGCATCTACCACTTACCCACAATCCCTTGCGATACGATCCATTCAAATAGCCACCTTGCTGTTTTTGCTGGTGGAGAGAAGTGTCTGATCTCTTTACCACTGACTTTAAAACAAGAAAACATTAACCGAACCAGCGAGGGAGCAAACAGGGAAGTGTGTGTCAGGTGAGCGGAGTCACATGCAGACATCAGCTGGACGGAGATAAAACACGAAGTAAGTATTTGCAAGTCAACAGTTAGCAACATTACAATACTCTTTGCATGTTTGGCATGATAAGTTTCACGAAAGCGTAACCTTAGGTTCATTTGCTGTCCCTTTGTGTGGTATTAACGTAAGTTAGCCTCCCAGCTAACGCCACCTAGCTTGACATGTCATCTGTCAGCCCGTCAGTTAAAGCCTCCACCATTTCTGATCAACTCCAGCCACGTCAATAAAAAAACATTTTAAATCGATGCAACGTTAGAGGAAAGGTCTAATTACTTACAAGGTGTTGACTTAAGTTTAAACAAGTGTTAAATCTCATTACAAGAAACCTACCAGAAAAGTTCTCTTGTGTTTGCAACTTAAACAATAATTCATGTCTTATTTTTTATCTTAAAGGCACTTATTCCAGACTTATCTTAATTTTAATGAAGTATTTCGGTTAGAAATTTGACAAATACTCTTAATAAGCTTATATTTTTCTGCAGAATAGTTGCAAAAGTTCATGTTTTTGTCCAATTTGTAAAGGTCTCTGACACATAATGCACACACTTCTGGAAACTTTTAGATAAACAGATTAATTCAGAACTAATCAATGATCAATTCACTTTTCTATCAGAGCTGTTGCAATATATATATTTTTATTCTTGGCCACTTTTTTAATAAGGTTTGCCCTAAAAACCTCCAAAAGCCACACTACAATTTTTATAACATTATTTATAGTGCTGTGAAAGTGTTTAAAATTTGCAGCTATTGATAAAATTATCAATAACTTCCTGATACAAAACATGCCCTTCTGTCACTATGACTATGTGCATGACAGCGGAACCATAAAAGAGCTGTGGTCAGCAGGTTTGCAGGAAGGCGGGGTTCTTGTCTTTTTAATAAGACAACCAGGACTGTGAGGTCGACTCTCACTCTGTTCTGCTCGTTCAACCCTCAGCTTCTCAGCTCCAGTCGCTGGCAAAGATGGCTCATCTCCCAACATTGTTCAAGTATGTGGATGAACACCAGGATCTGTATGTGGAGGTAAGTTCATTCTGAGGAGGTTTTATGTTGTTAAATGTAAGTTTTGCAGTTGATATTTTGATTAGTTGTTACTGTGTTTTTAGATTGCAGCTTGACTTGGTTTGATCAAATCATGTTTTGATGTTGAATTTTAAGCAGTTCTGTAACTCATTCACTCTGAGCACATTGGAGAAAAAAGTTAAGTTTAAGCCATTTTCTCATCTCCCAGCGCCTGAAAGAATGGGTGGAGGTCCAAAGTGTGTCTGCTTGGCCAGAGAAGCGTGGAGAGATCAAGAGGATGATGGAGATGGCAGCCAAGGACATTGAGAGGCTTGGGGGAACTGTGGAGATGGTGGACGTTGGCAAACAGCAGGTCAGAATGTGTAATATGCCTCTTAAAGTGGTCCTCTGGACAGGGCAGGCCTGCTTTGTGATGTTTTACCCTCTCCTAAACACATTTGTTTTTGTCTTTTAGCTCCCCTCAGGAGAAGAGATCCCTCTCCCTCCTATCATCCTGGGTCGTTTAGGCTCTGACCCCGGCAAAAAGACTGTGTGCATCTATGGTCACCTGGATGTCCAGCCAGCCAGCATAGATGACGGCTGGGACACAGAGCCTTTCACTCTGGTGGAGAAAGACGGTGAGAGCAGATTGTTTTGGTTTCTTTTTCGGTTGAGTTTCAAGATGATCCTGCTAGTCTGCCAAGGCGTAACAAAAGGAAGCTACTGAAAGTTATTTAAGGACTCTGGAATGATGTTTTGGCATGAAAGGTTAGACTCAAAATGATTAACTCTGCGGTGTCTGTTTTCAGTCCACCATGTAATGATTATACACCTTTTATTTGAAGTTAACACACTTACAGTTTCAAATCTCAGAGTAATATCTGAGCTGCAGAGAAGGGAGGGTGGTTGAAGGAAAATGTAGTTTCAGTGAGCTGTAGCGAGGCTCAAGAGTCTATGAAATGGGTCATTTGGTATTTAAACTATTCATTTAAAGACCTGCTGTCATGCACACCTCAGTATCACTCAACAGTAACACTGAACTGTTTCCTTTTCCAGGCCATAGAGGTTGTTTTTAATCACCTTGACGTAAATGTAGAATCTGGTTTGAATGCTCTTTGAGCTTTTATCAGCCTCGTACTTGTGATCATATCACAGTTTGCTACAAAGTCCAGCCTAGTTGCCTCATGTTTTAGGGCAGAGAAGTGTTCTTGATCATGTGTTATCTATAAAACCTCACAGGCAAACTTGAACAAATGATATTGGATTTAAACATGGCAGCAAAACTGTCAGATTGAAAGGAATGGTGAGCAGCTTGAGTAAAGACTTTTGATCAGTTAAAGATTGACAGTTTGCTTTTGAACAAACTCATTAGATGTATTTTTCCTACTTTTGAAAACGTTGTAATTCATCAGCGCTAATTAATCAGATCAGCTTCCTTATCTGCTTTTGTACTTGACAGATAGACCTTCAGGGATAAGGTTTACTATCTTTTATGCTGCATTATTAGGACACATGTTTGAAGTCTGTTTTTGATGACATCAGGATTTTACTGTCAGGTTTAAGGTCAGCTATGTGTGATATATAATACTAAAACGATCCTGCGTAGATTCTGGTGGCAGTCAGCTGACAGAATGAACCACATTCACTTCCTTCTGTCTGAATCCTGTCTGCTCAGCTCAGCTCAGCTCCTTTCTTGCTTACGTCATGTTTTACTCTCCAGCTGTTTAGTTGTTGAAGAGTTTCAAATGATGAAAAATAAGTCATAGGAACTGGTTCCTTAACTCAGACCTTAACACAACCAGCATTTAAAATGAGGCAATGATTGCAAGGATGAGTTTATATTTTATCTTTTGTTCCATGTTCAGTATATCTGTGCCAAACCTGAGTGGGTTTATAACTCAATAAATTCATACAAGACCAGAGGGCTGGGTGAACACCTCCACACAGCAGAGACGATCTAGATACAGAGGGCAACTTTCACAACAACATCAATGTGGGCTATAATAAAGTTTCAAAATCACTGACAAAGGCATAAAGGAGTTTTATATCCTGTCTATTATATCTTTATGAATTTTGTAGAAACTTCTGACTCAGTTCAAAACCTCAAAAAGGAGCAACATCTGCCCAACTGTCCACCAGAATACTTCAGAGTATTTCCATCATGTCACAAAAAATAAAATTTGATTAATTCTAGAATATTCAGTAATAAAAAAGACATGTCAGAGCTTCTGCTTTTTCTGATGAAACAAACATGTTACAAAACACCCATGCATTGCCTTTGGCTCTGCATGTCTACTCTTGTATCTGTTTGGACAGTTTGTGGCACTTTTGTTGTTCCCTCCTATCTCGATTGTTGCCTGTATTATACCTCTCTGCAGATGTATGCAACTTTGGACCAAAGCACTTGCGAAACAAAAATGTGACTTTTTAATTGTAGTTTCCACAATCCTCTTTCATCTTGAAGGATTTTTAGTTAAAATTAAACCTTTGTTTTTTCTCTCTGCAGGTAAACTCTATGGAAGAGGCTCCACAGATGACAAGGGTCCAGTGTTGGCCTGGTTCAACTGTATTGAAGCCTACCAGAAGATCCAGCAGGTGAGTTCATATCGAACTTAAAGCATCGGCGTCCTCCTGTGCCCTTTAAGAGCGGTGCTGTTGTTTGATTTTCCATTGACGCTGTAACAACAAACCACTTGCGGTTTCATTTTGACTTTGTCCTGTCAAAATAAAAGAAACAAGTTGAGCTGCTTCATCATCAACCATTTCAGTGTGGTTGGCATGGGAATGTTAACAACAGTGGTTAGAATCTGTGATATGTCTGACTGGAAATACAGAGAATACCTTCATTTGTTGACAGTTGAAGATACTTTGTTTCACTTTCTTTCTTTACATTGTTTTGTAACTTTATACACTTGCAATGAAGGAAACCCCCTCAGCAGGAAAAAGTACATTTGAAAGTTGAAAGTTGAAACACTTTATTGTCATCATACAGATGCATGACAAGAAGAGATAAAGAGCTGCCCAGTCGGTGCACAAATAGTTAAAATAAAACAGACAAGGTTATAAAACAGACGATGTAATATAAATAACATATACGCAAAATAAACATTTATAGTGCAAAGAGTGCAATTAAATGTATGTGCTCACCAGATGCCTTTTTGAAGAAACTGCATTGTTGGTAAAAACAAAATCAAGAAATGAGTTCTAAGTCTGATTCATTGTCTGTTTTTCTCTCTTTGTGCCGCAGGAGCTTCCCATCAACATCAAATTCTGCTTTGAGGGGATGGAGGAGTCTGGATCTGAGGGTCTGGATGAACTGGTGTTTGCCCGTAAAGACACCTTCTTCAAGGACGTGGACTATGTCTGCATCTCTGACAACTACTGGCTGGGCAAGACCAAACCCTGCATCACCTACGGCCTGAGAGGAATCTGCTACTTCTTTGTCGAGGTGGAGAGCCGTTGTTCAAATTTATAATCACTTATAATGAGGACAAGTTTAACCTAACCCTGCTCTGTACTGCATTATTTCAGTGTAACACAAATGCAGTGTTGTGAGAGTTTGTGTTTGCTTAGACTAATTACAGTGATGTTTGGTTTTGCGTTGAAAGGTGGAGTGTGGTGCCAAAGACCTGCACTCTGGGGTGTTTGGCGGTTCTGTTCATGAAGCCATGACTGATCTGATTACACTCATGGGTAAGTCAAGCTTATGAATTAGTAGCTTTGATTGATTCCCTTAAACAAACAGAAAACTCTTCTTCTTTGAGCTGCAGATGCTTTGTGAGGGTTTTAATGAGGGTGTTTTTTCTACTTACAGGCTCTCTGATTGACAGGAAGGGAAAGATTCTGATTCCTGGTATGTACGATGACGTCGCCCCTCTGACAGAAGAGGAGACAAAGCTGTATGAGGACATCGATTTTGACCTGGATGAATACTGCAAAGATGTTGGAGTCTGTCAGTTGCTTCATAACACCAAGGTAAGATGTTAGGTCATGTAAATACAGCACTGTTCTGCTTTATTTTGCATCCGCTGTAATAATTGAAGATGTGCTGTTCTTATCTTTCCTGCAGGAGAAAATCCTGATGCACCGCTGGAGATACCCATCCCTTTCTCTTCATGGCATTGAGGGAGCTTTCTCCGAAGCGGGGGCAAAAACTGTCATCCCTCGCAAGGTCATCGGCAAGTTCTCCATCCGTCTCGTCCCAGACATGGACCCAAAAGTTGTGGAGAAGCAGGTAGAGCTCATCATAGATTAACAATAACTGTATTTTACACTCACTGTAATCCCAACATATATGAGGAATTCTCTGCCAGTGTGATCAAAACTTTGATGACTTGGAGAAATGCTTGAGTTCTGAAGTGTTACGAAAGTATTGCAAAAAAAGTACAAAAGTGCAATACACATTTGCCAGAATAAACTTAAAAAATAATCTCCCCAGCTCTTTGATTTTACTCATATTTTTGTCCTGTTCATTGTTTAGGTCATAAGCCATCTGGAGAAGAGGTTTTCTGAACATGGAAGTCCCAACAAACTGAAGGTGTACATGGGCCACGGAGCCAAGGCCTGGGTGTCTGACTTCAACCACCCACACTACATGGCTGGACGAAAGGCCATGAAAACAGGTACGGCTGCTGAGAGATTCAGCACCAGTTGATGTAAAATAAGGATCAGCTGTTTCAAAAAACATGATTTTTATAGTTAAACTACATCCTTCATAATGAGGAGGTTTTTGGACTTTATTTACTCAGACTAACTGCTCTCTCTGTTTTCTTCATTTGTCTCTGTGCTGCAGTCTTTGGTGTGGAGCCTGACCTGACCAGAGAAGGTGGAAGCATTCCCGTCACCCTGACCTTCCAAGAAGCCACTGGACGTAATGTCATGCTGCTTCCTGTGGGATCTTCTGATGATGGAGCTCACTCCCAGAATGAAAAGCTCAACAGGTATGCCGAACGATGGGAAGCATCAATATGTAATATTGAAGGACAGAGTTTTTATCACAACATGTTTGCAATAAACTCATCCTCTTCGTTTCTCTCCGTTTCTTCAGAACCAACTACATTCAGGGGGTCAAGATGCTGGGTGCATACTTCCATGAGGTTTCCCTGCTAAAATAAATCACTGCATCAGTTCAGTATGGAAAATGTAAAATATGTCCATCTTCACGATCAATCCATAGCCTTTAAGGTATCATTTACATGTAATGGTTAATAGTTTTATACTCACTGCCTCCCTAAAATAAAGTTTTTTTTCTTTGCTACCATGTGTGCTCTTGTTTTATGAATGCCTGTTTTGTTATTGCAACTGCTATGCACTTCATTTCTGCTTCAAGTAATCCACACTAACACTAAACTTAAAATATAATCATGTAAGGGGAAATAATTTGTGGAAACAAATAGGGCTGGGACGATATGCTTTTCTCCTGATTCGATTGAAACTGCATTTCTACAATATTGTCGATTTTGAGTCTGCATTTTTAACACCGATGAAACAGTTTAATAATTATGATCGTCTTCTGACTATTCCAGGAACCATATTTCCCCCCAAAATACACATTGCATCGAAGTCAGTTTTAAAGATTTATTCTTAATTTCGAAGAAAAAATTTTTTTGAACAAAAAAATCGATTTAAAAATTGTAAAACAAAAAATTGGGATACTTATATGAATCAATTTTTTTCTCCCACCCCTAGGTATAAAGGTGTTTAAACTCTTAATAACTGAAAAAAAAGCTTAGTAATATTTGTTTAACACTTTTTTTATGATAAAGAGTACAACTCCGCAGCTAACAGTCTTTAAGCAGGCAATGAACAGGCAGGAATTCTTGATGTTTGTCCAGCCATCAAAAATTATTTGTATGCAAAAAAAAAAAAAAAAAAAAAAATCAAATGTTAACAGATATCTTAGTCAGTTTGTGGATATTTTGTGAATAACAGCGTGGTATTAGGCTTGTGAGGGCAGATGCTGATTTGATACAGATTACAAAAGTACACTATTAATTTGCCTGATTAACTAGCCAACCTATTGATAGGTCTGTCTCTATTAAAGAGTCTCAAAATGTACAGTTTTCCACGCTGAAATGCACAGGATCAGTGACTTCAAAACGGTCCATTTGAAACCCTTCAGCGGTTTAACGGTGATGAGCAGTTTGTGACTGTCTCTTTAAGAAGGAGGCGGAGCTTGCTTAGTGCATTAGAAAGCAGTGCCTGGCAGCTTCAGCCCCGTCAAAACATTTGACAGTTATATACTTAACTCACGGATTTCCAGAGATTTTCACAGTCTCACATTTCCACTTCTTCTTCTTTTTGTTGATATTTATTTGTATCTTGTAGCTTCAACAGATTTGAAAAACGAAGAGCTGAGTTTTGTGAAAATGGGGGATACGAGAAAAAACCTGGCAACACAAGCTGCCATTTTCTGGCGCGGGAAAATCGTAAACAACATACGGTGGTAGAAAGTCACTTGCGTCGGGTTTAGGGTTTTCATGGCCGAACATAAGAGACCTTTGCGACTTCAGATATTGTTTTAATGTGTATTTGTGAGGAATAAACGGAAAGTAAGCATGGTTAATAAATAAACATACAATTTCGGCACCTTGTTTTTCGCCGTAACATTAGCCTTCCCGTGTCGTGCCTTACGCTCTATGGTGAGTGAGCATGCAGTCTGATAAAGGAAATTACCTTTAAATCCGCGTCTAATGGATCGATACAACGAGGTGAAGCTTCTGCTGAAGAGCTGGGAGCAAGGGTTCGTCTCTCAACATCAGAGGAAACCAAACAAGGTACATTCAACACTCCAACAGTCAGTCAGGAGTTCTCAAAACACTGAAAAACATGACTTTAATGTTAGTCACACTTATCAGATATTCGTGTATGCACCTTTTCTGGGGTCTTGTATGTTAACATTTCATGTCACAAATCACAGCAGTTAAATATAATTGTCTTACATTTGCAGGAGGATATAGATCAAGCTCCAGAGGAGACAAGGAGTGAGTACAATTCATGACATGTAGGGGAGAGTGGGTAGGGATACAGCTCCTATTACCCCGCTCCTATGGTCAACTTACCCCAAACACGGGGTAAGTTGACCATAGGAAACCACTTTTTTTGGCATGCTATACAGTTATGTTTACACTCATTCTGTTGATTTGCAGGGATGCACATATATGCAGATACACTAGTTAGAGACAAAACTATGATTGCCTTAATGTAGTGATCCGAATTATGAAAAATTGGCTCATCTTACCCCATTCTTTTCCTAAGTCTATGCATGCAACATAGAAAAACATCTTTCATATTTCTCACTACCATCATAAACTTTCAGCGGCACCACGTCACTTTTTGCCTTTTTCTTTCAGGGCTGTACAAAGAGTACCGCAGTTTAAAACAAGCCAAAGAAAACAGCAGCAGTGATGCAGCTGGCAGACATGGAGATCAGTCTAAAGCTACAGCTGAGGTCAACACAACCAAGAAGGTAAAAAAAAAAAGTTGTGTGTGTGACTCTAAGTGTGTATTCAATTTGAATACAGGAAAAGGAATATAATATGTCTGTTTTTTGCTTTTTAAAGGAATCAGACTGTTGGGGTGCTCATCTGAACCGCGGTGCACTTCCTGTATCTTCTCCCAAACTGACACCTGAGGACAGAGACAGTCTGAAAGCTTCATCTCAATATTACGGTCTGAAGCTTAAAAATAATCTAGCTTCTCTTGGCAAGGTGAGGCACACTCATCTAACTTTATATTTTACCCTCCAAAACAACCATAAACTCGTTTGTTTTTAGTGATAACGTCATGATTTTGTTATTCCAGGAGAGACCTGTGTCCCTGAAAAAATCAGGAGGGGGTCGATTGCCTCTAAATTCCTTGAAAGATGGAGGAGCTACACAGACGAACAGCCCTGCTGCTCCTGCTGTTCCTGCTGCCGCCAACAAATCCAACACCACTAACTCTGAATCCAATCCTTTCTCACCAAGGTAATGACACTGAGCTTTGTGATGTTCACAGGAAGATATGTAGCAGCTTTCCCAGTGGATACTTTTGTAGATCAGCTGCATTAGACTGCCAGGACACAAGAGGGCATCAGCAAACATTTCCAAACACACTCTTGGATTCTTTTGTCTCCCTTGTGTGAAGAATTTGATATTGCAGCAAATTTTAGTTGTGCTGTCCACCTGCAAGTAACTTTGCTTCTCTTACTTTTAAATTTCAAAGGGTGGCGGCCAATTTTTCTTATTTGTCTCGCAGAATATGAAGTTATTGATCATATATGTGATCTGTGGGCTATTCTAGTAACTTTGTCTCTGTTCACAGGAGAGTGAAATCTTGCCTGGGGTCTCTTGCTTCACCACTAAAACATCCAACAGAGCCTGAAGATCAGTTTAAACCATTTGAACCTTTCAGAGGACCCGATGAAGAGCTTCCAAATCAGGTTATCGCCAATCTACCTCCCTCTGCGTCTAAACCCTCTGCTCCTTTCGTGTCTTCATCTTCTCTAGATTGTGTGGGAACTGGAGCCACAGAGAACCTAAAAGACGCAAAAGAAGCTTTTGGGGACAGAAATGAGACATTTGAAGCTGTAAAAACTCCACATAGAGGTATTGGTTCTGGATTTATAGGAAGCCCAAAGGTTCCTGGAGGATTCAGTGGAGGGCTGGGAGGAAGGCCGTCTCCTGCCAGCAGACTGAGTTTTCTTGATAAGAAGTGGTTAGAGAGGTGTCAGGTGTTTGGAGAGATGGAGGCTGAGGAGAAGCCTGGAGCAGGCAACCAGGAGATCAAGCTGGAGAGGAAAGAAGAGAGAGTAAAGGAAATTGAACCAGAAGGAAAAATACAAGGAGGGGAAATTGTCGGCAAAATGGAAACACATGCAGAGGGAGACAGAGGAGAGGGAAGACACTCAAGTGGTGAGGAAAAGATTCAGAAAATAGTCTGTGAGAATGAGTCAAAAACAACTCAGCCCGTTAGAAAAAGTGGAGAAGGGAAAGAAAAGGTCAAAAGGAAAAAGAGCGAGCAAGCAGAAGGAGGACTGACGCCACCTTTAACTCCAGAAGACGACACCGAGCGCAGTCAAAGAGCCAAAGGTACGAAGAAGAGAGGCACAAAGAGGCAGAGAGAGGGCGAGGACATCGAGGGAGAGGCGACAGAAGAGGGAGGAGCGAAGAAGAAGCGGAAGAATGGCAAAAAGAAAGAGGAAGGCTCTGATGTAAATCCAAGTGCAGGACCAGGAGAAGTGAAGAAAAAGAGAGCCAAGAAAAAAGCTGATAAAGATGAAGAAGAGGGAGAAGAGAAGAAAGAAACTAAGGCGCCTAAAAAGGTACGTCTGCTTGAACTCAGCACAGCCTAACTTGGTTTTATATCTTGTTCAAATTAGTTTAACACTCTCATATCCCTGTCAAGCCTCCTCAGGAGAACTTACTAGGAGAAGTAGAGGAGGAATATGAAAGGAAGAGGATGTATCACAGTCAGCCTGTCAAAGCCAGGTAGGTCCAAACATGACCGGACTGCACAATTCAAATGTTGTTGTTGACCTCCTGAAATGACAGTCTGTTCATGAATGACACATTTATGTGCAGAAGCACCAAAGGAGCTGAAGGAAACTTTGTGAAGATAAACTTAAAGAAGAAATCTCATGTGAAAGGCTACGCTCTGAGGGGTGTGGGTCTACGCAAACAGGTACGTTTTGTGGTTGTTTTTGAGCGCCTGTAAGATCACTCATATCAGTGGAAGGGGTGTCATAATACAAAGAGTATAAATAGCTTCCTGGTTTTGTGAGGAAAAGATATTTTTTGCTCTTTAGCTCAGAAATCTAAACCACAAAACAAATACAGTCCAAGTATTCTGAGGTATTTTGAAGTCATAAATCTACCTTGTCATTTTTAGATGTACATGCAGAAGTTCCAGCTCAAAGGCGAGCGCTTTGGTGGAGGGGGTGGATATTTTGGCAGAGGAAGGCGAGGTGGATTCAGAGGAGGGTTCAACCGGCAGGGTGACACCTGCTACAAGTGTGGAGGAACCGGACACTGGGCCATTGACTGCAAGGGGCGAGGTAATACAGAGTCATGGGTATTCACAAATAAAGATCTGTTTGATGTGCTGGCTTGAAATATTCATACTCAGTGACTTCAGATTTCTGAGTGACTTTACTCTACAGGAGTCTAAATAAAACATCAGATTTATTTTTTGTATTGAGGAACTAAATCAGTTGATTCCTCTTGATTCTGGTCTGCAGCTCCGCCCCCTCCTGTTTCTGAGGACCCACCTGCTGAAGAGGAGCCATTTGAACTGCCCACACTAGAGGAGGTTGCCAGGGCAACAGGGACGCTAAAACCTCAGCCACTCGGTAAACTTATATACTTAGTTTTGACACAGTTTTATCACCGTTGTTTTGCTTTTGTTTCTACTTTTAACCACGTGTCATTGTATCCCAGCTGCATCTCCAAGTGTCAAAGAGGAGCAGCAGTACCAAGAGAAAGAAACAGACCGCAACCAAAAAGACGAGGTCCTGCTGAATGTCATTCGTCCTGACTATGAGCGTCCAGCTCCTCCACCACCAATGGAGCCGCTTTATCGGCCCAGAGAGGACGGCAAAGTTCAGGGTAAACACTTAAAGTCTGGTGTCCTTGAGATCACTTTATATGATTCTGACCAAGAAACCAAACAGAAGTACTGTAAATTCATTTCTTGAATGTGTTCTCTTTGTAGAAACACCTGCTGAGGTCTACGCCGCTCTGAGGGACCTCGGCTATCCGTCGTTTAGAGCAGGACAAGAGGAAGCCATCATGAGGATCCTGTCTGGTATGTTTCCTACACTCGTAGCAGACAATGTGCACATAGGCATTACTTGTTCAAGTGTAGCATCCATAATCTTGTTGGGTTTTCTTTTTAGGTCTCTCCACCCTCGTGGTGTTGTCAACAGGGATGGGTAAATCTCTGTGTTATCAGCTCCCAGCCTACATGTATGCTCAGAGATCACAGAGCATCACTTTGGTCATTTCACCTCTCGTCTCACTCATGGACGACCAGGTAATATCCGCTGTTATACATGATCCTTGAAGACTACAAACAAATACAGCCTTATGCTCGGTTCTGTTATTGTGAAGTATGTCCTCTCTTTGTAGCTCTCCGGGCTGCCGGTGAAACTGAAGGCAGCTTGTATCCACTCCAACATGACCATGAAACAGAGAGAAGCTGCGATAGAGAAGGTATAAGACACAGCAGGAGCAGCAACAGTATCAGACTATAGCAACCATCTTTTACTTTTATGGTTAAGTTCTTCAGTTGAACCCTCGTATATTTACCTTCATGTTCATGTTTATCCACCGATGGGTTTTTTCTTCCTCTGCAGGTGAAGTCTGGACAGGTCTGCGTGTTGCTCCTCTCTCCTGAAGCCCTGGTTGGTGGAGGTGGTTCAGGTTCAGGGTGTCTCCCCTCAGCTCAAGAGCTCCCCCCTGTGGCCTTTGCTTGTATAGACGAGGCTCACTGTGTGTCGGAGTGGTCGCACAATTTCAGACCGTGCTACCTACGGCTGTGTAAGGTGGGTTTATGATGATGGAGGTGGTTCTTGTGGATTTAGAAATAAGTCTGCTTAATTAGTTTTGCGTGTTTTTATGTGTGCTTTCTTATCTTGAGCAGTTGAGCTCATAGGACTAGTTATTACAATCCCTTATATCAGCACTTGGAATTGAGTGTGTGTGGGGGGGGGGGGGGGGGTAAAAGCTTCACTGGGGTCTTCAGGTGGGCACCCCCCTTCACTGGTGTTTCATTGATAGGCCCACGACACCTCCAGGGGGCTCAACGGCGACACCTGGCGTCCCAGGTGTGCCCCCCTCTGCTTTTACCCCTAGGTGGTCATTTTGCAGCCCAGGTGGAGTCCTTTCTCTTGATCCAGAGCCATCTGCTGCTTCGTTCGGCAGCCTCTGATATTGATTTGATGGCTCGTCGGAAGGCCTGTCCTCGTACTCCCAATCTCTTCAGAAGCTTGGTTGTGGATGTTGCAACGAAGCCTCTGCACCCAACCTCCACCGGAAGCACCCGGGCCCTCCAGCCGCGCTTCTCTGCCTCGGCTGCTATGTCCGCATACTTCAGTCGTTTGCGCTCATATGCTTCACCAACTGCTGCCTCCCACGGTACAGTTAATTCAATGATGAACGCAACCTTCTGGGTGGTTGACCACAAGACCAGGTCCGGCCTGAGGCTAGTTGGAAGGATCTCAGGCGGAAAGATGAGTTTTTGGTCTAGGTCAACCTGCATCCTCCAGTCCCGGGCAGAGTCTAGGAGGGTTGCCTCCACTCTTGCAGATGGTTTTGCCGGTGGTTGTCCTGCTCTTACAAATGGGGTGGTGTTTGGGCGTCTAGGCATTGGTGGAGGCAGGGCATTGATGGTTGTTCTCCTTCCTTCCAGAGTGATCGCCAGTTGTCTTAGGACCTGGTTGTGTCTCCAGGTGTAGCGGCCTTGGGACAGACTGGTTTTACAGCCGGTGAGGATGTGACTCAGTGTTGCAGGTGTTTGACAGAGTGCACAAGAAGGATCTTCTCCAAACCATTGGTTTAGGTTTTTGGGTGTGGGAAGAACATCATAGGTGGCTCTGATGATGAAGCTGATTTGGCTTCCTTCCATTTCCCAAAGATCCTTCCATGTAAGCTTACGATGCTCCAGGTTTTCCCAGCTGGTCCACTGTCCCTGTTTGGACTGTGCTACTGCTGTCGCGCATCTGTTTGCCTCCTCTTGTTGCCGAACCTGAGCAACCACCAGCTTTCTCCTCTGGGTTGATGTTGCTTTGTGCCATGTGGGTCGACTTGTTCCGAGTCCAAACCCGCCTCTTCCATGCTGCACCTGTCCCACAATGTCTCCATGCCTGAGAGCAGATTTGGCTTGCTGTACCGCCTCAGATGGGTTCCATTTCCTCCCAGTTGCCAGTCTGGGAGCAGCTGCACGGATCACCTCATCTTGCGACTCAGTCAGGGTCATGTTCAGCCTCACCTTGGTGCACTTAAACTCCTCTGTGAGGCTAGAGATGGGCAGTTCCAGGGCACCATGTCCATACAAGCCGATGTTGCTGAGGCAACGCGGGAGGCCAAGCCACTTCTTGATGTATGAGCTCACTGTTCTTTCCATCTTCTCGACTTTGGTCATGGGGATCTCATAGACTGTTAGAGGCCACATCAGGCGGGGGAGCAATCCAAACTGCAGGCACCACAGTTTCAACTTGCCAGGAAGCAAGGTCTTGTCTATGCTGACGAGGCCTTTGATGGTTTCTTCCCTCAGCTGATCACTCTGGTCCGAGTCTTTGAGATGTGCGTTGTATAGTCGCCCTAGGCTCTTGACTGGCAGTTCAGACACCAATGGGATGGGTGTGTCCTTGATGTGGAACCTCTGGTCTGTGAGTCTCCCCCTGACGATGGATATGCTCCTGGATTTGCTTGGTTTGAACTTCATCCGTGCCCATGTGATGTTGGCATGAAGCTTTCCTAGCAGATGTTTGGTGCATGCAACGGTTGAGGTCAGGGTGGTCATGTCATCCATGTAAGCGCGAATGGGAGGGAGACGCTGGCCACACTTCAGACGTTCTCCACCCACAACCCATTTGGAAGCTCGAATTATCACTTCCATTGCCATGGTGAAGGCTAGTGGGGAGATAGTGCATCCAGCCATTATTCCCACTTCCAAAGATTGCCATGATGTTGTATATTCTGTTGTTTTGACACAGAATTGCAGATCTTGGAAGTAGTTTCTCACCAGGTTTGTGATGGTACTTGGGATGTGGAAGAAGTTGAAAGCTGTCCAGATCAGAGAATGAGGGACGGATCCAAAGGCGTTGGCTAGGTCCAGAAATAGGACGTGCAGGTCCCTTCCTTCCCTTTTGGCAGATTGGATTTGGTGCCATATCATGCTTGTATGTTCCAAGCATCCTGAAAACCCAGGTATTCCAGCTTTCTGCACAGATGTATCAATCAGGTTGTTTTGCTTCAGGTATGTTGTCATCCTTTTTGCAACGATGCTAAAAAAGACCTTCCCTTCCACGTTCAACAGGTTGATTTGCCGGAATTGATCGATGTTGGAGGCATCCTTCTCCTTGGGGATTACCACTCCTCCAGCTCTACGCCATGCTTTTGGAATGGTTTGCTTCGTCCACATCACCTTCATTTGCCTCCACAGGAAGCGTAAGATGTTTGGGGAGTTTTTATACAGCCGATATGGAACTCCATTTGGTCCTGGAGCTGAAGCTGCCCTTGCCTTCCTCACTGCTTCCTCGACCTCGCTCCACTTTGGAGGACTGTCATCCAGCTGGTGTTCTGGTAGAGGAATTGGTGGCATGTCTGATGGTATCTCCCTTTGTTCAAATCTTTGGCTGTCTGTGTGAGTGGTTTTCAGGTGATCTTCCAACTCCCTCTTTGGCACCTTAAGTGACCCGCTTTTTTCCTTAGTGAAGAGTCCTTTTACAAATCTGAAGGGGTCCTTGTAGAAGGATGTTCTCGCCCTTTCCTTCCTCTTGCGTCGAGTCCTGAGGTTTTCAGCTCTCCGCAATCTTCCCAGGCGTCCCTTTAGGTCTGTTTGCAGGAGGTCAATGCCCACTCTTTCCTCCATTGAGGCTCTCTTCCATTGTTTCCTCAATTCCCTTCTCTCTTTAACCAGGCACTCGATTTCTTTCTGCCTTCTGGACTTGGGAGGGGTTGTTGGTGGCATATTCTTCTTCCCTGTCTCTTTTGCTCCAAATCTTTCTGCTCCATATGAGTAGATCAGGTCTCCCATTTTCTCCAGTTTCTTCTCCACTGTTCCTTTGACTCCGTCCAAGATCTTGATCAGGTCTGCATCAATTGTAGCCCACTCTTTCTTGCTGCTGGACTTTGGCCACTTCACATGAGGTCTGTGGCCTTGCATTTTCTTCTCTAAAGCAGGTTGCAAGTGGCTGGGTTCCAAGTTCTCTGATGTTGTGCTTGAATTATTCTCAGCCTCTGGGGCACTGATGCTCAGTGGACTGTGGGTTACATCCTGCCGCTGAGCTTCACTCGCCTGACTTGACCTTTCTCTCAGAAGATATTGGTCAATGCGAGGTCCTGGCCTCGTTTTCTTCACGCACTTCATCCGGCCTTGGTGTATTTTTAGGCCTCTGATGGAGGTTACTTTGGACCAGCCACAGCTACATACTTGGCGCTCTTGTCCTTCAGCCGATGTTGTTGCTTGTTCTGTGCCGATTATCTGGTTCGTTGTCGTGTTCATTCCAGGGTCAGTTACCGGGTTGTCAGCCGATGAGTCATCTTCCGCCCCCGCTCTCGCAGACTCTAGGGGTGTTTTCCTCTTTAAACTTTTCATAGCAATGGGGGGTGGCCTTTGTCTACTTGCCAAGCGACGGAGCCTGCCATCACGGATAGCTAGTCCGTGACAGCCCCGTTGGGGTCTTTCCCTCCTGTCAGCTGTCTTTCCACGCCGTCACATGGTCTTTCCCTAGTTGTCAGCTGCCCTTTCACAGCAGTCACTGGATTTCTCCAGCTTATCAGTTGAGCTCATAGGACTAGTTATTACAATCCCTTATATCAGCACTTGGAATTGAGTGTGTGGGGGGGGGGGGGGGTAAAAGCTTCACTGGGGTCTTCAGGTGGGCACCCCCTTCACTGGTGTTTCATTGATAGGCCCACGACACCTCCAGGGGGCTCAACGGCGACACCTGGCGTCCCAGGTGTGCCCCCCTCTGCTTTTACCCCTAGGTGGTCATTTTGCAGCCCAGGTGGAGTCCTTTCTCTTGATCCAGAGCCATCTGCTGCTTCGTTCGGCAGCCTCTGATATTGATTTGATGGCTCGTCGGAAGGCCTGTCCTCGTACTCCCAATCTCTTCAGAAGCTTGGTTGTGGATGTTGCAACGAAGCCTCTGCACCCAACCTCCACCGGAAGCACCCGGGCCCTCCAGCCGCGCTTCTCTGCCTCGGCTGCTATGTCCGCATACTTCAGTCGTTTGCGCTCATATGCTTCACCAACTGCTGCCTCCCACGGTACAGTTAATTCAATGATGAACGCAACCTTCTGGGTGGTTGACCACAAGACCAGGTCCGGCCTGAGGCTAGTTGGAAGGATCTCAGGCGGAAAGATGAGTTTTTGGTCTAGGTCAACCTGCATCCTCCAGTCCCGGGCAGAGTCTAGGAGGGTTGCCTCCACTCTTGCAGATGGTTTTGCCGGTGGTTGTCCTGCTCTTACAAATGGGGTGGTGTTTGGGCGTCTAGGCATTGGTGGAGGGAGGGCATTGATGGTTGTTCTCCTTCCTTCCAGAGTGATCGCCAGTTGTCAAATCACACAAATATACTTCTGTGCACTGCTGACTAAAAATGGACAATGTTTGCATGTTTTTAGGTTTTGAGGGAGCGATTGGGAGTGAAGTGTTTGCTGGGACTCACCGCAACGGCAACCCTGTCCACCGCTCTGGACATCGCCAAACATCTGGACATCACAGATCAAGACGGCATCGCAGTCCGGTCTGCAGCAGTGCCTCCTAACCTGTTTCTGTCCGTGTCCACAGACAGAGAAAAGGATCAGGTGTGTTGAGCACATGTCTCTGTATAACTCAGGAGAATAATGTTTCTTGTGTTTTATAGTTCAGATTGGATTTATTGGTTTGAAGCTGCAACTTTTACAGCGATTTTTTAAGCTGACTTGTCTTGGTTTTAAACTGAGGTCATTTGTGTTTTTTCAGGCTTTAGTTTCCTTGTTGAAAGGAGATCGTTTCGGTTGTCTGGACTCGATCATCGTCTACTGCACCAGACGAGAGGAGACGACTCGTGTGGCAGCGCTGCTCAGGACCTGCCTGCAGGGGGTGCTGTTGAAAGAAAATAAACTGAACAGCAGCAGTCAGACAAGAAACAACCCGGTCGACCAGAAAAAGAAAGAGCTGGGTGAGGGTGGAATGATTTTTTTTAAGATGTAGAGTATTTTAAGTGTAAAATCAGGATGAAAGGCTTTTCTAATGCACTGCTCATGTAAATTTTTTTTTGTGTGTGGCACATTTAGCAAGAAAAAAGATCCGTAAACCTCTGAAATGGCAGGCGGAGTCATACCACGCAGGTCTCTCGGCGTCAGAGCGCCGGCGTGTCCAGAACAACTTCATGTGCGGGGAGCTCAGAATCGTGGTGGCCACTGTGGCGTTCGGTATGGGCCTGGACAAATCCGACGTCCGAGGAATCATCCATTACAACATGCCAAAGGTGCGTGGTATAGTCTGATTAAAAATATCTATCACAACAAAAACTAAAAGAGCGCCAAGTCTAAACGTCCTGTAAATAGTGTTTCATTACAGTTCAATGTTTCTGCAGAGCTTTGAGAGCTACGTCCAGGAGATTGGGAGAGCAGGGAGAGACGGAGAACCGGCACACTGCCACCTCTTTCTGGATCCTGAGGTAGGGTTGACCCCGTCTCATTAAAGTGACTTCATTTACTCTTCCTGTCTAACTTCTCTGATGATGCTTGTAATTCATTTATACATCACAATTATCTCTGTTTTCAATTCTGACATCTCAACGCTCTTCTTGTTTAGCTCTCTTTTCTTCACTTACACAGTATAATTTGTGTTGTGTGTCGATGTGTGCAGGGTGGAGACCTCCATGAGCTCCGGCGTCATATCTACGCCGACACAGTGGACTACTACACAGTCAAGAAACTGGTTCAGAAGGTTTTCCCTCCTTGTAAATGTAAACAGATCCACCAGAGACAAAATGAGCTTGTGAAGGTAATTTTATATTCATGTTTGTTTGCTTTAAACATGGTTTTAATAAAGAGTACAGATAAACTAGAGATGAAACTTTCCGCTTCATGTGAACAATCTTTTTATAAAGGATATTGAAGATTCAGAACTGCTAGAATTGATGGACATATGTGATCAGGACACCAGCATGAACTCTCTGGAACATGCAGAGATGCCGGCATCATCTGAGCAGGTATGAAAACTAACACCCAATGCGAGACAGTGGACACTGAAGCAGGCTGGGAAATATGAAACTTTAGCGCAAAAAAAACATGCTGAGTAAATGAAAGGAAACCAGAGTTTGTGTCTCTTGTGTCTCAGCCTGAGACAGAGGAGGTTACCGTCCTGGAAGACAAAGATGAAGGAAAGGAAAAGGAGAAAGCCACTGGACATGCAGAAACTGGAAGCTCCATGAAGCACAAGGACGAGGAGGTGAAAAAAGGAGGTGATTGGCTGAAGGAGCAGGAAGACGAAAGCAGTGATTGGCCCTCGGAACGGGTTTGTCACACTCACACCAGAGCGATACCCATCGAAGCGACTGTGGAGGCTCTGGACATCACTGAAGAAGGTAAAACACTGAAAGAGGAACGAACCATGAAGAGAATGAAATCCAACAAAGAAAATGTCATTTCTCTTTATTTCTCTGTGTCTGTCAGGTGTGGAAACACTCCTCTGCTATCTGGAACTGCATCCCCAGCGCTTTGTTGAACTCCTCCACCCCACCCTGTCTGTGTGTAAAATCAGCTGTTACGAGGGACCGAGGCAGCTGCAGAAACTCACTAAAATGTACAAAAACTAGAAGCTGTATAAACTTTACAACCTGCGCTATGTTCAGATTCTTTAAACTGTTTTATTTCCTCTCAGCTGTCCTCCCATCGCTGTGGTTTTGGCCCGAAAGCGGATGGCAGGCGAGAAGGTGGAGTCATATGATCAGCTGGAGTTTGATGTGGTTGAGGTTGCAGATACGATGGGATGGGAGCTTCCTCTTGTGAAGAGAGGACTCAGACAGCTACATTACGGTACGTACTCTCCACTGTAGGCGACAAATACAAATGAACGATGAAGACGCTTCTTGACAATGAATCCTTACGTTGTGCGTTTCGTCCCAGCTGGTGGACGTAGCGGTGTCCGAGTTGAGTTCTCCTCCATGTCTTTCTTCTTCCGCTCCTGTGGCGACCTCAGCGATGAGGAGATGGACAGAGTCTGCCAGTTTCTCCATGATCGAGTGCAGAACCAAGAGAGGACACAGCTCTACCAGCTGTCTGCCTGCTTCAAGGCCTTTAAGAGGTTCACACACACATCTACAGTGCAGTCATCCTTAAAACCGCAAATGTTTTTATTAAAATAAGAAGATAAAAACACATCAATAACAAGAGAACGCTTGGGAGGAAATGTCACATTACTGGCAATAAAGAAATAAAATAAAAATAAAAATATTTAAAGATTTTCAGTGCCCCTTATAGTCTGAAAAATACGGTAATTTCCTCTAATCTTTGACTGCAAATTTCCGTTTGCTAATTGGTAAAATCTGCTTATGAAAAGTTTCCTTCATCACCTGAAGAAACCGTAAAAAAAATCAGAATAATCTGATAAAATGCGGATAAAAAACAGCTCCTATCCTTGACGGATTTGATGTCATGATATCACAAACTCCCTGATGCACGTCCTCTGTGTTTGTGTATCGTTCTGCAGTGTTGCGTACCAGAGCGTCTTGTCCTGCGTTGATGATTTGGATGAGAGTCGCAGCCTCCAGCTGAAAAACCTTCTCTCCGAGTACTTTGAAAAGAGACGAGATAGAAGCCAGACACTGTCTGTGGTGGATACTGAGGAGCTGGACAAATATAAAGTAAAACACACACACAGGATATCTGTCAGAACTCTTTGTCGAATTTGAGTCCTGAGTGGTCTGAGTATATTTTTTGATTGTGTTTGTGTTTGTAGTTTTTGGACTGGGAGAATCAAATCAGAGCCGACATCAGGAGTTTCCTTTCCCACCGGAGTGATGAGAAATTCTCAGGGAGAGCTGTCGCCAGAATCCTGCACGGCATAGGTGAGAGCACACAAACAAATTAATGTGACACTCTGTCATAAACGTAAGAACTAAAACACTGCAGGACGAACTTAGATTATTACTATTTTTTAAGTAAACGCACTGATACCACACTGTATTGTGTTGTAGATTACGTAGATTACGACATTTCAAGTAAATTCAAGTTAGTTCAAGTTGCCGACCGCATGCTTCCTCTAATCTAGCTCTAAACAAAGCTGAAATTTAAGAAGCTAAAACTTTGCTTCTATTTAGAAAATGGTTTTAACTTTTTTTGCTGTACTGTCATATTTTCACGTGTTTTGTTAACTTGTAAAGTAAATAGTCCCTTAAGCTTGTACACTATTGATTTAACCCTCACATACTGTTCGGGTCAAATTTGACCCGTTTTGACTTTTAACAGCAGTAAAAATACCCTAAACATCATTTTTTAAGCCTGAAACTTGATGACTTTTCCTGAAGTTGCCCAAAATACATGAAATTAATTTAAAAATATTCATGTGTATTTTTATGTGCTACAAATTTTTCCCCTCTAAGGCTGTTACGGGTCAAATTTGACCCGTATCTATATTTAGATGGATTTTAGATCTAGCAGTGTGGGACAAGTGACAAACAGTAACAACAGTGTTCAATATAAGGTTTGTTGTTCAAAAAGATATATTCAAATCATTATGAAACTATCATTACCTTGACAGAAACACACACACACACACGCACGCCCGACACAGACATACAGTCACACAGACACACCTAGACAGAGGTCAAAATGACCTAACTAGTCAAGAGAACTTTCTGTGACAGAAAGCTGCTCTTTGAACTCTTTGAAGGGGCAATTTTGACCCGGAACATACTGTGAGGGTACAGGATTTGAACAGTATGTGAGGGTTAAAGAGAAGTACAATCATTGCAGGGTCAAAGATAACCTTTAGAGGGTGCTGAAGGATCAACAGTGATTGTTTTCAGAGTGGGGCCCAGAGAGTAGATCACATTCAATCTTTGCCAGTTTTAAAAATTGTTCTTGAACTTTTTTTATGCCACAGATAGTCTTATAAATTTTACTGACACAAGCTTCCAACCAGATCTCTCTGTTGATTTTACCTCACAAAATGAAGGACATTGACAGGAAAAACTTCAGGACTTTACTGTCCAAGTACCACAAGTTTAAAGTCTTGCTATCAGCTCTAGATCTGCTCACAGTTTGTGCTTCATTAAGATAAACATAATCACTAAAGTTGAGAACTGTCTCTGCGTTACAGGCAGTCCTTGTTTTCCTGCTCAGACGTACGGCAGAGACAGGCGATACTGGAGGAAGTACATTCAGTTTGACTTCAACCAGCTCATCAGACTGGCCACGCAGGAGATCATTCGCTTCAAGTGAAGAATCTGATTTCCTTACTTCTCTTCCCTTACGGGTTATTAAAAAAAACAGCTATTATTTCACAAATCGCTTCACAATGTCAGAATATCTCATGTGATGTTATTTCTAATGTGTTGAAGTATTTATTTTTAAGTTAAATCAATAAAATATTTCTATTTTTCTAACTTTGTCTCACTGTGACATTGATTTCAAACATGTTAGGAGCATCTCCATAAAAATCAACTCTGATTTGTTCCATGGGGATAAAAACACGTCTGTGGGGTTTTTAGTGGGTTTGGTTTCTAGATGATCTCGAATCGCTAAAGCTCATGGAAAATAAACGTCTTGACCCAGAAGTGAACTGATACCAGGAAGTAAAAATAGAGGAGCAACAACAAAGGGGAGTTTCGTCTTGGACCACCCGATCCCTCTTTGGCAAGGTTGTTGACTCTAGAGGCTTAAGGAGAATGCAAATATTTAACTGCATCGATGGGAATATCTGGGTAATGATTAGTCATGGCATCAGTACTTTCTAAAGGCAGGTGTGGAGTTTCCTGATTTTCACCTGCCCATATGATTCAGATTCAGAATATTTAGTCTCTTCTCGTAAATGAAAACATCAGTAAACAAACTAATACAAAAGGTGATTTCCGGATAGTTGCTGCTGGGTTTATTGGTGCGACTCGGCCTTTGTGGATTTCAAAGACATGTTAACATAAATATCGAAATGTTTATGTATCCAAATATCTATAAATACATAGATCATTGTGAAATACTCCTCTGGTCAGCCTTCAGATGATCACATGCAGAGCTCAAAGAGAGAAGCAGGAAAAAGAAATCCAGGCCACCAAGTGAGCCGCCTCTTGGAAAGGTCAAGCAAAGGTTGGCCACAGTGACTGATGCACAAACAGCCACTCCTGGTGTGTGTGAACAGGATTTTCACCTTGACAGGCTTGGAGATTAAGAAGAATGTTGAAAGCATTTAGTGACGTAAAATAACCCTGTATCTTCCTGTAAACATAAAACAATAGACATTGTTCTCCACAGACATGTTGGCGGGGTGGATTTCAGCTGTTGCTAATGACTGAAACAATGGCTGTGTTATGAGACGGGGTGAATGAGTGAAGACTTTTCTCTGCAAACTACAGCGAAGAAATCAAGTAATTAAAAGATGATCATTGTGTAAGGAAGGTTAGGTCAGCTGAAATACCTCCAAACAGTGTCACTTTTACATAAGTGCACCTACAGCTCAGTGTTACATGTTAAACTTAGGTTTGCAAGTTAATATTAAACACAACAGCTACAGGGTTATCTTCAAGAGACAGAAAGTTTATACCTATCAGTGGTAGATGAGTCATCTGAGGGGTCATCAGGGGTCTAGTCTTTGGAGACTATGAAGGTCTGTGGAAAAGTTTGTGTCAGTCACTGTCATGTTAGATTGTCCCCATCATTAACGGCTTTTAAATCCCACCTGAAAACACATTTTTAGTTTGCTTTAGCCCCGGCATTAGAGTTGTGTGGTCTCTTCCTGTTCTTTTATTGGATTTTTATTTACTCTTACAGTGTTTTTATTTCTATTTTATTTTATTTCTTTGTTTTTTATTTTTGAGTGTTTTAATGTGGTTTTGTTACGATTCTTTTATTTTATTTCATTGTTATTTATTTATCAGGTGTTTTAATGTGGTTTTGTTATAATTCTTTTATTTTATTTTATTTTTATATTAGTAATTTTTTTAATGTTTTAATGTGGTTTTTCTGTGATTATTTTATCGTATTTTATTTCTTTATTATTTAATTTTTAATAGTTTAATATGGTTTTGTTATAATTCTTTTATTTTATTTAATTATTATTTATTTATTGAGCGTTTTAATGTGTTTTGTTATAATTCTTTTATTTTATTTTATTTCTATCTTAGTAATTTTTTTAATGTTTTAATGTGGTTTTTCTGTGATTATTTTATCATATTTTATTTCTTTATTATTTAATTTTTAATAGTTTAATATGGTTTTGTTATGATTCTTTTATTTTATTTAATTATTATTTATTTATTGAGTGTTTTAATGTGGTTTTGTTATTATTCTTTTATTTTATTTTATTTCTATATTAGTAATTTTTTTAATGTTTTAATGTGTTTTTTATGTGATTATTTTATCATATTTTATTTCTTTATTATTTAATTTTTAATAGTTTAATATGGTTTTGTTATGATTCTTTTATTTTATTTAATTATTATTTATTTATTGAGTGTTTTAATGTGGTTTTGTTATAATTCTTTTATTTCATTTTATTTCTTTATCATTTATTTTTTAAATGTTTTAATGTGGTTTTGTTATGGTTCTCTTACTTCATTTTCATTTTATTCCCTAACAGTGTTTTATGTTCTGTGCGTTTTAACTTATTTTATCGCAATGTGCAAGTTGTTTTTTCGATATTTTTTACTTGCAAGGAGTCAGCAGCTTACAACAAAGGCAGCTTCCTCTGACTGGGGAATTCAGATTTTTACACATCCTTTATGCTGCCGAGAAACAAACATCCCTCACCCACTAACATCATCTCACAAGTGGCATGACATTACAACCGTATCCAAATAGGGTACAGGTTGCAGCTGTGGTCTGTACTGGGAAGACAAAGACAGCTTAGTTCATCATCAGGTTCCTGCTTATTAGTTCAATGTCGCTCTGTTGGGAAAACAACCTGAGAGTGAAATTGTAGCATTCATCTAGTTGCATGGCTTCAGCGGAAAAGTATCGTCCCAACTCCAAGGCCATACTTCTCCTTTCCCATGCTCATTAAAAGAAACAGAATTGACTCTGCAAGCATTCACACCAAGTGATTTTCAGTAAATGATGATTAACATACGTATATGATGATAAAATACACATGTGATAGCATACACATACAATTTTTCTTTCAAGTACCTAATCAACATTTCTGTCTCCAGAGTGATGGCACAAACAAGGCTGAAGAAAGAGTGTTTTTCTGAGACACTAGACTGACTCATTTGGATAAAAGTTCAACAATGACACTGTAAGTGGTCTTAAATCCATGAACACAGCCTTTCATTTGTCGACATCTTAACTAAATGATCATGATGAATAAGCAGTCTCGTCCCCCTCTAGACATTGCAGCACTGCTGACCGTTCAGACACGAACAATGTCTTCTGCTCATCATCACTTTTTAATCATACGCAGTCACCTAAATACTCTTCCTGACGTAACTGCAGACCTAAAAACAGCTTTCAAAAGTCATAATGATCATTTATCTTTCAGACATTGAATCATTAAAAAGAGGATCAAAGGCCTCTTGTTTTAGTCCTGAACTGTTATTTCCATATTTCATTTTTCTGTTACTGCGTCGTATAACCACCTGATAAACTTATCTGCAGAGTTGTAAAACTACCCATCAAGCTAGCCAGAGTTCAACATCTCTTTTTCCTTATTCTACCTTTCTTTATTTTACATTTAAAGATCAGCTGTTGTCGACTGTAGCTGTAATAAAAATGTTTCATACATTGTAATAACTGAGAAGCCAAAGGTCCACTGTAAAATCTTAGTACCGTATGTTTTATTAAGACAGGAACAGACTTTTAGGGGCTCGTAAACCCCTGAAGACGTGGTGGAGAAATTCATCACTCATTTGCTTTTGTTGGAAAGTTGACTTCAGGGAAGTCCACTTCTGATTACATACTGTGAGTGTGCAGTTTGTTAGTACAGCGCACACTTAAAGGATTAGCACACGCCCCGATTGTTGTCCCTTAAATGGGTCATTTTAAAAGTGAGATGATGCTCACGCTTGTTGGGACATGTACTGTATAATGCTTATGTACTTATTACGTCGCCCTCTTTGGGTGATGAGTTGTCAGCGGACTCTGTCCCTAATGAAGGTTTTCACATAACCTGTAAGTCAAGGAGATTAGACCAGACAGATAAAGAGAGAGTGCTATTCACACAAAGGTTTATACTACGTTTTTTATAGATATCTCTTTTTAAACTTCAGTTTCCAGCAGCTAAATATCATAACAAACTCTTATATGAGACAAACTCTTTTCATAGAGTCAAAAGCCCCAGAAATGTGCATATTTAAATTCTTTATAACTGGGTTAAAAATGAACCCTTGAGATAAAATTCAATGGTCATAAAGCATGAGTGCGCACTTGTGAAGTAGCTGACAGTCCTGTACGAGTATTCATATGCTGCACTATTTAGATTAAGAGTTCAAATGTAAAAACTAGATGCGCACAGATGCTCTAGTCTTAATCTATCTGAGAGTAAAAAGAACTGGTGAAAGTACAAAATGGGTTTTGAATGAAATTTAATTTTACGAAGAAGACAAAATACAAAACGAAGCAAGTATCAGTGCACCAGGAAAACATTTTTATTTACATTCTCTGTAAAATATTTGGAGAGATGGGATTTAAAGTTAAAGAAATAATATAAAACTTAGATTGTTGAGCTTTTTACTTTAAAAGTTTGTTTTTTTCCATCCAAATTTCTAGTAAAAACACAAAAATCGACTCAGTACCGCTCTGATGGACATGTTGGCAGCCTGCAGTTTTTATGGATCCTGTTTCAACGTAATGAACAGACATTTGGCATGTACCCTTTTGTCTGTAATTTAAACTATGTGCTTTTGGCTTCAGAGTCCCTCAGTGGATTAATTACAAACATTTTGCCATATAAAAAACTAGTTCGATCCACTTCCTTATAGTCTAGGGTAGTATTCTGTCTGAACTAGAGAGGACCTGATACCTCTGCTACTTTTTACTAGAATAACATATAAATTAAAATCTTTCTATAATAAACAAAAACAAACAATATTAGCAGCAGGATTGTATGTTTCTATAGTCTAATTTTCCTAATACCTGAAATGGGAGCAAGGGCGTAGGTGTCAGTCCAGCACCTGAAGAGACAGCTCTGTTTTTACAATTTACACATAAAATGTTCACAATAAATGAAACATTTGACTGTTAAAAGTCTTGTGTGGTGAAGAAGAAGAAGAAGAAGAAGAACTTTATTAATCCCCGAAGGAAAATTCAATTGTCTGTTCAATTGTCACGTAATATGTCTATAAAAGTTATCTATTATTTACATAAGAGTTATAAAGCCTGATGGCTGTTGGTACAAAAGATCTTCTAAATCTTTCTGTCCTGCAGCGAACAGAGAGGAGCCGTCCACCACCATTTGCCCTTTGGTCCATCAAGGTGTCTTTTTAACCCCACTCTATCATAGAACTAAATAACATTTGTAAATTCTGTCTTTAATAAAATAAAATGAGCGAAGCTACAATGCAATATTTCTGCCCAAAGTGTTTGAACAACATTTGATGAATTGTTTTAATTTACATATGTGCGTAGGGAAATATCGGTTAAAGGCCTTTGGGGTTGTTGAGTAAACCTTTAACACATTTTTATGACTGGATTTGTCCGCCATCTGACCGCTTGTTAACCCTCTTTTTAGTGAGCGCAAGGCTGACCTTGACCCTTAACCTTAACTCTGTCCCAGTTGGTGGTGATGGAGGAAGCAAATTATACGCTCAAACCAGTCCAGTGTGTGCCATAAATATACGCTGTTTAAATGGTGATTCTCTCTTCATAAAGAGACAGCAACAGAAGAATACCCCACCCGGTCAGCAGGCCTAGATTCTGCAGCAGGAATATCAGCCATGGTCTCTTGTTACTGATGTGGATCATGGTGGGGAGCTGGGAAACAAAGACGGGATGGAAGTTAAACATTAAACTTTGACATCCCATCAACCTGCTGCACTTTATAATGACTCACCATATCAGCCAGCCCCACATACAGGAAGAGCCCTGCAGTGATGGCAGCTATCCACTGTTTGGTGGCGAGGTCAGTGGCGACAGACAGAGCGATGTACAGGCCGATGAAGGAGGTCAAAGCGCTGCCCACGTTTAGGAGTAACGCCTTACGGACAGACACACCACTGTGGAGCAAGATGGCAAAGTCCCCTGGAGATGAACAAGAACAAGAGAACGGTGCTCAGGAATACTCAAAAACAACCAGTCACATCACACACTGCTCGCCTTTGTGTGTGTTTACCCAGCTCATGTGGCAGCTCATGGCAGAGCACAGCCAGCGACGTGGCCACACCAGATTTCCAAGACAGGGAGAATGCTGCGCCCATCGCCAATCCATCTGCAAAGTTGTGGATCCCGTCACCGATGGTGATCATGAAAGGCAGCAGACGCTGCTCTGTAGAGGCAGATAAGGTGTTGTTAGCGGTGGAGTGTCATCATGACGACAGGATGGCGTGCTTGGTTTTGTGTTGGAGATGACTTTACTCACCTCTGGTTCGCTCTCTCGGCTCTGAGAGTGATTTCTCATTGTCTTCAATGTCGACCTGAGATGTAAACGATAAATAAATACAAGTAGGTACAAAACTTTCAGAAATAGATCTGAAATAGATAGAAGTTGAGATGAAAATAGCTCACACCGAGGATATGGGCTTTATTTACAGGGATGAAGTGACTTTTAAACATTTCTATAAACAGGTGGTGGTGAAAAAGATCTTAAACTTATTTACTACAGGGAGACAAATCCTCTCTGAGCTTTGACTTTTAATCAGTATACATCTTTACCTCTCCACAACAATAATAATAATAATAATAATAATAATAATGTGCATTTCCTCTCACCAGGTCTGTTTTTGACACTGTCTTGTCTTTCTTTTTCCTTTCCTGCTGATACATCTCTAAAACTCCCCCGTGGTCACAGTGGTGAGGCTCAGACTCTTCCTGAAGAACAGAAGATTTAATGAGAGTCAGCAAATTTAAAAAAGGAGAGCATCTGAGATATACATATGAATGATACACAAAATAACTATAAGAAAACAGACGAAATAGAAGTACATCACTAGCAACAACTTTAGAATGACGATTGGAAAACAAAGTTCTTGCTCTGATCCAAAAGAAATGCTTAAATAAACCTTGGAGCCACACCTGTTCACTCGTGGAAAAGGAATCTGGTTTGGTGTTATTATAAATATCCTCTTACCCCGTGATGATGTTGATGATGGTGATGATTTTTGTTTTTATAAGTGATCAAAGAGAAGATTGTTTCCATCAAGTAGAAGTAGTAGATCCCAGCTAGCAGCACCAGCATCTTATAAATATAATCTGGAGTTTCCTCCTCTTCACCGTGTTCATGTGAATGACCTTCCTCTCCAGCTGCGTGCACATGCAAACCTAGAAACTGAACGCAGAGATCTGAGTCATTTTTAGAGTCATGTTTTGGAATTTCATCCCTTTTAAGAGAGGACAGCACAGAGCAGGATACCCAAACTGCCCACTTCAGCTGTGTGGGGTGCATGGCTTCACTACAAGACCACAAACCAGAGCACCAGATCTTCACTGTCATGTTAAAACAATCCAGAAACCAGAGCTAAGACGTGACTGTTACCAGTAACTAATATAATCCCTCTGATCTGGTGATGGAAAAACACCAAAGTGTAAAGCTACTGAATGAAAAAGGGAATGGTAGGATTACTAGGAGTGATTGTTCTTCTAGAAGAACGTGAAGTTCTAGATAAAACTGAAGGACATGCTGTGTAAGATACAAGTAGTAAAAATAACCCTGGATAAAAGATAAAAGATGCTTTAACCCTGAGATTGGGGAAGATTTTTTATGCGCATATAAGCGGTTCTCTGCTCTTAAATTAAAATCACTCCAACACTCTGGATTCTTGTGTCCGCCTCCGGTCATTTTTCTATCACCTGGCATGAAAATCTAAATGGAAGAGAAACAAATTTCACCACCCCTGGCTCTGAAAGTATGAATGAAAAAACCTACCATGGGTAACAGGTGCAGTAGAGCATCCCCAGTCAGTGAACCGACAGCTAAGCTAATGCAGAACTGTATACACATCTGGAAGACGGCGGTGCAGGAGGTACACAGCAGCACCACGATGCCAAACATGGCTGTCAGAGTGATCAGCAAATTAGCAATGGTTGCATAGACATATCCTAGAAGAGAAAGAAAGGAAAGGTGAGTGAAGAAGGTGTTGTGGTATGTTTAGTAGAGGACCTAAAAACCACCTGGGAATCCAGAGAGATGAGATGCTAAACGTATCTGTGTATTTGAAAGGGTGTAAAAACTGGGACTTAATTCAGCATACACAACAAAAGCACACTGACTATAGAGGAAATAAGGGTAGCTTCAATCGCAACATTATCTTCACAATCCCTGATCATTCATCTGCATCTCGGACACTTACTTTCTGTCTTGGTGAGCTGGTCTGGTGTCGGCGGTTCTGTTTTGTCTGCACACGCTCCGCTCAGGATCTGCTGGATGAGAGCAGGACTCAACCGAGCCAAACCAGACTGACCAAGGCCGGAGGAGGCAGAGCTGTTCTCCTGCAGACCGTGGATCACGACCAGTTCTTTGGCTGAGAAACACAACTGAAAGTAAAAGTAAAAAAAATATTGTCAGTGAAAACTTCTACATGTTCTTTACATGCTCACTGTACAACACACAGACTTTGTGTTTTCCTTCTGTTGATGCTTCTTTCACCTGTTCAAAGGTGGTGTTTCCTTCATGCCCTTCATGATCATGATCGTGGCTGCTCCTCTTCCTCCATCTCTTCGCCTCATGATCATGATCATGATCATGATCATGAGGATGGTGCTCATGTCCATGATCATTTTCTGTCTTGGGTCCAATGTTCAGTTTCTCCATGAGAGCCTCCAGATCTATAGAACCAAAGCACACCTTACACTTACGTACAACAATTCACAACTCACCTGAGAAAATGAAGACAATATCAGACGAGGTGTGCTTATCAACAAAATATTACGTATAAAGAAATCATACACAGACTCATCACATTATAATTTCCCAATATTACTTTTAATGGATCTGGGTATTTCTATAGACATGCTCCTGACTGAAATTTACCCCCTACTGTGAAGTTCCCCGATCCCACATGGTCCAGGATGTAGTCCAGAAAGAAGCCCTCCTCGGGGAGAGTGCGGCTGATGAAGCACCGACCCAACAAGGCATGGTACAGGACAAGACCTAAAACCGCACCAACTTCCTGTTTCTGGTCTGGTGATGATGCATTGACCTCCATCATGATGTTGCTGGCTGTCACGCAGCTCTGGTTAGCACAGACGGAGAGAAAAAGTCAAAGTTATACAAAAGTTTACCTGTTTGAACGTAGAGCTTAGAATATGGGGGATAATAAAGATTAACATCCCAACAATCTGCCACCATCATTTGTTAAATATGCCATCAGCTACCACTGATGAATGCGCTGCAGACTCTAAGAGCAATAATCCAACAGTCCCCATTTACAGCATCTTATCTATAATGTTTCTGCTGAGCTAAGAATAAGAATAAGAAGAACTTTATTGAACTTTATGAAATCTAATTGACCCAAATGTTAAATGGCACAAGTAAGCATAATCACGGAAGCCTTCAGTCCAAATATAAAACTCAACAATGTCATTGCATCAATAAAATAAGGTCAAGTTAACCATGGAATGAAATTATTCTGTCGAGTCAAAAACCAAACTTGTTTACTTTTTAACTTTTCAACTGCAAGACTTCGTGGGTTGAATACTAAAATCAGGTTTGCTTAATTTGAAGTAAGAACAACTTTCCAAGATATTTCGTACGATTTTAGACAAATATTAATGAAAATAGTTTACAGTGTTTGATATTTTCTAGATTGATCATGTGTTGCGACTGTAACCCCTTTTTTAAATCATTTTACAAAATATGCAAATTAATTTGGATTTTTTTTTATTCAGAGTTATGGGTCTTTTCTGACTTTTCATCAACTTTGAATGTGCTAAATCAATCAATCAATCAATCAAACTTTATTTTTAAAGCACTTTTCATACATATAATGTAGCGCAAAGTGCTGTCCATTCAAGCAGGATATTAAAAAATATGAAATAAATAAAATTACAAAACAAACAAAATTTAACTGCAAGCCAGACTAAAAAGGTAGGTCTTGAGTTTTACTTTTAAAATGGTTAAAAATCACTGGCATGTTTGAGGTAAATCTTGACTCATTGCAGTGATTTCTTTCCCGCAAACTGCTGTAAAACTGTTCCGTCTGATAATCGAGCCGTTTTACAGGTTTAGAGTAAGAACTTTTCATCTCAGTAACAGCCTCTGTGGTGATGTGCTCAAGTAAAGGGCAAAGCCTGGTAGGTGTCCTGTTGGCATCACCCATAGATAAGATCACCCATATGATAAGATAAGATAATCCCACCAGTTTCACTGCAAAACACACTCCAGTATGTAAATACTTCTCTAAGTCACATATTAACATGATGGATAAATTAAGAACTTCAGACATTGAGAAAGATCATAAACTTCTTCTTAACTAAAACCTTCACGCTTCTGTTCAGCAAACCTTCTTCTTCTTCACCTTTACTTGACCTTATCATGTCTCCTTCTTTTCTATCTTCTTTATAATCTTGTAACCTCCCCAGTTTTATGCTTTAGTGAACACAGTTAAGCTTACCTCGCCATCTGAGGGCTCATAGTGTTCATGAAGCCCATGAAACACCAGCTGTAATCCATGAGTGTCTATGTGCTCATGGTCGTGTTCTCCCTCACGGTGGGTCTCGTTCTCTTCATGCTCGTGTCCGTGGTCATCTCCATGTGTGATTTCGTGAAGGAAACGCTCGGTCTCCTCTGCCCACCTCCCCTGGTTAACTGCGACGCACACCTCGTTGGGAGATGACAGGTATAGGATGCTCCCGGCGGCTACAGCGGGGAAGTCGGATACGCTGATGTTCAGATTGTGTCCTTCACTTCTTGGTTCTTCCTCTCCGTGGATGGAATGATTGCTGAGCAGCTGGTGAACACCAACTGCTAAATCACACTAAACACAAACACAAACAGAGAAGAATACATGTACATAAACATTAATATAAGCACAGATAGGAGTTCCTAATTCTATGATATGAGTTTATTGTTCCTTTTGGGAAGTTTCCCTCAAGGAAATTAAAAATAGCAGATTACATTAATAACACTTAGAAAATTATATCCATTTATATGACAGCAACAAAGTTATAAACAAACAAATTCCTGTATCTACGTGCATATCTGAAACATAAACGGCCAACAAGGAAGAGTCTGACTCAGCTTTATCATGAGTTTTATTTGTTTAAGATAAGCAATATAATAAGGAAACTAGGCCGTTATATATATAAGATAAAACACTATGAATTGATAGTGGCAATCCACACTGACCCACAAAACTCTGGAGAGCGGCTTTTGCGATTCGACAAACTGTTGAGTTGCAAAAGCTGATGGTAGTTTATGGACTCATTGACATTTGGCATGACATTATTCCAACTGTAGATTACATGAGCTTTTTGATTTTACTGCTGACCTTCATATACTGGTTTAACTTTCCGGCAGTAATACCTGTTTTACTCTAGTTATTGTGTTACTAGTCTGTGTCCCCACAATGGGGGCCATCCAGTTTACTGCCCCCGGTTAAAGCTCAATCTTTGTCATTTTACCTCTTACTTTTAGGGCATTTAATCCCTGGATTCAGATTTGTCAAACACAGCAGATACTTATCAATCAAACTCTGTCCTGTCATGCAGCTGACAGGTGACAAGCTCAGGAAGTTCACTCTCATAAAGGAGTTAAAAAAGATCCCTGAAGGAGATTATCACATGAACAATATACAACCAAAAAAGTCAAACAAATTGGTCAAGTTATTGGACTGGTGCTGTAATAACTACTATAGGAAATAATAAACTCTAATTTTGTCTTATTTTTACCCTTGACAGCATTGTGAAGCACATTCATAATGGTTACTGACCACATAAGTGAAGAATACATGGTATTATTTACACTTCCCTTTAAATCCAATGTGAAATATTATTCAACAGATATAGCTTTTAATGTAATCTGATTTAAAATCGTCAGATAGGTCGATCCAGTTTATCAGTGAGGCAGGTGAAGCCGTTTAATGGCTTTGGACATCGACCCCTCCTGCAGCTGCATCCAGCCGCCCGGCTCTCTGAGACCTGGCTGCGGACGAAGCGTAATAAAACTCACCTTTTCACACGACACTCCGCCGCCGCACTGCACACGTTTCTCTAGTGTATTAAAGAGGCTGCGGAGCGAGTCCTCTGTCAGAAACTGCTGTCCCGGAGACACGACGCTCAACACAGCTCTGTACGCTTCTTCCACGGCGGGAGAACCAGAAACGGAACCGAGCGAACCCAAACCAAGCAGCAGCAGCAGCGCAAAGGAAAACATATTCAAACTTTTAGACATGACTTTTAAACTCTAAAATGGATTGAATTAGAGAAAAAAAAAGGAAAATGAGAAAGTTTGTAGTAGGAGGTAGATCTAGTCTCGGTGTATTTCTACAGTAGAGCTCCACTCACTGCTGCTCTCCGTTTAAAATCACTGCGGGTTTACTAGACTTGACATCTGGACTGTGATTGGCTGAGACATGGCTCGTGCTGTCCTATACCTGCTGTCACCTGTAAAAAAGTTGAGGAGGCATTTTTCCTCCCAGCATGACTCAGTGTATAAAACCCATACTCTGTTATAATGTAGGGGACAGTGGTTTTCTGCCTCATTCAGACATTTTCTTAAAAATACGTCTTAAACTTTGTTAGAGAAACAAAACTGAAAAAAACAGATTTTTCTGAAGGTAGTTTAAGTAAGATAGTGGTTCACAAAAATACTGTCAATTGCTCTTAAGCTGATGGTCTTTTAATTTTCAACAGAGTGAGCCTGTTTAAGCCCATCTTGTTTAAGGCTACCACTCATTTATTACAGAGTTATGTCTGTAAACGTTTTACACAGATTTTTAGTGAGATTTATTGTGTAACACTTGTGTGTCTGTGCGTGAGTATTAGTGCTGATTTCTGTGCATGTTCCTGTCTTAACCAGCAGATGGTGCTGCTGCTCTGTGTAATCACCAAAATAACTGCACTACACAGTCCTCAAATAAAAACGACCTCTAAAAAATTAGTCTTACACAAAACTTTAAAATACTAAATCATTTTTTTCCAGGGTAGAGGACTGAAGCATTGTTGAAAAAATGCACTGTAAAAAATTGTATGTGCAAATTTCTCCTAAACAAGACAAGACACTGTAGCGATAGTATGCAGTTAAAAGGTATGGTGGCCAAGAACCGCCACTGCTGCAAATAAAAAAAAGAATGCAAAAAAATAAAAAAAGAAGACACAACAGAAGCTACTGATGAAAAAAAAAAACGAAACCGAAGCCTGCTGCAAATAGGAAGAGAAACTGCAGATTTAAAAAGAGCCACAACAGAAGTTAACGATGCAAAAAAAAAGTGGCAATGCCAAAAAAAAAAGAAAAAAAAATTTTTTTTGCATTATTTTCTATTTGCAGCAGTGGCGGTTCTCGACTACCGTAAAAAAAAAGGCCTTTATTTTACATGACAATCCTTTTAGAATTAACTTTTTACCCCCAGACTAACACTTCCCCATCGCACAATCTTTTTGCTTTTACTACAATTAAATCTTTGATTACAGAGTTAATAAACCTTTCTTTTTTCAAACTTTCATTTCCACATCTTTCGAGACCACCTTCTGTTTTTATTTGGAGTTTGTTTGTGTGTTTGGTTATCTCGTAAGAAATCAAAGATCCTCACTTGTCCTGCTGTTGCTTCCTGTCTGAAACGTGGACTAACGTTGACAACGGTCAGCTCCTGTCGGCCCTAAAAAATCACTGATGGGAAGGATATTGAGTTGATTGGCTGCACATCACTTCACACACATGAACAGACAGCAGCGCACACACACACACGCTTGTGGCATGGGACTCTGGACATCTGCCTCTGTGCACACCCTCACATGCACGCACGCACACACATATACATTAGTACACTCACATGCAGGCATATTGACCCCCCACACGGCTAATCTTTTAGACAAAACACACACTGTCCACTGACCTGTTTTTACATCCCCCCCTGTCATGTCACTCTCTGTTAAGCTGTCTGTCATACAAACCTGTAGATGTTCTCATAACACACATTCATCAAGTCTGACTCTGCATCTCCCTGTCTCTGTCTCTTTCCTAAGGACATCTCAGCATGTGGATGGCAGGACTTTAGATTGAAAACAAGTTGAACCTTCCAAATGAGAGACGACAAACTCTACCTCTTAAAGGTGGGGTAGGCAGGAATCCGTTAAAGAAGCATCTTTTTTTGTGGTGTATATACAAAAAAGCTTTTAATATCAGTCAATAGCTATTAGTCATTGCTGACATTTGGTAATATAACGATGTTGCTGTGTTTTGTTATGTCTGTGTAGTCAACACTTTAAATTTTTTGAGCAATCCGCTCTTTCTGACTATAAACAAAGGCATCCTCCGCCTCCCCCAACCTGATTGGTTGTGAGACAGATGCTGCTCCCTCGTGTTGTGAGACACGCTCCACGTCCTCGAATAACGTGCATGAGCACAAAAGAAGTTAGCGTGCAACAATATTGGACAGTAAAAACCAACCAGAAAGTATGAAAAACACCAGCAATAAAACAAAGTAAATATCGGAGACTCTGGTGGAATAACGGGCGCTTAAAACTGAGGTGGACCGGACAAGAACTAAGAAGCCGGGTCAACATCAGCATAAACGATGGGGGACGCTTTGGGATCTTACGGACTCTGTAACCTTTCTGCTGGACAGGTGAACCGCTTTAACAAAGTTAGCCAAGTGTCTGTAACAGAAGTGTTTCTAGTGAAACGGGACCTGCTGTGTGTTGTAGTGCCGCTAAACTGTTGACCTCGGGTCCTGGACTATGTCACTTTATCCTAGTCGTAGAAGTCCTGCAAACATTGTGTTTGCTGGTAGTCTGTTGGCATCTACAGTAGTACTAATGCTCTTTACTTTCAGGTTGACTGGGCCCCATTTGTAATTATCTGAAGTATTTATCTGCATTATATCTGAATTTAATTGGAACAATACGAGCGAGCAGGAGCGTCTGTTTGTGGGCGGGGCTTGCTGGAGCAGAGAGGGAGGGAAGAGGAGGAGCTGAGAGGAAAACTGGTTGAGAGGGGGAAGAGTTTACATTCAAGATTTCTCCCAAAAACTGGCACTTCCTCAGATCCTGCCTACCCCACCTTAAATGGACTTAATCTATTCAATTTTAAGTACCTGTGAGGAACCTACATTTTGTGTCAATTTAGGTTCTCCCTGCCTATCCTGTCCTGTCCTCTGCATGCTCAAGTAGAGACTTTTGATAACTAAACCTCATCATTATGACTTTTGATGGTCACATGTATCATTTATTGTAAAAATTTCATGCAAAAATCCATTTAATAGAATTTTTTCAGCCACTTGGCTGACACCTAATATCTCGCACTTGTTTCAAACATTATAAATTACAACATAAATCCCTTAAGTCATGTTCCTGATGGTCTTGTATTTTATAAGTGTGCAAAAACTCCTCATAGGAGCTTTAACATGGGGTGCACCCCTCAACTTTTCTCAGAATGCAGCATCTTTAACCTTTTTGTGTGTTTAAAAAAACCATACACATCACATTTTCTTCACCCTTAGAGAAATATTACTTCTTCTTCTTCTGCCTCTGCTTTGTGGTGCCATAGCACAAGCAGACATGCGGATATAAACCTGTCCTCAGAGAACTCTAGCCTCTCTTTGTCTCTCTTCTCCCCCCCTTTCTATACCTTCGCGTTCTCCCTCTTTCCCCCTTCTTTGTAACCCCCTCCAATAGTCCTGTGCACACACGCTGGCTGCCTGGCCTCAGCCCTACTTTCTTTCTGAGGCTGATGTTTCCATTACAGAAATAAAAGCATGACGGCTAATCCAGTTATATGTTCCCTGGACGGCACACACACCCACACATACACACACACACACACACACACACACACACACACACATACATGCACACACACGAATACGCTTGAGTCTACATTATGCATACACACATAAACACACTTGGATAAATGCTAAAAACTGCCAAAACACGGGAACACAACAACAACAACAACAAACACATGTTGCAGATGGGCAGGCAAAGGCCCACACAAATGTGCAGACACACACACACAGACACACACACACATACACATACACATACACGCAGAGGGGGCATGTGATTGAAGCAAGACCCCCTGCTGTGAAAAAGTCAAACAGAGCATTGGAGTGCTTGAAATAAATACCAAACACTGGTAAAACACACACACACACAGACACACACACACACATACGCACACACTCACACACATATACCCTGATAAGCTCCCATAGTGATATCCCACTGAGTTGCGCATCCTTCCTATGGAGGGAAAAAAGGGAAAAGACAAAGAACTGGTTTTTCCACCTTTCACCAGTCTCTTTTTGAAAAACAAAAATAACATCACTGAGGGTCCTTTGCTGTTTTTTGGGGGATTTAGAGGTCAAGAGTGAACAGGATTACAGTGTGAATAACACAACTCCTTCATGAAAACATAACTGCACTAACACGCTAAGCAGCAGGGTGGAGTTTAGAGAGAGAATCGAGAGAGACTTCATAATGAGGACAATTACTAATTAAGTTTAGAAAATATGACAACAAATTTTCCATTTTCCTCCTAGGACTCAGAATTGTATAAATCTTTTCATATTAACACTCTATCAAGGCAAAAGGCAACATTGTGTTGTCGCACATACATAGGAAAAACAAGCAAGTCCTTAAATTTCCTCTCAGAGCGGAGCAAGTAATATAACTGAGTATTTTTAGGGTGAAGTTCAGGTGCAACAGAAGATAAACCTGCCTCTTTCAGTTTAAATTTCACACTCTGATTTTTGTTTTGAAGTCCGGAGATAGAGGTGTGCTGAAGGGAGAGTTAGAGGTGAACTTGCCTCAAATAGTGGAGGAAGCAGAGAGGAGGTGAAGTGGGTCAGAGCAGGGACGAGAGAGTTATTGAGGTATTTCTGTGTGAAGATGGAGCGCGAGAGAGAGAGAGAGAGAGAGAGAGAGAGAGAGAGAGAGAGAGAGAGAGAGAGAGAGAGAGAGAGAGAGAGAGAGAGAGAGAGAGAGAGAGAGAGAGAGTAAAGAGCAGGTATGTCCTACATGCATGGGCACTCAGGTCAATGCAGATAATTACACTACCTATGGCGTTTCTTCCATACATTTATTAATTTGCTGAGTTAACCCTCGCATGCCTGGTCTCAAATTTCTCTCTCTCTCGTTCTCTCTCTCGTTCTCTCTCTCTTTCTCTCTCTCTCCTACAAACACATATCTGTTTGGGTTCTCTTACACTTGGGTTTAATTTGTATATTGGGCCTCTTTAGAGCTTATTGATTGAGTTAATTATGTCCTAATGAGGACACTATTTCTTCCTTTATCTAATTAAAGGGTAGTTACAACATTTAATCATCAGTGTCCTGAAAATGACTGACTGAGTTGAAAAACTGCCGTCCCGTGGGATCTGGGTGTATAAGTGTGTCCTTTCTCTCTCTGTGTTCATTATACGTGTCTGCAGCCTAAAAGGTTATTTCATTTAATTTCTTTTGCAAGAAAATGTTTCAGGAAAAAAAACAACAACATACTAATATCATCCACATCTGCACATCCAAATATAACAGCATTATAACATGGAATGAGACCTGACACTGACTGTAGATAAAGATGAACAACGTGTCTCCACCTCCTTCGACTGCACAAAAATGATGCCAAAGTAACACAGCACGTGTAGACTCTGACATCTTGTTCATTTGGTGCCAGAGTCTGCACATCCTGCCCCTTTAACAAACCAAAACATGCAGTTCACTTGCTGATAAAACATGAAAGATCTCTTCGGTCAGCACAGTATGCAGCGTAACAGCCTCTTGTGTTGGTTTTAAACAGACAGTCCAGCTAATGAAAAGTTCATTGACTGCAGTTTTTGCACCTGTTATGTTTCCTCTGACTCTTGAACGATGGAGCTACATTTGTGTTTGTTTGTTTTATATAACAATATTGTACCAATGAGGCAAATACATATCATTACATGATTTATCAATGGCTGCTTGGTGGTACAGTGGTAAACGCCTCACAGTAACAGCTTTGGCCCCTACCCACAGTCTGAAGCCATGCTGGTTAGGTCAGCTGATCATCCTATAGATTTGTAAATAAGACTGTGAGTGTGTCTGGTCCTCTGTTAGTTTGTTAGCTTTGTAATAGGCTGGTGACGTATCTGGCTCTTGCCCATTGACAGCTAGTATCCATACGCCTGCAACCCTGATAAGGTTAAGTCCATAGACTGTATATAGAATGGACAGCGTCTGCCTCCTCGCTGGGTGAATCCAGTCTGAGAACAGCACCCTCTGTTGGTGGGCTGCAGTATAGGTCATTAATCCCCCCTCCACCAGCAAAGCTTATGGGGCTGTGGACAAACTATAAGAAATGTATTACTCAGAATATACATTTTTCTCCCCCTGGTTGTGATGTTGACATGTAGTTATAGTAAGACTGGTTTGTGCTCAACTCCTCTTTTTTCTTTGCAGCTCTATTTTTAAAAGTTATCAGGGGGTTCATGTTTTCTATGATTGACACTTGATACAGCCTATGGGCGTACGAAGATTGTGTAGTTCACCCGGGGGATACACTGTTTGAGCCGAGCGTCATCACAGTGACTCTCTGTGACTCTCCTGCTGAATGCGTACAATCCTACTGTGCAATGTTGGTTACAGGAAATGAAGAAAAATCACGGAAACACTGAGAGCTTTTTGGCTTCAAATCCGTATACTGACGGGAGGTGGAACCATGTTGTCCATAGTATATACAGTCTATGGTTAAGTCGTACAAATAATGGAAGAAAGATGAATGATAATGTGTGTGAATTTGGAGAAGAATTACAAAGTTGGTCACACACAACAAAACAAACGGAGAGAACAAACCTTTTTAATTTAGCAGTTTTTGTAAATCTCACTTTTTCCTCATTGTCCTTTTTTTCTGTTACATGACTGATGAGCTCCAGTGCCCTATTCCTAACAACAATGTAATAATGTTAAATACCTGCTTCCTGTTCAAAATGAGCGCAACAGAAACAAGCTCAGTGTGTGTTTCTAATCTCTGGAGGAGGAGAGAAACTTTGCACAGGGTGAGAAAATTTCCATAATACATGTCGTCTTTTGGAGTTGACATGTAGCCATGATACTGTGTGTATGTAAGAGTGGTAGGTTTTATTTCACACACACACACACACACACACACACACACACACACACACACACACACACACACACACACACACACACACACACACACACACACACACACACACACACACACACACACACAGTGGTCAAATGTTAATGGTTTATTAATTCATGCCTTAAATCTTGCAGATGGACGGAATACTGATTGACAGACAGAGAATAAAAAGGGGTGGAGGAAGGGAGGAAGAGGATGAACCGTTACAATGGGGGGAGAGAGAGAGAGGGAGAGAGAGAGAGAGAGAGAGAGAGAGAGAGAGAGAGAGAGAGAGAGAGAGAGAGAGAGAGAATTGAAAAAAAAAAACAGTACTTAAAAATAATAACCATGTCATGGCCTGATTGGTTTGGTTTTCCCATATTTAACTCAGTGGACTGGGAAATGAGAGAAGGACAGAGAGGAATGGTGGCAGATAGATGGAAAAATTAAACAAAAGACTGGATGAATAGAGTTAAAGAGAGGAAAAGAAAGCTAAGTAGAGGGGGATGGGGAAAAAGGAGAGAAAAAAAGGATTTGTAAAGAGTAGCATGACTCTAGATCATGAATTCGGTTTCATCAGAGCTCTGGGGACCTAAAATACTGTCTATCACGTAAATAAGGGGTACGACTCTTAATGCTGCAATTTAAAATCAATCTTAAAGAAATTAAACAAACAAATAAACTGGTTTTGAGTTTTCTTTTCTTGTTAAAAACTTCTGGTCTGTCAGTTTTAGCGCCCCTTTTGTAAGCTCGACCTCTTTGCTGAGAAAAATGGCAAAAATATCATCATAATTTCTTTCACAGTCAAAAGTATTGTGGTGGATAATCTTCACTAAGAGAGGTGAACTTTAAGCAGTCTGCAGCAATTCTCTCCATCCATAATTTCACACTGAGACTACAGGAATTCTGATCTGCTTCTATTTTGCAGTTCATGCTGTCACTTGTGTAGATGAAGAAAACTGCTCTTACATAAAGCAGAGAGATACAGGGTCTCAAAAATCAGTAAAAAAAATCGCTTCCCTCTTCTTGTAAACCTCCGGGCTGACTGAGGTGAAAGCTGAGAAGAGAAAGAGCACAAAGAAAACTCCAGTTAAAATCGGAGCCTGCACTGGAAAGAAATGAAACCTCTGTTTGCCTCATTACACCAGCCTTTAGCCCAGCTTCAGACAGGAAGTAATGAGCAGCAGGACGGCTGGTCATTAGCTAAATAGCTGCAACAGCGAAGGAAATTCATGATGCTCTCTCATGGTGAAGTTTAAACCTCTGCAAGAAACTCTTTCCCCTGGGAGAAATAACTCACAATTATACTCCAGACTCCTCTGAATTAAACATGACACATGACGCAACCGCATTCACAAATATAATCGTTCTCTTAAATTGACTGTTAAAACTAGTCCAGAAACCACTCTTGATGCATTATTATGATGAACTCTGCTACAGGTTGTAATTTCTTATGTATAATTCATAATAAAATGTTCTTTCTTTCTTTTTCTGAACATCGAGGCTGAAACGGAAGTGAAATAGCTCAAGTTAAAATGCTGTAACAGAAGCATACTTCTGCTTCATATACAGTATACAAGTAAATTGATTGATTAATTGATTGAAGTTTATTTTAAACATATAAAAAAGAAATAACAATAAAAAAGTAAAGAATACAACAACAAATGACAAAAAGTTATTCGAGTTCAAAAGTCAACTGCTTGTGACTGAACTCTGATTTTACACAACCCACAGGTTTTTATTGGCATTGCTGGTTTAAGACTGGATGGTCCTGTGGCAAAATTTCAAAATAAAAGAGCCGGTCAGTGCGTTGGGCGAACAAACAAAGGTAAAAAAAGAAGACTGATTGATTATTTGTAAAACTTGTATGGCAGTTAATGCTATGATACTAAGAAATATATATATATATATATATATATATATATATATATATATATATATTATATATATAAATGGACAGTACAGCAGCTCCTCAGAGTTGAAGCCAATAATTATAGAGGATCCCCAGGTGACTGACTGCTGGAGGGGCCTCAGGAGACATACTTTCTGTCATGGTAGTTTGTTATCATACTGGTTTACATGCAAAACGTTCATTTTTAAGAGAAATTAGGTCTAAATTAGTAAAAAAAAAAAAAAAAAAAAAAGAAAGTGTAATGCTATTGTAAGTTCAAAGAGTTAAGTCAATTCATAAATTTGAGTGAATTTATGTCATCAAGGTTAAAGTATGTTTACAAAAACAGTCACTGATTTAAACGTTAAGATTACTCATGTAATTTATATTAAAACCCAATAACAGTTTCCCTCAGCGAGATGAAGTTCGGATAAAGTGGGTATCATTATATTAAGACCCTTTTTTTGGTGTGTTTGTGATTGTTTTGTGATTCAAGGTCTGGTATGATCTGGGTCAGTGTCTTATTTTGATGGGCAACAAATCCGATTTGAATAAACTTATTAATGTTGCAAAAAGAATTGTGAAACAGGTTTATTTGTGTTAGCCACTTTTGAACGAATGAACAAGGCTCTCCAGAAATAATGAAAAAGAGTAACATCTGCACATCCTCCAGTGTTTCATCTGTATTTCTTTTTGACCACCCTGTGACACTTTGTTTCTACTTAATTTTCCATCTGTTCTTCTCATTTCCTGCTATTCTTACCAAACCTGAGTTTGAACTGCTGTATCCACATGACTGTTTGTCAAAGCTGTAATTACCGTAATTGTGTAACGTTTCAGTAACTCAACTTATCTGTGATTACTTCCAATTCTGTCATCTTTTTATCATTATATCAAATAAAAATGTTCAAATTTTGTTGTTAAAGATGAAAAGATTCAAAATAATGGGAGTCCTCGCAGAAAACTGCTTAATATTTTTCTTTTTTTGTGACATAATCACTGCTGATTGTGAATGAAATGCACACATAAACTTTGAACTTAAACAAAGACTTAACTCTGTTCGTGTTGCTGTACTGCTGCAGCTGTTGACAAGCCTCTCTCCCTGAGCTGAGAGTCATTTTCTTCACGACACAGGTGAGTGTATCTTGAATTAATAATACAAAAAGTAAATGCATACATAAATTAATCATCTTTTTATGTAATAACTAGTCTGTCTTGCTCTTTTTAGTATTTTTTGCCATATTTTATTTGTTTTGGAGGGGATTCTTATCATGGAGTTGAGATTTTTTTACTGTCATCAACAGAGTCTCACATCTTTTTATCCAGCTGTGACAACACTGTGAATTCTTCTCTTAGCAGAGGAGACGTCTTCTCTTAGTCATGATGAAGAGCTCTGTGGTGTTCCTCCTGGCAGTCGGCTTTGCCATGTTTGGATTTGGTAAGAAAAAAAAGTGGATTAAAGAAGGATTTGGCGGCTTTTATCACTGCTGCCTTTGTTCTTGAAAAGTGAATCCAAGAGGGGCTAAATTACAGAGATGACATGTTGCACAAAGAGGAGACAGACCAGCCTGGGGGCATGTTTGTGCAGTTTACATGTTCTGCTGCTGTGTAACAAGCTTCTAACACACATTTGCAGAGCCAAGAGAAATGTTTACCTGAACAAGGTGGTCTGCTTGTTTTTGCAGGCCTCTCTCTGCAGTGCTATTCCTGCCCTGGTGGCTCTTCCAGCGACTGTGAAGTCAAACAGGAGTGTAATGGAGGTGAAGACAGCTGCCTCAAACTCACCAGTGGTGGTAAGCTGTGGTAAAATCTTCAAACTGAGGGGTTAATATTCTGCTAGAATAAATGGATTTGAGAAGTGGACTTATGCTGTGTAAAAAAAGCTCCATCAGACTGATACTGGGCTACATGTTCTGCTCGTGTGTCAGAGTTTGCACACTGGACTTTGACCCTGATTAGAAAATATCAATGTGTTGCTAGAAAGTAGTAAACAAACCCCTGACTGTAGAAGAAAGGATGTAAAATAACAAAGTTGTCGAATCGTACCTACGATTAGTGACTGTGTTTTAATCACTGGCCACTTGCGAATGCATTTGTCGATTGTTTTGGTACGTGGAATGCGCAAGTTTCCTGGTTTTATGATCAGCAGCATGTTCTTGTTAAAGTTGCAGTCACTTCAGCTTTTGCTTTATATAGTTTTTATTTGTTGCACGTGTCTGTTTTGGACTCATATGAAACAGATTGCCAGTAAATTTAGACTTGTTGGTCTCCAGAGAATCAAGTTTCATTGGTTTTGGTTCTTGGATGAAACCCATCAAACTACAGATTTTATTTTATTAGAGAGGAGTATAGCAAACATTATAAATATAGATGTGTGAAGGGTATAGACAATAACAAAATATAGTGATTTGTTTTCTCCCACTGTCTCCTACAGATGACACCTACACTACATGTATGAGGTACGCAGACTGTGACCTCATGACTCTGGGCGTCAGATATCCCCTTCCTGACTTCACCTTCTCCTGCTGTCAGTCAAAACTCTGCAATGGCCCAGAAAAAAGTGCGTTTCAGAAATTTAAGGATTTTTTTGGTTGAGAAATAAATAAAGGGAAGAAAACTAAACAGTCCAAACTCCTTATTTCAGTGTTTGATTTCTTAATGACAACTGCTGGACATGACAAATAATGCTCAGAACAGCACTTAACTTCATCAACAGTACATATAAGGTCCTAGCCACAGTACTAGCCACCAAACATCGTTTTAACTTTGCCTGATTTCTGTAGCAAAGAGAATAAACACAACTCACCTACTCTCTTCCAGCAGCTGCTTGTTTGTAGCGAGACCTCGGGACAGTCCATCACCGACTACAGCGGGGTTACGCAGCTCAAGGAAGAACATGTAGGATAATTTCTTCATGGAAATGCAATCAGACTGAGACACTAATTATCATAAATGTTCTTCCTTGAGCTGCGTCCCCCCGCTGCCGTAATGGACTCGCCTGAGATCTCCGTACAAACAAGCAGCTGCTGGAAGAGAGTAGGTGAGTTGTGTTTAGTCTCTTTGCTAAAGAAATCAGGTAAAGTTAAAAAGATGTTTGGTGGCTAGTACTATGGCTAGGACCTTATATGTACTGTTGATGAAGTTAGGTGCTGTTCTGAGCATTATTTGTGGCTATGGAGTGGCTTGTTAAAGGCAAGAGAAGGGCAGTGGGCACAAATGATGTGAGTGAAAGGGGTGCAGGGGTGAAAATACAGATTTTCATTTTTGTAAATCTTCCTCAACCACAAATACGATCAATCACTTTATTGCACAACCTTCATCACAGATTCATCCCTACAGCTAACCCTTTACCGAACTCCAGATATAACCCTAGAATAGTCAATGCATGTGTGAATGTCTGTGCTGCCCTTGAATACTGATTATTAACACACAAACAAGCTCCCCTTCAGCTGGTTATAGTGTGTATGTTAGTGTGTGTTAGTGTGTGTGTGTGTGTGTGTGTTATAAGTCAGCGGTGAATAATACAATGTCTTATTTGTTGATGTTAATTAGAAGAAGGACAACATCTGTTTCCTGAAACAATGTTGTATGCGTGTGTGTGTCTGTCATTACTCACAATGTGCTCACAGGTCATGAAGATTGATTTAGTGTGGACGAAAAAACCAAACCAATACACATCTTTGAGAATCAACAGAGTCTATGCTTTTTTTTACATTGTGTGTATGTGTGTGTATTAACAGATTACGTGCACCATTGTGTATGGGTGCATGTGTCTACACAGCACAACAGTGTCCAGGTGGCAAGATAATTAAAAACATTTCTCACACTTGATTTTACATGGAAAGCTCAAAGCAAACATCTGGTGGAGTATGGGAGGAATAGACCAGGTGTGTGTGTGTGTGAGAGAGAGAGAGAGTGTGTGTAAGTATGAGTGGGAGTGTGTATGACTCAAGGGAAGACCGAGATGAGCTGCTTTTGGTGAAATCAGTGGGCTTCTGGTTATGTAATCATGAAGTGATAAACTAACAGACAGATATGAATGATCAATATACAGTATATATAAAAACATGTGGTTGACCTCAGAGTCCAATAAAATCCAAGTGAAGTAAAAACATCTACTTTTCTAATAATGTCGCACTTGTTGTATCTACACTGACTGTTTTGAGTGTGACTGTTCCTCAATTTCAGTTTTACCAGCATTAAGACTACATTTCCCATGAGCACTCTTACCCACAACAGGTGAAAGCGTGGCATTTATTTTTACTATATTTTTCTTTGTTTAAGCTTTTAGAGTACTTGTCACTTTCATATTTATTATTATTAAAGTTTATACTATTCATCACTTTTTGGAATTACTTTTTAGTTGTTTTTAACCTTTTTTTCTTGTTTTTTAATTTTGTATATTTTTTATTTTATTATGCTATATTATATGAATAGGCCTATTGAGACATTTTAAATGAATTAAATGAAAAATCTGAAAGATATATTTATTATTTTTTGACAAATATACAGAAATTTCATAAATTTACCCAAAGCTACCAGACATTTTAAAGATTCCTGACAAGTAGCCTAAATTTTAATTGAAAAAAATCAGAATTTTCCAAATGAAAACTATCCATGATCAACCCTATCAACAATCCCTGACATTGTTTTTTTTTTTTTTTTTTTTTTTAATTCAGAGCTTTCAAAAAGTTTCTGGAAATATTCACTACCATTTTCAAAAAATAATTAAAAAATTTTTTTCTATCACTTTCATTTGAAGTTCTTAGAATTTTCATATTTTTTCTTGTTAATTTGCTGATATTATATAATAAAAAATTAAAAGTCAACAAAACTTTTTATTAAGAAATGATGTTAAAAATGTTTAAAATGAGCTGGCAGGCACCAAAAATGCAACAGCAGAATCTGTTTTACTTTGAATATATCTGTTACAGGCATAGATGTCTGTTCCAGCAGAGAATAAAGGAAATATTTCAGAGGCAATGAGGGCAAAACAGTAAAAAATGATGCATCAGCCCTCTTGATCATCCTGCAAGACTGACAAGGAAGAAAGCTACCTGCTTCACAGACTGAACAGCAGAGCGGCATCAATGTGAATAAAATAACATCAACATAACATAAAATAAAACATGTTTTAATGGATCTTCAGAGCCTCAAGCAGCACATGTGGCTCTTATTGCTCAATTCCATAAACAACCAGAGAATCAGCAGCTTTCTGAAGGTTCAAGTCCGGGGTTAAGAGAAGAAAAAAATGAAGTTCTTGTCACGAGTGTTCTTGTTGAGACTGAAGCCTCATGTACTCTCTGTTTCTCTCAGCACTTTTACCTTCATCTGTGTTTTTGGATCTGAACAGAGTTATCTAGGCATTAATGGTGGATTAAATATCCATTTTGGGGTTGGTGGTGTTTAGTATGTCAGTGTGCACTGGAATGAAAAAAGATATGACAGTCCACCCATATCCAACTGTTTTTATTTTCTATTTTTATCAATGTGTCCAATTAAACTTGATTTCATGGCTGCACTTGCTCTGTGTGTCTGTATGAGTATATTCCCAAAAACATAAAGCCTGCTTTTTACTTAAGTCTGACTCAGTCTCTCTATCGTTGATACCTCCACACCTTACCTTTTTAAAGTGTCTTTGCTGAGGCATTAATACTGATTAAAAGTTTGTGTTGCACATCTGTTTTTATGTCAAACTTTACCACTACAACTTTAGAATTGTCTAGTTTGTGACAACAGGCTGTTAAACTTTCACCATGAGCCTATAGCAGCAGAGTAATCGGTTTTTATCACCTGTGCAGGTCGATGACCTTTGTTGATCTTCCTTTAAAATCCTCTCATTGGACTGGTTTGTAACTCTCGTCCTGGTGCACAGCACAGCAACTGGTTTTTAGTTTCTCTCCCTGTTGCTGTTGCACTGTTGCACAGCAGACCATCTCCATGGAAACCAGACCTGTGGAGAGCTTTGTATAATTTTTCTGTTTTATTTTTTACATATAATCTCCTCTAATCCTGGACCAATTAGTTTCAGGACAGGACGGAGATTCTCTTTCTCTTCTTCCCTTGATCATTTTGTTTGTGTCGTCTTTACCCGTTGCTCTAAATTTCTCTCTCTCTTTCTTTTTTTTGCTGTGTCCATCGAAATCTATTTCTATTTCAATTATTCAGATATATTTCAGGCTCATTTCTGTCGCACATACACACACACACACACAAGTATGAACACACTTGCACACCACATCGTCTTGCAATAATTTCGCTTCCTATTAATCCAATTAGCCACATAAAAATGTTGTTCCTGTTTCCAATCCTCTCTGAAGTCCTTTCTTCTTCCACTTCTCTGACATTTAAATATGTGACACCTTACAAAAAAAGACGGTAATTAGACCGTGTCCTTACCCTGACTGACAGATTGAGTTGTGTGAAATTTGGAAACTATTTCTATTTGTTCATTCCTCTCTGTGCCTCTCACTTTTCGACTCTCTTGGGGGCCCTCTGGCATGTGTGTGTGTGCTAGAGATCCCATGGGATGTGTGTGTCTCCTGGGTAGCTGCAACAAGCACCCACTGGGAGGACAAAACACACACACACACACACTCTTACTGTCCCAGTCGGGGGTACAGGCTCCGATCTGGGGGAGAGAGAAGAGCACAGCGGGAGTACAAGGGGAAAAGATTATACCTCTGGGGCTGAAACACACACAGACACACACAGACACACATACAGAACCGCACATATACATACTCAACTTGCATACAAATGAACAGAAGCACAACAAACCCTGAACTTTAACAGTAAGGTGAGATTCAGGCTCTTTGTGGCACATTTTGCTCAAAGTTTCATTCTTATTATATAAGCATCATGTTCAAACTTAGTCAATGTTGCTTCAACTTAAAGATAAGAGATATAAGATTTTTATTGGACTGTTGCTTGAAACTTTATTTTATTTCTGATAAGTATAAGTGAGCTAATTTCCAGCTCCAGCTCTAAATATAAGGATTATAATATACACTATCAAGGAGAGGTAAGCCTTGACTGTGCTTTGTCTGATTAAAAATGAAATATGATAAATACTAAGGTGCACAGATTTCTCTGAAGTAGGGTGACCATATTCTGTCTTCCAAAAAAGAGCACATGACTACATGGGGGCGGAGTCACGGAGTTGCACAAAATTAATTTTGAACGTTTTTCAGGTCGGATTGAGTTTTTTTTGTGCTTCTAACGCATTAAGTCCACGTGACACAAAATCTAAACTCTTGAAGGTTTTATAGAAGGTTTTATACACTTTCCCGGACGCGGTATTTTTTTTTTCGTAGGATGGTAGGGTAAGGTCCTGCCTCCTTTACTTCTGCTTTGCTAGAAAAGGAATCGTCATCACACACCCAAGCCGAGTGCTGGCTGTCGACTCTGTACATCGGACAGAACATTACAGAATATTATCGCAATTCTGAATCTCCCAACCCTTACCCTAACCCGACAGACGATGACGTTTCACAGCCATAAGGAATAACCAATCGAAGCCCAGCTCTTCTAGCCAATCAGAGGAGAAGGAGGCGGGACCGGAGAAGCCCGGACAGCCCCTGAAAAAGAGGACATGTCCGGGTAAAAGAGGACGTATGGTC